ACTTCTTCTCCAGGAGCAACTTCTTCTGGAGGAGCTACTTCATCGGTCACAGCGCCCTTCTCTGGTGAAGCTTGCTCTTCTGAGGGTGGCGTATCTTCCCCAGGTGCGCTTGGGTCCAAAGCTGCAACCTCCTCTGCAGGCGGCTCATCTACTGCTGCTGGTCCTAGGTCTGCAGGCTGGCCGTCCCCATCTGTCGGGCTTGCTTCCGGCGCACTCTGTTCAGTAGCATCGGTGCTATCCTCCTGCTGGTCTTCGGCAGGTGGATTGGTAACACATTCTCCGGGTGCTTCACCTGCTGGTTGAGGGTCGTCGGAGGGCGGTGCTGCGACCGAAGCAATCACAGAGCCGTCGGGCTGTTCGTCTCCGTCACCTGCGGGTTCATCCTCGGTGTGGGAAGCATCGCTCTCCTTCCTAGTCTTCTTGCCCTTTGACTTCCTTTCCTTCTCGTCGTGCTTCTTCTTCTTTCGCTCGTCTGCTTTGCCGGGCTTTTTCTTCGACGACGTAGATGGCGCTGGCTCCTTCTCTACAGGCTCTTTGTCGGCCTTGTGAACACTCGATGGCTTGTCCTTCTTCTTGTTGTCCTTGACAGCTTTCTTTCTGTCCTCTTTACCGGGCTTCTTCTTCTCCTCTGGCGACGCCGGTCGGACGGGAACAGGATCTCTGATACGCACGAAACCGGTGGCCTTGCCTTTGCCAAGCTTCTTCGCGATCCCTTTCTTCTTGCTGCCAATGCTAACGGCGTCTGGGTCTTTTACGTCAGGGGAGAAATGAACAGATTTTGTAGTTGGGGACATCGGGGGCTCTTGAGCAGCCTGCTCACACTCACCACTCTTCTCAGCAGGCTCTTGGGCAGTGACGATAGGGGGAACTGGAGCGACCTGTTCAGGTTCGTCCGACGTGGCGGACTCTTCTAGGGTAGGCTCGGTAGGTGGTGGAGGCGGGCCATCATCGGCAGGTACATCCACCGGCGCAGCTGCATCGTCGCTAGGGCCAGGCTTATCGACGACGGACAAAGAGGCTTCCGCTGTGGCTGACGGAGTCACGTTTTCGCCCTCTTTTGCCGTCGCATCGCCAGCAATTCCCCCAGGCGGTTCATCCTTGACATCGTCTGGCTTAGCCTCTTCACCGGCATTGTCTTCCACAGGGATGGATGGTGCTTCTGGGGCCTCTGACTGCGCGGCGATTTCCTCTGTACTCGCACTTGGTACAGGTACTGGTTCAGCTGGCGGGTCAGAAGCCGGTGGCGGCTCTAGCTCTACTGGTTGGTGTGCTGGAGCTGCCTCTGGCACGGCTTCACTAGGCGCCTCGGGCGCAGGTGTGGGCTCGGGTGCGGTAGATGGCGGTGGTTCTGGAGCCTCTACCAAGGCATTATCAACGGGTACACCGGTTTGACCTTCCTACTGTCAGTGGGTCAAAAGACGCGGTCTTAACACCACTACATACCCTCTTCGGAATCATCGTCATCGCTTTCTTCTCCCACGACCTGTTCGACGTCCGGATGGTAGAAGATGGGGGCGGGTGGAAACACTATGCGGCGATATACTGGTTGCTGTGCGGCTGGTGTTGCATAGGCGCTCTTGCCGGCATTGGGCCCTGTGGAATAGGGATTGGCCCAAGGCGAGTACGAGACAGTGGCAAACTGGCGCATTGTTGGACAGAAGGTAGGATTGCGCTGGGTAGGCGTCCAAAGATGTGATGACTTGTGCTACTAGCTAGCTATACTGAATGACATTTCCGAGCCATTGCGGGTGAAATCGACAGGACAAGATGCGTAATGGCGACATAAAACGTGGGAAGCGGGATTTGGCTGTGGGGAAGCGAATGGGAGACGACTCAGGGAAAAGCATGTGTATGGAGGCTGTCGTGGCTCAATGGGGCGACGGATGGACAGCGTGTAACGTGGGAGGGAGGGGAGTGCAGACAGATAGCACGCAGACGAATTCGCAAAGGTCCACAAAGCCGGCCCAAGCCCATGCAGGTGGTCGAAACAGTTCGGAAGCCTCACGTTAGCAGTCCCGTGACCGCACACAGGAATGAATTTGGGAGACGAGGCTTGGCCGGTTGCCATTGGAGCCACGTCAAGACGACTCGCTGGTGCTTGGAATGAGAGAATTGGAAGCCCGGGAAGTGGGTGTATGGCGTGCACGGCCTGAGGCCATTGGCCGTGTCCCACGCTGGGTGTTAGCTGCATGGTACCGGCGTCGCGTTGGTCGTGATGCAGCGTTCGTGGTCACCTCGCAACGGTCTCCAGCGGGCCGCCAACGAGGGACCGCTGCTCACGGCGGGCAGCGACGGCGCCATCCGAGCGCGTTCGGGCTGGCAGAGCTGCAGGGGCATGCATCTAGAATGACGGATAAGTTTTGGGCCCTGAGCGGGAGGATGGTGGATGGGGTGGTGAGTGACTGACGTGGCGAGCGTGGGGCGGATGAACGCACTGAGCTTCGCTTGTGCATTCCCTGCACAGCACCGTGTTGCAACTGCGAAGAACCTCGGGGCCTCCCTCTCAAGCCGCGCAACGTGGGACACGGGGAGCGGACACCTGCGCTGCACCTCGTCTTCAAGGCACCGCTGTACAGCACAAGACCGCCATGGTGCTTCGGCGGACGCTGCCACCGATCGCGCTGCGCCCACCCGCAATCTATCCCCGGCCCTTGCGGGTGACGTGCATCCAGTAAACCCACAGGCCGCCGCAATTTGCAGCGACCATCGAGTCTATCGTCGATACGGCTGGCGACGAATGCCGTCAGCGAACGTGTCCCAATCTCAGTGCCTGACGCTTCGCGCGGCTGTAGCAGTGTGGCTGACTATCCCAGGAGGTGCATTTGCGTGAAAATGTCCCCAGGGACGACGTGTCCGCGCCGTAGATATGTATTCGATACAAGTCACGTTTTGTTCTCCGCGGCTAGAGAGCCAAGTCAGAAAGTGTGCTCAAGATCGCGGCTCGCCTCGCGGTGCTCGTCCCAATCGAGCAGAGACGGCATGCCACGCCAACATCGTCATCGCAGCGCCGACTGTCCGGCCTCGTTTGCAATGGTACTGGATATGCTGGTGCACTTCATCGCGGTATACGCGCCGAACAATATGTGCATCTGGCCAGCAGTGTGAGCATGGCTCGGCTCTACTGTTCGCCATTCTTCCAGTGTGTGCATCATATCGCATTCCGATACCGCTACTGTGCTCAGCTTCGGGATCCGAGTTCGAATGAGCATCATCAGCCGTACCTGAGACATCATAATCAGCATTCGGCGTACACAGCACATCCACAGCCAGTGTCAGACTGCACGGGTGCATTCGGGTAGCCAGCCAGATTACACGCGAACCTGTACCCAAATAGCGTTAGCGAAATCACCCCGCACATCCAATCAGTGAAGTTTTTTCAGTTCTGTCATAGTTTCCACGAATTCGTGATTAGTGGAAGCATATGTAGTTGCTCTACAGAGGCTTCGTTTCTCAGTTTGCAACAGTCCTTTGGCAGAGGCTCATGAGGGCACAGTAGGTAACACAAACCTAAGAGAATTAGCTCGTACCTGAACTTGCAAGGACTCAGTCCTTTATACAGTCATATTTTCGTAGCCTAACAATGCATCATCAATGTTCACAGTGAGGTCTGTTGCAGAAAAACCCACTTCTCGCTTAATTGTGGCATGGACTATCCAGTCTTGACTTAAATTACGAGGGTAAACAGATTCACCGCGTCACGATGCTTGTGGTTCCCGTGGGTGTGTTAACTAAGGCAGTTGGTGGATGAGATATTCGACAATTTTGAATGCCTTATCTTATTATTGGCTATGATGAATCCAGATTAAGTGGCGCGAAATATAAATCTTATTCTATCAATGCTACTACTATCAAAAGATTTCCGCATTCTGAGGCTACGTAGCTACCTTACTTTCAATATCTCCTTAATTAGTTGGATCCTAGATGCCTATCAACATTATCTTTGCATCTAATAATTGCAATGTTACTAGGGAGGGTAAAGAGTGCATGGTGCGCAATTAACGTGGACGAGGAAACTAGATGGCTTATCTAGAAGCTCATGCGCAAGAGCAGATAGATAAATGTTGGGGATAGGACCGTGATTGATGAAGGCCAGAAGCTCAAGGACGACACTTCATTGAGATAGCTCGCTGTTCACGACATGCAAGCTCTTATAAACTGGATCATTGGTACGACTCTCCCATCCTCAAGAATCCTCCTCGCTATCACTGTCCTCGCTATCATTGTTGCACGCCCTCCCATTCCGCGTAGCCCCGGGCATAGGCCTCCAGGCCCTCCTAGCCTCAAAACTCAACCACACCCTCGTATAGCACTCACCACACCTCAAGCTGCTCCCTTTTCCGTTCATGTTACATTCTATCCCCCAGCAACCCCTCCAAGTCTTTCGCTTGTTCCCAAGCCGAGCCGGGACCACAACAACAACCTTATGTTCTTTGTACATATCTCCGCCCATATCCTCCCATGTGTGCAAGCACATCGTAGGATGAGCGTGCTCTGGGCCCGTGAGCAGGATACTGGGCCGAGCGCTGGTCTGGTCGAGCAGCGGGATGGGTGCTTCGGGGGTGGACGCGATGGGAATTCCCGTTGGGTGCTCTGCTGGACATGCGCATCGACACCTCGCGACGATGTCGTGAAAGATGGCCTTGGTGTGGCAGTGCCGTTTGATTTCACGGAGGCATGCAGGGAACTCGAGGTGGATGCTGCGCTCTCCGAGTGATGCATGTGGCGCGCGGACGTACGCCGAAGCCGGGATTTTACTCGTATCAGGCCATACGTGTGACGACGCTGGCTGGGCTGAAAGGAGCGGTGAGTCCACCCTGAGTGGCGTGCCGGGTGGTGTGTCAGGGAGGGGAATATACCGCGCGATGGTGACCTCGATAGGCTCGTTGTACGCGCTGGGCGGTACGCGACTTTGGAGTGACCGCGCGAGGACTGTAGAGAAAGGCTCTTTGGATTGCCCAGCCTGGATGGACTCGATGGGGTTTGCGGGAGAGGTTTGGTGCCGCGAAAATGGAGCCCGAGTGGACTCACGGGTGTTTCGCGGAGCAGGCATAATTGTAATTGTGTAGGTGACCGTGGTCTGGAACACAATTATGATGGCAGAAGCTTGAGTACAGTCGGCTGACGTATTGATGATCGGGGGGAAACACATATCGAGGACTCCCTCCCAGCATTGGGCTTATATACAAGCCTGAGATGACTCAATATAGGTTTGTGTTGAGTGCGTCCGCACAAAAGTGCTCTCGCGACCAAAGTTCGACGGGATGTGTGGATCCATGGATCCAAGGAACAGAGCAGTCACAACACAGAAGTGATCAAACGTTCCGTGATCCAAATGGATATCATACCAGGCTAGGACATATTTCTTCACAGAGACCATGGCTTCTCTCAATATCGGCATCACAGAACCATCCAATCCACCCCAACAAGCAACCTCTCTTCCTCTTGTCCTTGGCCGACGTGCACATCCCAAATTGGAGTCCTCACGCCTACGAAGCCGCCCTCGCGCACCCGGACGCATCCCTTCCCTCGCGCACCGCCTTGCCCTGCAAGCATGATCTTGAATTCGGGGCGTTCGTTGTAATTGCCTTCAGGTTGTGTGAAGCCTAGCGTTCCTGCCGCATGAGACAGGCTCGCATCAGTGACACCGCGCAGAAAAACGACGCCGCCTGGCCAGCACTCCACTTCCGACTCACCACTACCTCGGCCGCCCATGACGCTAAGGACTTCGATCCTAAGCTTCACACCGTCTTCCTTATCTCTTCCCCATGACACGCTTGCATTTGTATTAGCGCTGTATCCCGTGTTCGCCGTCTCAAGGATCCAACTCTGTAAAGTGGAGGCCATACCATTTGGTACGTATTTTCCGTGTTTGCGACTAGGTGAGAAGGTTTCCGGGAGTGGTACCACTGATTTGGTTGGAGAAGGTGATAGTTGCGGTAGGATGAAGTGCGGTCGAGGATGAGTCGGGCGGTCTACCACGGGCGTCGATGCTTGCTCAGCCACGTTGGGCCGAGAACTAGCGATTTTGAAGCGATGAGATACGGGAGAGGCTATTTGCGGCGATGACTGTTGGTGTGGAGTAGCGGGCTCCGTACGCGCGTGGCTGGGAGATGTTGAAGGGTCCGGCGAGACACGTCGCCGCTTGTTGCGCTCTTCCCTGACGAACAGAATCTCCTCTTCATCCGTATCATCCTCCTGACCTTTGTCTTCTACGAGAATGGACGATTGCTCGATACTTGGCAGGACGTTGACTGCTGTGTTGGCCGAAGATGACGGAGACGTACAGTCGATGCTCTCCGCCTTGCTAAGCCGTGGCTTTGGCCGCCGTGTAATGGGGGTATCTGCCCAAGCTTCGTCGTGTTGGTCTCTTCCTCTCCTCCGCTCTCCAGTGTTTGGGGGGTTGCGCGACGAAGGCTGGGGCAGGACGAACCGCTTCGCCGGCACTACCCGCGTTGTCTCATTCGTATCTTCATATGTGCTCCGCGAGTGCAGGGCTGTTGGTCTGGGTGTCTGTACATTGCGAAGGCCAGATCGCGGCTTCAGCTTTGGTTTCTGGGTTGCGGGTGGGCCTGGCGCTAGGAAGCGGTGCGGTGAAGGTGTTTGGAGCGGCATCGTGTTCGAAGTACCATAGTTGCAGGAGATTGCGGTGGCAAGCCCGAATGTTGAAGATGTAAATGGTTGAGCGACGGCATCGCGTGGAGGTGGGGTGGGAACACTAAGAAAGCGCGATGACGCCCCGACGCGGTTTCCAAACGCGCCGTCACGAGCACGCTAGCCACACGTGCCTTTAGCCTGAACATGGCTGACCAGGCGCAGGCTTCCACACCTCTGGGAGCTGTACTCGTCCGTCGTCAGTCCCGAGGTTATCTCATTATGTCTAGGCTGCATAATAAGAGTGCTCAGTATGAGTGTGCAATACGAGCGTGTTTAAGCATCGTGCATAGGGATAAGCAAGGCTCCCCATTCAGCCACTCTTCTGCCTACCTCGCCGACAAAGTGTTATTGACCGTAGCTTATAGTCATTCAACCAAGCGACGGCGCGCGTCAGCCTATTCAAGTTGACCATGCCGCCTCGCTGAAAATAGCATTCGGGCGCGTTATACTCATCAAACTACGATGGGATATCGGATCGTTGTGGCACAGTGCTCATGATACACACGCTGCCCGTTCAATAAGATCATGTCCACTCAGTAATCGGGCCTTCACTAGCTATCCCACATCATTGGTCATATTAACGCTTCGGTACCTCTCGTCATTCATCTCAAATACGCATTGTTACTCTTGTGCTACTCCCTCCCTCCCTCCCTCCACAAACAACAAGCTCTTATCAACATGCGTTTGACATTCTTCACGGCCGCCTCGCTTGTCTTGGGTGCCTTGGGGAGTGCCTTAGGGAAGAAGTGCCTGACCGAAGATGCTGCCACTCAAGTCGCGAACAACTTCAGGAGCACCATCGCCGCGTACACCCCCGAACTCGCAGCAAGAGTCTTCGCCGTGGACTTCCTCGACTACTCCGACGGTGTAAATATGTTGATGAATAACGGATGCCCTAACGGTCCTAAGCCTCTGGGAAGCCCAACCTTCACTTCCTTAGCAGACTTCCAAGCCGCCCAGGGCACTCAGCCCCCAATTCCGTTTGAGATCCTAAAGATCTGGTACAACTGTAATACCGTCACTTTGCGTTGGAGATCGGTCGCGCCGGGCTTTGTACAGCCGGAACAGCAAGTCACTGGCCTCATTGTTCTGGAGACTACGCGCTCCAAGGGAGAAGAGCCATTTTTGATCCAAACCGTCTACTCGGAGTTCAACAGCGGCGCTTGGCTTTATGATCTCGGGATCTTTGTACCAACGAATTGCGCGGCCTGAGATGCGATTGCTGCCTACATCGCTCATACCACAATTATCTCACACATAAATCGTAATGAAAGAAGGTATTATTCACAATAACTTGATGCATACCGCACTGATCATTGACAATACCAACATTATGGGACCTTAAATATCTAGTATACGTTGACTGTAATTCTGAAAGAAGTGCTATCGATGAACTGATCCAGAGCGACACCCCTGGTACAGATAGGAGTGAGGGTAGATCAGTCCCTCGTGTTATCCACATCGCAGTAATGAGAGCTGCCGGCCTGTGAGCATCGAGTCCTTCTACTAGGGATGTGCTGAGTAACACCCATCATCCGCTTCTACAAGGTGTACCTAGGTGATCATGACATTTATTGGCAGGAAAGTATGCGCAGTAACCTACTTAAAAGAAGCATATCGTCCTGATCTCAACACTCTCCCTCGGCGGCGCATCGTCTGGACTGGTCGGATCCACAAACGCCGAATGGCCCACGAACCTCGCCCTCCCATCCGCCTCGGAATCAAACGTCTTCAGTAGAATCACCTGCTCTGGAGTCATCTTGGGAAAGTACCACCACTTGTGCCTGTCCGAGTGCTGCAGCACATAATTCTCTCCATTGCGATCGCGATAGCGAAGATGCAGCTTGAAGAAGTCTTCATCCTTGCACGACTTCACGTCAATCATAGCAAGCGGTCGTTCTTCCACAATACGGTTGACAGGCTTCCAGACGTTGATGAATGCTACTCGGCGCGAGAGGAGGTCATCGGCTTCGTCGGGTAGGAGTTGGCGGACTCTCAGGGGTCCGGATTCAGCGGTGTAGTCGCAGTGGACAAGCATGACGGGGGAGCGCTGGGTGGTGTTCTTTTCATCAGTGAGTGCCTTCTTTGCGTTCTTTTCCGTGCGAATGGTGTGGTCGAAGACGAGAACACGCTTTGCGCCCAGAGTATGTTTGAGAAAATCAACAACTTCGGGATAGAAGGCTGATCGCACAGCTTCCTCGTTTTCCCAGTCGGAATGCGACGTCTTAAATGAGTGGACCGAGAAGCCGTTCTTGTCCAGGTGGAAGTCGTTGACGTACGGCCAGCCATCCGACATCTCAACTTCTACCGGAGCGTCACCTGGTTCGTGGATATGTTTAGCTTTCTCGGTCTCGTAGAAGTAGAGCTCGGTGAGTCCGTCGACGGCTTTGGTGTAGTTCACTGTGGTACGTACTTTGTGCTGTGAGTTCCCGTTGGAAGTAGCCACGCTGCTTCCGTTCGTCGGCGCGCAGGGAAGGAGCGCCTTGGTCACCGCGACTTGCGTCTTCTTCCAGCTGTCCATTGACTCGACCTGTCCCAGCCACCGCTTGACGTTCGGATACTGATCCAGAGGAAATTTCGAAGCCGCGTGGAGATGCATGGGCGCCGCAACCGCAATGTCAGCAAGTGTAACATTGTCGCCTGTTAACCACTTCGTCTTGCCGAGCTGCTCGTTCATAATGCCCGCTCCTCTATGAAACCTTTCAGATTCGGCGTCAATGGCTTTCTGGTCCGGCTCTGCCTTCATGAGCGGTTTGACAACGTTCTCAATGAGATACACATAGCAGACCGAAAACCAGGTTGCGGCCTCCCAGAGCATCCACCTGTTGATGTCGGCCCGATGTTTGAGGTCTTTTGGGTAAAGAGTCTCAGCACCAGTCTTGTCGGCTGCATATTGTAGGATAGCGTTCGACTCTGTGAGTGTCATGTCGCCGTCTCTTGCCGCTGGGACCGTGGCATGCGGGTTGATCTTCTTGAACGCCTCGCTCTTCTGCTCGCCAGCAAAGTAGTCAATGAAGTTTTGCTTGTAGTCTGCTTTCATTTCCTCAAGCCCAGCGAGGACCTTATGGGAGTTGATCGTACAAGGATCGGAATACACTTCGATCGTCATTTCGATGCTTCTCAGCGTACTTCTTTGATATCGCGAGCCGGAAGATGTATGTATTTATCGACGAGAGCGCAAAGGCCCTGGCAATATTTCTGCATTTAATAGTGCTTCAGCTCTTTGCTTAGTGCTTCATGGCGGAGGTTAGTCTACCCCGCACCGTCTTTCCGTGTCACGTTGTCCATTCGACCGATCTCCCAGACTCGTGATGTTCCTCTAGATGGCTGCATCGGTCGCAGTCCTCGCATTCGTATTGGTCGCCCGCTAAGACGATCTCGCCATTGCGAACTTTGTCAGAGTTCTGGATCGTGTGGCACGTTCGTGGCTTCGTATCATTTGACTATGGTGAACAAGTAACCGAACCAGCCTACTTCTGATCATAACATTTCCAAATATGCTTGGAATATCGTATTGGGGAGTGTGATAGTCCACTCATCCATGCTGTCAATGTTTGCCAAAAATTGGAGTCATTCAACTGAAGATCTTGACTATAGATTGTGCATGCTCTTTAATAATGTACATACCCTTTACTAATTATGTGATGCTTACTCCAGCTTTGTAGGTGCATAAAAACCATCCGGGAGCGCTCACCATACCCCATGCAACCTCGTCCGGCTACGCGCAAGTATCCACATCATACGCACACTGGATATCATTCCCATCTATACCACCATCCCTCATATCCCGCTCACAATGGATGCATATACTCCCATCCCCCGCATTGAAACATTCCGACCTGCCCATGCGGTCCTTACACCCGGCGCAAACCATCTTCGGCTTCTTCTTGACTTCTTCAACAAAAACCTCGTCATCCATGACTCTAAAGTTCAGCCCGGACACTCGCCAAAAGTCGTCTGAGTCGTAGAACTTCTCTTCGAACGGTACTTCTTCACCATACATGTAGGGTGGAATATAAGATTGCTTGGTCGAGAATCTAGATGTGAGGAGCGCCAAGCGACGATTCGAAGAACGCAACAGTGAAGACAAAGTATACATCGGTGTGCGCAGCGGTCCATCGATAATGGTTTGCAAGACGAGGGCGATGTTGGCTGTGGGTATCGTAGAGAGGATCTGCTCCGGGTTTGGATTGCTAAAGACGATTGAGAGATCAACAGGCCGGGTCATGCCTTTGATCACATCGGTGCAGTGGCGAAGCACACGTCCAGGGTGCCTCAGCGTGTCTTCAGATACGCCTTTTAGGTTGTTGGCCCAGGATACATCCAGCACTTTGAGCTCACGGAGAGAAGCTGAATAGTCGTCACGCTGAACGTGACCGAGAAGCATAGTCTCGACGCCGAGCGAGAGAGAACGTAAGTTCGAAAGATGACGCAGCCTGGCGCTGTCATCTTCGAAAGTCGGGTACTTGGTGGGGAGGTACTGCGTGGCACCGCCAATGTGGGAGAGGCGCTCAAGAGAATCCGCTTGCCGAATTAATGCTTCAAGGAAAGCAGGCTGTGATGTGCGGGTTGTGCTGTCAGTGCTGGGAATGCAACCTGGGAATGCATGCAGGCGCTCGCCGATGTCGAGTTCCTTCAGTGCTTTGGGAAGGCTAAGGACTACGTCTAGGAATCGAACGTTGACATTACACTCAATAAGCGTCAAGGATTTCAGCGGTGTCGATCGCCTTTGCTGGTCTGTGATGTCGGCGTGCGTAATTTTGGCATCAAAATTGGTGCAGGATATTGTTATTGATTTCAAAGTAGGATGTAGAAAAACGACAGCGCAACGACCGAATGTAAATTTTCTTTCGTCCGGACCGTGGCCATGAAGCGTAACTTAAAGAAAAGTCAGTCAGTTGTAACATGATCTCAGCAGCGAACATAGCTGAAGCACGTTTCTTTTCCGCGATCTATAAATTTCATCGGGTGTCGACGCAGCCCGGCCATCTGAAGCACACTTGAGATGACTCAGAGAATAAACGAAACTTACGAGATTGCAGCATGGGCAGCGTAGGCGATATCCCTTTCCGAGGGTATACGGATGCTTCCAACAGTGCCATGTAGTCGATTCGCGTCCAGCCATCAAACTCCACGTCGCTCTTCCACTCGCTGTTGTTCGGACAGGGTGATTCAATCGTGAGATGGCGGAGCTTATCCATCAATACAATGAAGTGATTGAGCTCCTGGATCCCCTCTCTGTCGCAATCCGGATACCGTATCGATAACTCTTGAATATACGACGACCGTGTTTCGCGAACGTCAAGCGCCGCAGCTATGTTCCTCGCACGGTCCCCGCTAGTTACGAGCAGAAACCGCCAAATATACGGTTCTGTGAGACCCTGTAAGCGGTGACAACACGCTGCCAGGCTGCAGAGGGCATCGCGAGAATCTAAATGGTCGATTATCGACAGGAGCAGCTCATCAACGAGTGCCAGCAGACCGGATTGTGGCACCTCTGCGGTCATAGCTGGTAGTCTCGACTGGCGGAAAATGGGGCGGAACTGGTGGATTCTGCGCTTCTTGGCTTGACGAGATTCGGTATATGGCATTAAGATCTCTTGGTCGGAAAAATGTAGTAAAGGCGCCTTTGGGTTCAAAGCTCCTCGGGATCGTGATCGTCGTGGCGATGGCGTTGACGTTCGGTGCCGGCTGGATTCAAACACAGTGGAAACGTTATCGATAAGGTTCCTAGTGGCTACCGATCCCTGCCCACCCCAATGACCTACGTCCCTCACCCCACCTGTCGTACAGAACTGCTCAACTCTACGTCCATTCAAGATTTAGTGTCATCAAGCTTCTGCACAAGTCACCGCAATATCCCGAAGCAAATGTCCGTAAGCCCGTCGGCGCTGTATGTAAGCATGGTTTGCCTAGCACATTGTTCGTCTGGCCTGAGAAAACCAGTTGACTTCTCTCAAAACAGTGTTCAGTCGCCTTGCATCGTGAATGGGTATCATTGGTATCAAATGAATGCATCGGCCCAAAGATCCGACGTTCAACCCTTTGACCAGTGTTGCAACCATTCTGTCTGCCTCACGGGCTCACCAAACCGAACCCAGCCTGGCCAACTATTTGGCTCTGCTGCATGCATCCACAGCCACGAGAACAGCAACATTCCTTCCCTCCTGCACTTGCCTACCTCCGACAGGCAATTTATCTCTGTTTCTAGAGCAACCATTTGGATCTTAAGGTCACTGGGTAGTGCTTGCCGGCTGTCCCATTTGTAGTACCAAGTTTTGCTGCCGCCCGTGTCGCCAGCAAGCAAAAGTCGCAGCTCGACTCGACTCGGATCTTGCTTGCGGACTCCTATCTCTTCCAAGAAGCGGTAGTGTCTCTGTGCGTGCTTCAAGAACTTGTTGAAAAGGATGCGCTGGTGATATGTCATTCTGCGGAGACTATAATCGACTTTCTTCGTCCGCGATTTAGGCGTTTTGATGACACATGGTTTGTCGTATTGTGCATACACCTCTTCCGCGCTACAGTTGGGCTGATATTCTGGGACGTCCTTTGAGCGTCGGCCTACGAGCGTCTGCAAACTTCGACGGAGTATCCTCCAGAACGGCGAGGAGGTGGTGTTCACAAGATCAGAATAGGAGATGATCACCCGCGGCGCCCTCCTTACACATCTCTTGAGACCACGATCGAGAATAGAGTGCGATTCCATAAATATCGTGCGACAAGTGGAGAGAAGGGCGAGGCCAGGAACAGAAGGAACAATCAGGGTTACAACGCCTAGCTTGCTAGGGAAGATAACTGCATTGCTCGTTTAGTATCAAAACTTCTACGAACCTCAACAAGGAATGGTGTCGTGCAACCTATTGGATAACGAATATAAAGGTGTGGGAGTGGCATACGAGGATTAATAGCTTCGATGTTTATGGGCTCGTAACAATAGGGGTAATCGTATTGGCTGTTTCCCGTGTGGATGACGATATGTTGGATCTCTTCTGTGAGAAACTCGTAAACGATGAGTCGGAGTTCTTTCGGCAGCGACAGAAAAGGAATTGGTGTGCTACCGGTATTAGGCGAGGTCATGGTTAGCGATAAAACAGTACCGATTTCGAAGGCTGACCGTGATGGTGGAGTAACGGTTTTGGTAAGCGAAGTGGGTGGTTTGTTCAATATATACCGCCATCTTCGCGCTAGGCAGTCATGCTTTCTGGAGCAGAACTAGGCTCGAACAGTCTGCTGTGGTGGGCCTTGAATGTGTGGGGACGCTTGCGCTAGCAACATCATGTCGATGCAAGGCAATACTCTCGGAGACGAAAACTTCGTGGCGGGGCCGCGGTCGGCCTCTTTTGATTAACCCCCCGTGCTCGATATCAGTATACCGGCAAATGGCAAGATTTGAACTTGTTGGCCACAAGCGAGCTTAGAGACGACACGCAGATCCCATTGCAAGTAAGAGTTTGACCAATCGAATCTTGCATCCACTCACCAAGAGAGCAATTGTTCCATGAAAAAGTCACCGGAACCGCGCAGAGCTGCAGGCCACATAATTCTAGGTCCCATTCGTCTTCGTCACCTCCACGGACTAACTCTCGTCAAATCATTTCACTTTCCACAGCGATGACACCAGGTCACTACCTAGGTCACACACAAAATAAAGTGAAAGAAGATGACAGCAACCGCAGCTAATTCAGCAGCGAGGATGCGATGCTCTCACATCCCGACGATCCTTATCCTCGAAGACAGACCCAGGACGATGTCACCGATGTTCCGGCCACAGCTGATATAGTTGCAGTAATGGACCTACTTTCTTAAAGTCGCGGTTACAGACAACAACCAGTTCAATGTTTCCTTTCCTGGAAACTCGAATCTCAGTCGAAAAGAGCTAACGGACATCAAACAAAGTTTTGTCCTCAGAACCATCGTGCTTGAGAGCGTCGTGATCGACTTCCAAAGGTATTTGCGCTGGACAATGCAATATATATTATTATTCTCATTAAAATATTACTTGGATAGCAGTAAGCCGAGTCTTGTCATCTCAGCATCTCCACGACGGCAGTGAGTACGTGTATGCGCTGTAGAACTACCATAGGTAAGCTTATCGGAGGTGAGCGCTCAATGTCTGTCGAGATGTTATGCCCTTGTTACATAGCGGGCATTCACGCGAATCTACCGAGCTTTGCAGACAAGATCCCGATGGAACTGCCACAGAGCCCAGGGATGTACGGCCCGATTTCTAAATCCCACGTCAGTATCGTTGTCCCCGGTCCTCCTTGCTCCTATCCAGATTTGATCTTTCTGCCTCAAGATTCGGCTGACGGCGAAGCGGACATCACATCTGATCCATGTGTTCCTCTTGTGCTACAATGCATGTGGTCGCTTCGAGTTCGATGAATCTGGTTCCCAGGGAGTCTTGGCTTTTGCTACACCCAACATGATTCCTCGACCCGATGCCAAGGGGACCTTCCGCCCCGAAATAACGAGACTGTCCAAGGTGACAGTTGCTCTTGCGGGAACCCACTCTGCCTTGTAATGACTATGGCTATACTTTATATCAGTGCGCAAACTAAGATGGATAGCCGTCGACGCTTATGGTACGCCTACAGCTTACGTCGATTGTCTACAGGTGCAATGCAAGGGGGCTACCGACCTTCCCACCTCAACCACTCTTCCAAGCTCCGTGCCATCGAACCCGGTAGCGACCATGTGTTACCGACCGAGTGCTATCCTATATCCAATTTGCATATTCACCCTAGAAGCCTTGACCTAGAGACAGGAATGCAGTGCGCGGCCTCATCACGAGGCCACGCACCCCATTCCAGGGAATCAACGAAGCCGGAAAGACCACTTAGCACAATCCTGCCGTTGCCTCAACATGTCCAGCTACCTGTGTATCCGAACAGCGTAGTATAAAACCCCCCGACGACGTCTCACTTCTCGCTACCAAGCCCAGCATTCATTCCCTACAATCTCTTCCATCTTCCAACAAGCACTTTATAGCTGGACACTCTAGTCAACATGCGACTCTGCATCGTCACCTTCGCGGCTCTTATGACCGCCGCCTACGCACTAAACGATGCTGCGCCCAACGTCAATGCCAATAATCTTGCTGCCCGCAGCGAGCCCCCAAAGGCAAGCGCGACCCTGGACCACAAGAAACACAAGCATCCTCACGACGGGCTCAAGCACAAGCACGATAGCACGCACCATAGCAAGCCTACTGGCAAGCCTGAGCATACATGGAAGCCCGAGCATCCATGGAAGCACAAGCACGATAGCACGCACCACAGCAAGCCTACTAGCAAGCCTGAGCATACATGGAAGCCCGAGCATACCTGGGAGCCTAAGTCTACCGGCAAACCTGAGTGGAAGGGCAAGGGGAAGAAGGGGAAGAAGGGCAAGGGAGTTGAGGACAAGGAGCACAAGGATGGAAACTGAGGGATGGGGCGGTGAAAATGGGAGGTGGGAATGGGTGGTTGGGGATGGGGCGAGAAGAGACGATGTGGAGGATGAAGGAAGGGTAGCGCCAGTCGTTACAGATCTCTAAGTACACTCGCTTCGGAGAAGCTCAGCTTCTTGGGCCTTTGCATGGACGTGAGGTATAAACCAAAATTGTTCAGTATATGACGTTCGTATCGCGATTGTCTTGGTGAAGGTGTGAGTGACGGTACACCACCGCAGGGGTTGTGGTGGTCATGTAGTTAGCTACAATTCCGATGCGATGTAAATCAGATCTTTGGTGGTGACGACCACGTCCTAGCATAGCAACGTTGTTCTTTAACTCCAATCTTCGTATGCCGCACGCATCGCTCTTGCCACTAAACTCATCCCTTTCTCCTTTAACATCTAGGTACATAAGGAGACTACAGCATCACCTAGTATACCCAGGTGACGCGACATGATTCTGGGAACCTGACCATGCCACTCGGAGATGTATGCAAGGTACCTCCAGGGTCCTGGGTGCCGCGGGTGTGACGCTGAAATGTTCCACGCATATCGCTCATCTGCAGGGTCCTTCGAAACATCGCAACATCAATCTCCAGGTGCTCAAGATTCTCGTGTGTCAAAGCAGGCCAGCTTCCGCGAAACGCAATAAGAGACGAAACGCCCTCCTTGGTTTTTCTGTTGGCACGAGTCTAGAGCCGGCACGGGATACCCACTCGCTGCCATCCAAGCCTTGAAGCTTAAGCGAGCTTGACGAGGCTTGGCCAATCACGAGGAGAGCATCGCGCATGGCCACCCGCGCGGCGCGTTTCTTATCGACATGGGCGGGCGTTCATGCGCAAACACAGAGCCCAGGAACCCGCGATGGCAATCTTGAATTCACCCGCCGCTAGGGGCCGGCCGGGGGAGCCGCGGTGCGCGACATTCGACTCTGAGTCTGCTGCGTCCTTCCTCCACCGTCCCTCGCTAGAAGGCGGCATCCACTCGCTCGCTGTTGCTCGATTTCTTGCCGGACGTGACTGCCTTGATCAAACGGACGATTGTGCCGCATCCTACGAGGTCCAACACTGAACCCACCTTCGCTCGACGGTCGTGTGTTGTATTATCCTTTTGAGGTTGATCTATCGTTGGCTCGGTCTCCTGCTTGCATTTCACATTGCCCCAAGAAACCCAATAGAACGAGCGCTGTATATTGGATCTGGTCCGCCATGTTCACGATGCGCTTAGCATTGTTGGCCTCGACCGCACTCACTGCAGTCAGCGCCATCGACACAATCTCGGTCAAGGGAGCCAAGTTCTTCACCAAGAGCGGTGATCAGTTCTTCGTCAAGGGTGCAAGCCAATTGAACAGTTTACACGATCCTCACGCTGACTTTGGAAGGAATCGCATACCAGCTCGTCCCAGACGACCCGCTCATCGATAACACGCAATGCAAGCTCGACTCGGACCTCATGAAGTCGATCGGGACCAACTCGATACGCGTTTACCACGTCGATCCCTCCGCCGACCACGACGACTGCATGAAGACCTTCGCTGACGCCGGCATATACATCTGGCTGGATCTCGACACCTTCGACACGCAAATCGAGCAGGTACGCGGACACATTGGGCAATTTCTATACACGGAAGACTGACCCGACTAGACACGCCCGCAATGGAACCAGACGCAGCTCGACCGCTTTTCTGCCGTCATGGATACCTTCCACAAGTACGACAATCTGGCAGGCTTCTTTGTGGGCAATGAGGTTTTGACGACGGGTATGTCATCCACTCCACCTGCACTCCTCAAACCATATTGACAAACTACTAGGTGATGGCTCTGTTGCTGCTCCATATGTCAAGGCCGCGGCCCGTGATCTCAAGGCATACCGCGACAAGAAGAACTACCGCAACATACCCGTCGGTTACTCGGCCGCCGATATTGCGACGCTGCGTCCTATGTTGCAGAACTACCTGGCTTGTGGCGACAATGCCTCCGAGGCACTGGACTTCTACTCATTGAATGCCTACTCGTGGTGCGGAGACTCCACCTTCCAACAGTCAGGCTACGTCGATCTCATCAAAAATGTGACGAACGTGGACTACAATATCCCCATCTTCCTGTCAGAGACCGGTTGTATCAAGCCACGCCCGCGTGACTGGGCTGACCAAGAGGCCATCTTTGGTCCCGACATGATCGATAATTGGAGCGGCTCCATCGTCTACGAATGGATCAACGAAGCCAACGAGTACGGCATCGTCAGCTACGGCGAAAAAGTAGATCCCGCTTCTCCCGGTAAGTCCAAGCGCGCCATCGGAGCTACAGCAATATTGACATCCATTCCAAGGTGCCCCTCCGGACGGCTTTCCGCGCTCCGGCACGCCCACACCCATGTCTCCTGAATTCCCCAACCTCAGCAGCAGGTGGAAAACACTCACACCCACTGGGGTCAAGGCCTCAGCCTACAATCCTAAGCTTACGGCTCCGCCGTGCCCAGCCTTCACGAGCAACGTGTGGGAGGTCGATGCCAAGTCGGAAATGCCTACGATCGGACAGACGTACCAAGCGCAGCAGTCGGGCGCCAGTAAGACGGGCAGTGGCGCCAGCGCGGGTCCGACCAGCCAGGGCAGCGCGAGCGCCTCGCCCAGTGCTGACAAGGGCGCTGCGTCTACAGTCTCTACTTGGGGGCTGCAGAGCATGGGTCTTGGGTTCGTGGCGATGGTTGCTGGATTTTGCATCTGGTTGTGAATAAGGCTACGTGAAGACAGGGCAGTTCTATGGAACGCGTTGACGGCTTGCTGACGGCATCGCGCTGTGGAGCAACAGTTGTCGACCGTACGCTGACTTCTAAACTTTGGCCATGTGATCTTCGCGGTAATGAGCGGTGAAAGGCGATCGGACGTTTCGGGAGAAAGAACACAGGGAGCGGAGGCTTCTTGGCGCGGTGGAGGGCTTGGTTGGTACATATACCCCCTTTCTTCATTCAAACATGGCATGCGGGCATGGCGCTGGTGCATAAATGGTACTATAGTACGATAGCTATTGAAGCCTTGAAGGGCTCAGCGAACTTGATGCACAGCACGCTCTCGCGACTCTTCGACTCTATCCACCCTTAGCCCGCCCTTCACCTAACACTTTGTCGACGTGCAATTACACTTTCCTTCCAGCTTCCCCTTCGGAATGCAGCATTTTCCCGGCTAGCCCTTGTCAGCTTACAACGCATCCACGTACTCCGCTTAACTCACATTGTTATGGCACCATCCGTAGCAGTCATTGTCCGCATCGCACGTCCCGTCCATTCGGCAGCTGCCCAATGTGCAGAGCCCCGTGCAGCAGATCGCTCCGCCGAAGCCTGGGCCGCGGGGGCAAGGTCAGTGTGCGTTGAGATAGGGTGGGGAAAGGTTTGCTGGCTGAGAAAGAGGGTGTATGTTTTCCTGAAGGACATAATCCCTGGTGACGAAGGGGTCTCTTACAGCCGTAGTCATTGGCGCATTTAGCGCCTGCATTGTTCCCGGGAGCAGTACAGCTGCCGAGCTTGCAGATGTTGTTGCAGCACTTTGCGCCGCCGTAGCTAGATGGCAGGACACCTGTTAGTGGAATGGCCGTGAGTCGGAGCAGGAGAGATGGGTGATTGAGTCGGCCGTGTACCAGTGTTTGGCTCACAGTATCGCGGATATAGCAACCAAACACCACAGACGCCCACGTCATACCCGGATAGTACATACCAATTGTTGTCCTGCTTGCAGGGATCACCTACATCGGCGCGAGGCGTAAGAGCCACCGCCTCCACGGCCACAGCGGTGAACAGGAGGGACAAGATTCCAACGACCTTCATTGCAGCGACCAAAGAGTCTCAGGGCCAGCACGCACATCCAGTCCCCCCTTGCGCCATCACTTCACGCTTTATACTGCTGCTTCCTCACATACTCGGTGTCCAGCACCCAGGCTCTCACTGCTGGCAACCCACGAGCTCCGATAGTGCTCTAGATGAAGCCAATACTTCAGCACCTGCAGGTAGTGCCGCCCTGGGACTCGGTACGTAGGCACCGACCGCCCGTTCTTGCTTCCCGGGTGCCTCGGAAGGTGGAGGGGAGGAAGCGAGGCAGGCAGGCGTATATTAGCGATACGATGGCGTATCGTGGGCATCGTGTTCGCAGCTGCCCATGTACATGTGTAGATTGTCTCGGGTCGAGATGCTATTGATAGCACTGAAGCGAGGCAAGACACACCTCGCCAACGACCTCGCGGGCCGCAGAAGATGTGTGTGGAAGCCGTGTGGTGAGACGTTGGTTGGTCATCGTACATCCCTCTTGGATATCGTCCACGGTGAATGTGCAGCCGTACCTATCACTCTCCACACGCGTCTCCACCCACGGTGCCAACTTCCAAACCACACATGTACAACATGGACAGAGGTACTCGACTTCGCTATGCACGCTGCGCGGCTGCGTATGCGTCGGTTGTAGGATGCCGCGCCGGGTATTGCCGATGCACGAGAATACCCGGGCTAAAGTGGTGCTCTCGTTTGTGCTGGGTCAAGGCTGACGGACGGGGAGAATAGGCTGTTTGAATGCAGCTTTGGGGGCGGTAGGTGGACACAGTTTGGGTAGAAGAGGTGTTGTGGGATGGTTGTGGTGGTCGTGGTTGGAGGATAGTCCGAGGGAGAGCCACGTGCGCGGAAGAGACGGTAGATTCTACACCAAGGTTGGTATAAAAATACAGTCGGTAGACGTTCCTAGTCGTGTTGATAATGGCCCTTGAAGTCCTGGGAGTGACACAAGATTCAGTAGTGTCCAAATTTGGATATGAAATGTTGTGCTTTTGTGTCCGTAGGATGATCTTCTGGGGTTATAAGATGAGTTCCAGGCGAAATCGCTTTGTGACAATGGTTATGGAGGTAATTACCATTTTCCAAGCTCTCTGTAATTCAAAGCACTAGTGGGGAATTTACGGGCAAAAAGTGACTCCCAAAAAAGGAATTTCTGATTCGACTACGAATACGTCTGCATGTAGGAAGAACAAGAAAGATAGTAGTGAGCAAGCTTTTTGGACCGGAAAAGCCAAGTAGCAAACGAGACGTTCTCGTGGATTCCGAGATGGTGTGGCGCGGGAGAGCGGAGTGTGTGACAGTGAAGGGTTGAAAAAAAAAAACCGCGAAACAGCTGAGGAAGGGCTGCTCACACTCTGATACTTGCTTCAAGTTCACAATATAATAAGATGCTAGATTCGACAATGGGCAGGCCTTTGCGTAATGTGCGAAAAGGAAATTCTGTTTCGGCCTCTGCGCAAGACAGTACCACACGGGTATTAGACCAGTGCCTTTCCCCAACACATCATCCATGAGCAGTAGTAGCTGTACCGCTTCGTGCATCGAGTCGGACATTCACTTTGTACCAGAATCGGCTGGCTGCTGATTGGAGTAAGACGTCCGACCATGATTGCGGTGTTGGCGTCACTCCCTGTCAGAGCCGCACGGCCTGGGCGGGCATGTGGTCACGTTGAGGCCAGAGAAGCCCTCGTCCAACGGCCAGCAGATATGTAGAAGCGCCCAGGACGGGTTCCAGGCGTCTACCCAAGCGGTGTGCTCCAATCTCGAAGCGATGGCCCCAAATGCGCTAGAGGTTGGCTGCAGAGGAAGAACGGCGGCCGGGATCGCGAAATCAGATGGCGATCGAGTGGGCAGCCTCACCCGGCGGCAGCCGTTTGCGGTAGCCGCTTTTCCGCGTGTTGGCCATGGCGGTCCAGCGTCCATGTCGTCAGCAGCAGCAACGACGTTCCAGCGAGCGTCGCGCGCGACGCCGGCGGTCGTGGCCGGGGCTGCCGAGCAAATGGACAGCGGAGTGTTTTCTTCGACGGCAGAAATGCAGACCGCGCAGATGGTGCGATGCGCCCGTTACGGTTAGGGCACAGGGAGGCCCGCGATGATTGGTAATATGCGGCTGGCAAGGAGTGATAGCGGCACGTTAGTGGGACTTGGCAGGGAAGGAGCGCACCGCGCTTTTCTATGGGGGAAGCGACCGATGACGTTTCCTCACCTCCTTCTTCACCTACGTCACGCATTCACCTCGAGGCGCACCCGCGAGCAACACCACGGCTGCGCGCATTGAGACCGATTCACGACCGAATATATCGCCTGTTCTCGTATGATCCTTTGCGCGCCGGTGCAAGGACGACTGCAGCGCCATCGTACAGGGTAAGGGGCGCACGCGTATTGACGTCACCCATTTCCTTCTCGTCGACGCCTTCGAGAGCGTCCAGCACCGCATCACTTTCTTGATTCGCAACCCCGCTTTCGGTGCTGCGCCCATCTCAAGTGTTCCCTGCGGTACGCGCTCTCGTCTTGCGTGTTGCGCGGGCTGCTTGCCTGGTCGTTGCTGCTGCTGCTGGCGCGGTCGCGCTGGCCCTGCCACTTTTTTCTCAGAGGCGCCCTCAGCACGCACGCACCGCGACGGGTCGCATCCAGCGCAGCGCATCGCCGCCATTCGCAAAGTGCACAAGAGCTGACCTATTGTTGAACAGAAAGCACATTCTTGAGAATCGACTGCGAGTGTTGCCCCGTTGAGGCCCGGAGACGAGTTTTTGGTGAGGAGAGAAAGGGTTGGTGTTCCGCGTCAGCGTAGATCTCCCTGCGCAGTCACCTGCCCGACGTCATTCTACCACTTCAGACAATGGCTGCCGCTACAACATCATCCAGCATGTCGCCCAAGGATAACGTGAACAAGTCGCTCCCGAGCAAAGTCGAAGGTACGTCTCATCGTCGCATGCCCTCAATCATCGTTGCCACACCCTGCTGCCCTCGCCCCCAACACCTGTGCCTGTCCTCTGCACATCGCCGTTCGTCGTGGTGTCGTCATGGCAGTGACGCTGACCGCGCCTTTCAGAACCAGTGAAGGTGGAAGCCACCGACAAGCAGCGTAAGTTCCTCTCCCGTGCACGCGACTGCTGTCGCCCTCCATAAGCGACGCGCACCATGCTAACGTCTTCCAGCGGCGAACACCCAAGAGACGACCGCCTCAGACGCAAAGCCTGCCACGTCCAATGCGCCCTTGGGCCCTCCACCGAAACCGACTACCACTGGCGATACTCCAGACTACTTCAACACGTACGTGAACCCATACCCACATCCTAGGCCGTCTGCCCGGGCTTGAATCGCCGTCGCGACTTCTCCCTCAAGCTGCTCCGGCGTCTTAGAACCAAGATGCTGTGGGCTCCCAACGGGAATGATGCGCCGCTCGATTCAGAGCCTGTAAACTTCTCCGACTGGTTGATGCATTCCGCTCATCGCTGTTGCCTTTGGACTATTGCTAACATACGAATAGGGTGCACAACGCCTTTAGCGTTGAGCCCAACCCGTTCGAGGCTTCTTTCGGTATGCTCGCTGTGCTCAACATCTTTGTCGAGTCCCACTAACACCTATACAGGAGGCCAATCAGGACCAGCCGAAACCCCCGGAAAGACTGTCTTGCCCCCTGTCGCTAACATAACGTCGCCAGCGCCACTGCCAGGTATTACACCTGGTTGGCAATCACTTCGTGCGGGACCCCTGAGCCCTGCTATGCTATCAGGCCCCACGAGCCAGGCTGATTACTTCAGCGAGTCGTTTAGAGGATTTCCAACGCCTAACGAGTCTTCTCTGAGAACCGGTTTGACGCCTGGTGGGGGCGGGTCTATGTTCCCTGCGCCTAGTCCCAACACCCAAGCTATCTTCAATCTCCAGAGCACAGGCGTTACACCCGGCACGGCTGAATTCCAGCAGTCGGCTCTACGTGCCGCTGCTCAAGCCCAAGCCAATCAGAACAAGGCCATCGGCACCTCGGGTCCCACTTCGCAACCCGATACCGTCACCGCTGGAATGGATCGAAATAACTTCCCTCTGCAACAGCCTCAGCAGCGTCGTGCTCAGAACGACCCCTATGCAAATCACGACGTTAGTAACGCCGCCAATGACCTGCTATCTTTTGCAACTCAGAACGGAGGTGCTCGCAACGGCCAACAGCCCTATTCCATGCCGCCTCAACAGCAGGGTATGCATGCTGGGCATATGCCTGTTCAGCCCGTCAGCCATGATAACAGCCGCCGCAATACAAAGGGCTCTATCAACAGCATGACCGGCTCCGCCGATACTGGAGACTTTTCTGAAAGTGGCCAGAGTGAGGAAGCGAAGACTAATACTCGTTCGCGCGGTAAGAAGGGCGCTGCCAATCAAAAACAGACTGCCGGGACCAAGCGAAAAGCAGACGAACCCAAAGGAAACAGCAGGAAGAAGAGTGTTGCCGCATCTCTAGGTGATGAAGACGAAGACATGCATTCGGACGATGATATGAAGAATGAAGAAATTAATGGCAGGAAGATGACCGACGAGGAGAAGCGCAAGAACTTCCTCGAACGAAACAGGTTAGTCGCAGCTTTATGCCCGACATTAAATATCTTACTGACATGTTAACAGGGTTGCTGCACTCAAGTGTCGTCAACGTAAGAAGCAGTGGCTTGCCAATCTTCAGGCCAAGGTGGAACTGTTCAGTACAGAGAACGATGCTCTCTCGGCTACAGTTACGCAACTGCGTGAGGAGATCGTCAACCTTAAGACCCTTCTTCTTGCACACAAGGACTGCCCCGTCTCCCAGGCCCAAGGCTTACATGGCGCGGCTATGAACAACTTCCTCGGGAGCGACATGAATCACCAAAACCCGTACGGTATTGCCCAATTACAGCCCAATGGGGTGCATATGGGCATGCCTATGCAACCCAACGGCCAGATGATGAACCGGTTCGTATTCCCATCTCAACGTGGACCAGGTGCAGAGGACCAGGAAAATGCATCTTACCCACCCAAGTACTAGGATAATGGCTTACCGAACTTCCAGATAAACGCAATGGGAGTGCGTTGAGTGTGCGTTGAACATGCGACTGCGCCTTGCTGACTGCCCCAATGGCATGTCGACCAACAGCCTTACGGCCACGCTACTCCGGCACTCACGGCAACGATCATCAACCTATCACTTTGTAATCTCCAGCACCTTACCATTTCTCCCCGCTTGGACGTTCCGCCTCTCCCTGGCAATGCATGGTTGGGCGTTCGGAATTCCTTGGCGTACGTAACCTCGTCATCACTTCAAAATATCTCCCTTCGGATGGCATGGCACGCAAAACACGCGATCACGAACTATATACCTACTCGTTTCTTTAAGTAACCTACTCGTCGGTGTACATACAAAGGTGGTAACTGCTGGGCTGGCGTTATGGCGTATATATACACCGGCCATACTGAGCTCATCGGGCGGCCTGGGATCTCTTTTTGATGTTGCAAGCTCCTCGGCACTTGCATTCATTCCTTCGCGGTGTACTGGCTAGCATGCAGGGCTTTTTGTTTACTTGTTTCGGTAGGGCACACTGGGGACGGCGTGAAGCATACGCAGAAGACGTGTGCTTGCGAAGGCGGCTCCAGAGTTAGACAGCTACCTATTCATGTACGTGTACGCGATTGAATGGAATTTATCATGCAAGCTTGGTGGGGCGCCCTTCTTGCTAGCTGTGATTGAGCTTTTATCCGGAAGTTCTGGCCGTACTTCTCCAGGCTGAAAGACATACAGTGTTTCTCAAGATTGAGATTGACGGGCCGTGGATTCTCGGTGCGTATCTTGAGGGAAATCCGTGGGTTTTCACAACCTGAATGGCATCACACTTGGCTCTGGACAAGTCTACTTGGGAAGGTGATCGATGGAATAGAGATATCTGTATAACAAAAACTGTAATGAGGCATGCGGGATGGTCGTGCTTCGCCTGAGTCTAGAGTAGTGGACAAAGAAAAGAAGGGCAAGCCTGCCGTACCATGCCGAACCTCCTGATTAACATCCCGGAAAAGAGGACCCAAAGAGGGCAGGCGATTTAAGCCGGAAGAAGAGTTTCGTTTGCTCTCAGAGCATTGCCGCGCTGCCGTACTGAGTCTCGATATTCTGCGCCTTTGTGGTTGCGGGGTGGGTAAGACAGGACCACGTCGCGCTGCCTTGCGTGGTTATCGGGCGGTGGGTATGCGCAAGTAGGAGAGCTTGAGGATGTTGTGAAGAGAGTCTGTGGATATTGGACTGCGTACTCTCCAGCTGCTCAAGTTGCGGCGGGAGTGTCGGCTTCCTCGTTGCACATCTCCGTCTTGTTTGTTGGGCCGTGGACGGAGACCCGTTCCTGCTTCACATCCTGGCGTTGAGATTTCTCGTGCGATGTCTCGGGCTTGACCGACGCGCTTCTCGAGGCAGTGGAGTGGGCTTGCGGATGGGACGGCTCCCGCTTCGACTTTATGTTGTGCAGCATCGCCACGGTGACGTTGCCTCTCATCTCGAGGTTCATGGTCGGCAGCAGCTGGTTGAGCAGCGCCGTGTCCTCGCTCTCGGCGATCGCATTGGCGACGAGATCCTGCAGCACGAGCGGGGGGTCAGGGGTCCGCAGGGCTATTTTGAAGACTTCGCCGACTACGCGGGGGGAGGAGAGCAGGTCTGTGTCCGAGTGTGCGTCTGGCTCGCGGTCGTGGGATTGCTGGTGTGCGGAGCCTCGCGTGCACACGTCTAGCAGGTCTTTGAGCGTCACGCCCTCGCTTTTCGCTCGACGGAGGATGCGGCTGGTCGCGGAGGTCAGGAGGGCCATGCACTCGGCTGCGAGATGGGTGATGCCTAGTTTGTCGGCTAGAGAGTGGATGGCGTAGAGGTGCGTGACGGATGTGAAGGTAAGGGTGGACTTAGACTTGTAGAGCCACTCAACCAGGACTTCCACCGTTGCAGGATCTTCGGATGGGAGGATGATGCGTTGCTGAGCGGCGGCTTTGACGGCGCTCTTAGAGGCTTCTTCCTTCTCTAAGCCTTTGAGATCATGGAGGTACACGTCCAGGCGCTCGAGTACAGTGTAGACGGCGATGTCTTGGAGGTGGTGGAGGCGACCCTTAATGTCGTTCATGGGATGAAGTCCCTTATCGAGCTTCTTGCCGGGGGGCTTGGTCCAGAGGTCATTCTTGCAGAACACAGAATTCGTTGCTTCAGCGAGTCTCTTTGCAACGCCGGCTTGGTACATTGGAATGGGGAAGTCATTAAGAGCTTCCAGGATGAGCGCCATGGCCTGTGTTTTTCGGTCAGCAGGGCGAACCACTAAGATATGCAAGCATTTGGTGTCTTACCTTCTCCCGACATCTGTCCGTGTGTCTGATGTGTGGCGCATGAAGTTCCAGCAGGGGATACAGGGCCTTCACACGCTTTCGCAGTGCCTTGACACCCACATAGCCCTTGCGTAGTCCTTCAGCTTGGCAGAAGATCTCAATTTGTTTCTGGCTTTCGGCGGAAAGGACGAACAGGGGAATATGGTAGTGCGTTTCAAGGTCGACTCCACACTCGATGGTGATGATTATATTGGGGCTTTGAAGCATACTATGGTAAATTAGTCGGTCTTGTGGTAGTGAGAGATGAATAATACGCACTCGAGCGCGAAGTCTTGCTTGGATTCCTCTTTTGCTTTAGGATAGTCGGAATCGGATGACATCGCTTGGTGATGAGCGTGAACTCCGGCTCCGTGTAGCTGAGGCGCATTGTCCATGTTGTAGCCCTGGGACAGTGGCGTGGACAAGTGCATGTCATTTTCTGCGAAGTGCTTGTCAGTCATGATGTGTTTAGTATCTCATGATGCAGCTCACCGGACTCAGCTTTAGTTGGCACCTCGATACGACGACGTTTCGCGAGCGGTACGGATTCCTTTACAATGGAGGTTAGTACAGTGCCTATTCTCCACGATTGCCTACTACCAACGGACTCACCTCGCTGGTTGTTGATTGAGAAGTCGCGTTGCGCTCGTTGGAGATCATGGTGACGTTACTGGTGAGCAGGGACTTCATGGATCGTTGTCTGTTGGAGGATTGAGGAGGAGACCTCGGGGTGGTGGTTGGAAAAGAAGTACTCTAATCGAGCTGCGCGTTATAGTAAAAGAAACCTAAGCCAGCCCGCGGTAGGCCAAACCCCGCGACGTGAGACAATTTGAAGCGGGGACGGCAGGAAAGAGAAGGCTGTCGACGAGCGCTTAGTTGGGGTTTCAAGGGTGGGTAAGAAAGTGAGAGAGATAGAGAGAGAGAGAGCGAGAGATTAATTGAAAAGAGCAACAGCGAAATAGAGTGGACTAAGTGGCAGAGTGAACGAAGAATCAAGGGTATCTTATAACAGTTTCCGCCTTCCTCTCCCGATGTGGCCAAAGTTCACGAAATGCTTTATGGATGCATGAGCAGAAGCCCCGTGCCAAACTAAGATAGCCCAATAATTGCATTCGGTAAATGCATGTACAGTATCGTGTGGGCGCCTCAACGCTTTGTTCGCATGTGTCGATCGGGTGCGTTTCTCTACTAATGTCAAGAGGTACTTTTTCCACCGCTAGCCTTCGGTGCAGCCGCAGAGGGAGTCTCCTTCTCCTTTTCCCGCTTCTTTTCCCGCCTATGGCTATGCCGCCTCTTCGGTTGGTACACATCGTTGAAATTCATCACCATGGCCAACCAGCGCATGTCATGATCAGGCTGATGTATCAAGTCTCCCAAAAGGATCGTAATCCTTGCGCGGAAATCTTTGATCAAGTGTGCTAGTCGCTTGCGTAGGGCAGGAAGAACGTCGTCTTCACTAGCACCAGCGTCGCCGATCTTGAGCAGAGGCGGTGGAAAGGGAGAACCGGCATCTGAACGTGAGGCGCGTTTGTTTGCAAACGGATCAGGTGAGGATGTGTCTCTGTCGGTCAGACCCCAGTGGCCTGCTGCTGTGCGCGTTTCGACTCTCGCGGCTTGCTCCTGGATCCGAGTAAATTCGGCGACAGAGAATGAATAGAGACCGTCAACGGCATCTTTGTATGCGAGCATCGTCTTCAGGAGCTCATGGAGCTGTCCTGTGAAATCTGTGCTTTGGCTTCCTAATAGACCTTTCCGTGTAATGCTATTCAAGTACTTGGCATGTGCTTCTATCATGTCGTCGAGCGTACTCTCTGGCTTGTGCAAAGCTTCCTGGAGCTCATTCCACGATGCTTCTATGACTTCGAAAAGAATGTAGTATTGCAGCTGATCGATGAAATGGACCATCTCTGCAATACCACAGCGGACCTTTTTCCAGTCTGAACCGACCTTGTCAGATACTGTGCCCAGCACGCCCCGAGCACCGGTCATGCAGCGTCGCCACGTTGAGCCCAAGGCAAACTCGACGCGTTTGACGCGCCACAGGAAGTTGAATACTTTGAGATACTGCTTCGAGCCAAAGGGCGTAACAATTACATCCACAGGCGCGTCTATCTTGTATTCGAGCGTGAAGACGTCCCAGCCGATTTCGCCATGGGAGAGCTCCAGCATGCGAGAATCGAGTCGACGCAATACATCGGGCGAATCAAACTGTGCGTTGGAATTCCGCACGGCGTGCTCCAGTTGTGCCGTTAGTGTATGTCTGTACTGCGTATTCGCGGGACGATCAAGGTTTGCCGACAAGGATTCCATTAGGACTGCGATGAAATCTCCGGCGCCAAGAAGTAGGTATTTCTTTAGCGCTTGTAGATGCTCAAACAATTTGAACTTGTTCGCCATCAAATCGATTAACCGGGCCATTGTAGTCTTGTATGCATCGCCAATTGACTGCTCCAGGTTGGCCGTGTCGCCATAGTGCAGCTCTTTGGATGCCTCCTTTGAATAGGTGTCCACCCACGCTGCATCTCCACAGCCGTAACGAATGAAATTGAGGGTCTTTCCTATCAAGAAGACTTTGTTTGCAAATTCTTGCGTGATGATGGTTGGTATCATGTTGTCGTTTAGCTTGTACTTGTCTTCCCAGACGCTGGTCGCACCTCCCTTGCCTTCGTTGCTGTTGGCTAACGCTGCTTCATTGATCTCCTCTTCGCTCTGCTCGTAAACGAAAAATTCGCCAAATGGGTCTGCAAGCTCGCCGTCGTAGATCCATTGTCGCAACATGTCGTAAAACGGGCGTGTAACATGCGATAGCAGTCGCTCAGCAAATGCTCCAACGTAAGGATCGCCGTGAGAAAGAGAGAATGAGTGTATGAGTGATATGAGAGCGCCGCCCTTCTTTCGTTTGGATTCTTCCACCATCAGGCTCATCAGGCGAAGTCCTTGGGTGGCTTCACGAGTCCATATGACGCAGCGCTTGAGCGTCACACCAGCCTTTCCAATGCCATGATGCGGTTGCGCTTCGTCCAGCTGTGCTAGGGCCCTCCGAATTTGGCCTTCCAAGGTGGCGACGAGGCCTAGATACGACCTCAGCTCTTTCCCTAGTGCCGAGCGGAAACTCTGTCCGACCAGTCCACCTTCGGTCGACTCGACGAATTCTGAAAGCCCGCGATATAGCAGAGAGGGTTCGGCCAGGGTGTGAAGCAGGCTCACGAGAGGCACTGGTAGAGACGGCGGTAGTTTGATGACGGTGGACGACGAGAAGGCGAGATTGGTGGACGATAGGCCCTGCAGCGTGAAGGGCAAGTCTCGCAGAAGCGCAGGCTCAGTTGGGCCTTCTGTCCCGTCTGCTTGCTCCCCGTCGCCAAGGCGCTCTGGTGCCGAGTCTTGTATCCGCCGTTCGCGCTGTCTTTCTGGCCTTTCTGACCTTGCTACCGCGGCCGAACGAACCGCGGCCGCCTTGATCATTTCGTCGGGACCTCCTTCGTTGACAGGTAACTGCGAGAGACCGGGCCGTGCGAAGGCGTCGCGGAACGCTGGGCTGCCACTGGTGGCTTCATGCCGCGGGGGGGTGCCAGGCTCACGGAGACGACCACGGCGCTCGGAGGCTTCGGGTGCTCGCGGTATGCCGGAGAGCTCGTGGAGGAAATAGAGCATGCGCCATTTCTGGTCGAGCACCGGCTGCGACACCAGCCGGGACAGGAGGTTGTTGAAGCGTGCGCTCTTCTGCGCTCCGCCCGCGTCGGACAGCACTGCGCAAAGTTAGCCAACAGCCTGACACGCATGACGCGTCCTCACATCGTCGGTCGATCTGGCTGGCGACGTGGTTGATGTCGGCGACAAGGTGCACGTCGCCCGCCTCGCTGAGCTCCCTGTAGGCGTGGTCGTAGGCGACATCGTAGCGCTCGTTGGCCACCTCCTCGTCCTCGTCGGGAAATTCGGGCACAATGCGGACGAGCAGCTCGTTCAACGCGTGTTCGACGCGTTCCCGGTTGAAGGAGGCCATCACGACGCGTCCATGTCGAGTGTTTCTGCCCATGTTTGGGCTGCCCAGTCACGGGCGCGGGGTACCGACGGAGCGGGCCCGTGCACCAATCGCTCCTGCTGTACTTTCCATGCCGCAGACTGCACTTTGACGCCCCTCCGCCATCTACGTTCTTTGCTAGCATCGTCGGCCGACGGAAACAACACATAGTCGACATTGTCTGCGCAGACTAGCACAAAACCTCGTAGGAGCTGTTTGTTCCTCAGATTGTAGTGACTTGCCCACCGTGAATAACCTCCAGGATGCCTTGGAAGACTCTACCGACGCCGATTTGTACCTCTCGTGCATCGAATCGACTCTTGATCCCGCTCAAGGCGCGATCGTACCTTTGATTTATGCGTTGTCAGCTCCCAGCCAGGTCTGAAGCCACGCGGCGTGGTGGCTTTCGACAAGAGATGTCCAACAGCTACATTAAGAAGAGCCTATGCTCAAGGTGGGTACGTCTGACGAGTTTACTGTTCACGACAGGATCAACATTCACATCATCATTTTCTCACTTCTATCCCTCGCTGGTCTCTATTTGCGTCGTTTTCTCCACTTGCCTGCATGCCATCGATTTCGCTTCAGAGTAACGCGTTTGCTCACGGATAACGCCCAGACAGCCATGGGGAAACAAGGACGGGGCCGAGGACGAGGCCGAGATGGACATACCCAGGATCAGCAAAGGAACAATCAGGATAGAGGCAATTTTCGAGGACAGCCCAGCCGATACAACCCAGGTAGGCAACGGGAAATAAAGCCACATAATAAGCAGCATCCAAATCAGAAGTATACGCGGAATCAAAGGCATCCAAGGTACTAGTACGATCAAAATCAGAATCATTACTCGGGCCGGAATCATCAGTTCGACCAACACGAGGATCATGACCAACGTCGAAACCAAGTGCAGAAGACCATTCAGTGTGGCAGATGTGAGAAAATCGGTCACACCGAAAGCGCCTGCATGGCCAAAGAGATTCTGTCCTACAGCTGCTGCCCCTGTGGATACGTTCCATTACCTGTCTCAATGCCCGCACGAGGCGACCCGTCCACGCGCGACGATGAGAAGGCCCGGAATGAGGGCAAGTTCTGTACGTGGTGCAAAGAGACGCGTGACGGTCGACACACGTTTGACGAATGCCACGAAGCAATTGAGTTCAGGCGGGATCTTCGCCGTATCCAGCGCAATGCCTATGACGCCCTGGAATTCTGTTGAAGTATTCTCGGTAATGTGCGATACGGCGTGGACCAACACTCTCGGCGAGGGGGCGGGCAAAGGGTACTTTGTCCGTGCAGATGGATCTTGGCACCCGAACCAGTGTCATTGTCTCTTGGCTGGTTGGGCAGCGGGGAGCGATTGGGTGGGAGGGTGGATGGACGGGCAATCGAATTGTGTAGAAAGATCATACCAGGCTGGCTGGAAGGATCGAATCATTAGCATGAAAAATATATCCTGATACATTCGCTACCATCTCCTCACACTTCCAATCCTCACCTACGACCCCCTGTACGTCGTATAGCCAAACGGACTCAACAACACCGGCACATGATAATGCTCCCCTTTCCCCCCATCCCTCACCACGAACTTGATCTCGACTTCGGGAAAAAACGTCTTGACCCCCCTCTCCCCAAAATAGCTCTCCGTATCAAACGTCAAGCTATACTTCTGGTCGCCCGCCCTCTTGAAGATGACATCGAGCCCGTCCGCGCTGAAGGGTGATGATGGTGTCCAGGACGTCACGCGGCCGTCGGCGTTGGTGGTCCCGCTGAAGGTGAGGCCGGACGCGGAGAGGGAGGACGGCGGGTTGTGCAGGGTCAGGGTGACGGGGATGGAGGAGGCGGGGCGGCCGAGCGAGGTGTCGAGGACGTGGCAGGTGATTGGGGGTTTCTTTTCGGTGGACATGGTGGGTGGCGAGACGTGGGCGGATACGGCGTCGAGACGTTGCGCTGCTGTGGAGGACGGGGTGGGCATGCGGGTATTGTGAGGCGGTTGGTGTTTGTGTGGAAGCTTTAGGAGGAAATTGGGTGTCTGGGGAGCGCGGACTGGGAAGCTGGGGTTTGTCGCGAGAGGAAAATGTAGTTGTGTGGGCAGCGGTTGGAAGAGTGTACATGTATGTAGCGGTCGGAGGAGCTCAGGGTAGCTACGTCGGCGTGCCCCGCCACACCTGCGGGCCGCGCCGACAACACTTCGCCCGCCGCGCGCACCGCCATCCCAATCTCCTCCACGCGCATTCCACAATGACGAACGGAGACAGGTGCGCGCCCCCGGCCCAGCGCTCGGCCGCCCCCGTGTCCGTCCTCTTCGTCTGTCTCGGCAACATCTGTACGAGCACCGCACCCCACCAGACCACAACGTACGGTCGCTGATCCAAGCAGGCCGCTCCACCATGTCCGAAGGCGTCTTCCAAAGCCTCACACGCCCCCCGCATGCGCAGCCGCATGCCCTCATCCGAGACATCGACTCCTGCGGCACAGGCGCCTACCATGTCGGCGACGGTCCGGACTCGCGCACCATGCAGACCCTCCGCAACAAGGGCATAACGCGCTACACGCACGCGGCGCGCAAGTTCAGGGCTAGCGCAGACTTCGCCAACTTCGACTACATACTCGCCATGGACGACAGCAATCTCGCAGACCTGCTGGAGCTGCGCGCGCGCGAGGTGAAGCGGCGGGGCGGTGAGGAGGAAGGCGTGGGCAGGGTGATGCTGTTTGGGGAGTTTGGGGGGAAGATGAGGAGGGGAGGGAGGGGAGAGGAGGTCCAAGACCCGTATTATGGAGGCAAGGAGGGGTTCGAGGTGGCGTATGAGCAGGCGGTCAGGTTTTCGAGGGCGTTTCTGGAGAGGTTGGAGAACGGGGAGCTGAGTTGAGTCGATTCGCGATTGTGCATGGCATGGGATGGTGAAGCGAGTGAGCGGCTAGCGACGTTGTGATACCCCGGATAGACATGAATGCACGGCGTTGTAGACGGCTTGTATCGCGAGGACTGCATTGGACTCGGTCAACAGACGTGACTCCCTCATGAATCAAAAACCGGCCCCATGGCAGGCACGCCCCTGCACCTGAGCCCATACACCACCCTCCTCGTGGTCTTCTCATTGCTCAGCACAAACACCGCCTCGGCCCGCAACGCGCGAAACAGCGCATATCCCACGCGCACAAGATCCGGCCGCCCCATCGCATCCGTGTCCAGGACCAACGCGCCCGGATCCGCGGCGTACACGGCGGCGACCAGCTCCGCGCCGTAGGTCGCCGCCGGCGAGCGCGTGCTCCAGACCAGCCGGACGAACTGGGCTGCGGGGCGGGCAAGCAGCGAGGAGAGGCAGGGCCCGATGCCGGAGCCCGTGGTGATGAGGAGGACGCGGGGGAAGAGCGTTGTCAGGGAGAGGACGCCGGGGACGGGGGTGGTCTTGACCCAGAGGCGGAGTTCTGGTGCTCGTGGTCCCCCGTTTGTGGGCTGGTGGGTCGGCTGCCCGCTCGTAATGGCTTGGGCGTGGCAGATGAGGGCGCGGGTCCAGTCGCCTGCGTCGGAGACGAGGATGGAGCCTTCCAGATGCGAGTCTTGGGTGCTGGTGGGAGGTGTGGGGAACGTGGCGAATGGGTGCCACTCTTTTAGTGGGTGGGTAGAGATCGAGAGGCAGGAGAATTTGTGGACGGGGCGGACGAAGCGCAGGCGTACAGCGTGGGGTGAAAGCACCGTGGGATGGAAGACCCAGGTGCGGAGCGTGAGCCAGGGGTGTACGACCAGAACGGTGATGCAGGTGAGGTTCCAGGATGTGGGTGTGTGAAGCAGTGTCTCTAGAAATTGACCTGGCGGAGTGGTTTGGTTGACGAAGAGCAGGAGCTGTGTCCAGAAAAGAGAGATGGAGGCCCAGCCTAAGAAGCGATGTGTGATTTCAAAGATGTTGTGGTGCGTTCTCCGGAAGCCTGGCAGGGCAAAGACAATGATCAGTGCCAAAGTCGCCAGGATTGTCCAAGTAGTCATTAGAAGCTGAACGGAATATAGTCCTTGTTTGACCATCTGGGTTGTCAACACAATGCTGTAACCGATCCACCATACCATTCCTACCATGGCAGCTCCACTATGGATCCCTCCATAACAGTAGCATCTCGCGATCCACCTCCTCACTGCGAGCGGTACACGCCATGGAACAATCCAGGCTAACCGGAAAATGCCATTGATGAAAAGATCCTGCCTGACGAGGATAGCGATCAAGATATTAGTTGACGCAGCTGTTGCTAGTGTGTCAAGACTGACGATCGTCTGGTGAAGGATGATGTAGAGGCCTATCAGGTTGAGCAAGACCAGGAACGTGAATAGGCGACGATAGACCGTGAGACATGTGAATCGTAGGTATCGAACAGTAGACCAATACTGTTTCTCGGGTAACGATGCGGAGCCGTCTTCTCCCTTTCGTATAGCATATAGCGAATACGTGCCGTTGCTGTGGTCATATTCCGTATTGACCCAAGACCGTCCGGTCTGCACGAGTGCTTTCTCAAGGTTGTTGGGATCCTGAAAAGCTGAGCTGAGCTCTTTTGAATCGAGATTATGCGGCGATGGGAATTTTGGCAGTGACGATGAGGGCTGCCCAACGGGCGTTGTTAAGGCTCGTGTATAATGCATAGTCACCAACCCCGCTAGTAGGTCGCTTTGAAACTCAGGTAGATAACAGCGAATAGACGAGTTGACGTGCAAAGATGACTACTAGTATTTTTTTTTTAGTAAAGTTCGGGCAAAGAAACATTCGGAAGACCGCACAGAGTAAAGCCGACCATATATAGCCACACTGCGTCGAGACTCGGAATATCATGCTACACGCCGCACTCTCCACGTGGAATGCGGACTTGGAAGACACAACATTAGCTTTACATGCCGTATTGCTAGACATCTCAGGCTAGCCATGTTATTTCCTCATTGGGTCGTTGCAGGACCGATATGACGTGCAGGACCTTCACTTGGCGATGTACGTTCTGTGACTGATGGTTTCGACCTTCCTGAGAACGTTCGAGAGGACCATTTCGCTCGCTCATCGGACAAGGACTATTGATGCTTTCGGAAATAGACGCTTGTTGGCTGTTTCATGTTGGTCGTAGAAGAGCATTCCAGGGAGCTCGCTTGAGTCGTTGTTTTAAATGACCAGAAACGGCAACCCGCTACCAGATCGGGTGGAACGGTCAGGCAGTCAGAGATGAATTGACAAGACGATGTCTTCGAGATGGGTAAATCAGCTAGGAGAATGTAGTACAGATAGCGTGGTCAGTAGTGATCAGCGGCGATGCGGATGCACGCGATAGATCTAGCCGCTATCTCAAGTTTATGGTATGGTGTGTTCTGCAAGGAGGGCTCTTTTGGATCCGTAGTGCCTCAATTTGATGCAGGGATATCAGTTTGTCAAGAGCGAGCAACAGATAATGGTTGCGGTTGACCCGATGTAAGTACTGGTCACGAAGTCCCGGATGCGCAGGCGACATTTTAATTCAGAAACCCCCACCTCCATAACAACCATGTAGGCTGACTATGAGCATACCTCGCAATCAATCCCGATGGTTTTGAGGACCTGGGCGTGTTAATGCGGGTAGCTCGTTTGGTGTAAGACATCTGGAGGCCACGCTCTAAAGGGCTGCTCGACCCGGTAGTCGGAATCTGTGAGGTGTCGTTCCAACGTGGTACATACCAGAAAAGGCCATAAAAAATTTCTAGGGTGGTACAAGCTTCCTAGACATGTTGCTCCAGGCTAGACACGATTCTAGCTTTTCCATTTAGGTCAGAGTGGTCGATTCCCAGGGCGGCCGACTGGGAAGCAGTGTAAGGGCGGTGGGTACAGTGGAGGTCGTGGCGAGATCGTAGATGAAGATGTGCTGGCGGCGGTGGCTCATCAACAAGAATCTGGATGCAATGGGTTACCCTTGGTTAGGCAATACGCATGTCAGTTGTACTGACTTCTGTCAATATTGTAGCACGCTCAAGCGCCGTCATGATCCCGATGCGAGGTATGCAGGTGGTTGCCGTTTCTCAAATCTCTACCCCACGGCAGGACGCTACTGGTAGTCTGCTAGGTCAACTTCCGGCCCGCCCCTTCCCGTACTGTACGTTCTAGTTTCCCCCACTTTCCGTAGCTCGTCAGTCCTCTTCGATCTCTTAGCTCCACAGCGCGTCTACCTCAGTAGTATGTCTTTTCGGGAAAGATACTCCACCCCGCAAACACTGGACTCACATCCGTTAGGTGACTCGGATGCCGCGGGGAGCGTAGCCAATGTGGGACGAGAGTTATCCTCCGATCCCGAGATAATCCTCATTGGGCACAGTCGCTTTCGGATGCATTTATTCACCGCGTCCACTATATTACACAGAACCTCTTGCTTTAGCACAAGCCGCACTCTTTATCTGATTGTACATGTTCTCGGGAAGTTTCATACACAAGAGCCGACACGATGTTCTCTCCCGTGCTGATACTTCTGTTGGCCATCGCTGCATTCTTCCTCAAAGTGCGTCAAACATGACTCGATGATTCACTGATCGCTGATACAAGCCCATAGAGCCTTATTAGAGGCGTGAGATCGCCCTTAGCACATATACCAGGCCCATGGCATACACGGTTCACCAACATCTCCCTTCGCATCGCCACCATCAAGGGCCGTAGAATTCACCATGTTGAGAGCCTCCACCAGAGATATGGACCCATCGTTCGCTTATCACCAACGCAGCTCGATGTCTCTGAGCTGTCCGCCTTTTCCCAGATTCATCGCATTGGCAGCCATTTTCACAAGTCGCCGTGGTATGAGAGTACGCATAGGGGCAGGAAGCCGGGCATCTTTGCCATGCAAGATCCGGGCCAGCATGCGCAAAGACGACGTCTATTTGCCAGAGCGTTTAGCTACACCAGTATATCCACGCATTGGGAGGCTGTTATTCGTGAGAAAGTTTCTCTAGCCGTCCAGCGGATCAGGGAATCCGCCATCGAAGGCGGTAGAGATCAATCTATGGCCACAAATGACATCTCGAGCATGAATCCCAGCCATGGTGCTGATGTCCTGAAGTGGTGGACGTTGATGGCTACAGACGTCATTGCACACCTTTCTTTTGGCGAAAGCTTCCAGATGCTGGAGCTTGGACAGCAGACTGCATACATTGATGCTCTGCAGAGTGCTAACTTGAGCAGTGTACTACGAAGTGAAGCGCCACTTGTATGGCATATTGCATATTGGGTCCCTTTTGGCAAGCTCCACGCTATCACACAGGCGGAAAAGGTGGTCTTGAAATATGGCGCCAGGGCCATCCAGAACATGAGACGAGAAGGTGGAGGAATCAAGAATCTCTTTGGCCAGATGGAGGCAGCGGCCGAAAAGGACGATGGAAGCATCACAGATGACGAGATCGAGACTGAGGCGGGCAATCTGATCGTCGCAGGTAGCGATACAACCGCAGTAACCCTCACATATTTGGTATGGGCGGTCCTGAAGCAGCCTGCTCTGCAGAAGGAGCTTGAGGCTGAGGTCGCGAAGTTGAGCGACGCTCTCCGTCTGGAGGAGCTCATCCAAAACATGCCTCTGTTGAACAGTGTCATGGAAGAGACGCTAAGGTTATATGGTGCTGCACCGGGTGCCTTGCCTAGGTCTGTACCTAAAGAAGGTGCAGTATTTGGAGGCTACCAAATCCCCGGAGGAGTCGAGGTTAGCACGCAGGCATACACCATCCACAGGCATCCAGATCTATGGACTGATCCTTTGAGGTACGCAGTCATTTTTGCAGCCACGAATCTGCTTGCGACTAACCAGATCAGTTTCAACGGCTACCGGTTCTTAGATAAGTCCACCATGACCTCTGCGCAGAAGACCGCAATGCACCCTTTCGGCGCTGGCTCCAGATCCTGCATTGGGCTGCATCTGGCATGGATGGAACTGAGGTTAGGAGCAGCCATGTTCTTTCGAGACTGCCGAGGCGCACGACTTGCACCATGCATGACGGATGAGATGATGGAAGTCGACAACCGCTTTTTGATCTCGCCGAAGGGCCACTGCTGTTTCATTGTACTGTAACATGAAGTTGAATGGAGTACATGTCTACGGGTGGTAGCAAAACAAGTGTTGGAACCTCTACAGTATCTAAATTGGACTACCTTTTTTTCTTTTGGCACTGCTTTCTCTTATCTCCTCATCTCATGTGATTTGGAAGTATGATCAGTGCAATGAACGTCTGCGCAAAGCCACATTGAGAGGACGCTTGTCCTTCAAGGAAATCAGTATGAATATGACCAACATTTTCGGACCACTTACCCAGAGTATGTACGTGTTTTGCTCCCCCCAGTCCCATCTGTCATTTTCGTCTGCCAAACGCATATCGAACGTGAACAGCAGCCTCGCTAAAGTTACACGCAATTCCGCATAAGCAAGCTTCATTCCAATGCAGGCATGTCGACCCATCTGGAACGGCTGCAATGAAGAGAAGTTATCGTCCTCAGACTTCGGACCGAGAAAGCGTTCGGGCAGGAACGAATTCGGGTGGTGAAAGTTGCGCTCCTGGCGGTTTGCCGGGTATTGATTGTAAGCCACGTATGTCTATGATTGTTGTGAGAGATAGACTGAGGAGCATCCATATATACTTACACCTTCTGGCACCCACCGACCGCAGACTGTGTCGCCTCCCTTGGGTACCAATCTTGGAACACCAATGACGGCAGGGGGTGCAATTCGCAAGCTTTCGTTGATGACAGCATTAAGATAAGGCAGACTCCCTGTGGAAGCGATCTTAATCTCGCTCTCGGTCGCAAATGTGGACCGTATCTCCTCTGTTACTCGATGCAGCGCACCACGGTTCTGTAGTAAGTGTCTCGTGATCGCGCATAATGCGCTTGCAGTGGTCTCTGCGCCGGCGAATATGATGATAGTCATATTTATCGCCCATTCTCCTTCTGATAGAACATCTTTGGAGTCGGCATAGTTCTTCGCTGGGGTGACCCAGTCTGGTCGCTCTACTTTTGAAGATAATCTCTTCTTGGCCATAGCTGCACTCATCTCGCGATGCGCAATATGTCGTTGTCGAATGTGCTTCGGAATCACGTAGCGTAAAAGCTTGTCGACAGGTCGGTACAGATTGACCGATGCTATGAGGGATAGGCCTTTGCCGAAGTCCTGCGCGATCTCCACCCAAGGATGCGCTTTCCCAGTTGAGAGGCACCCGAAGGATTCTCCAAAAGAAAGGTCTCCTGAAATGTCAAACATTAAAAAAACAAACCATTGAGATAGATCAACAGTCTTCTTTGTCCATTGCTGCCCTGAACTGCGAGCTCTGAGCTGGCCAATGAATCTATCAATGTAGTTTTCGATGACGGGTGACTGATCCCGTAAACTCTTCTCAGAGAACGAGTTGGCAAACGCTCGTTTTTGTCGAGCATGTGCCTCTTCGCTGTATCCCATCATTGAGTGTGGCTCATCAGGAGACATCTTCCTAAACCAGGTGCGATTGCGCTCGAATGGCTGGTGGCCAGGACGATTACCGTAGATGTCTTTCCATGCGGCAGCATCGGCATAGGAAAGTTCATTGGGTGCGATGCGAACGATAGGTCCATACTTGTCATGGAATACCTTCAGTCGCCGGTGCATGTCACCGCTGTGTACCGCGACGACATAGGGAAAGCGGAAAGCTCCCCAGAGCAGTGGTCCTGGATATTGTCGGAGAGGATGAATGAAAGCATTATAGATGCCGTATAAGATTCCCAACTAACGCGTTCAGTGATGACGGTTTGATTGCCTCCAGCTGCACTTACTGTTAACAGAGATAACAAGGTGACCCCGCCTAAGACAATCCCTTGCGATACCACTTCCCACCTCGAAAAAGCGTCCGAGATGACCTTGCTCATATTTGTGGGAACATCCGAAAGTACCGCCGATGACAGGAATAGCTCAAGGCATTATTGTTGTTGACAGCGTGGTACGACAGAGGGTCCCCCAACCCGAGGTTGGCCGTTGTTGCCCCTCAGTGATCTGCTGGCCTTGGAATTTAGCGCAAATGTGAGTTCCACGTTCACCCCCCTCTTCTCTTCGTTTCTCCCCTAGACAGACGCGGACCGCACAAGTTGAAACGTCTTCATGTCAGAGAGCCGTGCATGACCACGCTTCTGGATCGCTCCCTAGGAAAAAGAACAGAACGCAAGCACAGGCTAGACTAAGAATTGAGAGCACGACTCAGTCGCAAGCAAACAGGTGGAGTCTACGAAACGTTTGCCTCCTGCTTTAATGGTACATCTCGTCGGGCCGCCACGGCGGGTTGCCGTCGTCGCCGGGCAGGGGTCACATGAACTCGAGACAGTAGTGCAGCTCACCGAGGTGTCGCGAGTGCGCATTCGGCCGGCTAGGGGCCGTCTCAATAGACCTGGAGTCGAAGTGAACCCAAAGCATCCTTTCAAAGTCCAACATACGGGGTGCATCTATGATTCTGGTTCCTGTATCAGATGCTGCCGTCACGACCCTGAAACTACTCGCTTAAGTTTTGACACAAGCTTGAACCCTCCTCCACTGGTTCAAGTTTCGAAACACCCCGCGTGCCGTCGCCGCGATATCAAAACGAAACTTGGACTGAATATTGAGAACGGCTGTCCTAGGCGCAAGGCCCGCCATGTCTGCGCTATACACGATGAGTAGTGCGGCCGGGGCGTTTTCAATATCCACTAAATCCCTCGAAATGGCAGGCGATAGCGCTTGGGCTCATTTCCTCAGGCCATACATGCAGCCCGCGAAAAGGCTAATGGTTCCTTCTTCGACTACCTCCATTCAATATTAGCTACGGAACGCACTGGTCCGACATCACGTTTGTGCATGCATTATGAGACAACCAACTCGTCGGATTCTGCAATCAACACGAGCAATCTCATCGGTCTGCGTCTGCCAGATTCCAGGTTGTCGTCAGTAAATGAGAGCTCAGACGGCATCATCTCTCAGGTGCTGCAACAAGAGTGGAGAATCCACCGAAGGATGCAAGCCATCATGTCCGTTAATATCGAATATGCAGAGCTAATTAGCTTACATTCTGGCTCAAAGCGGGGCATTTGCCATAGCGCTGCGCTTGTAACCAGGTCATTTGCTGGCTATTTCCGACCCCCGCTGACCGCAAATTGGTCCACGTTGGTGTCGGTTAACGGCATGCACGGGCGGGTGAATGAACCCCGGGCCATTTTGAGCTGTTCTTTTTCTCCGTCCTTAGAAGTCCTTTCACCAAACAGGCATCGTTTGAGATTTCGACCGCACCGCAGGGTCAATGGTGAAACTCTCAAAAAGTCCAAACATACAGTTTCCATGCAGGATGCACAGTGATATTGGTGCTCGAACTGCGTACGGGGCTCATAGTTCAGATCAGGCTGGTATTGTCATTCCGCGCGAGGAAACCCTTACCGCAACGGTGCTGCAGAGATGCGGCTCAGATCGCACTCTGGTAGAGCGCTGGCGCTTCACCATGTCCCCAGTTTAACCATGCCTCCGATCCTGTAGACTCAACCTATCAGGTAGGGCCTCGAGCACAAGCATTTTGCCGCTACGTCCGGTTCAAGAACTTAGCGCGAGACCATCCGCTGGCCCCCGGGGTTCTAATTCCATCCCAGGTCTCACCAGTCTAACCATGCAGGTCGCTTCAAGGATGAGGGTCGCGGCCTGCATGCACGGCGTGCAGGAAGGTGCATGGACTAGGATGTCTGGTCTACTCCGTGGCCACCTACCTACTTTTCGGGAAACGGTGCAGACTACCGGGAGGAAAGGTTATAAGGAAGGCAATCTCTACATCCAGAAGCACTCGTACAGGGACACCACTCTTCTAGCTTCGCCCTCGGAGGTTCCAATCGCGGCAAACATCATCTTGTCTTACGCTTCGTTGCTTTGAATACACTATACTCGTACTTTGTCTTTGCTCACGTCAACTACTATTCCTGTGGCATCTCACTCTTACTGGACGACCTAAGCCTCATCACCCTAAAGGAGATACCGAGGAATTCTACGACTTCAAGAGCTTCCGCAGCCACCTTCGTCTCCGAAACGACAGCGCACTCCTCCCCGTTACGATGTTGTTCCCAACCTTTTCCACCGCTGTCATGGCTTTCGCTGCCTTCACATCCACAGTCGATGCATTGCCCCCGCGACCAGGGACCACCACCCTCAGCAATCTCGCGAAGAAGATGCCTACCAACACTCTTCCAGCACCCACAGGACTAGAACTCAAATACGTTCTGCTCGGCGTCGGCACGCAGAACTATACCTGCTTGACCAACAACGCCACAGCTGCGCCTGACACAACCGGAGCAACTGGTAAGCCCACCCATATCTCCCAGGCATAGCATCATTCTAACAGACCACAGCAAAGCTCTACGATCTCGGGACCAGACTAAACAGCGACCCCCTCGCGCAGTGGAAGATCCCCGCGATCTCAGGCCTCGCCCTCTCCCTCTCCGCGTTTGGCACCTGGCAGCTTGACATGTACCTCATGGCCGAAGGCTACAACCAATGGCTGGGCAACCACTTTTTCACGCTGAAGGTCCCGACGTTCTCCCTCTACAAGACCAAGAGCACGCCACACCCCCTGGCCATGGTGTCGAAGCAGGCTGACCAGGACGCGCCGAAGACCGCTTGCCAGGGAACCAAAGGCGAGGGCGCTGTCAAGTGGCTCTACCTCGTCGATCAGTCGGTGCCAGAACTGTCGCAGGGAGGCGTCAACACGGTGTACCGGCTCGAGACTGCGGGCGGCAACAAGCCGGCGACGTGCCAGGGCCAGAAGCAATACTTCGAAGTTCCCTACGCGGCACAATACTGGGTGTACGGCCCGAAGGCATAAGCGCTGGATGTCTGTTGGTATCGTCGTCCACGTCCGCCATTCATAACGACTTACGCGATCCAACTGCACACGCTCGCTCACTTACTCACGACCGCTCCGCTTTCGCGGCTTGCTCGTCCGGTTCCGCTCCGCTGTTTCTGCATTACGATACCCTGTATATATTCCTTTCTTACTCTCGCTCGAGATGCGCCTTGATTTCTTGCCAAGCATAGCCGGCTCCACGTCCGTACAAACGCGGCGTTCTGGGCCTTGTTGGGTGGCTGTCTCATTGATTTTGGGGGATCCAAAATAGACCTACATACCCTAATAATTTACAGTATCCAAACCATTATTTGTTTCTATGCCCATGCCATGTCCGTTTCTCGTAATGCTCCTCGTATTGCAACGCAGTGAAGCGCCCGGTTGCCCTTCCTACTACAACAGCCAACCATCAGACACCCGGACAACAACAGCTCCTCACATGCAGACTTCCTGCACCACGACGAACAGTCCTCGTCGCAACCGAAAGGTCCACGCAACTAGTCAAAAGTCAGTCAGCATCGAGCACCTTCACGCCCCCAATTCTGCAGACATGACCCGCATCCCATCCTGCAGCCAAGCACCGTAGCCGCTGACTCCCCATCGACCAGCACAACGCGTCCCCGGCCCAAGAGTTCCAAAAGTGGCAGCCTCGCCCACGCTCCGGCGCGCCCGTAACGGTATCTCTTACCCGGGGAGTCGCAAATGACCTACGCGCCCTCGCATGCTCGTCGCGCTCCCCAGATCGGTCAACGACATGGATGGGTACGCATGGTACGCAATATCGATCAATATCGGTTCCGTTCTGCCCGCCATCCCAGCCTCCCTGTCCGCCACCCGCCATCGCAAAAGCACCACAGCGCCCAGCCTGCCCGGCGCGATCCATCCAATCATCGCCTTCCCTCATGAGCGACCCTTGTCGATGCATGTCCGCGATACGCCCAATAGCAGCGTCAATCAAGGATACAGAGATGGCGACAACGGGTGTACCGGGCGCGCCCGCTTTTGGTACCCAATAGCGGGACTGAGGGTGTGTGGGCGGTTGAGCGCTTGTGTGTGAGGGGAGCGGGTGCTCGAGGTGTGTCGCGTGCGTGGTGGAGAGTGGCTGGGCGGAGCGGGGTGGCTGCAAGGGAGGAGGCGTTTGAGGGACAATGGAGCACTGTCTGCTCGTGGCACGGGCGTTCTCGCGTGGGGATATAGCAGGCGTGCCTTTGATGTGCATATTCACGATCCAAAGCTCGATGCAGCCAGGTAAGAATTACAGCTCCCCACGGGCGCCGCAAATAGGTTGAGATGGATTTCTTTATGTTGGAATTAGTTTCACTACGCTCACTCTATAGGATCTATAAAACGCATCGTAGTCGTACCTCGCACTGACGATACGCTGGCTACTCCCCGGAGAGCTGTAGGATAAGCGTGCTGGCGACATCCAAGAACGGGAACGGACTCGTGCACCGCTTCTCACCCTCCTTGCGTCCCGCGCCCTTCTCGATGACCCTCTCTCTCAAAACACCGCCCTGCTCCCGCACCTCGCGCGCTACTTCCTCCGTCAGCGCACCGTCGTTTAGCTGTCGCCACACACCCTTCTCATCATCCCAGCCGTCGTCGTGACCCGCTGTGTTGTTCGCTAGTTGGGATAGTGAAAGCACGGATGCGTTGCCCTTGATCTCGTGCACGAGATTGGACACGAGACGTTCATAGCCTGCGCACTTGAAATCTACGACGAAGAAATCACGCTCTATGCTATAGAGCTGGATCGACATGTAGATGAAGACTGCCTCATCGGGGCCGGAGTGGCGTGTGCTCCCAGCAACTGAATCGCCGGCTTGGGAGCCGCTGGCGTCTGGTAGTGAGGTGATGCCATCGACATGGTTGAGTGACGAATGTGACGTGTTTGTTGAGGAGCGGCGGCGAAGCGCCGCGGGATCCTGCTGCAGATCTACCCGTGAAGAATGCGTCGAGGAAGGGTGCACAACACCAGGCGGGTACATGCCGTCCTTGCGGAAGCGCGCATTGATGACCCAGGGGTCTTCGGGGATACCGTATCCCCAGTCATTGGCAACACTGTAGTGCTTCCTCTGTCGTCCCCTTGATTGCTCTTCATTGTGAACCCTGAGATTTCGCCGACCGGGGGATACATCCGGGTCTTGCTCGCGATCCGACATCTCGTACTCATCCTGCGACGATGACGATATAGAAGATCCACGTGAGCGGCTATGGGAATTCTGTCTTGAGTGAGAGCCAGAATGCCGTGAGCCACTTCGGCTGCGGGACTGGCTGCTACCACCGGGTTTCCTGGTTTGGGGTACCTCCCAGTCCGCGCCCATCGCCTTAAGAGCTTTGAAGATAGCCAGCATAGCCTCGGCAGGTTGGTTTCGAGACCGTATGCCAAACTGCCATTTCACGGGCTTCGGCTTCTTCGAGGGCAGCGCCGTCATAGGCTCAGGGCGTGGCCTGTTGTTATCAGGAACAGCTCTGAAATTGGGTCGTAGACGCCGGGCTTGCGCAGCTCGCTCTTCTTCCGATTGCAAAGGATGTGGTGCGGTAGGTATGTCTAGTGGGTATGTAGGCGGTTTCGGATGGCCTTTCATATATGCCTTGTGATATTCTGGGAGACTGCTTGGCAACACCGCAATGGTACTGACCGGGGAACGGATACTCGTAATCTGGCTGCTTGAAGTGGACCCTTGCCGGGGACGTTCAGAGTCAGCCGGGGGTGGTATGACCTGCGGTCTAGTGCTGCTCATGGCTTGCGGAATTGAATGCATGTAATCCTGTTGGCTGGGAGGCGACTGGGCAAGGAAAGGCTGAAGGCTCCTGTCTCCAGCGACCAACGCTAATTAGACCATCAGCATATTGTTCAAGATAACCTCGCCATGGATGGGTTGTAGGGCATAATGTGTGGCGTGCCGTGGTCAGAAACCTGTGGAACAGAGCGCCCCAACGACTTTCGAATAGAAGAAACCAACTAGATAGGGAGGTGTTACTCACGATTTTCCTTCATCATCTGGTTCTCGCGAACAATTAAGTAGGCATCCTTGATGGCGCTCGGCTCATCGCGGGCCAGCGCCTCTTGAACATCGTGCTTCGCGTAACCCATCGTCTTCCCCAGCTTGCCGACAACCGTCTCGTGGAGCTTCTGCACAACGACCTCAGGCTGCGACGGAGCCAGACTTCTCGGATCAATGGCCTTGTTCGGATCAACGCCAGTATCGTAAAAGTCCTCTGGCGGCAGTGAGAGATATGCTGGAAGGTCTTTGGTGAACCACGGATCTTGGCGAATCTCGGCCACTGTGATGCGGTGGACGGGATTTACCATAAGCATCTTCTTGATTAGATTCACTGCGCCTGGCGACAGGTAGCTCGGGATGCTGTAATTTCCGGCGGCGATCTTCTTGAACAGTGTTGGGATATACTCGTCGTCGAATGGCAGCCGACCCACAAGCAAAACGTAGAGGATGACACCGCAGCTCCAGACATCAACCTCCGGCCCCGCATAGAGCTTGCCAGAGATGACTTCGGGCGCGGCATAGTTGGGGCTTCCGCAACTCGTCTTCAAAAAGTTTCCGTCTGTCATGATATTGCTCAGGCCAAAATCGGCAATCTTGACGTTGTAGTGCTCGTCGAGCAGAAGATTCTCGGGCTTCAGATCTCGATGCACAATCTTGTGCCGGTGGCAGTATTCGACAGCACACACTATCTGCTGGAAGAACTTGCGGGCCTGGGCCTCGGGTAGGCGTCCGTTATTCACTATGTAATCGAACAGCTCTCCGCCGGCATACTCCAGGACCATGATGATTTCGGTGGGTGTAGTAATGACGGTGTATCTGGGGAGAATCAGCATTGGCGCGTGGCCAGGCTGGGCTTGACTCACAGCTTGATGATGTGCGGATGGCGCAACAGCTGCAGATACTGGATCTCGCGCTCGATGCGGCCGGCCATATCCCTCGTCACCAGTCTCTTCCGGTTGATGATCTTCAGCGCGACCTTCTGGCCGCTGACCTGATGGGTGGCCAGCTTGACCTTGCCGAAGGAGCCCTCGCCGAGGGTCTTGACAATGGTATACTGGCCGAGGCGCTGGCTCGTCTTCGAATCGGCCTTGATCTTGGTCTCGTGCGCAGCTGTCGTCGCCGCTACCGGCGTGGGCGTGTCGGGCGGCCGGGTCGAGGTTCGCCGCGGGGCAGGCATGGAGATGGCGAGCTCCTCCAGATCTTCATTGTCAATGGCGGCCGACATGGCTGAGCGTCGGGATCAGTGTGGTGAGTGTCGTGCAGCTACGGAAGCTCTGAGCCTGCGTCAGTCAAGCCGTCGACGGGCTATGGGCTCCAGCAGGCCGTCACAACCCCGCTACCGAAGCGCTGGCGCAGGCACCATGGACTGACAGAGAATTCTTCGGCTGTGCTTGCGAGCTGCGTGCACTATGTGCGTTTCCTGCTAGCCGAATCAGTGGAACGAGGTCAGGCACGGCGGGGAAAAGCTGGGGGGCGCGGCAATCGTGGAGGCGTGGTGGACGGCGCGGAAGTGGGGCGGACGACTCTTCGACGTCGCGCACAGACCCGTTCGCGCCTAACACCGCAACTGCCTGTCCTTGCAGGGACGATTGTGGACCTTTTACACCACCCCTAACGTGTGCTTTCCGTTTGATGTTGGATGCTTGCATGGAATTTATCTTGCTAGACTACCATAGGAAGCCCACCCAGAAGAATCTCGCAGCTGACATGATACATTGCTCTGTAAAATCAACCACTTTGGAGAATGATGGCATGATCAATAACACCATGGCGCATATACCATCATGTGCGGAATCCAGTTGAAGACTGCCTTCCCCTTTTGGGGCTTTGAATTCAAGGTTAGTGGTCTGACCCGTGGCCGTGCCTCCGAGCCCATGTCGAGCGACAGTATTACCCCGTCGTGACATCTACCAAGCAGCGCCGCCACCGCTGCCCCAGGAATCCTCACCTTCAGCAGCTGCAGGAGCGTCGCCCGAGGCACCACCATCACCCCAGTCACCACCGCCCCCAACAGCACCGCCATCTCCCACGGCATCGCCTTCCGTGATGGGCTCTTTGCAGCGCTGAGATAGTCAGCAAAAGCATCGCAATATGGAGGAGAGCGCTCACCTTGATGGTATGTCCCATCTCGTCACAGTTGGAGCACTTGACCTTAGACCAATCCTTCGGCTCAGGACATTCGCGAGAGAAGTGGCCCTGCTTCTCGCAGTTGCGGCAAGTCACCAGGTCAGGGTTGCGCGGCTGGTCACATTCCTTGGCGATGTGGTCTTCAGAACCGCAGTTGCGGCAAGTTCGAGGAGGACGAGCTTCGACGTTTGGGCACTTCAAAGAACATCAGTCGCTGATTTTTCCACTCGTAGAAATTGAACAAACTTACGTCTCGCGAGAAATGGCCGGTCTCGTTGCACTTGTGGCACTCGACGCCCTCGGCTGAACGAGGCTCTGGGCAATCGGCTGCTTTGTGACCCTCCTGTTTGCAGTTCTTGCAGGCATAGGGGTTGACGCGCTCCTTGGGACAGTCGCGCGCACGATGACCTTCCTCCTGACAGTAGACGCAGGTGACAATCGGAGTCATCTTCTCGCGTTCCACAACCTCCTGTTTGCAATGCTTCTTGATGTGGCCGAGCTCGTTACAATTGGAGCACAGAGGTACACCGCGATCTTGAACAAAACCCGCGGACCTGAGCCGCTCCATATTCTCGGCAGCATCCGCAGGCCAACCTTGTGCCAGCTTAGCACGGCGAGGCTTCGCAGAGAGCTGGATTGTGAGAACATACTCTCGGTCGGGATTGCCAATAAGGTCCACGATGGTCATATGCGGGGCAACTTCTTGCCTGAGAGCGATCAGGAAGACGTTGAGATCTGAATCACGAAGAGCCTGTTCAACCTCGGACGCAATGAAAGCGCCATCGATGGCACGAGCGTATGCACGCAGGGCGATACGGAAAACGTCGAGGTCCTTCTCCTCCGATGCATCGACAAGCTTCGTCCAGGCTTCCTCGGCATCCAGCTCAGGAAGACCTGTCCAGTCGACCTTACGGCGAGACGTGCACTCGAGCGCCTTGTGACCTGCCTCACCGCAGAGTTTGCAAGTGGCGCTGGGGCAGTTGCGGGCACTGTGACCTTCAACGCCGCACAGGTTGCAGGTGCCGGTGAACGGACGCTCGACCTTAGGATTGGAGCAGTCGGCCTTGTTGTGACTACACATGAGTTATAAACCATGGCTCAATGCCAATAGAATCGTGCTCACTCACCCAACTTCGCCGCAATTGTAGCACTCTCCCGTCAGACCGCCGCCCTCAGGCTTTTGAGGACACTCGCGGGCGAAGTGGCCGACTTCATTGCAGCTACGGTACGTTAGTACAAATACTAGTAAAGAGCACAAACGGAGAACCTACATTCGGCAGGCCCTATCGCCCGCATCGCCACCACCGGCATCGCCGGAGCCACCGTCACCAGCGCCCCAGGAATCGGCGCCAGCATTGGCAATCGCAGTGTCGCCACCGCTAGAGCCCCAGTTGTCCGCACCTGCAGCAAAGTCAGCGGGAGTGTATCTGTCAAGGGGAGATTCATACCATCAGTTCCCCAGCCAGACATTATAGTTGAATCGAGTCGGAGTTGTGGAAAACTTGGGAAAGTTATTCTCGAGGTCGTGGGTACAGGTTGTGGACGTCGTAGCGAACGAGCAATAGTTGTCGAGGGCAAAGAGAAGGCGACCGCCGTCGTATAAATCGCGTCGTTCGGCGGCTGAGTAAGTCCGCGCGGTGAGAGCAGAGGCAGGAACGGGCCGCCAGGTGAAGCAAGCACCGTTGCCGTGGAAGGTGCGAGAACCGCGCGCGGTGAGAGGCAGCTTTTGCTAAGACTTTCCCGGGCTCTGCCAATGGTGAGTCTAACGGTGTAGTGAAGTGTGGGCAGACAGATCATGACCTTCACGAAACGTGAACTATCTCCCAAAGCCACTCGGTACGTGTGCCGCAGGAAAGCGAGCCGACCAGTCAATCGCTACAGCATCGGCGAGTCGAGCTTCTCAAGGATCATCTCAGGCAGCAGATAGGATAGGCAAACGAGTAAAAAAGGCGATCAGGATGCTGTCACGCATTGCATGTAGAGGGAAGAATGAGGCATTAGGATGGCAAAATACCATATGTTTCTGTGGCGAACAAGTGAACGGGAAACTGCAACGACATCGAAGAATTATGCAGAAGAAGCAAAGCGAAAGAACGCACTTCATTGGTATTGGTATCAAAAGCATGCACGCTAGTCATCATACCCCAACAGGCGTATCCAAGACATCAATCGACGCCATAATGAAAACGACATGATACACAGACCTGTGCAGACTGGAGACCAGTCCAGCAAAGTATCCAAACAGCTACTGAGACATCCAGGAAGGACTGTGAAGCCCCAGCGTAAGACACCTCTATTTTACACACCGCGGAACTGTTCAACGTTAGCCCATGTCCCAGAACAACTAGGAGAAAACTCACCATCCTCACAACCAAGAACCACATCGCCCCGATGAACCTAAAAAGAGACAGACCTGCCACGCTCCACAGCACGACCGCGAGATAGATTGTTGCTGCTTGGGTCTTCTTCTGTGCCGCCTCATTCGCATCACTGATCGTAACCTCCAGTCCACCCGTCTGCAGCACGGCCGCACAAAGTGCCAGATTGCAAAACATCCAGAACAGAACAACACCTGAACGGAAGCCTTTGTAGTAGTCTTCCTGCTTGTCCGAGTCCGACACGCTCTTTTCCGGCTCTTTGTACTTTGTGGAGAAAGTCTGGATCTCCGATTCGTACTGGGTATTGAGATCGGCGTCATCGGTAGGGGCGTGAATCTCGGCTTTTCCATCTGCTTTCGTTGTGACGGAGGGCAGCTTCTCGGCCTTGGTGTCACCCTTGGTACCCCAGGTAATGTCGTGCGTATTGCAGAAGGCGTAAACGTTGAGGATGTTGATATAGGTCGGCGTCATGAGAAGGTATTGGATGAAACACGTAAACATGTGCCATGGGTCAAGGAAGAGGATCGAGACGATAAACCACATGAGGTACGTCGAAGCAAGCGATACCACCAAGGTAAAGAATATTTTGTCTGCAAAGATGTCGGCGACATTGAACCCATTGTTGTTGGATATTTGCTTTTGGACCGACTTGACGGTGATGAATATCGAGGCGAACATGAGATAGGCCATGATGATCGCCCAGAAGTACACCATGCTCATATACCATCGATTTGATCCTTGTGGTCGGTTGCCGAGGGCAAGGATGAAACAAGTAATCAGAACACCAATGTATAACCATTCAAAGACGATGAAGAGGACCTTTCCAGCTGTTCCGATTTCTGAGGAAAGTGACTTGGTCAGAATGGCGAAAACCAGGAAGAAGTTACCGAGAGCGAACCAGGCGAAGAGCATGTTGATAGTTTGGTACAAGAATTCCACGAGGAACATCATCTTTCGAAGGAACGAGTGATCGCTGCGGAAGATGTCGAAAGAGTGGGCCAGGGCGTATACAGCGGCGAAGAAAGAACCGTTCAGCCATCGTCTTCGCTGCAGAATAAAGTCGGCCATCTCAACCGGGACGTCAGTTTCGCCGTTGGCAGATTTCACGTACTGAAGAATCCAATGGCAGTTCCTCTTGGAGACGAGTTCAAAGCAGAGAATTCGATCCTCAGCAAGATACATGTTGGCCGTGAACACACCAGCGTCCGTACCGTGCATTTTTTCACCAAGGAAATATTTCTCCAAGGGTCCGGTGCCAGTCTTGTCATTCTGCAGAGCCACGTAGCGGTACGCAGAGAAAGCGCCCGGAAGCACAGAAATGAATCCGAATGCGGATTCCAGCGGTTTGTCCAGGATATTGCTCATCTTGTACTCGAAATTTTGCGTCGCAACAAGCGGGTTCAGTAGCTTCTTTCCGTGGACCAACATAGCTTTGATCTCACCGCAAGCGCCGGCGCACATGGGCTCCAGGTCGAACGCTTTCCATAGGTGGTAAATAGAGTCTTTGCCAGGTTTCGTTCCAGCATCCAGAAGCACGCAAATGTTCGGATCTAGCACCGCTCCAAATGCTTGGAAGAACCATCTGTGCGAATTGATCTTCTTCTGGTTCTTCTCTTTCAGACAAAAAAGCATCTGCACAGGTGTGTTTCCCTTTTTAACACCAACCACACCCTTTTTAATGTCGAGGGTCATTTGGGTAGTATACTATGAATACGTCAGCTCCGCGTAGAGGTAGCTCAAGTGTCATAGCTACCTCGTAGATATGTGCAGTCACGTCTTTGCCGTTGACTTGCTGCTTGGCAATGCCATCCTGATAGACACCGAGCGCTGCTAGGACGGCCCGCGTTCTTGGGTTGATCTTAGCACGTCCGTCGCTGACGACACACACCACAATCTTCTTCCAGGCGTCCTTGCCCCACGTCTTACTGTTTGTCCGCGAGTTCATGTACTCGATATTCTTGATGACACCGATCATGGTCCGCGCAAACAGTTCGTCTTCCTCGTTGTACATGGTAATAACGATGAACAATTCAGTGTGCCTCGGCTTTGCGAAGAGCTTCTGCCGCAGTGTAAAGCGCTCCTCGTCGAAATGAGAAGGGTCGCACGTGGCGGCTGAGTAGCGCATGTGCGTGAACTCATCGCGCTCTGGAGGCTGTGCATGCTGGACCTGGTTGAGTAGCCGTGGCGGAATTGGGCAGTCAAGCACCAGGTTTCCTTTGAACAGCTGGACCTCCTTCACCGTCTTCCATCGCTTTATAGGCGCAGGGCTCGGAGTGGGCTGCGGCTCGTCGTGGAACGGGTTCTCGGCTTGCAGGTGGCTGTCGTCGCCCGGGTGGTATTCATCGTGGTCAAGTGGGTCATGCGGATCTGGCCCGTACGAGTTCGCACCGCCTATCATAGGCCGCCTGTCATCGTCTTGCCAGTAGTGGTCGGGCTGTGAGCCATATGGATGCGGGCTCTCGTCGTGTGGTGAGGGATCGTACGGCGGGTTGTAGTACGCATCGTGATGCGCCTGGGGATCAAGCGAGTAATTGCTGTCCTGACGATGCGGCTGCGGATGCGATGTGTAATCGTCGTGGTAGTCGGTCGCTCCGTACGGTATGTTCTCCACCGAATACTGCGCGTAGTCAGTTCCAGGTCCCTTGAACTCATCCCATAGACACATACACTCGGCTGTATTTGGAGCCTGTCGCCTGGCGTGCCGGGACCAGGCCCAGGTCCCATGGGAATCTCTAGCGGGCCGGCTTGCGAATGTGAATAGTCGTCAAGCTGGTAGTTCTGCAGCGGGTGCCCTGGCGAGGGCGTGCGACCTGGCCGTCGCGGATCCATGCTTTCGTCTAGGTGGTGAGCAGTTAGCGACCGTGACAGCGTCCTCCGCGCGATAGCGATAGTTAAGGTTGTTGAGCAGGCGAATGCAGCGCTGCACTGGCGACGACGTCAAATGGCAGGGTGGCTGTCTAGCTATAGGGCAGGAATGATAAGACCAAGCGAGGGAGGCGCGGACAGGGCCACGCGGCATCCGCAGCACTATAAGCCTTCTTGGGGCTCAAAGAGACGTACCAAGGCGATTGTAATGAGCCATTGCCGAGGGAGGGATGCCTGTCTGTACTGCTGCGTCCTCGAACTTCAAACGTCCCGGACAGCAGCGGGAGAATGTGATGCGATGTCTTGGGAAGGCTGCTTGTTTACCTGCGACTGCCAAAACCACTGGCACCCGGGGGATGCTCGACGATGCGGCTAAGCGCGTTCGTTTCAGGCGGGTTTTGTGGAGACAGGGCTGCTGACGTAGTGCGACTGTTACCCAGCAACGGCGGAGCACAGCGCAGCGCAACGCAATGACGGGGAGTAGATGAAGCTCGAAAGTGGATTCTTGTGAGAAGCCTGCTCGGTATGAGTGCTCTTTGATCTGTATTCTTTGCACCGGTCAGCCGCCGCTACACCTGCATGCTCAGCTGCTCAGCTGAAACCTGTACCATTGCTAGCTTTCCTTCCAAGGTTGCGCCACACGGCATGCACCGCCGCAACCTCTCCGCTTTCTAAATATACATCTTTCGCCGCCCTGCATTGTGCACGCCACGCCGTGACTACTTTTCGAGTGGGAGTGGGTACAATGGCAATTCCCGTACTTGCCACTTGATCATTGCCCTCTTCTCAAGATTAGAATTGCTAATTTTTCTTTTGCCACAAGTCGACAACTCCCTCCTGGCCGAGCGAAGGATACAATGGCCAATGATAGCGAATGCAATACTTTTAGCGGGGTCCTACATTGGAATATTCCGGATAGATCATCAGCTAACAGTTTCATAGGCCTGTGTATGGTGAATTACTGCAGCATCAGGTGGACGTCCGATGGTTACCTTCCTATGTAATTTCCATGTTACTGGTAGACACTGTGCGTCATGCCTTCAATCACTCCAGATCGCAGTGCAAATCCTTTTCACGCAAACATTGCACGGATGTACCTTGAAAAGACCAGGTGGATATCCGCAGCCCACATGAACTTGTTGGTGTACTGTTCGAACTAACCTGTCCTTGTTCCTGGACTCAGGACATCTGTGGATGCACTTACTTCGAATGTGCAAGAAACGAAAGACGGAACGGTAGCTTCGGTTGCGAGAGCATTGAGATCACGCTTGCATGGTTAATATATGGAAGACTATAGTGACACTATACGGAGAAACGTTTTGGTGGTATCATTTGCGTGCTGAGCGACAATGCCAACACTGGTGCCTAGCCTGTCATGGTATGCAATACAAACAGGTCAAGACACAAGCCTATCAAGATTGCGCTGCCGCCTTCGCCGCCTCCTTCTCCTTCTTCTTGCGCTCAGTCTCCTGCGCCTTCAATAGCTTCTTAAGCTGGTTCTTCGTCATGGGCTTGCCGTCCTCGCCCAACTGTGCACCACCCTCCACTGCCTCCTCCTTTACTTCTTTCTTCTCAACCCTTGGGTTTCCGGTCCACTCTAGTTTGCGTGGTCGCAAAAACTCCGCCAGCACCTCATCTGTGACCTTTGATCTCGCTTCTTGAAAACCCTTAACGTATTTCTGCATCAGGGTGATGCACTCCTTCTTCATCTCGCCCGTCAGGATCTCGCCCTTCCGGTACCCATCAGCCAACTTGAGTAGCTTTTCGTCGTCGTCCTCAAAGTACGCAAGATACTGATACGGCACATCAATGTCCGGATTTCCGCCCTTCTCCCTGTGCAAAGCCTCCGTCTCCTGCCCGCCGCTGAATGCATGGCTGTTGATCTTCTTCTTGACCTGATTTTCAGTATCCGACATAAAGATGGCTGAATTTGGGTTCGAAGCGCTCATCTTGCCACCAGCACCCTGCAGCGCGGTCAAGAATTTGGAATGTATGAGAGCCGGTTTGGGCGAAGGTTGTGCCATGCGGGAGCAGTTGTCGCGCACAAGGCGAAAGTAAGGGTCTTGGTCTATAGCGCAGGGGATCAGGCAGGGCATGGCGGCGAGTTTGGCTGAACGGTGATACGTCTTGATATCGTTGCCCCAGATAAAGGGGTACGAACTGGCGAATGCAGCGACGCATTGTTTCGCAGCAAAAGCATTGCTGCCGATGTTTGTAGAGCCGTGGAAACCAAATGCACCCCGAACCTGGTTGTTGGTGATGAGCTTCTCGAACTCGGTCGCGTTGAGCGAGAAATGGCGATTGTATCCGCTGGTGAAAAACTCAGAGTCGATGTATATGAAAGTCTTCTTCGGGTCGAAGCCAATAGAAATGATGTCCTTTGCGTTGCCGCGGGCAAACTCGTACACTTCGGGCTGTGTGAGCTTCTCCTTGAAAAGGAATTTCTCGTCGTCAGTCAACATGATGACCAGCGGCACATCGAAGACATCCTGTAGCCACTTGGTAAATTCAAAGGGAATAGTGTGACCGATGTGCATGGAGTCACTGGAGGGCCCTCGTCCGGTGTAGAGCAGAAACTCGCCATCCCTCTCGTACGTGTCCAGAATGAGCTCCAGGTCGCGGTGTGAGAAGAAGAGGCGGCGTCGCAGCCAGCGGTGCGGCTTGTGGCCTGTTACGCGCTCGAAGCGGGCGAGGATTTCGTCGTCGATCAACTTGGTGGCCCATTTCTGCGAGATTGCAGGGTAATCAAACTCGAGAACATTGCCTTGCTCATCTGTCGCGGCTTGCACATCCCAGGGATTGATTTCTTGCTCCTTCTTCTTTCCGTGCACAGGTTCAGTCGCCGTCTCGGCGAGGCTGAGGGCAGCGACGGAGGGCGGCTCGGGCTCTGTCATGGCTGGTGGAAGGTATAGAGGGTGACAATGAAAGGAGCGGCACGAGACCCAGGTCAACCACGGGCAACAAGAATTTGGAGCACTACTGAGTCACAAACATCCAACGGTGGCAGGAACGAGCGACCGAGCGTGTCCCGCACCTGCCCCGCCATGCGTCGGCCATTTCAACCGCCGACATTGCCCTGGGTGGCTAGCCCATTTGGCGAAATCTCGTGAGCACTGCACAGCTCTGAGCTCATCGACGTCGAACCAAGCACCCATCCCGCCTCTCCCCATCCCCCCGGCTCGACATCCAACTGCCGCCCTGCAATTGGACGCGCACGACCATGCGCATTCATCGCACAAACAACACAACGCGTTTCTAGCTTGTCGCTGCCGCAGAGCTCCGCACCGCCTCCCCCTTCTCCACCCACAACAACCTCGACGCCAGACCAGACCACCGCCAACATGGTCAAGTTCTACTCCTCTACCGACACCTACCCGTACCCCTTCCCCGCCGTCACCCTCGCCTACTTCCTCCGCTACCCGAATCCCTACTCCACGCACGTCATCTCCACCGACACCATCGCCCGCGACTTCGACCCCGACACCCAGCGCCTCACCACCATCCGCCTGCATCTCAAGCGCTCCAAGCTGCCCTCCGCCGTCACAAAGCTGCTCCCGCGCTCGCTGCTCGGCGCCTCGGCCACCGGCGACACGCAGTCGTACATCCTCGAGAAGTCGGTCGTCGACGTCAAGGAAGGATGGATGGATACCGAGTCGCGAAATCTGGAGTGGACCGGCGTGCTCTCCGTCATCGAGCGGCAAATTTTCCGGCGCCCTGTGCCCGACGTACCGGACGACATCAAAGCGTTCCAAGGCATGGAGGGCGCCGCGCGACGACACGGCTTCCTCAACTTCGGTGGTGCCGGTGCCGGTGCGAAGGTTGGTGTCGATCTTAACGGCGAGACGACGGACGTCGAGAGCTCTGTGACGCTGCACTCGCACGTCGGCGAAACGTGGAGGAAGAAGCGGGCAGCTGCCTCCGAGGGCTCCTCGTCTTCCTCCGAGGATGAACAGACCCAGAAAGTTGGCTTTCTGAGGAGTTGGGGCACCGCGACGCTGCAGCGAAACATTGAAAAGATCGGACTAACGAGGACACTGAGGAGCCAGCCGAACGCGCGGGAGGGCATGAAGGTCGTGCTAGAGCGCATGCGTGAGGGCGGGCTCGTCGGCGTGCTGGAGGGCATGCGGAAGGACCGCGAGGCCATCCTTCAAGGTCGGGATCACATCAAGAAGGATGGCCCGCCGCGTGCAGGCGAGGAGTAGTCATGCCTCCTGCACCTCTCTCCCTCGCCTCTTCACAGGCCGTCAAAGACATCACAAGGCTTCCACGGCACGAAAGCACACAACAGCGAACTTTTTGGGTTTTTCATTAGCGATGGCGTTTGGATTTCTCCCTCTCCTACTATCCCGTAACATATCATCCGTGCGTCCGACTTTTCCCTTTCTTGCCCTTCGCTCTTCATGTTGAATGCTTGGGGTTTTGTTTTACTATCATCTCGCTCCCTCAGCCACGACTGTTCTGTATATGAGGTCGGCTGCTTTTGTATCATAGCGCATGCGTTACGAGGGCGGCACGCGACGGTCGCAACTTTGTAGGATGCAAAAATGTGAGATAACGGAATGACAATCTTGAACAATTTGATAAATCGATCGCACTGCGTGGGCGGAAAAGTGACACTTTGATGCTGCAAAAGCTGAGATGTCTTTTCATTCACGTATTAAAGACTTCTACATCCCGCCACCTTCGTTTTGTACACATACCCCGCGAAAGCCAAACCGTAATCATACATGACAAGATAATCTCGACAAGCGCAACGCGATCAAGTCATATCCCCCAGTCTAAATGCAGCCATTTGGTAGACAGGATCAGGAGAACGTGACAAAGTTTTGTACAAAGAACCACAATGGTACTCTCGACCAACTCTCTCCCTCAGCTAAAAGCGCATGAGCGAGATGCAAATGGATTACATGATGATGAATAGTCAGCAGGTTTACCGCATGCCAGCTCCCAGTCCAGCGCCCATCTGACCTAGCCGCGAGGCAAGTCTAGGGTACTTCTCTTGCACCTGTTGATCGTTAGTTTATTCCGATGCAGAGAGATGGATGGGAAACTTGCCTCCAACTGTGTTCGTGTGGCCTCCGCATAGCTGAGGGCGTTTACTATCTCGCCTTCTGTCCGAGACAGCTCCGCCGCCCGCTCGAAATACTTGAGCGCCTCTGTGACCTTTCCTTGCTGCAGAAGCAGTTGTGCCATGGTTGCGACCGCAATGTCGCACTCAGGGTCGATGATAAGTGCCTTCTGGCAGAGCTGCTCCGCCTCGCCAAAGTCGTTCTTCCATTGGAACAGCGCGAGCGCCTTGTTGATGAGCGGGAGGACGTTGATGAACAAGGGCTTATTCTGCTGCTCCATTTCCACGGCCGTGTCGAACTTCTCAATAGCTTCCTGGTACTTTTGCTGGTCGAGAAGAAGCTCGCCGTAGTAGTTGTACACGTCCGGCACCTGCGGGAAGTTCTTCATGCAGCGACGGAATGTTGCCATAGAGGATGCGATGCTGCCCATTTTGTATTGCGTGACACCCAACTGGATGTGCGAGAAGATGAAATCCTTGTCCAGGTCGATAGACTTTTGGTAGTCCTTAGCAGCCTCACCGAACTCGGCCTTGATGAAGTGCAGTTGTGCGCGGTGGTAGTAGATGTCGGGGTCGTCTTTGTTCTGAGCAAGAGCAGCTTCGAAGTCGGCTTCGGCAGCGGCTGGGTTTGCGAGTTCCAGGTGCATGCTGGCGCGCTTGATGAAGCTCTGGGTAAGCGACTGCTGGAGCTCGACACTCTTGTCCATGTCGTGGAGCGCATCCTCGTTGTCGCCCTGGAGGTATCTAAAAGTGCCGCGCATGTTATACGCGAAAGATTCGTGCTCGCCGAGATCTCCAAGCTCAAGCGCCTTCTCGAATGACTCGGCAGCTTCGGCGTACCCTTCAGCAGTCTTGGTGCTCATGGCGCGAAGGCCTTTCCTGAGCTGGCCCTTGCCGCTCTCTTCGTCGAGCTCTGCGTCGTCGTCGAGGCCGGACGGCGGGGGCTTAGGTCGGAAGCTTTGGAGATAGTTTGTGACGAATGTCGGGCTCGGCAGCTTCTTCTCCTTTTGCGCAAGGATGGCCTTGCCCTTCGCCTGTGCGGGTGTCAGCATTTGCGTCGGGCATTTTGGGATGGGACGGTCAGTCATACCTCAGCAACCTTCTTGAGCAGACGCTCGACGCTCTGGGCACTGCTCTCGTTCCTGAAGCCATCGATGATACAGCTAGCAGTGAAATCCAAAAGCGCCTCACTGTTGCGATCCACCTGCTCGTATGCGTTTGCACGGCGGTTGAGCGCCTTGACGTATTCGTTGTCAAGGTTGATGGCTGCGGTGGTGTCCTCGATGACCTTGTCCCAGTTGCTCATGGCATTCCAGCACGCGGCACGGTTCGAGTAGAAGACGGGATCCTGCTTGCACAGAAGCGCTTGTCCGTACAGGTCTATGGCCCGGTTGTAGTCCTTGGAGCCGTACGCCTTGTTTCCGGCGGCCTTGAGCTTGGCCGCGTAATCTTTCCGCTCCTGCATATCGTCAGTAAAGTCTCAATCACCAAGTTAACCCAGCAACATCGGTCTCCAAAGAATGCCGCAAAAGACCATGCGCTGACTCTCCATTCGCACACATACCTCGTCCGAAAGCGACCCAACGGTGCTCTCGTCCACATGCGGCAGCTCGTCTTCAACGGCAGGCGCGACGGTCGCCTTCTTCGGTTCAGGTGCGGTTTCCTGCTCCTTTGCAGCCTCCTTCTCGGCGCGTTCCTTGGCCCGTCTCTTCTCGCGCTTGGTCTTCTTCTTGTTTGATGACGGCGACTGTGCGCCTGCATCCTTCCTGTCTTCTGATAGATAGTAGATCACACCTCCAGCGCTGACCACGAGCGTGAGACCCGCGACTGTGTAAACAACGCCCTTGTGCTCGGATGCCCATGATGATATGCGGTCCCACAGGGAGCTGGAGCCTGCTGGCGGAAGTGTGACGGGAAAGGGACCCGGCCCGACCGGAGCTGCTGGGTTGGCCGACATGTTGGGTCGCAGAAGAGGGCTCGAAAGCTCGCGCAAGTCGACTGGTGGGAAGGATTACAATTATAAAGGTTGGGTCCGAAAGGAAGTAATGGGAAGAGATGAAGCTAGGAAAGACCGGACGCAGCCAATGGTGGAAGTTGGTGGCGATGGTAGGTGTTGGCCTCGAGGTTGAAGCTCAGGGTCAGAGAAGTTTTGGTGCTCAGACCATCACACGTCATCCAATCCACGCGCCAGCAGCTTCACAGTTCGCAGACTCGCCAACATCATCACTTGCGGAAGCATATTCTGCTTGACAAGGCTGGTGGATGTGTCGTTGTCCTGTTCATAATCCAAGCAGTACCGCCAGTGTCTACTCAAGGAGGCACAGAGGCACTCTGCGGCGCATCGCCTCTATGTCTATACACGCGATGGCAATGCTTTGATGTTGTCAATCCTCCGCGCTCTGTTTGTTTTGCGGCCTATGACATAATCTGGTATTCCATTGGACCTTGGTACGCACAGTGCACAGAACCACTCGTCTTCGAGTGTGCACTGGCTTCTGCGACCTGAGACCATTCAACCTTGAACAAGTTCGATCACGTGACATGACTCTCCGTAGGGTGGTCTCCCCGCTGGCGATGCTTAGCTGCGGCTTGCCCACGGGCGATTTCTCAAGTTTCCCGTTTATATTCATATCAATGCACGCGGTTCTGCATGGTATCGCAGTTTCGCCCCATGTTGAGCTGCGGGCGCTACGTCAGCTCCTCCGCGAATCATGTTCTGCTTCGTCTTAAACACTCATCACCAGAGTCAAGACACATCTTTTGCGTTGTCGCCACGTCTTGAATATCATGGAGTCTGAACAATCCTTCCACCTTTTCACTTCCATCCGGTATGATCCTTTACTTTTGGAATCGGCCGAAAACTCCCTGCCCATATTAAACTATGTGGCCCCTTCCCCATTCTACATGCTCATCTACCACCGCGACCGCATGCTCGAGGCCGCACAGCATTTCGACTTCCACGCTGTAGCCCAAAGGCTCGAACATGGCGAATCACTACATCAAGAGTTGTTACAAGAAGTAGCGGCATATCTGCACCGAGGAGGACACGATGGGCCACTCAAGGTACGTCGCCAACCACGCCCCAGTGAATCGCACAAGCCGAGACCACCCACAGATGCGCATCCTCTTCGACAAGGCCGCAAACATGACCATCGACTTTGCTCCCACACCCGCAGTCCCCCTCTCAACCCTCTACCCCGCCTCCTTCGACCCACCACGCCCAAAACCCATCCCCCATCCCGCAAACCCGCAAGCCCTGCCCTTCCAGCCCTCCCCCCTGACAGGCGGCGCCCTCACCCTCGGCTCCACCGACACCCTCCCCCCCACCCCATCATCAGACCCTCCCCCACCACCAGAATACCACCTACGCCTCGACACCCAGCCCACGCCCACCTCCGCCTTCACCCTGCTCAAAACCACTGTGCGGGAACAATACGACGCTGCCCGCGCCCGCGCGCTCCCTGCAAACCCCTCCGGCGCCCCCTACGCCGAAGTCATCCTGTACAACTCCACGCACGAGCTTACCGAGGGTACACTGACCACCATCTACTTGTTCCGCGGCGGCCGCTGGGTGACGCCGCCTGTCGGCGTGCCTGCGGGCGAGTTTACCGCACAGACGCTGAAAGATGCCGTGGGCGAGAGCGTGGATCTGGACGAGGGCGAGCTGAGAAGACCGTTTGCGGGGAGGTGGGGGCACAGCGTGAGGAGTGCGAAGGTGGGGGCGGGCGGGCAGAGGGGCACGAGCAGGCGGTGGGCGCTGAAGAAGGGGTTTTGTATGGAGGAGCCGATTAGTGTGGGCACGGTTGAGGTGGGAGAGGGCGTGTGGATTAGTAGTGGGGTGAGGGGATTTGCTTTTGGGAGGGTGGTTGAGTAGGATGGATAGTTCAAATAACCTGGCATTTGAATTGGCTTGAGCTTGGTATAGTGCAGATGGGCTATCTAGTCTGAGGCGGGGGGCTGGTCCGCTGCGTAGACCCCAATGGATTTGATGTTGGACCTGATCTTAATTGGGATATCGCGTTTCTCGTCCGCGGCTGGACATCGTCAGTCATATAGCGGCACATGAATTTGGTGCGTAAGCAACGCACCTCCTATCGGGGCAGCAAATGCAGTGCTCGCAGCCGCGACCGCAACCAATATTGTCTTGAAAACCTGCATTTTGGATCACAAGGTAGTCATGGAGTAGGGGGATAGAATTGTGAACGACTGTCTGCGCAGGAGTAGGCATTGACCGTGCAGATACGAGATACCATTATACTCTGAGTATGCATGCTAGACGATTAGCATACTTTGTCTCCAGCCGCACCCATTGCTTGTATCCTCCAACTGCCTCATCAGGGCCACAACCCATCCTACTCGCAACGTACTTCGTCATCGCATACACAGTATCCACCCCAAATCCTTTCAGCTATGCTGAGACCGCCAATCATATTGCTCGCTCGATGGCCGGCGAATCATTTCAGTCATGGCTTCTGCATTGCAAATGCATTGGTGTTCTTGTTCTCTATGATCCTGGTCGTGGTGGCATACACGCGTCCAGTGACGGATTCGCAATGCGTCAGGCTCTACACATGGTGTAAGTCTCAGGTTCAACACGTATCCCGACATTGCTCCTAGAACAAAGGTCAAGCACCCGCATTCGAAGCCGTCGAGTACCACGAGGAGGACTACACCGACGCCTTTCGGCAATCATCCAAGATTCGCGGAAAACCGACGCCAGAGCTCGACGAGCGATGGCTGAGGCTCTGGGACTGTAAGTTCGTCGATGTGTCCCCGTCTCGAAACATCTGGAGCTAAAGTCGATCAAGACCGTGAGTTTGACGTGACCGAATCGGCATGACCGCTTATGAACCGCACGGCAGACCCCAGCATTGTGCGGACACCGAAGGGCGGTAGTGCAGCTCTGCTGTGGGGGATGCATCAACTGCACTGCCTGGTAGCTCCCTCCTCTCACTGGGTCTCGAAATTATGCTGAGGGAATACACCAGGACTGGCTGCGGATGTGGTCGTATAAAGAACACTACATGGCATGCGACGGCCAAATGCCCGAACACTTCCAGGGCCTCTCTAACAACCTGATCCGCACGCATTTGGATCACCGCATTGATGTGCTCAGGCAGGATATGATGTGCCATGTGGATATGACGCCTTATTTCATCGTGTAGGTGCGTTCCTCTGGACGAGATATCTATTGCTGATACAGATGTGGTATAGATGCGATGAGACGGCTCCGGTTGGCGAGACATTCGACTTTTCACCGCAGCAGAAGTGTCGTAACTTTGATAAGATTCGGCAATGGAATGTAGAAAATCTTGCTGTAGATTGATGGGCTGGGTATTATTCGTGGAGCTGTTGGTACAGAGATGTATACAGTGCGTTGGGCAGTAGAGCAAGCGCACTAATTGTTGCCGCTTTCGAGCTCCTTCAATCGCCGGACGAGCTTCTCCCTCAGATAAGGCGTAAGGCCGAGGCTGCTCATGTCAGTAGTGTCTCAACAGGTAGCTGTGCCGTTGGTTGCGCCACGCTTCATGATATGGTACTCACATGCCCTCGCGGGTGAGAATCCTGTATGTTCCACTATCCTGCCAATTCCCGATCAATGATCCGTCCCCGTCAACCTCGACGCTTCCGAAGATATCTTCGGGCCACGCGATCCTGCCCCAGTCGGGAGGATTTCGCTGGTCACTGACGTGAATCCAGCCACCTTTATTCGCACCGCCCATGCCTGCTTGCTGGTTGGCGGCGCCGGCCCCATCGCCGCCGCGCTTGTTGGGTTGGCCAAGGTTGAACCCACCGGGTGAAGCAAAGGCAGCCGCCTGTTGCTTGACCGAAGGGTCGTTGATCGCATGCGTAGCTAGGACTGACTGCAGGATTGGATGGAATTGGCGGTTTTCCGTAAACGAGTCTGGGGTTGGCGGTACGGAGGTGGTCGCTCCCAGTGCGAGTTGGACGTTCGGAGGCTCAGTGGGAAGCAGCGTGAGGAGGGAGCGCGTCGCGTCGAGCGGGTGTTCGAAGACGTAGATGTGCGGATTCGATGGGAGCGTCGAGACGGCTCGCACACCGAGAAAGGGCTTGGAGACAACCGGGAGGCGCACCGCTCGGAGCGTAGCGCGGCAAAGCATTGTTCGGATGGGGTGTCTGTTGGGGAAGCAATGATGGCATCGCGGCCATCTTTTGGAGCTTCCCGCCATTCGTCAATGACGCTTGAGACGCCGACAACGCTTGCCCAAATCACCACTAGCGTAACCCCACCAAAGAAGTCTGTACACTGAGAACCCTTGCATCTCATACTACCACATTTTGTCAGCTTGCATCTGGTACTGCAGGATCCGTGAAAAATGTCTGCGGATGCGACTAGGCGCGGTCCCGTGGAGAAAAACACAGCCGAATTGTCACGAAGTAGACGCAAGGCAGATGATGTCGAGGAGCAAAATGTTGACCGAGAATCGGAGGCAGACATTGATCGCATCGAAAAGGTGTACAGGTGTGTGGAACGCTGCTTTTGATCATGTGATATCTAACAAGCAGCAGTAAGCTCGATCGAAGGATCTTGCCAGGTGCCCGTCTTCGCCCCAGCATTACCATCCGATTCCTAACGTCGCTCAGCCTTCTGGATCCTCTACTTCATGTGCTCTGCCATCCGCTCCAACATCGGTCTGGCGCAGACTATGAACATAGCCCAAGGCCATGATCTTGCCTCAGAGCTCAATCTAACCCCAAAGCAAGTGTCGACTGGTCTGGCCTTGTTCTATGTCTGCTACGTAATTTTCGATATGCCCAGCAACTTGCTCATGTCCAAACTGAGTCCGCATGTATGGATGAGTAGGATTGTCACAGGAGTGGGCATCATTGGCATTGGTCTGACGGGCATGAAAGCTGCGTGGAGCTTCTAGTGCGCTTTCCCCTCCTCTCTGTAGCATAGACCGCCGCTGACGCCAATCTAGCCTCCTCCGACTCTTGCTTGGTATAGTTATCGCAGGCATGTGGCCTGGCATGTCGTACTACCTCACCCTCTTCTACCCGCCTTCAAGGACTGGTAAGCGAATTGGCCGCTACTTCACTGCATCTCAAGTTTCTGCTGCCGTTGTCGGTCTTGTTTCAGCTGGTTTCCAGAAGATGGACGGCTTGGGCGGCCTCGTAGGGTTCCAATGGATGTTCCTTCTCTATGGCATCGTGGGGACTCTCGTAGGCATCTCTCTCCTATGGTGGCTTCCGGATCGGCCTCTGGCTCCTGGCGAAGTTCGCGAGAAATCATCCTGGCGCAGATTCATCCCTGACAGTGCACCCGCACTGACTGGCGAGGATGCCCGGATTCACTACGAAGATCTAACTCGTGTGTACCGTCGCAAGGTGTGGACGATGAAGGACCTCTGGCACGTTGTCATCGACTGGCGTTTGTGGCCGTTGGTTGTTATGTACTTCGGTGTCGTTGGTGTCGGTATCGGCACTCAGGCCTATGCTTCAGTCATCATCCGCGGCATCAATCCTGATCTCTCAGGCATTAACCTCTCGTTGTTGACCGCTCCTATCTGGATCGTAAGTTGCTTTCACATATGAACTACATGCGTACGACGACTGACACCGCCCAGATGGATCTTATCGCTATTCTCATCTTCACCCCACTATCCGACCGATTCCACCACCACCGCGCCGCTTTCTTCTCCTTCGCAGTCCTTATCCAGATTGGTGGTCTTCTCATGACTACCTTCGGAGGTGGCGCGAAATCTTGGACTCGCTACGGCGGTCTCCTTCTCGTATGTATCTCACCCAGTACTTTCTTACAGCAATCCGTTAACCACCACGATCAGGTCGGCTTCGGGTTGGGCCCCACAGTGCCTATTTGCATGACATGGACGAACGAAATCTTCCAGCCCCGCCACGGCGAAGTCGGTGTCGCCGCAGCGTCCGCACTCGTCTCCGGACTGGGCAACCTCGGCTCCATCCTCACTACCTATGCGCTATACACTGGATGGCCCGAAGATGCAGTTGGCCCGCACAAGTACCGCAAAAGTAACCTTGTCATGATTGGAATACTTTGCGGTAGTATCCTCGCTGCTGGGACGATGGTGGTGTTGCTGAGAGTGTTTGGGGACGGTATGTCCAGAGACGGCAACGGTGGTGAATTTGTGGACGGGGCGGCGCGCAGGGAGATACAGCAGAGGGGATTCAGGAGGATCTTGCCTTTCAAGCGGTAGAGTGCCGTGCGGAACATCGCGGAGGCTGTCGAGAGTGTTACATGGAAAAGGACATTCGATGTACGAGAGGACAGATAGGTGGCGTAGGGTCACGTTGCCCGCGTTGAGGGCATCGCCCGTTCGTTTCAAGTCACGCCATGCATCACGCTGAGGTGATCGAGAACGCTACAAAGACTACGTTATTACAACAGCGCCGTCTCTTCCCGGAAAGCCCAGGTCAAACTAGTGCGGAACATGTGATTGGCTACGCACATGGTCGTATGATCGTGAAAGCCAACTACAACACCCTTTGAAAAGCGCACCGGGACATCGTTGCAGACGAACAAGCAAATCACTTCGCCAAATCCCCAGACCACTCCTATCCTGTCGACCAACGACTCACCAGAATGATCGCGGCTTTCCCCTCCATCCGCCACCGTGATGCATCCTTCTCCACCCCCGACCAATCACAAGGGCGCAAAACCGTCAATACCACCGGCCTCGTCATATCCATGGCCATCTCGCTCGGCTTCATCGTTTTCCTCTTGTAAGCCTTGTCCTGCACACATTCCTTCTGAGAGCGTTAACAACGGCCCAGCACGCTCGGCTGGTGGCTCGGTCGCTTCCGACAGCAAGACGGCAAGCCGCAGTCACGCCTGTCAAATCTTAATGCAGCAGTCCCGCGCATGACGTTCAAAACGTGGTATAAGCAGGATGTGGCGCATCGGAACGACGGAGGGGAAGCAGCGGTGAAGGAGCAGGTCTGGTGTGTCAAATCGCAATGAACAGGTGTATTGAAATATGAGTGCTGATGTTTGTGCAGTGTTATATGCCTAGAGGGGATTCGGCCGGAGGACGATGTGAGGGCTTTGCATTGCGGGCACTGCTACCATGGGGAGTGCTTTGATCGGTGGTATCTTAGCTCGAGGGGGTTTTGTCCGCTTTGCAATCGGTCTGTGTTTTCGGCGGGACGAGCGGCGACGATGTGATGGCGTCGCGAGACGGAGAGGTACTGCTAAACTAAATGTCAATGCACTATTGTAACATGACATTCTTCTCGGATGCATTGGGTGAGAGAGGGGTGAGAGATGCCGCTGTACGCGACTGGAGGATTCTTGCCGCAATACTAGTTGCTAAGCCAGACTTTGACGGAAACTGGACCTCGAAACTCGCACTACATCCGCATTCCATCTCAGCTGGACCATAGATGCTTATCGGAGCCAGTTCCTCAACCCAGCAAAGGCGATCTGTCAGTCACTTCACTTCGCTCAACACGCTCCTCGTCGTCTTCCTCATCCTTCTCTGACACCCTGTTCCACGCCCAGTACGAATACCCAAGCGTCGGGTAGTAAACCACACTGTCCAAATTTAGCACGCATCCCCGGGAGAACTCAATCTACTCACAAAAGCACGATACTCGCCAGCGCCGCGCGGCTCACCCTCGCCCCCACATGACACGGCCCCCTCCACTCATACTCCCTGCAGTGCGCTACCCACGGCCCAAACGCCGCATCGAGAATGAACCAGAGCCACAACGCAGTCGCCAAGACCGATTTTGCCGTCTCGAAAAGCACGTACTGGTACGGCGAGATTGCGGCTTTGCGCTGCACGTAGACGCAGAAAATGATCCCCGCTGCCAGCACAGCAGTGGTGCTGTTGCGGCTGTGATTGTCAGCAGGAAGAGGTTGGGAGATGAATAGGCGAGGTACAGGAAATAGTAGATTCCAGCATTGTGCCACGGTTCCAAGAAGGTGTCAAAGGCTTCGAAGCCGAGCCACAGGCATATTGGGAGCGCGATGATGGCTTGCCAGATCCCTGCGCCGCGGAGCATCTGTTGGTCTAGTGGGAGGCGGTCGGGTTGCGACATTGTTAGTGAATAGGCAAGACTTGTAACGTAGTGTGGAGATCTCGAACACTGCTGGAATTGGGGCTTTGGTGGTGTAGTTGTCAAGATTGCTGCCTGGAGGGATTGAGACAGGGTAGTTGGCGAGAGAACGCCTGATTCACGGTTTACGGGTTTCATGCACGACACAGACTTTTAATATATGCGTAGCTGGAGGAGTCTCGATCCCAAAGAGCTCTGCAATATATGTTATAGTTCAAGCCTTTTTCGAAATTTGCTTTGCTCTGAAGAGTAAAGAATTATCGATTTCCAAGTTTCACTATTTATACTGCAACCAGTTCACAAATTCTTGAAGTAATCACTGTCGCTCAACGCTTTCATGAGGCGAGGGTAATCCATGGGAATGCCCAGATCCCAGGGCTTCCACGATTTGGGTTTCCACGATTTCGGATCAGAGTAGTCCGAACAATACGGTTCTGAATATTTGGTTCGGTAATGTCCGTTTGGAGTGAACAAAGGACGATGGCAATGCTGTGCCAGGACCTCGCTGGGCGCGATGCGCCAGGCGGCAAAACCGTTCACATCCGAGGGTACCTGCTTGGTGACATACGCCTGGTAGACTTCGTCCGCAGATGCCTGTAACGCCTCCTTCATGTAGTTAAGGTTCCGGTCGTTCGCCGACTCGAAGAGCATGGAGTCTCCGAAAGCGGCCCATTGATCTCCGCGCTTGTTCCTCACAACCAGCCCGCGCTTGTTATCTTCGTCGTGCATGAATTTGGAACAGACGTCAGGGGCAATGGCCAGTATATCTCGAGCGTGATAGGTAAGTTTGGCAGTCAAGTATGGGAGCACGAAAGCGTCCTTGGCACCTTGCAGGAGCGCCTGCTTTTTGGATTCCGCGTTCATTCCCTTGGTAACCTCCTGATAGATGTCATTGATGATGCTGCACACCTTTTCGATGGCGTCAGCTGGAGAGTGGAGTGTGCGTCGCGGAGTTCGGATGTGCCCCGAAGCGAAGCAGTCGCCCAGGTAATGGTCTGCAAAGGCGTTCATGGCGTATGCGATGTCGAGTTTGCCAGCTGCAGCAGCGCGCAAGGCACACGTGTGACCGGCGTTGTAAGCTGTATGTGCATCATCGCCGAAGTGATCGAGATTGAGCAGCGCCATGCGTGCGTAGCTTGGTCCGTCGCGCTCCATGGTCGCCTTCGTGAGTTTCTCGTCGGTTCCAGTGATGGGGAGTGCAGAGACGCTGCTGGGGTCGTTGCTGCTCAGGTCCTTATAGACCTGCTTCGTGGACCGCCCACTCTGGATGGCTTCTTCGACCGCCTTCATCTCCTTCGCATTGATGCTGTCGATCAATGGTGCCTCCTTGGATCCACTCGCAGCTTTTCCAAGTAGGTTGTATGCATCCAGAAAGTATTGGCATTGCTGCTCAAAGCTCGAGCCAGTGCATATCGGGTTGTTAGTCGCAAAGAAATCACCACCAAGGCCATTGATCTGACCGTATGTCAGCTTGTTCCCGTTCTCAAGATTGAGACGCCTATCTCCTGCCCTAACAGTTTCGGTCTCTGAGAATTTGAGCCTAAGTCGGTCGCCAAGGATGGCATGTTCTGCATAGTTGAAGTGATCGGCATGCGGATAGCACCCGAGTATTGGCAAGCCGTCTTCGTCAAGGGATGACGGACCAAACACGTACTTCCGGCCGAGTTGGTAAACTAAGTGAGCTGGTTCCCTCTGGACAAGCTCGGGCCATGCATGAGATGTGGGTTCAGGATGCTGGGTGTCGACAATCAGCGACTCAAGCTTGTTTTTGAAGACTTGAAAATACGGCTTCGTTGCATCTTCGTCGTTCACCACCAAACAGAACTCCGACGGCCATGCTGGGTGCCTCTCTGGCTTTCCTTCGGCATTCCAGGAGATTTGATATTTATCTCCCATGAACTCGTATTCAAAATCGTTGATCACGCGCACTTTGATCTCTGGCTCGGTTTCAGCGGCTGGAGTCTCGACGGACTCATTCTGCACAAGAGCTGGAGTCGCTTGGTCTTCTTCATCGACCGCTTGCTGGAGCATTGCCGTGATCTCTTTGTAGTTTTCCGGCTCGGCACAGTGGGTGACTCCATCCCAGAAAGCGAATAATTGTCGTGCAGTTAACGCGACGTCTTCGTCTTTCTGCTGGCTATCCCCTAGTTCGTTGGTCTCATCGTCAAGTTGAATCTCGTTGGTCTGCACCTTTGGCTCTTTCTCAGGTAGGGGACCACCGACGGGAAGCACCACTGGGGCAGTAGCCAGATCAGCCATGGTGGCTTTTAAGGGAACAAGTGTCAGAGAAGATAGTGATGGAGTATGAACGGATGAGGCAAGCGGGTCGAGTGTTCTAGCTTGTTATTCAAGGCCTCGATGAAAGATGGTTTGCAGAAGAGCAGGACGATGGAAGGTTACTTATAGACTTGTTATGGAGCCCACGACGGAGCTGGACGTTGATTCTGGGCATGAGATGGTTACTTGAGAATGCTGGTTAACTTCATCCAGACAAGAGAGCTCGCCTGTCCTGGTCATCCAGTGCCAGTTCTCGAGGCGGGCTGAGGGATAGTCGCTAGAGCGCAGCGGCGACCCCGCCATCATGTCCGGCCTGCGATTGCGCAGCTACTGGGATAAAGACTGTATTCAATGGCGCGTGAAGGCAGCAGGACCGTCTGGACTCGGAATGGTACACTATCGGCTCGGCTCGAGGCTCTCCATACGGCTTGTACGGACATTCGTGGCTAGCTGTGAATCTGAGTCTAGGCTTGGCCAAGCGCACGAGGCTGGCCGGGGTTGCCGCTAGCGCTTGTCGTGATTGCCATCTTGGGTCGAACGGGCCTGTAAACAGTATACTTTCGGCGTCTTTCATGCAGGTGCGACACAACCTATCCACAATCAAGCGAGGGCGGCTGGGCTTTGAGGTCTGGACAGACACCCGCTTGCTGCTAGGCTCGGTCCGCTTAAGTGGACCGTAGGCATCATTTTCAGCTAAAGAGTACGTTGATTCTCATTCGAAGCCGTGGAGGTTCATTCGCTACAAGCTCGCTTACCGTAGTGCTTCCATCCTGGCGCCAATGTGACAGAGAACCTTTTCTCCGCGCTTTTGAAATGGACCTAAAAGCTCGACGCTGTTGCGTTCTGCAACTGTGTTTCCAATCATGGCCCATTCTGGTTAGAGGCAGATGTCGGGTCCTGGGCGGTTAGCTTGAAATAGAATCGTTCGTGTTCGCGCCTGCAATCTTCGCCATGGCTTAGCGGCGTGAACTGCACATCGGGGGATACCAAAATCAACTGGAGTCAATGCTCGCATTACGGTTTACAAAACATACAGCCCAGAACCCAGGTGTGAAACCATCCACTATAATGTTGTGAATACTTGATCAGTCAACCAGACGGAATGTAGGTCCAAATTAACGAGTTCCTGGCAATAAAATGCGGAGTCTGTAATTTGATCTAGACACCCATATCAGAACCATCGAAAGAAATAGCCAACAGGTGCTTGTGATCTGCCAGGGAAGTTCCCAGCCCTGATTATGGTCAGTTCTGGGTTCCACGATAACACACAAAGTGGACTAAACCGTGGACTTGAGAAATCAATGTAGAGGAAGCGAGACGTTGGGCTGAAATGTGCGCAGTGGCGACGGCGGCCGGCGAGGAAAGAGCGGTGCTGGTTCATACATGGAAGACAGATGACTCTGCACCAATTTGCGGTGAAGGTGCGTTGTTGATTCTGTGCTTTCAAAATCACTTGATTCTGTGCTTTCAAAATCACACTCCTTCTACGAATAAGATGAGCTTATGAGGACGTGCAACTAGAAGATCAATGATTACGCAAGAGTGTTCATGAGAGGTCATAGGAAGATAAATGGAATCTGATCTACGGATGTCTGCCGCGAGTCCATCAAAGATTGAAAGAAGCTGACACCGCCTTGGTACATGCAAATATACGCTTCCACTGCAGAACAGCTTTCACCCGATGCAAGGAGCCAGCGATTTGTACCGATACAGAGATACTCGCGAGCTTTACCGGAAATATTGTTCGGAGGATATTCCACCCGTATTTCTCCGAAAAATTCTTCTTGTCCTGCTCAAGCATTTCGGCTTCACCTAAACCTGACATTCCAGCTAAAATAGCCTCCTTTCTGAGCGCCGGATCGATGAAACTATCATAATGATGCTTTCTGATGGGAATGCGACCATAGGGGTTTGGCCGCGGTTGATGCGGTAGGCACAACATCTCATCTGGCTTGAATGGGAGGATCGTTTTGCCCTGGGTTAAAGGGTTCTAATGTCGAGATCAATATTGATCTCTTCATCAGGAATCTGGTGTTTCTGGACTCAATATTTCCACTTCTGTTTCTCTTGCTTCTCGTTTAGCTTCTACGCTTTCTCACCAGTCGCATATTTAGCTTTGTTTTCCCGCGCAGCTTGTTCCGCGTTTTCCTTTCTTTCCTCAACTAGTACCTGAGTCCTGGCGTTCTTGCTGGTTGGGATGGAATGCCGAAAGCGTCGTATTGTAGTAGTACGATGACTTTGACTTGTACAGATTCCTTCCTCATTTCACATGTCGTTGCTTTTATCAAAAGTGCCCTTTATGCAGTCCCACGACCGGAGAACGACCGAGTGCCTGTTCACGGCCAGGCACAAAGCAGCAAGAACCTGCTCCTCCATTCACGGGACAATTGTTTGTCGAGTCAGAGAGAGACGTTTTAAGGTACATAGGGTACTTGAAGGAGCATCCTCGCATGTGAATACGCACCAATAACTTTGATCCTTGGCTCAAAATTACCATTCGCATATCCGTAACCCTACTTCTCAGGAGCACAGCACCTCGCCACACACACCCTCCAAGTACCTATGGTACTCTTAGGGACCGTCTCAGGAGCCTTACTCATCATAGCACATCATCCAGGAAAATGTGCTCATTATTCTTCGCAAGCTGTTCGCTTCACCCAACGGAGCATACTCCCGACCCCTAATGTAATGGCCAGTCCCCAAATGGGCCGTCGAATTTGGACTGCTGCACAGGCTCGAATTTGTATACATATAGGGAGCACTCGGGACGACCGTCGACTCCAATGTATCAGCGCGATTAGATGTGTATTTTCCATTTCTGGATAAGGACATTTAGGATTGGCGAACCGTCGCATGGTACATTGGCCTTGAAGTGAGCATTAAATTCTTCAATTTCGCGTTCGGCTCCAGTATAGTTCCCGGTCTGATTGCATGCAATCCCTATGAAGCGTCCTTACACAATGGTATAATGCGTCAATATGGCAAGTGAAGAAGAAGTCAATTGTATTGATAGTCTCTATGCGCGATTCCGAGGGAGTAGCAACAGATTGCGGGCTGGAAACTCTAGCTGGATATACTCTTATAGCTATATTGTGGGCTCTGAATGTTCATATGGATAAAAGATTCTGTACCCGAGGTCCCAGATTGATAGCAAGGTCTGTGCACCTTAGACTGGCCCTCTTGTGGTATTAGAGCGACTTAAAGAACGCATTTATCCGCAAAAAGCCTCCAGAAAAACCCAAAGCAAAGCACAATTCCTTTCCGCCGCGCCATCATGAAGATCTTCGCCGCGCTATTCGTCAGTAGTCTGTCCTCAGCTTACGCAAATCCAATCACATACGGTATATCCGCGATACATCAAAGAGTTTGAGTTTTGCGAATAGCTTACGACTATAGTGACGGATTCCAAAATCGTACAGCGCGGCACGCCAACCACGCGCGACGCGACTTCCGTCCAGGAAAACGTCAGCCTCTGCACTCAGTACGCTTACTATGCGACCAACAATTATGAGATTTTGAACAACCTGTGGGGAAAGGACTCGGCTACCTCAGGCTCTCAGTGCACTTACTTCGAAGGCACCTCCGGATCTGGGATCAAGTGGAGCTCGACCTGGACATGGCAAGGTGGCGAGAACAACGTCAAAAGCTACGTTTACGCTGGCCGTCTCCTCACCAAAGGTAACACGGTTGCCAAGGTTAAAACCATGCAGTCCCAGATCAATTGGAGCTATAACACCACCAACAACGTACGCGCAAATGTGGCGTATGATATCTTCACAGCGTCAGACCCTAATCACGTCAACAGTAGCGGCGACTATGAGCTCATGATTTGGTACTTACATTCACCCTGAAGGACGGGCTCATCAGAACTGACATAAGACAGGCTCGGTCGCCTCGGTGGCGTCTGGCCCATTTCACAAGCAGGTGCTCCAATAGCCACGGTCACGATCGCGGGCTACGCGTTTGACCTCTACTTCGGCTACAATGGATCAATGAAGGTGTACAGCTTTGTTAGATCCGGAAGTAATGATATAACCAGTTTCAAGGCCGACATTAAGTTATTCTTCGACTATCTGGTCAAGAATCAGCAGTATCCTGCGAGCTCGCAGAATCTGATTGGTAGGCAATATCGAAGTTCGTTGACAATACTTAGCAGATCGCTAATGGTTAGCAGTCTATCAGATCGGTACCGAGGCGTTCACTGGCGGGCCTGCTAAGTTCTCTGTCTCAACCTTCAGTGCAGACCTCACCACTTAGGAGCAGCGAAGTTGACCAAAACAGGAAGAGATGAGCTATGGACAGATTCTTGTTGAAATCACCAGCCAAGCTTGCAGCGTCGACTCAGCGTGGGGAGGTTGTGAGGTACACGCACTTCACATGCATCATCATTTCAACGTCTTCAAGTTTTAACTCGTGATACGAGCTGCTCAATATTGATAATCTGGTTTATCCTGAATATCTGCTCACAGTTCGCACGTAGATTATATGGCAGACTCCTAAATTGTCAGATATCCTAAACTTACATGTCAGTGCAGCGATCACTTGTTGGATTGATAAAGATCACGGACCAGTTACGTAACGCTCGCGAGTCTATAACTATGAAATTGCGAAATGCACGGCGTGATTGAAGGAGTGAGCTAACAGACCTGATTTTTCATTGCCCTTGGCTTCCATATCTCGCGCAAATCAATCGCTACAGCGACTTTCGAATAGGTTTGACATGTATCTGGCATCTCAATGCAGATTGTGACTAGATGGCTGCTTCCCTAAAGTCTCGACAGGAAAAAGTCGTATGCACCCTGCACAGATGCAACAGGGCATTAATGAAAGGATCTAATATATTTGATTCTATTCTTCATTATGTGCCATGGTAATGAGGGTGAAACTCGGGAACTATGATGGCACCTGGAGGCGGCCTGTCAGCAGCCTTGAAAAACCCATCGCTATCTACCCCGTTCTCCATAGTCCACTTCCTCAGTGCATCAAAATCCCGACAAACTTTCTTGTTATTAAAGTCCGGCTGCGGCATCCGATGTCCCTCAACCCAATTAAAAGTGACCATATCCACGCTGCTAGTACACCTCAACGCCTGCGCCAGGACGTCAAGACAGTGGTTGATATGTGCTTCATGCAACTCCGACCCGGGACTTGGTCCTTCCTCAGCCTCATGATAGTGCTTGTAAGAGATCTCCCGGCGGAGCTTATCCAAGCAATGTAAGTGGTGGAAGACGTCCATACCTGCGATGTACGCGTCTGAGCCGAGATTGAGTTCGGGAGGTGCCTTCACGGCCACTGACGGGTCTTTACCGAGCGCGATGACTTCGGCACCATTGATTATGATGGGTGCGATGTTACTTCCGATTGATTCCCATGCTGCATCTGCTTCCGCGCCTGTGCGGGCGCGCCAGATTGAGGGAGGTTCCGTATTCCAGAATGTGCCATTTGTAGTTCGTGTGAGCTTCGGGATGTTGAAGCGATCGAATACTGGGGCTTGAGTCGAGGTCAGTCGAATCAATCCTTTGATCTAGAAGTAAGGGTCGGCTCACAATAGTACGATGTAGCTCTCCAGTAATCCTGATCAGAGATTGACCTATTCTTTGACACGGACAGTATGACTATCGAGGCCAAGAACAAAAAGACATTCAATATCGTCACTAGGACAAGGGTCTTAGTGGGCCAGGACCGTAGATGACTCCAAGTTGCTTTGCGACCACTTCCGCTGCCGTTGCCTAAGAGGAGAAACTTCTCAGCATCGGTGTCGCCATCGTGCAATAGCCGCTCTGACGAATGGGAATGGCTGTTCCGATTCGCCTCCAGTTCCTCAGAGCACGCTCGCTCATATGGCGGTTCCATCTCCAAATTGTGGCACACCGGTGTTGAGAATGCCCTCTTTGACCCCGGATGAGACTACGAGGACTGGAGCTTGCCTCTCAGGTGAGGGACTTGGATGGAATGTTACCTCAGCCGGACGAAGCTCGGTTGGTAGGATACCAGGTGCTGGACTGATCAGGTGCGCAATCCTTCGCACCTGCGCAGATCTCGCCGATAGATACGCCGATCGCTTCCTCACAACACTCTTCGCCAAGAGCGCGGCCAAGGCTTAGGCCTCGAGGCGCAAAGATGAGACATAAGACCGGCAAACTTGACCAAAAAGACAAGACCGAAGTAACGCAGCTACTAGAGTATGCATGTTGATCCTTCGCCTTTGCCGAAAGAGGAAGGTATCAGGCATACAGCGAGCGTCAGCGTTGTCCCGCATTAGGTGATCGATAAGAGATATCACGATTGACGTTTGGCAAGAATCAATAAGTTATGTAGTTTCAAAGAACATAATCATAGTAATCCATTTAGGCCTATCAAAACCAGTGGTAGAGCAATAGAGCTGGAAATGTCTATGCGAACCGGTGCTCCTTCTGTCCACTTTGTTCAGACAAGACTCAGGTGAATATCCAGGTTTCACGTTCCATAAAATGTACATTCTACTCAGCACGCTTGTCAACGTATGTAATGTCATACCACTGAGGGTCTGCCTTGCGCTTCTTCTCTTCCTCTGCACGCTTGTCGACATAGGTGATGTCGTACCATTGAGGGTCAGCCTTACGCTTCTCTTCCTCAGTGCGCTTGTCGACGTAGGTGATATCGTACCACTGAGGGTCGGCCTTACGTTTCTTCTCTCCCTCCGCACGCTTGTCGACGTAAGTGATATCATACCACTGGCGCTTCTTCTCCTCCTCCGCACGCTTGTCCACGTAGGTAATGTCGTACCACTGGGGATCGGCCTTGCGCTTCTCTTCTTCGGTGCGCTTGTCAACATAAGTGATATCGTACCACTGGGGTTCGGCTTTGCGCTTCTTTTCCTCCTCGGCCCGCTTGTCAACGTAAGTGATGTCTGGTAACGTGGTCAACACTCACTGTTGACAATGTAGTGCGTCAAAGGTACTTACCGTACCATTGAGGGTCGGCCTTACGCTTCTCCTCTTCAGTACGCTTGTCAACGTAGGTGATGTCGTACCACTGGGGGTCCGCATCGCGATTCTGGACTTCTTTGGGCTTAACCGGAGCCGCGCTGGCAAAGCCGGCAGTGAGCCCGATGATAGCTGATACGGTGGAGACACGCATTTTGAATGTGGGAAGATTTGTAGAGTGAACGACAAGAAGATCACGATTGAGAGCCCGATATATACATGTGCCGAAACGGCTCGCGGTCTAAATCCTGTGCCGACAGCATTGCGTATGGTAACGTTATCGATAGGCTGTGGTGTAAAGGCCCGACATTAGGAGTACATTAATCCTGAAGGAAGCGGGGTGGTGCGCCAAGTTCACGACAACCCGCCAAGTAGCTGCTATAGAGGTGTAAACATCTCACCTTCCTTATCCATCAAGCTCTGACATCTTCATCTTGTCGGCAGCTGGCTCTCGCACACGCTCGTTGCCTCAATCCTCAGCCGCACTGAGATGCGGGTCTGTAGCTCCCCGGGCCCGCTGTCTCTTCACTGCCCTTACCTCACATTCGGTAGATGCATACGGATCGTTCCGACTAGTCCTGATACAGTAATCGCCCCTCCAGGCGGTTTCGGTCGGCTGGCCAATTGTTCGTTCCAACATTCAAGGTCACAATTTGCGAGAACTCTCTTAGTTACTGCAGTTGGCTTTCGTGCCCTCGATTTCACAGTTCTGAACCATGGCGGACCAAAAGTATACCCAGCTTCGAAGCGAAGAGTATGGTGAAGAGACCGTATCCTACGGACACCTCAACAACAAAGGCTGGAGCGGCGCGTTGAACATTCGGTGTCTGACAATTAACATGATCTTGTTCACTTCCGGAGTGTTTGTCGGAATATTACTTGGCCATGCACGCCCGCAGGGCGCTAGTGAACAGCTCACGCAGTATTCCATGGTGCCTTGTAAGTTTCAAGCTTTCCCTATCAGTCGTTTTCGTATGCGCCGTGTTCAGGCTGACCGAGATCATGAATAGCACCGGCATTTGAGGCCATATCTTCGCAGCCATTGATTCTAACACATCACGAACTTGAGGGGCATGGCTATACGAGCCCATACCAAGGATTTCCAACTGAAGAGACGACAGAACGGTGGATGGATCTCATGGATGGTAAGTAAAGTCATATCCGAATTGCATTTCTACCGCTGATGGCGTGCTGCACTTCAGGATACTCCATACGCGTTCCGTCAACGTCTCTAGATGCTTTAAATCTTGAAAGCATCCCCCTCAATGACGGCTCTGGCGACGTATGGGTCTCGATGAATGTGTATCACCATCTCCACTGTTTGGATTCCATCAGACACCAGATCGCGGGAGTGCGCTGCTCGAACCCCGATGGTTCGACTGCAAACCATACGGATCACTATGGTATGGACGAAGAGCACTATTTCCCGCCACATATAGATCACTGCATTGAGACTCTTCGAAAGAGACTCATTTGCCAGCCTGACCTCGGTGTCAGGGCTATTGCCTGGAACCCTGACAAGCCTGGTGTTGCATTCGCAAACAACACTGTAGATTCGGCGTGCGTCAACTGGGTTGCTGTTCAAGATTGGACGAAGAAACATTCCTTTTCAGAGGAGGAAAAGTTGATTACTACGCCCGATGGTGAGAAAATTTTCCCATTCTGATATCGTTTTCTTCTTACCTCAGAAGTGGCTTGCTAATATTTCTTCAGGGCATACCTACATTGGCCCGCGAACACCACCTGCTCGGTGCGGAGAATAATCCAAGGTACTGGCGCGACTGTATAACTGTACGACTGTCCCATTTTAGGATCGTAAACCCTGGAGTTGGGGCTAGATAAGATCTATGATCAATGTAGGCATAAAATGAGGGCGACTGTTTGAAAAGAATGCAGATAAGCACTCGCAAGCTTTTCCCATGCTTACCTTCCCAATTGAACTATCAAGCTCCATCAATCCTCGCGCGACAAGCGACGATATCGTTCGTAGGATGCTTAGCATTGTTTCCAAGATCTTGGTACAATTTGCCCCGCATCTAGCCGAAGGATTGTTGTCCATGGAGGCTAAAGAACTATTATAGACTAGTCTGGTCAGACCTGTGAGACTGGAGCGAGCACCTGCTACATTGTAAAATCCTCCATTCCCCATCTGGCGGCTCATCGATAATAAACCGCTCTCTTTGGCCGTCTCTGATGGCCCGACATTGGATTACGCGACTGCCGCCATGCTATGATTCCTCCTCATCAAGTCACCATGCATTCATCTGATCTTTCACCACTGGGCTCAGCCGGTTCAGATCCGGAAGAGCCATCAACATCACGCAGTTGTCCTACAACGACTGTAAAGCCGGATGCCAATGGATGGGTGCCTCCAGGGACTTGTGGATACATTTCCCGACCTTACTACCCTTCCTTCAACTCCGCCTTGATCTCCTGCGCCGCTGCAGTGTTGGTATTACTAGGGTTCTCATTACTGATATCCCGCTCGGCATATCGCCGTAATCGCCAGCTGCGAAATGAGGGAGGGCCGTCGTGGGGACTTCGTCTCTTTCTGCCTTGGATTGGGGCTTTTATCGCGACGTTTTTCTTGGCAGCCTACGTTTTGCGTGCATTTGGCACAAAATATCAGCAAACGCCGGAATTTGTGGCTATTTCTGACACCTTTGTCCTAATCTGCCCGATATGTGAGTCCTCCCCTTCGGGTACTCTCGCTCGTCCACACTTCCGTCGAGTTGTTCTCTTTCACGTATGTGCTGACTCACTTTGTCACGTAGTGATATTCGCGCTTGACTGCATTGTCCTTACAAGACTTATGACAGCTTACTGCCAAGATGGGAAAGTTGTTGGAGTTACCGGACGATTTCTCGCACGGGCACTCCTCATTACTATCCCTTTGACTGCAATCGAGCAGCTGGTCGCCAGTATACTTATTGCTCCGAAACATCGAGCTTCCTCTCCAGGCAGGAGCTCCAGCACGGCAATACTCGGACTTAAGCTCTACCTCATTGGCATCGGTATTCAGGAAGTCCTGGTAGTGTATGCGTTGATCATAGCAATACTAGTCTCCATGAAATTTGGAGACAACGAGACCGTTGAAACGAGAGCAAAAATGACTCATACCTCAAGCCAGCTATTGAAAAAATGGCGCTCGATGATGTACGCATTGATCTTCAGCCTTACAGCCATAGGAGCGAGGATAGCATACCGCCTGATTGAACTCTCTGGGGTCTTTACGGGGTATCTGCTGGTGCTAATGCACAACGAGATATTTTTCTATTCACTTGATTGTCTACCAGCTTTAGCTGCGTTGGGGATTTGGGCGATTGTAGGATTTGAGGACGTACTAGACCATCCGTCCCTTAACACCATGCCTATCGGTGCATATGCTTACCATGAGCTTAACTTAGAGCTCGAAATGGATCACGGTATGCCACTGGAGAGAGCAGATGTTTGAAAGTGAATATTGGCTACATAAATGTGAATACTAGATAATGTTAGTAGTACTATACCTGGAGACAAGGGAAGCGATATTCCTGCCCAAGTTTGAGGTCAAGAACGAACAAACAGACTGATGAATGCCGAAGAATCCTAAAGTGGAACATCTATGGCTTTGATGCTGTCCCCATGTTAATGTGTCAGTCAATGTCGGCTTCTCAGGATGGAAGTCAGATCCGACGGCGCAGAGCGCTCGAGAACTTATGTTCCCCGCTAGCCTTCATATGTAGCCGTTGCTTGTATCCGCGCATGATAGGGAAGATCAAAGCCCAGAAGCAATTATGAATGGCGATTGATCTTGGCGTGGCTTATTCAGCCCTGTTGTGAAGAAATCAGGATCGTATTATATGCCAGCCTTGTCTGCAAACATCGTTTCCCTTGTCAGGCCCCTCTCCGCGAGAACAGAGGCTGCAATAACCATGTTGAAAGAAGTAGTGAAGAGCTCTGCGATTGCACAGCGCGTCATCTTACCAAACACGACGGTTGAGGTGATCGTGTCCGATATCCAGTGTTCTTGCCTTGAAGATGGCCAGGCTCTGTGAAAACTTTGGGCCCATATGTATATTGCTAGGATGGACGAGCGGTGGTGTTGGTGAGAATTTGATCTCCCGGCACAGGGTCGAAGTCACCATGGAAAGAGTATTGGGATAGCATGTCTACTTGTCCAATATTAGCGATGATATATATATCGAAACCAGAGTACTCGCCATTTGCCATCTACCCGGCCGTTGCATTTCATAATTGCTCAATTCGTTCCTCCCCTGAAGCCTTGTGCTGGAGCGTTCGGAGAGCTCTGACAATATGGCGCACGTGATAGAGACAGATTTGCACGAGGGCCGAGTCCCACCTCATCTCATCTTGCACTTTGTATTGATCAGCAGAATTCAGAGTAAGACGAGATACTAGGACTCACCAAGACCATCATCTTCTTTACGAGTGTCGGAGCTTTACGGGCTGTGCCCTACCATTCAAAAATTTGTTCGCGCCATCTAAAACTGATTAGGAGCGAGGAGCAATGTCGTATAACTGCAGAGTGCTGAACTCCGCAATGTCAGTGGCTGTCCAGGTGAGCAAGAGTTGGCGATACCTCGCAAGAAAACTCGTCTTTGCGTGAAGAAGACGGCTGCTTCGACTGCTGTGTTTGGCTTGTTGAAACCCAGGAAATATTGCGAGGAGGTGCACATTGAGCTTTGCTCCCCTCCCTCATCTTACAACATCCCCAGTCGTCAAGAAACAACAAATACCAGCTCAAAGTACATAACCATAGCTAAACAATGAGCAGAAAGACAATGTTGAGGACCAGGAGCTTCGAGCTGTCCAGTCCGGCAGGGTCCAAAAGCAGAATGCAACAAAAAGAAGACAAGAAGTTTATGTGAAAGAAACAATAGAAATGGACCAAATAATAAGAAAACAAAGGTGAGTAAGAAATAGCAGTTAGTCACTCCATAGACCAGTCACTAATGAAAGATATTCAACAACAGAGTCATACTTACCTCTCCGGACCTGCCGTTATCTACTTGGTGCTAGCAGCAGGACTGCTCTGGTTGGTTCGAATCGAGGGGTGCCACGTGAAGGCACAGAGTCAGATCTTGCCGCCCGGAGGACTTGACCGAGAGACGCTGGGGTAACACGCCAGTCAAGCCCTCAGAGATCCCTGTCGATATCTGCACTTTCAGCAATGTTGATTAAAGTAAATTTGTGAATGTGTGAGTGTGGAATGCCGACAGGAGAATATGGATGATTCTCTGCGGCCAGCTCCTGGTGCAACGGCTACACCGGTGCCAGTTGGACAGCTCAACCGGTTTGCTGTTTGTTCCAATACTCAGCCTCTCAGGCGGACGGACTCATGGTCTAGACGGCAAATAGACTACCCACCCCACACACCTCTTAAGTCTCAAGTCCCATCACAGCACTGGTGCCCGGGCTTGCTTGATCTCGGCCCATGGCCATTTGAGCAACGATGTGGAAGATCATGAGCTCCGGGAGTATGACAATGGGCCTTATGGTGTAGTGAATGAATAGAATAAAGAGATCTGTGAAGGTTCAGTGGCCGTAAAGGCTTGAGTGAGCGAAACAGTACTTACTTCCATCCGCACTGTGAGCGACATGGTTTACGAAGGCTGGAAAGGAGCATGACATGCATCTGCGAAACCTTGAGTTCTAGTGAAGCAAGGCTAGCGGCGAGATCTTTCTGCACGAGACATTATCTGTGCTTGTGTGGATTATTTGGCATCTGGCAGGAGGTAGCATACAAGAGCGGTCGACGCCGAGCGAAGATGTAACTTACCAAGGCTCAGTTTGTTGTCACAAGGAGCCAAATGCCTGGTGAGAGAGGCAAAGAGTGCGATATGGTAAAAGGAGTAGAATGCCGATCGCTAGATTGACCGTCGTTCCTGTAGAAGGTTGCACTGTCAGCTGATTCGTCCACAGTGAGAGTGCCCCGACACTCACACACGGCGACACGTAGAGAGTAGCTACCGCATCGCACAAAGCGTTGCGAGTATAAGATACTCCTATGGCTGTACTATGAGTTACAGGCTACTTGTTGGAGCTTGCGGCTCGCGCGACGTCGTGGCGACGCCGGGGGAGCTGCGGCGATTGCGTTGCTCGAAGGAGGGGAGTGTACTTATAAGAGCTTCCTCATAACTGAGGGGCATAAAGGAGCATGTTTATAATATCCGAAGCGTATTAGCAAGAGCCCTGCAGAAGGCAGAAATGTTTTGCAGTTGTTGTAGTAGAGTGAGTGGAAGAAAGGAGAAAGCAGAGGTTGTTTGGCTTTTATGTGCGGGAAAGAACGCACAGACTAGATCAGTCCAAAGCAACGCGAGAGCACAGTGAGGGCTGTTTGTCTATGCCGGTGTGAAAGAGAGTCAGAATCCCCAAGTGCACCATCAGAGGTCTCTGCACAGACAGGGGATGGGCTGCACCGAGAAGACAGGCTGCAAGAACCTCTAGAAGAGCTTGTAATCACATATTCAGAAATTTTCAATGTACCGAGACTAGCTAGAATAGAGGCTATGAGACCCTAGAGTCAACGGATAGTGTGTGTTGCCTCTGAGACCGCCGACAACAGGAAGCTTGCCCATCGACCCAAGCCATGAACGCCACCACATGCTGAGCAGCTCCCGTGTCGGCACTAGAACACCAAGCCTACGCATCAATTGAGCTAAGAGAGATTTTCTAGTAATGCAGGCGTAGAGATTCAGAAGAACACAAAACGCACTTGCGCAGAAGTCGAGCGAGCGCCGCAGAAAGGTCTACTCACTGGGATGAGCAAATAGATGAGCACACAGTTAATAAGACAAAAAGAAACGCATGTCTTGTTTAATTATCTAGCAACCTCATCCATAGCTTAAAATACGCTCAACTGTAGGCAATGGCATGCGTGAAGACAGCTGGTTAACGATTGGAACCTTGCCGCTCCACAAGGACCTGCATCAGTGGGACAGGGCAAAGAACCAACCCAGGAGAACCAGAATGATATGGATTGCATGATACAGCTATGTAGATTCTTACTTGTCTCTATGGGTTCTTTTGATATGACTGAAATCCGCCCATGGTCGGGCTCAACACCAAAACGCCGCGCGCCAATCGATCAGGGAAGAGTACCAGCGCCGCTTCAGCAAACCCTGAGCCAGATATCATATCTGCCATTGCTCCATAGATATAGCCGACTACGGGCGCAAGGAAACCCAAATAGCACGCCTCCCGTAAGCGTTGGAGCGGCGGCTTCAATGTCTCAGCGGACCATCGTCCATGCCTCTTCCAGTGACAAAATTCAAGCAGAAATTGGTCAGTCATTTTTTATGTTCTGTAGCTCCCCAAGCGTGATATCATAACGCGACTCTGCTCCAGCTGGGCGAGATTAGAGCACATAGAGAGCACACCGGCCGAGTGCAATGACACAATGTGCGATTGCACCTTTCTATGACCTTACAATTCTATCGAACACCCGCTGCTTGTTGGACAAAGCTTTTATTGACCAAGAGCTCGCGCTTCTGGCTATGTGTGCCCGACTATCTAACCTTTTTGCCCAGGTATACCCCAATCACGTTCAGGACTACGCAAACAAAAACCCCTCCTCCGCGATCACGTTGTACTTGATCCCAGCGCCGGGATATTGCGTCGTTATGCCGGCCGCACGGCAGGCCAGGGAGGAGCAGGAGGACGAGACCCGCAATGGCGACGGCGAGCGCTAGTTTCGAAGAAGGAGGGCGCGGTTGCGGAGTTGGCGGAGGGCTTGCGGGTTTTTAGGAGGGGCTGGTCTGTCCGAGTAGAAGACGTTTACGGTGCTGGCCGTGTGAATAGCGAGAAACGGCGGAGGCTCGTACGACGAGGTCACTTGGGGGAGGAATTCGGCGAAGAGCATTGTTTCTTGGACAGCGATTGAGGGCGAGAATGGGTTTGCGTGGTGCGTGAGGAGCAAACTTAGCTCTAGGGAAGCTGTACGTGGGAGTTCTTCGAGCCCAAATACTCGAACGCAAAAGGTGGCCAGGTCGACGGCCAGCCCGGAAGTGAATCCAGCCCCATGCCTTTAGCAAAACCTTCAGCACAACAGCGTCGGTACCTTCCACTGTTCACTGCAACGAAGCCCCTTGGTCTCCCCCAGTTCGAAGATCGGGTCCTGAAAAGTTTGACAATCCTTCTTACGCCATATCAACATAAGCCCTGGTAGAGCAATTCTCTATACTGCCACTGACGAACTGCTCACGTCTCAACGCACAGTCCTGATGGCGTCAGGATGGCTCAACCGACCGCGTCTTCTCTACTGCGTGTACGTAATTCAGCAGCATCTCCTCGTCTTTTTCAGTCGCACGCCTCGATTGAAAATGCCTTTCTTATTGAGTTCGACTTCGACGGATTCACAAACAAGCGTCCCTTCGGATCTTGCCTCTCGAGCTCGCATTGCATTCGCCGAATCGCAAACGCAATCGTGCACTTCGGAATGATTTCCATGCACCATGACCGGGACCTCGAGCTTATTGTTGATTTTCTTCAACGATCACCAAGAGAGCTTGAAGTACTATGGGATCTCTGGGGAGAACCCTTTTTGATCATCATCGCCAAGTGAGTGTGCAACACGCGCAGGAACAGGGCAACATGCCTTGAAGTGAGCGGTAAAATAGCTAAAACTCTGTAACCGGGACTGTCATCTTGCCCTGCGAACCGTTGGGCTTGTTTTGGGACACGAAGTGGCAGGATGTTGCCGTCTGTGAGCGGTTATGTTACAAATGGGATTTTTAGGGTTCTGACTGGCCCCAAAGTCTGTCCGTCAAACACGTCAGCTGCCCTAGTGCATAGCTCGGCCATGATACCCAGCACGTGTTGGTCTTTGATCATCTCCACATGGTTTCTAGTGTTGCACCATCGCCGTATGCTGTCAAGAGACCTTTGCCTCATCACAATCCATCTCCAAGACTGTAAATAATACCAATCAGAGCTGAAGATTGACAGACCCAACGTTTGACCGCTCGGTGTGGCTGTCTGCAACCGGGAGAAAGATGGACAATACCCGCAACATTGAGGAACAAGGCATCTGTAAGGCTTTTAGCTCCGAAAGTACCTGTACGATATTTGAAAAGAACAGCTAGGGCTCAGCACAACTTCGGTCCTGAAATCATGCATTGCGAACCGCCCAAGAAAAGAGCTATTGGCGGTCCTCTCCACGACGCTACACTCTTTGCTTTTGTCATCTTTGCCAGGGCGCGCATCAGAATTGGGAAATGGGGGCGCAACTTACCCAACGACCTTGTCTGTTACAAATAAGCTGAAAGGACTCGTCGCATCGAAGCCTAGATCGTTTCAAGCAGTCACGCGATCGATAAGGTAGTGACTGCTGAACGGTCAACGACTGGTCTTGATCAAATACACTGGAACTATCAGGGATAGGTGACTCATGGGTTTACGAGAGGTGTAATCGTGCATAGCGAGCCGCCTGGTGTTCTAAGCCAGGTTGGTGGGCTCTCTGCAAGCGCCAGCACTCCTTTCATCACGGCCTTCTCTTGTACCCGAGACTCTCGAAGGGGATTGACTACATGCGACAGTGAAAGAGAAAGGCCGAAGCTTGGAACAACCGGCAACTCCACGTCGATCGCGTTGTTTCTGAAGAAAGCAAACCGAAGGAATGAATCGAAGATTGCAAGATCTATCAGGATATTGCCAGGCGATGCCATGAGGTGAAGTCGTCATGACCGGCTTACCAGACTATTGCTGATTCGACTGGTCGGAAATGGGAAGCTCGGAAAAGCATAGCAACTCTGGACTCTTTCCCTAGCACTGCTGTAGCAGTATCTTTCGGGCCTGTGATCAAGTGTCAGCGACTGTCGCCTCATTGGAACTCTGAGTACAGAAATGTACGAGCGCGATACACCACGGCCGTACAGCAGATCCGAGGATCATCTACGCTACCATGGAACCTATCGGCAACGCCACCGGACGAGGGAGAAAACAAGCGGGACATCAGAAGATGCGAGCTACCTATAACCTAGACCCAGTTGCTACACTCTATCATCAATCGAAAACGGCTGCCTGAAATATATCGACACGGTGATAGTTGTTTGATCTGGGCCTCTACGGTCGCATATCGAGCACGGTATGGAAGAGCGAGCCCGACGGAGTGGCGGCCTTGTCAGGAAGCAACGAAGTGGGCTTCCCATGGTCGGTTTGAAGCTCGATCTGGGCGTTTATCTCGCCGTCGCATCAAAGCACAGATTTGGAGCCGGTAAGAAGAGCGAGGCGTGCGGCGTGTGAATTGAAGATATACTCGGGGAGATCGCACGTGCTGGAAGAAGGTACGCGATCCTCGAAGGCCAATCCTCGGGAAGAAAATCCCAGCGACCTAGGCAAGAGTTAGCTCTAAGCGACCCGAGCATACGATTGATGGTGGAGAGCTCGAATGAGGGAATGGACACCTACCGTGCTCTGGTCCTCAATAACAATTGGCAACGGGCTATCCGAGGAATAGGACGCCATGCCCGCAGAGCCAGGAAACGCAAGAGGCAGTTGCTTTTCCAGGGTATAGCAAAATAGTTCTCTCGATATGCTCGTTGTTAACCCTCGCTGCCGCTGCGTCATTGCGGTGTGTATCGTGGTCTTCTTCAACACGATCCTCCATTGAGGTATAGCAAGGGGCCAGCAATACAGGCTTGAGGCATACCACCTGCAGAAGATGTTAGAAAGACTCTGATGAGCTGAAATTATCATTCGGGAGGTGCTGCATATCTTGTTTGCAGTCGCAACGGCTCCACGCCCGCGTCGAAGCAAGGCAAAGAAGCGTCTCCCCCAGCGACAAGCGATCGACGACCGCATGAGCCACAAGAAGTTGATTCTTAGGATCTGAGGAGTCATTAGTTACTCAACTAACTTCATAAATGTGAGCTATAGCTGTGGTACCGTTGTTTCGTTGGCGAACGAGAGGTCGGGGCTCGAGCGTTGCCGTCAAACGCGAAATTCAGCATCATCACGCCGCTAGACGAGACAACGAGCTATGTCGGGATCTCAGTAGCAACTAGAGCCTTCGAAGCGTCCTGACAGTCAGTGTAAGGGTTTTGGTGAGCTTGCCTTGGGTGGCGGGGTTTGAGAGGGCGTCGCCCGAGCCGCCGTGTGGAGGTCGCATAGAGCGTCTTCTGGAGAAGTAATGAAAGATAGAGGAGAGATTTTTATGCAGGATGCTTTTTATACCGGGATCCAGACGCAAGAGTGTTGGTGGTGGTGTGGTGGTGTGGTTCAGGAGATGCACGACGGCCACGCAACACGCAACACCCAAATCGCAAATAGACCGCGCACCAGATTATTTACCAGCATAACAAACGAAGCAAGGACCAGGTCTATCCCCACCCGGTCAACGCTCCTGCCTGGATATTCGACTGAGCCCTAGGACACGGCATTATGCATACACAGTTTGCATTGTTTCCTAGCCATACAAATCAACTACGTTCATGTCACCATTCGAAGGACCGTCCCTCAGACATGTTCATTAATCCATATCTCCATTTTCTGACAGCACCTGGCCTGGTCTCGAACCCTTACAGATGCAGCTGCACCACTGATGCTCGGCAAACCTGACTGTACCATAGGGATCATGATCACTGCATTAAACCTCCGATTTTGCCTTTATACTCTCTCAACATGACGCTATTGAGCTTAATGAACCTCCGGCTTGCGTTGATGGCGGCGGATACGTGAAACCTTCTGAACCTATGGCGGTGAACTGTATTGATCTGTCGGGCGCCGTTGCGCAGAGGGAAGAATCTTTGCATATACGGCGACGCAGCAAGGGCCTGAAGCAGTCTCCCGAATCGTACTTTTCAATGCGCCCGACGACTGCTTCTTAGCTGAAACTCCCGTTCGAATATCGTGTTATACTCGTTGTCACGTTTTCTGCCTGTCCCGCTCGGGTTAGCAAGGTTCAAGTATGGACATAGAAGGCATACCTTTGAAACGGCGATTGCGAGGCGTTGGTGCCACGTACGGGCCTTGAGATTGAAATTGGGAAATCTGAACAGGCTGGGAAGGCGACGTCGACTGTGACGAACTCACCTGTGAGGAGCCTTGATGACGCTTCGAGGGTCTGTCCTCCAAAAAACGACCACCAGGTCCCTTGCGCTTCATCGTGGAGACTTCCGCGTTGGATCGAGGCGCTTCGTATGGTGCACCATTGGCATGGTCTGCAGAAGTACTGCCTTGATTACCATACGTCTTATGGCTGGACGTAGGGCGATGGACATAGTCTTGTGAACTAGATCGGGCAAGTCCAGATCCTACACGCCGAGACTGTGCATCTCTGGGGCGAGGAACTCGAGCCATCTTCGTAGTAGGCCGACAATCCCTTCCAGATGATGCAGATGGAGTGGTAGGAGCCAGCATTCTTGAACCGGTATTTGCCTGCGAATTGGGGCGGTCTTGAGAAAGAGATGACGCGCCGTGTAGGGAGCTGTGCGAAGGACGTCGCGGTGTCTCATGGCTGGGACGATTGTCGGGTGCAATCCCTCCGACTGCATGGTGTCTGTGATCGTTACTAGGATTGAGTCGTACAGTTCCTTGCTCGAGTGGGTCCATATCAATAAGTTCATCAGATGACGGGGGGTCCGAGAGCGCGCTGGAAATGCTGTCCGCTTTTCCGGAGCAGGTCATAGCCCTCATATTGTCGTCGAAGGCATTCACGGAACATGTAAGTGTGCGCTGAGGTCCTTGACACTCTTCTGCGGCATGCCCTATGAACGAGACGCCATCCTCATTGAGCATCTCGTAAGCCTCGAGTTCATCAGTGGCTTGAGCATTGATGATACTGGGCTGGTGTCCACCTTTCTCATGCGCGTGAATGTGATCGTTTTTGGCGTTGCTGACTTGTGACAGCTGTGTTGACTGCGAATTTGACATTCCTGCGGCGTTCACAACTGTCGTGTTAAGTCGAATAGGCCTTTTCCTAGCTTTCTTCACCTTCGTATTCAGCAAGTCCTCATTGCACACACCCATCTCTGTGGTGGAATGTGGGCGGTGTGGCTGCGAACCGCCCGCTTGCTCTGAGTCCGCCTTGCGGAGACGTGGGTCTCGTACCACCATATTGTTACTTAGTTGCTCGCGCGAGGAATGCTTTCGAACATTTTCTGGACGTCGCGCCTCCTGGACAAGCTTTTCGAATTTCTCCAAAGTGGTTTTCTTGTGCGCCTCAAGCTCGCGTGTCTTGTGCTCGGCAATCTTTTCCGCCGCTCTCATGCTAGTCTCAGCTTCGCTGATACGACGCTTGAGCTTGTCAGATTCCTCTGAGTGCTGTTCTGAACTTTCTTTCGACCTCTCCGTACCTTCGATAAGAGCACGTTGCAGTTCCTTCTCTTTTACTTCCAGGAAAGTCTGCAATTTGGCCAGTTCGAGTTGCATCCTCTCTTTCTGAGACGAGTACGCCACTTGAGCTTCGTTCAGCTTGATTTCATTGGCCCGGGATCGTACCAAACTAGTTGACAATTCCTGTTTCTCATCCTGTAGATGATTTATCCGACGTTGCAACTCTTCCAATGCGTCCATATCCTTCCGGTGCGCATCATCCCTCGTATCCAGTTCTTTTTTCAAGGTGTCCAATTTGAAGTTATCGGCAGATATCTGCGCCCTCAACTGAACGTGCTCTCTCTGCATTGCGTCTGCGCCGCTTCGGAGCTGTTTCAGTGATGTGGCGTTCTTCTCCTGGATTTTGTTCGCAGCCTTCATCTCGGTTTTGAGAACTGAAACGGTCACAGTCTGTTCGTCAAGTTGACTCTTGAGAAGATCTTTCTCTTGTGCAACGCTGGTTATCTTGGCAATCAGACGCATATTGTCTGCCTTAACGCTCTCGAAATCTTCCTCTTTAGATCGATGCACTGCCGATTTCTTTTCTATCTGTTGTTGAAGGTTTGCAAGCTGAGACGATAGCGAGGTAGCTTCATCAATAGCTGCTTGGGCCTGTTTCGATCGCTTGACTGTGTCTTTCCTCAAGGCGGTGAGCTCGGAAGCTGCTGATGAGGCTTCGTTGGCAACTGATCGCGCGTTTTGTAGTTCTTTTCTCATATAACTGTCTGATTCGCGCAACTTCTCCACTTCCGAAGTCATCTCGGACACTTTACTTTCCATGTGGCTCAGATCGTCCGCCAGCTTGTTCTTTTCCGTTCGCAGTTCTTCAAGACGATCGTTCTTACCGTTATTCTCCTGCCTGAGCTTGCGGATCTCTTCATGAAACGCAGTCTCTTTCTCCTCCAGGTTCACCTGACAAGTTAGCTAGAATGCCATCTTCGTCTGATGTAGACTGTCTTACCTTCGTGGTAGCCAGTTCCTTTGCTTGGTCCGCTAGTCGTTGTTGCATCCGGCCTAGCTCAGTCTGTGCTTCTCGCGATTCTTCTTTGGCCCTTTCGAACTGACTTCGAAAGTTTTGGTCCTCTTGTCCAACTTGAAGTGGGTCTGTACTATGGTTGCAGGCTTTAACCTTCCAGGCCTCGAGTTCGGACTTCAAAAGCGAGTACTGGGCTTTCGCATCCTGTCTCTCCTCCCGAGAGCTGCGCAAAGACTGCTCTAACTTAGTGTGATTTTCTTTCAGCGTCTCGAGTTCCTGATAGAGGTTGCTATTCGACTGCTGGGCTTTGCGACAATCGTCAATGGCCTCTTCATATTTCAACACGTCGGCACGTAGTGTGCGGAGCTGGCTGCATATATAGCTTTGGATTGCTTCCGTAGGATCTCGAATTCTCTCCATGGACTGAGTGATGCTGCCAACGTTTGAGCCAATACTACGAAGCTCATTAGCTGGCAACTAGTATACTCACAAAGGGCAGCTCACCTTTCCTGCATGGATTGTATCATTTCCTCCGTCTTCCGTATGTCTCTGATGGTAAGCAACGGGACTGACTGAAGACTGCGAATAGCTTCTAGGCATTCCTTCACACAGATGTCTCGCTCCTGCTCTGCCGACCTGTCGTCCAGAGAGCCTTGGATATCACCCGCCTTCTCGAATATGACCCGGTGATTCTCGTCCAGGCCTTTTTTTATCGCTTGTACCGTAGGCAAAATCTGCTGCTCAAGTTCGGAATACCTCTTCTTATCTGCATTATATTCAGCAGAGACCTTTTCCAATTCCTCGCTGGCCGATTGATGCTTCTTCTCCGACAGCGCGAGCTGGGTAAAACAGTCGTTCATGGCATCTTTCATGTGTCGCTGACTGGTGTTCAGAACTTCGACGGTCTGCAAGAGATCGTGCTGCAGCACCGATCTCTCTTGTTCGAGCTCGCGAACTGCGTCCTTCACAATCTTGTCGGCCTTTTTGCGGTGAACCTCGTTTTGGCTTTTCAGCCTGGCATAGTCGCCTTCCATGCCTCTCACATACTTTTGTAATTGATTGGTCGTTTCAGACATCTTCTGCATCCGAGTTTGGAAGTTGTCATTTTGAGATTGTAGGTTCTGTATGAGACAGTTCTGCTGAACGATAGTCTCATGCAGCGAAGTAATGGCAGTTTCATGGGCTTTTGCGTTCGTGTCAACAATATTGCGGGCTTTGGAATCACCAGCCCGAAGACAAATAGCCATCATGTTTAGTATGACCTCATGATCAGGCGAGTTCGATTGAGCAGTTCCGTCGCCCATGTTCCGCAAAGCTGGTGAAGCTGACGGTCCATTGGAGCGCTTTTTGTTTCGTGGTTTGCTGACGCGACTAGATGAGCCCCGGCTAGAATTCGCATGGAGCACTGAGTTCTGAAAGTCTTGCGAGCGAGTAGAACCAGTGGGATCGTCGGAGACAACGGCTTGAGCCTGGAACTGTGACGCACCGGGGTAAGCGATGAGATTCTGGGGTTGAGGGATGTCCTGAGTAGAATTTGTTTCAACATGGGCCTCGTGCACGTTCATATCGACAAAGATGTTGCTGAGATTATCATGTACACCTACATGAGGCCTCCCGTGACTATAAGCCTCGTGGTTCACCGCATCATCTTCAGCCTGATCATGTCCGAACATGATGACTTCGGAGTTGTCGAGGCAGCGTTCGACGCAGGATCCTAACCCCTTCGATGATTTATGGTTGCGAACATGTGAGGCAGGTGGTGTGTTTGATCCCGCTCCTGGTTCGGTCTCGCCACTGAGGTCTGGAGGTGTTGGACCCGGACTTGCTTCCGCAATTCCCTCAAGATTCTTGGTCACTGTAGCACCGTGATGCTGACCAGATGCAAGATCGCCATTGACATAACCATCCTGGCTCGGGGGAATGTGTTCATCTTGGCGGACAGCAGGTGTCTGATTTGGTGCTCCCCGGTAATAGTCCGGCATTGTTGCCTCCTCATCCTGTAACGTTGGCCCGACATAGTCTACCGTCCTGATGTGACCATTGCCCGAGGCGACGGAGCCTTGTCCTGCACTGTATTCAGCTCTCGGTAGCATGGCAACAGCGGATTGAGCGCGTCGTGCCCATTTATTTCGTCCCTTCTTCGTCTTCCATATTTTAGATGGACGGTGGGAAGGTGGTCCCTCGGCTGCGTGATTGGGTTCAATTGGGAATTGCTCGGGACTATAGAGGTGAGTTAGTTCAAATCTTATAATAAAGGCAGGTGGGCATCTAGATGTTCCACGTACATGATCTTCTTGTTCACTGAAGTACCGTGCGTGGCGATAGGGGACGCGTTCGTCAAAGCGTGCGATCCTATCGCAACAGGAAGGGATTGATTCTCGATAGATACTTGACTGCGTGTCTGAACGCCAGAGAAACCGGACAAACCATCTTTTCCATCGTGTTCTAAGAGTCGAATTAGTGTAGTGGATGCAAGAGTCCGGAAGGCACTTACGACTCGTGGGAGGCTTGCTGACATCCTGAGAAGCTGTTTTGTAAAGCTTAGGAGAAGGAAGTGGCAGCTTCTGTACTGTGTTGCCGTGGAAATTGGGCGTAGAGAAAGGATTGAAGGTAGATGCTTCCCTCTGTTTTGGCCTTTCAATCAACTTCCCAAACATATGATCTGATGGCGGGAAACCTTTCTTGGTAGGCTGGTATTTCGGGGAAAACGCTGAATCCGCCGTGCTCGGTGGCTCTGAATTCTGTCTGCTGATACCCTCCCAATTGTGCTCAACGTCACAAGAGGCATCCTCGAGTTGCACGTCGTATTGTGACTCCGGGACAACGCATTGACTCTCGGGCACCTGGTATTCACTTCTCTCGTTGTCACTAGACTCTACGGTGACTTCGTTACGTAGACCTGAAGGCTGCGAAGGGGGATAGTGCCTGCCTAGTTGGGCTCCCGTGAGATCAGACATCGGGTCGGCGGACCGGCCGGTGCGGATGCAAAAAGCACCAGCGGGCTTCGATTAGAGCAGAAGCAACTTGAGCACGGAGATTCGATGGGTATAGGAGGTCGATGGTACCAAGTTGGGCAGAAGAGTGTCCTGTCGCAGTGGAGGAGGGACAGAGTGGTTAGAGGCTGTCGTGGCAAGCACCTTCGGCCATCAATGAGGAAGTCACGATTGCCGTTAATGCATCCCCGCATCCAGCTGTCTACACAATCGCTCCAAAACAGGATAAGACAGCCCTCAAATGTTACGTATTGCAATGATCTTTCATAGCGTCGATTTTGGTCATCGTCTCCCCGTCGCTGAAATGACTCAGTCGTCACCGTCGGATTTCCTCACATGTACACCCCAGATCCATTGCATCGACAGCGATTTGAAGCGCTTCAGCTCAATTCATGAAGTGTCGAGAGTGAAATGGCAGATGTGGCCCGTGTGCGTACCCTTATATAAACCATCTCACTGTGCGCAAGTCACACACACACCCCAATCCAAAATTCTCGCGATTGACTCACACGGATATGAGCGTCAATGTCGCCCTGTCAGAAAATACCATGGCCTCAAAAGCGACCGCCAAAGCCAGCCATGTATCTCTCACCGCCGAGCTCCTCGTGCTGACTTACGAAGCCTAATCTGGAGGTTGAAATTCCGAGGTCACGTGGCCTTGGATCAAAAGTGCCAAATCGCTACGGAACTTTCCAATCTGGCTTCTCCCACGCTAATAACTCAGCCTAGTCATTGGGCCCCTCGGCTCACCATGGAATTGGAGCTTATCAAGTTATTCTGACTGGCAAGCCTTGACCCCGACTACGTCGATTCGAGTATAACATTGCCACGAAAGCCATCAGCTAGGGCGATATTTTGGGATCGATTCGCGAGGTAAAGCTTTTGTCACAAATGGACCCAGGTTCCACTGTATGCCCTCAGGAGTGGCTCACTGGATTCACATTTTGTCGCAACGTCGAAACCTTGAACATTGTCTTCAATCCCAGAGCGGTCATGGGCGAATAGAACCCGATGTTTCCAAACTGTCGCCCGAAATGTGCTCTTCAGCTGCTTCGCGAGCGCGTGCTGGAATACCGCACTCGCCGTCTTGCCCGCTATGTCGGCATATTTGAAACCCCTGCGGAGGCGAGCAGGCCATGGAGGTACGCGATTTCAAAGCCCTTCCAGGATTACCACACACTCAATCAAGAGTATGGCTCCAGCTTTGAGACTAAGCCTGAGTTCAGCAACCCCAAAGACGAGCACAAGTTCTTATCTGTTGTCGGTAGAAGAAGTAATGGAGCGTTTCCAGTTGCACAAAGTTCTGCAGTGCCGCCGGACGAGGAAGATCTGCCTTACTTGCTCTACTCGAAGCATGCTTCACGATGGCTTCGGCGATGGACCGGTGCAGGCTGGACGAGGTATGGTGGTCGATGTGCGAAAGTTAGGCTTCTATCGACTGGTGAGTAGGGTGGCATGCTGACTACAAAACGAGTTTGCTACGAAGAACATGCAGTGGGTCTTCATCGAAGTGTGCGAGAAGATTCGAGACCAGCCAAACGGGTTTTCTTAAGCAACGTTGATGTTGCGCGGGTAGGACCTTCTTGATGGGACGTGCGTCGGTCCAAAGCAGCTTACAGTAACGACTTCTGCTCACGGTGCTTTTAAGAATTAGTGCTAAGAGGCTTTAGAGGTCCAATACGCGATAAAAGTTGAGCTGGTACCCCTCATGTGTCTTCGATGTCGTTGTGATCGTCGTATCGTCTCTTCGATTTCCTTGCGCCGCCCATCTTGTCATCTGTTGCCAGGTTTGTGTTTGCGGAGCCCCCCACATGAGCGCTCATTCATCTCACAGCCGACTGCCTATCCACCAAACGTCCCTACCATCTGCGCCGTCATGTGTCTGTCGCCCCGACTGAAATTAATCGCCTCGTCCCGTCGTCCCACGTTGAAGTCTCGGCTCATCCCCTGCCGGCAGAACACGCAGCCTGGCGGCGCTTACACACAAACCACCAGCCAATCAGACGCGCCAACGCACCCCTGCCGCTGCAATGTGACTCTCCCGACTCAACACCATGTCCTGGATACGCGCCCGTCCTCACCAATCCGCATCGCATATCATACCAAGCCCTCAGCATTGTGACCCAGCGCTCGCAATCTGAATGCCTGCTGCCGGCAGACTACGCGATCCGTCACACTGGCAGCATGGCTAACCGCCCGTGCAGCATGCTCGCGGGGTAGGGCATACGATGGCGCGCAAATATAGGGACGCCCGCGCGCTGATGTGAGGACACTCGATTCCTCGCACACACGGCACGCGATTGTGGTGTTGCCCTCGTACCACCGGACCCCAATACAGCCCGTCGATCCTGCTCCCCACTACACCACCCCGAGTCACCATGACTGGGGCTTCTGCTGCATACTGGCTGCTCTCCGTCCTTGTGCTTGCACAGAATGCCGTTGCTCAGGACCCGACGCCGACACAGAACACGGATACAGCCGCTCACACGCCTAATACAGGGTACAATGGCGGCGACGACAACCCGAAGGACCCTAGCGATGCGGGAGCAGCAGGTACACAGCAAGGCGGCTTCTCGCTCTCCAAAGGCGGGCTGGCAGCCATTATCGTCGTCATAAGCCTTGTGATCATACTTGGAGGTAGGAACTCGTCGTTGCATTCGCCTAGTAAAATCAACGCTCACATGCATGCAGTTTCCTCCGCAGTGCTCTTCTGGCTCGCAAAGAAGCGTCAATGGGACGTCCGCCAGTCTCTGCGCCGCGCTTCTCGCCGTCTCACAGGTCGCTCGACCGCGGATCTTCCTGCTACGAAACGCGAGAATCGCCGCACCGGTGTTCGCCTTGCTTCGCCTCCCGCAGGGCGAAGGAAGCAACCCGGCCAGGAGAAGGATCTTGAGAAGGGACTCTCGGAGAATCCGAAGCGGGGAACGACAACTACAAAGATTACTAGCACCTTTGATGTAGACACTCCAACGCCCAAGGCTCAAGGCTGGAAAGGCTTGACGCTGCCGGGCAAGAAGTGAGCGAGGAAAGATCCTTCACTTCTCTTTCTTGACACACGAAGACGACGTGAACCAGCCCAGTCGGATTACTGCCCTGCAGGGTCTTGGTCCTATGATTGCGGCGCCTGGTCTTCGGATACTTTCCGTATAGCAATGCAGCCGGATCTCACTACCTCGGGCCCTACGGTACGGAGCCAGCTCGATTCTGGGAATGCGCGACAGGGCGATACGCAATAGCGGCTGCGGGAACAGGCATTGGATCTCCGACGTTGCAATGTTTGTGCAGCGTTTACTGTACAATTTGTTAGATTTATCACATTGATATCCACATCCGGCTCAGCCAGATTCGCTTATGCTGCCCGCATCTCCCTTTGAACGACCCAGTATTCTAATCTTGCACAAGATGTTGGTTACGCTATGCCGCACTGCCCAAGCCTTTTGTTTCGTCTCGCGCTCCACTGATGCTCGCCCAAAATAGCCTCAAACAAAACCGCCCGCGTGCCACAAGCCGCCAACGCACATGTCTCGATCAACTCTAACCACCATGCTGGAACATCGGAACGATATCGTGATCTACGGCGTAGTTCCGCGTCGATGTCACTAGATGTCACTGCGCTGCGCTAACGCAATCTTCATGCTCACATGTGGCGTAGTGCTTATGCACGAAGGAGCCCATGTAAGACGACTTTGTTGACCAACTGAGGTCTTAGAAATGGCCGTCAGCTGAATCGCTGTGGCGCAGGAGGCGATAAATAAACAACTACACCACACGCGTTTTGATTTTCAGCTTCTCCTATCTCAACATAGCCGCGTTGCATACGCAGATAGACAACATGAATTTCGGCAAAATCAAGGTTGCCATTGTAGGCGCAGGTAAGCATCGCATATTGCTCAGAGCAAGGATTGGAGCTAAGACTCGCACAGGTCCTGCGGGCATGACTGCACTGAAAGAGTTCAGGGACCTTGGCTTCGACGTTACGGTCTTTGAGAAACGAAGCGATGTGGGCGGAGTCTGGGCTTGGACAGAGGACGCAGAGTCCACGACGGCTCTGAAGGAGACGAAGCTGTGCAATAACAAGTACTCGGTAAGATTGGTTTCCTGGGTATCTGGACGGATATTGACCAACTTGCACGCAGCTTGCCTTGAGCGACTACGCCATGCCCAAAGGTAAAGTATCTTTGCTATCAGCCCAAAGACAAAATTGCGTCACAGATACTGATACTATTCATCAGATTTCCCATGGACAGTCTCTGCCCCGGAGTTAGGCTCCTACTTCAGCGCTTACGCAAAACACTACGATCTCTATCCCAACATCCACTTCAACAAGACTGTGACGAAACTCACAAGAGATCACGCCAACCAGAAATGGCAACTCAACTTCGCTGACATTCCGTCCAACCCTCAATCGTTTGATAAAGTTGTCTGGGCGACCGGGTAAGGACCTTTCCATCCGTCTGTTCCAATCCCTTAAATATTGCTCACAGCCAAACAGTGGTTTCGTAAAGCCAAAAGCTCTCACCCTTCCCGGCCAAGAAAGATTCAAAGGCCGCATCTTGCACTCCTCCCAAGGACGCGACCTCTCCGCATTCAAGAACCAAAACGTCGTCGTCCTAGGCATCGGCAACACAGCCGCCGATGTCGCCAACGCACTCGTCCAACACTCCGCGGGCAAAATCTACTTCTCGCACCGGCGTGGCGCCAGGGTTTTACGCCCTTCCGACGCAAAAACCGGAATTCCCTCTGACGTGATGCTAACCACCGGCCTGGTCCCCCTAACCTGGTTCCTGCAAAAGCACTGCCCCTCCGTCTACGGCTGGATGATGGACAGCGCTGTTGCGCAAAACTTCAAAGAAAACTGGGGCGCAAATGATCCCGCCTGGGGGCTCGCCCAATCCCCCTCTATGGGCGACGGCCAGCACGTCGTCGTCTGCACGCAGGACCTCGTGCCCAACATCCAGGCTGGCCGCATCCTCTCGGTGCCAGGCATCAAGCGCATCACGGGCGGGTCGACTGTTGAGTTCGACGACGGCCGCACAGCCACAGACGTCGACGCTATTATCCTCTGCATCGGCTACACGGACGACATGGACCTCGTCACTGAAGCAATCGACATGACAGCTGCAGAGGGCGACTCCCCGGCATTGCCCAACATGTACATGAACATTTTCCCGCCCACTTACGCAGACTCCTTCGCTCACATCTCCCTCACGCACCTCCTCGGTCCCCAGATCCCCGGCCGCGTCCTCGCCGCCCTCGCTCTCCCACAGATATGGGCCAACCGCTCCCCGCTCCCTCCTACCTCCGAGATGAGAACCTGGATATCGCGCCACCAGTCTTGGCTCCGCACGCGCATCGCAAAGGCAGGACCGAACGGGAACGGCTATCAAGAGGTAGATAATGGGGAGTGGAGTCGTTTCCTGCACGACGCGGCGGGGACGGGGCTGTATGAGCATGTGGGGTGGGGCTGGAAGGCGTGGGGGCTGTGGTGGAGGGACAGAGAGTTGTATCGGGCTGTGAGCGGGCTGCCGATTTGTGCGTTTACGTATAGATTGTTTGAGACAGGGAAGAGAGGGGTGTGGAATGGGGCTAGGGAGGCGGTGCTAGAGGCGTGGAAGGATCTGGAGGTGTTGAAGAGTCAGGGGGTGAAGAAGGAAAGGTAGGGTTGAGCATGGGTAGACGGACAGAGGCGTGTGTGCGATGAGCGCTTGCGAGACTCAGGCGTCCATGGTAATACACAAGATTCCATATAGGTGACTAAGCCAGGATTCCCCTGCCAAAACAACAGAGGCCTCACGCGTCGTGTCCACCTTCGTCCCGCGCTCCTCCAAGGCCTACGGCGCCACTAGGCCTGGCGATGTCGCTACATGCGCGTTTGACAGATGGTTCGAGAACACAAAGAAATAGACAAACTCCATGAGCACAGGAATCCATGTCGCGACGGCCAATATCTGCCCAAAGTTCCACTCGGTATCCCGGTCAATGCCACCAGCATCGTGTATCGCCTCGGTGCGCAGGTACCACAGCCACGTAAGCTGGATCAGCATCATGGCGGTACTCAGCGCTCTGACCGCGAGGACGCCCCAATTCCTCGGGCGTAGAGAACCCACTCGCCATCCTGCAGACGCTCCCGACCGTTTACCCGAGGAAGTGCTATTCTGCGCCTTCCCAGCTCTCCTTCTCCCAAACAAGCGGCGACCACACAGCACAGCGATGCCCACCGCCGGCAACACCAGCATCAGCACGACCAACGCCTTTACATACCTCGGCGCAACCATGTAAACATCATGGCTAAGCCGTACATCCCACACATGGTCCTCTCCGCCAAATTCGAAGTCCGGATCCGTGGTCCTGATACCTTGGGTAAACACATACCATACCGTGACCAAACAGAAGAGATACAGCAGGCACCCTAGCACGCGGCGAAACCCGTTCCTGCCCTCCCAGCCAGCCGTCATCTGCTCCGGCGTACGTGGCTTACCTTTCCAGTCTGGCAGCAACGTGTGCACGGCCAGCACAGGAAAGAGGGAGAATGTCGGCGCGAGGATGAGAAGCTCGTTCATGTAGATGTCCACGAGGGACTTTCGTAGGTGGTGGATGGCGAAGATGGCGGCGGCGGCGGTGACGATGGAGTAGGAGAGGATGGCGGCGGTGGCGTAGAGTGAGTGGATAGAGAAGGTGGTTGCGTTGTGGAGGCGACTTAGAAAGCCTGTGTGTGTCCGACGGAGAAAGCTTTGTGAGGACGGGTTGGATGGGGCGAGGAAGCAGTGTGCCAGTAGATATAGGAGGACGAGGAAGGCTTCAATCGAGTATGATATCATAACCTGGGGTTTTTTTAGTATCAGCCATGGTGTCGGTCTGTGGCAGATTGAAGGTTGAGTAGGAAGGTCAAACACAGTCGGACCTACACCTGGCCCCGCGATGTCTGGATCGCCCGCCGTGAGAAGCTCTTTCCTCAGGTACTTAGAGCACCTGCTCCTCGGGAACTGCAGCATTTGCTGGTAATGCCGATCGTTATGGACAGCTGTAATATTCCCACTTATCCTCGTTGCGTTGGCGCAGAAGGACATGGGCCCCCCGCAATACCAGTGGTTGAACTGACACGTCGACGGTCGCGCACTGTAGGTATCGTTCTTGGTCAGTGTACCATCAAGATACGTCTGCGCGTCGTCTAGATCTAATAGGCAGTAGTCCAGCTGCTTCTCTGGGCGCGAGTTACATTAGTGAAGCACACTGAAGACCACAGTGATATGGACGTGAGAGGCATACTCGTTCGCCACGGTTTCACGTACTTGTTGTACGCAATGCACTGCCGTTTTGCATTAAACTGGGAGAGGTTGGGTTGCCAGTCCCCTTCCGCCCAATTGCCCTTCTCATCTTCGCTGCAAGAGTCCCAGGTAACGTTGGCGCAGGTAATCGCCGCCACGATCCTTGTAGCAAGAAGCAGTATGAGGAGCAGCGAACTAGAAGTCTTCGAAGCTCCCAGGGTTGTCATTGCTTTTTTGAACTGTCAATAGATTGAATAAGGTGGTTTCTATATTCAAAGATAGGGTGATGGTTTGCAAAAGCATAACCTGACGGTCCTCCATCTAACATCCTCCTGGACTCCATCCATACTCCTCCCACAACCTGGAATGCGCGGGCTCTCGGCGCGCCGTCATAATTTCCATAGCACCATACGGCCAACATAGAATTCCGAGGCTGTCGAGATAGAGGATCTCAGCTGGTGCGCGGAAAGGCTGGGGTCCAAATGCTCGCCCTGTCGTTGGTGTTGTAAATCTACCCTTGTTGTTGCTCAAGCCACTGATGCAATCTTACCGATCTAATCAGGAGAGGAAGACACATCTACAGCCCTGCTACGTTCTTGGCCAATATATCAACGAATGACCAAGGTTTGACTTGTGTGAGGATGCAGGGAATCTACTAGATGTCGCAAGCAAGCAAGATCGCATGACACGAAGCAGAGGCAAAATTGAAGTTGTGATCGTGAATTCGTGCTTGTTCTGAAGAGGTATACGCAGAAACGACTCGCAAAAGCAACCCCATGAAACGTCAACATCAAATCTGCGGACAGACTCTCTTTCTCTTTTTGATCCAAAAACCATCCCCTGATGTAAATGCAGTCCATAATAACTCCACTCATGAATCTCCCAGTCGCTCGGAAACTCGTATATACGCCGACCAGCACCATTTCAGGCGTTGTATTGTCCAAACATCAGTCCACAGTCATCCGCAGTAGGTCTTTACATGACGCTACAAGGGATGATGCAGCAGCTGCAGTCATCGCCACACCAGCACGGCTGCTTGACGGGTCCTGGCTTTGCGATTGAGGAGGCGGCTGAGGAGACGGTTGAGGCAGGCATTATGGCGAGCAGTGCGGGAAGCGCGGGAAGTGAGGGTACTCGACGTCAGGAGATCGCGCGAGAGTGAGAGTAGGTAGATGGTGCTGGCTACAAGGGTTCGATCAGCGTTCAGCTCGCGTCAGGGGGTGATCGGACGGGCTATCTGGGCGCAATCGAACGTACCGTGGATGCGAGTGTGCTAAGTGAGGGGACGAATAGCGAGTACTTGGAGTCGGAGTGGAGGAGATATGGTTGCAGCAAAACAAGGCGATAAATACGCCCCATACCATGCGGTTGGCTAGCCTGCGCAGCTTGGCGCGGACGCGGTGGTGACGTATACGGTGGCTGTGCATCGTGGCGTTTGTCCCCACCCCAACGCCCGCAGCTTTGTTGTTCTAGAACCCAGCGGTCGCGCTGCGAACATGTGGGAGGCGTGGACATGAAAGTCAAACTTGATGTGCTACACTTGCACATCAATTCAATGGGAGTCATGATAGAGACTGCTCTCATTTGGTATTGCTCTACCGGAACTCTATGTCAAAAGAAACCAACCCAGACTGCAATGGGTATTGCCGACATTAATGACCGCTGCACACATCCTGATCCGAACCATGGTGAAGTGGTTCCACGTATTGCTCCTACACATCCCTCCAAGTTGGTTCGTTACGTTCGTAAGGAGTCTTGACGGCTGAGACGATGCGTTAGTGACAGGCTACCACCATGTAAGAAGGCTTACCATGAGAATCACCAAAAGGATCATCGTCCTCCTCCTCGGGCTCAATTTGCGGCTGCTTGCTTGGAGCAGGTGCTGGTGGCATGGGAATGCTGACTGGTCTCGGTGGTTTGGCCGGAGGAGCATCATCCATGCTCAACCCAGCCATTGACGAGCTAGGTGCAGATGAGTCGTCGTTGTCACTGTCGCTGTCGTCGTCTATACTCTTGTCCATGATCTCGTAAGCCATGAGAGCCTTTACGAGCTCATCATTTGCATTCAACAGACTGCCAATGTATTGCTCTGACTCTACAAGCTGAATATAGCGCAGGATCTGGCGCCGAGTGAGCTTGCATGTTTCGAACCGGTGGCTGACTTCTGGGTTCTCGCTGACACGTTGCACCTCGCGGTTGATGAGTTGGAGTGCATTCATGAGACTGTTGCTCGCAACTGTGGCCGAGGCAATGGTTTCAAGTAGCTGACCCTTCTCCCTTTCCAGGTTGAATGGCTTGCCTTTGTTTTTCTTGTCCTTCTTGTCTTTCCTAAACAGCGAAGAGCTAGGAGTTGCGGTAGCACCTAGAGCAACAGTCCGCCCGGACGAGGAAGAAGCTTGCGGGAAGTGGGAGGGTGGTGAGTTCTGTCGATGGGTTGTTGGTGATGCCGGGGGCGACGACGAAGCGTTCTCACGTTCCGCTTCTGCCTCATTCTCACGGACCACGCGAGACTGATGCGGTTGTGGTCGCTTCGTCCTAGGTAGTTCCTTGTAGAGCGTGGCAATCCGCTCGAGCCCTGGGGTACCTTTGTATGCAACGGCCCATTGGCGGAAGAGAACGTTGACCTTGTCGCGCACCTCCTTATCCACCATGTCATCCTTGGCCATCAACCTGAGCCGTTCCAAAAGCGGTTCATCTGCAAAGCCCTTCTGGAACCTTGAACCCGCATTCTGTATCAATCCATCCAGGATGATCAACGCCCGGAGTTGGCGGTGAACGTTTCCATACTTACTAGTCCCCAGGTTAGAATGGTCAAGGTCCACGAGCCGGTAGCATACAGCTTCTTCCGAATGGCCCGGGCCGCTTCCGTGGGACCAGAGTCCTGGATCCGGATAACCTCAATGAGGTCGGGGAGTCCACCAATATCCTGCATCATGCGTCAAGGTAAGGCTTTACCATACAGAACAAGGTACTAACGTTTTCTTCGTATTGCTCGCTGGTTAGGCGGTCAATTTGGACCGTGACAGCCGAAAAAGGCTTCTTCTGTTTGTGCATCCATTGTCTTAGTACTTTCCGAAACCGTCCAAAGAAACATAATGGGCAAGGCGTCTCAAGAAAAGGGGCATCCTCGTAGGCATTGGGTGTTTTGTGATGATGCAGGGCTTGGCGCAACTTTCTCCGCTTGCTGGGAGGAAAAGGCAAAGGGTTATCGGTGTTCTGCCTCAAGGCTGAATGCTCGTCTTGAAGTCGAATCTCTTTGCAGTCCGTGCAAATGACGTATTTCGGAAGCAGCTCTTCCTTCTCGTCCTTCAGGTCTAGCTTCTCGGCGTAGGACATAGCAGTCGCCATTGCAAGCTAAGGGAAAGGACAAGGCTGGATAGGGCTGGGATGCAAAGCTCGAAAAGAATATGGTGGCGGGGGACGGTCGGGGCAGTGAGGGGCTCGACAGTACGTATATACGAGAAACGCACCCAGGATGACTTACCGGCATGTTTGAGTATGAGATCGAGTGGTGTGAGGCCTTAGCCGTTAGCTAATTGCTATTAATGAATATACTACTTCCTGTGCTGTCGTTCTGATGCGACGATCCACTGTTTGGGAGAGGCCAAATGCGGGTGGGCACAGGCACGTTGTGGCGCGGCGTCAGATCGCGTTAGAAATGAGGTCAGAGGATGGACTGAGGAGAGCCGATGCTGCAGAAGCGTGGGACGGCAACGCGGGACCCCAAGCGGGAGGTCTGACAAGCGACAAGGAGAGACTAGAGGCTGACCTTCTGAAACGTCGGTACCAGAGAGCGAGATAGGTGGAAGTGGAGTGGTGGAATAAATAGAAGGAGATAGCGTTTACCTCAGCGGGCTGTGAATAGATGAAGTAGTGAAGGCAGGAGCTGCGCAGCCAGCTTGTTCCAGCAGCCGCGACCATGCGCCCGCATTTGGCGGGGCAGGAGCTACCCACATGTTTCTGACTAAGGAGGGGCACGCGCCGTCCTGGCGCACGACACAAGACCTCAACACCATTCACGCGTCGTCTTCACTCATGCGTCATGCAAGAGTGATGACAGCGTTCCACTTCCGCAGCGCTTGCCAAAATGACCAAGTACCTGGACTCGGACACCGACACAATGCAGATCGCAAGTAATAACGCGTAGGCGGCCCGCTGCGCGCTCACCTTGCGTTCTCTCGACGTTGTGATGGCATCCAAGGTACTGACAATGCACTTGCAGGGCACTACTGAGCGATGCATCGTACATCCCCTCCACTGCGTTCACGCCTATCAATCGGCCTGGAGCGCAGCTTCTGGGCCCGCAGTGTTCTACAAGCTCAAACAAAACGGGCCAAACGAGGGCGACTGACGGTGCTGAACAGCGACACCATCCTCTCATCGTGCAGTACCTAGGCCTGGGTAATGACAAGGAGCCAGCCCATTTGCAGAAGCTTGCACCCGCGATACCGCCAATGCCACCCACCAATCGAAAGAGGGGTAGAAAAGCGAGAGAAAGCAAGAGTCCCTCTAGAATAACTCGTTCGGCGCAGCCCAGAAGCTCCAAACAGCGGCGTATATCCGATGCTAATGTCGGTGTCCGGGTCTCGAAAGTCGCGTCGAGTGGTACTTGCAAGAACGTGACTGCTTCCACTGTTGCGCCCACTGCCACTCAAAATGCCAGTGACCGTCCTGTCAAAAGCGACAGCCATACTAAAAATGTGCGGCGGTCTGTTCGTGGTGCCCATGCGACTGCAAAGCGTCCTACCGAACTGAAAAGTCTCGGCAAAACGACCACACCTGCCCAAGCCGCCCTTGTCAATCGTTCGCCGAGTTCCGCTTGCACACTGGTCGCGTCCAATGCGTCTCGTGAACTACCGTGCTCCGAGGACCAGACCCAGGATACTATCGTTGATGAGTTTTTCGACGATGTCTTTGATTCTGTGGATGTGGACAGCATGTTTCCACCGATTGCACTTGAGACGCATCTTCCAAACGCACGTGATGTTGCGGACAGCTCGGCTACTCTCTGCGCACACGATGTCGCCCTGCTTTCATCCTCTGATCTGACAGATGGCTTCAGCTCCCCATTGCAGCACATTGGAGACCGGGATGCGCTTGAAAGCAGTCTAACTGGCAACGGATCTGCCGTTCGCAATTCTTTCAAAGGCGACAACGTGCAAGGCCCGTACAGCAAGTTCTCATCTCCAGTAACGCGAAAAAATGAAGCTCTTCTATGGAAAGAAGCCTGGAGCAATAGCCATGCCACCGACCGCAAACCCATCGTCAGACCTGCGTTTCCAGATTCAGTCCGTGACCGTTCGCCTGTCGTTGGCTTGTCATCGAAATTGGTGTTGAGGTCCTGCTTCCGTGTCGGGGAAGCAATCAGCCAAGCTGGCAAAGCGATGAAGCAAGGCCAGAACCTTCTGTTCGAGCTCTACGCTAGAGTCCTTTCTTCAGAACGCGATGCCGTCAAGCAACATTTCGTCTTCTCGGATCTCTTTCATCACCGGCCACCATACCTGCAGGGTGAGTATGATGCGGCCATCTGGAAGAACGTGGAGCTATTCAATTTTGATAGCGGGCGTTTCCTGTCGACAGCAACGATATGTCGATGCATTGGTAGAATCAAACGTAACGAGAGAGATCAGACGTGGGTCATGGTGGTTCTCAACATTTGGGAGGCAACATGGGAAGACATTGACTGGGCTGAGGGGGTCGTCAACTCGTGAAGAATAACTCGCCACTTCGCTTGGGGTCATGGAGGAGATACAATCTCGTTGGGAGTAGTATTCAAGAGGTAGGAAGTTCAGCATCAGGTCCAAACGCAACAGGATACCCAGATGCTTGTGCAATGCAAGTCACGCATGTCCCGATATACTCAGCCAGGCAAGCAGTGGTTGCACATCATGTAATCAGGGTGTCGAAAGGCGTGGTAATTTATCGGGCACTGATTCGTTTACAAGGCCCAGTGTGTAAGCCAGATCACGTGACGCTCCTGGGCACTTTCCCCGCTTGAACCGACCGTGCAACCGCGACGTCGACTGCCCATCTGCCACTGTCTGATATGTTCGCGTACTCTGACTTCTTTTGCTATATGCCAGTGTCGCCACGAAAAGCCAAAACCCGCTATGATGCCGACGTTGGTGGGCGAGACCATACCTGAGGTCGCCGACGAGCGCGACCAAGCCGCGCCTGGCCTGGAGCCAGTGTGCACCCCTCAGAAGTCGAAGTCGCCGAAAGGGCGCTCGCTTTCGGATAGTACGCCGCATCTTGAACCGTCACCCAAGTTCCGCGAGCCCATACGTGCGTCGAAGGATGACCACACCATTGTCGCCAGCCCGCGCACGCCCCGGCGACCAGAGCTTCTCTCCAGAGGACTGTCGCTGCAGATGCCCTCTCGCGAGACGCCTATGCCCAGCCCCGCACACTTCGCAACGCGAGTTCCTCTTTCACCGCAACTAGATTCTCGCAACACGTATGCTTCGCCTGCTTCACTTCTCCCGCGTCGATCGCGCGGCGCCGAGTTCTCACGAGCCTGCACCCACCTCCACCACTCGACCCTCGCCGAGCAGTCGTCGCCCGACTCGTCGCCCACCATCACACAAAAGGGCATGATGATCCCGTCCCGCAAACCCCGGGGCAACTCGATGGTTCTAGACTCGCCTAACATTGGCCTGCAAACATGGGGAAACAGCGGCAGAACAACGGCAGCGTCGAGCTCTGTTGGCAGCATCAACATGCTCGGGTCGGACGATTCTAGCAGTGCGTCTGACGAGGGAGACCCTATGGATCCGGACGACAATGATGATCCCATGTTGATGACGCCGCAGGCGGTCAAAAACCCGCCGTTTGGGGGACCGCCTGTGGGAAGCAGCCCTGGCATGTGGTCAAACATGTTTTCCCCGGGTCACATCCCTACCTTTATGAGCATACAACGTGCGCGATTGCGCAAGGGCCGGAGTAGAAAGAGCTCCAGCTCCGCGAGCGGCCACAGCTCCCTGGCGAGCCCAGGACCGACTTCACCGCCGAATGGCAAAAGTGAAGGCTACTTTGCGCGAGAGACGGCGATTAGAAAAGCGGGGTCAGGATCGCGTCGAGAGAGCCTCTCACTGTTCACCAACGACCTTCATATATCCTCCGGCAACGACAGCGGGGACGAAGCAATTCCTATGCCGCAGACCCCGGGCGTTGTGCGTCGAGCTGTGACCCGGAGAGGCAACTTACTTGTGAGTGATACCTGCAGCGTAACTATTACTTACCCGCTAAACGTGGCAGCCAAAATCGCGACAATTCGGCCGCATCCGAGCCGAGCTCTTAGAAGAGTCTGCACCTGTAGACAGCGAGTTTCGCCGCGAAGCCGAAATCATTCGCCAAGTACGGGAAAGTGATGCAGATCCGATCACAGCGCAATCATCACCGAACCTACTACCCACCGTTCCCGGTCTCGACGGCCCGCTGGAGGGTGTACCTGAAGAGGGAAGCGAGAGCGGTATGAGCCTAGATAGCTCCACATCGAAAGGCTTGTTCGCTGCTTTCGGACAACCGAGAAACAACTATGGCCGAGGGTTCTGGCAGCGTGATGGCCCTGCCCAAACGCCGCCTCCTCCGTCCTTCCCACGCGCTGGATCCTCCGCAGTCAGCGAAGACATCAGCATGGACTCTCCAACAGTCTCGTCGACTTCTACCTCCCTTCCATCAGGGACTGCTACTGCGCATTCTGATGGTTTCGTGCACCCCAGTTCCGTCTCCCGCTCGTCAACGCCGCAGCCTCTTGCTCCGTTGACCGCAGCTGATGGACTGAAGAAGTCGAGCAAGCGACGCAGAGACGACGATTTGGACGAGTACTCGATCAAACGGCGCGCTGTATCTCCTGGCCTCAGCGTACATAATAGCCCGGTGCTATCGCAGTCTCCCGCAAACCGCGACTTATGGGGTTCGGCGAAGTTGGCTAAGGAGCCCTCTAGTGGGACCGTTGCCAGTGGGGAGAGATCTAACAGTGGATCAAGTGTGACCATGACCCCATCGCTGGGACCCAAGAGGATTGGCTTGCAGGGCATGACCGACACTAGTGATGGATTGATGAAGATGAGCATCGAATGAGAAGCTGTGGTTTGGAAAGGAATATCTTCTCTGTATACTTTAGGGCTGGCGGGCATCGCCCGTGGAGTTTCTGGACAGCAATGGACCAGCGAAGTCCACCTCTAACGACTGTAGCCATCTCACGTAATGTATATACCCAAGGCTTGAAGCTCGTTCTTAACAGACCGGAAATCCTGCCAAACGTGGTTCATTTACTTTTTGCAGACCACTGCATGCATGCTTCGAGGATACATCGTATCGCTTAAGCTTTGCGTTGGAAACCTTCTTCCAGCAATCCATAACTACATGTAGTTTCGTCTCGGGTGAATGCCGTTGCGCGACTAATGACATAGTGGGGCGGACCGACCCCTGCACCTGGACCCCTCGCCAAGTGGCTCCCGCTCTCCAACCACGACCTCCACACGCCGCAGGCATTCGCGATTGCTAGCCCAAACCAACCTCAGCGCCTACCCATCTGTTTTGCACGTTCACAAATACACCAGCACCATGTCAAGATCACAGGCCCTCTCTTCCTTCATAGAGAGTGCCCCACCAGGCGAGGTATGTCGCTCTCACCCCCCACCGGACATGTACTCACAACCCATAGCTCGGCGACGTAACAAAAGGTACGCGCACCACCCAGCTTCACTCCAACTGCGCTAGTCGCACACATCGCCGCGTCACTGACCATCCATAGCTATCAAGAATATCCTGGGCGAAGACTCGGTACAGAGCGAGCTGGAACCTGCGTTTCAGAAGCACAACGAAGAGCAGTTCGCCTTGGTTAAGCTCCCGGGAAGCAACGAAAATGTCATTGTCAGTCCGTACAACTCGCTGGGCGACGGCCGGTACTACGACACCGAGAACCAGAGCTCGTTCGCATACGACCATGCGAGCTTGGGTGGCACCGCGAGCGACGTGCGGAGTTATGCTGTCGAGAGCAACCACGAAGAACTCGTGTAAGACTCCAAGCGCCTGCAATCGCAATGAGCGTCGTAGCTCAAATCGAAAGGAAGCTGACGACAAAATATAGGAAGGGCCTCCTCAAGACCCTCCGCAGCCACGGCACAGAGCACTACCCCAAATACCACATCGGCGTATACCCCACCTCCGACGACTCCCAGATCGCCCTCCTCACCGTCGCCTCCAAGTACTCGCCCGCCAACTACTGGAACGGCCGCTGGCGCTCGTCTTACCTATACACGCCTTCCTCCGCCACCATCACCGGCACCATCGCCGTCGACGTGCACTACTACGAGGACGGCAACGTGCGGCTGCTCACCAACAAAACCGTGAACGCGAAGGTCAGCGGGAGCGGAGCCGCGGATGTGGTCAAGGCGATTGCGCTGGCGGAGAAGGCGTACCAGGAGGATCTGAATAAAGCGTTTGGTGGGCTGGCGGAGGGCGCGTTTAAGAGTCTCAGGAGGCAGTTGCCAATTACGAGGCAGAAGATTGAGTGGGAGAAGATTAGTGGGTATCGGTTGGGGCAGGATATCGGTGGGGGTAGGCGGTAGTGGCTTGGGGCGGAGAAGGTGCAAGGAAATGTGGTACGATGGATCCTGAGTAGAGCTTGACATGGTCTCACGCTTGGGAGATGAACATTTCCATGTATAGAGCTTTTAAGCTTGCTGACTGGGTATATTCATTTCTTTCCATTGTGGCTTCTACCCTTGGTCTGATCCAAACGAGCTGCGATACTGTCGGGTGGAAGGCCCTGGGCAGCGAGCCACGGATGATGCCTCCTATAATGCTTCAAACGTGCATCCTGTCGTTTGAATACGTGAGAACAAGAGTCCTCCACACATGAATAGAATTGTTCCCTGTCACCATGCTTCTGCCGCCTGTGTCTGGCAAGGTTGCCCTTCCGATACTCTCCACTGTATTCTGAACCGCAAACCGAGCAGTAGACTGTGTCAAATGATTGAGAAGTACTGTCGGCAGAGGAAGACTGCAGTGCTCTATCCTCCAGGTCATCTTGTTCTGAGATTGAGACTGGACTTCTACTAACGCGAAGTTCAAATTGATTCTACTAACGCATCGGTCAGTCGACATGAACAAAAGGTGCAAGACAACTCACAAGATTTTCCCCAGTCTCTCGATCTAGTACTTGCGCATGTGCGTGTTTGTGTTCCCCATAGGCGGTATCAGGCACGAATTGATAAAGGCGCGATGATCCGGTTTCCTCCTGTATGGAGGGCCTCTCATCCCGCGTATCAGTGGCGTCGACTGAAAGCAGAAGTGAAGATGTTAGAATAGCTGATAGGGTACGAGGCCATCAAACTTACTTGTGGGTGTGATTTCAGGTGCATCCGTGTAGTTGACCAGATTGGAAAGCTCCCACCATTGTCTGTTAGTTGCTTTCTCACCTCGTGCCTGTTCCCGCGGATTGTGACATTTCTCGCCCTTGTGGCCATGATTCTCTTCAAATATCTGCTTGTCAGTAAACTGATAGTTGCACGTATGACACAATTCTAAGAATTCAACGTGGCCGGCGCGCTTCATATGGCGCCGTACGTCAGCCATATGGTCGGCGTCGACACCAGTGCATGAGAATACGGTAGCCCCTTGAGCTCGCTCTGCCTCGCGCTTAGGGCATTTGAGGGAACGTCTTGGTGGTGTTGGGCTGGGATCGTCGTCATTATATGAGTGTTGTGGCTCATTGTAATTCATTACACTGTTTAAATGCTGCCGTTGAATTTGAAATGATTGAGGTTTCCAGGAGTTAGATGTCGATGATGAAGAGTAGCATGATGTGCCTGGAGATGTTGTAGATAACGCAGGTGTCGGAGACTGTTCGGTTTAGTCAGGAACGACGTACCATGCGTGCGCAGGAACATACATAGCTCATCTCTGCCTGAAAGGCATTGCCAATTTGAGCAATTTGAGGGTAGAATGGCCTATCCTCGTATGGACTGGTTGAAGTATTGGTTTGCCTGAAGATGTCGTGTTGATATCCCTGGTGATCAATGCTGCCAAAGTGCAGCGAGTAATACTGAGGGGAGGCTGGAGACTCGCTATATCTAGTATCCTGTACGTGATATGGTGATTGTGCTTCTTGGGTGTAGTGAAAGGGAAACAAGTCATCCTCATCGGTCGATGTTGTTGAGTTGGCCTGAGTCGAGGACGAAGGACCCAGCGACTGGTCCTCCATGGTACAATGAGGGACGCTGTAATTGAGCGAGATGGAGGACTAGAGGGCTTCCCATCGCGGGCACATAGGAGATTTAACCACACGGTCTCTAGACATGATTGGCTTCTCTTGCGCGGTCGAGGGGCAGACATGCGTGGTTGTCGAATTGTCGGGTTGGGTTTTGCAGGGTTGTCGACTTGTCTAGTTGCCCAGTTGTCTAGATGCCTTGTTGCCTGATTTTCTAGGAGCATCGTGAATGAATGAACCATGAGATTGACAGGAGACGGTGAATTCAAGAGGGTAGTGGGAAATCAGGTGGCAAGTTGTGGGGAAATCCAGGCGGGGTGTGTGATTTTGGGGAGACGGACGTATGATGCTACAACAGATTAGGCTCATGTATACGTACGATTGTGATATAAATTACTAGATTTGAGTGATTCGTACGCCAGGAGAGGTAATTCTGGTTCAATAGAGAGTTTGGGGAGCAAACGTTTCGAACAGGAAGGGATCAGTGCCCGAAGGGCCGATGAGTAGTATAACAGGGATGCATGCTTCGTCCTTGGGACTAATGGGTTGAGGCGATGATGGAAGATCTGCAACCACCAGCGACTTCCTTATCCCTCTGATACAGAGATGCTAATCAACAAGGAAGCGCGTGATGACCAGCCTTGTCCAATCTTGTCAAGGCATCTGGCGACGCTGTTAGAAGGTCGGACTTTGTGTAATTATATACGCTGAAGATAGCAGGGCGATGACTGTCTCCTGTTGCGCCCTGAAAAGCTTGCGATGGGGAGGTGGGACGATGGACTTGGTGGCTGTCAGGTTGCACGGGATGGGCTTGCCCACTTGTCTAGATGCCTTGTTATCTGAACCTGTGAGGCGACCGTAACGATCCGGCCAATGACAGAAAACATCCGACGAGTTCGTTCGTCCACCGAGTCTTGCACTGCAATCTTAGCTCCGACGGGGAGCTCCAACACAGCCGTGCCTTCGCCACGCAAACTTCTACGGTGGACGTATCACTTCGGCCTTCATGCGCGGCATATATCCGCAGTGCGAGCGCCATCTAGTTCGATGCGCCGGTGGCTTAGACGTAGCTTAATAGAAAAGATGCTGGTTGAGGACAGTGATGATGATCTAAGCGATGAAGCACAAAAACATGAGCACCAGCTAAGTGCGCGATAGCCAAGAGTGTCCGAGGGAAATGAAAAAAGGTGCCAGCCCTATATTAGACGCTCGACAAAGAATGAATTCCAAGAAGATGGATATGCAAGACCAGGCGAAACTGGTGTAGGACGGTACATGAAGCTGCATATGAGGGTATATCGTTCACTGTGAAGGGCCTCGAGGTAGGCAAGGATCAGCAGTGTAGGGTGTCTTTCAGCAGAGTCCAATATGCCAAAAAAAATCTTGAAACTTGAACCTGCCGCGAAGATTTCTCCCTCGGGGTAGGCAGCGTGATGCGTCAAGAAATAGGTATAGAAGTTGGCGCCCGGTTTCCACTCTCAAGATATGGCACATAGGACAGGGTCAAAGAAATGGCACGGACGCCCAAAGAGGTGCTCGTTGCGGTCCCAGAAGTGTGAATTAAGCGCAGGTAGCAGCCAACGCATACAGTTCACGGCTGTTGGATGGTCAGGCCAGGCGTCCGAGCGACGCGACGCGCATGCCCCACAGCCACAGCCACATGCACTGGCATCCGTCATCCGTAGCAGCTCGGCGCCGGTGGGCTCTTCCGGGCTCCAACGTTGATCATCGATCACGCCGCCCGCACAAAACCGCTGGGCTCCTCTCGCTTCCTCCCCAGCACCTGATACCCCGAGAAACCCCGCCAAGATGCCCTTCTCAATCAATAACCCGCTGCCGTCGTCTATGAGGAGTGAGTGCCTACCGCTGCCATGTTATGACGATGACGTCGCTGACAGCACGCAGGCGAATGTAGGAAGGCTGGCAAGATCCTAGCATCGTTCGTAGACCCGCGGCAGGCATTCGGGCCCGACAAGATCATTCCGCCCCAGGTGCTTGCGAACGCGAAGGTACGTGGAGTGAAGCCTGAGACAGCACCGCCTGTTTTGTGGAGCTCCAAGCACCGAGACAGCCGAGCTTGGGAGCTGCACCACCGCCAAACCCGCGCACCGTGCTGATTGTTTCGAACCACAGGGCCTCGCGATTCTCACAGTGTTCAAAGCCGGTTTCCTCGGAACCGCGCGCTTCGGGTCCGGCATCGTCGTTGCGCGACTCGCTGACGGCTCGTGGTCGGCGCCCTCAGCCATCGGCACCATCGGCGGTGGTTTCGGCGGCCAGATAGGCTTCGAGCTTACCGACTTCGTCTTCATTCTCAACGATGCGAGCGCAGTGAAGACGTTCGCCCAGGCCGGGTCGCTCACCTTCGGCGGCAACGTGTCGATAGCCGCGGGGCCTGTGGGACGCAATGCCGAAGCAGCCGGCGCGGCGAGCTTGCGCAGCGTAGCCGGTATTTTCAGCTACAGCAAGACCAAGGGCCTGTTCGCCGGCGTCAGTTTGGAGGGCAGCGGCATGATCGAGCGCAGAGATGCCAACGAGAAGCTGTATGGCCGCCGGTGGACTGCGCGCGAGCTCCTCGGCGGGCAGGTCCCCCCACCGCCCGCCGCAGAGCCCCTCATGCGCGTGCTGAACTCCCGCGTCTTCGCCGGCGTTGCAGGCGCCCAGAGCGCAGACGCCATGTACAACGACATCCCTGTGTACGACGATACGCACGACGACGTCGTCTGGAATGGCCGCCGCGGCTCAGCAATGGGTGAGGGTGTCCGCACAAACCGCACAGGCTCCATGGGCCAGGCAGACGAGTACGAATACCGCGACCGACCGTCGCGCGCGTCCACGTGGCAGGACGACGTGTACGACCGCCAGCCCGTGTCTGCCGGCATCAACCGCTCCTTTTCCACGCGCGCGAACCCCAACGAGACTTTCGACCGCTTCGACAACCGATCGAGCAGAGGCTCAGGCTTCGGTGATGATTTCGCAGCGAAGCCGGGGCGGCCGACGGCCCCGAAACCAGTCTTCAGAAGAGACAGCATGAAGCCGGGACAGGCTATCGCCAAGTTCACGTTTGATGCAGACCAGCCCGGAGACCTGGGCTTCAAGAAGGGTGAAATCATCACCATCGTCAAGAAGACACAAAGCGAGGCAGATTGGTGGACAGGCCGGATAGGCGACCGGGAGGGCATATTCCCGAGGTACGTACTGCACTTGGTCTGCGAACGTGGCTATGCTAGACTAACAACGACAGCAACTACGTCGAAGTCGTCGACTAGAAATGGACAAGCTCCGACATTCCGCCAGCGACGACCTAAGACCCATCTCAAGACCCTCCACCAACAGATCCTGCACCCTCGCCCCTTCGCTACGTTGCCCTCGTACGATGGTTGAGGCAGTCTCCATACTCCGATGCAGAAGCACCCCGCCCCTCGCGATTCCGCCGCGCCTTGCACAGTGTCTCTAGACTCTCGACCTCAGACATAGACGGCCACTGAAACCACTTCTCCCTTCATCCTTGTTTCCATCATTGAGATTCCCCGCATCTGCCCATCGCCGCACCGTTGGTCCATCTTCTCTTCCTTCGTCCAAAATTGGTTCTGCTCTATCTACCGCTAGGGCATTTCACGGCGTTGTACTAGGGTGCTTCAACTTGGCTGCTTTGTTCTTCTATTCTTACGTGCAAAGTTTGGCGCTGGGTAGATTGAGACTTGATTGAGACTTTTGGCGTCAAAAGAGTTCGTATCTTCAATGAAATTGTGCATACGAGGGCGCTTGGTAGATTGATTGATGGTGCGTGTGGTCATGGAGAAGTCGATGACATGGACCGCTCGCTAATGGTCGGTTCTAGTCGACCATCATAAGACTACATGCAGAGACCGTTCAAATATATGCACGACAACGGCCTAGCGCCTCCTATGCAACATCCCGAACGTCCAGATCATGATTCGAGAAGATAGAAAGTGGAGTAAGGCCTTGGTGGCTTCGCAAAAGTCTGAGTACGCGATGTGACCTCAGGAGGAGCCATGCAGCACCCACGCTTTGACAGCACTGTAATGGCGCTCAAGCTTGCTCACGTGCAAGTAGTGTTGCCGTCTGCAACATGCACATCGAACCCGGGCCTAGGATGCGCCGGCCCTCACTTCCAGCTCCAGCGCCCACTCGCCACGTACTTGCCCTTCACCTTGCTAGCCTTTCCACCGGCACGTGCATTTCGTGCAGCGGGAGCAGTACCATCGATAGAGAATGCCTCGGCGGAGGGAGCCTGCTCGGAAGGAGCCGCGGGCGCGGGCGGAGGTGTGGTCGCGTGATCGGTGACAAGGTCGATGCCTTTGGAAGATGTTGGTTCTATTCTTCTGTATGGGAAAAACTTGCGTACTTACCAGCGGGGTCGCCGTAGAATACAGCAGTGTTCGACGGGAAGGAAGGTGCGGATACGGGATCCTTGCCCTTGTTGACAATGGTCTTGTCGCCGGCTTGTGTGGTAGCCTATACGCCTACCCTATGTCAGCTTCGTTCATTTGTTGCTGTTGGGCATCTTTACCCTTGTTGGCGGTCTTCTTCTCCTTCCCCTGCGCCAGCTTCATCATCTGGTTCGGCGGTAGGTGCTCGTACTCCAGTGCCCGACCATTGCGGAGTTTGGAGTACGTGTTCCTTGTCCTGCTTCAACAGAACATTCTTCCGTATCTGTTTTGTACCAGGCCAACTTACACGATCAGCGCCCGCTAATCCTGGACATCGAGACAGCCGGAAGGTGTATAGGTCGAGGTGATCACGTCGAAGTGATCGAGTTCGTCAGACCCATAGTCTTTGCTGAAAATAGCCTACGCGTTTGCTGCAAGAATGAGTTTGTCTGCAGGTGGCGGCGCAGTGGTGGGAATAACATACCGAAAATAGCCTTTTTGTGGCGATCAGGTCCTGATACTGGGCTCGGGACTGGGGCGACATATTCGCCGGATGTGGGCGGAGTGGGTGGATAGCTGTCGGCGTGGTAGACGTGTGATTGTGGGGATGGGGCGAAACGGGCGGTATGTAAGGCGTGTTCAGGGGACGGCCGTATTTCATCAGATACGCTTGCATGACATCTTGGTAGTCTGGGTGCAGGTGATATGTGTAGCAGATTGGGTGAGCATCTGGGCGCGTTCGTTGAGCATCTGGGACAGTGCCTCGTGGCTGCTCGCGCGCGGTTTACGACCGGGTCTTTGAAGCCATGTTCTAGGCGATGATTTGTGCAAGGGTGGGGTTGGCAGCCCAAAAAGGTGACACGCGGTGGTTTTGGCGGTAGAGGGTGCATGTCAAATCTCGGGAGGTGGTCGAGCACATAGAGGCAATGCTGATATAGCGAGCGTTGCCTCGCGCTTTCTATTTCAGGCTGCCGATAGTCATTGCAGGCGCGAAGCACACCACGGATCAACCCCAGAACTCGCGATCTTGCCCGCTACAGTTTCGCCTGGCCATGGCCTGTCAATGTGAAATAGAACTTGACCCCACACATATTGATCCATCCATCACCACACAAACCTGCCTTATCTGCCCTGTCCAAAATCGCATGAAACTCCCTCGTCCCATTCACACCAACCGTGACCGACACGAGACCCTCTCGCTCTCCGTCTTGGCCGCGTACAAACCCTAACCTCGCGTTCGTAAAAGCCAGCAGGTCCCTACTTCTTCCAACGCCAAAGACTTCCTCCCATCGCCGAGCAGCAGCCTCATGCCCTAGATCTCCAGGGGCGAGCCTCAGAACACATCCCTCGAGGTTAAGATGCGATGTGCGCTTCATTCCCTCTGAGTACTTTGCGTAATCGGGTCCACAAGCATGCCATGGCGAGAATCGATCCTTCAGCGGCGTGGGGTTGTTTTTGGTCGACGCGTGCGAGTCCAGCTCCACCATCATTCCACCTTGCAGCCCTTTGGGATGGTACTGGACGCATGCCACATCGTCGTTTTCGTAGCCCCAGATGACCTTGGATAATTGATTAGCTTCTATGTGCTCGCGCCGCTTTTTTGCATCTTCGGTCTGCATTATGATCATATAGCCGCCATCGCCGCGCTTCTCCAAGAGCCGACCTGCTGTTGTGTTGTTCTGGACCGGGGAGACAACTTCTATGATGTCGCCCCCAATAGGGACTGTCCTATGTCAGATGGCGACAGGTGTGATGAAGATATCATGCGCACCGAGAAAGTTCTTTAGTCCAAACTGAGCTACAGCTGGGTCTTCGAATATGACTTCAGTTCCAATGACATGCGTCTGATATAGTGTCAGTTGTGGGTTGGTGTTTCTAACCATGCGGACGTACAAGCTCGCGTCGCGCCTGCTCTAGATCTTTGACAACCAGGGCTATTTGCCGCAACCGCGTTGGCGTATTGTTCGGAGATTGTCTTCGCCCCGGCATGATACGTTTCAGTCTGTGTATCTTCAATAGCAGCAACGATAGTTCTGTATGGCAGCAGAGGTTCTACGTGCCGCTTACTCGCCCTAGATGAGATGAGCGCCTCGGTTCAGCTTTCCCCGCATTGCTGCTCCAGCGGGAAATCACCACCGGCTGTGATTGTCGGTGCTGCCTCTTTCCGTGGGACCTCGGCGGAAGAAGGAATTTATGTAGCCAGACACTGACAGCACCGATCTTATGAATAGATGGTATTTCTGTGTTGCTTGCTACTTGTATCGTGAAGTCAAGCGACATGTCACAGCTACCATCCGAATTAGGGAAAGCGGGAACCGACCACAAATGCATTGGGGCCTCTGGCCTCGCGTCATAGTCTCTCATCTCCTCACCTCGAACAACATCAACTCGAATGATCTTAGTCGTCAAGCGCATTCTTGGTCTGCCTTGCAGAGTGCTGCTATTATGGCTGTTGTACCCTCGGATGCTTGACGAAAGCTGTAACCTTCGTGGCCCAGCAACATCGGAGCCATTGTTTTCAGATGTTTTCAGATGTTTACAGATGCCTTCACGTGAATATACGCTTCTAAACATGCCGCTTGAACCTTTTAGTGCCCAAAACGAGCCTCACTGCCTCACTACCGCCAATATTCATTGCCAAAATGTCACCATGTTAAGGGCCTGCGCGTTCCGTTGACTCAGCAAGTTGCTGTAGACGCTGGCTTGTACCTCCCAGTCTATGAAGAGAAAGAGAATAAGACCCGAGAATAATCGGTTGCATGATGCGGGTGACTTTCTAGGGGGCATACACACTCAAAGCTCGAGTCAAAGCGGCTTGAAGCCTCACCGGAAGAGCGTAAACCCCAAACTCCTGGCCTCACAACGGTCCCTCACCACGCTACGAACCAGACGCGTGCTAGGGCCAGAAACGCGAAGTGAGAGAAAAGAAGGATTTGCGACGTGGTTGGACGCGCCGGCTTTTGCCGAATGAGCGCGTGCGCTTCTCGAGGTGAAGGCTTCGTGCTTGCTACTCGTCACTACGATATGGTCCTTATTCAAGCCGATGCCGTGGGGCATCCAACTTCTATATCTTCGTTCCTGACCGCTCAGGCCTTCTTCCCACAGTCGTTGGAGCTGGTCGACGAACTATCTCGCACGCCACTCCGACCCTTTTCTTGTGCCATTTGGAATGCTCCTTTCTTTCAAGAACCTGTATACTTTCAGCAATCATGTATTCTTGCAAAACCATCCCCCTGTACGACGACGCCGCATTCATTTTATTGGCTTGCGAGACGCCTTTGCCCGAGGATGGCACCATCAACACCGCTCCTTCGAGTGAGCAGAACGGATCAACTTCCTCCACGGCAAGCTCCCCATGCTCAGGACTCCCTCTGGCGCTAAAGGTCCTGCCAATATCCCGGAGACGCAAGCGTCATGCTCCACTCGCGGACATCAAGATCTTCGCGGATCTGGACACTGCGGCTCCACTTCCAAAGAAGTCAGCAACAGCCCGCAAAGACGGTCGTACTCCTCTTGGAGAGAGGAAAGACTCCGGCAATGTCTGCCCTCGCACGCCAGACCCTTTGCCAATGTTCACTCCGTCTGTTGAGGACTGGAACCGCTTTGCACATTATTTCACGCCACCACCGACCCCGCATCCCAGCCCGAAAGCTCGCATTGCTCGTGCTCCTCACCCTAAGGGACCTGCTTGTATGATTCTGTACAGCTTCCTGGAGATGCATGACTGGAAAGCTAGCGATGAGGAGATCAAGACCGCCTACAAGAAGGTTGCTGTTCGATACCATCCAGACAAAGTCGATGAGCAGACGAAAGGAGATGCCCACGACAACATGCTGTGCATAAATGCCGCCCACGATGTACTGCTCGACAAGACAGCTCGCGCCAAGTACCACAAGGATGGCAACCTTCCTACAGTCTTCTCGCATGTCTTTCCAGACTTGTTCCCACGTGTCTAGGTACGTCTATTCATGCGCTTGATCGTTGTTGCAAATGCTAACCCTTCAGATGTGGAGACTTGACGGATGCTGTACGCAGTCGAGGGGAGCGTCTTTGCGAAGGGCCATTGTATCGACTACTAGTACAATTTCCGGCAACAATGGAGTTTAATCGGCATATCGAATTCAATACAGTTGTTGGAGTACGCCGGCGATAATACTGAGGGTTCAAGGGCGGTCGAAGGTGGATGACAAGTTTGCCAAATGTTGGAACTTGTGTTTCGAGTGAGTGGGAATGCCGACCTTGTTCGGCAGCATGAAGCTGCACTATTGGTGTGCCTTCCATCGAAACAGCAATGGTGCTTTGAAAAAAAATTGTTGGATAGTTGACTGTGCCACGCGGCTGCTTGTGAGAGAGGTTTCGATGAGCTTGTGTTGATCAGCGTTGCTGGGGTCATTCGGACCTGCAACGATGCTCATCGCTTCGTATCATCATGAACATAATCATCGCATGCGGCCGCAGAACTGGACACCAGACCCACATGGTTATGAGGTACTTGTGCTCGGTGGGCTTGGCATTACTTCTTCCTCTTTCTGGGTTCTCAATGCTAGCGCTCTACACTAATCTCCTAGGGCAACCAATTCATCGCATGTCACCCCAGCGGCGCAGCTCTGAATCTGGATGCCTGACCCCTGTTTTCGCCCCAAGCGACAACCGCGCCGTCTTACATTTTATGCGACTGCCCTTGTCACAACGCTCCTCCACATCTCGACATGCCTTCGCCCTTCAATCAAGAGGATCTCTCCTTGGTATATGCAGCGATCTTCCTCGTCATTTCCTGTTATCACTGGTACCGTTACCTGTACACAAAGGAACAGAAAGTGCCCCCATCCGTAGCGAGGCACACGTCCGAGCCCGCCGAACGGCTCGCCAAAGCACTGGCATCAGCGCTTCCCGACGAAACTATTTTACCAGAGGATGCAACATCGTTTTTAAATGCAACGGACATCTACTGGGACCAGCAAGAGTCGGAGAGAGTTCCTTCTTGTATTGTGCAACCGCAGACCGTCGAGAGTGTCAGCACGGCCGTCAAAATCCTCAAGCATGCGTACGCCGAGCGTGTACTGGGATGTCGGAAAAATGATCTCGAATCAGGACTTCGCGAGGCAGGCCTGTTCGCTGTTCGAAGCGGCGGTCATTCGCCGGTATCCGGCGCTGCAAGCATTGATGGCGGTGTGATCATCGATCTGAGCAAATTTAACTCGATAAAGCTTAGTCAAGATGAGGACTCCATCGAGGTCGGATCAGGTTGCCGCTGGGGAGATATCTCGCGGATTCTTGACGACAAAAACCTCGCCGTCGTCGGGGGTCGCAACTCCCACGTTGGGGTGGGCGGCCTCCTCCTCGCAGGCGGCATATCATTCTTCTCTCCCCAATATGGCTTTGCAGCCAACAATGTCATCAGCTACGAGATCATCACCGCCGATGGCTCAATCCTCACAGCATCCCAGAAGAGCCATCCCAGCCTCTGGCGCGCCTTGAAAGGCGGCTCCAACAACCTCGGCATCGTCACACGCTTCACACTCCGAACGTTGCGTCTCTCGACCGGAAAAATCTGGGGCGGCTGGCTATACCTTCCAGGCTTCCAAGCAACCAGAGTTCTGGCAGGGCTGCACTCGGTGCTGAGCGCGCCTCTCGACGAGCACGCCGCAGGCCCACTGGCGAGCTTCACCTACATCCAGCAAATCGGCATGCAAATCATCTCCACATCCCTTGTCTACACCCGGCCCACCGCCTCATGGCCCCCCTGCTTCGGCCCTCTCAAGCCCATCTGGCGTCTCTGGAGCACCTGCAAACAGCAAACCCTCACCAGCGTCACCGACGAGATGGAAACGCTCTCCCCACCGCACCTACGACAAGCATACGGCACAACCACCATCACAAACGACGCTGCTACCCTCGCCGAAGCACACGCTACCTATAAAGACGGCATGCACGCAGTACGCGGAGTCAAAGGCACCCTCTGGACGATGGTGTTCCAGCCGCTGCATCCGACATGGCTACGCAAAGGCGACCCGAATCCTATGGGGCTTCAGGACTGCCCCGACGCGCCACTTGTATTGGTGAGTTATACTGTCAGCTGGTACCGGCCGGCGGATGACGAGCTTGTGCATCGAGAAGTAAAGAAAGGGATCGAAAGGATCGAAGCGTTTGCAGAGAAGAGGGGAACGGGGTATCCGTACAAGTTCCATAATTATTGCGGGGAGTGGCAGGATCCATTTGCCGGGTATGCAAAGGAAGGTAAGAGCTTTTTGCAGAGGGTGAGCAGAGAGTATGATCCTGAGGGGCTGTTTCAGAGGGGCTGTGTTGGGGGTTTCAAGCTGGGCTTGGATGAAAAGGATGGGTATTCATGTCAGACTAGTACAAGAGAATAACTCATGAAGGCTAAATGATCATGATTATGATTTTGAGGAACATCAGAGACCCGCGCCGGGTAAACCCAGACATAGTGTATTCTTTCCCAAAACTCCCACAAGAACCTCCCGAAACTCCAAATTCGCAGACGTAAGACACTTTGTTTTGCTGTCGGTAGCGCAGTTAGTGTGCGTGTCCACACGAGCTACCCTCGAACCTCTTGTGGCCCACTCTCTTCTTCCAGCTCCAGCTCTGCTCGGGATCCTTCGCCATGGCCAACATAAACTTGACATCATTATCGTTGAACCCACGATCGAGATGCAAAAGTTCCACAGCCAACTGCGCGTACTTGATGGCGGTGTATCGATCTCCAAAGCTGCTGTACACCTCAGCAGCGTGCTTGTACGCCACGCCCATACTGGCCTCCAAACGCTCCTGCTTGTACAATGAAAGCAACGTCTCCACCATTTCAGGCGTTGCCGTGGAAGATGATGTCCAGTCGTTGAGCGCCTCGGTGATATCCTCTATCGCTTGGATTCGCACATCACTCTCAGCTGCGAAAATAGGGTGTGCTGCACAGCTCGAGCACGAGCAGTCGAATCCCCAGTTCGACTTGAGGTTCTTCATGCGAGCCTCCCTCTTTCTTTCGTTGTTGATGTACGTGATTGTAATCTCCTCGCCGGGATAGATGGTCTGTGTCGCGTGGACGTAGTGGCTCAGCGTGTCTTCGTCCCAGAAATAGGCTGCATTGGGCCTGCAGTCATGGTTCATCATGGCAATCTCGGGCATCACAGCATACTGCTGTACTTTATTGACGGTGATGTCGAAGGCGTTGGTGTTGATGCGGTCGTCGACAGGGTCGCCTTTGAAATGATCCAGGAGCTTCCAGAAGAGCTTTTGTGTGTCGGTTGGGAGCGTGTCTACGCCACGGTGTCCGAGACGCAGGCGTTCTGACTCGAGGAGGTTATAGGAGAGAGGATTTGAGATCACGAGCGGTGTTGAAGCGAATATCTGGTCGCCGCGATGTAAGGTCTTGTTGGCAACAATACCGCGGCCTTTACCAGGGAAGTCCTGTTCCTCGAAAGGAGGGTTTGAATGCTGGTTTATCCGGGAGAGGGCTCCGGGCTGTGAGAAAGCAGGCTTTTTGAGCATCTCATAAGCAAGCGGGGTGGTAGTGACGAGGAATATGCCACGGCCATCAGCAAAGTTCTGGTCGGAGAAGACGCACACAGGCTCGGTCTGTTTTTCACTCGAGTAACACTCTGGTAAGAACGTCCATGGAAAGTCTTCGTGTTGTTGCGCGGATGCACGTGCTTCTTCAAGGGTTATAGTAGTGTTTAGTCGTATGTTGTCCGTCGTCGATTGCGCCCCAAGAACTGCAGGCTGACATTCGCCATTATACAGTATAGAATCCGATGGGCAAGCATCTGCGAGAATAGGTTTTTGTGGAACTTGTTGAAGCGTATCTGCGAGGGCAAAGGCACTGCCTAGTAAGCCGACACCAGCTGCGCTTTTCATTTTGTATTAGAATGAGATGGATTAAGAAGTGGTGTAAATGTTCGATGCGACAGAAAACAAACCAATGGCCCAGGCATCATGGCGGGCTTCATCCGTTTTAATAAAGGTCTTCGACGTTCAAGCCATCTACTGCGAGGGATGCCGGAATGAATTTGGTGAAACGTGAGATGAATGGAGACTGCTGCGAGGCGAGGGATGAAACGCGTCCAGAAACAGACAAAGTCTGCCGCTGCGGGCACGCGGATGAGACGCGGGACGATCACATCAACCTTCGCTTCTGATTTCTCTATGGCTCAGGAGCAGCCCAGGCAAGGCCGAAATACTGTGGCCTGGACTACCATCGGTGGAACACGGGCTTAATGCGAAACGCAAATTGGATGAAGCAACAGTCGAGGCGCTTCTCGACTCGCGAAGGCAACGCAACCTGAGGCCAGGTTTGCCTGAAGCTATGACCTGTCTCGCGGGAGGTGCACAATCGTGCTGCAGATCCGGGGTGAGGTGGTGGAGAGGTCCACCTGTGCGCGCGAAGCTCGAGGAGAAGAGGCGCTTCGCCCGAACGGGAAGCGCCTCGGTTCCACCTTCCATACATCAAATACTTGCCCGTCAACCCGCACATGTTTTGCTTTGAAGTTTCACATCGCGGGGGAAAACTCAAGGGGCCTCACGCTGAGTACGCGATAGTTTGACGATTGAATAATGAACTTTAGCACCCACATCGATGAGCTCCCTTGGTTTGTACCACAAGACATGCAAAAACACCACGCGTGATGCGCCCTTCGCAGATTGAGTGCGATTCGCAGTGCAACAGGCCCAATACCATCAACATGGGAGCAGCGCTCCATATCTGGCGGGATTGACATTGTTGAATATCGTATTGCACTGTTCGTTCGACTCTTCTTCAGAAAGCTTGTCTAGCCTGCAGTTGCAGGTACCCACAGAGCATCGATAATCAGCTTTGCAAGCCTCAATATTCTGGATCGGAATTCGTTGCTGGAGTTGCAACACGTCGGGCGCTTCAACGATGGTTGCGGCCATGCCGCCAACCAGGTGGAGATCGATATGACAGTGGAGGAACCAAACGCCAGGATTGTCAGCTATGAAGCGAATCAAGAACCAACCGAAAGGTGGGATAACAAGGTTGTTGCGTCTCGCGGGCGTCTGGTATAGCGAGTCCTCATTGCCATCCCAGCTGCCCAGGCCTCGCCCTGCTATCTGGAAGTTGTGTCCCTATACTCGTCAGCGTTTCGCTTTAATGATTTACTTGATATAATTAACGTTAACTGACGTGTAAATGCATGGGGTGTGGCCAGATTTGAGGATTCTCCATGTATATCTCAACGATATCATTGTGTCGCACAACATAGGGACTTGTGCCCGGTCCATACGTCGTCCAATCAAGCGCCAATTGACCGGTCGTTAACGCGGATTGGAGGGAAGGGACTCTCGGCTCAGTGTAGGGCTGAATACCAATGCTTATGCGCGATCCAATGCCTTCATAATAGACTTGATTGGTGCGAAAGTTGATTCGCCTAGTGACATTCTTGAAGAGTGGTTCGTTATCTAAGGGCACCAGTGTCGCATCGTCCAGAATCCCTTGCGCTGTCCAATTGAAGTTCAGAAGGGTGGGAATGTACGAAACGCCCTGAGAGCCGTATGGGCCAGTGAACGATCCGTTTGGCGATATACCTGCCGCTATGCTAGTATTGTTTTCGAGTGCAATGTCTCCGATCAATGCCCTCGTTTGACTAGACGGAATGGGCCCTGTTAACATATCTGTGGTCATCTTGAGAATGTAGTTAGCAGCCTGCTCATATTGGTTCCCCAAGACAATAAAGTCGTAACTCTGCCCTGCACATATGGCTATCGTGTCTGTGATCGCTGGACGCACTGGTTCGCCGTCAATCGCCACAACAGTGAGAGTGTGGTTGGCGATATGGAATTGGCCACAGACAAGACCCGCAAAGCTGACAATTCGTACCAAGTATCGTCTGTCACGCTGCGAAATTTCATGCCGTATCAGCAGAGGCTCGCATCTAGTTAGTTGAAGCGAGATACGTACCTTCAGTCTGAACCTTGGTGGTGCACGGCTATCATTCAACAAGAAAGAGTTTGGAGTAGGAAGGGAGCCATCGGTGTTGTTGGGGCTCAAATAATCATGGACCATGAATGGTGATTGCTGGTGCCACCTGAGGTCGTGAGCAAAGAATTGCGACTGTCACACTGACTTACCAGTCCGATACACTTAGATAGATCTGCCTATGGACTTTCAAACTTGCCTCCCATACAGGATCATGAATGATCATCTTCCCTCTGAGACCGTCTGTATATTGCGCTTTTTCGTGGCTATGCCACCAATGCGTCCCAGCTGGATTCCCTACGAAGCGATATTGGAAATATCTACCAGGCGCTATACCACATTGAGCGACTCCAACAGGACCGTCTGCTGCAACGGTTCCGTTCTGGTACATGCCATGGAAATGAAGCGAGGTGGTCTCGTTCATTGTACGCGTTCACAACGATGGTATCGCCGACGTTTGCTTCGATGGTCGGAGGACTGGCGAGCATCAGCAATTGCATCTGGGAATAAGAGCTCTCCTACGGCCATATCCCATTGACACTGATGATAGGTCTAACGAAACCGTCTGGCGCTGCCTTGCCGATGTTAGTGAGCTTCGAGGAGTCGTGAAAACGCAGCGCACCAGTCGCCATCGGATATACCAGTCATACGTGACCGTCTTCGCCCACGCATAGCCCACCAACGAACTGAATAGTAAGAAATGCAACATAACTGTCGATATCTTGCAGTTAATGAAACTCGAGATTGAGCAGGTTAAAGGAGAGGAGTGGGCGTGCCTTCCCAGGTTCCTCCCCACCGCCTTTGGCGCACTCGACCATAACTGCTCTGTAAAACAGTTTACGCCTCTGGAAAGCCGCCGGCTGCAACCACCATCTCTCGGGGGTAAGGCAGGCTGCATATATCAGACATTTAGCATGTTCACATATCACTATTTCTGAAACCATGATAGTGGTTTCGCTCGAGCTTTGAGCTGTATGTCATGCCGTGGGCGTGATACGCACTGGATCGGCTGCAGAGTGTGGTCACCTGAACGTACCACAAGCCAAAGAAAGACATCTCGCGTAACATTGCGCTTTTTGTGTGGCGTTGAATCGATGATATGAAAATAAAACATGATCATTGTCGGCGGCGCTCAAGGACGAGCGGAGGCAAAGGTGGAGCCAGCTATACCTTTTTCGTGCTTAGGGACGAAAATGAGCACCACCCACAAGCCTCTCATCACGATGTTGTATAACCAGCACATGCACCGTGCATCAAATCTGTCGATGTGCGTTTGTATTCTTCAGACGTTCCAGTGTATTATTATTTCTGGTGGATGACGTTACCTTAGTCCAGCTTTCTTCCATGGAACCGCATGTCAATCATGGCAAGGTTTACAGCGTAAGCGCGTTCCCAACGTTTCTGCCACGAAACCGAACGACAATGACAACAGCGATGGCGAACATCGCCTGTGATATCCCATTAGGCAAGGCCGGATCGTCTGAGATGCTTCGTTCGATGCGAAAAGACTTGGATACTGCAAACTCGGGATGGAAAAGGACCCCACGTCGCGCCCGTTTATACCTTTGATCCTCGAGGAGGTTATGAGTATTGGACCCTTGGAACCACACTAGTGTAATTGACACACCCGATACACCAATTAGGATAGACATACTCTCTAGCGCTGGGCCATGAGTCTTGGGCTGGGTACTGTAGCTTGCCTTGTTCTCCATGCTTGGCAACCAGCCTACTTCAACGAATGTGGCCGTTGATGTATCATTTGCGAACATAGGCCGGCAAATGCTTTCTACCGCGACGGCGGTGTCGAATCGTGGAGATGATGACGAATCCCAGGAACAAAACCTTAGATAGTCCTGCACTGTAGGTCGGTCGAAATGTTACGAGGGGTTTCTTTTCGTCGTCCAGCGCTTCAACAAACTGCCAGCGCTTGGGCAACCTGCAATCAGCCTTCGAACGTGAATTATCAACCGAAGCGAGTGTATTGTTTGATTGATCCCTGATAAGTTACTCATAGCGACGTAATACCCTAATTGGATGGAATGTTCGATGCAAACTATGATTATTTGGAGCTCTACAATCTTGTCGAAGGAAGACTTCCACACGTACGAAATTGTGAAAGATTCGCACGAGAACACATGTGACTGCGCTTTCTGTTGCCTTCGTGCACAGTGCCGCACACACATGTGCTGTGCCATGAGTTGAATGCATGTCCCACACGTTACTGAGAACTTTAGATTGGGCCACACCAGCGAGTGCTCGTGTAGGATAGAACTCGAAACAAGAGAATGAGACGATCAGTTTGCGAAGCCGCGTTCATTCCAAGTACAACCCGAAAAGATAACTAGGGTTCTTGGGCAGGCTGTCATCGCAAGGCTAACCCATCATAGAAATTACTGGACGCGCGGGATCCACATCCCTACGCATAGAATCCTTCCCGAGTCTACCGCCTCGCTCGCAACATACTTACTGCATATGTCAAACATGAAGCGAGCACAAGTCCTCTAACCCTCGGTGGAAATGCGTTGTGGCTACCATAGGTACAGCTATCGAAGATGGTATTTCCGGTACGTTGCAGCCTGGACGATTCGACAATTGCCTCTGCTCTAAATGCAGGGAATTACATCGCAATCCATGATTGCGCTGTCTCAGACCGCGTTATGAATGGCACCAACGCAATCCGACATACTCGTTCGTCCTCGTTCGTTTCGGCGTTACACATCTACCATCCATTCCTACGGCCGGAGTAGGAACATGAGGGCCAGCTCCGCCTCGCTTCCAACCACGAAACTGCTTCGCCACAACCCAATGACGAACAACAATCTGGACCAAACTGCCCAATCAGCGAACCAAGCCAACGCTGAGGCGCTGGTTCACGATCCGACTAGGCCCACCATAGATTTGCTTGCGACTTTTGCGACGAGCGCTTTCTTGCGCGCCGATGCAGATCCCCAGCCAAGCGTTCGAGATGTAAGCCAGCCCCATCACAGCCTAAGGGGCTGTCGCTGCGCCAGCCCGAATTGGACATCAACGCTGCGATGTTCGAAGGGCTGTGGTAATAATAGGCCGCCCGTCAAGATGTATCTGTGCGCTGGAGATGAATACCTAGGGTATAAGGTACGCTGCTTCTCAAATGGAGTGGCCATCTACCAGTACGACCAATACAATACCATTCACACTTCTACGAACTCCTATTATCGAGTCTGCATACGAGGCTTAGAGCCTGTTGACTTTTCCTGAGAATTCTATCTCATACTTCCTCCACCATGCCAGAACGTCCCGAGCACGCAGATACCTGCACAGCAGTCGGTCCCGGCTGTCCTGTCGAAGCAACTCTATACGGTTATTACCCAAGGTAAGACGCCGAGACATCTGGGCCAAAGAACATGTAGATTAACCGTGGCATTAGTCTCCCCTGGAATGCTTTCTTCGTCGGCTTCTTCGGCCTCTGCTGCCTCATCAACTTAGTCCTAGGAATCCGCTACCGCACATGGACATACATGGTTCGCCTCTCCCAGTACCACGAATACTGCCCATCACATTGACACTCCCCAGATCGCATTATGCCTCGGCTGCCTCGCCGAAGCCGCTGGTTACTATGGCCGCGTAATGATGCACGACAACCCCTATGACGATATCGGCTTCCAGATTCAGATCTGCCTCCTCATCATCTCGCCCGCATTCGTCTCGGCGGGCATATATCTCACGCTCAAGCACTTCACCCTCACCTTCGGCGCGTCTTGGTCCCGTCTGCGTCCCGCGTGGTACACGTACATTTTCATCACAGGCGATCTCATCTCGCTAGTGCTCCAGGGCGCGGGCGGTGGTCTGGCCGCTACGGCAGACAACGGCTCCAGCACGCAAGATTTGGGCACCAACCTCATGATCGCCGGTGTCATCTTCCAGGTTGTCATCTTGTCTGTGTTCGGATACTTGCTCACCGAGTACACGCTCCGGACGTACCGCCGGCGCGACAAGCTGTCCGTAGCTGCGACCGAGATCCTGCGCAGCACCAAGTTCCGCCTGTTCGTGGCGGGCGTGATGGTCGCGTATCTTGCTATCTTTACGCGGTGTGTGTACCGTATTCCGGAGCTTACTGGGGGATGGGGAAGCGAGCTGATGAGGAACGAACCTGAGTTTAGTAAGTTCTACAACATTGCCGGCTCTTCGAGCGTTAGCTAACAGGGCTGCAGTTGCGCTTGAGGGTGTCATGATCACACTTGCAGTTTTTACGCTGACGCTCTTCCACCCGGGCTTCTGCTTCCCAGTCCTTGGGGCGAAGCAGGCCGCGAAATATGCGAGCATTAACAGCAAGGATGTTGACGCGGAGAGCTCAGTGGAGATGCTACCACGAGGAGACACGACGTACGAACCATATTCTCATCGTAGCGTGTAGAGGAAGGCCTGCGATGTTTTCAGTCGGGTACTTTTATGACTTTGAAGGATGTAGGCAGGTACATGCGACATATTATGTCGGATATCGAGTTACGGAAGATGGCAAGGCGCACTTATGGGATGTTGATCAAAGGATCCATCACGCGTTCACGTTATTTTTCATTTTCTAATGGAAACGAGTTGTTTTCAAAATGCAAATCGTTATTGAGAAATTTCCTCATCGCACTGGAAAGCCTTGTCCGATATGGAGAATGAAGAGAGGCATGGGTATCATAAGCGCCAAAGAGGGAAACACCATTATGATCACTCGAGGAGTGAACTGCCGCACCAAGCTGCGGTGTACAAAGCCATCCATTAAAGACAAAGAAAAACTAAAAGCAAATGCAATCAAGAGAAAGTGACAATGAAAAGTTGAACAGCAAGCTGTAACGCATTCTGCCATCGACCAAAGCCAATTGGCCCGGTCCAAAGAAAGAGCTCGAGCCGCTACCTGAAGCAGACGGAGAGGAAACTTGGAGCAAGTCTTCTTGTTAAACTGCAGGCACTGAGAGGGTGCCTGCAAGTCTCCGCGGGATACCCACGAGGCCGGCGCACCGCTTTGAGCTAGCACTCGTAGTTATCGCCACGGTCCAAAACACGGAAAGGGTTGCAGTGCTCACGGCCACGGTGGTTGGTTGTTGGGTTCCGTAGAGCGGTGGGTCGAGGGACTAGGCCAGGCTGGTTGCCAGCGCGAGGACGATGTGGTACGTTAATCCACTGTGGAGGGGCACCGCCAGTTGGAGCTGCAGCAGGAAGGTTGCCTTGCGGGACCTGGCCGACGTCATTGCCAGGCGGTGTTGAATGAGGCACGGCGGGAAGCGGAGGGAAAGCAGGGGCTGCAGGCAGTGGAGGGAATGCAGCATTATTAGCAGCTGCGAAACCAGCACCAGGCGCGGGCTGGCTACCACCCTGGCCTCCGGCACTACGAGCAGCGGCTGCATCGCGAATTCGGCGACGACGACCTGGCCGGCTGGAGTTGGAGGTCTCGAAAGCCTGCATGACGCAGACTTCCGTTCGGTGCCCAAGATGCGTACCAGGGCGGTTCAGGCAACACCAATTGCAGGTGACCTGAGCGTGGCATTTGCGACCATCACCTCGATCCTCCACCATATGGCTATTTGAGCCACACCGAAAACAGTACATGGCGTTACCCCAAGACCAGCCCTGGCCTTGAGATAAGGCCTCGATGTTGTCAACCACGTCCTGCAGCGAGCAGGGCTGGTTGGGCCCCTTGTGGATGTCATCGAGAACCAGCTGTATGGCGGCGATGGTGGTCATGGCCGCATCGTTGCTTGCAGTATGCCCGTCTCGGTGCTCGAAGCCCATGTTTCCAACCAAGCGCTGAAGTCCGATCTCATTCGAAGGGTGTGTCCAGTGTCCAACCTCACGAGCGATCACTTGCGTGTCGATCAACTTCACGAGATTGCCTTTTGTTCGGGGACTCCAGGAGAGAAACTTCTCAATCTTCTCGATATCATTGTTGAGGGCGTGACCGAGGATGACAACGGGACACACGTATCCATCTACCATAGGATAGTTGAGCGGCCACTCGAAGGCGGAAGTCAAGAAGTCGATCACGGCCTGGTCGTCCAGGAAGCGCTGTATGCCAAATCGGTTGTTGTCGGGATGGCCTTTACCAATGTTAACAGATTACAACTCACTATTCTACGGATAGACTTACCCTTGCTCGCATTCTTGTTGATGAGATGCGCGTTTTTCTCAATGCGCGCAAAGTAGAAGTAGATCCGCTCAAGGATCTCTTCACCCCAGGGACCGGGCGACGCGAGCATGGTCATGTCGCCGGCTTCGAATGTGTTCATTCCTAGCTCCTTGAGCCGCTCGCTATCGGCATCCCAGCCTTCGGTATCGAGGCAGATGACCACAGTGTGGGCAGCGAGGGCGGGTGCGTTGGGGTATTTTGCCCGGTTGAGATTGCAGCAATATTTGAGGACATCGCTGTGGCTCAGGGGAGCGAAGAAACGGTCGACAGCAGCTATATCCAGGTGGTTGAGCTGCTGGACAGCCGTCCAGACCGACATCTGCGGAAATGTCACGTTAGCAAACCGCTGAGGTTCGAATAGAATGGTGCAAGGAAAACTTACATTTTACTGCACGGTGTGACTTTAGAACCTGTAGAAGGTATATAAGGCGAGGGGTTACTACCTGCGAGTTGAGTGTGTATCGAATTGGAGAACCCAGGAGAGCTCCACAGGCTCTGTAAAGGCGTATAAGGGGTCTACGGTTGCAGCGGAAGAAGTGGAAGAAGTGGAAGAGAGTGTGCAGTTGACGCAGCCAGGAGGTTTTGGGTGTGTCACTGTGTGAAAGTTCGTCGGCTAAGTAACGACGGGCCTCACTTTAAAGGACCGTGGGCGGTTTGTGCGTTCAACGTGCAGGTTTCGACACGTGACCTTGCGTGAATGACACAGGAACGCGTGCGGATCCCCCGTGCATGAGGGGGCGCGCGAATTTTGAAGGCGCTAGAATCGAATCTATCGCTTAGGAAGTCCACAGGTGCAATATTTCGGCGGCCAGGCGCAGGCACAGAGATTGCGGGCACATATTCTACGTGGTTCTTGTGGGTTGTTTCTTCGGTGAACGCAGCTTATTGCTCAGCACCGCTGACCCGTTCTTGATGCATCAAGATCGATCTTAAGAGACGCCAGCGGCTTCTCCAAGCTCGAAGTCCTTTCCACGAAGTCTTCCCAGCCAGTGACCATAGAATCTTCATGTGTTGTGGCCGCATGACTTGACCACAAATGGACCTTCCGCAATAGTGGAAGCATCAAAACGCACAATCCAAGTCAAACCTGCTTGTTCTGGTTCTTATATTGTGACGGAAGCACAATTTGATTAGTAGAACGTCACGAAGCAAAGGGTGTGTGAAGCTTGGCACCGTGTTCACTGATGTTGGCTAGAAGATCTCTGTGCTAGTAGAATTACGCTCTGAAAGAACAATCATGTAGATTATGAATAGATAGAATGGGACCTACTAATAAAAACATAGTGGAAGGAGGCGCACAATTGATCCGTGACATCTTTGACAGTCACATGCCCAGGTTCACAATTATAACGTCTCGGCCAATCAACAACATACTCCATTCCTCCGTTGCTGACCGTCTTTTAACGTGAGATCGTAAACTTAGCGTAAGTCGAAGTAGGGCGGTCTATATTTCAGCACCTTTGCTACTGCAAACCACCTGCTCTCTATGACCGATGGTTTGCGTCTACACACACCACCCTACGCATTCAGTGTACTCTCCATCCACGGATACACAAAAGAGCTCGCCTCAGGATACCCTATATGCGCCCTTTCCTGCACCAGCCTCATCTCCTTCTGACTCCCAGACTCGGCAAGCAACATACTATCCTCAACTGGCATACACCCATCTAACACCCCATTCACCAGCACAAGCCTACAACTCTTCACCCATCCCCCACAACAGCAACACCCTCTCCCTTCCCACTGACGAGACTGAACTCATCCTGGCACTTCCCCAGCATCTCCTCCCAAGACCCGTACCCGTGCTTGCCCACATATGCACGCTCGAGGCCGAAGGGCTACTCATGCCGATGCACCTGCTCCAGCTACTCCCGTTCGATATAATAATGCGTCCCCGCGCCGTGTCCACTCGCGCTCTTCAGTAGGTTGGCGTGCGTATGCGCGACGCGAAGGGCGTAGTACCCGCCTGCTGACAATCCCCACTCAATGACCTTCTTCTCATCGAGCCTCTCTTCACCCCTACTCCACTCTAGGATCGAACTGAACAGGCGATCCAGGCCCAGCGGATCGCGTCTGCTCGCTGGACAGTCGCCCAGCCACGCGCGAGGTGCTCCGCCGTGTGCTCTGTGTTATCGGGGCGGTGGCCGTCGATGCTGGTGATCAGTAGAACAGTAGGGAGGGGGCCTGTGCCGTTGGGCTTCCGGATGTACAGCGGGATTTCTCTGCCATCGCGGCTGGAGGCGTGCGGTTTTCTGCTCTTTGAAGGCGAGTCTTTTGAGGACCGTGTCGATGTAGGGGAAGCGTGACAGCCTGTAGACGGCGTTGGCGCGGAGGTAGATGGTTATCGCTTTGTTTTTGTCCGAGGCCTCGAGGTCCTGGGCTTACTTGGAGAGGGCGCAGGCGGTGAGGAGGAACGCGCTGGTGCACTCGTCTGAGAAGGGATCGTGTATGTCTTTGGAGATCAGGGACGTGAAGATGGTTTCGAAGTCCTCGAATTTGCCGTCGTGCAAAGGGTACACGCCGAGTTTGCAGGGGAACATCCAGTGCATTTCCCAGAGTTTGACGATGCTGCCTTCGTGGCCATAGTCTTTGAGAAAGAGGTCGCCTAGGACCCAGGCGCCGTTTGGCATTGAGATGTTGATGTTGCTTTCGAGAAGGAAAAAAAAAACGATGTACGGAGACGACAGCATGTTCAGGACGGTGAATTTGTTTGGAAACAACGATGACGAAAATGACGAACTCGCACCTAGGTTTGGGTATGTGGCAATCACATAGGGATATGATACGGTACCACTCATATTCGAGCGCTTGCGGGGCCGAGTGCCTGGTTGCGGGCCATCCCGTTGTGGTCCGTCCGGAACCCCTAAACCTGGGCCCTGACTGGGCCGACACCACGTGGTATCGCAACGTCAAGTAGAAGTTTACACAGCGACGCGAAAAAGCGTGCTGAGATGGATGCGATGCTGCTGCAATAACAATATGGGTATCAAGATCAGGGCAGCTCATCCTCGTCCTCGTCTCCCTTCTTCTCCACATACTTCCTCAACACGCTCGCCAGCTTCGCTCGCCCTTCCTTCCGCTCGAAAACCTGCGCGTGGTCGCAAGTCGGCCACCATATGGTCTCTAAGCCTTCGCCGCGCATCTCTCGGTCCTTCCAAGTCCCATCCTCACTCTTCAAGTCCACGCCAGCAAGGTACCTGCCCACCGTCTCTGTCTCAACAATCAGGTCTCTACCGCCCAGCGAGACGGTGACGTCGCGCCCTCTAAGCTCGTCTTTCCACAGAATATTTTGTGCCCAATAGAAGTGTCGCGCGAGCGTATGACTGACCATCATGTCTGCGCTCGCGAAATAATATAGTTGATGCTCGTTCGCACGGCGCGGCCTGCGTGCCGTAAAGTTGTATGCGACATCTGGAAGATGCAGCAGGAATGTCACCGGATCGACGAAGAGCATTGGTCCGATCTTGTCCTTCGTCCGTGCATCCTGCAGAAGGTGCGTGGTTACGACGCTTCCGTACGAATGACTTGCGAGCACTACTTTATCGAAGCCATGACGCGCCAGGATGAGGTGGATTTGGCGGCAGATCTCGTCGGAGTCGAGGATTCTGTCTGTGATACGGAAGCTGATGGGCATAAGCTCGACAGCTAGAATTCCGATTTCGCCGTCCGCGGGACCGAGAGGGTCGTGCTTGTTGATCTCGGTGAAGAACTTGGAATAGGGATACAAGCCGATTCCGATGCCGTGGATGAAGAGGATGGGAAGGCGGGTTTTGGAAGTATGCGGGCGATACCAGTAGGACAATTCTGGCGCAGGCGAAATGTGGCGGGTGAACAAGGATGCAACGCGGGGAGGGAAGATGGAGAGGGCTTTCTTGACGTGGGTGCGGTAGAGCTGGAAGCCGTGGAAGCGGAGGTAGGCGGCGGTGAGAGTGTCGACCATCATCACAATCTGAATCCGTCAGCAAGACTGGACGCTCAAGGTAGAGGGAGTGGCGCGTACCATATACCACAGCACAGGCCGGTGCAGCATCTTGACTTCATCCACAGTCAAGCGCAGGCTCTTGGCGGGTCCTCGCCCGGGCTCGATGCGCCTCCCTAGCAGCGTCTGTACGCCGTCGACATACTCGTCAAGCTCGCTCTCCTCCTCGGCTTTGCTGCTGACCCCGTCGTCTACCTCGATGCTCTCTTGCTCGCCCTCCGCGGCTTCAGTCCGCGCTTTCTTCTCGACCTTCTCGTCGCCCTTGTATAACAGAGCCCACCTGAAAAACTCCTTCACATTCTCCCGCCTGATCTCATGGCTTCTTGCGCCCAGGAACCACCTCGAGATGTATCCCTCTGGCTCTGGTATCTTCCCCCAGATCTTCCAAAACAGCTCCTTGCGCTCTTCTTGGTTCGGCGGCGGGGGATGCGGGGCTTCTGCCTGCAGAGAGCGCTTTCGGGGTATGAAGACAAGGAGCCAGAACGCCGTCTCGATGATGGCCCAGGCGAGCAGGAAGCGGGTAAATGCGGTCTGCGGGTGCTCGGCGATGCTGAAGCTGCAGAAGAAGATGCTGAGCGGCAGGACGAGCCGCAGCGCGAGAATGGCGACGCGGATGAGCAAGTACTTAGGGACACTGTGCTCGAGCATGGCGGCGGCGTAAATGGCAAAAATTAGGTATGTGGGTAGCTGTTTCAGCCGTGCTCCATTGCGTTGGTCAACAGGCACAGCGTGAATAGGCGTAGGGTAGGTGCGGCCATGGCTGTGCAGGAAGGCTTAGTTTTACATAGCAAGGCTGTTCCCAGTTTGCACATGTTTGCGCCATCCTGCTGAGTCAGGCCGAAGGATGCAGCCCCAACATCGTCATCGCACTGTCAACATGAGACGACTTCGTCCTTATCGCAGTATCCACATGTCTGCCTCATCGCAATAGTTGTTGAGCGCTGTGCAGGCAAGGCACTGCATTGAAGTACAAGGACATTCCCGGGTTCGTGCGCAGGGTGTGAGGGTGCTCATCGTAAAGCGCAAACCACTGCTATGCGCATCAGTCGCTAGCACGGCACTGACACTTCTACGTCGCATTCTCTGATTTTTGTTGAGTCCAAGAGCTATTGATTCGCGACTTTGGCTGGCTTTCACATCCGGTATCTTGAGCCGAGTGCACTACTACGCCACGTCAACGTTAGTGAAATCCGAAGCTCGATCCATCACTAAGACTACACAGACGCTTGTCGCTTCTAGGGAGCAACAGCCAAATGCGGTTCTGTCTGCGTGTGGTATATCTCATAATTTGCGTTCTGTGTATTTCCTTACCTGCGGTTCTCGTTCCCATCCCATCTGCGCCTCCTGTAATTGCGTCGATCTCGGATTCATCAATTCGTCCTGCCCAATGTTCCAAAAAGCCCTGAGTTGCGTTCTCCTGGTAATTGAAACTTGAATAATGAGTTATGATAGTGTCAGGATGGGCCACGGTAGCATTATCCATCTTCCTGACTCCCAAAATCTGGCCCTGTAGAAAGCCTGATTGCAGCTACATGTTCGAATCCGAACCCTGGACTCGGCATATGGCTTCATAGTTTCAAGGTATCACTGTGAATGTATATCCCTTCATCGCACGCTCTCTTGACATGATTCCTGACAGAAAAGAGATGGACGAATAACAAATCTGAACCAAGCCTAATCGAAATCGGATGAAGACCACAAGTTGTCCCAGGTTTCCTTTTGATACCTCGGAGGGATCAGACAAACTAAAATGATGTCGAGGCCAGCTTTGCGAAGTTGGTGCTGCATCCGGGGTTCGGGGTGTTAAGACTCGTGAAGCAGGAGAGTCGAGGAACGTTGTCTGGCAAGTCGTGTAACAACTCGACACATGTCGTGGTTCTGGATGGTGACGGCTTAAAGGATCCAGATTACTGCTAAAAGGAGTTCCTGCTGGTTCCGTGCTACGTTGGAAATTTAGCTTTGCACACGAAGGTCGTTTTGTTCTATGTTCTTTGCCTTTTTTTTTCGATCGTGCAGCTCTTTTGCAGAGACACTGTGAGATTATATCGCTTTGGTAGTGGCTCCTTGCCTTGCTAGATTCAATGCGGTATGGTTTTACATGTGGGAACAAGTGCACTGGGCGAGCTTCTAGAAGACTTTGTCACAAGGGTTTCAACCATATTCACTGCTTTATACAACCCCGCAGTTTGCATGGCAGGCAAAGAATCTGACATACGCGATGCTTTTGACAAGATCTATTATCAAGCCATGGCTACGTGTAATGGGATTGTGGACAGGAAGTCCGCAGTTGGGACACACTGTCTTTCAACCAATATGAATGGTTGGGAGCGTGAGCGGAATGCAAACCCGCAGACAGAGGAAGGAAGCTAACGTTGCCACTTTTTTTTTTTACACAGGAAGGAAATTTATTCCTCAGAAGGGAACAATGGTTCAGGGGTGGTCGTCAATACTTCCCAAGGTTCGAAAAGAGGTATATGGCCGAAGAACAACATTACACATTGCTTCACTTGCTAGAACTATCCATTGCACATATGATTTATATTTAGTTTCTGTACTCAAATAAGATGTAGAGGCAATGCAAGCAGAGAACACCTATTCTAGATGCCACTGAGTTTTGGCCCAGGTTTTATAGATCGAGAGACTGTCCCATCTTGGGTGAACGGCCTGAGATGCGCGCAGAGTTCGAAAGATGTCTTAGGAAGACCTTAATCAGGCGTATCGAGGCATTTTCTTGTGCCTCCTAATGCAGCCTTCAAGTGTGACGCGACTTTGGTCGTCTCAGCACTTGGCAATGAAGCCTTTCCTAAGAACTCTGAATATAATTGACTCCATTGCGAGAAATTCTGTACATCCTAGCTAAAAGGATAAGGACTCTACTGAGCATCAGTTGCAATCAGTTTTTTCAGTCATATTCAAGTACTTTGCTACATGTTCCGGTCGACTATCTGTTCTCATACCAAGGCAGCAGCGCAACTTTATCATTATACCCTGATCCATTCGCCAACACTCAGCAAAGATATACACACTTAAGAAATATCGTCTTACAGATATTAGTACAGGTGTTAAGGTGTCAACAAAGATCATGTATGCAATCCATCGATCGCCATAATGACAAGCTAGTATTACTTCGATTCCATCTCTTGGGCTGGTTTCCCAGACCGTATGCACTTCTACACATATCAAAATGACCATATTTGCATATATATGCACTCCAAGTGATTGGAGGTTGCAAACTTCTAGATCGCTCTCAATAGTTTGCATACATTTAATTAATCGCGAGAAATGTAGTAACCCGACGCTGTTGCTCGCCTTCAATTCTATCACTTGACCGATTTACACTCCGAATAGCCGCTATAAGTTGGGTACCTGCCAGGGCTTGATTGGGTTTCTGTGTTGATGGACGTTTTTTCGAGGGAAGATGTAATTCTGCACTGGAAAAAAAATCTACAAGCCAACCATTACTTGCGCTATACCGTAAAGACTGGTCTATATGGACCTTGTCTCGAGGTACGCGTTCGCAAGATGGACAATTGCATCCGACATCCGGGCCTTCACCAAGCACACTGAGCACCCTGCACGCTCACCACTTTCCTGATGTTTGGATGCTTTTCAGGCAACAGTCGTTTCTAACGGGGAAGCTGCTCGACAGCTCCGCAATTCCTGCCAACCCAAAGTGGTTCGAGACTTGCTTTGCAATTTTACCTGTTTGCAAGCCTAATCAAAAGGCCGAAAGGCTCACCGCTCTCACCGATATCGCAGTTCTCACTCTCGCTTACTTTTCTTCTCCCAGGTGGATATAAAGGAGTTTTCTTTTCGTGTTCAGCGTTCCTGTCTTCTTTCACACATTTATTGGTTTCTGTACTCCTCATTTATCCTCTATCGGCAACTTCCACAGTCTTTATCTATTCTCCAACTTCAAACATGCATATCTCAATCTTCTTCGCTGGTTTTTTGAGTCTCGTGCTCCCCGCGCTCAGCGCAGCTATCGCCGATCCCCAACAACCTCCATTCCCCGTGGACGTCCACACTCGCCAACAAGCTCCCACCACCGGCGATCAGCATCCCCTCTGCGGCGCCTTCGCATGGTGGAACAACGGCCATTGGCAGGAGGAGCAGCTCTGGGAGATCCGCGATTGCACCAAGTTCTACGTCAACGTCGGTCGAGTCAACATGGAAGAGTGGGGCAAGTGCCTCATCTGCTTCTTCTTCCCGTGGGTCATCTTCCATGGAGCAAGGCTTTTCAACTTTCTCACTATGTGCCAGGTCCAACGATTGCTCTGGTCACAACACTCTCACCATGACTCCCAACCACGGCTGGGTTGACACCAAGGGCGATGTGTGGAGCTACAAGTGTAGCTTGAAGGAGTGATGCTCTCAGGGTAAGTATGCGTTCCCGTTGGCTGCGGGTGGTATCCCCGGATAAAATCGCTGACTACGCAGCAGAAGCTTGGGGTCATCCAGTGCCCGCATGAGGGGCGGAGGGATTGGAACGGCCCGATGGAGGTGGAAAAGTGGTTCGCTGATCATATAGTTGGGGGAAAATGTCTCTGCAGGCGTGTCACGTTCAATGGAGGAGAAGCCATACTGATTGGCAGCCTGTGATGTAGACCAATGAAGCCTTATCCACAATTGTCTCTCTCTCTTTTTCGTGCCTCTGTCGTGAGAATGTCTACTTGATGCGGCGACGGGTAACAGAATGGCTGCTAGCATGCGAATATCTCCATCAACCAAAGTACACCGGTACAGCGGGATTTCGAAGGTCGTGGAACCTGTGCGTTTGAACTGGCAGGCGCGAAGGGCGGTGGGTCACGTGCTACCCAGCGCGACGGCAGGTGCGCAGGCGGGCCTGCTCTATTCCAACAAACACAGACTCGCTCCTTCTCGCGTCGTCTAATCTCGCGCCCCGTCAGCGAGTGATGCCAACATGGCGAGATCATCGCAGTCAACTGTAAAACATAGCGCAAAGCGAAGATATATCTTCGATCTGCCTGCAGGGTTTGCCGTTCGCCCCCAGTCCCCTACGATATGCCGTCTATCTCGACCCCAAGCCCGATCTCACGTGCGGCACGGTCGCAAAAGCAAGTTCGACTTCTTTGGGTTGCCCGCCGGTGAGGCTTACCCCTCGATTGCGTCCAGTACTAGCTACTGACTGTGATCGCAGAGCTCAGGAAATTGATCTACAGCTATGCGGTTAGCTCTCCCCATAACCCTGACGCTGGGCGTGTGTACCTGATTCGTCAGAAACAGGGAGAGTACCGTGATTTTACTGGGCTTCCCCTTGTCTGCAACGCTATGTACAAAGAGTACACCTCAACCCTCGTCCAAAACACTACCGTCACTGTCCGCGCGGAAGACGTTAATGAATACATTGGGAACTTCTACGCAGACCGCGATGGTGCTCTCAAGCACGGAGACATGCAAGTCTCGTATATTGCTTATGGAAGACCAGTTGCATGGGACGTCATTGATGTTGCCAGTCGCTTTTCCTTCAAGCTTGATGTCTCACAGCTGCTAAAGCTTCAATGCCGTCTACCGCGGATGCGCGTGTCATTTCTGTGCTACTCCCAAACTTTCATCAACAAGGAGCCAATGTACTGGACCCAAATGACCGAGGACTTCAACGAGTTATTCTCCGCAGCGCCGATCTATGGCCCGACATTGCCCGGCGCAGGTCCAATCCCTTCCATTCTACCCGGAATGGTGGAGTATTTCGAGGACAAGACCGACTACGAACTCTCAGTGAACGCGTGCTGGCCACAGCCAGGACACACGTCTGCGACTTCCCATCATCGCCCCGCCGTAGTCTTCGACATAAAATTCGACGCTTCCAAGAATCCAGATATGCCGTTCTCCGAGCATTGGCGCAATCGAAGCGAGCTCAAGCGTCTCGCAGATACGCCATGGAACGTCGACGAGATGCTCGAGCTGGAGGAGGATCTTATCACGCCACGTTTCGACATAGATCAGATGTGGACCCTTCTCCACCAGACTGGACTTTACAACATGGGCGTCAGTGATTGGTTTCTCAATTTCAATCGCGAGTACTTCACTCTGCACCCTGATGATTTCTGCCCCCCGCTGATCTCCGGTGACCAGCCGCGCATTCAGGACGCGGGGAAGGTTGACAAGGATGAGGAGATGACCGAGGGCAACGATGTGTCTGCCACCGTATATCGGCCTTTACCCCTGCCATTCGTTCCATTCGTCGACAAGGCGCCTGGTACTGAAAATAGTTTCCTCGAGTACCAATCGATCACAACCCTGGACGAGGACCACGGCTTCGGACGTTGCTCCGACACATCGTTCGAGGAGCTGCGATTGCTGACGTACAAACACCAAGCAGGACAGTCCCAGGAGCCTCTGTACCCAGATAGACCCGAGGACGAGGATACCCCTAGCGTCTTCCAGGAGCTGTTGCGGGAGGCTGGTATTGACGCCTAAGGACACTTCGAGCTCATCCCAGGTTGTCGAGGTCTGACGTCAACTCTAGGTGGATCGAGAAGAGCGGTTATCTGGCAGAGAGCAAGCACACGTGTACATTTTTGCTTATCGTCCAAGGACAGTTGCGTAGTTTTGAATGAACGAAGATCTACACATTGGCGTATGTTTTGTATGAGCGTGACATAGCTAAGAGCTTCTGGTCGGTGATCCGGACTCGCCCTTCATTTTGTGTTTGTTCATGACTGTTCCTCTACGGTTCCAGCCCGTGCTCTACACAGGATGCCCCTCCGGAGCTGCCCCAAAATCCCTTTCAAACTGCTCCCAACCGCCTCTTGGCTCGTCACACATCATCATCTCGCTAACCACCATATCATAATACCCATCGCGCGGCAACTTGCCCTGACACACCGTCCCACCCATGGCAATATTCAGCAGAATCCTAAAGTCCTCCATCCGCCGGATCCCCAGCGGGATATTCGCCTTCTGCACGGGTCTCCCATCAATATACCACACCATCCTGCCGCGCCAATTCGGGATCCCTTCCTCCTCGATCCACGCGAAGCCATATGTGTGGGGACACCGCGCGATATCCGGCAGCGGCGTGACGATGACCTGATGCTTATTGTGGTCCTCGCCGTTGTAGTGGCCCCAGTGCAGACACGTGTGGTTTTCCCCTGCGCCTTGCCAGCTCTCGCAGATGTCGACCTCGCCATCGGTCGGCCACGTGAACGGGTCGGCGGGCAGCATCCAGTACGCGGGCCATACGCCCTCGGCGCCGGGCGGCAGGATGGTCGCGGTCAGGTAGCCCCGTGGCCGCGAGAGCGTCTGATGCGACGTCAGCCGCGCCGAGGTGTAGGTGCCGCCCTGGACAAGACCGCGCACGATGAGGCGGTTGTCGTGGTGGAACGAGTTGGCGGGATTGTCAGTGTAATTTTGCTTCTCGTTGTTGCCCCAGCCGTGGTCACCGAGCTCGTGGCGGAAGTTGTGCGAGACTGGTGTCGCGGCGTCGAAGGAGGGTTTCCAGTAAACCTTCTCAGTGGCGGGAGACGGCGCATTCTGGGGCGGCGGTGGGTTCGATATCGGTCGGTTCTGCGGGATTGAAGGAGGTGCGGGAGAGTGTGGTTTGCTATGTTGCGGGATGGGTGGTGGGCCGAAGTTCTGCTGTGTCGGTGGTGGAGGACCCCATTGTTGCTGAGGAGGACCCCATTGGGTCTGTGGAGGGCCCCATTGCTGGTTTGGAGGCTGGTATTGTTGCTGGGGGTATTGTGCGCCGGTGTACTGAGCGTTCGGAGCACCGGTATACTGCGGCTGCTGCCCTGGATAGCCTTGCTGAGGAGGGCCCTGGCCGGGATAGCCTTGCTGATTGTTCGATGAAGAGTGCTGGGTGTTGTATTTTTGCTCGTATTCTTTAACCTTAGCTTTGCCCTTCTCAAAGAGCTTGTTGAAGGAGCTAGACATGGTGGCGGATTTTGTGTTTACGAGTGCGGGGAGATCGTTCGGCGATGTAGACCTAAAACGCGTTGTCCCGTCAGACGTGGGGCAGATTGGCCAATGATGTCACCGGCCCTCTCAGCATCAGGATTCCTCCCAACAAGTTCCCATCATGCACATAACAATGTGTCGGAAGCCGATATTTGTGAAGATTGTGTGCTTCGAATACACTAGATAGGTTCGCTATTTTACAGGTCCATCATTCCAGTCGTTGCGTCGTCAAGGGTATCATGAACGCGACAATTTGATCGCTCCAGTATTACCATTTGTTCCATTGCGCCATGCCATTCCCCCTACCGGTCAATGAATGCGCCCCATCAGAGATCGCTACGCATATCGCGCAGGTCCTAGTTCAACTTCTTGTTTCCAACCTGGACCGACCTGCCCTGGCTGCGCTGGTACTGCAAGAATCCAAAGAAAGCAAGTCCTAGGATTGCAAGCATGGCAATGTTGCCTGTATTGGATCAGCCTTCGCTCTTCATATCTACGATCTTGTGAGTGTATTGAGAACTTACCAAGCACGAACTGCACGATGCCACCCGCGAGGTCGACCAGCCCCTTGAAGAACTCGATGAAAAGGTTGATTGCACCCGTGAAGAAGCGCAGCACGAACTCGACCGTCTTCTGCGCGAGATCGCCGGCGGTGGTGAAGAGAGACCAGACGACTTCGATGAGGCTCTTGGCCAGGTCGCTCAGGCTGTGAATGATGGACGACATGATTTCCAAGTGTTTGTTGTTGCAGAAATGTGGTGTGAAGGTCGATGTAGTGCAGTGGAATAGAGTAGGGTTGGCGTGTGTGTATGTTATCAAGGTAGGGCGCAAGAGCTCTCTGCAGTAGTTATGGCAAGACGCAAATAGGATGATGTCGTTAATACGTACCTCACGTGCGGGTACGAATCAGCTTGCTTTCTTTTGTTTCGCGACTGGGTCAGGCAACAGGAATCTGGAAGTGGCTTAAGACAGAGTGGCTGGGAGAATGCCGTCTGGTTGGCGAGGGTGAATGCGGCACGCGACGCCAGCTACGCGCAGTGTGCCTATGACGTCACATTTCATACACAGGGTCCGAGTTGGCAGGATGTCTATGATCGACGCCGCTTTCGGTAGGCCTCAAGACTGCCGTATTGGGAAGCTTGAATATGGATATCGGCTTACATACCACAGCTTGTTCGTTCTCTTTTGCAGCTCAGTGTCCGAAGGTATCACACATGGGAATGGAATTGTCCTAGGTACGGTCGATCTTCTAACGCCGTTGCTTTTCAGTATCATACAATCCTACCGCACGTACTTCAGCAACTCAGCCATGCGAATCAATGCCGAAGAGGAGATTGCTGCCCGGAGATGAACAGCCAGAAGACGTAGAACAGGGCGAAGGGCTCGGGTCCGAGCGAGGAAAAGTTCCGGTACTGCAACGACTGCTGCTTGAAGAATCGCTCAAGTCGAATCTTTTGAGTGGTGAACGCTGGTGGGTACCTCAGGCCCAAACGGTACTCGCTTGTCGCTGATGTGAGACAAAATGTTCAATACGATTAACACGAGAAACCACGCTTTGGAGACCATGAAGCTTTGGGCAGATGCTTCCCAGCTTGAAGGAGCTCGTATTCGATGAGTCACACTTGCCTGCTCAACCTCGCGCGAAAGGCGCCATACTCGAGCGGGCAGATCGGAGGTTTCGGAAGACAAAATTTACGAGAGATAAGCATGCCCGTGCTAACGATGCTCAGAAGCGAAACCGGAATCCCGTGGAAGTTTAGGGTTGACTGTATGGGATCCTCGATGCATAACGTTGAGACCTTACGTTAAGTCCGCAAAATCCAGACCAAGACGGGACGATATACCACCAACATAAAATTGCGCCGAACACCAGAAATGAAGTTGTCTAAGTATAAGAGTGGGCATTTGCCTCAAAAATAGACAGGTAGAAATCAAGATACACCACGATGAAGCTTTTTACATTCACCATTCTCTTCTCCCTGGCCATCGCTGCCCCCCAAACCCTCCCCACCACCCAACGTCTTACAACCTTCCCTGGCTTCGCCGAGAACATCGCCGTCCGCCCTAACAACCACCTCCTGATAACCTCCCTCTCCACCTCCGCACTGCATACCCTCGACCCCTACGGCCCAAACACAACAACCCTCCTCCCGCCAATTTCCAACGCAAACGGCATCAGCGGCATCGCCGAGCTCCAACCCGATTTATTCGCCGTCTCAGCAGGTCTCTGGAACACGACCGAGCGCCGTGCTACAAACGAAACCATCTGGACCATCGATTTCAGACAAGCTCCACCCGCGTTCACGAAGGTCGTCGAGATACCCGAGACAACGATACTCAATGGCTTGACAGCCATTCCTGGGACTTCCATCGTCCTCGCGTCCGACTCAGCCATCGGCGCCATATACTCGGTCGACGTCGGGAAGCGCAGCTACGCCATCGCCATCCAGGACCCCATCCTCACGCCCGTCGGCCCAGCGCCTAATCTCGGCGTCAACGGCATCGAGGTGCACGGTTCAGACTTGTACTTTGCGAACAGCGGGAGGGGTGTGCTTGGGCGCTTTCCCATCAACCGGGCGGGGCGGGCGACGGGGGAGGCGGAGGTGGTCGCGCAGTTCAACGCGTCTGTGAACTCGGCGATTGATGATTTTGCGATCGATGAGGGAGGCATTGCGTACGTCGCGTTTCATCCAAATACTATATTCAAGGTTGGTAGAGGTGGTAAGACGGAGGTGGTTGTTAGCGGGGAAGGGGAGGTGAGGGATCCGACGAGTTTAGCGTTGGGGCGGGGAAGGGGGAGGAGGAAGGTGCTGTATGCCTCTGTGAATGTTTTGGGGGAAGAGATTGTGGGTGGGGTTGATGCGATCTATTTTTGAGGATGGCTTGATGAGTTTGGACTGTAGACGGATGCTGGGGGGGAGTGTTGCGATCTTCTGGGCCCCGGAGGAGCTAAGTAGTACTAGCTGTGGTATGAGGAACACTGTACAGATGGGTGCTAGTGCGCGTTGGACATGTGCTATGATATTTCCGGGCATAGAGTTTGTCATGGCTGCAACTGTTGTTCTATATGAAGTGAGGCATCAATGTCACTTGGGCAAGTCCGAGCTCCATGTCATGTTTCCGTATCGTTCGCCCGTAAGATTACTATAGCACGATGTGTCGTCCAGCACGCAAGTCCTGGCGACAATGCTCCTGTGCCATAGCACTCGTATGCCCGGGTTTGTGGGTCGTTGCTCTGACCTTTGTTCAAATACGACTATGGGTAAGTGGTAGTCCTGGCCTTTGTCCCTGCACCAGATATATTGGGCCATGGAGATAGGGCTCTCATTGGGATATGGAGTTCAGCTACCATCGCGCCTACTCGGGGTCCTCTTTTGCTTGTTCGATTTTTGCGGCTCTACAGAAATGAAGGCCTCGAGGACGATCAGTATGTGCGTGACAACGAAGATCATAGGTCTCGGACTTACATCAGTAAGCTTCTGCTGAGCGAAGTCAGCCCATTCCCATTTTGTGCGCATCGCTACAGCATCGGGTATTGTGGACATGCCCACTTTCCCACCTAGTGACATTGACCCATAGCGAAAGCTGACTATGTGGCCACGACTCTTGACGCTTGCGAACAGCGGGAATAGGGGTCGGTAGATGGTGATGACTCGGTCAATATCGCATTTACCACTCTTGATAACCAGATTTACGTCCAGGATGACTTCGATCGTGGCCTTGCGCTGCAGCTTGAGCAAGAATCGAAGTGTCTTCAGTGTGAACCTCCAACCGTTACCGGTAGGTCGAAGGCATAGTCTGAGTCGACCGACTTGCTGCAAGGGGGCAACGGCGTTCTGAGATGTGTTCTCGGGCGAAGACAAGCGCTGCCCAAGGAACATCGGGAGTAAGTATAGATCTTCTTGTCCAAACACGAAGGTCTTCTCCCGATAACACATCTCCGCGAGCTCCTTGAGGAATACTTCACCGCAGTACTTGACATCCCAACAGTGTCGATACTTTGTCTCGTTCATACCCAGCTTGCAGATGAGCGGTGGGAATGCGGCAGCATTCGCAGATAACGGTCCAAGATGGCGCTCGTGTGCTGCTTGGGATAGCTGGATGACGTTCTTGAAAGCGTGGCCCCGATCAAGCATTGCCGAATAGACCATGTCGCGGACCTCGCGCGGGAAGCTAGTTATGACTTGATGGCATAGTTGTTGGCAAGAGAGCCAGGCGTATTGTTGCACCATCTTCTCAAACTTAGAATTGAGCTTTAATCTTGTCTCGTAGTGTCTACCAAGCTGTCTCTGGAGTTCGAGACGCCTGAAAACTCTGTCAACGTTAGCTTGAGGGTCACACATCTCATTATCAGTCGGCGCGTTTACTCAGCCGTATCTTTCCTGCAGCGCTCAACGTCGTGGAGCGTGGGCACTGTAATTCCTAGAGAGATGGAAGAAGCCATTGCGTGGGTGCCGACGTTGTAGCCACTTGCCGTAAAGCTCAAGAATTAGATTCATGACAAGGAGCTCTGGCAGGTGAGGAGTTGAATATATGTAAGGACGGCTGGACTTGACTCGCTCCTGCCTCTTACGGTTGAGGCGAGACAGTCTCTCACTTCACCCTGTCAACTAGTAAACACCCAAAAGTGAGAGCGCAAAGAAGTTCACCCCACCCGAAACTGGGGTGGCGGGTAGTCGATCCCTGTGCGTGTGAAGGCATCTCTCAGAAGTATAGGAACAACACCTGTCCGCAATTTTGCAGATGTGGATTATCTAGGTAGATTTGGTTTCAATACCGAACGACAATACATGCAGTTCAAATCAAGGCCATGGACTTGACTCAAAGTATTATAGCATGATGTTGACGAAGGCGGCAGGGAGTCGTTTCCGCGTCTTTGGGCGGCGGCCTCACGGTCTCTGATTACCCAGGGTAGTCGCCGATAGTCTCGATGAAGCACCACCCCGTAACGAACGAGAGGCATTGAACGCTAGATCGGCCTTGATAATGGAATGCGTTGAGCCGGGATTAGAGACGATGAGACCGGATGATGTGATGGAGCCAGGAGCGGTGTGACGGGCGTCATGCTGTCCATGCCAATGTCAATCAGGTTCTAGACGGGTAGGCGGGAGTGAGGCGATCGTCCCCAGGTGCTTCCCTGCAGTCTGAAACCGCCCGGATCACGCACGTGGGAGGAGTCTTCGTATATATCACGTGAAGCTATGGGTACCTCCTCAGGTACCGAAGTGCCTCAACTATGTGGCCTACATGCAGAAGAAATGCGAGCGCTGTTGATCTGAACACGTTTAGATGCATTGGCCCCGCAAACTCGGCGCAGAATTGAACGTGTGCTCTCGTCAATGGGCAGCGGTCCGTCTGGGAGTGGGATGGATGTGCTGGCGTTGGTCCATGGACGAGGATACGTCGTGTTTGCTGTCAACCGCGGGTCTCACCCTGGTCACAGACATGGGTGCAGAAGGCACCCCACATCGCATGCATGAAGCAGCTGCGACGAAAGGCCGCGCAAACGCCTGCCTGCAGTACATATACTCGCACGGCGCACGGCACCGCTGGGTCAGGTTGCACACCGTTCTATCCTCGGCCGCCCTGTCCATAGCCGCCGTCGCTGCGCTGGGCCCTAGCTGCAGCCATGGACTCGCCGCCCCCGCCGCCAGTTGCAAGCGAGCCCGCTGGCGAAGAGTCTCCATCGTCCACGAACACCGAAGCTCCCAAGGGGACTGCTCGCGCCCGCGCCCGCGCAACATCTGCAACGCCCGCCTCGCCCGCCTCGCCCGCGCGCCGGAACATGGCCTCGAACCCGCCCAAGGACCCTGTGCCTCCTCGCCGGCCCACCACTGTGGTCGGCGCGGGAACTGCCGTCCGTCGCCCAGCTGCAACGAGCTCGACGCGTGCCGCAGCCACCGCGTCAAAACCACTTTCCAGCTCGACCACACGCACCTCCGCCGCGGGATCCAGCTTGAGCAAGCCGCCGACGCGTCCTGCGCCCGGAACAGTGGTGCGGAAGCCTGCATTGGCTTCCAAACCCACCGCGTCCGATGCAGAGCCAGACTTGTCCTCCGTCACGTCAGGGGACGAGAACAAGAGGCCCGCGGCGCGCCGAACGACGCTGGCCTCGAGCTCGGCGACCAGGTCATCGCCTGGCAAAACCACCACTACGCGCCCGGCCGCTTCCACCGCGACTGCTGCGAAGCGCCCCCTGACCGCGCGGCCTTCCACAGAGAGCGCTACAGCACGAGCAACTCCCCGCGCATCATTGTCAGGGTCGACACGGCCTTCCACCACTGCACGGCCGACGACGACAACAGCGAGGGCAGCACCGGGCTCAGTGACCAGGGCACCTGTCTCACACGCGAAGAAACCATCCATCACCGCTGCTCCTACACCGGCCCCTGTCCCGAAAGATGCCATCCCCGAGGAAGAGTACGTGCCTCTGACCCACTTCTGCTGCTGCTGCTGCATGCTGACTCCACCAGTACCGCCGAACTCGTTATCCCCCCCAGGAGCGAGCGCCTCAAAGAGCAAGCTGCTTCCGATGCCGAAGTCGAGACCAGAAAGAGCGCCCTTGGGCCTGTCAAGGCTGCCCTCGCACGCCTGGGCGAGCGCGACGAGGCGACGCGTCCCGATACTGCCCCCTCTGGCCCCGTTACCGATGGCGACCTAGACTCGAAGCGGCGAAGCGCACAGGTCATGCACGACTTCTTCAAGGAGACAAATATGCGCGAGAAGCTGCAGGAGCAATGCGACGACCTCAACCGGGAGGTGGACAACCTCCAGGCGGAGCGGACGAAGCTGAAGCAGCAGCTGCTTGATGCACAGTCGGCTATCGCCGAAAAGGATAGAGCCATTGCGGATGCAGCCAAGTCATCAGGCCCTGATCAGGCTGCGCACACGACGCTGGTGGATGAGATGGAGAAGAAGTTCGACACGGAGACCAAGGCACTGGAACAGCAAAAACAGAAGCTACAAGAGGAAACCGCTGCCGCTCAGAAAAAGGAAGCAGAAGAGACCAAGCGTGCGGCGGAGCTCCAGCAGATCCTCAAGCAGCTCAATGAGGACCTGGAGAAACAGGGCGCCGAATGGGATGCTGAGAAGAGAAAGCTTGTCGAACAGCAAACCCAGATCGAGGCCTTGACGACCGAGGTAGCCGCGCTCAGGGAAGAGAGGGATACGCTGAGAGAGCAGTACCGCGATGCCCAGGCTACCTTGGAATCCTTGCAAACGAAGCTTACTGAGATCGAGCAAAGCCGCACAGACGACCTAAAGTCCCGCGATGAGCAGATTGATGAGCTTTCCCGAACCGTAAAAGATCTTCAAGCCGAAATCGCTGCCTCAGAAAGCAAACACGATGCAGCGTTGCAGGAAACGCGACAATCTCTGGAATCGAAATCTTCCGAATCGTCCAAGGTCGTGGAAGAACTGCAGGCTAAGGTAGAATTGCTGTCTCAGCAACACACCGACGAATTGCGACAGAAAGACGAGGTCATTGAGTCACAGGATAAGGCGCTCAAGGATCTTCGAGAACTCTCCGATCAGCTACAAGCTCGTGCCGATCAAACAAGTACGGAACTGGAACAGGCTCGTAGCGAGCATGCTGCTGCTATTAACGACAAGATCGCCGAGCTGCAGAAGAGCCACGAGGAAGCGCTGCAGAGCAAAGAGGGTGAAGTCTCGCGCCATCTAGAGGCTGTGGACAGTCTACAGAACCAGATCAAGAATCTGCAACAAGGCGAGACTGACGGAGCCAAGATTGCTGCTGAACTCAACAAACAAATCGAAGAGTTGAAGCAGACACATGCAGAAGCCCTGGATATCAGATCCAGTGAAAATGATGAGCTCGTCAAACAACTGGATGCGATCAACGACCAGTTGAGTGGTGATGCGGCAGAGATTGAAAAGTTCAAGGATGAGAATGAAGGACTGCGCAAGACTATCCAGACGCTGGAACAAGTCGCAGAACAGGAGAGCCACCAACACGCCGCCGCCCTTTCAAAAGCCCAGTCTGAGCTCCAAGAGGTGACTGATAAGCTCGACTCGTTGCGATCAGAACTCGAAAGTATTCAGGAGCGGGCGAGGAAGGACCTGATCACTCTCGGTGATGACCACGATGCCGAAATTGAATCACTTCGCGCCGATCTGGAGGGAGATGCCAAGAACCGCCTCGAAGAGCTACAGTCCAAGTACGATGCTCTCGTAGCCGACAAGAACGCTACCCTGGAGCAACATGAGAAGACACTTGCAGAACGTGCTGCTGCGCTCGATGCGGCGAACGAAGAAATGGCCACCCTCAAAGAGAATTCTGGATCGGCCTCGCAAGAGCTGACGGATGCATTTTCGCGGCAGAAAGAACTCGAAACGGAGAAGCTCGCAATCGAAGTGGCGTATACTACTTCACAGAGCTCGCTCAAAGATCTACAGGAGCAGCTTGAAAAACTCGCCGAGGAGAAAGCATCCGCCGAAGAAGCTCACTCGTCTTCCCAGAGGTCGTTTGCGGATCTGCAGGCGCAGCTCGAAAAGCTAATCGAGGAGAAAACTGCCGCTGAAGAGACTCTCTCATCATCCCAGAAATCGTTCTTAGATCTCCAGACACAGCTTGAGAAGCTCGTCGAAGAGAAGTCAGCGATCGCAGACGCTCATTCTTCGACCCAGATGTCATTCGCAGATCTACAGGCACAGCTCGACAAGCTTACTGAGGAAAAGTCCGCCATCGAGATCGCTCACTCTTCTTCGCAGAAGTCGTTCCTAGATCTGCAAGCGCAACTGGACAAATTGACTGAAGAAAAATCTGCCGCCGAAGAAGCTCACTCGTCTTCGCAGAGCATCATCACGGACCTTCAAGCCCGCCATGATTCGCTTCTAGCAGAGAGATCATCCGCCGAGGAAGCCCACCAAACGTCGCAAAATCTCATTACCGACCTTCAATCTCGCCACGACAGATTGCTCGAAGAGAAGACTGCTGCCGAAGATGCACACAGTCGCGCCATCGATGCCTTGAAGCTAGAGTCTGATAGCACGTCGAAGCAACTTTTGGGCGAATTGCAAGAGAAGTACGATGCACTTGTGGCGGAGCAGAGTGAAGTGCAGGGAGTACACCAGAACGAATTGCGGAAGATCACAGTTGAGCGCGACTCTCTTCTAACCCAACTCGCGGACCTGGGGAAGAAACATGAAGCCATCCTCTCCGAGAATCTTATCGACGAAGAAGCGCACAGCAAGGCACTAACACAACAACGAGCGGAGATCGAGGAGGCGCACAACCAGGCTTTGACCGAGCTACAGGTAGAGGTCGGGAAGAAATTCGAGTCGCTGCTCGAGGCCCTGCAATCCGACTTGTCAGCCATGGAGCAGCAGAAGAAAGCGGCTGTGGAAGAAAAGCAATCTGTATTGGAGGAGCTCATCGCTCTCAAGAAGGATCTTTCTCTACATGACGAGTCTGCGCAGACGAATCTGAAGGAGCTAACTGAGAAGTACGAAAATCTCGCACGCGAAAAAGCAGCCGCCGACAACGACCACGAAGCCGCCATAGCTTCATTGCGCGAGGCCTTGAAAGACGATCATGAGAAGGCAGCGTCTGAGCTTCAAGGACAGTGTGACGCACTCCAGGCTAAGCTCATTCAAATCGATCAGGAGCACAGTGATGCCATCGCGTTGTTAAAGGAAGAGCTGAGCGAAGGCCATTCCAACAATCTGACAAATATGAAGAAGACTCTCGAGGACTTGCAGCATCAGCACGACGACCTCATCGAGCAGAAGCAGTCCATGGAGAGAGCTCACGAAGACGCCATAGCGGAGCTCATGGTCGGCATGGAAGCAAGCATGAACGACGCAGTCCAACAGCTTCAGAAGAAATACGATGCGCTGGTCAGTGAGATGGAGATAACGAAAACCAATCATGCGAAGGAGCTCGAGCTTGCGAAGAGGGGCAGCAGTGAGTCGGAAGGCATGCTTAGGGAGCTGCAATCGCGCCACGCCACAGAACTCGAAGAAGCCAAAAACAGTAGCACTGAGTTGGAAAGCATGTTCCAGGAATTACAATCTCGCCACGCCGCAGAACTCGCAGAGGCTAAGAAGAGCGGATCGCAACACGAAGGCTTACTCCAGGAACTACAATTCCGCCACGACACGCTGTCGGCGAAGGCTGCCGCGGACATTGAAAGTCAAGCACAGGAAGTCAGCCGTCTGCACGAACTCATCAAGAAGCTAGAAGCAGACCACTCGAAAGCCCGTCAAGAAGCAAAGACGGCCCAAGACAGCATCGAGGAAATGAAAGTCCACGTCGTAAAAAAATATCTCGCCAAAGTCGAGCCGCTCGAACGCGAGAACGGCCAGCTTAAGGACAAAGTCGACCGCCTACAGGCCATCCTCCACGCAGGCGATAGAGTCGCCCGCGCGGCCGCCACCATGGGCGAGAAGCGCGAGATTGACACGCTCGCCGAGGAAGATGAGGAGGACGAAAGCGAGGAGTTCACGTCGGGTGCCCATTTGCATTCGGCGGGCAAGGCGTCGCCGCCAAGAGAGGTTCTTGGAACAGTGAGTTTGTCGCGGAAATTGAATGGCGGGTGGAGACTAACCGGCGGCTAGCAGTTGGCGGCTATGCAGGAGACGCTTTCCCAGCTAAGCGATCTGAACAATGAGCAGATTGCTGAGAGCTCGCGCACGGCGAGGAAGCTTGCAGATGAGGAGTGGGTTGCTGTGGATGGTGAGAAGTCGGGATCGTCGAGCAACTGAGCAAAGACGACGTGAAGGGATGCATGGATGACTGGTTCACCCCATGTGAGGGGAGCGTGTGTGTGGAGCGGACCTTTCCGCCTTTCTTTCATCGTGTGCATCTTTAATACTCTCTCATGTTTGTGGTCGGTCTTACCACGAAGCGTGGACCTGCAGTCGGCACTATACCCTTGTTACTGTCGCTGGAGCTGTCACTGTCACTATTATACCCCCTTGTTTTGGTGCTTCACCAGCATGTCGAAATATATACCATTCCTCTCCGAGCTACTGCTTTCACGCTTTGAACAATTTCCTCTCTGCATGTGGACAGTTTTGTTCCCATCTGCCCGTGATCCAAGCTATTCTCGCATCACAAATATCGAAATCATCCCGCGGCATATCCTAATAGCAGGTCGACGTTGGCGGCGGGCAGGACGATGTCGATTATCGCGGATGTCGCTACATCAAGGATAAACATACCGGCTGCGGCGGTGAGCTTTTTGAGGAAGCAAAGCCAGGCGGTGTGTCTGTCGTCGATTTCGAAGCCGATGGCCATGGCGTGGGCGTTGCGTATGTGAGTAGCGTGAGTGGACGTACACGGGAGATGAAGGGATGTGGTTGGGTAGGAGGGCTGGATTGGAGGGAGGGAGGAGTGGCGGGTGGAAGAAGATATGGAGGAAGACGAGCTGAAGGTAGACAACGAACGCGGAGAAGCCCAAGAACGCACGCGCGGGAGCTCTCACATAAGCTAAAGGAATACTCTCGCAGAAGCCTGAAGAACGCTCTCGCCAGTGGGAAAAAGAAACGCGAAAATTGAATATGTCACTCGCCCGTCACCTTTAGGACCGCGGCTAGGCAACGTAACACAGAGCGGGTTGGTGGACTCGGAGAACGCGAGATTCACTTCGATATAGGCACTTGCTAGGGTATCCTGGAGTGACACAGTATGGGCTGCGGATGCGTAAGTCACAACCCACTCCTGCGCGCGCGTATACGTGATGACGCGGACAGATCTTGACCGCTGGGTGTATCTTGTCGTATTCGCCCTAGCAGAACGCGCAGCTTGCTCTCGTTGAAGCGGTCAACTTTTGTCGCTGGCGTGACGCAGTGCTCGAGGAATCCAGCATTAAAGGGGGAACGGAGTAGCCGGCCAGCCCAGGGCGCTGTTCAGAGCGACGGCGAGGTCATAGTCATTGCACTCGTGCTTGTGTTCCGGCGTATGGGCGAAGTCGCGGTTCGTCCGAGCACAAGCCGGGAGACGGGTACGGGCCGTAAATCTGGGAAGCCCATGGTGCCGGTTCAGTTGGGGCCGGTATGATTGAGAATCCGTCAAGTGGAAGGTGGGACAGTAAACCCAGGGGACAGGAGCTGGTAAAGTACAACAAACGGGAGCGAACCACGGAGACGCATATGTATTCCTTTGAGCTAAGTATGTTCAATTGCGTAAGTCTGGTGTGCTCATTTCCATCATAGCAGCCTACCAGCTGCGCACAGTAGAAGCTACTCAACATGCATTGCCCCAAGCTTTCACACCCCGCCACCCCATCGCAAGATCGCACATAGCAGCAGCCCAAATTCTGCGTCATACCCCAGTGTCCTAGTCGCAAACCCACCATTCTTCAAACCCTGAACGACTTCCCTGAACGTGGTTGTACCTCTCGACATGGTGAGATTGGCAACGAAGAATCCGAAAGAGATAGAGACGCTCTGGAGAATATCGTTTTGACTGAATCGTACTTGCCGGGTGTGGGGAAGAAGAAGTAGGAGGCGGGTGAAGAGGACAAGAGGAATGAAGATAGAGTGGCCTTGGAGGGACGAGAGAGCAAGGAGGACAGCGTTGAAGAGGATGGTGGGTATGACAAGCGAAGTTTTCCTGGCTGGAGGCTCTGGCGTGTTTGCAGTTGGCGCCGGAGACACCTTCGAGGAGTCACTGGTTTTCGATACCTCCGTCTTCAGTCGGTCAGGTGACAGACCTACAGCGTCGAGATGTAGCTGAATGATAAACAAAGACGCCGTCAACGTGATTGGCAGGGTCTGGCTCAGCACAATGTACGGGAACATCGTGCGAACTGAGAACTTGTGCTGCTGAGCTACAAGGCATTAGCATAATGCGCAACATAAAAACACCACACCTAGGTCTACCTTTGTATGCCATCCACACGTTCCAGAACCAGGTCTGAAGTAACGCTGCTTGAGTCCAAAACGCGCTGGGTCTGTTGCGCACTAGCTCTCGTGCAAAAGTCCCGAACAAATTGGTTTCCAGCATCCAGTATCTGAGCCCAAAAAGACTAACCCTTCTCCCCAATAGATTTTGCGTCCGTGCCCATGCGGTCAGAGATTGAATCAGAAAGTTGAGCATAGTGTATGACAACATCGCAAAGGTGACGGAGGCCAGGAAGGCATAAATTTTGATATGTCGCGCCCTTGCATTTTTGACATCTTCCGCAAGTTTGATTGATGGTAGGCGCTTATATTGACCGTACAGAGAAGTTGATATGGATAAGGTGAAATAGAGTGCGAGGAGGATGTAGGATAAGACGAGGGTGGTGCCGAGGTAGTTGAAGGGCGGATTGGCATAGCGAGCTATGGTGTCCATGATAAGGTTAGGAAAGATGTCCGTCTAGGATCTCTGGGATCATTGAGGTATATGTGGCTGCGGTGCTATTGAGGACAGGTGGGACCAGAAGATGGAACATAAGGAGTGACGTCATGAAACGGGGCATGTCTGAGACGCCGACAGAAAGCTACGCGAAGGATGCCGCAATGGTGTAAGATCTATGATAGTTACAGGCCGATGTTGTGAGAGCGCAGCATTTCAGCAAGCGCGTTGTAGATGTATGTAGGGGGGCTTTGCAGCCTCATGCCAAGACTCTGTTGGTCTTTCTCAGGTTGCTACGTTGCCACGACACCTATATTCTTCTCACTTCACGATCATATCTGCACTGCCGCCTCATTAAAAAAAAGTGTTCCGATCATTCGGATGATTGGTCTCTCCTAATCGCCTCCTGCTACGCGACACGAGCTCAACGGCATAATTCCCCCGTTCGCCAGCTGAGTCGAATTCCCAGATGACCACCAGCATAGCATAAGGCTCCGGCCGAACGCACCAGAAACCCATAGCCCTTACAATTTTAGGACATTCAGTCGGCGTGTGGAACGGATCCGAGAGGATACTATCAGACCATAGCGTTGAGGCGTGGGATGGACCGTGCCCGCTCGCTTGACCCTGGACATTTCGGGAACGATGATCTACCCGGACAGCCTCATCATAGACTACTTCGTATGGTCACTTCCGACTAGTTGGAAGTTGATCACAACTCGAGTCAAGTCACCATGATGCAACGTCCCTCGTCATGTCAGTCTTTCTGGAACAATTGGGTCCTAATGAACTCCAAATGAGCTCTCAAGCTAGTAGAGATCCTCAGGCACCCAGCCGCCAACACGTCCCCCATAACGAATCCACCATGTGAACGACCAGACGGCGGAGAACGCCACTCGACCCACGTGCCAAAGTCTACGAAGGGACCAGCCACCTGGAAATCTCAATATGAAACATCCAGTCCCCACGCTCTAGAGCCATACTCAGAGTAGCTTTCTTGGATGGCCCTTCGTGTTATTCCCCGACTGTGTCTGCCAAGCGAATTTCGACAGGTAAATTCGGGTGGTTGCATCATAGCACGAGAGCTAGGGTCAGCTGTCGGATTGAAATACCTTTTGGGCCCTGGCCTCCGTCCTATTCCTTCTCTTCGGAACTCAACCGGTCACTTTGCGTGTACCATTGAGGAGATTGCATATCACTGTCTGAGCGCTAGTGGCACACCTTGGACGACTTCTACATCACTGGGAACTTCGAAGATTATATTTGACGAACATGGTCCTGTAAGTACATCTACAGCCAGATCCGCAAAGCATAGTTGGCGAAGCACTGGTTAGGAATGGCGATGATGGTGATGACTTTCTCTTCCTTCATCATAGGCCACCTTAGTGACAATCCTTTGTCCATATAAAGATCCGCATGGCTAACCACCACCATTTTGACAGCAGTCTCGCACGCGATTCCACCATGGACACCGCCCCAAACGGGACTTGCTACTCAATCACTGGCCTCGCATCCCCCTTCAACGATTACACATACGTCCCCTGCAACCTCACCGCCATAGAAAACGGCCAACACTCCGCCTGTTGCGCATCCGGCGACACCTGCCTAACCAATGGCCTCTGCAAATACAACTCACCCACTCCGGTCCGCAACTTCAACACATACTGGCGCATCGGCTGCACAGACCCCACATACCAGGACTCCTCCTGCCCAAAGCAATGCAAGAACAGAGAGAACGTCGAGCGACATGTGCACATCGTGTTCGAATGCCCGGGAGACGGCCAGTGGTGCTGCGGCACTGGGGCGAATACCGACTATGAAAACACCATGACGGTGAACACCACATGCTGCAATATCCCGGATCTTGCCTTCCGCGACGAGGTGCGGCAAGCGTACACAACGGCCAAGAGCGACTGGCGCAGCGTCATCGACATACGGACGTTCGAAGCGCTGGCTAAGAGCACAGCTATAGACGCCGCTTCTACTGCAACCGCATCATCGACCGAGCAATCAGTCCGACACACATCCACCTCATCACACACTTCGATACTCCTCGCCACGGCCACAGCCTCTACCTCTCCATCCCCATCGCTATCCACACCTCCTTCCAACCAAAACACCACAGCACTAGGCGTCGGTCTCGGCATCGGCATCGCCATCCTCGTCGCCGTCCTCGCGCTCCTCACGTTCCTCCTCTACCGACACCGCCGCCACCGGAAAACGCAGCACGAACGTATGGCCGAGCTCGCGGAGACGCAGGAGGACGTGCGGCATGCGTTTTCGCATGCGTTTGCGGTGGAGAAGAGCGGGCGGGAAGTCCCAGCAGAGCTAAGCGCGGAGAGGGGCGTGCATGAGATGGGGAGGCCGGATTCGTGGCGGACGGGGGACGATGGAAAAGGGGACGAATTCTATCGGTGAAAGATAGGGTAGAGTAAGACATTAATCCAAGTAGACAAACAGTTTGTACACAATTCGGGTGTTGCGGTGGACGGGGTGCTGAAGCAGAAGCTGGGTATCATTGTCACACTATCTACCTGCGTCCCAAGGCGATTGACTAACAGCCGACGCTGTTACTCCTCAGCGCCCAAGTGGGCTTTCAATCCCCCCTTGCCGACTTTCATGGCGCGCTCAATCTCCATTTCTTCCTCTCTCAGCCGACCTTTTCCGTACTCAAGGTCACGCTCTTGCTTCCTCCTCTCCTCCTGCACGCGCCGTTCGCGTTCGGCAAGTGCCTTCTCGCGGCGTCTGCGCTCCTCACGCTTCTTGGCTGCTTCGGCTTCCTCCTCAGCGGACGCGGCGGCGCCCTCAGGCGCTGGTGGCAGCGTGGAAATATATGTTTCGACGAGAGGTTCGCGGGTTGATGGTGAGAGGGAGATGTAGCGCAGGTCGGTCAAGATCGAAGCAGGAAGCGTGTCGAGCGTCGTAGAGCTATTCAACGCCGCAAGCGGCTGCGCCTTCAGCAGCGCCGTAAGATCTGCCTTCAACTCGGACGAGCGCATGCCGATGCGCTTGATGTGCTCGCGATACAGTTTCTCCTTCTCCTTATCCGGCAGCTTCCCGTCCTTCAGCTCCGGCTCTTTCTTGTATTTCCGCCTGAACTCTGGCCAGTAGAGTTTCGGTGTGGCGTACCGGTCGAGGAGCGCGAGGTAGGGTATTCGCGGGTCGAGCTTCTGCTGCTTGGCTTTCTGCTCTTTGAGGTAGACCATCTTGTTGCGGGACCACTCGTCGAAGCATTCTTTGCGGGCTTTCATGTTGGGGAGGGCTTTGTACCGGTCGTCGTCGTAGAGGGCGCCGGCCTCGAGGACCTTGTCCCAGGGGGTGTAGGGGCTAGTGTGCGTGTCGTCGAGGAGCTCTTTGAAGAGGGCCTTGCAGTCTTCCTCGGAAAGCGGTGGTTCCTCGTCGAAGTATTCTTCTTCTGCATAATCGCCTTCCATGCCTTCCATCTCCTCCATCTGCGCTAGTTGCCAGGCGAGGTCATCGTCTTCGGCGGCTTGTTCCGCGGTCGGCTCCTCCGTGCGTTGGCGTTTGTGCACATGCGATCCTTGCTCGCCTTCGTCGTCTGTGACCTCAACTTCTTCGTACTCTTCCTCTTCGTCCATGCCTTCCTCCCCCTCCACTTCGACGATTTCGATGTCCTCTTCCGCAGCTGCGAGTCCTGCCTCAATATCGGCCATGGCGTCGTCCTCTTCGACGTCGCCAGGTTCACCGCGCTCCTTCCGCTCTTTCTTTTCGCGCTCCATGCGATCAAACTCGACGACCGCCTTCGTCACGTCTGGCGGGAACTTCCAGAAACTCTCATTCGTATCCTTGTTCCACACGAACCTCCTCCCAAGCTTCGTTCGCACCAAGACCCATGGCGCGCAGTTGGGAATATCCTGGCGGTGCTTTGGTCGATCTTTCGGTTGTCGTGTCCGAGCTGAGAAGCTGGTCTGTCCTCCGCGAGCACCTCCTCGATGTCCACCTCTTGCATGATCTGGGCCCCGGTTATTATATAGGCTCTGCGCGCCACCAAATATGAGGTCTTCAATCTTTCTCTTCGGATCGTAGGCATTCGAGTTGTCATGTTGGTGTGTAGGATCGTTGTAGTCGGCGTAGGACGAGTCTGCGCCTAGTGCTGCAGGTGGTCTCGCAGGAAGACTGGCCGGAGGCGGGGGCAGAGGAGCCGGCGCTGGAGGTGGCGTGGCAATCGCGACTGGGCGTGTGTACGTAGACTTCTTGGTCTCTTTGTTGAAGTAGTAGACATGGCCTATACGTTGTAAGCAAGGCTATGACGCAAAGTAGGCTGGGCTTTCGCGTACCTGAGGGCGCCGTGTGCTCCGTCCAGCCTGCGGGAAGGGGCGGCGGGGGCGGGGGCGGTCTGACAGGCACGTCGGCCATTGGGAACAATGGAAAGCAGTGGATTGCAGGCAAAGGCAGCGTGTAGGCGCGAATGGCGCAGTGAGGGCGTGCTGTCGCTCGAAAAAGTGGTCGGGCTTGGCACAACAGCTCCGCCGACGACGCGCAGTGAAGCTAATGCCTGGAGCTCTCCGTCAACGCCAACCCTCTACCAAGCTCCCCGCCGCCCTCGCTCCCTCGCTCCCCTCCCAGCGCCTGCAATCCCCAACCCCCAGTCCCAGATCCGCCCGAGCCCGCAGCCATGTCGAGGAGATACGATTCACGGGTACGTCGCTGCCGCAGCCGCCGCCCGCCCTCCGCTAACGCTCACGTAGACGACCATCTTCTCGCCCGAGGGTCGCTTGTACCAGGTCGAATATGCGCTCGAAGCTATCTCGCACGCAGGAACCGCATTAGGCATCTTGGCCAAGGATGGCATTGTTCTGGCAGCTGAGAGGAAAGTCACCAGCAAGCTGCTGGAGCAGGACACATCAGCCGAGAAGCTCTACATCCTGAACGAGTGCGTACACGCCTAGATAGGCCTCGGGACTCACGCTGACGGTGCCAAAAAGTAACATGATCACTGCTGTTGCAGGCATGACAGCCGACGCGAACATCCTAATCAACTTCGCCCGCAACCAAGCCCAGCGCTACCTCCTCACCTACAACGAAGACATCCCTTGCGAACAGCTCGTGCGCCGGCTATGCGATCTCAAGCAGGGCTACACACAGACGGGTGGTCTCCGGCCCTTTGGCGTGTCCCTGATATACGCAGGATGGGACCCGCAGCGCGAGTTCCAGCTCTACCAAAGCAACCCTAGTGGCAACTACGGAGGCTGGAAAGCGACGAGCGTGGGCGCCAACAATGCCTCCGCCCAGAGTCTGTTGAAGCAGGACTACAAGGAGGACTGCAACCTCAAAGAGGCCTGCGGTCTTGCCGTGAAGGTGCTGGGCAAGACGATGGATTCGACCAAGCTGAGCAGCGAGAAGAGTACGTCTGGAAATCGAACACTGCATGCAATTGCACTAACACATGTCCAGTCGAATTTGCGACGGTCGGCAGGACAGAGACTGGCAAGATCTACCACCACCTTTGGGGAGCGGACGAGATCGACGCGTTGCTCAAGGAGCACGGCTTGGCCAAGCCGGAAGATTCTGAGATGACCGAGGGCTGAGGCCGGTCGACTTCCTGGGGAGTGCGGCGTCTATGGATTACGATAGACTTTGGCCTGTAGTATACCATACCATACACTAGGTGAGAGCACCAACCATTTCGGTAGCAAATCTCACGTTCATGACGGCATGCCAAACTCTACCTTCACTTCACTTGTACGCACCATGCTAATCTGCGACGCGAACTCTCTGTACCGCCCTTCATCCAGCATCCGGAGCGGTCTTGCTCATTTCGTTTCTTATCGCGTCCTGCTCGTGCCAGTTCCGCTGAGGCAGCTGCCATGCAATCACGCTGGGAAGGGCCGCTCCTGCCTTTGGGAGCAGCTAACGTGGCCAGCATTCGCGGCCGGCCTATCTCCGCACCATTCTCTACCCTCGACATGGTCTCTTCTTTTCTTCAGCCTTGCCAGGTGCACCACAGGTCTCCTTATTGCATCGTTTAGCCGCATTGTCTATCCTGCACTGCATCCCATTCTAGCATGTCTAGCCCAGCCCCCCGCCCGAGCGTGGCGCACATCCCCGGCATCGGTCCATCCAGCTCCATCCTCCAGCGGCTGCTTCATGAAATCAACAACACCGGTGCGCCAAGATCAGACCCTATTTTCCCAGCCAACAACGGTCCACGCTCAAGAAATGGCTCCATGGCTTCCTCGAGAAGAGCGTCGTTGAACTTTAGTACCGTCCAACCGGAACAAAGGAAATTGTCGGTTTGGGCCAAAGGTGGATCAGCTGCGGAGGATGCTCGCCAGAAATTGAGAGCTCTCGACGAAGCCCGTCTACGCAAGCCGTCAACAATCGCCGCTCAATTTGACAGCCCAACAGCGTCTCCCGCCGCCATTGCTTCGCGGAAATCATCGGCTGCGTTGCCTTCTCATCCATTCTTCACTGAGATACAGTATAACCGCGCGGCTACTTTTCCGGAGTCCGGGCCATCTTCGCCTACCTTGAAGCATGCAATCGATAGTCCTGGTGAGAGAATATCTCTTATAGCCGTGTTTTTGCTGACTGTGAATTGTCACACCAGCTGGAAAACGAGAACGCAGCGGCGCCTACTCACCTGATTTTATATCAAAGAAACTACGCCAAAAGAGTTTCCCCGACATGGCCTGCCGGGACCGCGACTACTGCTCAGCATTTTACACACGTGACGACATGGTGCCTGGGGGTGGCTCTGTCGTGACCACTCGGGTGCAAAGCGCTACCTCGGAAGACCCCGTCTTTCGTCTGGAACCGCTACCCGAGGCCCCTACAACTCCGCCCTCTCCACCCTATGGTTTTCGAAGCACGCCGAAACACGCATACAAACCGTTCCGTCCTGCAACGCCACGTCGATCGCCCACACCGTCCGAAAGCGGGAGTCCCAGGGGTACACCGACTTGGGCGCGCCCACTACACCTTGTAGAAGACGAGTTCTCCGTTTACAAGAATGTGCATGGGAACAAGTCGCACGAGCATCCCCTTTGTCTCTATTGCTTTCGGCAGCATGGCGATTTACACAGGATTGTCAACAACCACTGCGAGGCGTGCGGGCAGGGTGAGGTTTTGGAGGGTCACTATTGGGAAGCACGAATTTGGTCCTAATAGAGAGCTGGTGTCTCCACAAACGGCTTTGGCCGGTCTCATTGGACGATGCAGACAATGATCCATGGACAGGGATGTATGGAGTGTTTGATTTGGTTCCTATTCCCTTGATCGTTTGTGTGTGGCTCGAAGTTTGGAGGGCTTTTGGGTACGGTTCCTTTGAGTTTCGGTATACCGGTAGTCTTGGATAGCGTTTATTCACTATGTTCTCACTTTCTTTTCTCAAAACTGCTTTTGATACATCACCGTACGGAAGATGGCGATGCACAAGTTGCTTTTAAAAGTTTATGGTCAGGAACAGCGGTTCCTGATTCTTGGTCGACAATGATCTGTAGTGTCTCGAGCGGGGCGGGGTTTGTGTGGCATACGCTGTGCTGCACAGCGTCTTGCAAGCAGCGTACGCTTTACAAAACATCGCCGTGGAATATCACATAGTAAGTATGCGGTTGTATGCAAGCATCTCTCGCTTGCATTAACTTTGCCACAGAAATTTCCAACCTCTACCATATTGTGCAGTGAAAGAGCAACTTTCACCCACGGGTTGGGGTTAGTGGCTGTAGCATTGGTTTGTCGAATTTCCGCATTTTTTCGCAAATCACGGTCTAAAGGATGAAGATGGCCTAGATTGCGAATGCATTGGTATGGTTGGTGATGTTGCGATGATTGAACTCTGAATGTGCGCAGAATCTCTAGAGTGTGGGTGCGAATGGGGCAGGAGGAAAGGGCATGGAAAGAAGGCGTAGGCATACTGCTTGTGATGTCGATAGTGGGTGTGCGGGAGGGATGTATGTGAGATCCCACTTACAACACATCTTCTATGTAATAAGACGACCGTCATTTGTTTACCTTTTCGGGATCACACTTCGTGGATGGCTAGTGTCAACAATCGGATGACTCATGCTCATTTATTGGTTTGTTCTTGATTGGAGGAGAGTGCGGCAGTGTGACGGGATTGTGATTGTGGTTGGCTGCGTAGTTGCAGACGATGAACGAAGAGAAGAGGTTGTCCCTGGGACAGGCGAAGGCATTCTTGCGATATCGGACTAATTTGCGCGCTTAATGCATTTTTCTTGCGGATCTCCAGTCTTCGGCGTGGCCACTGATTATAAGAAGAGCTATGCCTTATCCTATGCTCGGTCGCACATGTCGCAGCGATGCCACAAACTCAGAGAACTCGCTTCTTGTCCATTCCGAAATATTCTGCTGGCGGTATGTAATGTACGCGCGTGGTATCCATGTCTTGTTGTGCGATCTGCAAGGCTCCGCCTGCCTTGCCCACGTGAGCTGCATGGCCATGGTTGAGTGTTTAATTCAAAAGCTCACCGCAGCCCTCCATAAATCTGCTGCTTTCCATGTACCGCAAATGCTCCAATGCCGCGGGCCAAAGGTGTCAAGAAGGATCCAGACAAAATCCCCACATTGGAGATATTGAGGAATGCAGGAGGACAACGAGGTTGGCCGTTTGTTCTGTTGGTTTTTCTCGAATACTGACTCTTGCAGTTGAGTGAAATACCACGTGGATTACAAGCACTGTTGAGACCCAGAATACGTCGGTAGGGACATCCCACTCGAGCTCTGCAAAACTTGCTACCGACTCAAGATCTTCCTCATCACAATAGGTGGATCGAAAGACCGTAAAATCCTTTGGAATGTTTAGGGATTCGGCAAATGTCTCTTTGCGATGGGGCCATGATTTACGTCCGCCCGAGCTAGTTCGGAACGTTCGTATCGATGTAGATATGCCTTATGTAAAAGAGCTGTTTGGGACATTCTCGATTTGTTGTTTGAACTCAAGTGCGAAGCAACCATCTTCATTAACATCCGCGCAGTCAAGACATACCATCGCCCAGGATGGATCGCGACGACTTAGGGCCTAGGTTTGGACTATAATGGTCCGAATGCTATCAATCAAAGGGAAAGTCTTGTTCCAATATTGGAGAGACCGATAGACCGCACCCACGAAGTCGAAGTAATCTACCACCTGGGGATCGACCAAATTTAGAAATCTTAAATCCACCTCTTACGAGACTCTTCTCTCTGCATAGGCGGATAAAGCCCCACTGGAACGTTCAACAATGTGTTGCTTTCAACGAGGCGCCGGAAACAGGAAGTGGTTTTCCTCAGGAAGTTGCGCTATCAGCGTAAGTGCCTCACATCCTGGTGATTTCAAGCGATCTTGAGGGTCGTTAGCCAGTTCTCAATTCTCGGATGCCGGCAGGTGGGTGTGGTCCGGAACGCAACTAGTGCGAAATATCAATTCCAAGGCGCAGCATATCACAGCGAGATAGCCTTGTAACAAAAGGAGGTTTTCATTAACGTGGCAACCAGCGGTACTCTGGGGTCAACTGCGTCTTGTGTCTTTCCCAACAGTCCTCAAGATTTCAAATTACTTTTTATTTGACGAGAAATGAGCAATCACTTTCTACAACTGCCAGTGATGCGAGAGAGGAGAGACACGTCACCAGACATTTTTGGAATGGGCGTCTACCCCGTTGACACACTGTACAGAATTGCTCAATCTACTGCGCTCCATTCCTACGACCCAAACGTTTTCAAGGGCCGACACAGGCTCCATCAATACACTGCAGCTTCGTCCCATGTTTCGGACAGTTTTCAAGTGGATTCCAGAACTTCGCTGTTGCGCAAGTCTCAGCACCTGCTACTTGTCCCGCAGACTTTGCACCTTTCTCCGCCCCTCGAAGATGGAAGACTTACTGACACCCGAATCCAGCCAGATCTGCGTGCATTTCAACTTTTTCATCGTTAGCCCGGTACAGTCTTGACAACGACAGAGAAGGGAGATATTGCGTACCCGATGTCCACCATTGCACTCGCATCGTATCTCACCAAGGTTGTCGCACCAGTCCCATTTCGGGCCGCATTCGCCCTGGGCTACGACCTCCACTGGGGTGGAAGCTGTCCTGGATGCAAGCACCATGAGCGTAGCAAGGGTGACCGAGAACTTCATGCTTGGGGGCGTTTGATGGCGTTCAAAGGCTTGAAGATGGCGTTGGGAAAGTTCACAACCATTGTGCGTGGCGTCATAATGGCTGATACTTATACCTGTTCATTGGGCTGGATGCAATGTGCTTGAGCAAGCTCGTCTGGAAGTGCGTGACCGTGACTTGCAGATGGAGGTGGGGGCAAACAAATCAGTTGAGGGTCTGAAATAGATTGTACGTCAAGCCAAGGCGCGACGATTAGTCTCGTATCCCGCGCATCGCTGTGACCGGCAGTAAGTACTTCAAAGACGTCGGTGCTCAGAGTTTGTCGTCCCGAAAATCGGATTGCAGAACCATTTCCTATTCTCTAAAAGTGGAGATTGTATCAAGATAATTGTCTAAGTGGGTCTGGAGATATACAAGAGACCGCTATAAGGACCCACTGATTGATCTGTCTTGATGACGAGGATGCTTTTGTTCGCTGAGCACAAACGTTGCCTTGGTCTTTAGTGAAGACGAGTGCTCTGATTCTGCGTCGATATGCACAATTAATTACCATATATACGAGTCACTCGAGCTTGACTAGATATACTACAAGCTTTCAGCCACGATCGGCAGTAATTGGGCTGTCCAACGATGGCGTCCGTAGGCTCACGTCAAAGAGTGCACGTGTGAAACGGGGCGCATCAGAGGGTTATCGAATGGTACATCAAAGGTTCGCCTTACGCATGCTGTAACCACGAACGCTGGAACGGACCGTAAATTACACAAGAGACGTGCCTACGTGTAGTGCGCAATGTGGCAGCTGAACTGACAGATGTGAGGTGACTTCGCTGCACGGCATTGCGCGACAAAGTATTGCCAGATACAACTAGGCTGTCAGCCAACCCATTTGCTTCAGCGAATGCACTCATACCTGGTTGATGGAGAACGTCAGGCCAACTGTGATCTGGCTTGCCCCACGTTACCTAAAGCTCCCCCCGCTCCCTCAACGGTCTACCCTTCTCCGCCAGATCCTTGTCATAATCAGGCGCATCCCTATCAAATTGAACGTCGGGCACATCAGCGTCCCTCCCAAATTGCCCTTCGCTGGTACGTATAACCCACCAACCTGTAACGGGTTGTAGTGTGTCACGCTTACCACCTTGCTCATTCGCCCAAGGCTCGTTTAGCTCACTCAGATCCGAAAACTGCGGTACCTCCAGGGTGCCACCATATTCATAGTCCCATTGTGCTGTAGTCTTGCGTTCTGGAATCGTCGGATATGTGGCTTTCTGCTCCTCAGCCCGAGAGGGAACAGATTGCGCGCTCGGCCAGAAGCAAAGAAGCTTTTGCGTGAGCTTTCTGAGGAGACCTTGCTCCCGCACTGACCCATCACAAGGGCTTGCAGCCATCGTGTCGCCTGAGAGATTTGAGTTTCTCTTGCCGCGCTGCCTTGTTGACTGGAAGACCTCTTCACTGTCCCGCACCGTGTAACCCACAGATCCGGCAACAGCTTTCGCCATGTACTTCTCCTTTCCATCTCTGATATGGATCGGTACGTGGACTAATGCTGCTGGTACGTCGTGCCATTCGACAGGATAGTATGTTTTTTCTCCATACCACCAGTCATTGCCGTTCTCAGCGACCATTTTGGCCCAGCGTCGGGCTGGTCCCTGACCACCGAGCAGCTTCCCGTCCGTACCCCAAAAGATGAAAGCAAGTATCCACCCGCTGAGAAGTTTAGCACCCAAGTAGCTGTCCCTAGAAGAATGGACTGCGCCCTGCCAGAAGCGCACCACACTCGGCGAGTCCGGTGCCTTGAAAGTTTCGACCATTTTCGAGACGAGTACTTTGAGCGAAGACTGCCACATTGCCAGTTCTGGGTGGTCCCTTGCGAACGTAGAAAGGTAGTCAAGTCGGTTGTGGATGTCTCGCCAGTCGTTTTCTTCGCCGAGTAATGTGACAGAGGGAATACCGCAAGTAATCCCATATTCGTATACGAAATACTTCTGCAAAGTGCCCATCATAGTAACAGAAGCAGCGAGTTTGTCCGTATCTGTGGTAGTAGTAAAGTTTGGCATAATCCAATCGCGAAGGCTAGGGTCCTTGATATTTTTGTCAACCAGGTTGGTCATCTCTATGAGGAAAGCTGGCAGATCCATGAGTTCATGAACGATTTCCAACTTCCTCTTTCCCTGGTGGTCTACGAAATGCTCACGAAGTTGCTCAGCGTGTTCATTAACGTAGAAATTGAACTGCATCAAGATGCCGAGCCACACGTCTTCTGGACGGAGGACGACGTGGTTGTGCATTCGGTACGCATCCAGTATGGTGCCAACGAAGCCGTTAGCCGATTCTTCCTCGGCTCCGAAATGGCGAGGTGCTGCGATTTCGATCACCGTTGGAAACGACGAGTCCATGACGGAAGTTTCGTTCTCCTTCCATAAAACAGGGCAAGCATGTTGGAAGAGGCTAGTGGAGTTGTCTAAAGTGTGGGGTACAAAGTCAGTGAAGTGCTCAAAATCATGGGAAATTAGGTGGGATGTGGTTGTTCAAGCTCTGTGTATGACCAAAGCCTGATGTTCTCAGACAATGATAACAGCCGAAGACAACCACTTTGTAAACCCCGGGTTTCGTACACGTTGACAGCGCAGGAGCTGGCCTTACCTCAACAGGTGCCACACGCGTAGTTACCGGCATATCGATTTTCGAAGAACGCGGGTCGCTTTTGGAAGTGCTACTAGACACTACAACATGCTAATTTGGACAGCCAAAGTATATAGATCATGGTTGACGTTGCTGCCTGATAATGGGCGCCGTGAGGGGTAAGGCGACCCGCGAATCAACGTGAGTCGTTCGTCTTAGGCATCCCAGATGACCCTGGTCCGCGATAGCAACACTGTGTCCAGAAGAGCATTCCTCAAGCGCTTTGTTCCTCTTTTATGAACGAGTCGTGTTGGATCTCGATGAGTTTCGATGCTGTTGCGCCTCAGCCCGCTTCTCTGGGTCCGTCTTTGCAGCCTCTACACCTGCACCGGATTCTGCGGCGTTTGAGGGCCCGTCGTGATCTTTTGCAACTTGATAATGACGTTTTCGGAGCGGTTCTTCGTTTCCAATCCGATTTCAAAATGTATAAGTCCACGCTGGTAGTGCTGATATTTGAGCTCCATACCGGTACAAGGCTCGTCACGACATGCCGCCTTTAACGGAAGTCCTGAGCATGGTAAAAGGCCAGGCCTTTGGCAACGCGTGGATAGAGTCTCGGTCTGGGCAGAAATACTGTTATCGTCACAGGAGCGAATACCGGTTTGGGCCTTCAGTGCGCGATATATCTGTAGGTACCGTTCTCAGATCGTTCACACTCGCGCCGCTTACTTGACAATATAATGCGCGTTTGAATGCATCGCGAATCATCCTTGCCAGCTGAAGTATAACCAAAGGCGAGACCGCAAAGAACGCCATCATCAAGGAAACAGCTTGCGTAAAGCGGACCAACACCGAGGTCTGGGAGCTTGGCCTAGCCAATTTTGCCTCTGTGCTAGATTTTGGAGAGCAGAGTTCGTACCAAACTGAAGCGTCTAGACGCTTTCATCGCCAATGCAGGAGTCGAAGTGCAAAAATTCCAGTATGCAGAGGGTCTTGAGCTGCAACTGACAGTCAATGTCGTTTCATGTTTCCTGTCCGCCATTTTCGTTCTGCCAAAGCTCCCGCAGACTCCGGAGGCGCATAACATTGACACGACGCTTACATTCTGCGGTTCGATGTAGCATATCATGGGTCCCGATGCCGAGCTGTACATTCCGGAGGGTGCTAAGACATCTGAAATTCTCGGTGATCCGAAACGAAAAGACATCGTCTCGCGATATGCCTTGAGTAAGTTTATGGTCCATCACTGCTACCACCAACTTGCTGCTTCTCTTCGGAACAGCCCAACCCAGGATCGGTCTTGCGTCATCTTCAATATGATTAACCTAGGCTGGTGTGAGACGGAATTGTCTCGCACGAAGCCACGTCCAATTACGGAAAGACTAAGCTTTGCAGTGATGGTGTGGAGCGCCGAGAAAGAAAGCAGATCTTATATCCATGCCTTGGCAGCAGGAAGAGAAAGTCATGGGTGATATTTGTCAGAGTGCGATTTTAAAGAATAATCCAGCTACGGCCAGAGCGAGAGGGGACGCCGGAACGAAAAGAAGATTTGGAACGACCTTTTGCGGAGGATAAAAGACATCTCATCTGGAATGGCTGGGTTCTTTGATTACGCGGTAGATCTTGCTACAATTCTCCAGATGAACCCTCGTGCCATAGGACGAGAGAGTTTTTGGCGCGGTTCCTTCCAACTAGAGACCAGAGGCTAGATGTTGGACGCATTAGCCATCACGGGCCAGGAAAATTCAGATCTTCGAGGAAGCAATCCCATGCAAGCCATGGATTCTCTCTCGGAGCATGAAGATTGTCAAGCTGCTCATAGCTTTGATAATCTGCATTCGGAAACAAACTTGTGTCGTCCAGTTGAAAGTCCCATGTATCGAAGGAAAATGTCTCAGAAACTGCAGAAGCTTCTTGAGGTAATGAGTCGTTAGGTTGCAAGGCAAGAGCTGTGTTCGGGAGAGTACTAGGCCTTTGAACCTCCTGTAAAGGCGGCTGTCTCAGGCGCTGCACGCGATGCATTAGCCTAGCGATTGGTTTCCAAAGCATCCCCGAGTCGCCATCGGCAATGAGCGTAGTATAGCTAGAGAACCCCTTTCTAGCAGCGGCATAGGCACGGTCGAATAGACTCCCGTAAGGTTGTACGAGCAATTCAGCAAGGACGACAGCCAGTGCATGCCATTGTACCCAGCTTTTCCAGGCCCAAGGAGCAAGTTCCGCTGGCATGGGTTTCAAATGCTCTTCGAGGACGGTAGTAGCTGCCTCCAGGATGTTCATATCATCCCATGGTGGGACTATGTTGCGAGAAGATCTGTAGGAAGGCCTTCGCAGAAACAGCTCCAAGCTAACTAGGATTTTTGGACCACATTCAATGTGATGCATTACCAATGGCCCGGTCTCAGCCTTGAATCTACAGAGATCGTTCTCCACATGTTGCTTCAAATCGTCAATGACAGCGACCATTTTCGGCCAGTGTGACCAGTCCGTGCCGTCCGCATTGGACGAGAGCTCGTACAGCTTACGTTGACTCAACATAGCCGCATAAACTAGCTTGGTGTGGGTCATGTCAGTAAAGCCGGGCGAACCTACCATAGGCACTTTGCTTGCTGATGATAGGTCACTGTCGTTTATATCAAGAGGAGGAGACTGAAATTCTGACAACGGTACCATGGGGACTGTACCTCGGTCCATTGATGCGTGTGAATCAAGTATACCGATCGCGAACAATAAGCGTCGCCGCAGCTCTCGATCGACCGTGGAGGCGTTGCTCGGGAGACCTTTGCTAAGCCTGAGTGCGGTGGCGGCTCTTACTGCAATGGCAAGCAACGTCCAAGTTGTTGCGCTATTTGAGCAGGTTCGTAAAGCGTGCTGGTAGTAGGGTTAGTGTCGATAACAGAGTTGCGAGCCTGATGAAAGTGTTGACGGACAAGATATACGACGAATGCTTGTAGGGTGATCAGGTCAGGACCCAAGAGCAATTGTGATCGAGCCAGCATATCTTCAGTGGCCGATTGATAGAGTGCCAGCATTTCTATTCTATCCCCAAGATCCTGAGCGACGGCCTCCTCGTTGGTGATGGCGCAATAGGCCATGAAAATAATTGAAAACTGCAAGGCTCGTACAGGCACGGATGTTTGTTTTGGTTGCTGATTCTGCTCAAAAGTCCGCATTAACGTGGGCCAATGGAAGAGTTTATATGCGCTTTCTACTCGGAAACGATAGATTTCGAGGAGTTTCGCCTGAGCGGTCGCAGACGGCAGATAAAACGGCGCGTGCAAAATTGGATGGCGGAATAGGATTGCACCAGCTCTCGAGGCATCGTCGTCTGGCTCAGGTGTCGGGTCCGTCTTGAGACTCTTGTCGTCTTCGTTTCCACTTTCTAGAGTCTCGCGCAAGCCACTGATTTCTTCAGAGAGCAGCTTCCAAAAGTCTGGAGCAACAAAATCGTCCATCCTGGCATTTGATGCAGTTCCAACTGAGGCATTTCCATTCACTACAGGATGGTCCTCAATCTGTGCACTGGGATGCAATGGAAGCGCATGTTTCTGTACAAGGTCAGTCATATCCTTACAGACGCATGCGTGAATGCTGTACTTGATTATACTCCTCGAGAAGGTGCTCTATGCGCACAATACGCGTCTCGATATTTGTATTGGCGCTACGCGTTTTCGCGGTTCTTCCCCGAGGTAATCTGGCACGCTGAATGACGTGGCAGCTGAGCCCTGAACGACTGCATGCCGAGCATGGCGTGCCTTTGTCGCATCGTATCTTCCTCTGCTTGCACTGTTGACATGCCAGTCGTGGTTTTGGGTCCATTGTATTTCGTGTTGAGTGACTTGCGATTGTCGCAGTGGGCACTGTCGATGACGATCGCAGCAGCCTTAGCTTGAATTGTCCGAAAAGAGTAAGGTGGTCTGCTCGGGGAAATATTACGGGCGGCTAGCGCCATGACATAGGCTAGCCTCTGTGGCAGCCTAGCCAGGCAGTTGCAACACTCGACCAGGCAACTTCTTATAGAATTGAATGTATCCGACACAATAGATGTTGTGTGAAGCAAACTGATTGGGTCGTTTTCGCTGGCCTCGCCTTTGAAGCTTACCCAAATCATTCGTTTGAATTTTTTCCTCCTCCCACGAAACGCTGCACAACTGCACGTACAACAATGCCTTGAGTAGTTATACTAACATGGGTTTTGCCGATTTACCAGCAGAGCTGCTGCAAACCATCCTGAACCATGCAATAGTGGTGCGAGGCATGAAGAGAGGACTGAGGCTACGCTTGATAAATAGTATGTGCACCAGCTCAACGGCTCTGAACGCAGTTAAACAAGTCTAACTGTTGACCCAGAACGATTCGCCGCTGAAGTTATCGATACCATCTACGCCTATCGCATGCTAGATGAGCGATTTTGTCAGCCTCTCGCTACCGTACGAAACCCGCCTATGCCACCGTTCACAGCATCTTATATCGAGTACCGCATTCACAACAAAGAAGACGATTCCAGTCTAGCCCCGTACCCGAAATTGGGGCTCCTGCGCAGAATCGCTCAAGACCTGGTAGCTGAGAACGTATCGCTTCCGTACGATGATTGCGTCCGCTTCCTGTGTCGTCTCATCTCCGAGGGTGGCGCGGATCGTGTTTCCCAAGTGTTCCCGCCTGCTTTGCCACGACCGGCCTATGGTCATGTTCTGTATGAAACAGAAGAATACTATGGTGAAGAATATCCCGCTAGTAGCTTCTGTTTCGTCGCTAATTTTTTTTTTTTTTTTTCCACAGTTGACAACCTGTTCGCTGCGGCCGTTGTGACAAACACCGTGACCATTGTCGAACGCTACATCGAGATCTACCGAGACAAATCGTTCAAGCCCCTACTTGGAATGGATTCGCGAGAGTTTAATCTGCAGGCTGCCCGCTATGCAAGCCCGGAAACCCTTGAAGTTCTCCTCTCCGGAGGTCATTCCCATCGTGTTGTTGTTCCGCGACGCAACGATATGCTCGTTGCTGCAGCGTCCGTTGGTCGTCCCTCTGCCTTCCGCTTCATCCATGAGTTCCGTATCGATGAAACGCCGTGGGATTTCAAAGATCGAGCAAAGCGATATGCCTCGCTGCAAGTATTCAGTGATGCTCTTCTCACGCCGAGCAGGGAGGTGTGGGACCATGTGATGGAACTAAGGGCTCGATACAACTGCCCTAAAGATGTACCTGAAGACCGCAAACAGAGGGTTCTAGCAGAATGTATCGGCCAGGGTGGGGACGCAGACCTACTCAACCATCTCTTGGACTTGTGGCCTGATATCGCTGAAAAGAATGGCTTTGGCGATCGCGCTTCAGCGAGTCCGTCAGGTCTTCTGCTGGACGCCTGTGCGAATGGCTATGAGGATCTGGTACGCGTCCTTTTATCTAGAGGCGCTAGTATGAGCTCCGCAGTAATCATTGCCGCCGCATACGGGCAGACAAAAATCGTACGTCTACTTCTTGAACACGGCGCCGCTCCTTTTGGTGGGCTTCTCAGAGCTGCCGGAGGTGGATATATGGACGTCGCACACATACTGCTCGATGCTGGAGTCCACCCTGGTGAGACAGACCCACGTCTGCTCATGTATCCTGGGCTTGTGACATATGGGTTGACCGACGTCCCCATTGCAAACGCGTGTGCGATGGAACATGTCGAATTGGCCAAACTATTGAAGGAGAAGGGGGCAAAAGTGAACGGGCATGCGGGATCGGAATGCTTGAGAGTCACTCGAAAAAATGGGTTAGAGAGCATGTTGGATCTTCTAGATGAATGGCATTGTCGCGGAGTCTAGATGCAGTGGGCATATATCAGAACCTAGTTTCCATGGCTCTGAAACAATTGAAATTGAAGTCGATACATGGATTTCATCATTGTGAGGGATTCAGCCGACCGAAAGATAAGACGTAGTTAATCGAAAGAGCGGCTCGACGGGCAGGCCGAAGCAGCTGCGATCCACCATGATATTCCCAGTTCTAATTTATCCGCGACTCACTCCCACAGGACCAAAGCACAGCTCATCAAAAGGTATCCCTAAACGCCCCATAGCCCAACCGAAACTCCATGCCAAATGCGAGACCTCATAAATCACCGCCTTGCCCTTACAGCAAACGGGCTTTCCTCTGCAGCCTTATATGAGTCAAAGCTCAGCAAGCTAACAAAGTACAGCGCAAAGAACCTGACCACCAAGTCGCCGAACCCTCCGTTGCCACTCATCATGCTCTGCAGGTTTGCCGCGATCCCAGCACCGCCGCCGACCGGTCGCGAGGGTGCCGTTGTCGAGCCGAGCGTGTAGCCCTTAGACTGGAAGTGTAGGCCGCGGGCCGCAGGGCCGTTCGTTGAGTCTTGGACGGCTTTGCGCACGGCGGCTGTCAACGCGCTCGGGTTTGCACCGCGGATGGTTTCGACGACCGAGCTGCCTTTGAGGACGAGGAAGGTTGGCATGCTGTACGCGCGTGTCAGTGGCTACGAATCGATACAGCGGAAGAGTGTGGCTTACGCAGATACACCATACTTTTTCGCAACTTCCTGCTGGCTATCGACATTGACCTTCGCAAACTGGATACGACCCGGCTTGGACTCTTTCTCGGCGAGCGCATGGAATACGGGCGCGATGGTCTTGCAGGGACCGCACCAGTCGGCGTAGAAGTCGACGACCGTATATGTGGCTGAGGATACGAGCTTCTCGAAGTGTGACGAAGATGTCACGGAAATGGTCTTGTCGGGCATGACGATGGTATTTGGCGCACGTCGAGAAGGTGAACGGGTCTAGTATGGACCTGGGCAATTTTGCAGCAGATGTATGTGTTCGGCGTATGCGACGGCTGGTGGAGCGTTGCGGGTGGAGTGTGGAGCGCGGAGAGAGGGCGGGGCGGCTGCAGATGTGAACAGCTTGCGGAAGAGCGGGCGGAGGTCCGAGATAACGCCGATTGGCAGCTACCGTGGGGGCGGTTCGGCGGTAGCGCGATGACTTCGCTGTTCTCCATGGACTCCAGCACAACAGCCTTGTAGTTCTTGGGCAGATGATTTATGCCGGTGAACGTGTCATTGTGCGCATGCCCTTCAATACCAAGAGATCGTACTTCGAAATGCATCTCCTAAATGTTTCAGTATCATTCAAGAAATGCTGGACGCTGGCTAACTCGTCTTTCCACTCACCAGTGTTTGTACATGTAGAACGCATGCTCGAAATCGAACACTCTCAGGATTTCTAGACCCACCCCGCCTTTCGCGATCCCAGTTCTCTGCTGCGTGCAAGTGGCTGCCCGACAGCGTGCCCTAGCCGGGGGGACTACTTCGACGTTGTAACCGATAGCGTCTCGTAATTCGCCCATATAACCACCACCTTTGACTAAAAGATTAGGGCGGATGTCTTTGAAGTCCTTGTCGATGACCTTGCCTTCCCCCAGTGCAAGCTTCAGCTGTTCTCGACTCTCATCGCTGATGCGCTCATAGCCTCACACCCTCGCCAGCTCGCCGTCGGATATCGTGTCGAGCCCCCGAATCTGATGCGGAGTAGCGCAGCGCCCATGGAGAAGTTAGAAACACAAGGTGGAACGGACGTCTAGCACGATCGTGGACCTGAGTATGATTTGGTCTCACCAATGGCGCCATGCCAAGTAGTATTTCTCCTCCATGGTATGGAACTGGTGGGTATCGATCCGTATCTCGCTCTTCTCTATTTGTATGCCCTTGTTTTTACATTGCGCCTGGGTACAGGTTGCCATGCCGGGAATTGCATGCTCGACCCGCCAATGTGGTGCTTCGTCGCCGTCCATAGTGTACGTTGCGGAGGTCGTGGTCGTCACAGCGCTGGCCATCATGCAGTGGGTAGATGATCGAAGCGAAGGGTGGAAGGGAAAAGCGAGACCTGAGGTTTGAGTTGACGTGAGCCGACCAGGCGCGCTTTCCGTGTAGAGCTGTCACGGGACGTTGGAAGTCTTGGCACAAACACAGTGAGCAATGCGGGCGACACATCTGCGAAGGCAATAGTTGAATTGATTCTACAGTTGCATGGATCAGGACTAGCGGATTCGCTGCGGGGTGATTGACCAGTTCTCCGGAACCTCAAAATCACCAAGCGCTTTCGCATTCTATTCAGGCCTTGCTCTTCCCTTCGAGGTCCAGGAAGTACTTGATCGTCTCAATAACCGTTTGCTCTACAGGAATAAGATCAGATTCCTTGATATCGACCAATTCTGCGGAAGAGTTGTCAATGTAGAACAATTTGTCCTGTAGCGCGCATCAGCCTTTGGTTGCTAGTTGCACATGTGTTGTTACAGATCTCACCATATCAAAGTTGTTTCTAGTCTGCGAGGGCGTCGCACCCGGAATCTTCGAGGCAATCTCCGCAATCTAAAAGATGTCAACGATACGTAAGTCATCGATCTCCTTGCCGCACCTGGTCATATCCTATCCTGTGACCGCCGATCAAGATTCTGGTCTTGTTCAGGTTGGGCTTTTGGAGCGCATTGATATGCGCCTTTGCCACGTCTCGGACGTCAATCCAGGTCGGCCATTCCTGCGGTGGGATGTCTGCTCCGGTCGCAAGACCGTACAAGAAGCCGGTACTGGTACTGGCCTTGGCAATGCTGGGGAGCGGTAGCACGTACGGTCCACCGACCCAGGCAGTGTTGATAGTATTCAGTGTCCATGAGGGCTTCTCCTTGTCGTAGAGTTCCCACATCGCAGCCTCAGCACATCTCTTCGAAGCCATGTATCGAGCAAAGTGACGGTGTAACTCAGGAAATTGCGTCATGTCCAGGTTGGGGTCTTTGGCTTCCTCGTAGGTTATTGGATTGAAGTCCTTATTGGTGTAAGTGTATCCCGTGCGGTATCCGCCCTTTGCATCGGCGATTGTAGCAAAAGAACCCGTGACTACGATGCTCTTGATTGTAGGTTGCTTCAGTGCTGCTGTCAGCACACCCCTCGTGCCTTCGATAGCAGGTTTCAACAGGTCTCTTTCAATGTCCTCGACTTGGAGAACAAAAGGCGAAGCAATGTGCGCAACATGTGTCACACCTTGCATAACCGTATCAAATGAGCTTGGGTCCTGGATGTTCATCACCTGGACGACTTCAAGACGCCCATTGGATACTTGTTCTGGATAATGCTTGCGGATGATAGATCCAGAAGCATCAGAACGGACAGCTGCGCGGACTTTGGGGCCGTTGGGAATGGCAAGCAGCTGATCAACTACTCGTTGGGCTGTGTGGCCATTGGCGCCGGTAACGAAGACGACATCAGAAGAGGTGAAAGACATGGCGACTAAAAGAAGAGCAGAGGACGCACAAAGCGGGTGAAATGAGAGAGACAATGACAATTGCGAGAACATCCCACTTAAATGGGAAAAGAAAATATGATGCAACCTATTGCCGGGTATAGAGCAAGCGTCTGGACGGGACATGGTCTACTGCACGTGTGTTCACATTCGGGCATGAGTCCGCGAAGGGTACGCGAGCGAGCGACAAGCGTGCATTTTGTGATCTAGTTGGATTCTGTGGCGGTACTGCAACGTCTCAATCGATAAAGTAGACAGGGGCCTACAACGGCGCATTGAACATAGAACCATGGTGAACAATGCGCTCGAAAGTACTGCCGTGAGCTATTGAAGGAGAGTATCTTCGTAGGACGGACTCGTTTGAGACGAAAGAAGAGGGATGGTGGAGCAGGGGTGTGGTAGGAAGTTAGACAATCACAACCCCGCGCGGCCCGTGCTCAGAAGGAAGGAAGCGCCCCGCTACCGCAGCAGCCGCTCAACGTGTCACATACACCACGCATGTGGCTCGTCAGCCAGCCGCGCGCGTCTCAGATTGATTATAATCGTGACTTCGTGGTGAAGACGTACGTCTACGAAACCCTCCTTCAAAGGTCGACCCGCGATTGGGTGCAGGAACGATCACGAACCCTAGTGGTAGTCGCCACCATAGGTAGGATTGGGTGTAGTATTACTGCAGGTGCACAAAGCAACATCAAGGCTGTCGAGCATTCGTGAACGTTCATCATCGACACCGATCTCCAAAGGGGCAAACGAGACGCAATCCTCTGTCCAAGTATAACTTAAGGTGGGCAACTTTCCGGTCCAGCCTTTAATCATCGGTCTCTCTTGGTCTCATCCTGCAGGGTTGTGCAAGCACCATTTATGTTCTCAGCACACCCCGACTGCTCCTCAAGACCAGCGAGGGCATCATGGAGAGCATTGCGCACAGTCGATACAACTCTGATAAGACTGCAACTCTAGTTAAGTCCGAATCTGTTACAGGTTATAAGTCTGAGATCATCACGCCAATTGCTTACATCAAAAACTTTTCAACCTACGCGCGACGTTGAACTTTTCTGATCATAGTGCTGGCTCGAGCTCCAGATATGCTTGCTTTGCAGTGAACATAGTGATGCCTGTGGCTCTCTGAAATCCGCCTTCACCTAGTTTCACGCACATTGCAATAGCGCCGTCGCCCTTTCGACCCAACCGAGACATTGCAAGTCTACAAAACGCCTAAATTTTCCGAACTGCATATCTGAGTATGATATTGTAGCAATAGCTCCAAACATGGCTGCACCGGCACGCACGAAGCCTTCGCCGATTCACACCCAACGCTTCTCTGCGCTTCAGCCCGCCACACCGTCCGCATTCTCAGCACACAAATGTCCTTGCAAGCGGTTGCGTTCGCCTGGTTAGCAAAACTACTTCTGCTCTGGAGGTACATCTGACGTACTAACCATGCTCAGAATGCAACTGTCCCCACGATAAAGGTTGCGCGCTTCGCTCCGTTCGCCCTACGCCGACGACATCGTCGACCGTCAAATCCCCCTTCGGCTGGGGCAAATACACATCGATCTCGACAAGCACAGCTGCGTCTCCCGCATATCGGCAAGCATCTCCAGGTCTTGTAGATGCCCACAGCACACTTCAGGCTCCCTCGAAAAGGCCCTCAGCGTACGAGTTCGGATATGATGGATCCATGTCGCTCTATCCCATTGCCCCATTGCTGATCCCGAAGCCAATGAGGCGGACAGACACCATCAGCGTCAGCGTCATCAAGGATCTTCCGAGGGATGTGACAAGGACATTCAACGGAAGGGTCGTGCGCAGGAAGAAGCGTCCGAAGAACATCACAGTGTATGAGATCCATCCCTACGCAAAACCCGTGGTGTTGCTGACTTTCCTGTAGTCCTCAGGTGAATGAAATCAACGATATTAGGCAGTATGTTTGCGATATGGAATGCAACTGCCGCTGCTGGACTTCGAGCAGCCCAATTGCCACGAGGCACTCGCCAATGTTCGATCGAGACGTTATTAGATGAAGGATCCAGAGTGAGGCGAAGCTGAGACTGATTGATTCGGTATAAATCAAGAGACATGGGATGAACTTGAAATCATACGAACAGGACATCTGAGCGTTGTATAGTTATGGTTAGTTTTGTAAAGTCATGGTTACGACTGAGGAGCTTCTTTATCATCATATCGAGACCTGTTTTAAACCTTGCAAGACCATATGGTGCGTTCTTATTCTGGGCATACGAGTATAAACAACACGTGGTTATTTTCTCCCTACTGAAGGCTCAAGATCTTTCAAGCTGAGCACAGAACAATACGGTTGAGCCCACGTACCAGCTTGACCGCGTGCGCACTGCTCTTTCTATCAATCCTCCACCCTGGTGGCACCTGAAAAGCCCCTGTAGTGCCTTCTGGAACATCGACATCAATCGTAGCGTGTGTTCCATTCGCAGTCCAGCCCGCCTTAATGGGCCCAAACGGAGTCGGCACCCTACCACCTGCTTCTGTCAAACCAAGAAAGCCGACTGCGGGGTTTACCACGAAGCTTTTGTAACCGGATATGGTGGGTCGAACACCCAGCAGATACTCGGGAAGTACATAAGACGGAGCCGCGCCCCACGGATGAGCCAAACTCGTGAACAGATCTAAACCAGGGGTACCGTCTGGATTTACGTACTCCCAGCTGGCGCCAGAGAAGTACGAGTCGTTGTTCACCATACTACCCCAAAGACCTCCGAGGAGATGTGAAGCAGCAGTCGCGCTGTCGCTCCCGTAGTTGAGGTAAGACTGAAACAAGGCTTCGAGGAGAAAACCTGACGGGTTTGGCGCAAGTTGATACTCAGGAGACTCAGCTTCGGCAGATGACGTACGATAGCCAGGACCAAATCGAAGCTCTTGAAGTTTCAAGAGTGACGAAGCGATTTGAGAACTGTTTGCCGCGCCAGAGAGGATCGCCCATGCAACTCCAGTAAGCGAGAAGTTCCCAGGCGAATCCAAACCTAGGGAGTAAGTTCCCAAGGAAGGGTTCCAGAGATGCTCGTTGATCGCGTCGTTGATCTTGGAAGCAGTTGAGTTGAACTTCCTGGCAGCTTCGGCGTCTCCCAAAGCAACAGCAAGCGGCGCAAGCCGGCGCAGTGTGAAAGCAAATAAACCCGATACCGCACTTCCATTGACAGGGCCAAGGAAGTTGAAAGGGTTCTTAATCTCCGGAGTATCTGCCACGAGGCCTGAAATCGGATCAACGAACGCGAGTTTCGCTTCCGCTAGCATCTTGATCTTGCCCCAGTGTTTCTTCAATCCGGCAGTGTCACCGGTATACCTGTAATATTCCCCGATTCCGGCCAAAAAGAGATCCTGGTAATCGACCAGGCCTTGCCATCCCTGGTAGGCCTCTGTGTACTCCGGGCGAGTTCCCATTCCCGGGCTTATGGGAACAAAACCAGCGTAAATTCCAGAAGGGACTTGGAACCCCAGCACTAAATCAATACTGCCCAGGATATGGTCCCATCGCGCTGTAGTCTGTGCTACTACACGAACTGTGTGATAGAAGTCGCCGATCCATACAAGGCGATCTCGTTTGGCGCCGTCAAGGCAGACGGAGTGCTCGAGTGGCGCGACACCGTATTCGACCAGTGTGCTAGCCGATGTAAGATCGGATTGATAGATTCTAGTTCCTTTATCCGATGTAACTGAAACATTCGTGAACATGGTACTGTGGTCCTGATAGCCACCGAAACCCCAGGTTCCTGCATAGGCAGAACCTGAGCCGAATCTAGCGGCGGGGTCCGGTTGAGAGAGGGGAACAAGAGCAATTTCCTCTCCGTCAAGCAGAACACGGTATCCGTCTACTTCAATTGCAGTGCTGATGCGGTACCATTTGCCCTCTTCTATCGAAACGTTCAAGGCAAATAGTTTGTTCGCTGGCGTTTCGAGACTCGTTTGGTTTACTATATTCCACCCGCTATTGACTATGAGTGTGTTCGGTGGCAAGAGGGTCTTGTTCGTGTTTGTAAACGTAGTCTCATCGGGGTAGTTGGACGTCAGGACAAAGTAAGGCCCAAAAGGCTGGGAGGCGCTTGCAATTCTCCAGCCCGTTCCACCTCTCACTATCTTTGTGTCGAATTCCAGTGTGTAATTGGCCGGGGCTAGCAGTATGCCCTTGGCAGACTGCGCGGTTGTTTGGCCACGAACGAGCGCACCGGCGTTTGTCAGCTCCCAGGTAGAGGGTGCATTGCCGGCGTCAACGCAGGCGACCTGAACAACGCGTCCGCCAAGATCGAATACCTTATTATAAGTTTCATTGTTGGTTTCCAGATACCCTGGAAGTTTGTCGGCGTCTGTATGATCGCTCGTCGCTCGAAACCCAACGCGGTCGAGAGTTATCGTTCCTTTGCCAAGCACACGTATGGATTGCCACCTTTGGCCACCTTGTACGAAAAAACTTTCCACGTGACCAGAATCATCGATCGCAAAAGTCTCCACCCGAAATGAGTTTGAGAGTCCGTTCGAGAAAGTCCAGGGCCCGTCTGCATTGTCATGTGAGAGTCCTACCAAGGACTCGGAATATCTCACTTCGATCTGTGCAGCGGTGCCATTCGTCGTTGTCACAAAGAATGGAAAGCCGGCAATTTCTGCCCCGTAATCAAGAGTGACGACTGGTTGGGATGATGATAACGTTATGCTGGTGCTGTTCTCGTACGACGATCCGAATGTTGGATCGGCAGCATTGTTGTCAAAGTACCTAGTGGGATAGACATTCCCGTACGAAACAATGCTTAATGAAAAATTTAGCTTCAGTACTAGGAAGGTTTTGCTGTGTTCACGTACGCGTGCGCCAATGTACTCCACAGCAATTGTGCAACCGCTAATGGCCTGAAACTCATCGGCATTGTCAGTTGTCGCAACAACCACTCAGCCAGAACGAATTCTAAGATCGTAATCGCAAAAGAGTTCCCCAAGTCTAGGTCTTATCTCGACCTATGGCGCCCTCCACAAGACCCGTAGGGGTTGCCGAAATGCGGGGGATATTGCACAAGCGCAGGTACAGACTCAGTATCCTGGCTTCCACTGATCTAGTGCACGAACTCCCGACATGGTGCCGAGGTCGATACCTTTGACAACAAGGCGATGCCATCGCGGTGCGAAGTAGCCGGAACAGACGCGACGTAATGTGGGGGAAGAACGAGATTAGCGCTCGGAATGTGGGGTTTTCGGTGCATCTTTCGTGTGTTTCCGCGTCATCTTGCGCCGAGAGATATCTCAGGTCACGTACAATTGTCTAAAAAGTCTGGAGCGTCGCGGCCAGGTGAGGTCCATCGATCTTGGTTGGTCCTTTCGCTTCGCCATATTGATACGCGCTCTGCAGCTGTGTCGTGCCGACATGCATAGCAACAGTCGATCGATGTCAACGCGCAGACATCTGCAGGTCTCTGGGGGAGGTTCCTTCCATCGGAGACAATACCATAGGTAATACTGTCGTTGCAGCCGTAAGTAATCCCAGTGGGTCCACCAGACAAGGTGTTTTTGTCAATTTCTCAGAGGTAAATGTATCAAAATGTTAGCTATAAATTATAGGAATTCCATAAGCGTATAGGATTTAGAGGTTTAAGGGACCTAGGACGATAGGAAGGGTTTTTTTAATATATACAATATATGTGGTAAAAATGATTAGTATTATTTTCAAAATATTACAGTGTTCTGGCAGTTTCGGTGCCAGGGGTGGGAAACCCGGATCTACTGGGATACTTACGGCTTCAACCACAGTAGTAAGAACCGCCACAAAGAAGAATGAAAAACTGTAGACGTATCAATGCGAGAACGAAAGGAGCGCTCGGCGCATGAGGCCGAAGAGCCGCCCCAATCTCTCCCCCATTGATGCGTACGCGCGAAACATCTGTGGATCGAACGTGCTCAAAAATTGGATTTGCCCATGACTATGCGATCCTAAGATTATCTAAATTGTGATCCACAGCTCTCCCACGGTAGGTAGTCATTTGAACCAAATAGCCCAACACATCGAGATAGTGTCGTAAGATGGAAAAGGAGGAGCAACATATCCTGTAGGTCCGCAAAATTGTAGGCAAATATGGGAATTCTGGGGAGAAGGATACGGCAGGTGCTGTCCTCTCTGTATCCTCTGCCAGCGTTGCTGAAGGGTTTCAAGACATGATACTGCCCTTCATCATATTGATCCCGCTGTATTGGGCTTCTCACAGTAGGACAACTATGCAAAGTCGTGGGCTAACAGACGATAGAATTTTTGCCGAAGTACCCACGCTCCTCCATCCTACGCCGGCGCTCTTCTCAAGCCGTGGCAGGGTCCAGGGTATCCGAGTCCATTTACATAATCCAAGCAGCCGCCGCGAGCAACGCAGCCATGAGCCCACTCGTCTCAATTGTTCGCGAAAGAGTTGCGGCACCAGTGAAGGCGGGAGGAGTGTACGTGCTCGTGGGTGCGCTAGTAGCACCATGGCCGCCAGTGGATTGGGCGGTGGATGTACCGTTGTTGATTCCAGTTGGCTTGAAACCGTTGCAAAGTCCGTTGTTGCAAGTGTTGAAAGCGCACTCGGAGTCTTGCTTGCAAGCAGCGTTGAAGTTTCCGCAAGCTGCAATCAACATCGAATTTGAAGCCCAGCATTGTGCACCACCGGCACATGGTGATGGTGTAGCGCGGGGATCGCACTGTGCGCCAAGTGGGAGCGTGCCAGCTGCGGCTGTCGGCAAAGAAGTTGGGGCGCTGGTTGCGGTAGATGGGACGGTGGATGACAAGAAGTAGCAGCCGTCAATGACTACGCATTGTTGTCCTGATGGATACTGATGGGCAGGGTTACAGCTGTAACGTCCTTGGTTGTCCGTTGAACCAGGCGCAGGGCAAGCAGAAGAGCTGGTTGCTGGTGGTGCAGTTGCAGATGAGGATGCGGAGGATGGCAAAAAGCCGTTGCATAAGCCTTGTTGTAGGTTACAAGTGTTGAAGGCACCTGTGGTCTCTAGTCAGCTTGTGCTCGTCGATCATTGCTTCGAGTAATTACATTGCGCGTCCTTAGTGCATGATGCTTGAAAGTTGCCGCACACAGTCTGCAGCATAGAGTTGACGGCATAGCAGTTTGCCCCTTCGGCGCAAGCGGTACCCTTCGGGTCGCAATTGCCGCCAACGGGTACGAGAGACTCTGTAGCCTGGGCTGAGACATAGGCTGCGGCCGCAACCACGGTGAGAAAGTGATATTGCATGATGATAGTACGAAACAAGGTCGAAGGGGATGGCGGTGTGTGGTATTGAATCAGTGAAGAGAGAAAGGAGGTGCAATGCGGTCGGAGGGTTGATATAGATGTACACAGCACTGTTATTTGAAGTGAGGGGGGCAGAAAAGGATGAAACGGCCGCAAGCATAACAGACTATTGGTTCCACAGCTCAGTCCATCGTGTAATTGGGGAGAAGGCTAGCTGGCTGGATCAGCAAGCTCATTGGACCTCCGTAGGAGTTTCTTAGTATGAGGTAATTTATTGGCCACAGGAGCATCAGCTGTATAATCGCCGATGCGATGAGCTAACTTTGCACATAGGAGGTGGCTCCGAGCGGTTCGCTTCGTTGGGGGATCCACACGTGCCTCTAGTGCCTACGGGTAGATCCGCACCTCGAACATCAGAGAACTCGAGCAAAACATGCTCAATAATGTTGTCGAGAGCATGTCTGTTGATGTGGTGTATCGAAACGTCGATCCGGTTCTTCCGTAAAATCAAGCACTTTGAAACGTAGTGTAGGACACATTAGTGCATCTCGCTGGCTTCAGTGAATTTTGGTCGAGCAGAATTGGTCTATTGGATGAGACCCGAGTGATGTTGCTACTCGGGGAGAAGAGATCAACGCCACCGTGCGACGAGCTAGAACGGTGCGACATTCTAAATCCATGTTGGCTTAGCAACCAGCTATTGGTGGCGTTCAGCCGTTCAATTAGCGGCGAATAGCCGCGGATAGCTTCGATTCACGAACTCCTCTCTATAGAAGTTTCTTGTGGTGTCAGCTGGCAACTAAAGAAGAATGTTGTTCATGGCCTTCAGTAAGGACACGCAGAATGATCGAGTTCGGCTTGAACGAAGTGTCGTTGCCAACAGCAGTGTTAAACTTATCCCATGCTGCCACTCTGATGCTCGCACATGAACTTTTCATAGGGATTCACCGCACAAATATAGCATACAGTGCAGTCGCAAGCCTGCTGAGGCTCAAGGCCGTGTGTGGGGTACATAAGCTCCCGCGCTGAGGTCGGAGCGATGAGATGGGATAGTGGTCTCACACAGATCACCTTGTGTCATTGAAACTAGGCCAATAATAAACTTCCAAGTAGCTGCAGCTAGGTCTGGCACATGAGCTCCTCCATTAACCGCTTGTGCAGTACACAAGGCCACAATACAGACCCCATCCGTATGAAAGCCTGTTTTCTCCCTGACGGGGTTGCGATGCGTCGACCGAGATGGCCGTTTATGTCATCTTTAGCGACCATGTTAGGTCTCGGAGTTCCTCGCGTCTGTTCATGGCCACAACCACGTCTTTGAGAGGCTTCATAACTCCAATTGGTATGCGTTTCACATCCTTTGGTGGATCCCAATCGATGGCATCCTTGCCTTGCGGCGGTTTGAAGTCCCAACCCATCAACAGGACCGCGACAAGAGACAGAATCTCAATGTGCGCAAAATGTCGACCAGGACAGAAGACAGTACCGCCGCCGAATCCACGAAAGGCCGCAGAGTGCACACTGTGCTTTCCTGCGTCCCCTGGGCCTGTCTTAGTGCCATTGGGTGTGGATATGAAGCGCCGGGGATTGAACTCCCGTGCATCGGGACCCCATACCTCCTCGTCTTCGTGCATGACTCCTCCAGCGATTTGGACTACAGACTGGGCGCGCAGCTTGTATGTGTCAGCCACGATAGTGTCCTCTGTGACGAAACGAGCTGAGGTCATGGGTGCGATCAAGCGGAGCGACTCTCGGAAGACAGAATTGAGGAGCGGGCAGTCCGTGCGTAATGCTTCGTAAACAATACTGGCAGTCTTCGTCGAGTGGTCTACAGAAAAAGCACTCTTCTCAACCTCAGCACGCAACTCTTTCACCAGGTCCGGTCGCGACAGGATGTAGTTCAAGACCCAGAAGACGGTGATGGCCCCGTTTACGAGTGCCCCAAAAAGCATGCCAAATTCAGAACGGCCTCTATCTTCAAGTGAGACACCGAGTTCAATGTGCAGGCGAATACGCTCCTGTACGACAGCACTAGCTTGAGTGTAGCGCTTTCTTTCCAGGTAATCGATCATGGTCTTCGCTAGCTTCTCGCGGGCGAGATAAGCCTTCCTGTTCGTGATCTGCGGGATTGGTGATACCATCACACCAATCACGTCACGTTCCCACACCCAGTAGTCCTTGACCAGCGCTGGATTCAGCGCAAATGGGTTTTCAGGTCCGTAGAAAGCGTGGATAGTGACTTGGGCGAATAAATCACGACACCACTCAAACAACGGCCTATCGCAGTCGGGCAGAGCATTGAGCCGCTGGCTTATTTGCTCCAGGACAACCTTGCCTTGATTTCTGATCTCCGCCGGGCCCATCAAGCTGTACGTTGCGTTGTGCAGTCGGTCCAGGAAGGTTGGTCTCTTTGCGTTCTTTGCCTCCTGATCGCGGAAAGCTTCGACTGTCGCGTTGGAAAAGCCGACCATTCGTTGTGTCACAGGGAGTATTATCGGTTCGAAGAGGAGGGTAGACGATGCCCGTTGGATGTGGTTGGCTAAGTGGGGGCTGGTGACGACGTAGGTTTGTGACGAGAGCATGGGCAGCGTGTAGATGGGCTGTTTGCAGCGCGCACTGTACAGGGTTAGGTTTTTGTTGGTTCGATTTCTTCAATCGGAAACATTACCTGGCTATCTTATAATAGTTTGCACCCTCTGTCAAGAGGCCAATGATGTGCCCAATGAACGGAATCCTAGGATACAGGACAGGAGGTGTTCCGGCCTCAGGATGCGCGCGGAACCATCGCTCAAGCAAAGCAGCGCTCAAGAAGGCAACGGCCACTCCCGCAACGAGGGCTCGCAAGGTCGACATGGCTACCAAGGGAAACCTATCGCGCAGAGAGTTGAACCTACCTGCTGTACGATTCGAGGTGGTTATGAGGCACCGAAGCTGAGGTGGTGTTGAAGCACCGACGCGCATCGGGAGTGCGCCACAAACACCCAAAAGGCAAAAGGTGTAGGCGCGGGTCACCCATTTCAGCGATCAATGCTGGGTCTGACGTACCGTGTCCGTGCACCCAATGCACGGATTCACACAATGCACGCCGAACAACATAAACGCTCCACTAGAAATGAGGCCATAGAATCACCCACAGACAATATTATCACGAGATAGTGGAGCAGGAAGTCGATAGCTGCGATCAATTTGCCCTTCTTAAATCTATCTGGAAGCTTAACGTTGCGGCTGCGGCGTGTTGATCTAGCTAGGGCAGTAGATGTGCCCTCTGAGGCCTCCCTAACATCTTGAGCATCAATAACACATTTCTGACGCTTTCTACTCTATAGAGATAGCTGAGAGGCCTTCCTTTTACCCTTTTGGGATAGTTCTAGAGCTTTTTCAGCGTCACGGGTAGACTTCTAGGCAGCGCGCTAAGCTGCCTTTTGAGCTTGCTCCTTCTCCTTTGCCTCCTTAGCTGCTTCTTACGTAACACGCTTCTCTTACTAGCTCTTCTCCTTACTCCGTATAGAGCTTAGCTACCTTCTTTAGCTCTGCTATCTCTACTTTTTGAAGCCGCTGCTCCTTTTCTTCCTACTCCCTAATAGATTGACGTACACGTGCCTCCCTTACCTTTCTAGGTGACTAAAACACTGACCCACTATGATATTTATCATGCTATTATAGATCTAGAGCTTTATCCTTCTTCTTATACTTCGTCTTTGTTGGTAGCGCCTGCCTTAGCCCATTAATGTTATGGTGGAGTAGCTCATTTTGAATAGATAGGTGTGGAGTGATTGACGAAGCTTCTAAGTATCCCTACTACTCTGATCCTTGACTGCGGAGTGTATGAGCCTATCTATCTTTCTCTAATCATGATTACTAAGTGATGATGAGGAGCTCTCTCTTGATTCTTGAGATCTGGTGAATCTATTAAGGACTGGGTGTGTCACGGTAACCCCAGGCTACCTGACAAGCATGGATGCGCGCTGACGACCAGCCAATAGAACAGCATACGGGTGACCTGTCTACTAGCTGAGGTCGAACCATGGCGCTAGCTACCCTTGGTAAGGGCACGCGACGAAGCGAGATGATAGATCCACGTTGGCTAAGGGGAAGAGGACCTTCTCTCCTTATCCAACGTCTTGTACATACACGTAGATACCGAACGCAGTAATATCCATCTGCAGCCTACTACTAGGCCGCAGACGTCTCTACTCGTTGCTCTCGTGACAGGGTGAGGATTAGGTGGTGATATCCCTAATACCGTAAAAGAGCTAAGGATTATTGATTCCTTGAAGGAAGCCTTCTACGCATTCTCAAATAGGGGGATGAAGTTGCCTTTGGTGGTAGAGGCTAGACCCTAGCCCATTTAAAGGTGTTTTGATAGCTCTGCTAAGTAGGCTGTTGATAGAGGCTTGAACATTGTCACATCAAGTGGCTAAAGCGTATAAGTTGAATGAGGAGGCAGGATAGCAAGGAGGATCCTATTCTGATTATAATAGTTGATAAAGTCCGTAGTGATATGGGATCCGTGGCCATCAAGGATTAGAAGTCGATATGATCATTGGGTCTTCTCTTCTGTATAGCGATCAAATACCTATTCAAGCTAGGCAAGCCCAATATCGTTGTTCGTCCAGCTAGAGGGTGATGAGGTGATAAAGATATCATGTTCTCCTGCCTTAATATCCTCCACCTAGGCTGATTGAATGGCCTTGTTGGTAGCCTCGTAAATTAGGCTTGGCAGTAGAGCTGATTCATCAGCGCAGATATATGCTAGGAGCGTGATCCATACGTGATTACTATCCTAGAGTGATGCCCTAACCTCCTTCTTCTCCCACATTCGTCTACTAAATATCCTCTTTGATCTGCTAAGGATACCGATTAGGAAGCCTTTCTCATCCATATTGTAGGTATGACGAGGATCTATCTGATATTAATCGATCTTGCTATGCAGATAGTTGAAATAGAGGTGATATTTATCCTCTAAATTAGCTTTGTGGCGATTGCTGTCTATGGCGACTGTCTATTATGAGATAAGATGAATGCTGTGTCAGTTGATAAAGTGGGTAACCCAGCTCTCGCTGACTAGCTCCTTTGCTATCGTAGAGGCAAAGTTCTGTATCATCTCCCGAGTAGGAGGTAGGTGTTTCTCTATAAGGCCTTTAATATATTATACAAGCTCCTGCTCTTGCTATAGGCTAAGCTTTTGTTAACTATTTACAGTGGCTGCACGCGTCGCTATGATACCTTAGTGTCTTCGCGAGAGTGTGGATCGATTGATAATATATTTAGTAGCAACTTCTGTATATAAAAATTCTTCTCCTGATTCTCGCGATTCGATTTCATTTATTGCAGCCTGAATTAGGTCTATATTGGTGGAGTTATCGCGTGTTGAAGATTAGGGAGTTTTGACGCGTCGGGTGTTCGGCGTGCATTGGGTGAATCCGTGCATTGGGTGCACGGACACGGTACTGCACATTCTGTCACATCGAGGATCCAAACGGTTGCCCCCAGAGGCGCCGGAGACATTGTTAGACCTGACTACAGCATTCGGGAGCGGTCGATGGGCGGATTCGCTTGGGCTGCTCTCTCCTGCCCAACTGCATGCAGGAGCCGACTCGTTCATGTGGGCACGTTGGTCATCCATTCCTCACGATCATTCAAGCACTGCAGCAAACAATGGTATCGCTGTCCGAGTTGAAGGCATCCGCTTCCAGCAAGGCACGTTGGCCGAGGCACACTGTGCCAGCGATTCCTCGGTCAAATCCAAGGCCTCGTGGCTGAAGTTCTCGCATGCGGCTCCACCTAGTACGCATCTAGCGATACCTTGTAGGTCAACTCATGAAGTCCCGATGGCAATCCACCAATTGTCTTTAGTACGGCCTTCCCGTCCGTGACTGCTTAACGCGATCAGGTATTCTCCCGATCGGTCTACCGGGATTATCCGGGGACCCCGCAATTGTTCCTAGTTCGAACGCGTACTGCAAATCTTCACGAAGCCTATTGCGACTAACATTCTCTTGATTCTAATAAGCTTTTCGCCATGGTATATTTCACATTTACCGCTTCGGGGCGCATGGAACCGACACCAAGTGCTCTTTCTCCACCTCTCGGTTGCTCGATACCCCGTGGGTACGCCGCGCGTGGAGTCATTGGAGGAAGTTCATATACTGATATATTAACAAACAAACCGCGGGCCTAGGGACAGGACGGATAGGTGTGGAAAATACAGATCAGCGCAGCTATAAAGCGCTACGATGTTGTACATGTGGCGATGCATCTCCTCGAAGCCCTATCAAACATGTCCTCCAGGCTTTCTGTCGCATTGAGCCTTCTGGCGACCGGTTCTCTCGTGGCCGCCGGCCCCTGCGACCTCTACTCAGCCGGTGGTACGCCATGCATCGCAGCACACTCGACGACTCGAGCCCTCTACAATGCCTTCTCCGGGTCCTTGTACCAGGTGAAGCGCGGGTCGGATAACACCACCACCAACATTGCGCCAATCTCGGCTGGTGGTGTTGCTAATGCTGCGGCTCAAGATACTTTCTGTGCCTCCACTACTTGCCTTATAACCATCATCTACGATCAATCCGGCAGGGGCAACCATCTCACCCAAGCTCCACCCGGCGGCTTCAAGGGCCCGGAGACCAATGGCTACGACAACTTGGCCAGTGCGACTGGAGCTCCGGTTACGCTGAACGGACAGAAGGCTTATGGTGTCTTCATGTCACCTGGTACCGGCTACCGCAACAACAAGGTCAGCGGTTCAGCTGTAGGCGATGCTGCTGAAGGCATGTATGCTATCTTCGATGGTACTCATTACAACGACGGGTGCTGTTTCGACTACGGAAACGCCGAGACCAGCAGCCTCGACACAGGCAATGGTCACATGGAGGCTCTCTACTTCGGCACTAACAGTATTTGGGGTAGTGGTTCGGGAAGTGGGCCGTGGATTATGGCCGATCTTGAGAACGGCTTGTTCTCTGGCCAAGGCTCGAAGCAGAACACCGCGGATCCGACCGTCACCCACCGATTCCTCACTTCTGTCCTCAAGGGTGGTCCGAACAAGTGGGCGATCAAGGGCGGCAATGCTGCGTCGGGCTCACTATCGACCTACTACAATGGCGCACGCCCGACCGCTTCGGGATACAATCCCATGTCGAAAGAGGGAGCTATCATTCTAGGTATCGGTGGTGACAACAGCATTAGCGCTCAAGGTACTTTTTACGAGGGTGTGATGACCAGCGGTTATCCTTCCGACGATGTTGAGAACTCTGTTCAAGCCAACATTGTGGCGGCCAAGTATGCCACTACATCGATGAACAGCGGCACGGCCCTCACCGCTGGTCAGTCAATCTCACTTCGCGTTACCACCTCTGGATACGACACACGCTACTTGGCTCACACTGGCGCCACTGTAAACACTCAAGTCGTTACATCGTCAAGCGCCACATCCCTCAAGCAGCAAGCCAGCTGGACAGTTCGCACAGGTCTCGGCAACAGTGCCTGTTGGTCGTTTGAATCGAAGGACACGCCTGGTAGCTACCTTCGTCACTACAACTTTGTTCTCCAACTGGGCGCCAACGACAATTCGAAGACGTTCAAGGAAGACGCCACGTTCTGTTCGGTCGCTGGTCTCAACGGCTCGGGCAGCACAATTCGAGCTTGGGGTTACCCAACCCGATACTTCCGCCACTTTGATAATGTGGCCTATATTGCAAGCAACGGTGGAGTTCACTTTTTTGATGCAGCCAATTCGTTCAATGCGGACGCTACGTGGGCGGTGGGCTCAAGCTTTGCGTGAATTATTGACAACGTGAACAGGTAGCGGATAGATTCAAGTATCAGCTCTACGCTGAAATACTCACGAGATACGTCGATGCGTCTCCTATAAAACATTTGTCTGGTTCTATAGGCGGCTCGACAGCAAACATTGAGCCAACATCGCGTTCATTTCATGTTTCTCGGTGATTTTTCGTAGTGGTATATTATCCTAATATTGAGTTGCTTCTATGCAGAAACCCCCATGACCTTTTGATTTCAATAAGGATGAATGTAACAGGTCTGTAATGTAGTGGTCCTTGGATGATTGCGCCAGCCTCATATGCCACCAAATTTGAGCGCATCTTAGCTCTTTGTTATCATACATTTGAATACCGTGTGTTGTTACTAGTTCTCACTTTGCTAATCTCCCCTTCTTCATAGCGACAGCATCGAAATGTCTTTTTCGCCCAGCACGATGCGCAACAGTGCGAGGAGCGGCGAGGTCATCCCTTATTTAACGGCTATGCGCATGCAGACCGCGGAAAGAGTACCTCGAGCTGCGGACAACGAAACTCGGATCGCTGACATGAGTAGAATGACGCAAGTCTGCCTCCACATTCAGAACGAGCTAATACCATGGTTGCGCTCAATCCGTCCTGTACGCGTCGATGTGTTCGAGCTAGACGACTATGTAGAGACGTTCAATCCACCTGTTGATGACCAGGACCGCCTCCCAAGCGCATCCCTGGCACGGTCGAGGTCGAGCAGGTCTCAGTGCCATTTCATCACGTGGGTGCCGCCAGTAGACGTTCGGCAACTCATACAATGGACCCAAGCATCCGACAGCCTGCAGTTCCTCTTCAAAAAGGATCTGGCAACATGCGGGAGCGATCATAATTTATTTTCGCTCTTGGAAGATTCCGCCATGCTCTCGGTATCCAAGGTGTGACTCACGATACCTCGCTCCAAGCGCTCCCTGTTTCTCGGTTCCGGTCGACATTCAAGTTCCGCATCGCAACTGTTCTCGACGAAGCAGTTCCAGGATCTTTTGGCACCATCGATGATGGACGATTGGTCCTCATAGCCCAATTCATACATGCCACCGCATGCTTTCCTCAATCCTACTGGGAGAACATCGGTCCTGCCTTTGTCTCTGAGCCTGATCAAACTAGTGTCTTTTGCAAAGGAGGGGGTTCCGCCTCAAGCTCAGGCTACGTGCAATACAGTCTACATGTCCTAAACGGGGATTCAATGATACCTATGTACTTCGTGCCACTGAGTGGCGTCCAGAGTACCATTGAGCTGAAGAACCTACTAGTCCCAGGATCATACTAAACACCTGAAAGTTTGAGATCGAGTGCAGTTGCTTTGCTCGTGCTTCTACTCTATCGACAATCAGCAAAACGTGAAAGGAAATTGATGCAATGGAGCAAAGCTGATCGAAAACGTGGCAGATGGCCCATATGCTATGCATAAGGGCCAGTTTGTAGACGAGTGGGTTTGTTTCAGACAGCTCAGCGATGTACTATATGCCCAAGGAGAAAAACTTCTGGATCACTCATACAAGCAATTGAACAGTTGTTTTTACTTGCTACAGAACTTTCCTTGACTTCAACATCAAACAGTGCCTTGCCAAGTAATCGGGTGACATGATATTGGGTATCAAAGGTTAGCACTGTATGGAACGTTAGAATTCGGCGCTTAGCCTTACGAACATCGAAGGATCTCTTGACCAATGAAGCGGGTTCGAAGCCAAGAGATGACGTGCTAACCGATGTCGTATTCTTTGCATAGCCTTCCACTGACCGGAAGAGCAGCGCAAATTGATACCAAGTCCTTCTAACCGTAATAGGGTCATAATCGAAGGTTCGCCGTCATGAAGATTGCTTGCGCGAAATTCTGCTAGCAAGACCACTCACTTTGGTCCTCACCTATCCAGATTCGATGCAGGTATAGTAGAGTCGGTAGAAGGCCAGTGATTGTGTTCGACCAAAGGTCCTTCCTCCTCTGAGGAAGGCTAATATATACAGAATCCAACATGCGGTGGTACTCCGCCACGCTTCACGAGTGGGAGCGAAGCCGGGCGATGTAGGCCAATCATGCGATTCTTCCCTCACCGGTTTGGAAGTGTAGCGGAATCTGAAAAGGCAGATAAGTGCCATACAACTTGCTCTGATCGCTTCGAGGGGCTAGAACCAGCAGAGCCACCAGAAATACGAGGCAGAGCCAAGTAACTACGCACACCTCGCTAATCATTCACAATCTCGTATTGGTGGGATCATACGCATGTGACCAGCGTTGAACACCGCGTATGTCTTGCATCTTTGACGTCAAGCCTATGTGTCGCTTCTTGGGAGCGTGCTTGGTACTATCATTCGGTTCAAATACGAGCCTCTGTACCGTGGGTGCTAGCTTTTATATTCAATATGATTCACGATAGAAATGGCAAGCATAACAACCCCGTCCCCAGCTATTCCATCCAAAGCTCCTTGGATCTTCCCGAGTGCTCTCAATAGATCCTTCATCGCGGAATTTGGAGCGCAATGGCTCTCAAGACTTGGACCGGACTTTGTGCCTAATGGCACATTCAAATTCGGACACGGAATACACCCAGACATCATCTCCAAGGCTGCGTGGGATCTCAAAGACGAAGAGCGATTCGATCCATCATCAAACTCCAATGCTCTTCAGCGAGAGTTCGGGCACGAAGATGTTGTGATAATGGTGGACGATATCATCCAGCCGACGTGGTCTGGCGGTGACGAAAAGATCGTGGGGATGGCATGCCACTACTTCGAGTACTGTACGTCGGTATCAAGGCCCAATGTGTACCAACATAATAAAGATTGTAAGTCATGAACTTCCGAAAGCAAATGTAGCAGTGGCTGCTTCCTTTGGGTCGCGCATTGCTGTTGCAGTGCTTGTATGGGTGACTAATCTGAAGGATTCGTAGGCGTATCGGACAACATCTATCGCGACGGCCTTATTACGGGCACACTCAGTCCCACGTTCTGGGAAATGGAGCACCAGTTCACATTTATCAACACAGGCTCAGTAATAGAGGGACCAAGCCCTCGAAAGATCCCTTCTGGGACCCGCGTACAAATACCACGCATGAACGAGTCTGCCTCTGACACCGCAGACACCGCTATATGCATGCTTACTCTTGACTGGGAGCCTTCCACCTTCAACTCGCAACACTCGGTCCCGTTCCCTGTATACCTGGGCTACAGGGTAAACGGAAGAACCGATGACTCATCGGACCGCATCATCCACGACCCATGGGTGTTCAATGCTTCATTTCCAAGAGGTGTATCATATGATGGTGCGAGGTACGGATGTAAGGGAGGAACTCTACCACAAGACTATCTCGTCAGCACTGGCGTATGCAGTCGTAGGAATACGACCGCCCCGGATACTGGACACATAGGGAATAACAATGGTACTTGGGTCCGTCCAGGGTCAAATGGCACCAGCAACGGTACTTTGGATTCTCCAAGTCCTCCTGGGCAAGGAGCTGGAAGTGATGCCAACGATGACAGGATGATCACGGGCGCTACAACAGGATCTATCCTGGGATTTATGGCTGTTGTACTGGGAGTGTATTTTCTGCGGCGAGCGAAAAAGCGCACGCGAGAAGGTCCAAAGGCAGTGCTGGCTCAAAACTTGCAAAACAATGAAACTTTTGAAAGCATTGATGCGGCACGCCTTTCGGAAACAGACAAGGACAAAGTGGAGACGGGCTCGTTGCAGATACCTCCACCGACTTATGCCGAAGCAATGAAGGACAGCAGCAGGTAGATAGAGGCGATGTTTCCGGTCAGCGGGCGCAATGTGTCCGTCCATGCGGTAATATATAATATGCATTTCGTCAGATTTAGGGAATATATGCCATGGAAGGACAAAGTCACGGGCTACTGCGGCAGGCATCCAGTTACTAATGGTGATCTTTTAATAGACGTAGTTGACACCAAATCAAACAGAAGGCTATTGAAGTGGAAGAAAGCAAAGTGAAATACATATTGCTCCAGGCTGGCTCCGAACATGTATTCCTGGGTCATAAGCGTATCGGAGGTTGCATGTAGTCTCTTCTTCCATGACTTTGCACACCTATCCCAGGGGTAGCGAACCATAGATTGGCAGAATTATTGACGCACTGCAGCAAGACCGTCAGCTTTCTTTGAAAAGCCAGTTCGACCAAATTGAAGACTCTCCAGATGACCTTCGCACCGATGCGAGTTGGTCATAAGCGCGTTCTCCTTAATGAACATGTGTTAGGGCTCTAGGTGTGCCAGCATATGCAGAATATTCCAGGATGCCGCATAACGAGTTGCGCATATGGGAAGGCGCGCTACCCAAGCTCGGTGATGTAACTGCGGTGGTTCTCATATCACTCTGCTTCAAGAGTAATGGTGTTAGCAGCTGAGCCTATCGTGCCTCCCTGTATCATAATCTCGGCGTCATGAATGATGCAAGGATCTTAATAAAGCCCCAGAACGTGGGCGAAGGCTTTGATATGGGATGTTTGACAGCTCTAAAGTAACACGGTTAGATATGTTGCAACTGCATGCAGGTTCACTGGTGGCTGTGGCAGAAAAGACTGAGTCTACGGAAACATGGTGAATGACATCATGGGTGAGGTCCGTTATGTGTGTCCATTTCAAGCAGCTTTCATTGTTTATCCTGGTTGAATTCGCTTGAGGGAACTTTCGAATTCTTTATCGTGTGAAAATTGAGAGGCCGACCATTGGTGTACATGGTAAGTTTTTCACAAGGCTATAATGAATTTGCCTGAGGTAAGTGAAGATTCGTATTGAATATTATGAAGTTCACTGCATGTCGTGATCACGCAACCGTCGCTCCGGCGCCTCGACGACCGACGTTAGAATTACATTAATAGGAGACAGCTGTGATACGAGTATAGGAAGAGAGAGGCCAGAATGCATACTTGGCCCGATTTGCGACTTGATACGCTAGGCATCGTCATGTGGATGCAAAAAAGGACCTACACGGGCCATGCGGCCTATGAAGCGCGCACTCGTCCATCCTTTTTGAAATGAAACCAGAACAGGGAGGTGCATGTAAAAACATGTACTAACACTGCGCATATGACGGCTCGAAACCCGAGCTGTTTCGCCGAATGTTTGTTGTTCGTATTTACCTGTTGTGTTGTAGAACAAAGTGCTCCAAGCAAGACCTGTGGTCAATTTGCAAAGACTTTTCTTCCATTGTTTGGCCATACACACGTTATGTGCTTCCTGAATCTTTAGAAAATGGTATTGACGCGGCCACCATTGGTGCAGGGAGCCGCCTTGTATCTCAGTCGAAATAGAGAGGGCACTCAGTGAAGAGATGTTCATGGCTTTTACATCGGAGACAATATGCCTCATTTCCTACAGGTGGAGCGGGCGTCGGTCGCTCCATCCATTCGTTCACTACAGCCTGGGCAGTCTTCGAAGCAGACTGGCCATACTGACCAGGCTTCGATTTCGGATTTCGCAGCGACTGGTACAAATGCTGCCTCAGGGCACAAAGCACGGATGAGATGGTGATGTACACCGCTGCGTTACCACAATTGGTGGAATCGCGAGGCTGGATCTTGAACTGGCTGAGAAGGTAGTCGATCTCGGCGTATGAGTTTCGAGTAAGCTTGCTCTGCTGTGCGATAACTTGGTTATCTAGCATGGCGATAGTTGTATCCATCTTCATAGGGTCGAAACCGAGTTCTTTCCAGGTTGCCCGGTGTCCAAGTGGGTTACCTTAAGTGCAGAGAAAAGTCAGTATGAATTAGGACAGAGGAGAGAATACCTCGCGCATATCTAAGCGAAGCTATGGAGAGGACTTTCCCCTGCTAGAAAGGCACATCGACTTCGTTTGGGGCGTTTCCCTTACCATGCTGAAGGCAAATAATGGGACGATATCCAAGTTCAGGATTCTCTTCATCCAGTGGCTGGTGCCAGATGTCATGTAAGAAATTCACTACTTCTTCTTTGGAAGCATAGACAGAAGTACCGAAGTGGTAGGCATTGGGGTCGCTGGTGATACTTGGAACATGCGTGTTCTCCAGCAGTCGGAGATGCGCAGACCAAACATGTAATAAGTAGTCCTCAGCATGGGCTCCAGCGAATGTGTGGTTAAGGCCTCCTGAATTAACATGTTGCCGGTTGAAGCTACGAGATCACTAGGCGTCAGCACATAGAACTGTGTTCTCTAATCTGGTGATATCTCGAGAAATGGAATCAAGTAACAACTCGCAGCAAATCACATACGTGGCAATGCCTGAAGCCAGTAACTTGTCGGGGCGGACAGTCGTTCGATCATAGCAAAGGGTGACTAATACGGCGCTCTTGAAAAGCTTGTTCAGCTCAACCGTTCCACCTATGGGCAAGTTTCTCGCTTGGAGATAGTGTTGCAAGAGTATTGACTGCTGCGAGGTCCATGTGATGTCCCGCAACCGCTGCAGCTTTGGTAAGTTCGACTTGGCCATCTTCCACAAGCAAGTGTCTGCTTAGCAATTTGTTTCGAGTAGATTGGGCCTGGGCTAAGCCGCAATTTTGGGGATGATGGTGCTGAGTATGCAAGGACAGGAACAATGTGAGCTCGCTAAAATCGGAGTGTTAGCAAATTGTCTTCAGCAACGGGTTGCATTTGCTGTTGTAGTAGTCGTTTTCTCACTTGTTCAGATGGAGCACGCGGCCACAGTGTTGACCCATGGGCCGATGCGAGTTATGAAAATTAACAATGTGATTGTGTTGCGAGCAAGCGTTGCAAAAGATTAGAAATTGTGTCTAATTGTTGTTGCAGAGCAACACGTTGAGTCGCCCCGTGATATCCTCGCGCTAACCTTATCCTGGTTGGCCCTCTCCGGCGTTCTTTCCCCATATCCTCGACTTTCTGCAGCAGCTCCTTGCTGTCTTTCCCACTCATCTCGAATCCCTCAACCTTGCACACCACTCGTGCCGCCAAGACTGAGGTGTTCTTTTCCAAGCTGCTGGTGTCCTCTTTCTACGGCCCCGGTTGGCTGTTGAGCGGTAGCGTCGAAGCGTGGCGCTTCGCCTACCGTCGCCGCTATGCTGCTGAACCTTCAAACTGCTTTGTTTGCGTGATATCCTTGGAGCGACCATAGTCGCATTCAGACCCTGTTGTCTTTCATCCTCCGCCCGGTTTCTTCAATGCGCCTCCAAGGATGCTGGGATCAATGAGAGCCGGTTCTGGTACGTCGAGACCACAGCGGATAAACATGCTCTTCCACATCGCACCAACCGGCCGTTCTTCTGGCATGAATACCACTGTATTCACGTATGTCTCCGTCGTGTTGTAGCAGCCCTCCATGGTGAAGAGTTGCGCTTCACAGTTGTCGCCTTTCGCCGAATAAAAGACACCACAGCGTGCATGGCCAGGCAGGTCTACGCAAGTACCGTTCAGCCAAGTCTTTGCGGGTCTAGGCAGATTGAGTTTCTGTAGAAGCTGCCCGCGACAGTGCTTAGGACCTCCATCGCCGGCGTACGACATCGCAACTATAGGCACTTGGGGTGCAGGTGGTGGTAGAGGTCGGACGCTGGGAGTTGGCTTCGATGTGCCTACGGTGTTGCCAATGAAGCCTTCATCGACCGACGTCGGTTGCGCAGTTGCAGTGGCCCCGATCATACCTTCATCACTCGCTATGATTGTTGGTCGGCCCGTGATAACCCAGGTTGCGGTTATGTCAGCGGCAACTGTGGAAGTCCCGCTGAGAATGTCGCCGCGGTCGAATGCGCTTCCATTGATAGCCGCACCCGCTTGCTGGGCTTGCGCCTGCACCTGTGCTTCAAGTTTTCCGTCCTTCGCGAGTTGGGCCTTCGAGATCTGGATAAGTTGTCGCGGCGCCTCGTGCGCGCGGATTTCGAGCGATGTTGCTAGTGTGATGGCGATGATCACGATTAGAGTTATTGACGATGCGATGATTTTGATTCGAAGAGGGATCGCCATTGCGACTGGAACAGTGGAGTTTTGGAGAACAAGAACGACGTATTGAGTTCCCCGGCTTCATGGTTGTTGCCGCCAAGAGAGGTGCTGCATCGCACGTTTCATCCCCATCAAGATATGAAACATCACGGAAGCTGGGCAACGACTATACCACGTTCGGATGATCGCTATCACTGAGCAAAGACTGACATTACATTATAGATACCCAGGTGCGCACACCACATCGCACTCATCTGCCCAGCAGTTTGGCGCTTACTCGTTTGAACCGTATCCTGGTTAATACTGCACGCCTTTCATGACATTCCGCCTCCAGCGAATATTACCATCACCAGCCCGATATATTTCCCTAGCGATTGAGGGTCCTACCGCTCATGGTTCAGCAACGATGTTACCGGGATCACATCCTCACTCCTCGTAAAGCTCGTAAAGCGGGTACAGGTGCCGCCAGCATCTCACCCATTGATGGTTCATTGTTCCTTCTTTGCAGACCGCGCAAGAACGCTCCACGCTCTTTCGCCAGACGGTCCTGCTCTCTTGCCTTCCGTGAAGAGAAAATAACGAGAAGAATTCCTGCGATGACCGCCAAAACCACAAGTACGATCACAAGCTTGTGGTTGCCAGTGAAGTTGTCGTCGCGCAGTCCGACAGTCGACCTCGGCGCCACGGCTGGCATTGAAGGTTTGAAAGACAGTCCGTTTGGTGTTCCGACGCGGAAAGTAAATGGAAAAGACGCTATACTGCGAGTCAGTCGCTTCGCGGATTATGTGGTTGAAATACTCACGTGCCATGGTTATTCACAACTTCTTCTTCTTCTGCGCTAAACGGCTCCACAGGTTCGTGAACAGGTGTCCACGGAAGACGAAACCTTTCTTGAGACTAGCACAGGTTTGGAAGACATGGCCTCTTATTGTACGATTGAGAAGTGGCGTTGAGCTCGCTGACCTTGGGTCAAGCGTTTGAGTGGTGTGGCAGTGCGAATAGCCGGCAAAGCGCTGCATGTAGCCCTGGGGCTTTTATGCGCATCGATTCGTTGAACCGGGCATGCCAATATTTCATACGAAATCCGGCGACAGTCGTAGTCGCATGTTGTTCGCGCTTTCGTAACGGGGGCAGTATGCATTGAAGCTGGCCGTGGAACCGCCTACCGGCCATGCTATTATTTCTCTTATGGTACCGCATCTCCCACATCAGATGCGGTTCACGGTTGCTACTATTATCATCCCAAACCTTCTGAAGAAAACCATCTGGTCTCTAGACAAGACATTCAAGATGAATGTCATGGGTGTTAATAGTGAAGCCGTGGTGCTTATGTGATCATATGTCGAGGCAAGAAGGGAACTGAGGAAGGCACCCATCAACAGAGGGAGCAGTCTTTCTACTCCCGTGATCGGGCGACCAAAGTCAGTATTTGACCGACAATGGTCACGGGATTCGCAAGGGCTTTTAATTGGCTTTGGAATTGAAATGCTATCAATGCTAGACGCCAGTTATGACAGAAATCGAACATGCTCGTACATCCCCCCCTTCGCGATAGGCCAACACTCCCTGCCGCACCTACAATTCGAACATGTGACTCGAAATACTTCTATTCTCTTCCACCTTCAGACTTAGCCGCTGTGGCTCCCGCCAGCCTTGTTAGGACTTCCGCCACCGCTCTTCTTCGTCCTGATGCCCGATGACGGTCCACCCTCCTGAGCAGGTCGCGGCTTGCTGACCTCGGGATTGCCCGGGCTGACGGTTAATGGGTCAGCCTCAGCGCCATCCCCCTTTCCCTCTGCCTCTGTCGTCCGCTCCGCAGATTCAGGGCTCGTCTTGTTGGGGTTGAAGGCGGCGTCGGACGCAGCGGCGGAGTCGTCCGAGCCGGACTTGGAGTACTCATTTGATCGAGGCTTGAGCGTGTCCTTGTCTTCGGTGTCTTTCGACGCGAATCGGGGAGCGGTGGTGCTGAGGAAGCGAGGTTGCGACGCGATGACGCGAGGGGAGCCCTGGAGAAAACGGCGGGTGAACATAATTATGGTCCAGGGATTTGGTATTGACTTGGGATATGGGACGCGATTGGATGCGTGCGTTGGAGATAGAGCTATCGCAAGGAATTGTATAATTTGGAACTTGCAATGGTCGAAGGAAAGTTATGTTACAGGTGAGGTTGCGAAAGAGCTATGAGCATGTCGTGAGCATCATCTGACGTCACAGCTACGGTTGGTCCAGCCGAGGCCTTAGTCACGTGGTCATCCCGTCCTCATCCTTGCCCAATGTTGCCTGGCAATCTTCTTCCAATGTACCCTAGAGCTCTGAAGTGGCGGGTTCTTATCACTCCCGTCCTACAAACATCCAAGATGATCTATGTGAGCACGCGGAATCGGGCGCATCTCCGACGAGTTGAGCTCACCAATTTTCAACGCTAGGAGCCCCTCGCGTTCCCTCCTACCATGCTGATGCTCTCGTCACGCAATTGGCTCAACGTGGTTGAGTGCACTCGACGCACCTGCTGCAACTGGCTAGCTTTCTTACATTAGTGCTCACTGTTACGAGGCCTCTTACTGCCTAGAGGCATTCTATAAAGCTGGTCAACGTGCCTAAGATCTAGACTTCAAGTAGCTCGCAGGGCGACCGAAGAATACCGTGCATCCCTCATCCTTGAAGTAGGTGCCTCTGATCTTCCCGGCCATGGTAAGCAGCTTTCGCGTTGTCTTTTGACTGATAAGGTTCGGATGTGCTCACGCCGTTATTGGTAGACTCGAAAATCGAATGAACTGAGCGCATGCTCAGTCCCTTCTGTCGCACGGCCTCCCTAAGTTACTGCTTACATAGCTCCCACACCACGGAGACGTCCGAACCGAACAGAACATCAAGACTTCTCCCGTCCTGAAACAAGACATTATACATCCAAAGCAAAGCAAAGTCAAATATAACCATCACTATGGCCATTGCACCCATTCCATGGACACCTCCACAGCGACCTGACCCTGAAGCGTTGAAGGATCCTCCTCCTTTCGAGCCTATCCCCCTCGTTCACCTTCGTTCGGGGAAAATCCGTTCCGTCTTCAACAAAGCCGGCATGACCTCCGCCATTCACAAATCCCCTCTCGCTTTCCCAGTAACCATCGCTGTATCTGGGATCGTTGGTGATGAGCACGCCTATCTGCCCCATCGCGACCCGGACAAAGCCATTCACCACTACTCGTCGGCGCACTATTATCAATGGGCCGCTGAGATCCCTGAGAGCGCACACATCTTCAGACCAGGAGCTTTTGGCGAGAATCTGTTCAGTGACGAGCTAGACGAAACCAAGCTATGCATAGGAGACAAGGTTCGGATGGGCGGTGTGCTACTGGAGGTCAGCGAGCCACGAGCGCCTTGTTACAAGCTCAATCATCGGTTCCAGGTCAAGAACATGGCCAACAGGGTGCAGACTTTGCTGCGAAGTGGATGGTTGTATCGCGTGCTGCAGCCGGGAGTTGTGGAAGAGGGCGCGATGATTGAGCTAGTGGAGAGGGTGCATCCTGAGTGGTCTGTCGCTCGCGTCGCGTATTACCTGTTCCTCGAGAGGGATAATAAAGAGATGAACAAGGAGATTGCGGCGCTGGCTGAATTGGGCCATGACATAAAGGACAGGTTCAAGCTTAGGTTGGAGAAAAATAAGCTTGAGGACGAGGCTGGGAGGCTGTTCGGAGGGGAAGAAGAGAAGATGGACACTTGGAATGAGTATCGACTGGTCGAAAAGAGAAGGGAAACAGGCGCCATCACAGCCTTCGTCTTCGAAGCGGTGGAAGCCACGGCGGAACAGGACATCAAACCTGTGGAGCCAGGTAGCCATGTTCGCGTCAAACTAGGAGGAAAGCTGGTCAGAGCGTATTCAGTCGTGGGTGGGACAACCAAGCGTTTTGAGCTGGGCATTGCGCTCGAGGCCGAGAGTCGAGGCGGTTCGAAGTACATGCACACTGAGGCCAAGATCGACGACATCCTCACCTTCAGCCGCATTACATGTTCATTTCCTCTTGCCAAAGATGCAGACAAACATATCATCATAGCCGGAGGCATTGGCATCACGGCTTTCCTGGCTGCGGCCGAGTTCTTTCGGGCCACCAAACAAAAGTACGAACTGCATTTTGCAGTTTCTTCCGAGGTCCCTTTCGCTGCACAGATCGAAGCGCTCGGCAGTAGTGCGAAGGTTTACAACAAGTCTCTGGGCCAGCGTCTGGATCTGGGGAAGGTCATTGCTGGAGCAGACCCGACGGCACATATCTACTCTTGTGGCCCACAACGACTCATGGATGCAGTTGCCTCTGTCGCTAAAGAGCATGGCATGCCCGATCGCTCCGTTCATTTCGAGCAGTTCGTTGTAGCAACATCCGGTGACCCCTTCACAGCCGAGCTTAAGCAAAGCGGAAAGACGCTGGAGGTTGGACCCACCCAATCCCTTCTGGACGTCCTGCGAACAGTCGGGATGGACATTGACTCTTCTTGTGAGGTTGGGAACTGTGGGACTTGCAGGGTGGATGTATGCTCCGGGCGCGTAGAGCATCGTGGAACAGGTTTGGCAGACGACGAGAAGAAGGAGAGCATGCTGAGCTGCGTCAGTCGGGGGATTGGCCGGATCATCCTGGACCTCTGAGTAGTGCGGAAAACATCACCGGCGCTTCTTGTTCAATATCCAGATTCAATGAAATTTGCTGTAGCAAGCTGGTATCATACAGCCGCCCGCTCCAACGCGGGACTATGCTCCCAATCCCAAACGCCATCCCATGCCCTAAAGTATGCTCGCTCAACTGCCACCCATCTTCAATCATCCCACCTCATATTCAAAACCAACCCCTGCACTTCCTCCGCACTCAGCGGGTGTTTCCTCTTCACCTCCACCTCTCTCTCGCCTTCAAATAGTCACATGCCAACGCGACGACCGTATATCTCGGCCGCGACAGGCCATCCGAGGACTACTAATGCCATGGGGAAAACACTGCGTCATGTTAATATTACTTCCATAAAAGGTGCGGGGGTGGGAGATCGTACAATGCACCAGTGCGAGCCAGGCGTTTGGGGTACAAGCTGAAGTCTACCGGGTGCGGCTTGATGGTGACGGGGTTGCGTGCGAAGGGGTGCGGTTCGGTGAGATAGCGGGCTGCGGTGCGGAACATTGCGAACTTCTGGGTTGGGGAAGGCATGTTGTGTGTTTGCGGTGGTTGTCGAGACTTTGTGTTCTTGTTTTGGAGATGCGATTCGCTCGTGAGAGTAGAGTGGACCGATGTCTATGTTCCTTTCTAGTAGATGATTGGAGTTGCGATGCAGATGCTGAGTGGAGATGGGCTTTCACTGGCAGAGTCACACAAGGATATATACAGCATGGGGCACGAAAGACTCCTAAACGACACCGCAGGCTTTGCGCGGAGTATCGCACCACGCGAGCATCACGCCAGCCGCTGCTGTGAGGCCAGCCGATTCATTACCGCGATGAGTGTGCAGCCTTAGGCGCACACGCTGAGAAAATGCCCGTTCGGGCGAACACGCTGCGACAGCTGTGTGAGGTAAGCGGTGAGAAGACGCATTATTGGGCGATGTGCTGGGCTTTGATGACTGTGCTTGCGCGGGTGATGGGGGCGCGGTGGTGCATCGCGAGAGAGTGGTGTGATGGTGTCGTGAAGGGGCCTCGGCCGATCGGCAGCTGCCGAAACCGTGGTCAAGCGAGCGGCGCGCCTGAGAATCGCGCGATCATTTGGCAAAACCGCTGAAACATCCTTTCCAACTTGCGTTGACGTCTTTTTCATTAATGATACGAAAGCAAGCTAGATATCGACCGCAAGGCTAGACTTCTCTATGTTCTCGACACCAGCGGCTGCACATACGTTGCCCAAGAGCACGTCTGAAACTGGTGCACAAGAACCTGATCCCTCTCTCACGGAGTTCGCCGATATAGCACAACTGCTTGTGTCAAGGCATGGGACTCGACGCCTGTCGTACATACCTACAAATGGAATTGGCCAAGAACATAAGTAGACTGATGCGAACATCAGCTGGTTGTTTCTTCTGAATTTGATTCTTTACAAGGGAGCCTATCTTTCGCGTACCCAAATCCCACAACAGGGCAATATTTGCGTTGAGAAATCGAATCATCAGGCTGGTTCCGTACGAACTGCTGCTCGCTCGTTTATCTCCATGGCATAGTCGATAGGGGAGAACGTAATTGAGCAGGCTCATTTGTGCAGCAACTAAGATGCTTGCAAGCGTGGCTGACACCGAAGCGATGAAAGCTAAGATCGCAAGAGGGAAGTCGGTATGATAAGCTTTCTTGAGTCCCTAGGAAGAAGATGGAATACCGGTCTCGAAACATCGGGTGTGATAGAGACGAGCTGAGGGGCATCCATGAATGCGTACCCACCCGCAACTGACCTTGTCCGTCTGATTGCAAAATCGAGCACGAATTGGGAAGCGGGCACCCAGCGGTATCAATCTGGTGTGCGAAAACGAGGGAAATCAATGCGACTGACATGCCAGCATTGGTCCCATAAATAACAGCACTTCTGTTTAGCATTATTATGTTTTGTTGTCCAGGCTCCAGAAGTGTTTCCATCAACACGGCGGTGTCTCGCTCGTTTTCGATTCATCGTCGTTGTAATCAGACCGTTGGACATGATGGATGATCAATGGGTGTCACTTCTCTAACAATGGTCGATTGGCTCGCGAAAAGTAGGTTTGATCTCTACGAAAAGGGAAGGGAAATCTGTGATGGCATGCGGTAAATTGTAGCGACCTCACAATGGATCATATGTGGCTAACAACTCGAACGGGAAGTGCGGGGGCCATTGAACTCTTGTGCGTCCTCAAGCCACTTACTAATGTGAGCGTTGTTGCTCAGAATCAATGCGAGTCAAATTTCTAGGATTTACCTTCTTCTTCTTTTCGAGAAATGGAAGTCGTTGAAAATAGGTAGCTAGCCCTTCCCGCCAATCGACTCAGACAAGTTGAAAAGTCGTCAGTGAGTTGCTGCACGACGAAGCAGAAGGTTGTAATCAAACTCCGAACGACCAATGTCTCATCTCATACGATATGTCGATCGATTACGGAGGAGCATTTCAAAAGTCTTTTCCCACCCCCCTGGTCAACGCACGGAGCAGTGACAGGGGTAAATCGTCCCGATAACTCTCAATCAGTACAATTCAATCAGTCCTACGTACATTCTTGCCCTCTTTGTACTCATTTCCTCCCTCTAAGTCAATGATCTTTTGGATATGAATTGGGATACGTTCAATCCAGTCCTGTAACTTCTCTTGAGGTAGCTCATCCCAACACTGTTCCCACGCATGGATAGCCTGAGCTCTACTCTTTAGTGCTCCTTTCTTTGTTGTGTATCACTTCATCCAGAACCAGCAAGGCTTAATAGCGTTCAAGTTAGGTGAATTGATACACCAAAGTAACTATGCTACGTGCTCTTGACTGTACACTAAGCGTTGTACGTAGTGGTTATGAGCAGGTGCTTTATCCTAAGTATTAGGCCGTTCTTTCATGCACTCCTTTGCAAAAGGGATTAACTTTGGCCGCATAATAATTGACTAATAACGCTACTAGTTTATGCTTAAGCCTTTACCTTGTGATAACTTGCCATTCTTTTGGTTCCAATTCCATTAAGGTTTCTTGCCAGGCTTTATACGAAGACCAAGCCGCTCTATGCCTTTTTCAAGCTCCCACTTCTCTCTCATTAGAGGCTCCAACTCTACATTTAAATTATCAATCTTTTTTATAGCCTCTTCCTTCTCTTGCTTTATTTCAGGCGTCCAGTAGTGACAAGGTCCTTTCTTCTCATACGTAAAACAACCCCAGAACATGAACTCAGAGTAACCTTTCCATCTCTCACGAATACAGCTCTTAACAACAGCCTCATCAACTTTCCTCCAAACTCTATACCCTCCACGTCGATGAAGAAGTACAACAGTAGTCTCATCTATCCAAATAACATTCTTCCAATCCTCAAGAGTCCAATCTTTATGCTCAAGGCACCAAGCTAGCCTCTCCTTCCTCATCTGTTTCGTCAACCCAGGTTTCCTCGTTGGCTTTGTCTTCTTGTATCCTGCTTTTCTGAGTACTCTCCACACTGTAGAGGCTGAGATGTTTAGGCCATCTTGGCTAAGATCACCAGCAATATCAGCACAGGTTTTCTCTCTACCATAACGATCTCTTCTCACAAGGTTAACAACCTTCTCAAAAGCCTCCTGTTGTTTTGAAGGCCTCCCAGATCGTGACGCATCTTCAATATGCTTATTCTCTAATTTTATAGGCCTCACAGCAGGATCAAAGCCTCTCTTAATTACCCTTGCATAGATTGAGTTAATCGTACGCTTCTCAACACCAGTCAACCCAGTTATCTCTTGGTTTGTTTTCCCATCAGCCTTATAGGCTACAATTAAAGCACGAGTTGCAAGATCAAAGACAGGCATAATTAAATCATAGACAGAAGAAGAGGTTACAGAAGGTTCAGGTCACAGAAAGGGCACGTCATGGAATATTCGGGCCGACTTACCCCTGTCACTGCTCTGTGCGTTGACCAGGGGGGTGGGAAAAGACTTTTGAAATGCTCCTCCGTACAAGATTGCCATAGTGATTATGCGCTATGCCTGACTTGCGAATCATTTTTGCCAGCGCAAAGCATCCCTGCATGTTGTGCTTAAGCGCTTTGCCTCAACTTGCGAGTTGAAGCGGGATGATCACTCCTCAGCCGCGACCTGAGGAAGCTTGGCCCAGATACTCCACTAGGGAAGGATTTGGACACATAAACTCAGGTTACTTCGAGATACAGATTGCATGATACCATTCCAAATGCCTTCTTTCGTTTTGATTGCACCATCCGTCCACAATAAGCTGTATGCAGAGCGTTCTTACAACGAACCTCAATGACCCCGAAGAAGTGCGGTGGATCGCAGATGCCAACGCATCTGCAGTAGCGCGAACCAAACGGACCCCGAATTCAAGACTCATGGTGGCCGTGAAGGAGGAAGGCTGATCGTAGAGTCCAGGATAGCCTAGCCGACTCCTCCCAACAAGAAATTGTTCTGGGTGGTACAAGATCACATTCTAGCGACTGTACGAGTCCTCATGTTCTTTCCTTAATTCCACAAAGGTTGAAGTACAGCAAGTCTTCGAAATGTGCATCAAGATAACTCTTATCTCGAAGTCTCGTGCAGACTCAACTCACCCGCAAACACTGGTCGCAGCAAACGCAAGTACACTGTAATATCTCCTAGATTCGTAGTGCCCTATCTCCAAGTACTGACCTTCATGAAGCGAACCATAGACCATGCCGCTCCAAACAGTCAAGGGCATTTGCGGAGTGCAGTCATCCCATCAGCAGCAGCGACAAGTGCAGTACTGCCAGCTGCGACAGCAGCATAGTGCATCCAGGCCAATTCTGCCATGAGTGTAAGCTCGATCATCCTTGTGTACAAATTACGTCCACTAATCACTATCTCAGGCAGGAACGACTTTGTTCATCTCGAGGGTATGCAAACTTCTCGGGGAGCGCTTGGATTTACCGGTACCCCACGGAACGCGTTATCTGCTTCGAGGAACAACAACGGTCGCATCGCACATCTTAACTCATGCCGAGGCTGTCATACGCCGTGCTCTCTATCCCGAGAACACAATGTATCCATGTCTCAGACTAGGGAGGAGCACATAGTCGAGCTGGAATGAACTCAGATAGAGAACTATGGGAGCGTCCCCGAGCTACTTCCACAATCGCTATCCGAAGACCACTTGCTTTGTGTGACAGTGCGATGTCAGCTATGAGCGAAGTGGTCACCTCTGAATTTTCTGGTCATTGTCAAAAATCATAGAGCAGTTTTTAGTAGATCACTAAATAAAGGAACTGTGGTTGGATGCAGAGGCTTACGTTCCAAGCCGGTAGGGATGGCAAAGGACGTAACCAACCACCTTCCGAGTTTCGTCGCGATCGACTACGAAACTCGCGAGGTGATTGGGCGCCATTGGTCTACGTCATACCCAATATTCTGGCCAGAATTCGGACTAAACTCAAGTTTACCCTTTGCATCATGGCATAGTACGGTTCCAGAGCGTTCGTGTAATAACTCGGATATCCATCGCGTCCCGTCACGTCTCACATTCGGCATTGTGAAGTTCGATGGTTGTACATAATCCAGTCTAGGCATACTGCAACGAAATAACGGAATAGACATATTATACTCCCACGCTATCAGCAAGTTGCCGGGTTAGGTATCACAGCCCGAATGGACCTATCAGCGCATCCCACTGATTCATCCTCGTTAACATCCGTCTCCTGTGACTTGTACGCATTCGTATCCTTCTACCGCCGTCGACCCCACTCCCACTCACTCCTTGCCCAACTTCTCAATCTCCCCCTGCCCAATCTCCCACACACCGGCCTCCCTCTGTCCCTCCACACACTTCAACCCCGCAACAACAGCAGCCTTCCCGATGACCCCCGCATCGTTGACCCAGAAATCCGTCAGTTTGGGACTAACCTTGTTCATCCAGCCCGCCAACGTCCTCAGCGCCGCCTCAGCCGGCCTCGACTCGTCCCTCGCGCCCTGAATCAGGCCCGGCCTCAGAATAACCGTGTGCTTGAACCCCAGTGCCTTGACCTTGTCCTCCAACTCCCCCTTCATCTTCGGATACGCCATCATACTCGCTGAATTCGCGCCGCCCGACGAGATCAGCACGTAGCACTCGACGCCCGCCTCCTTCGCCGCCTGCGCGAGCGACAAGTTGAGATCGACGTCGATCTTGCGCTGCGCGTCGACGCTGCCGGCGGCGCCGCGCGTGGTGCCCAGGCCCGAGAAGAAGATCTTGGGGGACGACTCCTTGGGGAACTGCGCGGGCCAGTCGTCGGTGGAGGCGCTGGGGATGTGGAAGAGCTTTGGGGAGGCGCTGGGGTTGGGCGGGGCGCGGCGGGCGTAGGCGTAGACGGAGGAGATGGAGGGGTGCGCGAGGAGCGTGGAGAGGATGTGCGAGCCCTGAGGTGCGGGTTAGAGAGGTGCGGAGGGTGAGGCGCGGAGAGGCGCATGGGGAGGGAGAGGTACGACGAGGCCGGTGCTGCCGGCGAGAGCGACAGTTGTCATTTTTGCAGAGGCGATGGTCTGAGTGGATATGAGGGTCGCTGTCAACTATTGAGGTGATAGACGTTCAGTCTATGTTGGCTATAAATGCGATCAATGGTGTCGATGTCTTCAATGCGGTGGTGAGTTTCGTCCGTTGCGCGCAAACGTCATGCGCGGACCCCTGCCAACGCAGCGGCGATAACAAAGAACGGCCGAGGCATCTTCAGCCTGCGCTTCGTACTAACTACATGGCTTCACGATTACTGAGATAAGTACCACGATGTGGATTGCGCCGAGGATAAGGACGAAAGTAGGAAGATGAAGATGGCAGGAGGATGCAGCTCCCTGCCAGCATAGAGGGCGGTATGCGGCAGCCAATCACCAATGTCATGCTCCACACTCTTGTACGACTAGGTGACAACCACCTGGAGCAGGGAATCTAGTTGCGTAAAATTATCGAGGCCACTTGATGTGAGTAATCATTTACGTCCGAGTGATATCAACATTGCAATGCGCACCTACAGACTCATGTCTTTCTGGAGGTCAAGGCGAAGTCCGAACACTGCATACTTTTGAATATCCAAATAATGCCTTCTACAACACGACCAAACTCGCCTCCAACGCCCCCTCCTCACTAATTAGCCCCTTTCTCACCGCCTCCGTAACTTCTCCCTCAACCCCAAGTATCATGAGCGCCTCTTTACTTCCGCTTCCCTCCTCCTCGTCCGCATCATGCAACGGCGCTACATTCATAAACTTGATGTTGACACCAGCCTTCCCCAACAAGTTGCCCACATACCCGATCTTGCCGACGGAGTCGAAGTTGCGGCAGATCAGCAGCGTGCCCTGGGGGACAAACTCGCCGCTGAACCGGTCCAACCGTGAGATGAATGGTTTGTTGCCTGAAACGAAGCCTTGGATGACTTGCTCCGAAGTCTCCTTCGCTGGAGCCTGGGTATTGGGAGTGAGCTGCGCCTGGCCGGTAGCTGGCGGCTGGGCCTGCGGTACGCGCGAGGAGAGTGGGCTAGCTGAACGTCCCTGGCGCGCCTGCGACGAGGAGCGGCTGGCACGAGCGCGCAGCGTGATGAAACTCGAGTACGGTTTAGCATCCACGTTCTCACGGCTGCGCTGTTCGTTGATGAGGATGCCGCGCTCCTTTGCCACTAGTTCCGCGTTCACAATGTTAATGTTTAGTGTTTCGCTGATGGGGGAGAGCAGGCCTTTTACGAGGGCAGCGAAGAGGGGCTTGGTGGTGTTGAGCTCGGCCAGTGCGCCTTCATAGGTAATGTCGAATGTGGTGCGGAAGCTGGCGGCGTTCACTTTGCCCGAGTAGTGCTGGGTGTACAGGGAGCCCATCTTTTCGAGGAGCGTGACGAAAGGCTGGAGGGTGCGGTACTCTTCTGGGAGAATGATGGGTGCATTGACGGCTGAGCGAGGGAGCTCGCCGGAGAGAATGGAGACGACTTGCTCGCAGACGTCGATGGAGACGTTTTCTTGGGCTTCTTTGGTACTGGCTCCGAGATGTGGTGTTGCAACGACTTTTGGGTGCGCGATGAGGCGACTCGCTGATGAGTCGGCCTCTGGAGGCTCAGAAGTCCACACGTCGATCCCGGCGCCCGCGATCGTGCCAGCGTCTAGGGCTTCCACGAGGGCATCTTCGTCGATCATACCTCCTCTTGCAACATTCAAGATTCGTGCTGTAGGCTTCATCGTGGCTAGCTCGGCTCTGGAAATCATGCCCTTGGTAGACGCAATCAGTGGGGTGTGAAGAGTCAGGAAATCGGCTTGTGTGAGGAGGTCGGCCAGGTTGGGTAGTAAGGTCACTGATGCTGCTGTTGCCAGGTTCTCGTTTGCGTATGGGTCGTAGGCGATCAATCGCATACCGAAGCCATTGGCGATCCGAGCTACGGTGAGACCCACTGACATTGTTAGTGATTCTTGTTCTTATGGTCATCTTTTGTGAGTGTTACCCTTGCCCAGCCCAACGATCGCCAGGGTCTTTCCCTTTGCTTCAATACCCGTCAGGCGGCTTCGTTCCCATTTCCCAGCCTTGATGCTCTGACTCGCATCTGCCACGTTCCGAGCCACTGCCATCAGGACTTCGACTGTCAGTACGTCTTCAAGCCCACATCAGGTCTACTCACGAGCAATGGTATGTTCGGCAGCGGCATTGATATTCCCACTCGGCGAATTGACGACAATGATACCCAACGACGTCGCAGTCTTGACATCGACATTGTCGACACCAACGCCAGCCCTCGCTACAACCTTCAGCTTCTTTGCAGCCCCCAGCAGCTCCGCCGTAACCTTTGTCTCGCTCCTCACGATCAACGCTTCATACTGTCCAATAATCTCTTTCAGCTGCTCTGCGCTAAGTCCCTTCCTCTCATCTACCTCGAAGCTCTCCTTTAGCAGCGCCAGGCCATCCGGCGAAACCTTCTCCGGGATGAGAATCTTGGGGCGAGTGTTGTACGTCTCGATGGCCATGCTGAAGGCAAATGCTGAAGTGAGAGGGAGGAATGGTTTTGGAGTGTCACTGGCGATGTTAAGAGGTGATAAGTCAAGACATGGCACGACGTTTTGCGCTTGAACACGTCGACCAGATACGCATCCGGCAGCAGGTCCGCAGTCGGCCGCGGGAATGCATATGCGCTTCATCAGCTGCTGCGCTTTGTATATGGACGCTTGCTGAATGCGGTAAAGGAAGCTACCCCGCCCCCGCAAACCCCACGGATTACGCCACTGCCCTTGTCAAAAGGAGCGCCAGCGGTCCTGCGAGTGGGGTGTTTGCAATGTTAGTTTGTCGATGTTATGTGTTTTGCCACGGACGCGATGTGTGAGCGAAGCCGGCGGCACGTGAGTTTGAAGCGTGAAATGCAATGCGTTGTGTAGACGCCCAGGAGGATGAACGAATCTGCGTTATGTATGCACTTTATCTACTACTTACGCACTTGTGGTGTTTTGTGGTAAGATGTATTTACGTTGGTTGGCGCGGATTGCGCTGTTGAGATGCCATCTGGGGCTTGGGACGGCTTCGTACGCTGTTGCCTTACCAGTTGGACCGCTGCTTCAACTTCTCGTTCTGCACAACTTCGATCCAGTAACCATCGGGATCTGAGAACAACGTCAGTAACCTAGCACTGCAATTGACATAACGATGACATACCCAGCACGAACGCAATGTTCTTCATGCGGCCGTCCGTCAGCCTCTTCTTCCAGTTGACGCCCTTCTCTTCGAACCGTGCGCACGCTGCATCCAGATCGTCGACCGAAACACAGATGTGGCCGAAGCCTTGCGGCTCATCATTGCCGTTGTGGTACTTGAAGTTGGCGTCCTTCTCGGTACCGTAGTTCCACGTCAGCTCGAGCAGACCCTCGTGGTCGGCCGTCGCACTGACACCTTCGGGTGCAGAGTCGTTTGCCGGCGCGCCGTAGCCGAGGAAGTACAGGTTGAAGCCGTTCTTCTCGTTCTCCGAGGTGCGCTTGAGCTGCATGCCCATGATGTCCTTGTAGAAGGCCAGAGACTTGTCCGCATCCTTGACACGGATCATGGTATGGTTCATGCGGTATGTGCCCACGTCCGTCTCCTTCTCCTTCTCGGTCTGCTCCAGCGGCTTCTGTCCGATGACCTCGACCCAGTAACCGTCCGGGTCCAGCACGAAGGCGATGTGGCGCATCCTACCGTCGCTCAGTTTCTTCTGGAACTTGTAGCCTGCATCCTCGAGGCGCTGGCACGCAGCCTGCAGGTTGTCGACCGAGATGCACAGATGGCCAAAGCCGCGGTGGGGCTCCTGGTTGCCGTTTGCGATCTTGTAGTTGGGGTCGTCCTCGGTGCCGTAGTTGTGGGTCAGCTCGACGATGCCCTCGCGGTCGGTCCAGTGGTTCGCGTGCGACACGGCTTTCGGGCTGTCGTAGGCGAGGAAGTACAGGTCGAACTTCGCGTCGGGGTTGGGCAGCTTCTGGAGGAGCTTCATGCCCAGGAACTCGTAGAACTCGACCGAGCGCTTGGGATCCTTGATCCGGATCCTGGCCTGTTAGCAGGTACAATGCGACGCGCACCGAGCCTTCTTACATGGAGTGGTTAAGCTTGTAGCGTGTCGGATCGGTCGCCATGGTTGCGAGGGCCCTGAGGAAGGTGCTTGATGGGGTGTACTTGGATGCGCGGGCCGTGAACGGGCTTGAGACTGGTGTTCGTGCGACTATGCGACGCAGGAAGAGCATGAACTGCAATGTGGAGGAGATCTGGAGCAATTGAGACGGGCGGGGATTTTATTTGGTGGTGACGTCGACTCGAAGCTGTTGCCGCTGCCCCTCGCCCATGTGGGGAGCTCTGCGCGACGACCTGGCACTCTTTGCTATTCTGGCATAGCATCGTCACCGTCGCGCGCTTCCGCAACACAAAACAAGGCATCTCACGCTGCGACCTAGGAAACACGTCGTAGTAGCCATGCATGTTCTTCCTGCACTTCCAACAGCTGTTCCTTCCTCGAGCGCTCGGCGCTGCTGTCCACGTGATACGGCCCGAGCTGACCCCTGTCGCCAATAGCGCGCCGGGCTTGTCCTCCGCCATGGCTCCGTTCTAATCGCAACATCATGCTGCAGTCGGTATACGCTCTTTGCACACGCAGCTTTCCGTCCTTTGCTTCTGCTATGCTCTCTGCTCGTTGAGATCCACATATTCAGCTCCAGGGCCCGTCTACGTGTCGTCGACGTGGCGGGACCTCAGCGCACGGATATAAATCTCGAGGGGTGAAATCGAGACGCTTTAGGTAGGTATTCGCATGCCCTAGGCTGCAGAGCACCACCAGTCAGCTGCAGTATGCTGCGGACTGCACTGCACTCCATTTTACCTTCATGCCCAAACAGTTTCTTTTATCTTTGTCATCAATGTCTCTCGGATTTTCTTACGTCTCCAATCCAAACGGTCACCCGTCTTACCTCTCCGCTTAGACTAACATGCCAAAGTCTCCGCCCGTCGCCATGCTCAACGCCCTCAAGCTCAGCGAGCTGCTGAACAAGAACACGCACCCCAGCCTCTACCCGCGCCTCTTGTCAGTGCCTCCCACCCAGTCCACACAACACCACATGCTTCCTCCCCACGAGCACCCACTCACATGACCCAGCGTAATGTCCCCCAACGGCACTCTCATGGCCTACACGACCCCTATTGACATCCGCGACCTCCGCGACCAAGCTGCCCTCATCTCCATGGCCTGGAAAGACCACGCCGCCAAATACCCTCCCCCCTCCGACCCTTCCCCCCCAGACCAGCTCGAAACTCTCACCATCGAAACCGCAAACAACAACATCATCGCCCGTGCCATCCAGCCCTCTCTGCTCCTGGTTCTCGTCGGCGGCGTTCCCCCCTCTCGGAAACAGGTCTTCAAAATCACGCCCGAGGCGCGCGGCGAGGCGAGGTATCCGGCGGAGGGAGGGGAGGAGGGGACGGAGCCGGTCGTGGGCAGTGGGAAGGCGGCGAGCGTGCTGAGTACGATGAGCACGAGGGAGAAGGATGTCAAGGGGGGTGCGCTGCACATTCAGCGGAAGAAGATCGATGCGTTGACGGAGTATCTGCGGAGGGATTTCGATGCCAAAGGGTTTGTTATGCCGGATGATGCGGGGTTTTCGTGAGGATTGGGCGGGCCCTGGGATGGGATGTTGATAGCGTGGGCGCTCATGGATACGGTGTTTTCCTTGGCTTTTCATCGCGAGGCGATGGGATGGAACGGTATGTGCGATAGGTGTAGAGTATGTTCTGTTTCCGTACAAGACTGTTGGGGGCGGGGTTTGGTGTTTATGCAACTGGTTTCTGTAATACATATTCTATTCCGAACCAACAGTGACGCCAAGTATAGGCACTCTTACTGAATAATGAACCGGAGCACGATACAGAGAGTAAGATGAAAGATCAAAAATTCATTAGTCTATACCCCAACACCACGCTAGTTACCAAACACCTAGTAAACCTCAAGCACATACCGCCCTTCGTCCTTGAGCGTCTCAATCTCCCTTCTGCTATCCACCTTCTTCGGCTTCTCCTCCCCATTCCTCACGCTCTTCGCACGATGCTCCACCTCTACCGCCTCCTGCAGCACCTCCGTGACATCTGGCACAGGCCACGTCGGACCGCAGAGGTAGAAGCTACCCTCGTTCTGGAGGTACGAGCGCCTGATGTCGCCGAGGCTCTGCCGCATGCGGTCCTGGATGTAAATCTTCTCAGGCTGGTCACGCGAGAACGCGCGGCCGAGTAGCGTGATGATGCCCGCGGCCTGGTACGCCTCCCACTCCTCGCCGTAGAGGTACTCCTCGCGCTGGTGGCGGGACCCCATGTACAGGAGGACCTCGCCGATCTCGTGGCCCTGCTGTTTTTGGTAGGCGCGCTCCTGGACGAAGGCGCGGAAGGGCGCAAGACCGGTTCCGAGACCCGCCATGATGAGGGGCGCGGTGGTCTTGGCGGGGAGCTTCATGACGGAGGGCTTGACGGAGACGGTGACGGGGGTGCCGGATTTGAGGCCATTGAGGAAGCGCGTGGCCTGACCGAAGCGGTCGCGGCCCTGAGGGTCGACCCAGTTGACGGTAACGATGAGGAGGGAGACCGAGTTGGGAGTGACGTGCTGGGAGGAGGCGATGGAGTACTCGCGGCGCTTCATCGGGCTGACAATGCGAACAATGTCGTGGAATGAAGGATGCGCTGACTTGAATTCGAGCAGGATGTCTGCATAGGTGATCGTGTCCACTTCGGCGCGACGCTTGAACTCAGTGGCACCTTCAGGGCTGATGACGGCGAGAAGCTTCCTCTTCTCGTCGGCGTCATCAGCGAACTCTGCAAGTGCTTCATAGAAGCGCTTGGGCGGGCGGCCGAAGATGTCAACGTTCTGAAGAAGAGACTGGTACACAGTGCGGTTGACCAGGACATCTGGGTCGTCGCGAGACGGGACTTCGACGATCTCTTCTGGGTTGAGGCCGTACCACTTGATGAAGTTCTCAACCTCAACCTTGTCGTTTTCTGCGTGGATGCCGAGCGCCTCGCCGATCGCGTACGTAAGACCAGAGGTCCCCAGATCGAACTCAATGTGGAAGATATTACGATCATAAGTGATGGGCGTAAGACGGCGGCGCTCCTTGACAGTGACGACGTGGGTCTTGACACCCAAATCAGGACGAAGCGCGGTCTCGACTCCAAAGGCTTCCTTGAAAGCGAACCCCTTGGCCGCGACCTTCCAATCGCGGAGGTATGTCGGTGGATCGGTCTCGATGCGGTCAAAGGCAGAGAAGCTGTTGACGTTGATGTCGGAAGGAAGCTGAATCGGCTCCACTTCTTCCTCAGGAGTGGACCAAGAAACGGGGCACTCGATCTCGCGAAGTGCGGTTTCAAGTTCGCTCACCAGCTTCTCCAGTGTCTCCTGGTTGCCGTTGATAGCGGCCAATTTGGAGAGGCCAGAGGTGAGGATATCTTCGCGCGCAACCTTCAAGAAAGCCAGCTGGGTAAGGTACACTTCCAAAGAAGGATCCTGAGACACGCTCTCGGACAGAGTCGGGTCGAGAATGAAGAGCTCGACGTCCTTACCCACAATAGCCTTGCGCAGAGCGGGGGAAAGCTTCTTCTCGATGTCTTCATCCTTGACGCCAGGCAGCTTGATGATCATGGAGCTGTCGGCCTTGACGCTGTTCAGGATGTCGAACTCCTTCAGAAGAGATTCATTACCAACGAAGGTAACGTCTGCCTGCTCCACGGAGTAGGGGGCCTCGATGGTGTAGTCAGCATTGCGGATGTCCGTGCGGACAGTGCCGCCACGGACAAGGTTGTCGTGACCAGCGCGCACAAAGACGTTCTTAGCGGAATCGGAAGAGAAGAGTTTCCCGAGCACGACGGGAGCATCCGCGGCCGGAGATTCGTCCAAATCCCAGAAAGTGTATTGCTTGACGTCCGCGGTATTGAGAATATCGACGTAAGAGCGAACCTCCTCCGACTGGGTTTTCTCGCCGTATGTCTGCTGGAACACGTCCAGAATGTTGCTGGGAGTCCAGACCTGCTCGCGCGAGTACTTGATGTCGGTTACTTCCACATTACGGTCGAAGGCAAATTGAATGGTCGCAAAGACATCAGAGTAGAGACGAGAGCTCTCAGCGGGATCGAAAACGGCAGCCTCGTCCTTGACTTGACCGAGCACTGCGACGTTCCTGGTACTCTTGGGAAGCACTTCAAGGAAGGCCTCCTCAACGAATGGGCGGTACACGCGGACGTTGATCACACCCAGCTTATCGCCGTCCTTGGCGAGTGCGTTTGCAACCTGTGCAGTCAGGGAAGCCTCCACGGTACCGAAAACGACCAGCACGCTTTCCGGTTCCTCGTGACCGTAGTAGTCGAATAGGCGGTAGTCCTCGCCAAGCTCATCGTTGAAAGCTTGCAGGAGACGCACGACACGTCCGGCGTTGTCCGAGTGCTTCTTGTCCACCTCTGAAACAGCCTTGAGGACAGCCTGGTAGCTGTTGTTGAGTCTGCTTTGGTCTAGAGTGTCTACCAATCGTGCGGTCTCGCGTCCAACACTGATGCCATCGTAGGTATGGATGGTAGGAATGATGCTTGACAGAAGGGTGGCGAAAAGCGCCATGTGCTGAGTCTCAAAGACAGAGGGGCTGCACACAAGGCCGAGACCTAAGTCCTCCGCAATGGTCAAGGAAGTGACATAGTCGCTGACGAGCCCAGCAGCGGAGTTGGCGGTGTAGTCGACAGCGGCAACATGGGCAGTAAGCGGGTTCGCGACCGAGTAGAGGAGCGCTAGCTGGTCGAGCGCAGGGCGGAGGTAGTGCAGTGTCGCGGACGAGGCGACAATAGACTGGGGAATATGGCGCTTCTTCAGGTCGAAGTCCTTGGAGAACATGTATCCGAGAGCAATGGAGCCAGCGCCATTCCTCGTCTCAAGTGATTGCACGCCCGTCTGGTAGCCGAACGCGTTCTTGTCACCATTCTCTTGCCATGACTTGATCGCCACATCCAAGTCAAAACCCTCCGCCGAGTATGCGAATATCTTGTCGGAGAGCGTGTAGGCAACCTGCTGGACCAGAGCCTGGGCGGTCAGGTAGGTGGGGCCACTGATCGAGTCGAGGGAGAGGTCTTGCCCAAAAGGCAGGCTTGAAGACTTCTGGGTGAAGGTCTTGGGCTGGTCCTTGTGGGCTTCGGCGCCAGGGCCGGCAGATTCGGTCTGCTGGAAATGCATCTTGAGGTCAAGACGCGCCCGATGAATTGGCTTCCTGAGAACCAATCTAGGCAGCTTGTAAGTAGAGGGAAAGAAGTTAGGTTCTTCCGCAGGCTTCACGGAGGGAAGGCGTGAAGGTGGCTACAAGACGACCAAAGTCGCGCCCTCAGGGCGACATCGGCACAAAGACTGCCGAGGAGCAACTGGAGAACGCAATCGACTGGAGACGACATGATTGGCCTGGTCCGACGCTGTTGATTATTCTGCCCTCGCGTCGAACATTTTTTGTTATTAGCGTCGAGCACGCCATCATCTTGGCGTGGAGTTGGCCAGCGCGCGGGGATCTCGCGGGGCTCGGAGATCGGACGGCCAGCAGCCCCTGCTAGTGCGTTCGGTTGCAGTTGCTGGCGAGCTGTCTTCGTCCCGCCAAGGAACACGTTCACGCATGATGTATGCGGGCACAAGCCTTTCAATCATGTTGTGCAGCTTCGTTCTTTGAGAACCGCCTGATGCCACTGGAAGGAGTCGTGGTCTCGATTGACCAAGCTGCGCTCAATATTACACAATTCACCAGTGCCTTGCGAAAAGAGACTCATATACTGTTTCACTACGCTTCAAAAACACAAGCCTACGTTGTTGGGTTGAAAGTTTGGTTACTGCATTGCTCCTGCTGGGGTAGTATAGAGTACTCGTTTCCGTCTTGACCCCTACGTGACCGCAGCCATTCGCTCGAGTGTGGGACTAATTGATCATCATCGCAAACGCCAAAAGTTCCGTGTGAAGGGGTCTCTAGGAGGATTTCTCAAAGGTCCAGCCTCAGCTGCCGCGTACTGTCTGGCATCCCAGCAGCGAACAACCAGGGCCCGCTACCTACAAGTGCCTGGGGAACCTGCCCGCCGACCAAACAACGAGATGCTTCGTTGAAAGAAAGTTCAGCACGGGCTGATTCGGTGGTCTGCCGGAAGTTGGAAGTCCTGGGAATACTTGAGATTGCTGACAGGCCTCGAGAAAGTTCTTGAAAGCTTCTGTGTGACTTTTTCGATCCTACCAGGTCGACACGAGATGAACAACCTTCTGAAAATATTTATCGAATCACCAAATCTGATCGGGACATTAAAGAGCCGTGGTGACGATGAATACCTTCTTTCGTTGGGCCTCTAAGAGTTTTGAGCCAGCAACATCAATGACGGAGTTTAGAAATACCTCTGTGGTAACAGAGGAACAACCCCGCCGGCTTTTGGCATCTATCTAATATGAATGGCACTCGCTGAGTCGCACACTCAACTTAAGGTCAGAATTGGACTCGCGCCAGCGCTTTCCCTGTGTGTAGTCTGTTTGCGGCAAGACACAGTCATCGCCATCAGGTTTTTATCAACTGTGTCCCCGCTCGGCAGCCTCGCTGCTTTGATCCTCTTCTGGCTCTCTATAGGTTTCGCTGACTGGAACTAATCCGAAGTGCTGTCGAGTCGCGACCGAGTTCCAATCACCTACGTAGGTTGCGTCTGCTTAAGACTGAATCTGACAGGCACGCCATGTCTGCCCTGGTTGCGGATTTCTCTTACTTTTACTTCACCTGAGGTGGTCGCATGGATGCAGCCGGCATCCGTTTTCAACCTCTACAAAAGGTTCCCCATTTCCACCTTCGAAACTATTTCTTACTCGTCCACCTTCTACAATCTCTAGCAACCTTGTCAACAATCAACATTGGTTCTCATTCGTCATCTGCACGTCGAGCCTTCCATACTGGAAGGCTTTGCGCGTCCTTTCCGTCATCACGGATCGCTTTTCTTCCAGCAAGCGCCTAGGTACCCCTTGTTCCTCGACGACAGGAAGTGAGTTGAACACTCCCACCCCACAACCCGCCAACATGCACGAAGGTGCTGCTCCGCCCGATTCACCTGCTATGCCTCAGCAGCAAGACGCCCCGCGCAATTTTCGTGGCTACTTTGGGGACCAGCAGCATGTAAGAGAAATTTTCCAATGTTTGTGCATGTGCGATCCTCATATTGGCTTGTAGATGGCCACAGGCCGGGCTGCCGCTACTCCAGCGCAGGAAAACCCGCCCATGGAGCCGACTAACGACATGGATCATTCGTCCCCGGTCGAAACTCGCATTCGCCAGGAGTCTAGTGACGACGACGATGTGCCCCTCCGCGACCGCCGCCTTTGTGATTACCATCAACAACCCACGTCCACAATGGCAATCCAAGAACGCTTGGGCTTCCAGAAGTCTGCCAAGGCATCACCATTCAGCACTGCTAAGACTCACAAGAAGCCCGGTCCTAAGCCCTGGGCGGCCAAGCCTATCGCAAAGAACGATATGAAGGCCAAGATGGAGGTCATCCGCGCCATCGAAAAGAATTGGGGCAAGAACTTTATCAGGGACTACATCCCCAAGTGTCATCGCCCACTACAGAAGAAGAAAGGCGGCAAGCGTACTGCATTCCGCCAGCATGAGATGGGTATGTGTTATAATGTTATGTAGCAATCTTGGTATGTGTACTCACGCTGCACCACAGACCCCAAGAAGTGGCTACCTTCCGTTCTTAAGTCCCTTCTCGGAATTTCCTACCTGACTACCGATAAAGCATTCTTGAAGAAAGCTATGAATGACATTGTCCGACATCGCATCAAGCACACTGGGAACCGCAAGCCTCAACTTGTTACCACGGACTTTGATGTCATTGAGGACATGATCACTCGTGGTTGGGACATCGAGACTAGCTTCTCCATCCGATACAAGCATCTCCTCCTCGCAAATCCCAAGGGCTACCTGGAGACAGACGAGGATATCGACCACATTCTGGCTTGCGGCGATGATGAATATCAACGCAGCAGCGATTTAGACCACGAGGATGAGGATGACGACGATGACGACATGGAGGTTCATAATCAGGAGGAAGAGGACACTACCAACTTCTCTGGCCCGTACGCAGGGATAGGAGGTTATATCCATGTGAGTATTTCGACAACACTGAGTCGAAATTGTAGATGCTGCGTTGCCTCTCTTGGGGTAATACGTGTACTCAACCCCTTTGCCCAAGCACAGTGCACGATAGCCGTTTGTATACTGACACAACCAGGGCTCTCCGCACCAGCCCCCGAAGATGATCGTGCCAAAGCATCCAAAGCGTTCTAAACCGATCAAGAAGGAGAAGCAAGAGAAGCCGATGAAACCAGCCAAGGCTACCAAGCGTTCTGCGCTCTCGAAAGGATCGCCAGACAACCAAGCTCCTCAGCATCTTCCTCCGCATATGTATGGTGGCTATGGCATGCCTGTATATGGTACGTGCTTTCTAATCCTTTCAAAATGCATCGCTCACCCTAGGCTTAGGTCCGTATGGCGCCTTTCCAGGCTATCCTCCCATGCCCGGCTATGCTCCACCGGACATGAAGGGTTTCCCTCTGCAGCCGCCTTACGGAAAGGGTTATCCTCCCATGCCGCCGATGTTTCCATGGACTTGCTATGGTCAGCAGGAGAAAGACGGGAAAATTCAGGATCCTCAAGCTGCTGGGTATCCGCCGTATGGTTTCCCAGGTCACGCCTACGGCCAACAGCCAGACAAGGACGGCGACACTCAAGATTCCCGCGCTCAAACCCATGGTAACCCGCCCTACGGCTACGGCTACCTAGGCATGCCGTCTTACCCTCCTCCGATGTCTCCCTCGCCCAACCTTCCGCGGTCCACACCTGCCCCTTCAGCCCCCGCGCGCCCCTCAGGCCTCACGCGCTTCTCTCCCTTCGACAACTCCAAGCGCTCAGCCTCCCGCCGTGCAGACCCATCTGTTCGTCACCACGATGCCGCTGGCTATACCCACACACCGTACATCAAGCGTGAGCCCGGCGTCGAGGATCACCCCATCGCCATCGAAGACTACGACAATGGCCCGAGCAATGACTTGGGTGAGGCGGTCGAGGACTCGCAGGATGGCGACCAGGAGGCGCTCGATGAGATTGCGGAGCAGGAGCGCCATATCCAGATGCTCCGCGCGCGCTTGGCCAAGAAAAAGAGCCGTGGCTAGGCGGGTTGCGTCCGCTCGTGTGATGGTATGTGGCGCTGGTGATGAATCATATCATGATCAGGCTTTTTTCGAAGTGTGGTTTCGTCAGGGTATGTGTGCTCTGAACAATCGCGGGTTCGGCTACTTCATGGCTCGCTCATCTCGCATCGAACTACGGGCGACATGATTCCGCCTGAATCCGGATGAGACAATGATCCTTTGTGGCTCGATTTCATTTGCGATCCTGCTTTTCTAGTGCTTGATCTAGATAGCTTAGATACTTGCCGTATGGATCGCGTGATTGCCTCTATGATTGCTCCCATCTGGTGATACTGGTTGAAGAACGCGATGACTGCGGTTCTACGTGGATTTCTTTTACATTTTAACTGATGCGTCTTCACAGGTTGTCGGCACGCTACTCGGGCCAATAGTAATTAATTCTCATCTTAGCATCTACGTTGTAGATTAGTTCGGGCTTCGATTATGATGTGCGACTCTGGAAAGGGTCTCGTTCAGGTCTAGTGAGACCGGTCGACGAGCTTGGTGACGAGATCATTGACTTTAATGACGGGCTTATCGACCTTGGCGAGGGGCGTCCTCCGAGTCAGTACGACATGCTTGTAAACAAGGACCTCAAAACATCGTTTATAGACGACCGCAGCATATGGAGGAGCGTCTACAGCCAGCATGTTACCAAAGTTACTGTGCTGTTCACTGAATATTGAAGTGCCCCTTTGGTCGAGTTTCCGTCCGCAAAGGGGCTCATTTTAAACGGTTTCCTAGAAGCCTGTCATGGTCGGCGCTACAAGTGTATCTGATGTGGCGTCTGTTTGACGCCGTAGGAATTGAGTCGACGGAGTGTGCTCCTCGTGAATGACTCTGAAGATTTAGACGAGGATTCATTCTAAGGTAGGCTGCTGGTGCACGACTGCGGGTTCCTAGTGTGGAGAATGGCACTGTGTCCACGTCTAAAAGCGTTGTTGCTGCCGAAGTAACAATCGCTGCATTTGCTCGTCGAATAGGTAGCGCCGAGCATCAATCGGTCCTGATGCTAGGGGTCGACGCGTCGCGATGTTTCGACCACTGCGACAAGGAGCCCTAACGGGCAGGAAATAGCTTGCTCGTGAATATGAGATTCAGTCCATTGCCACAAAGGTATCGTGTGCCAACAAGCACATGGGTGGTTGTTCTGTATAGATATAGAAGAGACCGATGCATGTCGGCCCAGACGTAGCCAGTCGCCGAGGCCGGGGCGGGAAGAGCGCCGTGGCCACCCTTGGAGAGGAAGGCGAGGGCAGCAGCAACCCAGGGCACGGCGTCAATGCCTACGCCCACCGTCTGCGATGCGCAATCCAGTCGCCTGCGTCACTTGTCGGAGCGCGAAGCAGAAATGCATCCACAATGGTGCGTCCCCGCGAATGGAGGTCCGTACACGTGTGCTAATGCGCCCCAGACGCTCCACCTTGCGACCGATGCAAAGCAGCGGGAAGGGCCGATCTCTGCGAGTTCCCACCACCAGGAACGAGTGCAATTCATCGCAGGCCCAAGCGGCCAAGACAGGAGGACGGTCCCACGCCGCCAGCGGCATCGACCGCATTGAACGTTACCTATCGCGCGGCGAGCGGCAGCGAGCTCAATGCCGCTTCGGCAGCCCCAGCCCCAGCCCTATCGCCGACGGCCACCGCATCTCTGCTGGACAGCCTGGATCCCTTCGACCTGCTTACCGACGAGGTCGTCAACAGCTATCTGCGCTGTAGCTACAAATGGAGCTTCCACCACACCCCCACGTTGTTGCTGCGCATCCGCGCGCGCACCCTAGAGCCATGGATGGTCTGGGCGATGCTCGCGCTGGCCGTTCGGTGTGTACATTGACTTCACCTGACTCCTCCGGTCCGCTGACAGCAGCAGCTTCGTGAGAGAGCCGCCTGCGCCGTTCCGAACGCAGATTGAGGCCAGCAATGCCTTCGCCGCCCATGCCCGCCAGATACTACAGTCCGACCTCGAAACGCCGAGCATCAGCCGTGTCCAAGCCCTCCTGATGTTGACGGGACACGATTGGGGAGCAGGGAACGGGCGCCGGGCCTGGATCTATCTCGGCATGGCTATTCGTCTGATAGAGGTCATGGACATCACACAGGAACCCAAGGGTCCCAGAAATCGCAAACCAACGCGCGAAGAGTTCATCGACGCCGAAGTGCGCCGCCGAACAGCTTGGACTTGCTTCTTGATGGACTCGCTGCTCAGCGGCGGCAGAGGCCGCAAGCGATCGCTGGCTGCCAGTGACATGGCTATCCAGCTTCCTTGCGAGCGAGAGGACTTCGTCTTTGGCGAGCCAGTCTGCACTCAGCGCCTCGACGGGTCGATACACATGCCTCCGCTGTCTCTGGCCGTCGGAGAGCTTGGCATTATTGCGTACAGCCTTCGCGCAGCAAACATCTGGGGCAAAGTAGCTCGGTGGGCGTGCTCGGAAGAACTCAAGACGCAGCTCCCTTGGTCGGTGACTTCTCAATTCCAGCAGCTGATTTACGAGCTCGAACACTGGAAGAGTTCTCTGCCACCCCGTCTCCAATATGAGTTGTTCTCGCTGCATAGTCACAATGCCGTAGACCAAGGACAGGCATACTGTTATATGCACTGCATATATTTCATGGGCTCTATGTTCTTGCACCGCGCCTACCTACCGGTCCTAGGCCCGCAGACCACACCTGAAGAAACACTCCACGAGTACAGCGAGCACAGCGACAGGTGGAAGATGTGGCAGAAATCGTCGCGGCGAGATTTGTTCAATGAGGCGTCCATGGTGCTCGACATGCTGGAGGAGATGCGCAACTTTGGCGTTTTCTTCTTGCGCGGCCTGGTCCCATGGATCGGTTTCACCATCTACACTGCTGTGGGAGTAATGTTGTACAGTTACAACTTCCCTTCTGGCGAGGATGACCCACGCGTTACAGAGAAGGCACGGGGCCGGGTCATCCGCGGCTGCACCTTTTTGAAAGAGATGAAGACCCAGTGGCCCATGTCAGAAACGTGGTTTGAAACGATCAAGCGCATGCAGGCCTACTATCGTTCTGTGCTGGGACAAGACGGGCCCGTGTCGCCGGACGAGCGCCAGGCGCTGCGACGCGCCATGGTGGACTATGGAGCCCTGCAGCCGTCTCCAGTGCAGAAGCCGGCTGACGCCAAACCGTCGGTGGACACGGACGTCGTTCGCAATAGCATTGGGCAAGAGGTACGCATCGCCCTCGGACTTTTCTCTACATGGCTGATCTTTTCTAGCAACCTGCTCCTGCGCCTACGCATCAGCAACAGCAGCTCGTCTCCCCGCCAGAGTCCACACCAAATGGGTACACCTCAAATTTCAATTGGAGCGCACAGCACACCGTGCCCCCTCTCGAGGACGACGACAACTTCAATTTGAACTTTGACTTCACCAGTGCAGACATGGAGGAGATGATGAGGGATGCAACGCAGGAGTTCTGGGCTTCCTTCCCCGGCGAGGTTGGTGTGGCGTATCAGTAGGCTTTGTACACGGTATAGTATGTATCAAAATCGGTTCAGCGTTCCTTGCACAGGCAGATCAATAACAATGCCTTTTTCACACACTGCCTCGGTGCGTCGCACCTAGCTTTGACGGGACGGCAGTCGCACTAAGTGCTGCTTCCCACCCCACTCCGTGCACAGTCTTTTGCATGCCGATTCTTCGCCGCGACTCACCTTGTACGCAATTCTCGGGATTATACATCTTGCAACACCAGGTGGCGTCATCGGACAGCTGAAGCTCGGCCGTGTGGCCCAATGGTACGACAGCCCGTAACGTACACTCGACGATCAACATCTAACCGCGAGCACAGGCAAGGCGCTTGACTACGATGTCACGTGATCAAGAGATTCCAGGTATGCATTCACAACCTAGCAAACCATCAAGGCAGCATCCCTAACAGTTCGAAGGTTCGACCCCTGGCACGGTCAATTTGACTTCTTTTTTGTACTGTGAGGTGGTGTAGCTTTTTTGAGCAAGGGAAGACTGCGTTGTGATTGAGATTCGACTTGAAACCGAACCATTAGCGGCAGCCTTGGAGTTCCTCCATGACGAATTCTCAGGCCATTCCTATGTACAGGGGAAAGCCTCTTAGACATATGCGGGTATAGAATCGTGTTACTCCTACTCAAGGTCGCGGTTGCGCATTCCCTTTTCGTAGGCCTCGGCTGTGGTCACTGTTGCACTGGCCCCGCCGTGCTAAAGCTAGCTCGCTTTACAGTTATCCCACGCCCTGAACTCCTTCTACGCTTGATAGCACGGGGCACGCTATAATCCGTCTCACATTTTCGGATATTTATTTGGGGAAGGTGCCATTGATGATCTGGCGAAGCGCTCGCGCAGAGAGCTAGAGACGTAGGCGTAAGCCCCGAAGTCGGCGCTCCCACCATTCGAATCCGAACTTGCATTAGAAGTACTATTTCCGACGGGCAAATCGCCAGGTCGAGAGACTAAAACTAAAAACAAAGATCCAGGAAGCTTGTATGGAGGGAGCCTGACTGTCTACACGTTTTGAGTCATTGATCTTGGCCGCGCCTTCAGCGACACGACCGAAACCCGCCTTGCGACCTCACCTCATACCGAACCTCTCAACACCTACCATACTCGACCTCCAATAGTCCTTCTCCAGGCCTAGAAATTACAAGCAACTGCCAGAATGGGCGTCTACTACGAAACCATTCCCGACTCCCTCAAGCCATGGATCCTCGACCAGAAAATGCTCTTCGTCGGCACCGCGCCGCTCTCCCCGACCGGCCACATCAACATCTCCCCCAAAGGCGGCAAGCAATTCGGCATCGTGTCGCCGACGCAGTTCTGGTACCTCGACCTCACCGGCTCCGGTGTCGAGACGCACGCCCATCTGCACGAGCCGCACAATGGCCGCATCTGCGTCATGTTCGTCGCGTACACGGGGCCGCCCCGGATCGTGCGCATCTGGGGCACCGGCCGTGCTGTCGAGAATGGGACGCCCGAGTGGGATGTGTTTGTGCGGGAGAACAAGGTCGATACGATCCCCGGGAGCAGGAGTATTATCCTGGTGGATGTGCATCAGTGTGCGACGAGCTGTGGGTTTAGCGTGCCGACGTATGAGTGGACGGGGTGGCGGACGACGCTGGATGACTTTTTTGCCAAGAAGGAGAAGAAGTATCTGGAGGGGAAGGAGGAGGAGAGCATGGATCGGTAGGCGCTGACCTCTCCCATCACACCGAGTGAAGCTGATGCCGGCAGGTACTGGGCGTTCAAGTCGCAATACAGCATCGACGGCATGCCGGGCATGAAGCGCGGCTACGAGTTCGCCCAGAAGAACAATGTCGCGCCGCTCAAGAAGTGGGTTGGGAAGTGGGCGCCCAGAGACTTCGGTCCCAGACCAACCCAGCAGGTCTCACCGATGCATCTCATCCTCGTGGCGGTGCTGAGCTTGATCATCGGATTTACGCTCGCGGTGACTATGGCGCCGCCGGACTTTGTGCGGAAGGTGCAGCACAAGGAGTTCTTTCTATGAGGGGATTATCTGTGCGGTGTTGCTTATACCCAGCGCATGCGGGCGGATACTTGGTGAGTTTTGCAGATATTGTACTTCAGACGTTTATATTCCAGTCTTGTGTGCAATGGAGCTTCAGGCTTTTAGTGCGATCATAGACCGAGACCGTCGCTCCTCGTCATGCCCGGGCACTCTATCAACCTATCCACTTCACTCGAGTCGACAGGGTAAAGCACACGTTGTCATATAAACACATTACTTCATTACACAGCTTCCGACACAGCACTCTATCCACAAGATATCGTCCAGCAACTTTTGTCAACCACGGATTACTTCCTGCTCCTTTCCACCCATCCCAGGCAAGATGCCTCCCAAATTGTGATGAGCCAACCTCCCACCGAAAGTCTACACGACAGGGCCACCCTTGGCACGCATGCGCGCGCCGTAGATCTGCAGCAGCGTGAGGATGATGGACGCCGCGGCGACGATGGCAGCCTGGATGCCGAACGACTGCCCGTAGCCGTTGACCTTGCCCCAGGGCTCCTGGAAGTAGCCAACGGAGAAACCGGCGCCGACTGCAGTGACACGTTAGCAAGCTACATCCTGCATTTGGCGGAAGAAGAAGGCTGAACACTTACCCCTCGCAAAGTTCAACAACCCGGCAACCTCACTGCTCGCACTCCCATAACTATCCAGACAATACGCCGTCAAGCTCACGCTCGCCAGCATACTCCCAATCACATACATTCCCCAGCCCATGATGATTCCCGCGTAGCTGAGATGCTTCTCGAGCGTCTGGCCGACGAGCACCAACCCGGGCACCATCAGGATGACGACGACCTGGTTCATGAGCAGGCGCGCCTCGGGCTTGAACACGCCGTTGTGGCGCGCGACGTAGCGGCGTGCGATCAGGTCGTTGAAGAAGTGGCCGCTGAGCTCGCCGATGGTCACGGCGATGAGCGGCGCGAACAGCAAGTAGCCAATGGCGTTGTTGTCGAAGCCGTAGCCGCCGTAGGCTTGGGGCGTTTGCAGGAGGATCGCCGAGGTGATGTTTATACCAACAACCCACATGAAAGTCATGGCGCTGCAGACGACATTAGCAAAGGTAGAAGGAGGGGAATGTAATACGTACTAGTAGATCATGCATGGGATCATGATGGGCTTGAGCAGCGTCTTGACGAGGCGGGTGACTGCGTGGCTGAGGTGGTAGAAGCCCGCTGAGTTATGGTTCTGGATCTGCCAGACACCTACGAGACGAGACATGCGGCCCATGAACGTCTTCGGGCGAGCGGGCTGCTTTTCTCTGGGGATGGTGCGATCGTAGAACGTTTCGTCGGAGATCAAGAGGATGAGGACCAGATCGAGCGCACCGACTGCGAAGACGAGCCAGAAGGCTACGCGCCACCTACCGTGCGTACCCGCGATGATGAAGTTGCTGAACATGGGCGCGAGGTACGGCGTAAGGAAGACGCCGTACGTCCAGATGCCGATCTTGCGGGCGTGCTCGTGGAAGTAGAACATGTCCTTGATGCAGGCCAGACCTACGATTTGGAATGCGCAGAAGCTGAATCCCATGAGGACGCGGAAAGCGTAGTAGACGGCGTAGTTGTGGGTGACAGCGCAGGCGATGGTGAAAACACAGCCGGTAAGAGTAGACCAAAAGAGAGCGGGACCACGGCCCCACCATGTAGAGACAACGATCCAAAAGATACCACCGATGGCACTATTTCGATGAGCGTGTGGTCTTGAAGCGAGTGGGATACTTACACCATGAGGACGTTCAAGTTACCAGTCTCGTTGACTTTGGCGGGTGTCTTGTTCCATTCCAGACCTTGGGACATGATCAAAGGGATGCCCGCAGCAGAGCTGTAGTCACCCAGACCGGCCGTGATAGACAGTACGATAAGAAGAGCATGCTTCTTAGTCGAAGACCAGTTGAGTGGGTCATTCGGGTCGTCTGACGGCTGAGGAACCAGAACGGTATGCCCATCTGGTGCAAGCTTCAAGTTACTGTCCACGTTACCGACATTAGCATCGACGACGATGTCGTCGCTGATATCCTTCTGCTCATGCACCTGGATCACCTGCACAGTGTGATGCAGGATGCCCGCTTCTTTGTCAGCTAGAATGTCCATGTCGAACTGTCAGCCGGTGGAGCAGAGGTAGTTGCGAGGACTGCTTCGTGTCTGCTGCAGGACCAACGCGTTGGGTCAGTGTTATATAGATGTGACAAGCCCATGCGATGGTAATACAAGGCAGCACCATGCGAGCCATGCGAGCGCCACACCACTGGGCATCATGCAATGGAGAGACGTAGAGAAGCGATGGATTCAGGAACGAACCGAACTCCGAAGACCCGGGTCAGTGAGTCTACGTGCGTATGGTGCTCTTTGTGGGATGTATATTTTCTGACCGAAGACGTTGTGGGAATCTGACGATGTCGACGTCGTTAGTCTTCCGAATTGGGATATCGAAAGATCACAGGTAATCAAGATTCCTAGGGCCACAATAAAACAGCGTTATTTGATTCTCATGCTCGAACGATGTCATCTGCCATGAAACGTTTATTGAAACGTATTTGCGATAGGGGTTGATCTTGTGGTCTGGAGTGAAATCTCGCGGTCGCCAACTTGGACATCATCAAGTATGACTAGCGCTGTGACTAGGCTGTCGTTGCTCGGGCCGAGCCACATGCGTAGTTGGGTGAGAACACTCGAGATGTCCGTAGAGTGTCCCATGCGATCCAGGCTTTTGGTAGATTTTACTGGACTTAATGTTCTCATTGGACGAGGGGTGAAAATTTCCCGTTCGTCTCGGTGGTGCATCCACACCCACGCGATGACACGCGATCGTGAAATCGAGCGACAAACGAGTCTTGCCAGAAGTTCAATCAAACAGATGAGCTGATTGACTGTTTTTCTGGCATGTGAATGTTTCGCTGATCACTTTCCTAAGTCTATGATCCGGGCCACTTCGTTCGCCATGGCTGCAAAAATGTGCGCTCTGGAACTGTCTGGTTCCGCGACCACGGTAGGCTTCCCCCCTTCAGCCCCAGCACCCATAGCAGCATGCAGCGGAAGCTCACCCAGTAGCCTCATGTCGTACGTGCGGCACATGTCTCTTAATCTGTTCATATCTCCGAACACGTTATGCGTCTCCCCGCAACCAGGACACTGGAAGCCGCTCATGTTACACACAAGCCCGAGGATATTTGTGTTCACTTTGCGGAAGAGCTCGACGCCTTTGACAGCATCTTTGAGGGCAAGATCCTGAGGAGTGGATACGATGATGGCGCCATCAAGAATGAGCTGTTGGGTAATTGTCAACTGCACATCGCCGGTCCCAGGCGGTAGATCGAGGACGAGAACGTCAAGGCCACCCCACTCAACCTCGTGGAGGAGCTGCTGCAAGGCTTTCATTACCATGAGCCCACGCCATGCTACCGGCGAGGATTCTGGGACCAGGTAGCCCATAGACATGCTCTTGAGGCCATAATTGGACAGCGGTATGAGTTGGTTATCTGATGGACGTGTCAGATTTCGCGTGGGGGCGGGTCTGGGTGGCATCGGGCATAAGACTGACTGGCTGAGAGTCTGGGTTCGCCGGAGAGATTCAACAAGGTGGGTATCGACGGGCCGAAGATGTCAGTGTCGAGGACGCCAGCTCTGTACCCGCTGCGCGCGAAGCTGAGGGCCAGATTTACTGCAATGGGTCAGGGTCGTGATCGAGGCCTTGCTTGTGGTTCGCATGCCTGCAATGGTGCTCTTCCCGACTCCTCCCTTGGCGGAAGAGACGGCAATGACCTTCTTCACGTCTTTGATGCTTCGCTTTTGCGGCAGGCCGCGCTGCATGCGAGGCAGCTGCGGCGGCGCGCCAGAGCGTGGGAGCCCCTGCACTGTGCGATTAGCACTGCAGATGGATTGATGTGCACTCCAGGGCGTACCAGGGGGTTCTCATGCTGCAGGCGGCGCAATGTTGAGAATAGACGCGGCTTCATGGTCGCATTGCGGTGGTGACGAATGAGCGGCGAAGAAGCTCCGCAGCTTGGGACGGAAGGTGCAGCCACGCCAGACGCGACTGCCAAGAGTTCGCAGCCGAAACTTTTTAGCGGGGCCGCAAAGCTCCTCCCCATCCCTCACACGCCGCAGCCACGCATATCGCGATGAAGAAGTCCAAAATCACAGGTAAGGGCATGCAGAATACCATCCGGGCCCATTCTGACCTGTGCGCGCAGATTTCGATCCCGAGGAACTGCTCGACCCGGCGCCGAGCTCCAGCGACGCCGAGGATGCCGATTCTTCGGGCGCGGAGGACGACAACGCGGGCCGCGAGCATTATGCAGATGTTGGAAAGAGCAAGCTCCGAAGGAAGGAGGTTGTTCCATTGGGGCCCCAGTACACCGGCACCCAAGTCAGCCGCAATGCTGTGGAAGACGAAGACAGCGACGACCCATTCGCAAAGCGCTTCGACGAGGATGGCAGTGGCAGCGATGACGACGAGGATAGCGAAGCCGAATTCGAGAATGGCGTAGCCCAAGAATCGGGTTCCGGGAGCGACGAAGACGACGACGAGTCTGGAGACGAAGAGCAGGGTTTGGATCAGAACGCCGAGGCTGACTCGGACAGCGCATCAGACGACGATGCGTCCGAGGATGACGACACCAACGATGCGGCTGAGACGAGGGCGCTCATGAGCAAGAACAAGGAAGACGTGCGCGAGTTGATGAAGGACCAGAATTCGCTCGTCACCAGCCTCGCTGCCGCCGCGCAATCCGACGTCGCCAAAGGCCAAGCGATCAAAGCCCAGCGCAAGACATTCGATTCGTTCCTCAACACACGGGTGCGCTTGCAGAAGGCACTCATCGCGACCAACTCCATGGTCGCTGAGGACCACAAAGACGAATCTGCACCTACTGCATCTGTCGAGGCCGCCGAGGCCGCAGCGGTGCTGCTTCTGAACAATCTTACGCGCCTCAGAGCATCGATTGAGGAGGCGCGTACGGGCGAAAAGCGAAAGCGAACCGCGTTTGGACCCTCCACTGCGTCGTCTGACATTTGGGACAGATTGTGCGCCCAAGAAAGTTCGGCAAAGAAGCAAAGAAGAGCTGTCATGGAAAAGTGGTCTGCAAAGACACGGACTGCAAAGATTGCGACTGCTCAAAGACAGCTAAACGTCAGCGCGGAGCAGACTTTGACCGAGGTCCTCGACTCCCAGCTCACTAACTCGACCCATCTCGTCGCGCGAACACAGATGCCTCGTTCCTGCGCCCCCATCCAGTCGGCATCGTCCAAGCCGTTGCCTGATGTCAACATCTATGACGATGCGGACTTCTACGGGCTCCTTCTGAAAGAGCTTCTTGAGCAGCGGTCCGCCGAACTTTCCAACAACGGCACAGCTGAGTTTGTCGTGCAGGCGCCGTGGCAGGTTGCGCGCGAAGCGAAGACGAGGAAGGTAGTCGACACAAAAGCTAGCAAAGGGCGACGACTGCGATACACGGTGCACGAGAAGCTGCAGAACTTCATGGCGCCGGAGCAAAGAGGGCTGTGGGGCGAGCGTCAGCGGGACGAGCTGTTCACCAGCCTCTTTGGACAGCGTCTTGCCCTAGGTGAGCAAGACGACGTCGTGAGTGAGGAGGAGGATGCAGTGGATGCCGCGGAGCAAGGGTTGATGCTATTCAGGAGCTAGAAACCGCTGTTGAATCATATGTTGCGATTTGTCTATTTCATTTTTTAGTTCCTGTGCACAATGTGCACATGGTGCGTCTAACCGTCTGCAGCGCGGTAGAAACGCTTTCGGTTGATATGTAGTTCGTGGCTAACGTCAATGGGAGACAATGCCGCAGCCCCCCGTCCCAAAGGAGGAGTCCACGCCCAAGTGGGTCAACCCAGATGAGGGATGACGTAGTTGGCGTTCTCTGGACCCTTGTCGTGAAGATCCATCTGGGGAACAACACAGATCTCTTGCTGAGCACATCTTACGCTCCCCTGAGACACCTCACGGAGGAACAGGTTTCGCCATGTTCCCCACATCCTCTTGCCACACGCATTCTTCCTAACATTCCCTACCTTTGAGTCCCTGGGTTGCGCGCATGCCCATCAACACCATCACCGTGGGCGCCGCGGTCGCGCCCACCATTATCGAAACGTACATCTCGCACTACCTCAACCGCCGCCCGCTCAAGCAGAAGCCGACCGCGCACATCTCGTACCACGAAGGCCTCGAACTCATAAGAAGGTTCCTGCACTACTCGTCCTTCCACGCCGTCGAGGAAATCCAGGCCTTTACCTCGCAATGGGTGCCCGTGCCCGTGTGGGTCCACGTCGAACAGCTCGTGATCCCCCACGCGCAGTTGAAGCTCTCAGCCGATCACGTGCGCGCGCATCTCGGTCCTGATGGCATCAAGGCCATCGGTGGTAATACCTGGTGGCAATGGCGCAGGGAAGGCAGCGAGGCGCTCAAGGCCGAGTGGATCGAGATGCGCAAGGACATGGAGGAGCGCAAGAAGTCGCCCAATGTCAAGGGTCAGCGCGTCATGCTGTACGTGCACGGCGGGGCGTACTACTTTGGCAGCGTGGACGAACACCGATACCAAATGCAGCGGCATGCTCGCAAGCTCAAGGCCAGGGTGCTCGCGCCGAGGTATAGGCTCGCGCCGCAGTTCCCGTTTCCCTGTGGTCTGATGGACTGCTTAGCGGCTTACCTGTGGCTGCTGGAGGAGAAGCACGACCCGTCTACTATCATTTTAGCTGGCGACTCTGCTGGTGGCGGCATGGTGCTGACAATGCTAGTGGTGATGCGCGACCAAGGCATTCCTCTGCCTGCTGGTGCGATATTGTTGTCTCCGTGGGTGGACCTTACACACAGCTTTCCCAGCCTAGCTGGAGATGGCAAGCTGGACTATATTCCTCCACACGGCTTCGTTCACAAGCCTAGCGTAAGCTGGCCGCCTCCGAACGCCGACGACCTACTGGCCTACGAGGGCAACAAGCCAATCGACGAGAAAGCCAAACCAGACACTGCAGCCACAAAAGAAGAAAAGAAGGAAGAGAAATCAGCGCAGAAAGAGGAGAAGCAGGATCGCGTGCGAGGCTTCTCGCTCACCAATGCCGAAAAACCTGACCTTGGAACCCTCTCGAACGCGCCGATATCCGATGAGAGTAATGGAGCTGGAACAGAAACTTGGATATCTCATGACGGCAAATATAGTATAGGACCCAAGTCGATGCTTTCTCTCCAACTCGACGGGAAGCTCATCGAGATCAAGGACCAGATCCAGCTCTATGCGCCCAACCACATGCTCACTCATCCGCTAGTCTCTCCCGCTCTGCAGCCTTCCTTGGGTGGGCTTCCTCCGCTTCTGATACAAGTCGGTGGAGGAGAACTCCTCAGAGACGAACAGATCTACATCGCTCACAAGGCCGCCCAGCCGCTTGCTTACCTACCTCCGCCATCGAATCATCAGACAGCCCAAGCCATTTCGGAACAGGCAGCTCGGTACAGGCCTACAAACGTACAGCTTCAGGTTTGGGATGATCTGTGCCATGTTGCGCCGACGCTTAGTTTCACTCGGCCAGCAAAGCACATGTACCGCGGCGTAGCGCAGTTCGGTGCCTGGGCCCTCGCCCGTGCGCAGAAGACCTCGATCGATATCATGGACGATGACAATATCTCCATCGTTAGCAGCGACTCGGGATCTACTTCATCCGACAGCCAGCTCGGCGCAGAAGACATCAAGCTTAGCATGCCGCAAAGCGCCCAGCACGTCGGCTTCGAAAGCGTGTCCACCAAGAAAGAGCAGGGCGCTGTGGTTGGCAGAGCGGGTGACCCTATCCCTCCGTTCGAAAACCACATGATCCGCCAACGGGTCGACCGCCACGGGCGCATCTATCCGCTTCCTCCGCCACAGGAATTGGAGGCCCTCAACATGCCGAGTAGCGACGTAGGCGTTCCGAAGAAGGGTCCAGTTAACAAGTGGATGAAGGCGCAGCAGCAGTGGAACGGCAAGTTTGCAAAGCAGAAGCTCAAGATACAACGAAAGCGAATGCGGGACATGGAGAAGGGATACGAAGGGTTTGATGGTGAGACGCCGCCTCCGACCGCGCTGGCAGGACGAATAGTGAAGGGTATGAAAAAGGAAAAGAAGGCAAAGAAGAGCTGGGGTATGGCGATGTGGAGTTTTTGGGGAAGCAAGCACGATGAAGCCACCGTACTTATCCGCAGAACCCTTCATATACTCTGGCGGACTTACTGACACGCTTTACAGATCGGCCGCGAAGAACAAGCCAACCAGTCCTCCGAAGCAGACCCCCAACAATCCACCGCTGCTGGAGCCTCCACAACAGACGGCCCATCCAACACCAATCCCCCTCCCCCACCCTCACCCCGCGCATCCCGCCGCAGCAAATCCAAACACCTCGCCCCAGCCTCCGCGCCTTCCACGCGCTCGCGCTCCCGCTCGCGCCACTCCACCGTCACAGACCGCGGCCAAATCACCGCCTCCACAGACGAACTCGCGCAGCTCGCGCCACCGCCCACGCTCGCTCACGTCACCGTCCTCGCCCCCGAGCGCGACGGCAGCAACGGCGCGCCCACACCGACGCTTGTATTGTCAGATGGTAGCAATGGACAAGAGCGCCCGCAGAGCCCGCCGACGCTGATCCCCGCGACGGATACGCTGAGTACGCGGCCGACGAGAGGCGGGGTTGCGTATCCGTTCACGCTGAGGGTGGGTGATGATGCGGGCGGGGACGCGAATGCGAGTATGCTCACGTTGCAGAGTGTGAATTTGGGGAGTCCGGGGTTGGAAGAGGAGACGAAAGAACTTGTGGCCATTGGAGGAGAGCCAGAGCTAGAGCAAAGTGTAGAGCGGCCGGGCGTGGAGCGGTTCGTAACTGCTGCGGATATCGGCGCGCTGGGTGGTGTAGAGAACGAGAAGGAAGAAGAGAATGAGGGCACAGAAAGACCAGGTGTAGAGCGCTTCGAGACCGCGCGGGAGGATCTGAGCACGCTGGCTGCTGGGGTGAACGGGAAGGCGTAGATGCGATTGATTGGAGTCGCTTACTCTGCGTATACCACTTCCTGTTCTTCCAGTCGCCATACCCCATATATACCCTTCTTAAACATAAAGCAACAATAAATACTATAACATACAACACCCGCTCACGTAAACGTGATCACCAGAGATATCGCCTAAGTCTAAATCTCTAGACATGTAGTAGCTAGGGCTAGGTGGGCTCAACTATCAAGGGGTCAATCATGGCTTGCTTTAGTTCCATTTCTCATGCTGGCACGAGAGAACATCCTGCCCCTCACGCTCAAACTTTCTGCTTCGCCATCCATTCCTCCGCCTCCTCTTTGAATTCCGCCCTCCATCTCGTCAGCGGCGGCCGCTCGTTCACGATATCCCCGACAGTCCACAGCATGCGCTTCTTATCTGTCTCCTCGCTAACATCGTTGTCCGGGCAGATGATGTAAAACTTCTCGTCGGCTATCTTTTGTTCCATGTACGCGGCTACCTGCTCGGGGGACCATGCGCCCGCCGGCTTCTCCGCGGAGGCGCCGGGAACATTGCCAGACTGGGGAAGTCAGTGCATGAGATCGTAGGCGTAGAATATGGGTTCAGGATCGCAGTGGACGAGTGCGTGAGCGATACCCGCAACCCTTCAAAAGGAACGACTCACCAGCCCCGTAAATGTCCACCCCGGCACGAGCAGATGCACGCTGACGCCCTTGTCCTCCCTCAGGTCCCAGCTCAGGTGCTCGGCGAGGGTCTTGACCGCAGCCTTGCTGGCGTTATACGCCGGGTTGCCCGGTGGGTTTGTGATGCCTTGCTTGCTGCCTGTGATGACGATCGCGGCAGAGGAGGCTTTGCTGCGGGTTTGGAAGGAGGGAACGTAGGTGTTCAGGCCGTTGACCACGCCGAAGAGGTTGGTGGAGAGTATCTGTATGGGTGGGTTAGTCCGGCGATGTGTGGCAGGGGTTGCAAGGGTTGTATCAGAGATTATGCAACGGAACAGGTTCTGAGAAATCAGGTTGAGGCGCGGTGTAGGTAGGGGTGTACACGTGGTGGTAGCCGAAGTCCGAGGGCCTCGCAAGAATCGCCGTTCGCATAACACACCACGCAATGCCGTGCATGGCCTCAACCTCAGACGCCAATCTCCCCGCATGACTGCGGACTCACCTTCTGGAAATACTCAGAGTCTCCCCACGTGCCTTTTGCGCCGATTCCCGCGTTTAGCATCAGGAAGTCGACGTCCCCAACCTTCTCTTTGATGCCCTTCCACTCCTGCTCTTGGCCCACGTCCGCTTGCAGGCATTGCACATCTCCCTTCAGGCTGCTCTTCGCTAGTTCAAGCGTCTCTTTGTTGAAGTCAACGACCGAAACGCGCATTCCGTGCTTCAGGCACAATTGCGCAACGGCTAGACCAATCCCCGAAGCTCCGCCAGTGATAAGTGCTCTGGACCCAGACTTGAAAACGGACATCTTGTTCGTAAGGGCTACTCGCGCGAGAAAAAAAGATATTGTAGTGGTGCTATGACGTGATCACTCGGAGGCCCGAGCAGCAAACTGCAGTTCTCAATCGTCAGTGTTTCGGGTTGCCTGAAAACAGGCGGGCGGGCGGGCAGACACGGGACTTGCATGATGTGGATAGCGAGCTCACGGACGGTTTCCCTGTAGTCCAGTGTTTGCAGGGGTGCATTTCTAGAAGACACAGACACTTGCAAAATGCTGGCTTCGGGAGCGCCCGTATCGGAAGGGGAAGGTGGCTTACGGGGTTGCCGGGTGGCAGATGTCCGTGACGCGGTTCTAAGCCGTACTTGGCACTGTTTCACTAGCGTACGGGCAATTGAAGAGGTGGTGGGCTTTGAAGTTGTTTTACAGTCGTTGTAGAGCAGTCAGAGTTGTGGAAGAGCCGATGAGGGGAGTTGTACTTTAGTGACGTTTGAGAGTGCCCGGGAAGAGCGCTAATTCCGTTATCCCCGATTGTGGAGGGAAGGACCCACAATGCCCCTATCGCACCTATTGTGTGCGCTTTGTGGAAAAGAAGCACTGCATCTCTTTCCCAGTGGCTCAAGGTTGCTTCGCACATGTCTTGAGTCGCAGTTGTGAGCCGTACTAATGAAGCACATCAACAAGAAACCAACACTGGAGGGAAGCCGAAGGTGTTCAACGAGTAACACTAGTAATAACGATTATGTACTTTTGACTTCCAGCAATGTCCCTGTTATGGACGACATCGCTCTTACTACAAAAAACCCCCATTACATATACAGGGTATCGCATTCATCACGTGTTTCCCAAACGCCGTAACAATCCAAGACCAACCCCTTTCTAAAGAGAGACATACAGACAGAAGCCTCATCGAGATGGCCAAATACGTATCGATAACTTGTTGAGAGGTAACAGTGACTACCGACGTTCGAAGAGGATGGGAAGACGCATACTTCGAGCGCTATTAGGCGTTTTTGGCGTCTTCGGCGTCTTCGGTCCTTTCGAACCCTCGATTCTCTCTGCAACTGAATTATTCCGCGACGCCATTGGCAGCGGAGTTGGTGGGAGTCTCTTCATGCGCGAGTCTCGGACGTCGTGGAGAGCGAGCGGACTTTTCCGGTAAAACTCCGCCGAGGCTCTCCGGAAGGGTAATTCTTCAACGCTCATGTGCGTTTTGCGCCAGCTTGTTTTCGGGTCTGGTGTGGGTGTGGATGGATTTGTATGCGAGGGGCTTTTATAGTACGAGAGCGAGCTTTGATAACGCGGGCTAGGTGTGCCGATTGTGGTTCTCTCGTTGATCTCGACGTAGGTGTAGTGGCGATAGATCTGGTAGAAGCTGGACATGCAGGGAATCATCAGGCTGATGGAGACTTCCAAAATCCTGCACCTAAAATCAGTAATGCGGTGGTAAAGAAGCGTTGAGTACTTACAACGCGACAATGATGGGAATTTGGTAGCCGGTAAGATCGGCATCCTGGAAAGCTTTGATCCGATAGACCAGGCCCAGAATGCTGCAGACGGAAGCCCTAGACATTGTTAGCTGGTCAAGCGATTAACAGCGGTGTTCCTTACACTATGCCTACGAAATGCATAAGCCAGATGACTCGTCTTTCCTTAACCGTGACGTTCATAGATGGGCTTAGGACGAACGTGGCGATCAAAAGATAGAAATCGGCGAGCGAATTAATCAGTGCCATGAGCATGCCCACAGCCATATTCGCCCCTCCTCTCCCAGAGCAGGTCCTTTGACGGAAGCCGTTGATGTAAGAATCGAGGTCATCGTCTGGCTTCGGGGAGCATGCAATGCTGGTAGTGCACGTGTAGAGTCCATATATCATTCCGGTCGCTACGACGATTATGTATCCAGTGTTCTTGAACCATCTTACGGATGTGAAGACATGTACCAGATGTGCAATGACCATAGTTTTGCTAAACCATAGCACTGGACCAGTGAAAATAGCGAACGTTAAGAATCGCTGCGACGTATATCAGTCAGATGTCCGGGGGCGTTTGAAGGTCACTTACAAGCATCCAAGGCTTGGTCAAATGGCGAGTATCAATGTCCCAGACATGGTACCCGAAGGGCTCGGCGAGAGTTACTGCATATCAGGTCAACGCAGGCCAGGATAGAGACAGTGGTGACTTACAAGGTATCGAGTAGGCGATGAACGCAATACTGATCACCTTGTTCAATCTTAGTTGAGAGCACGACCATGTATTCGTCGCAGTTGCTTACCAAGGTGAAGCAAAAGAGATCTGTCTCTGTCAATGAAGATTACAATTGCCTAGAATAGCGCACTCACAATCTTGGAAGCTCCATTTGCGAGCAAGGACACGACTGAGGATACGAGAAAGAGCACAAAAGAAGATCAAAGGCAGACATGCGCATGCTGTAGCTATTGCCGGCAAAGCCAGAGAGCCCGACTGTCCAAAGACGGATGCGACACCCTATGATAGTTTAGAATTGGGCTAGAGCAAGAGTGGAGAGCACATACTAATGGGGGTGAACGCAAAGGAGATGCCATGAGCACATCCCAACGTTGCAGCGCACGCAAACACTACTTGAGGAGCACCCGGGGATAGATCTGGGACGATGTACGGTTAAGTAGAGCCACGGCGTAGTTGCCAGATCCAGACGGGTCCGGCCGATGGTGCTAGGGGTTGCACGTGGCGATTGTAGGGCAACCCGAGACCCAGGACGCGTAAACCGAGACGCTCGTGGTAGTAGAAGCAAAGGTCGGAGTCTCTATCGCAAGCCGGAGTACGGTAAGGCTAGACGTGCGACTGATCTACATATTGGATTTGCGAAGACACTTTCCCATTATCGCGAACTCGCGGACCCGTCGGTTGGGCTGGCACAACGTGCGATTCAACGCGCAGACAAGATGTTCGTTCCAATGAGGGGATATCCTGGGCGCCAGTTCCAGGGCTGTTCATCCCGGTTACTTTTCCACCGTTGGAGGGTTCGCTGGCCTCGATTACTTGTGCTGCACTCTACTTTGCTGCATCAGCTGCTCCTTGATTCCTGATCGCGCTGGTGCAACTGCAGCTGTGTGCTGTGGACTAGACCGAGTGGCTGGTGTCTTGGGTCAAGACGAAGACGGTCTTTGCTAGCCAGGTACGGATGAACACCGAAGGATCCTCCCGCATCTTGGGGTCACCCTCGATGATAAGCGCACCAATTACATATTCAGCGCATGGGACTTTGTAAAAGAAAGTCCCAGGGGTCTGAAAAGGTGAGCTTGGGCCGACCTTTGCCGCTGCACCTGCATCAATCTCAAACGATGCCGGGCATGAGGGGCAAAGCCTGGGGCTGCAATTCGGGACTGACGGTTGTAGACCTCGAACCCTCCTTCAGTGCCCCGCTTTCTAGAGTTTGTGGACTACTTGGGGTTGATATTGGTCCAGACGGCCGTGGGTTTTGTCCTCGAGTGCAGCAGTCCAGATTGCTCCGCCTACCGACAGAAGGATGAAAGAGAGCGAAAGGCTCGCCTCTTACCGATCGCGTTCTGGGCTCGGGACAAGACGGCGCCCGATGCAGGCAGATGAGATGAGGACGGTGAATTGTTGTCAGGGCAAGGAAGCCGACAGCGCGGGCACCTTAGCGCACGGACCGATCGCCTACTCTGGAAGCCGTCACCCCTAGTCCTGCACCTCAATTGCACGCTCACCGTTGTCCACGGACACTGCCGAAACAAGCCTGCCGACCAATAGCTTGTAGATACGGCATCTGACTTGATCCGGGCCTGTTGACGTTAGACTGCGCATCGTTGTGGGCCCGAGATGCGACGTTGCGACCGTCAATTCACAAAGGAATCGTCCGTCGTACAACGCAGCGCGAGAAGTCCTGTGATACACATCGGGCGACACTCTTTCTAATTGTTCTCAGATGTCTCTGTCGCAAACGGGGACACCACAGCACGTATTCCTGCCGCGCGGTCACCGGAGATCAATGAAACACCAGAAATAACGGAAGAACTAACCAGACCCGCAACATATGAAATGTATTACAAACCAAGATCGCTTGGGCTACGGTAGAGTCCACGAGCGACGCTCAGAGCTAGCCGACATCGGGCAGAGAGACTTGGGCAATGAATTCTCTAGCGCCCGACGCATCCGTACAAGCCTCGCTCAGAACGACTCATCTTCACGGAAAACACACTACCAACTGCATTCGGAATAGTTCTTGTGTTTGTTATTCTCCTACCCGCAGGCACAGCGTATGCGGGGTCAACTTGTATGATGCGATTCATATTCATCCCAGCAACATTTCCCCGCATCCGCATGGACGCGCGAAAGATGTCATTTGGTACAAACATAAGTAGAAAACCTGCGTAGCGCACCGCAGCATCTTGGTTCGTAGCTCTTCAACAATGATATCTCTACCCTTTCTGCTCGCTCTCGCAACGACCTTGCAAAGAGCCGTAGCGGTCCCCCATGTTAAGCCCTTTGCACAATGGAAACGACAATCGAGCACTAACGTCACTAGCTCCACACAAGTAGACCTCGGATATGAGGTCTATGAAGGCGTCGCAAATGCTTCCACAGGATTGAATACGTTCAAAGGGTCCGTATCTCCTGTATTTTAAGGAACGTCACGCTAGAATATTTCAGTATCCGATACGCAGCTGCGCCTACGGGAACGCTCCGGTGGCAGGCGCCCCAAAGCCCTGAGTCAAACCGTAGCAATGTGATCTCGGCTGCTAAACCAGGTCCTACATGTCCCCAATCATCGAGAGCCAGGCCAGGAGCTGTGACCTCTGGTGTCACGGGAAGCGAAGACTGTCTGTTTCTTAACGTGTATGCGCCTCAAAATGCTTCCGATCTCCCAGTACTCGTCTATATTCACGGCGGCGGATACGGCCAGGGATCGGCGGCGGCGGATATGAGTGGCATTATCAATGCGAACAATGACAGTTTCGTTGGTGTCGTCATTCAGTACCGCGTAAGTATACCTGCACTGCATTGCGATGATCTTGGCTGATCGCAAGATACAGCTGGGAGCTTTTGGATTTTTGGCAGGCGACGAAGTACACAGGAATGGGGTCACGAATGCCGGAATCCTTGATCAGCTCTTCGCGCTCCAATGGGTCCAGGCATACATTGAGCTATTCGGAGGTGATCCCACTCGAGTTACAATTTCCGGTGAATCGGCTGGTGCAGGCTCTGTCATGTTGTTGGATATTGCGTACGGTGGTACACTTGGAACATCTCTGTTTGTCAACGTGAGTGGATTTGAAATCTTTGCGGTCTCTGCATCACTAACATTTCAGTCTATAACGGCGTCACCGTACCTGCCTCAGCAGTATCATTACAAAGATTGGGTCCCTTCGCAATCGTACTATGCCTTCGCCATCGCAGCCGGGTGCCCGCCAAGATGGGCATATGGCAACAGCTCCCAGACTGTATTTGAGTGCCTGATCTCGCAAAGCACCGAAAGTCTTCAAAGCGCCTCAGAACTCGTCTCTCAATCTGGCACATTCGGTTCATGGGGCTTCTTACCTGTCACCGGTTTGTCTTCGTTACATTGGTCCGTTGATTAACGCTAATCCTTTCACACAGACGACGTCTTTATTCAGTCCACTCCAAGTAAGGCGTTACTCGAGCGCAAAGTCAACGGCCTTAACCAACTCTCGGGAAACAATGCTCAAGAAGGTGACATCTTCACTACACAGAACATTACGACTGAAAATGATCTGGTCGACTGGATCCATCTGGTCTTCCCTCTTTTCACGCAAGATGATGTTGCCAAGCTTCTCTACTACTACGCATCTTCTAATATCAGCGATTCGTCGGATGGTCTTAACGAATTTGCGACCGAAGGTACAATAGGCCCGACAATAGTGAATGTATCTCAGACTGCGTAAGTGATCAAACCTCGGGAAAAGCGGAGTCACTTAACTCACATGCTTTCATAGGACCGGCCAGCAACAGCGCGCGCAAGCCATATATGGCGAGTCGACATTCGTATGCCCCAGCTACTGGATCGCAGAAGCCTACAACGCGCGTGGACGCACAGGCTATAAGTACCAATACTCGGTCCCAATCGCTCTGCATGGTGTCGATCCCAACATCTACTTTGGCCCCGCCCCGGCAAACGTGGGGCCAGATATGGTCCTCGCATTCCGACGTATTTGGGGCAATTTTATTACCACTGGTAACCCGTCTATATCAGCCTCCGTTGCAAGCGGCAGCAACTCGAACGGGACAAGTCAGTCGAGTCTGGAAGACTGGCCTGTATTCGCTCTGTGGGACCCGAGAATGGTGAATTTGAACCAAACAGGCGGATCGCCGCAGTCGATGAGTCTGGCTAATTCCACTTCTGGGGTTTTGAATGTGAATGCCACCGTGTATATTGGCCCTGGGCAGACGAATGATATCACACTGGTGGACGCATATTCATGGGAAGGCGGACGAGGAAAGAGATGTGACTTCTGGATGAGTGTTGCGGGTATTGTACCAGCCTAAGTTTAGTAGTTACTGTAACACGATGTACAGATACGTAAATACGAACATAGCTTATGCCCCGATCCTCGCCCACAACGATGTGATCTGTAACTTCCATCTAAATTTTGGTATATCCTAGCCAAGCATGTGATGCTTCCCTGGGCTTGCATAATTCTGATTTGGTGATAGAGCGTCCTGCATTGGCTCCAGCCACAAGCGCTTTTGTGGTCGGGTTCGTAGCCCTCGCCGCGTACAGGCTGGAGGTTCGTCTTTAAGGGCCACCCTGTTATTGTTCGGCCTCCAGGCAGCCAGTAGACCGCCTGGAACAAACACATCTACAGGAATCACGCACCGGATCGGAGGGCTTCCAGGGGTCGTTTGTCGCATTTGGCACTCCCACTATCGGGTTCTCTGGTCTAACTTCCTTGTCGCATCAACAACGACAACACCTATAGGAGCAGGTCGCCTGCGCGGGCAACGAGCACCTTGCCACTACCCGCATCGACAATCTAAATTGGGGACCGACCCATAGCAATCCCAAATCTCATCGTCGCCCCGCGGCGGATAAGGTAAGCCGCAGGCTAGTCGTATAAAGGTCGGAATAGAGCAGTAAAGGAAAACTCTCCGGGGCGCTAGCACATGGGTACCCGAGTATCGCAGCTCCTGACCGGCTCAAGGATAACATCGAGTTTTGCAGCCACAGACTGAAAAATGGATCAAAGCAGAATCGCCCAACAAGAGTCGCCGAGCGGCGTTGGCAAAGTCGGGTAGTTGATGAGAAAGAGTGATATGATATTAAACAAAGTGACAAGTCGTTACAGGACAAAGTTGGTGCAGGGCGAGATTAGCGAGATGAGTGCATGTCGACTGCTATGCGGCGCGCGGGGAGAAGCTCGATTGTTTGTATGGCTTCAAATATCCGCCCAGAGTTTTGGGTATCCTCATGGAGCAATACCTTGCGATCATTCGGGTGGAACACCAGGGGAGAAGTGTTGTCCTCTGGCTCGATTCAACGGTTGGTCAAAGCTGCCCCCGGGCTTCGAGCACTCGGATTTGTGTCTGAATTGCCAACAGTTCTTCACGCGCCAACGACTTATGATGAGATGACCAAAAGAAGCTTTCAAGATATGGCACATCAGATAGGAGTAAATTTAAACTTGAGCTACGGATAAAAAACTTTCCTGACAGTTGGAAATAGGGCGCGATCCAATCTGGTGGTGGCTTGGCCTACCTACACACTCTGATGCTGCATTTTCCGCAGCTCTCTCAGTGCCATGGTTTCACCAATACCATGAATCATATGTTGGAAGATTTTGTGGGAGTACCCAGGACAGACGGCATCAGTGTTGCCGTATGTTACATGTGCAACCCTTCTTACTGGAATATCTAACTTTCTTCAGATGTTACATGTTGTGCAACGCGATAGTTCTCATTGTACAGCCGTGTATGAAAGCACCAGCAGATTTTCGCTCACGTACTCGTTCCGTTTCGGTGCGAATTCCTCGTTTTCGTTTGTCAAAGAAGCCAAACTCTCATCAAGTGAACACATCCTCTTGTTCTAGCTTGGAGGAAGTAGTGAAACTCGGATCGCGCATGTCAAGACTAGACTTTTCGGCCCTGAGCGGCCTCTGCGTGAGACACCTGAGGTTCTGTGAAGGATCTCGGAAGCAAAGCGGAAGCGCAAGCAAGAAGAATATCTGGAGACATAGTGTAAGCGGAAGGAAGAAGCTTGCAATGCAGAGAAGGGCGGCCTTGGAGCTAAAACCGGGCGTGAAAAGAGGCGGCGCGGTAAGATCTGGAATTGACGTACATAGAAGCCCATTTACGAATTGCCTCTGTATCTGAATTTTTTGAATTCGATACAATGAATGATAAGGCATTGTAACGGAATGTAAGAATCCACTGTGTAATTCTAATCTTTGCGAGATTTCATCATTGTGTATCACATGTTTATGAGAAAGTGATAACATTTTAACAGGGCTCACCGAATGTATAAATGGCAACCAATCACAACACCCGGGACCTACAATGCTCACGGCCAATATCTTGAGTGCATTTATCGCGTAGGTGTAGCTGCAATACCAGGCTGAAAGGATCGCAGTGCTCTGCAATACCCTTTGTGCTGTAGTCATAGCCTTATTAACATACATCCTAAGTCATCATGATGGTGAAAGATTGATCAATGAATTGCAGAGTGACTGGAAGCAAGGACTACAGGATTAGAGTTGCTAGATACCAATTTCCATTGTCGCTGCTCCACATGCACCTTTCCTGCACAGCCCTATATAGAATCTACGTTACGTTGTGCAAATCTCACCAGTGCACCAGTTGCAAGAGATGCTTGAGATCCTTTTGTCAAGGTTAGGCTCGAGAGTCCGCAGATCGTCGATACGCCCGTCATCCACGACAATGCTGCTTCCGGCAAAGTCACAATTTGGCAGGCTGCGTACAAATAAGCCAGTGTCATTCTTCAGAGCCGAATAGCGCGCGATGAGATCAATTTTGCGCAGTATTGTCTACTCACTCGAAAAGGGTACAAGTGAGTGGTTTGCCATTATCAGGCGCAGTTGGATCAATGGCAGAAATGGAGTCATTGAACGGCTCGTTGAAGTTGGCTGCTCAGACATGGTTAGCCGATTTTACTGGAGGTTTACTCCGCGGGTAGAGCCAAACGTACAGCATTTATTTTGTTGGAGCTGAACTGTGGTCGTATTACCACGAGTAAAAAAGTAGTCGTCTCCGATCCATACATCGATCGTTGCGATGCCAGGAATTTGTTGAGCCATCGGGCTTGCAAGACCGACAACTCCAAGGGTAGCGGAGAGAAGGAAGGTGGTCTTCATGCTTAAACCAGTGTCGTTGGATAAGAACGATGACAAAGATTCAATGTATATGTTGGGTCTCTGAGTGCACGTCGGTAGTATGTCTGCTTTTATATTCGAAGCCCTAACAGCTGATACGAAACGCCAATGCCACTCGTCCAATAAAATTTCCGCAGATGACATAGAACATCGAATAAGACAAGATGGCAAGACATCCAAGCAACACGTCATCTTGCAACTGACAAGCTGAGAAAGGTGTTCGTGGCAGATGAAGCTACGTGCGTTGTACCGAGTCAACGATCGATTGGGGCAGAGAACTAACACTTCACTTCGCCTCGCTATCCGTGAGATGAGAGAGAGAGAGTTGCAAGTTCCAGCAGATGGTTGCCCTACCTTGGCCTCTCTTGGCCGAAGCCACTAATCGTGCCCCATTATTCTCAACTACTGAGACTCAATGAGTGCTCACCAACCACCAATATCCTTAAATCCTCACGCGTCAGTCTCCCTTTTCTAGTCGTAGCAATACCGGAACCCATCCTTGACCACTGAAGAATGTAGTAGACTCGGACCACTGTATGTGAGTCGTAGGTAAAACAACTTCGATAGGTTTAAGGACGACAACAGCTCACGAGGACTGTTTTATTGGTTCAAATGGCCATCAGGACGAATGAGAGTGCCGCAAATATTGTACCCAGGCCTGTCAGCAGAAGCAGAAACTTGCTTCTGCCAACGAAAGAATCGTTCGAAAAAGACAGATAAGTCAGCTGTGACAATTTCCCAGGATCTACAAGACCGGCGAGTCGTATACTTCATGGGGCAGTTTCTATGCGTTGGTTCGCATCAGCTGAAGTCAGCTTTCTGCCTCCTTCTGCGCCGTATGCACCGGGTGTTTAAGGGCACGTCCCTTCCGTCCTATTAGGAGAATGTTTCAAAATTGATATTCGCAACTAAGAAAACTCGACCGTAAGCCTAAAGATGTTGCACAGCTGTGTGGTGTTCTAGCGGACCCATGAACAGATGCATATTGACCAATGACGTCATGAGAAAACCTCACTCACGCCGCTAGCGACCTCGCTGTGCGACGCGCTCAGAGGAAGGCAGACCCACGGATCCAACTCATCACAATGGCTTCTCAAAGCGACGAAAATGCCATAGACGCGCATTCCCGCAGCGCACTCACCACCGCAAAGCGCAATCTGCGCTACATCTACGACCCATCAACAGCCACCACAGCGCCTACACGTCGTCGCACACGCGCAATCCTACGACTCCTGCGCTCATCTCTCATCTTCGCCTTCTGGCGCATTGTTCGCTATGCCAAGTATGTTGCTATTGGTTCCCTTGTGGCTACGATCGGCGCAGGCGCGCTGGGCACCGTGTTCAGCGGCGCAGGGTTTGTGCTTGCGCCGACAGGCATTGCCGGCACCATTATCGCTGCGTCAGTCTGGGGCGTAGGGAAGTTTGCGGTGAAGCGGCTGAAGAAGAGATGGGATGGAGGTCACGGGTATGGCGAGATTGAAGAGGCAAGAGAGGAAAGGATGAGCGGTGTGATGCGTATGGAGAGGGGTCCGGACGCTGTGCCTTGGTGATTGCGGGGCGTGACATGTACCGCATTAGTCTCAAAGTCGAACCTGATTACCGCGCGCAGTATCATAACTGCCATAGAGAGATGGGCTCTGACGGGAAAGCACTGCTTGAAGTCACGTGAAGAGAGCGCGCAATGGAAGCTGGTCTACAGCGAACGCATCGAAGCACCACGATTCGCAATTATATGACAAACGATCCGTAACAAGGCCAACATGAAGAAGAACTGTCCAGCTTTCATGTTACGCCGAGCTCCAACGTCCCTATGCGTCACCAAACTCCTAACTTCGAAGGGGTTCCTGCGCATCTGTCAGCTGCCATCGAAATCACGTAGCACTTGGAAGGGACACACCAAATCGAAAATGTCGACTCGTTCGGAACTGCTGGTTGTGCACATAGCCCATCCTTTGACCCCAGAAACCGAAGACCGTACCATTGCGTATATTCGCTTCGTTGGTCTTGAAGCTGCCGTTGGGCCTGACACGTCGGGCCAATGTGCCGTCAAGCCAGGATGCACTGAATAGCGGAGATGCCGTAGAACGCGTACCAGTGTCGGCTTTTGGCATCGGGTTTTGATTATCGGCTTCGCTCAGGGAGATTGGGTTGCACTTCACAGGCATTTCAGCGGCGGCCATCGTATTGCTCGGGCGGGTTGGCAGGTCGGTCAATGGAAACAGTAGTTGGACATTTGTTCAGATAATGGCCGTGCGAATCTTACAAACGTTGTGAACTGAAAGGGACGTCGGGATACTCACCACACCCACGACATCATGTCCAACAAGCCCCGTCACCTGGTAACGGGGGTCTAGATGCCGCCCAGGCACGGCGAGTCAGCACCTATCATCAGCGCCTCACTCACAATGAAGGAAAAAGGTCTCATTCGTGCAGGTGCGAAAGGGTGATGGTGATTCGAATGAACGGTCGAAGAATGGGAGAAATTGAAGTGCCTTAGGTGCCTGTGGTGACATTTATTACTCCCTTACGCTTGCAAGAGAACGTACTAACATCCGCAACACGTCCTCGTGAAGGTATTAGTTGCCTGTTTGTTCTCAGACTACTCGGGATTCCGTCTCGATTGGCGCTGGGGAAAAGTGCAATACAATATAACTAGGCCGCGTGGTAGATCTTGATATCCCCTCCCTTTGAAAAGACACCAGAAGTGTCCGCATTGTCATAGCCCACGGAGTGATCTGTCGGGTGGTCAGAATGTAGCTACGTACTGCAGCCCTGTGAGAGCTTTAGTGTGTATTCGTGGAAACCATCACTCGACCAAGATCAGACATTCCTGACCAGTGTCCCGGAGTTTGCAACATGATAAGTCCGCCCCTTGGGCGATTCGAAAAGCTTTGAAATGACTGTATGATTTAGTGCTTCTTAGTACAAGAGCTAGGCACCTGCGTGTTTGTCATGATTGACCATGTGGTGTAGACTCCCGTCTCTAGAGCTTCAGCCCATGATTAGTCGCATGGATGTCTGTGGATCTCGCCTCTTGACCAAGTCCACGTAACAGCCAGCTGACAAACCCCTAGATTCTGGACCGAGATGAATTGACCTATGAGTCGGCAACCATAGATCCCTAGCGTGACTTGGAAGTTTCCACGTCACGTGGTTTCGCGTTTGGGCTTACCGAATTGCCGGATGTAAGCGGATCTCCCTATAACGTCATCAGCATCGGTGGCTTTGCATGTTCTGCTAAACTCCATATTCTAGAGGGCTACATCCACTTCTATGATGATGCCATCAGAAGTCCCCTTATCTCTCTTGCCCAAAAGCGTACCGCTCCCGGCGACGCCCACTAGTTTACGTGATCAGCTGGGCGCTAAGTTTCCTTTGATGGGACAATGTTCGTCCGCCGTCATCGGATTAGTGTTCTTTACTCTCAATAACGTTTTGCCTATAGTGCTTCTCTTCGCTTAGGTGGGCGCCAAGTTGAGGAATGGAGGTCAAGTTGATGCATTCATCATTGCAAGCGGGTCGGCGATGCAACGTATTATTCATTCGAAGAGGACTGGATGCATTCGCTTCGGACGTCTGGACGAGCGAGCAGTCGGTCTAATTCTTGAGGGGACGGTGCAGTCTCTGTCCGAAAGCGGTAATGCGTGAATGTCAGATGTCGAATCGGACACTTTTCATCACATGTTAGTCGCTTACACCATGCATCTTACCAAAGCGCAACCATACCTTCACACGCCATTGACTCACAGCTCGGCGATTCGGGCCAAACGTTCGTTTACCGTACTCGGTCGCGGACACCAGGCGGACGCCGCCATGCTTCTTCTGCCTCGGGGGTAGTGGAGTCTGGCATCGCGTTCAATCTCACACACGATAGAATAGCGATATAACTAGGGCTGACGTCTTCAAAGTTTGTGACCATAATTTGCCTGCTAGATTTCTGGTGTCTTACCAGTGCGAGTTTCAGCATGACTATCAAAGAGACCTTGCGAGATGCGCCGGCCGGCCAACTTGCCAGGGCGTACCTAGGATGGCAGATTTCGCCGTACGAGGATGAGAAGGAGGACTATCGGCTTCCAGAGCCCGAGAAACAAGAACCTGGTCCACAGGCTGAAGCTCAGCGCGATATAGCTCCTGACGATGGATCTGAGGAAGGCTCTTCTGACGACAAAGAAAAAGACAAGGATCTCGAGAGCAATGCCCCAAACACGGAACTTCAGGGGCACGCTGATCAGTCTGGTGACCGCGATATCGAACGTATTGCGACGGAGAGAGACCACCATGGAGGAAAACAGCCTGCTTTCCAGGAAGTAGGTTTCAGTCCAATGGACCGTGACAACCCCCAGAACTGGCCAACCGCGAAGAAAGCTTTCGTATTCTTCCAGATATGTCTCCTAACATTCTCAGGTCAGTCCACATGTCCCCCTGGAGTCCTTCGTTACTGACTGCAACACAGTCTACAGCGCATCTGCGATTATCACACCAGCAGAAGGCATTTTTGAGGAGCAGTGGGGTACCTCCGGACAGGTCTCTGCATTGGTCCTCTCGATGTACGTCCTAGGTTATGGCCTTGGACCCCTGATCTTTAGTCCTATGTCTGAAATGCCCATGGTCGGACGAAATTTGCCATACATGATATCGTTCTCAATCTTTATCATCATGACCGCCATCGGTAGCGGAGTCAGTAACTTTCCCGGCATAGTCGTCATACGATTCATCCAGGGTTTCTTCGGGGGCCCAGTCTTGAGTACCGGTGCTGCTTCCGCAAGCGACATATATGCGTTCAACAAAATCCCTTACGCGTTGTCGTTTTGGTCGTTTTTCGCATACGCAGGTCCAGCACTAGGTCCTGTCCTCAGCGGATTTGCGATCCCCCTCAACAATTGGCGATGGGGTTTCTGGGAGACGTTGATCCTTTCCGGCTTTACCTTTTTACTGTTGTTCTTTTCCCTCCCCGAAACAAACGCCGACTACATACTCGCGCAGCGTGCAAAGCGGCTCCGCCTGAAGACCGGGGATAGCAACTTGCTGTCGAGGTCGGAAAGCCGCTCTGGAAACAAGAACTGGGTCAAGCTGACGATATACCATCTCACGATGCCTTTCCGCATCACCGTATTAGACCCTTCGGTTGGCTTCATCAATCTCTACACTGCGTTGGTCTACGGTGTGTACTATTCATTCTTCGAATCCTTCCCGCTTGTATATATGGGCACCTACGGCTTTTCGATCGGAATCATGGGCGCTGTCTTCATCTGCGTCATCATCGGAGCAGCGATCGGCCTTATCACGTATGCACTTCTGGTGTACTTCGTGTATGAGCCATACACGATGTCGAAGGGTATCGGTAGCCCGGAGTTCCGCCTGGTCCCTGGTCTCTTCGCCGCCGCTCTCGCACCAGCTGGCATGTTCATATTTGGGTACGCATCGAAGGCAGACATCACCTGGGTAGCTCCGACCATCGGTATCGCGCTCTACGCCGGCACTTCCTTTGTCGTAAGTTTTGTTCCTTGACTTATCGTTAGCGGACCCAACTAATGTACCAAAGCTCGTGAACTGCATCTTTGTCTACCTACCCATCAGCTACCCACGCTATGCAGCGAGTATCTTTGCAGCGAACGGTTTCCTGCGTAGTGCTATGGCATGCGGTGCTATCCACTTCTCCCAGCCGCTGTTCCACAACCTAGGTGTTGGAAACGGGTGCGCTATTCTGGGCAGTGTCGCCGCTGCCTGCGCCGCTGCATTCGTAGGGCTGTGGTACTATGGACCGAACCTCAGAGCGCGCAGCAAATTTGCCGAATCATACTAGGTTCTCTGGGGAACAGGGCAAACGGGGTACAGCTGTAGAATGTAAGGAGAGAATGTACGTAGAATACTGTCGGCAGCTACAAAGCGACATGGGGGGCGCATGTATTGTACAATTTGGGTCTGCATGTACGAAGGGGGATTGGATGTAATGTTGATGGCAATGGAAACACTCATCACTTTCCACGCAATGGGATGCAGTGCCCCTATCAGATGCGCAAAAGTCCTTGCGAAGTACGAAATCGCTACCTAGAGGAGGAAGGGACATGGTCAATGATGGAAAGCGCACCTGCGATAGAGGAGGCTGAGCGCCACACCCGTCTGATGCGACGGAAGGTGACGACGCGTGATGAGACGCTTGCCGAAAGTGAACAAGCGCCCCAGCGTGACGAAACATGCAGGTCCACGGAAAATTTCATCTCCACGCCTGCAACCACAAGCAGCGGCCGCTAAAGCCCTAGCGGTGAACTGCATTGATTCCCAGGAGTGAGGCGCTTGCGTCAATGTGAACCTTGCGTTTCCCATTGAAGCAGCGAGCGACATAGGGAATCCACAAACAATAAACGGCCCATCACGTTCAAGGCCTGAGCTTTGCGAGGATGAAACGACCACACTTTACGAGAGACAACGTGCAGCCATCGTGCCGAGAGCTATGTACATAGATAACATAGGTATATAACAAGAATGTGAGAGCAGCACCTACTCCTCTTCAACTTCTTTCTTCAAGCAGTTCTATTCATTCGTTTTCCCATAGCGATTCGCTGGTCACTCGCTTTCTTTCAGTTCATCCCTCAATTTTCCATCCTTTGCATCACAGCCATTTTTCTACCAGGACCATATACACCAACATGCAGCGGTTCGTGATCGCTCTCCTCGGCGCCAGCGCTGCCCTAGCTGCCCCTACGGCTTCCATCAAGCGCGCGACTGTCTCCGGTTCAGCTGAGGGATTTGCTGCTGGTGTAACCGGTGGAGGAGATGCCACTGCCGTGACACCAACTTCTACGGATGAGTTGGTCTCCTACCTTGGCGACAGCGAGCCCCGCGTTATCATCCTCAACCAGGAGTTCGACTTCACGGATAGCGAAGGCACCACAACATCCGCCGGCTGCTCGCCATGGGGCACTGGCTCACAGTGCCAGATTGCCATCAACCAGAACGACTGGTGCACCAACTATGAGCCTGATGCACCCACAGTGAGCAGCATCACCTACAACAAGGCTGGTGTTGAGGGCATCACCGTTGCATCTGACAAAACCATCATTGGAGAGGGCAGCAAGGGTGTCATAAAGGGCAAGGGGTAAGTCGGCATCATACCTATATATTCAACATATCGTGCTGACAGACTATGTCCAGTCTGCGAATGGCCAATGGTGTCAGCAACATTATCATCCAGAACATTCACGTCACCGAGATCAACCCCGAATACGTCTGGGGAGGTGACGGTATTACCATCGATGGTGCCGACATGATCTGGATCGATCACGTCAAGACCTCGCTCATTGGCCGCCAGCACATTGTTCTGGGAACTGAATCCTCAGGAAAGGTCACCATCTCGAACAGTGAGATTGACGGCACGACTTCTTGGTCGGCTCAGTGTAATGCTTACCACTACTGGTGCGTATCCGGATCCATTGATTCGCAGGAGTTTCACTAAATTTTAACTCTAGGTCGGTACTTTTCCTCGGATCCGATGACCAAGTGACCTTCAAGGGCAACTACATCCACAACACTTCTGGTCGTGGCCCTAAGGTTGGTGGAAAGACTGTCCTCCACGCCGTCAACAACTACTGGGGCAACATCGATCCCACCGGTCACGCCTTTGAAATTGACTCCGGTGCCTACATTCTGGCTGAGGGCAACACATTTGACAGCGTCAAAACTCCGGTGTCTACCCTTGAGGGCAAGCTCTACACAGGCACCGACTGTTCCAGCGCTCTCGGACGTGCTTGTGTTGAGAACACCTTGACTGGCTCTGGGGACTTCAGCGGTACTGCCTCTGACGTCTTGAGCTCGTTCAGCAGCAAGGCAGCAGCTGCTGACAAGGACGCATCGGGTGTTCCCAGCAGCGCCGGCATTGGCAAGATCTAAGTAATATCACGTCTTGGGTCAGCCAGTGCGGACGAGCAGCATTCGGTGCCCAAGTCAACATATGCTCACATCGACTCCTGTGCGATTGAGTATCGTCTTCTTTTCTTGTAGATACATTCTTCAGCTTTCAATTCCAATCCAGCCTAGCGCTGCGTTTTCGCTTAATTGGGTGCATTTTCCCTTACGCCGAACCTAGTGGATTGTGGCGGAAGCCAAGTTCTTCTAAATAATTAATCCTCCTACGTGCGAGAGCCACCTATGCTGATGGGTTCTAGAATGTTCAGGATCTCGTATCCCGGGTTCTCGGACAGTGTGTCCGTCGCCCCCCGCATTTTATCCGGTCGGCTGGAGACGAGCGCATTTGATTGGACTGCAGGCTAAAACCACGTGGATTAGATCGTTCCTGCACTGGCGCCATCCCAAAAGTGTGGAGAGAGGATTCAACGCCCAGATGCTCGAGATTGACGATTCCGGGTCAATGGGCAAACATGGGGCCTTTAAATGAAGTGGGATCCCCTCTGTTGGCACTCAGGGACCTGTGACAATCTACACAGCCTTCGTCGAGATCGTTTCCTTCCAGCAATGGCTCCCGTCAAGTCTGTTGCCCTTCTGGGCCTATCTTTGCTCTCTCAGGCCTCCGCAGTTAAGCTCTTGGCATTGAACTTTGCAGGCCAATTTTACTCATTGGACCTCTCTTTCAAGTCGTCCACAAAGGCTAGCTTGAAGGTCGTGCAGAACATCACTGCGTGCGGAGTGACGCCCACCTGGCTGCACCTCGACGAAGAGACGCGCACCGTCTACTGCATCGATGAAAGCTGGTTGAACGAGGGCCTTGGCAGTGGCAACCTATCGCAGTGGTCTGTCGGACCCGACTTCAGCAAGAAGGATGCCTTGACTCTTACTGGCTCCACCGATACAGAGGGCAATTCGGTACATGGCTTCACGTACGGAGGTCCCGATGGCCGGAGCTTCCTCGTTACCTCGGAGTACTCTCCCTCCACAGTCACGACGTACAAGCTGCCGATCACTTCCAAGACCAAAGCACTTCAGAAGCTTGAGTTCACAATGGCGGCTCCTGGACCCCGTCCAGATCGCCAGGACAAGCCCCACCCGCATGCTGCCTTTACCGACCCAACTGGAGACTTCCTGATTGTTCCTGACCTGGGTGCGGATCTTACTCGCATCTTCAAGATCAACCAGAAGACTGGTCAACTCACCGCCTGCCCTGCGATTGCCTCGCTTCCGGGTGACGGACCTCGCCACGGCCTCTTCCGCAAGGCTGGACGCGCCCTGAAGTACTACTCCCTCAACGAAGTCAGCAGCTCCGTCGGTGTCTATGACGTCGCGTACCCCGACCACTCGTACGGATCCAAGGAGTCCTGCCTCTCCCTCAAGCTCGTGCAGACTCTCTCCAACTACGGACCCAACGTTCCGCTCGGCAACGTCACCGTGAAGTCCGCCGAGATCCGCGTTGTGGGTGACTTCCTCTACGCGTCCAACCGCAACGACACCACCTTCGGCTTCGAGCAGGACTCCATCGCTATCTTTAAGATTGGTGGTGACGGCAAGCTCCAGTTCCAGGAGTTGACCAACTCGCACGGATACTACCCGCGATCTTTCTCGTTCAACGAGGCAGGCACATACGCTGCTATCGCTGGACAGACGACTGCGAACATTGCGATTGTCAAGAGGGATACGAAGACTGGAAAGCTTGGCCCGCTGGTGACTAACCTTGTTCTGCCGCCAAGGGGAACCTATGGTGGGGAGGATGGAGTTAGCAATGTTATCTGGGTCGAGTAGAGTGTCATTATAGTACGATAGCAACTGAGAAATAGATTACTGGTATATGTTATCATTTAGTTCCTGATCACCTCTTCAGAATCTCAGCTCTCTTGTACTGTTTGCACAGTGACTGACGATTAGAACTGAGCTACCCGTAGCAGGCGTTACTGTGAACACTCACGTTGGACTACCATAACGAAAGGTTGCAGAGTTACAATTGAAAAAGTTGCTACAGTACTAGGCGTATTCGTACATCTTCGATGTAACATAGCACCCTAAGCTCCCTGTGTTCAATAGTGTCCGAAGCGCCGTATACTCCTATTCACCCGCGATTCAATCTGCCCGAAACCTGTCCTTATCATTGATGAACTCAACGAGCTCCACCATCTGACGCCTCAACGTATTCAGCTTCTTTCCCGCATTTTCTAGATGCGTGATTGGCTCATGAGAATTGTGGCGCCCTAGCTCAGAATCTTTCTTAATCCTGCAGATAGCATTATACTGCTTTTCTATCCCCTTGCGAAGGCTGCTGCAGAGATCTCAGCGCATCGATCCTCCCACTCTCGCAACTTCCATATTGCCCCCAGAGAGCTTCCTGCCGACAGCTTGTAGCGATTTCGCTCGAGGTTCCCAATAGTTGTTTTAGTTATAGTAATCTTGCACGCTTGTCTCGAACTCCCTGATCTCGTCTTCTACGCAGTAGCTAGTTGGTGCATCAAAAGTATTGATGAAAGAAACAACAATTTCGAGGAAGTCTGCCGTTATGGGAAGGTTATTTCGATTTATGGATACTTTTATGTCTGGAGCGTCGTCTGAGGTTCCGGAAGTCGACATTTTGTGGGATTGCGTTTGCGAACAAATGTCAAATAGGCTCGCAGCACTGAATCTTTTCGTCCTTTATATCGTCCTTGGAATTTTTTTCAACTACGCATGATGGTTATACATGACAGAGGACAGATTGAAAAGGTTCCGCGGCTTGGTACTTGCATGGGAGGCTCGTGGGTACACCGAACGTCACACTACTGAAGCAGATTCAAAAAAAGGTGTTTGGCCAGCAGTCACAGAAAGAACTGACTATCAAAGCTAGTAGATAATTGGTTTGTGCATTATCCGGATAGTTCATGTGGTGCTCGGACAATTAATTTGCCGAGATATTACCCAGCGAGTCGACTCATGACACAGTTCTTCGAGCTGCCAGGTAGGGGAGACACATTCCAGTAGCTACTATTGTGATCGCCCTGTACCACTATCATGTTTCCGGTGCTTCAACCAAGGTGTGTTCATACCATGGTGAATATATTAGTTTTGACTTGGAAGGTTTGCGTGATCGCGATGGGTTACCATCGTGCAATATCAGCATGCCTGCGCTAATATGCGCACCTCCGTTTAAGGTCCAACCTGTCTGCCAATGTCTTAGCTCTGTGACGTCTTCGCCGTATGATAGCTTTTATCACCATCCTCATCATCTGATTTTCTCGACCAAACCCATGCAACGTCTTCATCACTGAACCCCAGCGCCCTCAATTTCTTCAATTTCTCCTGAAAGAAGAGACTCTCCTTTTCAAACGACGTCTCCATCTCTCTAAATCGCCGCATGATATGGCCGGGAACACCAGCCGCATGCATCTGGTCATGCTCGTCTGCTTCCGCAGCAAGATCTGCCATACGCTTCTTCTCAAGCATTCCAGCCTCGGCTTGCCACTTCTCCAACGTCGCGGCTTTGTTGTCTCGGTGTGCCTCCTTGCGTGCCATGGAGCTCCTTTAGGTAAGCTTTCAGTTCGTCCTTGATAGCGGACCAGGCAATAGAAGAAGGCGGTAGGTTATCTGCAGCGATGAGTGCAAGGGACAAAGGAAGGTCTCGCTGCTGAGCAGGTTCGGTTGTGGGTTCGACTTCAGGGTCGTCTGTTGTTTGTGTCATGGCGAGATTAAGGTAAGTGAGTGTCCGTCGCGGCTTATATATACTTCCAGCAATGCACGAAGCAATCCGCTAACACATCTTAGGGATTAATTTTCACCAAACAGAATATTTGCTCGCATTGAAACATGTCGTGACACATCCTCAGAGACTGTGAAAAATGATTCACCTGATTCGGAACTTTTGTTCACTACGAAACAGCTGAGTCTCAGTCTCTTCGAGCACCAGATCATCGTCGGTGTGGCATGAAAGTGACCTAAGGGCAGAGTCATCATTTCTCCCGGCGCTTAGGCGATGCTTGATGAAATATACATACGCTTCACGTGTAAGATAGAGGTACTATATATATACTAGATGAATCTTGGATTTCCTCTTCTCCTCGATACATAGGTCCCCTCCACACGTGCCTCCTACCCTACATGAACGTCGTAATCTTGCGCCGCCTAAACCCTCGATCAACTCCCAATCTTCAAACATCCTTTCAAAAGTCCTCGCCGTCTTCGTATCGTCATTCTGCTCATATCCAATCGCTTCGATCACTGCTATAATCAGCTCTTCTATGTTGTCCCCCACTTGTCGCAGCCCTTACATGCCCTTTCAACTCTTCGTGAAAGTCTCCGCTCATCTCAGCAAGCCTTATGATCTGCACCGCTTCATCAAAGTGCGCTTCGATCTCGGCGGCTACTTCCTTGCAGGTGTCTACGTGGCAGTCTTCGCAGAGGTCGCATAGTTTCAAAAAGAGGGTCTTGTTTCTGGCCAGATCGATTGTGCTTTGGGACATCTTGATGAGATTGTTGCACTAGCGACTCAACGGCACTTGCGGTGCTCTGGGGTAGGACCTTAAAGCTCTCATTATATGATGCAAGAACGAATTACTACCGTGCCACCTGGCCAGGCCATACTGCACAGTGCAAATATCGAGCTGAAGTCTCTGAAGTCTCCTTTGAAGTGCGATGTCTTTACCTGCTCGCTGCAACTGCCAACAGCCGCTGTGCACTAAACTCATTATTATGGCTGCAACGAAACATTGATCCGTAAGAAATATCACACGATCATAGAATACGCGCAGCGCACACACACAGATCTCGGACTTTTGCGCCCGTGCTATATCCACCGGATACAGAAAGCCGTTGTATACACTCTACATCCAAAATTACAGCAGGCGTCAATTGTGCCCCTCTCTCATGACGAAAAAAAAAGAACGGATCTGAGCGAACGCATGTGACATTGAAAGGTAGTAGTGGAACCTAGGGTAACTTGAAGCGACTTGACGTTTTTTTTTTGTCATTTATTTTTTGCTGAAACTCTATGGCCAGTGTCCATGTTGTCGTGAGAGAGCCACGGACCACCACTACAAGAGCGTCGCGCAAATCACTCAAAACACCATGGCACTAATGCACGAGCGGCCACTCTTCAAAGAAATACAATCGGTTCAATCTACATTTCCGCCCACACTCCTCTTGAACCATCTAGTATCCGCCCTTGCCCCATTCCTTCACCCACGTCTTCACCGTCCTAATCTCCCACTCGTGCGCCTCCCGAATATAATCCGGCTCATCCGCTACACTCTTAATCCCAGTCCTGGGACTACTATCCCAATGATGTCCCGCTCCCGCAATCAAATAACTCGGGTACTCCGCACTACTTACCACAATCGCCTTCTTCTCATGACTATGGTATGTCAGATCAACCCAGACATCTGCCTCTCCATCAATCAGCGCGAGCCGCGGCGCAGAGATGTGCAGGCCGCCATAGCGGTTGATCACGTTCGTATCGGGGCGAGAGGGTATGGAGGAGTAGGTGCCGGGCGGGAAGGAGTAATTGCACCAAGACTGCATGTAGGACCCGTTTAGGGCGCGGGAGATGAGAGTGGGTCCGTGGGTGGGGGCGGCAATGAAGGCACCTAGCTCGATGCAGGAAGTGTATAGGTAGGAGCGGCCGGCGTCGTTGGCGGGGTTCGCCCAGTAGGTCGCGTTCTGCGTGTTGAAGCAGCCGTCGTCGGTGGTGTCGAGGCGGCCGGATTCGCAGAGCGGGACAATCACACGCTTGATATACGCCGCGTAGTTGCCGAGCCCGGTCCAGGGCTCGCCTTGGGTGTACTTTGAAAGTTTCGTGTCGACGGCTGTGATGTTGGCGGGGGCGTTGGGGTTGGTGATGTTGGAGCAGAAGTTGAAGAAGTCTTGGGAGGAGTCGGGGGGGTTCCAGTTGAGCTCTTGCCAGGTACCGGTGGGGTAGTCAAAGGGGCCGCCCACTATTAAAAGTCAGAAAACGAGAATCTTTACTGTGTGGCTGAAATGCTTACGGGGGTAGCTAATAGCTTGCGCAAAGTCCCTAATGTCGCTCACTGGGCCCAGCCCAAAGACCTCCTTGACTTCCTGAATAGCAGCTTTGTTACCAGAGTCTATGACCTCGTCGATCTTGTCGACGATGCCAACCAGTCGTGATATGCAATCTGATGGTCCGTACTTCAGGATGGGGTTGTACCAGCTGGGATATTCCCATTTGGCGATCGCCGGCGCACTGGCTGCTATACCTCCCGCAAACAAGTCATTGTATGTCTTCATTGTGAAAGCGACCTGTCCACCAGCCAGACTTCCGCCGTACATGATCCACGGTGTGTGCGGCGCATGGAGACTCTCGTTGCCGGTTACGCCAGGGAAAGTAGCGTGCTTAGCGAAGAACGCATTGTCCGCGATGGCTATCCTCGTATCAGTACAAATTTCGAGAGATTCAGAATTCGCGTGATTTGAGCAACTCACTCTGATCCGTCGTCAAAAACCTCAAATTATCCGTCGACGAGTCTTCGGTCGGCCAACTCTTCCCATAGTACCTATTTTCTAGGATAACCCCCAGCCCACCCGTCGCCTCCGCCAAAATCTTGACAATTCCGTTCCGCAAATTGCTGAACCGCGACTCGCCGCTCGTCTCCCCGCCAATGTACAGAAAAACCGGTCCGCCGGGCTTGTAGTACGTGGGGTCGAAGAAGTAGCGCTGCGAGAAGGTCGCGTTCGTGTGGGGTTCGTAGCGCGCTTCGTGGTGGAGGTGGTCGACCTGGAGGATGTGGTGAGACAGCGAACGAGACAGAACTGGGGCGGGAGAAGTATACCGGCTGCTCAATCGTATGCGCTTGATACGTAGCCTGCGCCGACTGCCTTTTTCCTAGGTGCACATCTGCGATTCTTCCCCTCCTCTCCTTGGCATCGCTCAACGCACCCAGACCACTCAAGACTGTCAACGTAGTTAAGAACTTCATAGCGTGTCACGACCAGGTACGGAAACACGACCATCGTCGGGACCTTGGAATCCATGTTCCCAGCCCGTTTATAAACATTCTGCCAGCATTGGATCGCGTCAACACAGGCCCAAGGTACTGGGTGGGGAGCTGTGTCGGTCACGGCCGCATTAGGAAGGCGGGGATGGAAGCTCGGCTAAAGCTTCGCTGAGCTTGTCGTCACTTGGCATATGGTGTGTGTACCTGCCGTTAGGAGCTCGCGCAGGCCTGTGAAGGGTTAGTTGCGTGGTAAGCATCGTCATATCACATGCTGTTATCAACGGCGTGGCGGGTTTCTGCATGGTGTCAATGTGGATGCGATTGTACAATGCTGGTCGAGACACCGTCATCTCGAGCTTACGTTATTTGAGCTTTATTGTGATCTTTCTCCTTCCTAGGATTACCTCCCGCAAACCTGGGAAATATTGAGTACGTTCTCATACGCTCCATTCCACGGACTTGATCCGAGATTCCTCACGGTCAATCCACGATGCCGACGGGCTAGGTCTCTCCACCATTGGAGTCCTTTGTGGCCTACAAATTCCCCAAGAATTGGTCTCTACACACCATGCGACATCACTAGGTCTTAGGACGACCAGTAGTCGCTCAAGGACCTCCCTAGGCTCCTCGATGTGCATAATTCAGCTGGGAAATATCAGACCACGAATGCTCGACTCGGCGCTGGCCATCCTGGGCGGCATGCTGTTAATCGTGCAGTCAGCGCATGGTGACCAAAGGTAATTCGACTTTGACTGAGCAGTCTCAACCCTTGCTTGCGCCTGGCCCATCAAACTCTTTGTCGAGCTTTGCCAACGCAGCTGCCTTCTCGGCATCATGCTTCACGCCCTGCACTCTTGCAGGCAGTTCACGCATTACCTGCTGTACCAACTGCTCAAGGTCTTTTGGATCTCGTGTCTCCATCTTTGCCTTCCCTTTAACAGTATTACCAACAACCGGAGGCTTCACTTCACGCTTGCGCAGCATGACCTGGCCCTTAGAGTCCATGAACGTCTCATAGCCTTGCTGATCGAGTACTTCATCGGGAACGCGCACGCTCACAGGCGGCTTGGAGGTAGGTGGCTGAGAAGCCGTAGGAGGATCGACCGGGCTGGGACCTTCTTTTTCCTTCTCGTAACGTTCGAGAGCTCGAATGTGGTCCTGGTTCTCCTTGTTGCCTTCCATCAGAAAGCGGAGACACATGATGGCATGTTCGCGAATGTATGGGTTGTGCTCGTCGTATGAGCAGCAGTTGAGGACAGCCTCGATTCCACCGAGCGGCCGGATTTGGTCTTGGACCTGTCTATTCTTCCAGACAAGGGAGCTCAGCACGAGAACAGCAAGCTTCTTCAGGTTTCGCCATTCAAATTCGGAAGGCTCATCCTGGGCTTCGTCGATGTAGGGACGAGGAGACGGCATGTATCCTTCGGGTGCAGTCGTGTTGGCGGCTGTGTCGTACGGTCGCTCAACAGCCACTGGCTGTGGCTCAGATTCGGTAGACGGCGCTGAAGTGTTGTTGCTGCGTGCAGCTGCGGTGAGTGGAGGTATCGATATCTGGCCCTTGGGGATAGCAGCATCAAGCTCCTTCAGCAAGGTGACCAGCTCGTTTGCCACCTCCCAATTGCTCAGCATGGATTTCCACGTCTCATGCTCCGTTAATATCGCGAAGAATTCCAGGTACTGATATACGCCTTCGTACATGCGTTCCATATCCCACAAGTTAAGCGGAAAGTCTTCGGGCTGGGCATGCCCCGCGCGGATCTGGCCTTGCAAGAAGATGAGCGCGCACGTTTGTGGAATGATGTGGCGTCGAAACTCAGTCAGCAGGAAGTTGACCATATGTGCATCTCCCTGGTCCACAGGAGTGGAGCCACTCTTTCGTACAAGAGTACTTTTGACCGGTGTCCGAGCCTGGCGCGCGCGGAAAATGTTGGTCAAGAGCTTCATGATGACAGCTTGAGCGGGTGAGATGATGTCCTTTGACCTACTGCGTCTATGAGTAAATGTCGATGGGAGGTATGCAGGTTACTTACTCAGACTCACGGAAAGCGTGGTACGCGAAAGGCAACAACCCATTGGCTAGAATCGACTCCATGATCTTCACCATGAATTTAAAGTAGAGCTCCTCCTCTCGAAGGTCCCATGCGGCAACGAAAATGAGCAGTTCCCGTAGTAGGTTTCGGCCATTGTCTTGGGCAAGCAGAAGATGACACCTGACGCTATGCATGCTTCGTATGCTGCTGAACTGGTTGGGATCGACGTGGTAGCCAGGCTGCCCTTCGGTGGGCTCTACGATGCCTCCCATAATGATCATTGGAAGCACTTCGATTTCGGTAGGTCCAAGAATCAATGGAACGTCCGTGAGTAACCCGTGACCCTCATCGCCAGCATCATCATAGTCGTCATCGTTGTCGTCGTCCTCTGGTGGGGGTGAGGTTGGAGAGGCTACGTCGCTGGTCAGCGCTGCAGGACGATCGGGATCAGGCTCCAAGCGCTTCAGCAGATCCTCTTTGCCATTCTGCAGGATATCGGCACCAAAGGCGGGCGGGTAAGTCACGCGAAAATCGACCTCACCTGCCGGGGATGACCGATTCAAGCTCGGATTGTATATTGACTGCGCTCGCATCGACCGTTCCTTTTGCTCTTCGGGAGACTCGGGAGCTTCGTTTGCAGAAGCTGCAATGCTGGAGCGCATTCTATCAACTTCAACTTGTAGCTGGTTGATGCTCTGGGCCAGCGCCTGCACGCTCTCTTGGTTCTTAGCCTGCTGTTCCAGCACCTGCTTATACGCACTGGACTGAGTAATCTCGTCGCGGTAGCGTGCAACAACGTCGGCGTAGCGCATGTTCCATTTCTAACGGGGTCAGACAGTCCATGGCAACACAATGTCTAGGTGACTCACATTCTTCTCTTCCTCGGACATGGTCTGCCACTGGCGCTTGCATTCTGAAGCGATTTCGTTGGCACCGGCCTTCTCGCCCATCTTGATGAGCGACTTCTTCACCTCGGCCCCAACTTCTCCGATGTATAGCAAGAAAGGCGATGAAGCCGGCTGCTGTGGGATCTTGAAGGCGTCGGGACCGCGGGACACGTGTTGGGGCACGGCGGGGGCAGCCTCGTCAGGGAGCTCGGGGTTCTTCTCCAGCCGGTACAAGAAGTCCATTCGCGACTTCATGTCTGCGAAGTTGGGGAGCTCGCTGTCTAGATGGCTGTCGAAGAGCTCGATCCAGAGCATCAGCTTCCGCTGCTCGTTCCGTGCGATGAGGTTGTTGAGAAACTGAAGGCACGTGATGAGGAGTTTCTTGTCTGCGGCACTGTTAGCAGCGTATCCTGAGCTGCACTCGTCGAGCGTAGCTTACATGCGTTGATGACACCCTGCCACTTATCCTCATCTGCCGTGCCCGCCTCGCCATCGTAGCCCCTCGCAGTAACCCGTACGCAGACAGTGATGAGCGCAAAGATGTCCTTGTCGAACAGCCGCGCTGCCGACAGGTCCTGCACCTTTTCTCCAACAACCAGCACGTTGCGCGCTATCGAGACCAGCTGGTTCAGGCGCTCCAGGTCTCTCAGCAGGCTCGGCGAGTATGAGGCAATCAGCGGGCCCGAGAGGCCTTCGTATTCGGGCGTGGCGGGGTCGGGTGCCGCGAAGCAGCGTCGCTCGAGCGAGGGGATGGCGGCTTTGAGAACGCCGGCGAGATCGTCCCAGAACAGGTCCGAGAGGCCCAATTCATCACTGCTTCATCAGCACTATCCTTGCACAAAAGCCTTGGGAACGCGCACCGAAGCTCGAAGCTGCGTCGTGACTCCTCGAGCGTCTTTTTCACGACGTCGCGTTCCAACATGCGCAGCGTTTCATCCTTGATGTATCCCGGGCTCTGGAAGTGCACCGTGTATGGCGCGAGTGCGAGTCTCAGGCGCGTGAGGTACAGCTTGGCGGGCTCTTGCACGTCGCTCGAGTCGTCGTCCATGGTAGGCGGTTCCGTGTGCGCATGGGCGCTGGCGAGCGCAGTATGGGCCGAAAACAGAGCTAGTTATGTTTCTGTCTCTGCCGGACTTTCAACCAAGCGTCAACGCCAGGTGTTTTGGTGGAGGAACATGCGAGCGTGACGGAAGGCGGGGCAGGAACAACTTTGATCCTGCCAAAATTTCCGCGGCGAGGGCAAGAGCGATCCAGTGCCCCGCCCCCACCATCGCGGCCCGATGTTAACACACCTCGTATCGATTGGATACCAATATTCACTTGCATGCATCGACATCGACCACTGGGCCTGAGCCTTACAATGTCGCTCAAGGATGCCATCGGGTTCGAATCACAGAACAATGGAAGCCCTGTCCTATGATGCATCGATCTTGTTTCAACATGTAGATCAGACGTGAGCGAAGGCTTGCACCAGCCGGGATCGAATGCCTACCCTAGGGCAACTCAGATTACTGTACACATCTACGTTTGCAACCTTGCACTACATCGCCTGAGACCACATCCATGCGAGAGGAATTCCCATACTGTCTCGCCACTAATATATCCGATCAAGCCGCGCTCGGTTGACGGCAATCTGCGCTGCGTATTCAGGAGAGATCCTCGAGAACTGCGCATCTATGTGACCATTGCCCCCCTCGAACATATCGCGACCAATGGCATTCAGTCTCCTAGCGGCAGGGTGCCGCTGCACGTCATGAAAGTGACGACTTCCGGCGATATGGTCTTCTTTTCCGTCGTCTTCCCACTCGGCGATTGATATGGCCCGCTGGACTAGATTCTGTCCATGTCCCGGACCTTTACTGCCGTCCAATTTCATGCTAGGAGCTCTTTCGGCATCGCACTCGCGATGTGCGCGACGCTGCTCCATGCGAGTGGCATGCTGGGCCACTCTAGGCGGAGGCGGGAATGTGGTGAACGAATTTGCTACGGTGACGCTGAACGGGTTTGAGGGTAATCCGTCTCTATGTCCAGAGGTGCTCAGGTTTGAAAGTGGAGTTGCATCTCTGTGCTTCGTTCCACCTTTCCTTTTGGAAAAAAGGCCCCTCTTCTTAGGCGCTTGGCCACCGTCCTTTCCTTGCTCTTCTTGCGTCAGCTGTCGTTCCCTGTTTCCATCGTGTTCGCTGCGAGCATCTTGCGCGATGGCATCACGTTCGTCGACAGACTCCTGTTCCGCAAAACCCTCTCCTGTCCTTTCTTCCTGGCTCTCGGGTCTTGGCTGAGGGTCGTATACGTTGACGTCGGCGTCAGAGACCCCATGGGTGCTGGCATGCTGGGGACTCATACCGAGTAATGGCAGCTCGGCCTAATTGCAGTGGCGTAGCTGGAACACTTGCAATCTCGTTGAAAGAAAGCTTTCTCTGGATGTGCAGGATACGCTGAGTTGTTGCGAGCGGTGAAGGTCATAGTAAGCCGCGGCAAGGCACCAGCACTTCGTATTCCCGTGGCTGTGCACATTCCCAGCGCGACATCCTCCAACCGATTGGGCATTTTAACTTCAAACATCAACCATAAGCCTGAGTTAAAGCCGTTTCGGGTTGTAGGTGAATCACGTGCTCTAAGGCGACTGGCAGTGTTTTGGGTCGCCAAATCTTTGACACGATATTGCAAGGACGGTGCTTTATGTTGGAGGACATTGATGCCTGTGTGACGGCAACCGAATAGGAGGCGCAACCTTCGACATTCTGATAGTGGACAGCGAGCAACAATTCGTCTCAGCACTACGCTTCCTCGCTCGACAAGGATCCTCACGCTGGAACATCATCCTATTTCGTCGTCAAGAATTACGAGGACCCTCCTCACCCCATCAAGGCAAGGCACGTCATGCATCACCATTTGGAAGTGTAGGCGATGTTAGGGCAACGTACTGAACAAAACAACGTCACTACATAAGTTGCATTTAAAAGTGTAAAAGCAGTTCAGTCACATACTTCGAAGATATGTCGGCGTATAGTGCGATCTCGACTTATGCCGCTGAGGGAGGAGATGAAGTCTCCCAGTGCTGAGGTTATGGCGTCCTGGGGAGGCCATGTTCTCGGATGCAAGAAACGCGTAGAGTGGAGTCAAGGGCGCCATGTAATGTTTGTTCGACTGTGTCCGCGCGACGGTCCCAGCTGACATCGTAGATGTACGGACGGGTGCGATAGCATAGATGCAACACTTCTGCTCGTGTTTGTTTGCATGCGCGTAGGAGGCCGCATCCGAGGTTCCGAGCTGCGGGCCATTCGTCCTTTTGATGCGTGGTCTTAGGTTCACTCGTTGGACATACCGCTCCTGCAGACGTTCTGAGTATAGGTTCCGGTGTGGTTATTTGAGGACGTCATCGTAGATCAACTCGCGAAGCTCTAGGGAGAGCTTCGATAGGATGCTGTTGTCTATGTAGTTGTTCTAGTGCGCGCTAAGTTACGGGTCCTTATTTGGAGCGCGTATGGGAATACATGAATGACTATGATGATTCCGGGCGTATGGGCGGCGAACGTCGGTCTAACGTACCGTATGCCTGCCAAATAGCCCTACGCACGTAAATTCCCCTGTCCGCATGCAGTATAAATAAAGCTCGGCCCATGCAATGCCAGCGGTGCCTCTACGTACGTATGGATCAATCCAGACAGGACACAACCTCGGCCATCCTGTCGGGCTGAGTCAGCCAGCAAGTCTTGAGCTGCACTCCAGCTGCAATGTATCCCAGAAGTCATGTTTCCATGAAATGAGACCAACGCTTGAAACCACATCTCATGAAGACGTCCTCGCTCTGGGAAGGATTTGTGGGTTCCGTCCCAACAACCAAACCAGTCCGCTCTGACAGGTGCTTGTTTCCGACTGCTTGAATACCTGTAGAGCATCTCTTATCTCAACTGGAGAAGCTCAAACATATGCATTTGTAATCGTCTCTTTGATTTTTGCCATTGCATGGTCATAAATGCTCTTAAGGCCTTAATGGTGCTCACATCAAGACTCAGACACGTGGGGTAATGAGAGCGATCGAGGATGTGGGGGGTTGGAATGAAGGTCCTTTACGTATTCACTAATCGAACCGAGTCTGAGCTTGGCTCGATTCTAATATCGAGAACGCCGCCCAATGTAATGAACAAGGCCAGAGCCGGGGTATCATGTATATCAAAACACGTCGTTCATGTCCACATCCCTGCCTCCTCCCACTGCGATTGCAGCGGCTTGCGTGCCGAAGTCCATCTCCTCACTCGTGCGGTCATCTTCAAGGAATACGCCCAAACCTCCAAAAGCATCGCGCAGCGCATGGCTGTAGTATTCCGGCGCTTTGTATCCGAAGGCGTAGAACCTGGGCTCGTGTTTGACCGCGAAGAATTTGTGGTCGTACTCGTCTTTCACGTTGTAATACGTTGGGTCCACGCTCCACCCGCTTGTTGGATCGAACACCTTCTCTGGTTCTGGCGCTTTCCGCTTCTTGAGGCCGCGGAAACTGAAGCCGGTTTCGTCTTCAGGGATCGGCATATTCCCTGAGGGTACGTTCTGAGCCTTGCGTTGTGCGCCGCCTTTCTTAAGGATGACGTGTGAAGTTTCCGATAGGGTCGAGGTGTCTGGTCCAGCGTCGACAGAGCGGCGGACTGCGTTGGGGTTGAGCTCGGCCTTTTGGGCTTCCTCGAAGCGGCGCAAGCGGCGCTCTGTTTGCTCGACGTCAACCTTTAGAATGAGATTCCAGGTGATCTCTTCGACTTCTTCGAGATAGTCGTTGTAGTCCCGGAGCGTCTCGAAATCAGTTTCTTCTTTGTTCATACTGCTCTTGTCAGCCATTGAACATTCCACCATGCTGGGGAAATCACGCACGCCTTAGCCACGCGCCGCCGGATATCCACCTCTCTCTCCACCTTTAGATCTTCGAAGGTCTGTGTGCGGAATCTCGCCTTCCGCAGCGTCTTCTTACAACCTGCAATGGGACACGGCGCGGGCCCGTGAGAGAAGATGCGGTCGACGCACGACTCGCACATCTTGTGGTAGCACTCCGGATTCACCAGAAAGTGCATGTATCGGTTGAGGTAGCGCGACGATTTGCATACTGGGCAAATGTCTGGGGCAGAGTCAGCGGCGGCGCGCGTAGGCTTGGAAGGGGACTGGTGCTGGATGGAGAGGCTGTGAAGCGAATGAGAGAGGTGAGACGCACCATCGTCTTCGCCAGCCCGCTTGGTGGACGCGCTGGGCGCGTGCGCGGCCCTCGACATGGTGGTGGCGGGAGGATGCTGGAGGTGCAGCGGCCGGAGAGCTTGGGGTGGGTGCGGAATATCAAAGCAAGCCAGCCCCGATCACTTTACCTGGGAAGGTGGAGTATTCCTTGCCCGTTCCTCTTCACTATGACGGGTCTGGTGCCTCTAACGTTATCACAAGAGCCTATGCGTCAACGTTGCGTAGATCAGCTCTCTTTCACACACTGCAAGCATTCCTGGAGCTGTAGAGCTCGGTGCCGCAGCGGGACTAGCGCGCCAAGCCCAGATTCCAATTATGCGCACCCGCAACAAATCTTTTTGCCCTCCTGCACCTTCGCCTTCGTGCCCCCTGCCATGGCAACCACAGCGCAGCAGACCATGGAGAGCGTTGAGAGCCGTCGCTCGCAGCTCGAGGAGACCGTGGCCAAGCTCCGCAAGGCATTGGACCACTGGTCAACCTGGGAGATGGAGTACCAGATCCTCAAAGAAGAGCTGCAGGCTGCAGGCTCGCCTTCCCCGTCGAAGATGGCCCAGATAGGCCGCGATATGCAAGGTCAACTCGTCAATGAGAAAGAAGTCGAGGAGCTGCTCGGCAAAAATTTACCATCGAAACGCACTGCTAACCAGATCATTGACATGATATCCAGACGGCTTGACTATGTCGGGCAGAATCGCGACAGCGTCGAGAAGCAGTTCGACAAGGCGCAGAAACAGCTCGAAGCTCTTGAGATGTTGACGGATCAGGGGCTGGAGACCGAGGAGGGGTTGCCAATGATGGACATCGAGGAACGGCTAGATGACGATGATAATGTTCTCTCAAGTTCGGTCACTCAGCCTGGAAAGGTTGCTCCTCAGCTCGTAGAGGCATTACGGAAAGCTGGAGTGCACAAGTCCGAGCAAAAGAAATCGGAGACCGAACAGGATATGTCCGACGATGAGCTGTCTACACCTTCTGCATCGGCACCTTCAAATTCTGCAACCCCGCCCGCTCCACCTTCAGCAACGGTTTCTGGAAATCCGTCAACGCTCTCCACCATATCTAAGGGCAAGTCAAACGCCTCCGAAACCCAGAAGAAATCAGTGTCGTTTGCAAACGATGTTCAGGTTGAGACTTTTGAGAAGCCGAGGACTCTGAAAGATGACGTGCGGAATTGGAATCTTCCGCCTGGGGCCAAAGTTTACGAGATTGACGCTGAAAATGAAGATATTCTCGAGAAAGCCGTTGTTCCTGACACCGACACTCCGGAAGAAGCTGCTTTAAGGCAAGAGATGCTTCAGTACGGACTGTCTGAAGTCAACGATGTTGTTGCCGAGCTCAATCTAGAGACCGATGATGAAGACATGGACGACGACCATGATGAGGACTACGATGCGTACGACAGCGAACTCAGTGAAGAGGAAGACAAGTTCGGCCGCAGTACCCGTCGTGTTCTGTCAGATGATTACATAAAAGAGATGCGCGAGCTGGAGAAGAAGCTCAATGCTCGCATGCTGGAGAATGTCGGACCCAACTCGGAATTGCTGGAGAAAGCTGTCGATGCTCGCACGCTCCGTGTTCGCAACGACGATGAGTTCGAACAAACGATGACAACTGCAATTCCATCCGGCACTAGCATGTCCAGCAAGGGCGTGCGATTCGATGGCGATGAGGACATGGAAGATGCACCGCAACCTGCTGCTCAGCCTTCTGTGCCCATCAAGCTGCCACCTACAATATCCGATACGATCGTAGAGCGTGCGCCTTCGGTCCCTCAACCACCTTCAAGTTCTGCCAAGTCGGCCAGAGTGTCGCGCTTCAAGAGCGCTCGCGCGCCTACCAACGATCCGCCTACATTCCTTCCAAATCCTGCAGTACCAGAGCCGCCTCCTATACCTACAGGTCCCAAAGGGAGCATCCTCGCGGGCACCGTCGCTGAACACACTCCGCATCCATCCGAACCACAAGTGCCCGACGAGCTCGATCCTGTCATACACAACCGTGAAATCACAGCCGAGTACCACAAGCTCCGCAACAAGATGATTCAGCAACAAGGTGGTTTCAAACCCTCTGAGGAAGATGAGCTCGATCCGTTGGTGGAGGAACGCAACGGCAAGACAAAAAAAGTAAGTCGCTTCAAAGCTGCGAAGCTGAAGGCAGAGGGTTTGTAGACTTTCATGTTACCTGCGAGCAATCATTGCTCGACCCTTATCTTGTGCTCCCCCTCACTTTCCTTGTGAGTGATGTGGGTCAGCTGCCCCCTATGGTGGTCGCGGCGCTCGAATGTGCTTCTATGCACGGAACCCATGCCCGTGAGAGATGCCTAGCCATGCGTCTGACTCACATTTTATGGTGTCCAAGATTGAATCCAGAGGGCTCTCTGACGGGACTTGCTAGCTTGGCAGCTCATGCAAGTCTCGATTGTTTTTACGCCCTGTACATTAAAAAATCATCGAAAAGGTGTTGGAGTTGATGCGCTTCGGTCAGCAACCATACCATCGGAGCGGTTCATGATGACCCTGTTCCAAAATGTTACTATATTCTCCTTCCCTCAACAGCTACATGACCTGTGACGGCCTGGTAGCCGGCTCGAGCGGGCGCATGTGTCCTGTGATAGCCAGATATCGTGTATTGCCTAGATGTTACTTACGTCATACAGCCTCTGGCGCCGCACTGATCTTGCAGTAGATACCATGTGTCAGTCATTAAGGGCCAGCACACCTGAAAGACACTACGGCCATTCCAGTAGTTGCGTAGCTCAGATTTGCCTTGTGGATTTTGCGCATGCAGCTGCAGCGAGTCATTGTATGTGTTACTAAGCACCATATACATTTAAGAGAGCTTTCACTATGTCGATCAAGTAAGCACGAGCGGTTGGGTGGTTCCATCCATAAGGAATTCCGTTCAAGTGTTGCCTTCCCTCATCGGATGGTCGGAATTCCGGCTCCGACGCTAGTGCCTCACTAATCGTCCTTATTGTCCTGTTCATGCCTCCCATATCACAACATCCGGACAGATCCGCAAGTCTGTCTTTACCTCACAATACCTTGTTATTCTACACTACCATGCCACTGACCAGGGATGTCGCTTACGTAGGAGTATGCCAACTAGCATATGGTAAGCAAGATCTAGTCGACTTGTCCGCTTAACCACCATACCTGGTGGGTGGCAAGTCAGACCTACCCCCACGGAGCTTTTTGGGCCTGCTGGATTCTCTGGACCAGCCGACCAGTATTCTTTCCGAATCGTGGTCGAACTCCGGATCTTGGCTCCTGTGAACTAGTAACGAGATGGCCAACATGGTCGACAAGAGGCGACAAATGAAAGCGTGCATACCATGCGCTAAGCTGAAGATACGATGCGAATTCGCACCTCCCAGTCAGAAATGCAACCGGTGAGTGGACTAGTCCTGCCTCGTATCCGTATGGATTGGGTGTATGTATTGACTTGCCACCTCAGGTGTGTTCGTCTCGGTAGAGAGTGCCAGAAACAGGCACCTGGTGCACACAGCAACCCTAACAAGCGAAATTGGACGAATCACGAATCAGAAATTCGACGATTAGAGACGATGGTCAACTCCATGTCCCATTTAGTGGCGTCTCGGACGTCGGATTCTGTTACTCCGCCAGATTTTATGCAGCCTAACTCACCTACCGATTTGTCAGCAGTGTTTGAGCCAGTGACTAACTGTGGCGATCCCGAAGGCTTCCGGTGTATAAAGCTATTCACAGAAGAAATTGCGCCGATGTTCCCATTTGTTGTTGTTCCACCAGAAATAAATGCGGGGCAGCTACGTCGCGAGAAACCACTTCTGTACAAATGCTTGTTAATGGTCACATGTCAGAACGATGTGAGCCGCCAGACGAACCTTGCTCGAGCGATTGGGGACGACATCTTTTACTGCTTAGACCGTAAGGAAAGAAGCCTTTCCATACTACAAGCGATCGTGGTATACGTAGGATGGTGAGTGCAAGGACTCGGTTCAGCTAAAATAGAACAGCGATTTGATTTGACCTCTGTTAATAGGACCCATGTACATCAGCACCAAGGCGGTGCCGGGTTTCTTATCCCAGTGCATCTGGCCCTCGCAATAGTTACAGAACTGAGGATTGACGAAGAGGCACAGCACAAGTCCAACATCAGCGCCGGTGCGTTGCGTGGTATTTGGAAGAAAGAGCCCTCTCGGGTTAGAACTCTGGAGGAGCGCAGGGCTTACCTGGGGGTTCTTTGGATGGCTTCCATGTCAGTCGAAGCATTTTTTTCTTTTACCTACAATCTAATGCTAATGTTGTGACAGGATAAACATCTGCTTCCATAAGATGGTCACGCCAAGATTTACGAAATACACCGACGATTGCTGTCGCGTCCTAGAAGCAGCACAGGATCATCCGAATGATGTTTATCTTGTGGAACTCGTTCGAATGCTGAAACTGGCCCACAGAGTGGATAAAGTCGTTTACCAAGACGCGCTCGACGTGACTAGCGAGATGTCCCTACCGTTAGTGATGGTGATTGGCGCCCTCCAAGATGAAGTGGCGTTACCGACGAAATTCAAGCCATCTGATCCAGTCCAAGCAGTGCTGTCACAGCTCTCGCAGAAGATGCTGGAATTGCATCTTTGCAAGCTAGCTATTGAGGACGCCTATTTCCCGCCCCAGTCTCCTCATACCAGGTTCCGCGCAGACCTCCTTGTGGCTTGCCTCTCCACGATCGACGCGCTTCTCGATACGTTCTGCGACATACCAAGCCTTGCGTTACTTTCTCTGCCATATGGGTATTGGGGTATAGTCGGTCACGCTATAAAGATTCATTCGCGACTTTCCGACGTCAAATACGGGCCGTGGAGCCCGACCGTGGACCCGCGCCGTACGTTTGAACGACTGGCGCAGAAGATGGAGGAAGCGAATGCCGCGGGACAGAACGCAACGCCGCCACGAAGAATGCCTGAATTTTATGAGCAAATTGTGGCAAAATTGAGGAACTTGGGCGAAGTCAATCCCAACGATACAGGGCACGAGGCATTCCAGACCGGCGGCGTTTTGCTGGACCACGACATGATGGGCGGCATTCTATTCGACCTTCTTGACTGGGTCTAGAGACCCGGTTTGCGGCCATGCGCTGAGTACGGGCCGGCTTAGCTCTCCGAGCACAAACAAGCAAGCGGTCGGTGGCGTGGGCCGGATCTCCTTCCCGAGCCAGATAGATGCGTCGAACCGAGCGAGCAACTGGATAATGACCTTCGGGATGCAGCAAGCGGGTGCTCCAAGAAAGCCGTCACCTCTGAGATGCGTCAGTAACAGCTGCCGTTCCCTCTCGTGGAAATTCTGATGTTGCCGAATGTTCGGAAAAACCTGAAAAATCGAAAGGGCGAAGAAAAACTATTTCAGCGGCGTGTCCGTCCCCAGACGAAGATGCGGCACAGGGTCTGAGGGGCTGAGGGGCAACGGCTGTAATTCAATATGAACAGTGCAGTGGCGAACACCGTCATTGCCAATGGGTTGAGTCAGGAACCAGGTTTCAGGCCGCGTGGATCGAAGCGCTAACAAGGTCCCTGCAGAGACCCCTTCGCAGCTCACGCCGAAAGCAGCCTAATCCTTGGGGCGCGCGGCTCGTATCCCACTCCGTACAGTCGGTTTGTGGAGCGATAAGCGCACCACAAATGCTCTTGGGCATACTGTGTGCGTTGCATCCGTCGCAACCTCCTCCACATTCGCGTTAAATTCTACTGGGCCTGGGGCTGTGCCACTCTACGCTAAGGTTCTGGGCTGGCTCTCGCGTAAGTGGGCACGCCGGCAATGCAGTAATGTCTGACAGCTTCAGACAATGCGAATAGCTGGAGAAACCCTAGGAGCTTTCTCAACAACCGTTGTGTGAAGCTCGTCTTGCAGGCTCATGGCCGCCCTTCCATTGGCGACGAAAGGATGACCACGGGATTTGCTGTGGATTTCTCCGCCAGAATTCCAAGGTGCCAAGATAGTTCTGCTCCTGTCTGCAAGCCTACGCGACACCTGTCTTGTCTAGACTCCGGAGATCTCAGAGCTTGGACGTGTTTGACCTGGTGGATCACAGACCTGCCGTTTTACGCCCGCGCGTGCGGGTGAATAAGTTATAATGTGTGTCTGTCTCCTTCCTACCCAGCCACTGCTCCAAAATGTCTCAAAATTCGCAGCCTCGTGTCGAGGTCGCTGAGGTCTCGCGCCTCATTGCGCAGAACCGAAACATCGTCATTCATGAGGGACACGCCCTGGATTTGACCACATGGATCAACAGGCATCCCGGAGGAAGGCTTGCAATACTGCACATGGTGGGAAGAGACGCTACAGATGAGATGAACATGTAAGCATAGTCATCGGCGATTCGCTTCCTAAACCCTAGTCGTAGCGTACTTGCTCTCCCATGTTTCCATAATCGGAAAAGCGATGCTTCACATCAGGAACGTAATGCTGACCTCTTCTCTTCAGCTACCACTCCGCGAGGACTCTTCTGTGCATGAAGCAGTTTCGCATTGGTCGGATACAAGAGCCCTGGACGAACCTCGACCCGCCGATCCGATCGCCCGACTTTTATACAAAGGAAGCGCTACGCAAACAAGAAGCAAAGAAGGGGGATAAGGAGAGCCTGGAGCGGAGAAGGCGAAGCCGAACGAGTGTCGACCTAAGCTCCGTGGGTCTACTCCATAACAGCACCACGGTTTCTCGTGCGTGTGCTGTCAGCATTTGCTGACTGTAATTCGAAGGCCGCAGTTGTCATTCACAAGAAGCTGAACCAGACACCTTGCACACGGAGAGCAATTCCAATTGTCGGGGTCGACCTAGAATCACAGCCCCAACCTCGCACACCAATCGTATCGGTCGCCACCGTATCAGCCAATGTCGACAGCCCTGATGAAGCAGTCGCAGCACGCGAGCGATATGCTACCGAGCTAGAGAAGAAGGAAATTGAGGATGGCCTGCGTGACAACCCTTCCGTCGACTTCGATACCCAGCGAGCTATTGCTTTGGAATATCGTGCGCTACATCAGCAGATCAAAGACCAAGGCCTATACGCATGTCGCTTTAGCGAGTATGGCAAGGAGAGCATTCGCTACGGTGTTCTCTTCGCAGCGTTCCTCTACCTCCTCCACATTGAATGGTACCTTACATCTGCCATCGCGCTGGGGCTGTTCTGGGTATGTCGCTATACATCTGGATTATGTACAATGCTAATGCGCAAGCAGCAACAAATCATGTTCACCGCCCACGACGCTGCCCACTGCGGAATCACCGCCAATTTCACCGTGGACACACTGATTGGTGCGTTCATCGCAGATTTCTGCTGTGGGCTCAGCATCGGCTGGTGGAAGTCTTCCCACAACGTACACCATCTCATCACGAACGACCCTGTGCACGACCCGGACATCCAGAACACACCGCTCTTCTCGAACTCCCCTACTTTCATGAAGTCGGTGCTCAGTTCATTTTACAACTTCCGATTCGTGTGGGATGGCGCTGCTGATGTGCTGATCCCGTACCAAAAGTACACGTACTACCCGGTGATGGCCTTGGCGAGGTTCAACCTGTACATGCTCTCATGGCTGCACTTGGTGAGCCCACGAGCCGCGCAATTAGGAGCAGCATGGTGGACACGCCCGGTGGAGATTGCATTTATGGCGTGCTACTGGTACATTTTTGGATACTGCCTTGTCTGGAGCACGCTTCCCGACTGGCCCACACGCGTGGCGTTTGTGCTGGTTTCCCACATGGTTACCATGATTCTACACGTCCAAATTACGCTTTCCCATTGGGGCATGCCCACTTCGGACCTTGGATCCACTGAATCCTTCGCGCAGCGCCAACTACGCACAACGATGGACGTCGACTGCCCTGCCTGGTTGGACTGGTTCCACGGAGGCCTGCAGTTCCAAGCTGTGCACCACCTTTTCCCTAGAGTTCCTCGACACAACCTCCGACAAGCGCAGAGCTTGGTGCGCAACTTCTGCGATAAGACACAGCTTAGATATCAGTGCTATGGCTTTGTGGATGGCAATAAGATTGTGCTGAGCCGGCTGGAGGAGGTAGCCAAAATGGTCACGACTCTGGTGGACTGCCAGAAGCATATGATTGAGACGGGAGAAAGTGGTCTGCATTAGCGATGCTGCCTCATAGAACAGACAGGCCGGCGCTACAGGAGTAATATCTATATGAACATATCCGAAATCAATCTTTTGTCACTCTTCACAAGCCCAGCGTCCCGTTCTCCCAGCCCTCCCGGAATGCCTCCGCCGTGTACACATATCCCCGCCCCGGCAGCACCTTCCTGATTAGCGCGTCGTGTACATCTTGATCGTTATCCGCGCACCCGTCCTCCAGCACCGTGACCACGAACTCATCGTCGCACGCCGCAGCCGCAGTCCTCAACACGCACCCCGACGTACTCAGCCCCGCCAGCACCAAACTTACAATGCCCTTCTCCCGCAGATACGCCGCCAGCCCCGGTGACTTGAGCGCGGACACGTAACCCCCGCGCCGGAGAAACGTCTTTTCGTCGCCAGCATCCTCGCGCAGCGCGGCTGGCTCTTCCTTACCGCCGGACTTGAAGGAGCTGATGATGGAGGCGAAGCGCTGGACGTTCTTGCAAGTTGGGTACGGCGTTTGATCTGCGTCGATGAGGCAGTGGATGATTTCAATGTTCTTTGACTTTGCCCATACTTTGGTCGAGGCTGCGATTGAAAGAGCGTTTTGGCCTTTGCCGTCTGCGAGGTTCTCCACGAACATGCTGTGGAAGTCGAGGAGGAGGAGGGCAGTCTGGGAGGCCGGGTAATGGGAGGGAGCGTCGATTGGCGGGGAGGCCATGGTGGTTCGAGATTGCGGATTTTGGTGGATGATAAAGAGCTGGGTGCTTTGCTTGGACTCGCTGGAACGCTGGGAAAGCAGCGTGTTGGTGATGAGGAGAGGATCGTACTTCACACCTTTCATCCGAAGCTTATATAGGACTTCAGATGATATGTCTCGCTCAGGCTGGAGTTGTGAATCGGCAATAAGGGCTCGCGTTAGTATATCTCCGAGTACTCGTTGGACCGAACACCGCCTAAGCCAGAACAAGGTAAGTGCCACTGTAGCATTCATGGATGCATGTTGCTGAACTGTAACAGTACGCAGACCTCAGTTTAGAAGGACCGACTCCTGGCCCCAATCATCCACTTCCATAACCGTCGAAAATTCGATGATTTCCCATATCCATAGAGACCCGCCGTCAAGCAACAGGTTTTGCCCAACCACCAAACTCATCCGTGGCACACGCATCAAAAAACCACGTCGCCCACCTCCTCAAACGCCGCGCTCCTCCCCTGCCTACCATGCAGCTCCTCCCACAACTACCCCAGTTACTCACCTGTGATGAAAGCTACGCCGGGGGCGAGGGGACCTGTCCGCTTGGAGATTGGAGTTTTTCGCGGTGGCTTGATTGTCTCGTCAATCGACGCACGCGTACTTGTATTAAGTTGAGGAATGAGGAATCTCAAGCTCAATGTTATACTTTCCTGGAAATGGTGATCATATAAGAGCTAAGACCGTCTGACAGGCGTCCATACCGTGAAGAGATGCTGTTGGTTGGCGCACTAGTGAATGAGGCTGACCCCGCATGCCATTTAGCTTATTCGGGTGCCCGTTGCATCAGGGGCTGGCCTGGAGTATCAAACACATGGGATACATTGTTTGACAAGGTCTTACGTGGTTCCTCGAGCTCATGCTGATGGATGGATGTAATATATTCCAATCTATTGCCCTAAACACTCGTTCTTTGGGGTTACCATGATCTTGATGTGATGATCTTTGTTATTGATCAGCTCTTCGAAGCCTTTCTCGATGATATCGTCGATGTGTATACGAGAAGTGACCATTCCTCCAAGGCCTTTGAATCCCCCTGGGCGGTGTCAGTCCTGCTGAACATGGTCTGGTACATTGACGTACCTGCGGCAAAGGCATCAACTGTCTCCCTGAAAGAGCGATCAGTATATATGACACTAGCCTTCAATGCAATCTCCTTGTGTAGCAATGTCATAACTGGTACGACCATCTGTACGCAATCAGCAAGCAACCAATCACCATGACGGAGAACACGTACGGGAGCACCCCACATCGCAACGTTCATGTACACTCCTTGAAACACTAGTGCATCGAAAGCAGCATCCATACCCTTCTGCACGCCCGCACAATCAAAAACTACATCAACACCTTCCCCAGACGTAAGCTCGCGACACCGTTCAGCCACATGCTCAGAGATAGGATTAATAACATGATCCGCGACTTCCCTGTTCTGAGCAGCTCGAGTGGATGTGGGTTCCGAGATGAAGATACTCTTGCAGCCGAGTGCACGCAGAACAGAAGAATGCGCGATGCCGATGGGGCCGCCGCCCAAGATCAATACAGCCTTTGAACTCCAATCCTTGATTTCGCAGAGCTCCACAGCATGCCACGCTACGGCCAGCGGCTCAATCAGTGCCGCGAGACTTAGATCGACAGAGTCGGGAAGAGGATAGCAGTGTTTGGTCTCCACGGCTACCATGTCGGAAAACCCACCGCCTCCGCCGTGGAAGCCTTTCAGGCCCAAGGTTTTGCAACCATGCGTATGTGATGCGGTGCAGCGCGAGCACTTACCGCAGTAGAACCGCGGATCTACCATGACAGCTTGGCCTTTCGAGAGTCCCGAAGCAGGCGGTGCGCTGATGACGCGTCCACAAAATTCGTGGCCCATGGTCATGGGAAGGTGTTCTTCGGATAAGGGATGCGGAGCATCCTTTTTTGGGACGCTAGAGGGACCTAAGTGTGTGAGTGGGTATCTTTATCGAGGGAGGGACTCACCTGCGAGATACTCGTGAAGGTCCGAGCCGCATATTCCGCACCATTCAATGGCTACAAGAGCTTCGTCTTCTTTGGGGGTTGGTGGAGCGACGTCGACGACGCGAATGTCGCGGGTTCCGAAGAATTGCGCTGCTTTCATTGCAGGTAATTGAGTATGGCAGATGAGTCTCCGCTGTTCGAGATGGGACCACTAATGCTAGTAGGCTATGGGTCTAGGCATACGGGTGGTCTGGCGCGATCAAAAGGACGGTACACATGCGAGTGAAATCATGCAACATGCGGGTTGAAGGCTATCATGGATTTCAAGGGACGTATGCATACTTGACGCGAACTTGCGAACAAGTAGGGCCCGGTAGGTCTTTCGGCTAACATAGTCCGGACTAGTGCGGGGTGCACGGCAGTTGCAAATAGCGTATGAGGAGAGCAAGGAGAATGCATAGTCACTCAGATGATTTGATGACATTACCTAAAGACGGACGACGACTGTGTCGAGCTCGGGGGTGGTGATGAATATGTCCCCGTGGCCAGGTGATGCCTGGAGCGATGGTGCCGTCTGTCGATGCATCCCGGGAGACGTGGGATACTGGTCTTGCCCGAGAAATGGGTCAGCGTAACAGCGCTTTACTGTGAGTGCAGTCGTGGGGTCAGAGAAGGAAGTGTGAGTGTGGAGAGGTTGGGCCTGAGGCAGGAACGTGGGGAGCTCTGCCCCGCCATCCCTCGCGGAGACTAGCGCGGTCGGTGTCTCGTAAACTTCGCTAGCAATTCACCGCAATGCGACAGCATTCACAGCCCGTAACGACGATTATCCATACGCCCGTGCACCATGTACGCTTCCAGATGGGCTCCCAAGCCCGAGGAGAAGGTGGAAGAAAAGCCTGCCGAGCAAGCGCCCGCCGCGCAGCAAACAGAAGCGCCCCCAGCTCCATGTCCAGCTCCGGAACTGAAAGTTGACGACCCACCTACGCCTGCGGAAACGTATGCGCCGCCACCCGTACGTACAGTTGCATATACCTTTCTGTTCCCAAGACGCCACGCCTCCCAGCGCACGCACGTTCACTGTTGTTGACGCAGCAACAGCCCGCCGACATGCCTTACGACTACGCCGACTCGTCCATCGACCCGTTCGCGCAGACGGCAGGCACAGACGACCTCTTCTTCGATGATGACTTCACGCCCGTCGCCGAGCCTGTGGTCGAAGAGGCGCCTGCCGAGGTCCCGCCGACAGCGCCCGTCGACACAGCAGTACCCGCCACCGGGATGGGGCAGTCGCAGTATGCACCACGCGGCCCTGCTAATGGCGAGCGAGGCGGTAGGGGCCGGGGCAGAGGAGGCCGGGGCCGTGGACGAGGCCGCGGTGGCGACCAGGCCCAAGAACCACGAGAGCCCAAGGAGAAGCCAGCGCAAGAGAAGGAGGCGAAGAACGGCGAAGCAGCGGCAGAGAGTGCTCCTGCTGCAACCGAACCGCCATCTACGCCCGCCGCGCCTAAAGAACCCAAGTCGGTCCGCGGCGATCGCACCCTCACAGGCGGCACACCCCGCGCCCGCCTCACCGAAGACGAGATCAACGCAAAGCTCGCGGCGATGAAGGCCAAGAACGAGGCTCTGGCTACTGCCCACGCCCGATCTGAAGCGGATGCCGCCAACTTTGAGGCACGGGAAGCCATCGCCGCGCAAAAAAATGCCGAGCGCAAGAAACAACTGGCAGAAAGGCAGAAGATCGATCGCCAAAACAGGCAGCAAATGATGGGCGAGCGCGAGAGGAACAGGCAGATGAAGCTCAAAGCAGTTGGTGGCAGGGAATGGGATTTGGAGAAGGAGGGCGGGTTCGAAGGCACTGGCGACGAACGACGGCGCGGGGCCGCAAGAGGCGCACACGGAGGAGTAGCAGGCGTCACAAGGACAGTGGGAGACGAATACATACATCAGCAGGAAGAAAGCAATACCTCTACAACCCGCGGAAGGGGTCGAGGGCGCGGCGGACGCGGTGGCAGGGGTGGTCGCGGTGATCACCAAGGCACAGCAAAGAAACTGGAAGCCCAACCCCCGCCTTCAGCATCCGACTTTCCCGAGCTTCCCTCCGCATCTACCGCTGGCGCCGCCAAGGACGTTGAAGCGCCTAAGAAGCTCGACTTTCCCATCCGGACGAAAACAGAGGACGCTGACGCTACCGAGCCTGAGCGGCCTGGTATCAAGAAGCAGGAGTCATTCGGCCTGCCTTCACCAATGGCGGGAAAGAGCTGGGCCGATGACGACTAGTAGGATACGATTTTGGATCGCGTTGTGGAATTGGACATTACACATACCAGGACGTGTTGATATCATTTAATTTGTGTCCGGTGGATTGCATAGGCAGACCGGCTGCCAAACATGCCCTCGAATGATGAATATATTAATACCTCAGGTTTCGATGGACACTGGCTCCGGGTGCGCACGTGAGTGCTAACATTAATCTCGTGGCTCGGGCGTGCTTGCCATGTTCTTTGCAGTTGACAAAGTCCGGTAAGCGGTCCACACGACAAGAAGAAAGCGCAAGCACCGTTGCGTCAACTTCGGATTCTGTTCACATCCGCGAAACACCCACAGACTATCACGCAGGCACCCGCCTGAGCTTAGTTACTGTTACCATGGCCAGCTCCGCTCGTCTCAAAAGAACGCATTCATCACTCTCAAAAATGTGCCTCTCGATCTTCCACCCGACAACGACGTATTGCGGCCGCAATCGAACCACTACGATCTGCATTCGTTGTTCAATTTGTCGATGGAAGTTTTCACTGCCTTCCGTGGCAGAACACGGCGAATACTAATCAGACTTTGTTGTTTGGCTTCTTCCCTGGGCTTATTGTTTTACACCGATTGTGAACTGATCGCGTGTCTGTCTAGGCCGCAGGTTCTTCGCCTGCAAATAGCAAATGTTCGCTATACACAAGATACCCCGCTTCCCGGATAACGGTTTAATCGAAATCAACTGTTCGTGGAATGCCTCGAACATTGAAGTGATTTCATGATGACGGACTCATTTTGCAGTAACGAGAGCAACGAATCAGCAGCTCAAGCACTTAAGGAGAAACTGGAGGACGATGCCCAACGTTTAAGTGACGTCGCTGCAGAACATTTCCTCCAGAAGCTCAAGGCTAGCATCAAGACCGAACCTCGCAAAGCCACTTTGTATTGCGAAGGCTTCGTCCACTTCCAGGGAAGCGTCAACGAGACTTATTGGGAAGAATCATTATCGACCATTAATCCTCCAGTGAATATTCGATTCAGACCCAATGGCGAGGGCGACACTTCAAATATCGAGAAACAGATTATCTCATTAGAAGAGCTGCATTCTTTGTTATCCGCTTATTGTCCTGCATCTTTCAGTCTTAGAGAGGAAAGCGTTATCAACAGGGAATTTCGAAAAGCCAGCAGGCTTACCAGCTCTGAGTTTACTACTACCTTCTGTCCGTATGAAGCAGGAATTATTGACGTTATTACACAACTCCTCCTTCCGCAAACAAATCAAAAGAAGCACAAACGCAGCTTCAGAATCAAAAATCCCACTATCGAACGCCATTTACCGCCACTAACAGCAGTGATGCAGGCCGAGTTCTACAGCCTAAAGGTCTATAGTACACCATGGGGGAAGCGTGAGATACGTCGCCCACTACGTCTCATATACTGCCCCAACTAATCGAACCAAAGCACATTGACACACCACGAAAGTTGAAGAGGAACAGGAAGCCTTGGACATATGACTGGCGCACCTTCGTCAGCCCTCAACCCTGCCCAGTTGGCCCTATAAGAGCCACTCAGAAAGTTTCTCAGAGCTCCAGCCTTCATGACACAAGGTAAGATGAACGAATTTGACCGGAACTGATCCGGAGTAACGATGTCAACAGGTCGAGTTCTCGCGGCTTGGCTCAGACACAGTTATTCTCACTTTACACCAACATGAATACGAACTTTCTTCCAAGCTCTCTCAAAGGCGCAGACATGTTATTATACAAGGCCGCATGTGCTCTTGGTCTTTGGTGTAGAGCGGTACCGGGTCTCATGGTACCACGTGCATTCAGCGAGTATTACTCTTGGAAAAGAAAGACAAAGAGAAGAGTATTATTTTCATCAACACGATTCGGGCTATAACAAGAATCCTGATGGTAGTGATCTCGACGAACATGGAGACGTCCCTTGGAGAGCTTTTGGTATCGAACTGCCTGTTGGCAAAGTGACATGGTTGAATTTGGATCTCGATGAGGAAGATGAGGTGTACGCAAATGAAGTTCGTGGCCGACCAGATTCACCGCCACAAGGAGACGACGAGGCGATTGCCCAAGCCGGGGAGGTCAGGAGATCATCTCTGCAATCACAGAACATTGGAACGCTGAAGGCACCTCAAATTGCTTAGTGTTGGCACTCAGAAATACAATTCGGGAGTGACCGCCTTGGCTGGAAGGATGCTGGTGACTGGACGCGCCTCAAACAGCGCTTTAATTGGTGCACAACCCACAGTAGCAGACGCTCAGCCAGTCCCGGAGCCTCGTGCAGCGGCTTCGACCTCAGCTCCAGGACGAGAGCTGCAGGAGTCACCAGTGGGTGTTGTGAGCCTCGTCGCACCGAGTTCAGGTCACAAGCAATCGCCAAACGGTCTAGGAGAAAAGAGGAAACGAGAAGACGATACCGAGCCACAACTCACGAAGAAACGGAAGATCGAATTCCTGGAAAGACCCCTGACTCACGAAGAGATGAATGTTCTCGACAAAGAATTGAGGCGACTCGATACAGACCGGGAATTTGTAGATTCCAAGCTTCAGAAAGAAACGAACGCAAAGCACGAGGAAGATGAGCGCAACAAGATGCGAGGCACTTCAGTAGAGGCGGCCCACAATCTGCAGTATGCGAACAGCAACTCCAAGGAAGCGCATAAGGAGTCGGAACGGCTACAACAGGAGATCAGAATCACACAGATTAGGAAGAGGCTCGGTGGCATGGAAGTTTCAGGCTGGATCCTCTCGCCAGAGGATGAACGATTCCTCGAGGACGCCGGCATTGAATGGAATTCCTAGTCGCCGGTAAGTGTTTTCACAAGGGCGCATGTCAACAGTTTGCGGAACAGAATCAATACTGTCGTGCAGTGTCTGATTAAGCCTCATGCAACGGGGTAGATTTGGACTTCTTGTTTTGTTGCGGCTCGCTCGGAATATGCTGAGGATACAAGTTATACGTCTCGCTATCGTGAACGCACATCAGTTAGGGCTTTTGACATGGGAAAGGATTTTTCTTACAGATCTGATGTTGATGCGGATGGAATGTAGCGTATAGAAACCACAAGTGTTCAACATAACTGTTGGATAAGGCTTCCATGGTGCAATGGTGATTACCGTTTCCGCGATGATGGTTGAGTGTTTGTTCCTCGTTACTCTAGTGATCCATTTCAGCAGCCAGGTGACCTACCGGTAATTGTGAGCTTGGAACGCTGATACATCTTAGTACAAGCCTTTTTTTCTGACCTGTCTTTTCCCAGAGCCGTGCCTGAGGGATGTAATCAGTCTTCGATTGCCTAGAATAGGACGGACTTATCCGAAGTAAATGTCTAGATATGGATACCCATATTAGCTGAGACGGAGAACAGAATTTGGCGACTTTTGGTCCAGTAGTCACTTACTTTTATGACGATAATGGAATCTTGACCTTGTAACCTATGCTTGAATTGTACACAGAGGGGCGCATCAGACACGTAAAATCCTCTCGTATCGTTGTCAACCGCTGTAAGCTACTGAATGATATCACCGGTAACAATGAAGCCTCCGGTCCAACGATCCAATTCCATCATTGACTCAGCCCTGTCTGCCTTGGTACTCAGCAGGGTCAATTTGAGCCCAGCGATATCTATCCTCGGTATCTCGTAATTGCTCTGCAGTATTTTAGCGCAATCGCCATATCATTTCGTAAAGAGGCGCTTAGCAGCTCCAAGCGCCATCGAAGGTTAGTCTTTAGGTGATTGAGAATGCATTCTTCCCGGATATAGTCTTCAACCAACATTGAATGCACAGTATTAGTGAGAACGATCATACCGAGCGTTGAAAATGATCGCGTTGCGCTCATTGCGATGACCCACGAAGTCTCGCTGATGAATGACTTTTACGAAGTCCATGTTGTAGGATCTTCCGGGACATCACCCAAAAATACGAGAACGCTGTAGGAGTAGTTTTTAGACGCCGGCATTGTCACGTGCACAACGCATTCGACATCGTGTCGCAGTGAGTCGAACTCTTTGTCATGTGCGACCAAACGTGAGTCCCGATAGAGAGTGTTGATGCGAGAGATTACAGTGTAGTTTGTAGGACTGCCAGTGAGCTCAAGGTGTATATAGCCTAACTCTACGACGTTTCTGCTGTTTGAAGATGTCCACCAGTCTCCGCCCGAAGTCCGATGGAAACGTGTGAGCGCTTGATCAAATTATCACAAGCACCAGAGACACCGGCTTTGAGACATATGAGAAAAGTTATCAAGGGCCATATTGCGCTGGATCGTCCAAGTGATCTGGGATGCGATACATCGGTCGACGAAAGTATCGGGAAACGAGGCTTGGAACAAAGCAATTTGTCTATCAACATTTCTAGGTAACATGGTTTAGTTGAACGGGTTTCGAGACTGCTGAGGATGCCTTACGGGTGATGAAGCCAGTATTGGGGATCAAAGCTGCCACTGCCGATGGAGACAAATGCCCGGGGTCCATAGCATTGTGCATATTATTGTGAGGGCTTTCGATCGAAGAAACTAGCGATTCGCCACAATTTCCATCATTGCTCAGATCGTTGAATGAATGATACTGGGTGATTGCCGAGTAAACGGTCTGTCTGAGTGAAGGCAGTTGTTGACGCAAATCACGATCCAGTGCGTCGTGACAACTGATCCACGTTCCGGATGCATTCGTCGCCCATCTAACTGTTCTCTGCGACGTGTCGCACACGGCGCCGTTCTGTCCGAAATCGCAACCTTAGAAATCTCAGACACTACAACGTAAAAGCACGCCTGCCATACTGTAATGTTGATCTGCGAGCTATCAAGTGGGTGGAAGCTGTAAGCATAGAGTGGGTTGTCGATCTTCACACGAGAGAGTCTTGAAGCGTGACGGAAACTCTAGGCGTGCTCAGCACTGCAGAGAAAACGGGCTCATTCCAAGGCAAAGCTTGCGCCCAGTCTCAATATGGTAATCGAAGTCTATTTGCTGCGTCTTGGTATGAGGCGTCGGAAAGCCATCAGCGATACTGATAGCAATGCCTGCTGCTTTTGCGGGTTATCTGCGCACTCGGTAAATTTGGGATGATGTTACCTCGAAAAGTAAAATGTACGGTCGATGCCACGTGCTGAACAATAGGTCATGGTGAGGACAATAGCCTACCTGCGGAGGTCGACCATTCGAAGTGTTGAAGGTTACGCCATCCCAGTCGTACCTAGTCGTATGGTGATTGTGTGCAATTTGTAAGACAACCATTATGCTTATCAGGGCATGCTGTGAATCCCTGGCACGAAGTCAGCTAATTTACCCGGCATATAGGGCTCACGAGTCTTACCTACGATTCGATAATAGGAATCGATATTGTTTTGGTCTATTGCCTGGAAATATCTCATAGCCAGAAGAAACAAATTCCACATGATGGGGTCTTGCTGGAGCTGCCGTATCTCTAGCCGAGGGTGTACGCTGCCTATCGCCCCGGTGATTGCATAGTGTGTACCTGGGCATTGTCGTATTTCCAAATTATCAGTTGGGGTGCCACAGACCTTTCCCACAAACCAAATAAATGAGGCGAGGTAGCAAAACAACAGCATCATGAGCTTGCCACAGGGCGAGTATGCGAGGAGATGTCCAACTTGGAGGCGGAAAGAAGGTTCTTATTATACGGACTAGCCTTGGCACCGAGATAGGTGCATGAACGTGCTGCAACTGGAGCACCAACATATTCAATGCAGTACAAGGCAACACACATGCTCAGTGACGATTGCAAGTGGCTAGTACCGTGTCGCAGTCCCAATGAACATAGCTTCGTATACTGTGGCATCTTCGTGTCTGTCACTGTGGTCCACAAGTAAGCGAAAATCTACTGTTGGGTTGTATAGACGGAAAAGTCGTGATTTCCTCGTGTTAATATGGTTACACTTTTCATGGAATATGCAGCCTAAGGCTATACATACGCTTGTATACATCGAAGGGCGAACTTTGGTAACTACTGGTTGAAATACGCACTGACAAGTTACTTCATAGGACGAGGCACGCTTCCTGATCCAATCGTTGATACTATCCAGTTTCTTGTGTCGGAATCCTCGATTGAGCTACAAGTGCACGTTTTGCTACTCCTCAGTCTACATGGTTTTCAAATCGGTAACTCGTTACCAGACTTTTCTCGGAAGAAGCTTGGTTGGATACCTGAGAGAAGATAATGGAAGCGCCGCTGCACACAATTATGTGACAATTGGCTTAGCATTAGGGACGCATGGTCGCCTGACAAAAGTCGAATTTGAAGCTGAAGATCTGTTGTTTTGAAACGTAGAATATGGAACGAACATAAAGAGGTTGGGCTTAACCGTTGAGGACAGTAATGCCAAAGGGTCTAAATTGTACCATACATTGTTGCGGAGTGAAAAGAAAAAATCGTGCACTGATATAGTGTAGAGGGTTAATGAAATGCGCCAATCCATGGCAGGATGAAGATACAAGTTGTAGACACAAGGACGAACAGCCACTGTGGCGCTCATTTATAAGCAGCACAGCCACAGTTATTCCGCATCCGGTAGTCACGGTGAAAAGGTTGATGACATCACTAAAACACTCTGCCGAGCTCTTTCAAGATCACACAGTCATTCATGATATATAATGTCTCGGGAAATTGAGCCTCGCCCGTCTCTATCGTGGATAATGTAACTCGCGCGGGTCGCGGTTATTACCCGCTGGTCAAGGTCCAGCTCCAACGCAGCTCGCTTGTAGTGTGTTTACGCGCTAAACCGACGCACTTTGAGTGTAAACATCTCCCGTGCGCACGTTCTACATCCTTCTCAAAGTGAACGGTTGACATCGATTGTCGCCAGTCGAGACATTTGCTCGTCTATTTGCTTCATTTCCCTGCCTTCGGCTTCTACGGCAACGACACCCAAGTGCGCTAACATATCCGGATGCTTTACATTACTCTTCAGATATTTGCCATGCGGGGCAGTCACATATGGTCCCGACTCGCGCGCAAATCCCGATAATTTTTCCGATTACTTTGCCAAGGGCTTGCGCTGCTGAAAGTCAACTAGTGAGATTGGGCTTCCGGGCTGCTATAGTGCGTTCCAGTCGCATGCAATCTCGCAGGAGACACAAAGTTGCTTGAGCACGGGCTCGTTCGCGCGAAATCGAATTGAAGCATCAACCTCGGCATCGACATGGTACATGCCGTCCAATTACACTCGCTGTCATGGATAGCCTTGTCTAGACTCTAAGCGATGCGTTCAGCTCTCGATACTTGGGAACTTCACCGCTTCTCGAGCCGCTTCTCGAGCCTCGTCTATGTCTGCATGATCGCTCTGAGGCTTCTGCCGACCGCGTGTCCGGTCTGTGACCTTTATGGCTACAGGTATCCTTGTTCACGGAGGCGTAACAGGTGAGGCACAGATATCTACAGAAGGCACGCAACTGGATGCTCCCCTGTCATGTATGAACGTACCTTGCAACTCATAGGTTCCACTAGACACTTCCATCCCACGAATGTATGACCGGCGTCAATATCACCGTGTTCTGCCGAGTCTATCCATCGACTGAAAGTCACACACTTGTGATACAATGAAAAGAAGCAAAGATGTTACCAGCTGCCTCAATCTCCCATTGCTCAAACGAGGCACCTTTTCTTGTCCTTCTCTTAGTCTGAGTAGAATCACTCCAAAGTATTCCCGGGATCGGACATGGCTCCATACCGAGGGTACCCACTTATGCGTGCGCCAACGCTAGCAAGGTGATCGGCACCGCGCCACAAACATGTCAACATCAAAGGACAAGCTAGGAACACACAGCGTTTCTTGCACCTAGTCTTTTTCTGGAGGTAATAGTACAACGCCCGCATTCGATTCTCCCGACATGATGACTTGTGGTGAGGGATTGTGTGAACCATAAGCATAACAGCTGTTCTCGTTCTCAAGTCTCCTGCGCATCAAGCTAAGGGCAGAATATTCCGTGTGGATGCAGAATTGCTTCGCCGGTTCATACTCAATCGTGAGCTTGTGGAAATTGCGTACGCACATCCCCCGCATTATCTCTCGGCCCTTTTCAAGGCGTACCTCATCGCAACGTCACCCGCCGATGCATCACTAGGCTGTGTACTTGTCCTCGCGATTCTGAGTACTCTTGGGCTCCCGCCGGAGCGGGTCCCATGCTTCCCGCCATATATCTTGGCACTGCACCAGCTCAATAAAACCGTGGAACAAACCGTAGCGATAGTAAATCGTTCAAGCCGTTGTACGTACTACGCGGATCTAGCAAAACCTCTAACCCTCTGAGTACCTCGCTTGAACGTAACCGCGGCCGAGGGTCCAGCGTTTGTGGCCTTGGGTACTGTCCGGAGTTACTCCACCGCCTTCTTTTCCTCATTCTTACCGGGACCGTGGGCGTTACGAGCGCCCCCCTCTTCTTGTGAGATTGGCACCGTGCGTCACTCCATGTGGCGCCGCGTGCGTCCGCTCAGCGCTTGTGCTGCAACACCCAGCCCAGCGTCAGCTTCTCTGTTGCCGATGACGAGGGACACTGGAGCACTCACGTTGCCAAGTTTTCGTGTTCATATGCTTTGTAGTGTGCCCCAGCCACTTGCCTGCTGGTGGTTCGTAATGCACCAATGAGGTCGTGACCCAAACATGCAGGCTCAACCAAATCTATACTCATAGTTCATGGTGCTCAACTTGCAGACCAGCGTGTCTCAACATCGGCAGAAGCATCATCCACATTTGTGACCGATGAGTACCTCACTCGCTTGCCATCAGCACGCTCACACAAGGCGCATTTGCTAGCGAATCGAGGCTCGAGCGATTGATCCCTCCCCATGCATATGCGGCTACTGGATGGATGCATGGAAGAGCCTTCCTAGAGCGCGACTAGCCTAAGCTCTTACTTCATCGAGCAGCGACGCTGATTCCATGCACGAGCAAGGTGCCGATGGGCGCAAAATTTCTCAGCCTGAAGCCATCGTTTGCGCCCGCCAGCTTCCGTCCGCCGTCTGCTTCATCTTGTCAGAACCGATGCGTGCCTCTTCTACTGCTGAGACATTCTGATACATGAAAGTAGAGTAACGACAGCTTGTCACGTTGTTCAAAGTCACAAAGTGGAGCGCATCCTGGGCTTTTCTCGAACGAGCTCGCTCTCCACCCCTCACAACGCCTCTCGGCGCCATACGTCCCTCAGCATCATCGAACCAACCACTTTCCTTCTATCCTGGGCCCATGCAACACTACGCATCCAGGCCTCATTCTCCCCACCAGCCCAGCCCTCTTACATACCTCGAGCCAATCACCACCTTGGGCCCAGCCGACCGCATATCGGACCCACTAACGCACATTGTTCTCTCGTCTCGGGATCAAAATTGCGTGCGACCTGCCAGCTCCCTCTCCACAGATCCCTTGTGCGGTCTGTCGCTACCGCCTTACCCAGCATTGCTTTCAGCTCACATGATTGAAACTTCGTGCGGAGCCGCGAGTAGTAAATTTCAACGTCTTAGCATGACAACAAGACGTCCTCGGGATGCTAGCCGGCCGTCTTCGCGACCACTGTTGTTATTTACATAGCATGCGACCGCAGAGGCACGGTAGGGGCGGAAAGAAGGAAGAAGGAGGCAAAATTATATTGGTTTAGCTATGATTACCGGGTGCGAGGTTGCTTTCGGGGAGGTTGCAGAAAAGGTCGGAACTTGTTGTTGTCTCGCCGCTTAACGATTGGTGTGGCAGCTGTTGTCGACGCGAGGCTCATTTTGGCATTGCAAAACAACAACTTACTGTCTGCAAAACGCGGCAAAGACGCCTTCACCGACACTCTTGATCGAAAGTATTCTACGACTGATGTCAGACGCAGCGACACAATGTGAGACATAATCTATCGGCGAGCAAATATTGGCCCGGTGACGGTGCTCTTGCCTCGTTTGAGGATAACGCAGAGTTGGACAGGACATTTGACGGGAGCAAGGTGCAGGATATCGCCACTGCACTGACAGTGAATCAGGCCCGAGGGTATGTCGTACGCTACGAGAACATGTCCACGGTGGGGCGACCGGTCAAGACGCTCTGACGAAGGACTGATTTTAGCATCTTGTGACGCCCTTTCTGCTCGTTATGGCAGGCATTCCCAGCTTGGTCCGCGGTGAAAAACGGACAACGCCACGCGGAGTCGTTTGTCACAGCTGTTATTGATTACCAGACGGATGCCCGGGTGAATGCCTCAGAAGATTCAACCAAACGGTGCCCGCCACGTCAGAGATCTCCGATGGGGCATGGCTTTGGCCCATCCTAGCGTCGTCCCGGATGCCAGATGATTGCCTCGATATGCGATGGCGGACTAGGTGCCGCATAAACTTCACGCCATCCTGTTATCTAACAGACACATGCCTGTCAGCGTGCATATCCTAGCGATTCAACAGTGGCGGCATGCGGGAAAAGCAGGCCGGCGAACGGGCAATTGATCAGCTGAGGGAAATGGAGCGGTTGTGCAATGCACCCTGCAAGTGCAGAGGATGGTGGACCACACTAAGGTGGCATGGTAGGACCGGACGGATGCCCGAGTGCGGATGTGCAGCGGTTGCAGATAAGGTGACTGGTCGACGATGCCTCCAGCCCGTAAGAGTGAGGGGGTTGGGAACGCTCATGTCGGGCAAGGGTGGCGGCATGCCCATCAGGGAAAGGTGACGAACGGTCAGAATAGTGTGGTTGTGTCTTCCCGAGCCTATGCGTTAGTTAGCCCATCTGCCACAGTGAACCGGAAACGACGCGAGCAAAATTACACGCCGGGGGGGATATGCGGCACGCCATAAACACGAAAGGAAACGGAGGACCAGGAGAATTGCCAGCGTCCAACCAAAGTGCCCGTTGCACATGTGCTCGAGCGCTGTCCCGTGAGTTGCACGCACTCAACCGACACTTTCATGGCAGAGCCAGGGAGGGCTTGATGGCGAATAACGTTCCGTAGACTTCTACTGTTCCAGCCAAAGGCGTAGAATAGAAACCTGAGCATCATTGGCCAATCGCTTCCCCTAGTGATAAACGACTCGTGGAGCGGACTGCGGTTCGGCAGAGACTATCAAGCACGTGACTGGCCTCGCTTCACAAATCTTCAACCTCATGGTTGATGAAAGGCCCGAAATTGTCCAAACAACTTATCTGGCCCCATCGATATGAGTTGGCTGAAACATGGCGACAAGGAACGGATGTCAGTTCCCGCCAGACAAGGAATATTTTGCAGCCAGCGAGCCACCGGAGCATCCAGCCCCTAGCAGATGTGAATATCTGTGCAGCTGGCACGCCGGCACAGCCTAGGGTATCATTGCAGATGGTCTCCGCACTTGCCTAGCGGCTGGACGACAGGTTGGCGTTGATCGTGGCAATGTTGTTGGACGGGACGGGGTGGGGTACGACGCTCATCGACTGACGGACGGGTCATGGCACCAACGCATGGTCTGACAGCGGGAAGGGTTCTTGGGCCATACGCTGGCTTCGATGTCGGCAACAGCGCTCTTGTCTGAAGCATAAATAGCGGTAGGTCGTCCCAAAGATTCACTCCATCAAGCTCCAATCCACCAGCTCCTCCAGTCAAAGCTACCCAGTCTTGACGCTCTGCCACAACTTCAGACGTTGATCTCACTTGAGCCTTCTCTTCCAGACGAGACCATCGGCAAGGCTACTTGCCCATTGCCTCTCATCCAACCGATGTATGTCTTGTCTAACGTTTCCCCATTCGCATAACCCCTGAGGCTCATCGATATCATAGCTCGAGCGATCGTCCAATCAGCACGCAACTGTGTTCCATCGAAGACGCGGAAGGTACGCTACGAGCTCTTGATATCCAAACAATTGTACCATGAGGCTAACGTTCCATCAAACGCCAGGCATCTCCAACTCTTGAACTCTTGAAACATGTGTTTTTACGACATGCACCGATTCGCTTGTGGCGATTGGAAGTGGGGCAACTTCCGCCAGCACTGCGCCAAGGAGTACCGCATGGGCGAAACGTGCGGCATGAAGCTCGTGAACCACACCATCCATGTACCGCAGAAGTGCAAGATCTGCGAGAAGGTCGAGTGCAAGCAGAGGAAGCGGGCCGCGGAAGTGGACCGCATCCACCGCTGGCAGCGCGAAGGAAATAAGTTCCGGGCGTCCATCGACAAATCAATGGACGCGATTGCCAACATTGATGTCGAAATCCGGAACTTGAACTACGAGATGGCACGCCGACGCCAACAGATTGGCGCGCAAGCATGTACGTGAGTCGGTCGCGATGGCGCGGGCGTCTGGAGGCCGGTTTCATATACACTGGTTTGGGACGTGATTTGGACGGAGCCCACACTTTTTCTGGCGTTTGTGGACGGATTGACAGGGAAACGGCCGACGATTAGGACAGAGACGGGCCAAAGGAGATGGGCCGGGCGTTACCTCATACCGTCGCTTGATTTTCATATACCTTAGCCATTGCTTTAATGATGTAACGACGATTTTCATACACCATGATTGGCCGTGTTTTGGTTGTGACGAAGTAGCCGCTGTGCTCTGCGATGGGGGCTGAAGCTGTCCAATCCGTGGAGTGCGCGTGCCGCGAATAAGAGCGGGGAGTGATGGCGCACGGCCCGCTGGGAGCGGCGCGGCGGTTGCTCCGAGGTGGTGAGCGCGAACAATAAAAGTGAAGCAAGTGCGCGCCAGCACCGCCGGCGTCCGCGAGGGCAGCAGCCGGGGAAGAGAGTGAAGGAGGGATGTTTGCGAGCAGGCCGACGTTGAGGTGGGATTCGCTTGGGCTTGGGCAGGCACGCTAACGCTTTAGGGACGCGACGGGCCACTCCCGCATTTCCCCGCGCAGAACCTCCCACCAAACCCGTTCTTGTCGTCAACACCACATGTGCATGCTCGCCTGCATCGACGCAGCGTCGGCAATGCACCTCCAGCGTCCCTCGAGCCGCCCGATGCAGCACCGCGTCCCACAGTCTGCCCGTGACCACCCGTTCTGCGGAGGGCAGCTGCCACCCCATCGCGCCTTCCATGTGCGCCGTGTAGGTGAGGTGAGGTGAACGCAAGCCTCTGCGGAGAGGCGCGCCGGCTACGCAAGAGGTAGTGATCCGGTTCGATCCAGCGAAGCAGCAGCGAGACTGCCGTGGCTCGTAGCGTCCTCCGGCGTCCTGGTCGTCGAAGCCTTCGTTCCCGTTGTAAAACCGTTGTGTTGCCTGTGTCGCATGGTGGTTATCGTGCCCGTGGCACTTTCCCTTCCTAAAAGCTCACTAAGTCAGTAACGAGTCATAACCACCATCCGGCATCCATGATGAGAGGGAACCGCATCATATCATAGCCATCGTCGGCCGGCAAAATCAGCTTCGAAAGCGCAACTTACGTGGCGGTCTCTGAGTGGCCTGTCCTTGCAGTGGTCTGTCTGCTGTTCGTCACCATCGCTGCACTTCTTCGTAAACTGTACAGCACATCACAAGAATACGCCATCGATCGCGTGGCCGATCGCTCGTCTCTTTTGCGGTCGAACGTGTTGCTGAAGTCTGCATCTTGTACCGTGTGCAGAAGTGTGCGGGTCGCGGGTGCGGGCACTGCTCACATTTCATAGCCATTCTGGTTTCCATTCCACCCCATGGCGAGCAGGTCAGGCGCTTATCCTTCCTAGCAAACTTGACGCTCGTGTACGACGCTTAATCTGGGCCGGACGGGTCTGACAGGGACCGTGGAGGCCCAGCGCTGCACTCTGGAGCCAATGAGACAGCAAGACGTGTAGAAGAGGTGGAGAAATCGTCTTCAGGGCATAGGGATGGCGTAGGGCGATTACCCTGGCCAGATGCTGAAGACCCATGTATTGGGCAGGAGAGGTTGTTTATGTGCATAGGCAAAGCGACCCACAGGCCAATGAGAGCGCGAAAGCTGCCTCCAGCTTCCTCCCTCACATTGCCCGATACCCTTCTCATCTTTCTCTACTTCGAATCCGGCGACAGTGTAATCTCTGCGGCTCTCGGCGACGCGGAGGGCTATCACCCAGCGAATCATGAAGACCTTTACCGCTTCTCAACCTCTACCCGCTTCGACTATTCCCTCTTCAGCTCGTCTCGCCTCGACCCGTTCCCGTCAATTATGTGCAGCCGTACCGATGCAAGACATCGGTCAAATTGGCGGGTTTCTAGCATCAGGATGTAATCCAGTCCATGCTCTATCTCTTCACGACTTCACATGCCCTGGACGTGTATCATGGCAGAGACACCTCGCCTAAGCTCTCAACTTCTGCTCTCATCTCAACGAGATTATCTTTCTCCTTCATTTCGCTTCAGCGTCACTGACGCTGTGGGCGCTGCATGTGTCCAACACCACTGTGGGACAAATACAACCAGCCGCGCGGGTGCCCATTTCTGGTACCTGACGCTGTCCCCAAAATGCGGAACCGCAGACGCAATTTTCCAGGTACCGTTCGATCATTCCCGCCTCTGCGGGGTGCAGCAGCGTTTATGTATCGTTTTCTCAATCCGAACATGGAGTCGCCCGTTAGCGCTATAGCTGCGCCAAATAATGGCACGTGCCTCCAGCTTCGCGCTTGTCACCCCTCACCAACTACCAATTATGCACCCACAGAGCCATTTGACTAGGAATTTGACGGCTTCGTCCTGTCCTACCAGCGTCAAGCCCTCGACGACTCGCGCAATAAGAGTGTTTCGCAAATCGTAAGACCTTTACTTCCCATCTTCGGGTCGGCCAATCAGCATGCGGAACGTCTACTTCGAAAGCCGCCCAGGTACCCAACGGAATGTCAAGGCGCTAACGTTTCTGGAAACCCTCGCAGACGTTGATCGTGCCATTTTTTGAGCTGTAGCACGTCTATCTCCGTGTGCAAATCCTTGATTTCGGTATTTTCCTGCATTTCACGGGGTACAGCTCGGCAATTCTCCGGTCTTATAATATAGCAAATACATCAGTCGGCGCGTCGTCGTTGGCTGGGGTCTTCAACCGGGAATCTCCATAGACGCGTCCGCTTCGACTACAATAGATGCCTAGAGCACGCGCAATTCCTGCCGAAGCTCTTTCGCAGATTCAGTATGAGCACGGAGCTTTTCATGCAAGGTCCAGCGGATACTTTTCCGATGGCGCTGCGCCCTTGCCGTCTGTTGAGGATGGACAAGTCGTGTCGTAATCGGTGCTCGTTTTCGACTTCGCGAGTCACTTTCGTACCGGTCCCACAAATCTTTTCGGTGCAACTATCTTCGTTTTGGATAGTCTTCTCTCTATCATGTCTATTTTTTCATGTACACAACAGACCAAATTGAGATGACCGCGCCTCATGCCCACGTGATGCAACGCCAGCGGCCTCGAATGCAATCTAATGTGACAATTCAAAAGAGAAACAAACGCTTGTTCATGATGGAAACTCCGCGCCATATTCACGAGCTCATTTTCTCCTCTCAACCGCACCATCTCCATCGCTCCTTCCCGACGCCTTCGCGCCTTCCTCCTCCGGCGATGTGACATCGATCAAAACCTCCTTCGTGCTCGCCGCCGCCGACGCATTCCCGGCAGTCTGCTTGCTCCACAACTCCCAGTACTTCCCACTCTTTGCGATCAACTCCGCGTGCGTGCCTCTCTCGATAATCTCGCCCTTCTCCACCACCAAAATGCAATCCGCATCGACGATGGTGCTTAGTCGATGCGCAATGACAAATGTCGTCCGGCCTCTGCTCAGCTTCTTGAAAGCCTCCTGGATCTGCGCTTCGATAGCCGAGTCAATAGCCGACGTCGCCTCATCCAGCATCACAATCTTCGGATTCTTGAGCAGCACCCGCGCGATGGCGATGCGCTGCAGCTGGCCGCCGGAAAGCCGCACGCCGCGCTCGCCGACCTTGGAGGCGTAGCCGTCGGGGAAAGAGATGATGTCGTCGTGGATGGCGGCGGCGCGACAGGCGTCTTCAATCTCAGCGTCTGTGGCGTTGAGCTTGGCGTATCGCACGTTCTGGCGAATTGTCTGGTTGAAGAGGGCGGGATCCTGGGGGACGAGGCCGATGGAGTCGCGGATGCTGGAGAGCGTCACGGAGCGCAAGTCCTGCCCGTCGATCATAATGGAGCCGTTTGTGACGTCGTAGAAGCGGAAGAGCAGCTTGAGCATTGTCGATTTGCCGCCTCCCGTCTCGCCGACGAAAGCTAGCGTCTTGCCCCCCTCGACTGTGAAGTTTACGTTCTTGATGATCTGCTTGCGCGCGTCGTAAGCGAAGTCTACGTCTTTGAATTCGACCTTTCCGGCCTTGACCACGAGTTCTTGAGCATTGTCGTGGTCGGAGACGCTGGGCTTTGTGTGGAGGAGCTGAAGGAGACGTTCTGCGTCGATGAGACTGCTGGAGATGTGGCGGTAACTGTAGGACATCATGTAGAGGGGGCTCATCATAGTGCCCCAGTACATGATGAAGGTGATGAGGTTTCCTACTGGCTTTCCGCTGTAAATGATCTGGTGGATCGCGAAAATGCAGCACGCCGTAAAGCCGAAGGTCATGAGCAGATCTTGTGCTGCGTGGCCACCCACAGAGCGGAAATAATATGCGTAATGAGCCGAAATCGTGCTTCGGATGTTGGTTCGATAACGCTCGGTCTCGTGGTCTACCCTATTGAAGTATGCGACGGTCTGCCAGTTGTGGACTGTCTCGTTGACGGTCGTGTTTTCTGTACGCTGCTTGGCAACATACACCCTCCGACGGGCCTGAGACCAGGTTGTGAAATAAAGCCCTAGCCAGATGTATCCGAGGCCCATGAAGAGGACGAGGAAAGCCATGTAGGCATCGAAGAGGTGCGTGACGTAGTACATCGCAATGATAAGATCGACAAGGATGGGGAAGACCTCGAACAAGACTAACTCAATCAGCGAATTGAGTGAGGAAGCCTGCTCAACAGCCTTCAGCACCTCGCCAGAGTCCTTGGCGGTGTGAAAGTCCATTGAGAGACTCATGAGGTGTTTGTACGCCAGTATCGTAATTCTCTCGAAAGCTTGGTTACCAATGTATGTCTCGGCAAAGTTATCTATGATACCGAGACCGCTGTAACTGTTGATCCAGCGGTATAATGTCCACAGTCCGATGTCGCCCCACGGCATCTCATGTGCGCCTTGAGTAATCTTATTGGTGATGATACCAAGCTGTCGCGGTTCGAGAAGATTAAGTGCACGCCCCTGGATCAAGTGAATGAGTCGAAGGAAGAGAGCGAGCATGATTCTCCAGTCGTCCTTGGGCCATAGGTAGGGCAGGAAAATCATGAAGCTCTTGAGGTATCCGAACCAGCCACCCTGCTCTTCAAGTCGCTTTGCCTGCTGCTCTTTGATTTCTTTATCAGTAGCCGGGGATTCGTCTTCGTCACTGTCGTCTGGTACTGCCTGTTCGATCGAACCGTATCCCGCGCTCCCATTCGCTTGTGTCGATCCGTTTGCTGTAGTGGATCCATTCGCTTGCGTTCCCAGTAGGGACTGCTCTTCCTCATCCGTCCCTCTTTCGCCTTTTACTGATATCAAGATTAAGAATGAATCTACCAGGAGGACGAAAGAAACGAATGCTCTCGCTGCGCTGATGCTGAGTGGGATGTTGCTATATCGATCATCGAGCGGTAGAGAAAACCCACGAAGCAGGCAGGTTATCGCCTCAAATACGAACTGGACAACGAAACTTCCAAAGTATGGGTGCCAGATAAATGTTTTGCTGGTGACGATAGATGAGCTGAGGGGAATCCAGACCAATACTGATCCTAAGCATCGGATAGCTGCGTGTTGCGGAGCGGTATATTGCAAGTCCGCAATTGATCGGCTCAAGTAGTAGATAAGCTCTGCGACGTAGCCCACCAGTAGAGTGAATGCTATTGTGATTGTGAGGCGCCGGCGTTTCCGTGAGATTGGCTTCGACTTTTGCAGCACGCACATGCCGAACGCCGTCGCGGCAAGGAAGTAGAGACCCACCGAGGGTGCCTGCATGTAATCCAGCAGTACCATCGCGGAATATTGAGCGACGCTACCTCTTGGGTTCGCCATTGCGCTTGGTTTGTCGCAAACGCTTCTCTTGTTGATGGCCAAATTCTTTCCACGCAGGGACCTTCATGCGGTCACACCAACTGCTGCCGACGATGCAAGGAAACTGAAAGACGTTGAGCCTGTTCGCAATCGCGATGAAGCCTTTATTTCACAAGAGGCCGGTGTTTACCGTCACTTGCGGGAACCTGGGGTCCAGCTATTGCACTAGACTAGTTTCTTCGGCTTGTGGAGAGAGAGGCGCAGCAGTTGATCACAGCTGCTGTGGCGCACCTTATTCTCTCGGCGAAAGCGACAAATGCTACGCGAGGATGGTCGACAGGACTACACCATAGGCGAGGGCGATATAAGGCGGCATGAGCTGGATATACTTAAATTGCTGAAGGGTTTGCGACAACGTGCGTCCAGGCATTCCACCGTGCGTGGTGCAACCTGTGCTTCTCGGCGCACAAAATGTGTTTGCGCAAGCAGCTGCTGCCTACACAAATTATTGTTATCGTCGTTTCGCGACACGAACGCGTTCAGTCACACTGTTTGTGGTGGCTGGTCGCGCTCCTAGCTGAGGAATGGTAGCATGGCTGGCGTAGAACAACCCGCACCGCTCCGTCAGCCTTACCTTCGCCACCGCGGTGCGACGGGGGCCGGTGTTTGGCCCCTAAGCAATATACGCATTTGCGAATAAGGGTATAAGTCGACGCGTTTGCACCTGTCCTAGCGCTGCTACGCAAACTGCAGGCAGTGGGCATGAGTCCGCTGACTATGCGCTGAGTCACTGATGATTCGAGCGGCCTCTCAGCTTCAGTCAGCTAGCTCGACGATTTTGTGGGAGTGAGGCAGAAGTATAGCGATGGGACTCTGGGCAAACCCAAGAGAATGTTGCGGTCAAGGTCGTTGCTGCCTAAATCCCCATAGATGCCTTGTGGCTTCCAGAAGCGGCTTAGTATTTATGCTCTGTGTCGCCACCCCTCGACTATTCTTCACACTGATCATCTCAATTTGGATTTCTACAACCTACGGCAAAGGGGACTTAGACTCAAAATTACGAAGCACCTTGAGACCTGCAACAGGAAGCAATAGTATCAATAATATACAAATTATCGCCTTTTCGCCTCACTTCTGCGGCCAGCAGCAAAAGACTTAATCTACACTATTGGCAGATCACGAGATTGATTCATCACTATCGGTGCTCGAGCTGATGTTTCACGCCATCATCGATTCGAAGCGACCGGCGGATTTCAAGAAGTATGACCAGGAGTGTATATGCTATGAAACGAGCACGGAGCAACACCTGAACATCAGACAATGTTTCTGTACACCCAACAGACAAATGTTTGAGGTATCAAGGACACTTTCGGTGATCACATAGAGTAGGCTACGGTAATCACGGTTGAATAATTGCAGGTTCTTCGCCCCTGACTGGCCGCTCACTATCCATCTTCGAAGCATATAGTACAATCTCTTCGCAGTCAAATTGATATTAAAGACAACGTTTCGATCGATGCATGCAAAAAGGTATCTATGCCACACTATTGCTCAACCGCACGGGTACAGTGCCCCATCGATCCTTCGTCTGACATCGTCCCGCCCACCCCTTACCCCGTCGTGCCAATGCTCTCAGACCATCTCAACCATCCCTCGTTTCCTCTACATCTTTGTATAATTCGAACCATGCCCTTACAATCATCACCGGGTTTTACTCCACACCGTCTTCTACCCACCCACACCACTCACCCACACCCTGACCGCCCAGAGCCTTCGTCCGCGGAATTCGTTTGCCCTGAGGCGCCGTGACAACTCCCAGTCCTGTGATGTGACTGGCCACCCCGCGTGCAACCGCCCGTGCTTCCAAACCACCGTTTGCACCCCGCTCCCACAGCGCAGAGCTCAGCCCGTGTGCACTCCGCCGCGTTTCTGACCCAGAAATGGGGTGCCGGGACGCGGGATCTTTGTGAAGACCGTCTGTCCCGCACGCGAGGGCGTTTACTTCCAATGCCGCTATGGCTCTGACTGTAGCAGGGCGGCTGTGTCATGCCATAGTACGGCTATAAGATAGCTGTGGAAGCTCGCAGCCTGTGGATGCGTGTCAATCGTTGACCGACGTCCGCTCGAGTCCTTCGTTTACAAGCTGGCTTACTGGCTGCAGGGACGCCGAGCTGTTCAGTGCAAGGCGTGTGAATGCTCGAGCCTTCCATCTTCTCTCGTTCACGTTCGCAGAGCCGCGTGAGTTGCGGGTGTATATATTGCCTTGCTTTCCGCTTGCTCGCTGCTTGGACTGTATCTACTCGACGAGCGTCTGGTTCGGAAATAAGTAGAGAGGGACATTTTGTAGTGCTACGAAGATACGAGTTCGCCGGAAGCACGTCAAGTGCTAGCACAGCAGGTATGAGCAATACTTGTCATAATTTAAGTTTCGCTATAGCTCACGGTTATAGCTTGATCGCTCGAGCCGACCCCTCTGCCGCCGAATAATCCACATTCACCCCTTCTCGGAACCGATTCACTACTTTCACCGCTTGGGCCTCGACCTCGACCTCGGCCTGAATTACCACTGCCAATGCTTGATAGTCTCTTCACGCCAACACCATCGCAACCTCGGACCAGATCTGCGTCACCCAGACCACGTTCCACCCGCGCTCCTGCAGGTGCAGGCGCAGCCAGCACGAGCCGCACGGGTGCCCTAATTACTTGAGGGGCAAACCGTCCTTACTCACCGCAGTTGAAACACTTTGACCTCGACTCCTCCCTAAGAGGGGCAATCACCCTCGCACCAGCGACCACCCACGCGTGCTTGAACAAGTATTGCGCCTTCTCCCCAGAGGTACGACACTCTCTTCCGCTCATTCGAAAAGCTTTTGCAAGCAAAGGTAAAGAACACTCACAATGTCTTCCCCTAAACCCACGCCCATCCCCACTACCCCCCTCCGCGCGGCCCGCTTCCAGTCGGCCACACCCGGCTCTTCGGTCTCCATGCGTGCGCAATGCAGCGACAACCCGGCGGACTTTGCCATTGTCAAGATCCATACCGCCAAATGTTCCATCTGCGACAGGCGCAACGCAACCGACAAGATGCGCCGCTGCAAAGGTTGCACGTGGCAGATCTGTCGTCCCTGCCAGATCCAGCGCGAAGACAACGGTCGATCCTTGGCCCACGGTAACTCAATGACTGCGACCCCAACAGCATCAACGGCGCGGCGCCGCGTATTCCCCCCTACGGAGATCAAGGATCCTCAGGCTGAGGCCGCGTTGGCAAAGGTCAAGAAAGAGATGGCTGAGGAGGCGCCAGCCAAGAAGAAGACTGGCAAGTCCACCGTGGCAGCTCAAGAGATTACCACTCCTCCGTCCAGAAACGAGCGCACGAAGCTCCAGCGGAAGGCCAAAAAGAATAGGGGTTTGGCTGAGGTCGAAACGGAGTCTGACGATGGTGATGATAATGAGGTGCTGGTGCGTGACCAGCTCTCTCCGTTTGGCGGGCCCGGCAGCAAACGCCGCCTTGATTTTCAAGACGCTTCATCCGCAAACGAGGACTCTCCAAACAAGCGAGCGCGCATGGAGTGGCCGGAGCGAATGAAGGCACCAACGCCTCTTCCCGCCGAGTGGGATATGACGCCGCAGGAGAAAGCGAACCTGCAGGAGAAGATCTACGCCAACCTCGCCGGCGCAAACGGTCTTCGTTCATCGCAGCACCCCTCGACTATGAAAGACAGGTTTGGAGTCGATACCGTGCCTAGTCGCGCATACCCGGGCACTCATGCCCAGGGTCAGCCCGTTGTGTACCTCAGCACTTCCACTCCACGTAGCCGACAAGTGTTGATCCCCAAGACCATTTCGCGCAATGGCAAGCCTCGCAAGTCAGGCGACAAGCTGGTGGCGGAAATCCAGGAGAAGGTAAGAATCAAACTCCACGAGCGCTATGGATGGACATACACTGGAGCACCGCCTGCAGCTGTAAGTAGCAGCGCGCAGGCATTTAGCTGAATCGCGACTAACAACTTGCAGACGGATACCCCTCCCGATGAGCTACCTGCTCGGGAGCCACGTCAAGGCACTCTCCGTGACCTTGTCGACGACGAAGTGCGCACCCTACACCACAACTTGGGCCTGGACGAGGACCAGCAAACCGAGTTGGTCGCAGCTATGAAGGGTGCTGCTCGCAAATGGGGCAATGATATCGTAAAGTCGATGCCAGCAGGCTTCAAGACCATAGCCAAGCCAGGCCTTGATCTTGCACTTGAATACCTCACCTATGCGCAACAGCAACGGGTCGTCGCCCTTGTTCAGATGCAAGCTGGCAACAAGCTGAAGGAGTTTGAGGCCGAGGGCACTCCTTCCTCAGTTGATGCCCAGGGAGTTGGTGGCCCGGAGAACGTGGACGGTAGCCAGGGCGAGCGCTGAGCGGTCGACGTAACGGACATCTCGGTAAGACGGTCCCCCCTGCTGCTGTCAAATGCATGATGATAACTCTTTAGAGGCGAGAGGGAGGCTCTGGTATCGTCACGTCGCACAGCCTCCGAGGCCGAGGCCGTCGCACACAAGCCAGGATCAAGACGACTGGCCGATGCGTGTGCCTGCATTGCATTCACTGAGGCTTTCATGGCAAAGTGGGAGGTGATTCTTCGTCTTGTTCGATTCTAATGACACAGCGTTCCGTTGTGCGGTCGCAATGACCATCGGACTTTGTCATGTTTGGTGTACACAGTGTCTTCTAAGGTATCTGTAGGATATGAGATAGGGTTTTATGAGAGGAAATTATTCCGACACCTGTACATCGTAATTAGACAGCGACTTTTCACAACACTGGAAGCGGTGCTCACGAACGGGGCCGAGGTAGCGGATGTGCCACTAGATCACGACGATGGTGATGGGTGACGTGAGGGTGAGGCGAGTGCACACAGCGCATGAATAAGAATATGAAGAGATGATGGAATGGTATTAGCGCAGTAGATGCCTACTGACTGACGCAGATGTAACAGAGGAAATAGGATCCGAGACATGTCTGATGGAGCTAAGAAATTGGGGGTGGGTATCAGAACAGCCCGAGGGACAGGCACAGTAAAACAAGCAATAGCGGCGTGCGACAAGCCCTGCCCTAGCGCAGATGGTGGGCGACACAAGGACGTTACCGTTTCCTGTCGCTCAGGGCCTCGCCAAACTGGACCGTCAGAGCCCCAGACTCAATGGGCTCGACCCGCTCCCAGCTTCCCTCGGCGTCGTTGGAGCTGCCGACGACGCTGGCCAACCAGGCGGCCTCGTCTTGGTGCTGGTCGTCGTGGGCAGAGGATGGGCGGCTCGCGGACTTGATGGGCGGGAAGCGCTCGTTGAAGAGGCGCAGGTACTCGGAGTGGTGGCTGTCGTCGGTGTAGGCGGCTTGCGAGACGTGGATCAACTTGCTGAACAAGGGATGAGCGCGGGCGGCATGGGGGCAGGAGCGACGGGACTTACTCGGAAGTCTGAGCGCAGATACGCTCCAGCGCGTCTCGCTGTCTCCTGATCTCTTCGGGGTCGGGTTGGGGCAGGCTGTGGGCGCTCGGTTGATTGATGCTGCCATATTGCGGCTGGTAAGGGTCCCCGAGGAGATGAGAGCTGTCAGACCGCTGCAAGGGCGCGAGATATGTGTTAGCACATGGTCCGCAGAGGCAAGACAGCTCGGTTATGCGCGCGCGAGCAGAAGCAGAACGGGGCGCTCACCTCAGCGTCTGAGGGCCGCCGGGCGAGGCCCAGGCATGACGAGCAGATGCCCATGGAATGGGAGCGTGCAGCTTGCGGCGGGCTGGCACTGGCAGCAGCACCGCGCGGACAGCCGCGCGACGAAGGACGTCAAGCACGCAGAGGCGTTGGATGCGAGTACAGCCACCGTTATGGCTGCGGGGGCATGTTGGGGCAAGCAATGGGCGGGGCTGGCTGTGGTGGTGAGCGCGCTGAGGCTGTCGGTCGTGCCTGCGCTGTTGATGGCGGGCCGGCACGGACCCCCGGCCGCTCCTCATTCGCCCGCCACCACCCTCACCCGGTCCATCCATACACACGTTTGCTTCCTGCTCCGACCCAACCTGAAACACACTCAAGCGCTCAAGCTCATTCCATCGCACGTTGAGAACCATGGCGTTGACGACACCACAGTGCACACCGAGGGAGAGCCGCCGCGCCTTCCTCCACGTCTCGTATCGCACGTCTTCGCCCTCATGTCCCCTTTCGCATAGTTGTCCCATCCAAATCAAGTCATTCAATATCCAGTCTTTGTGCCCCGGTGTTGCAGCCCTGACTTGTCCCGCCCCTCCTGTCATTGGGCCTTTGTAGCGCGTCTACGTGTCTCGACGCGCTCTCCCTTCGCGCCTCCTCAACACTTCTCGAAGAGGAAGCGGCCGTGTGGGATATGTTGCCACACGCGTGGGCAAGGAGTCTTGGCAGGCCACTCTCGACATTCCAGCCTGCTCAGAGAGGCATCGCTGCTGCCAAGCGCCCCAGACAACCTCCTCGATTTCGCGGTTATCAGCTGTATCTGTCTCGACTCCAGCACCACCAGCATTCTCAGTCCTGGTTCCACCCAAGGTCATTTGCGAGTCACGCCTTCACGCGAAACAATTCCAGTGTGTGGGTCCTTGCCAAATTTGTACCTCTGATCCCGTCTGCAAGGCGCATTCTAACGTGGGAATAATCTCGATGGCTGTCAGGATGGCGAACACGCCCTTCATCTCGTGTCCCGACGTAGTTGCCACTTATAAAGGTACTGTATCTGGATTCTGGCCAGGCATCCCCTCCCAGGAACCCCCGCGGGACCTTTGTTGTTAATTGATCGGAGCATCTCTCACTCGCTCGAGTGCTCCATCATGTACATCTCTCGTTCATTGTTGGCTTCGGCTGCCTTTCTTTCCTTTTCCATACAGACTGGAGCGCGAGTTACGCAGCAAGAGTCGGATGCAGAGCAAGGACTAGCTGTCGCCCACGACCAGTCGAGGCTCCAGAACATCCTGCAACGATGGCCTCTCAACAAGGTCTTCGGCAAGAGGCAAGAGGTTGAGGCTTTCACGGACGTGCAATGTCCCACAGATGACTTGTACATTGTGATATTGGAAGCCGCGCCTTCTCCTGCTGTACAGACACTATGCAACAATCTACTCGGCATCCCGCCAGCAACTATTACATTGTCTACCACTGCTATCGTGTAAGTCAACCGCATATGCAATGAGTTTGGCTAACAAGGATCAGCACCAACTTCACCAGCACAACCGCTACTTCGACGCAGACTATCCACGTATCCACCACAGTCACCGAGATAGCGACCATCACCCCCGCTGCGCTCTTGCGAAGAGATGCTAATGTTGCCGCCCAATTTGCCTTTGCGAACGCGATCATGTCCGATGTAATTGAAAATGGCGCGAATGCTGCAGCATTAGCTGCTGCTACCCCAAACCGAAAGCAGGAAGAGGCCCTGTCCGGGTTTGGAAATGCTTGCTCGTGTGAGACGGTCCAGCCGCTTTCCACCACCACAATAACCAGGACGTTTCTCTCGAACGAGGTAAGTTTGTGGCCCCCTAACTCAACACTGGCTCATGCCACTTCAGCACGTAATTGTAGGAAAGAATGTATTGCGCGTACTGACGAGATACCAAACTAAGACCATCACTGCAACTGCAACTGTCGCTGTCGGCCTCAATATAACTGCAAATCCGCTTGGCTCTGGCGGCTCTAGCGCTCTACCTTCTGCCTCGGGTGGCTCTGGGACCGAGGTCCTGCCTTCCGGCTCTGCAAGCTCAGAGCTTGTGTTTTCGGACACGGCTGCTCTGAGTGGTGCAAGCACGGTGACAGTACCTGCGTCCATAACAAGCCCGGCATCTATCAGCCTGGTCGCCAGTGGTTCAATCCTGCCCGTTTCTCCTCCCTCGGCTTCAAGCGGATCGTCAGCCCCTGTTGTGATTGGTATTCCCTTCGAATGCCCAACAAACGGCACCGGCCTCGACAAAGCCAATGGACTCACCCCCCAGTTCATCGTTGGTGATTTGCGATTCGAATACTCCGTTCTGTGCGATACCGCAGTAACTGATTCCAATACTCTGGCTGGCATTCAGAACGTTGCCAACCAGACGGCTTGCGCCGCTCAATGTTCGCTCGTGAACAATCGCTCGCAGAGGCAGCTCTGCCAATCGGCTTCCTTCGTGCCCAATCCTGGTGCATCCGACGGGCAATGCTTCCTGCATGGATCAGCGCAAAACTTCGCGCGTCAACCTGGCAGTGTTACCGTCCTTTTGACGCAAGTGTCATCCAAGTCCGACAAATGCAAGTCCGTCGACCTGGTCAATGGTCCGAGCAATGTTACCCTAGATACCGCCGAGCTCGTAGGCAATGTTTTGACCGAGGGCTTCTCTCTCTCGACGCCTGGTCTAATTACCCGATCGGAAACAGGCGGCGTCTACAAAACCTTCTGGTCTAGTGGCTTCACAGACTCAGTAGGAGCTTATCATTACAGTTGGTTTGAGGTGTACGCTTCTTCTAGCGCTTGGTGGGCAGCCTACGCTACCTCTTGGACTTGTACTGTCAAGAACACACCCAAGACTATTATCATCCCGCAGCCCGTTGCGAACTTAACATCCGTCTTCATCGACGTTACAACAATCGTCGAAAATGGCACTACCACCATCATCTCTGGTACATCGACTTTTAGCGCCACTGGTGGTGCGGGTGTGGTCTTCCCTACTTCAGTTGCAGCAGTTGGTACTGGTGGAAACGGTGGTTTCACCTCTGCTGGCGCCATGGAAACTGCATTTGCCACAGCAGGTGCAGGTGTGAGTGAAATCCCGGCACCAACTTCGGCACCCGGTGTCGCCAATGAAACAGCAATCGTGATCGTCGGAACTGGCTCGCAAGGTGTCGCCTCGGTACTTATCTCTGGGAGCGCCGCCACCCTCAGCTCCATCGGAGGCGGTGGCGTTATTTCTGGAAGTCCTGTTGCCGAATCGAACTCGACCGCGGTTGTGTCTGAAGGAAGTGCCGCATTCACTCTCTCGCAAGCTGAGTCTGGTGCCAATGCTACTATCGGTAGCGGTGGCCAGGGCGTCGTTCAGTCTTCTGGAAGCTCTGGCTTCAGCATTGCGGGTGCCCTTTCCACGGGCGCCGGTACCGAAGGCTCAGGCATCATTCCTCCCTCGCCGACTAACGGAAGCGTCGTAGGCACCGGCTCAGTTGCTGTATCCAGCTCCAATGCTCCTGAAGGAGTGCAGAGCCCAGCACGCATATCTACCTCTGTGTTTGTCCTCCCTGCCCAGCACGGATATGGTTCCCCGACTAGCTCTGCAGCAGCAAGTCTGCCAGCCAACTCTACTGCTGTCGCGGGATCTTCCGGAGGCGCACAGTTCTCTGAGTTCGGAGTGACAGCGACCTTCAACTTGACCGGTGGAGCTTCCGTTATACCACCACCTCCGGTTGGAACTGGAGTCAGCTCCGCAGTAGAAGGTGTAACTGCCAACTCTACAGGAGTTGCTGGGTCTTCTGGAGGTGCGCAATTCTCCGAATTTGGAGCGACAGCCACCTTGAACCTGACTGGAGGTGTCTCAGTTGTGCCGCCACCTCTTGTTGGGAGCGGAGCTAGTTCTGGTTTGCCCGCGAATACCACCGTCGTTGGAACTGGAGTATCTTCCGCCGGTGGTGCAGAAGTCACTTTTGCCGGAAGCTCGGCTGTGATCTTGTCAACGGGAGGTTCTGGTTCTTTGGGCCCTCTTCCCGCTACCGTCAATGGCACTGAGCTTCCGCCTTCGCAGGCCCCCAGCCCTTCTCTTCCCACAGGAACAAGCTCGCCGTTCACACCTTCGAATGAGACCGCTCCAGGCGTTAGTTCGGCAGAAGGTGCTCAGAACTTCACTGTGTCCGGCGGGACTGCGATAGCCTCAGCTTCTGGAGGATTTGGCGTGAGCCTCCCATCTGGAGTACCAGTTCTTAACGCCACTGCATCAGTCGGTGAAGGTGTGGCTGTTATCTCTGAATCTGGAGCTGTTTCGGTGATTCTGTCCACAGGGACATCGAACGTCATCCCTCCAGCGTCTGCCAACGTCTCTATTCCTGCGCCGACGGGATTCCTGTCTGAGACCGCATCTGGCGCTGTACCTTCACCCAGTGGCAACAGCACCGCTCCTGAAGAAGAGGAAGAGGGGGGAGGATCTTTCGGAGCCTTCAACTTCTCCAATGAATCTACTGAAGGACCTGAGGTCGCATCTACTGGCGGGGTACCACAGGTATCGGAAAATGCAACCCTACCCGCATCGGTGAGCGCGACCCCAAGCCCCAGCTTGAACGGTTCTCTTCCAGCTGGTACGGCCGTCTTTGTCACGTCTGGCGAGATCGTTCTCTCGACTGCGGCCTTCGGAAGTGGCGTCGTGTCACCCCTTGGAACCGCTCCTGCCTCGGGAGCTCAGAATATTTCGATTTCTGGAGGCACTGCCATTATCCTACCAACAGGAACAGGCGGTGTAGTGCCCGTCTCGGCGAATCAGACAATAAGCGCACCAGCAAGCCAGCCCCCTAGTCCTAGCACATCGAATACTGAGGACGAATTCAACAACTCCTTGAGGGACCGTACTGGTAGGCCTATCACCCGCACCAGCGCTACTGCCCCTCTAGGAACCGCGCCGATCGGGACCGGAGTTTCTGCGCTTCCCGTGAACTCCACTGCCTCTCTGGTCGGCACCGCTCCCTTGGTGACCGCCCCCGTCATTTCTGGCAGCCCTGCACCAGTCTTGAACTCTACTGTCGCTAGCGGCACTGCTCCTCTGGTATCAAGTCTTATCGGAACCGGAAGTCCTGAGACTCCCGTGAATTCGACCGTTACTCCTATTGGCACCGCTCCTCTTGGCACTGCACCTTTGGCTACTGGAGGTTCTATGCCAATCGTGAACTCTACTGCTGCCCCTGTTGGCACAGCTCCTCTAGTCACTGCGCCAGTAGTGATTGAGAGTTCTACTCCTACCGCCAATTCCACAATTCCACCACCGCCCTCAATTCCAAATAGCGGGTATGGAGTGAAGTCATCATCTACTGTTGCATCAGCTTCCGTTAGCGTAGCCCCAGTGTCCGCAAACTCGAGCGCTGTGTTCCCCACTGCGAGCGGAAGCGTCGAGCAACCTTCGGTCGTCATCCCAGCACTCACCGCAAATCTGACTTTACTTCTCCCCACGGCCAGTGGAAGTACCGAGCAACCTTCCGTAGTCATTCCTCCGCTCTCTGTCAATCTAACCGTGGTTCTTCCTACGGCCAGCGGTAGCGTTGAGCAGCCTTCTGCTTCCGTCCCGCTACTGACTGCGAATTCAAGTGCGATCTTCTCAACCGCAAGTGGTAGCGTGGAGCAGCCATCTGCTGGGTTACCACCCGTTCCTGCGAATCGGACTGCGTCCTCGAGCGGTGGCGGCGAATTCCCCTTCGTTACCGGTGAACAACCCTCTGTAACGCTTCCTCCGCTGTCTGCCAACTCGAGCGCGGTCTTCCCTACGGCAAGCGGCAGTACTGGACCGGATTTCTCAAACTCAGCAGACGATCGACTTGGCCGCTCGAGATCCCGTACGTCGGCCGGTCCAAGTGGATTGCCGCTCGCTACGGGCAACGTGACCTTATCTGGCACTGCACCGATACCAACGCTCAATGCATCGTTGCCCGGAACTGCTCCTTTGACGGCTGTCTCCATCCCGCTGGGCACTGGTGCAGGTCTCAATAGCACACAGCTATCAGGTGCGACGGGATCTTCGTTCGTTCCCGTACAGTCGGCAGTAGGTCCATTCGGTTCCTCGGCCGCTCCCGTAATTTCTGTCAACGCATCACTCCAAGCGACCGGGCCAAGTGCTGTACCGGTCCAGTCCGCCAACATCACGTCTGTCCCGCTTGCGACGGCTGCTTCAGGTACCGCACTCATCACGTCTGCCAACTCCACAGCGTTCCTTCCGACAGGTACTGCACCGCCTGCTAATTCGACGGCGTTCCTGCCCACGGGCACTTCCGGGCCTGACTTCTCGAACAGCGAAGCCCCACGCCGGGGCTCCGTCTCAAGATCGACCGCGCCTGCCAATTCTACAGCCTTCCTCCCAACAGGGACGGCTCCAGCCTTGAACTCGAGTGCTCCGTTTGGTACAGCTTCGGGCTCGCTGCCGATCCCTCTGTCGACTGGTGTCGTTCCCATCCCTCTTAACTCGAGCGCACCAATCGGAACAGGCTCAGGCTTGCCGCAGATTCCTCTCTCCACAGGCACTGCACCCTCACAGGGCATCTTCACTGTACCTGCCAATTCGAGCGCTCCAGTAGGCACCGCTTCAGCGCCGGTCCCTCTCTTCACTGCAGCCTCGATTTCCGCCGCCGTTATTTCGGAGAACGTCACGGTCCCATTGGGAACTGCTGTAGTCAGCGCTTCTCCAACTCCATTGCACAACGTTACCATTCCGTTGTCGACTGGCGTCGCTTTGAACGCAACAACCCCATTCGCGACCGGGACTGGCGCTTCGGTCACACCATCTGCCTCGTTGAATGGTACGGAAGGCTGCCCCACACCAACCGCCGTAGTTGTCCCTCACACAGTTGTCATCACCACGGTCTCATATGAGACTTTGCTCGTCGGGCCTTCCACGTGCGCTCCTACCGCCTCAGCAGGTCTCCTTGGAACAGGGTTCCTTGGACTCAATGCTACTCTCACTACCGGTACTGGAACAGCTGCCGCGTCGGCAACCTCTCCGGTTGTCACTGCGCGCTCATACCGCCGCACAGGCGACGTAGCCACCCCACAGCAGATCGATCAGGCTTGTGCGGATAACGATAACATAGTCATCAATCCCGACTTCTCATTCGAGGCTGCCAATACCGCGTTCGGCTGGACCACCAAGGCTGACAACCCCACCGTCATCTTCGAAACCCAGAACTCTGGGACCGCTCAGTTCGCACGCGTCCTAGCTGCCGCCACAAACCAGGCAATGACGATCAGCCAGCCACTGACGCTATGCCCTGGCAAAGAGTACAGATTGAGCAGCACCAACAGGCAGGGCAATCTCATGTCTAAGTGCCAGGCGGCCTACTATATTGGCAACGACTTTGTATATGCAGCAAGTCCGCAGGAGACATTCACGAGGAGACAAGAGTTCTTCACTGCGGGAATCACGCCGGCAGACGTCAGCCAGGACTTGAGGGTCGTGGTGACATGCAACGGCGAGGCGGGCATCCCAGCTGGGACCGATAATGATGGGTACATGAACCTGGATATTGATGATGTGGGTGTGCAGATGGTATAAAGTATTGTATCAATGGGAGATGGGAGGATAGGATAGGATAAGACAGGAATGGATAGGAAGGTGAAAAAGGCGGAACTGAGAAACTTAGAGGAGGATTGACGTCGTTACGTTTCCCCAGCATCATTAGCATTTTCCATAGTCAATCATACTACGCTTGCATGTCTTTCTGGCGTAGGCGCAATTTGATATCGTTATGCACTATTTAGATTCGCCGGGGTTTTTTGTGCAAATGGTCTTTTCTTGCATCGATCCTCTCTTATGCAAGAACGCAAGGATGTACAACAATCTCTCATCTCCTGGGCCGGGGCTACGTACAGCTTTTTTACGGGGTTGCGCTTGGAAGCGACTTCATGTTTAATGGCAGACCTGTCCGTTGCGCTCTCGCTGACCTTCTAACCACACGATATTCCAGGAACCTCATTGCCAACGGGAACGGGATCAAAAACTATTCAATGTGCAATCGTTGCACTTTAATATTAAGGGAATTGGAGTTATCTCCAACCTAAAGCGAAGGCGGGAAGCTCGGCTGTGTAAGATCGTCATGCAAAGAGGTCAGTAACGCCACGAAACTCTGACAGTGTCCTTCGCTTACGAATGATGTTGCACTGACGAGACTTCCCACCAACTCTTCGAGCACACTGTCCATCAGACAAGTGAAATCCTCCTTGCACGGCAGGGTCTTCTGCATTTTCATATCGAATTCCAGCATACGCGCGGGGCAACAGAAAGGCGCGATGCGAAAACACTCCTCCTGCCTCGTCAAACCCACATATTTGCCCTGCTTCCCCAAAGCGAAGAGTAGCGGCGCCAGCAGCGGCGTGAAATACTTGAACTTCTCGAAAAAGCAATGGTAGAAGACCATGTGGATGTGGGACCCCTCGGCACCGGGCAGCTTGCGCAGGCACTCAAGAGTGCGGACCTGGGTCTGGAAGTACTCGTCCAGGCGCTCGGTATAAGAGTTCTCGTCGTCGTGCTTGTGATCATCCATCAATCCACCCCACAGAGAGATGCGGAGATAGCGCGACGACAAAGGGGGAATCTCACTGTCAAAGACATGGTACTCCATGACCGCCGCCACGAGGCTCGCATCCGGGAGCTGAAACACGGCGCTCGCATAGAACGTCTCGATGAGCACACGGGAAATCGATGTCCTCGTAATACCGGCGGAGAAGAGTGGCTCGATCCCAGATGCGAAGCGCGGTAGATTGCACACCTGGCGCTCGACGAAGGCGTCCGTGTCGGACTTTTAGAAGAGGGAGCAGCGGGCTCGTCCCCATGTGCCGGGGTTCTTCCGTGTTTGAACGGGCTTTCGAGGACTCGGGCGATATAATCTTTGTCGATGATCTCGTTGTAGACCTACAATGAGGGTTAACCAAGTGCTGCAACAATTCAAACACCACAAGGGAATCCATATTTACTTATCATGTCCCGCAAATCTCGAGGCAGTCAGTGCCAGAGCTCCTCGCAAGAACACGCCACTTCTCGAAGGCCCTGACAAGCATGCAGTTTTGCTGAAACGTCTTGTTCTTTGTCAACAGCGCGAGGACCCCGCCTCATCGCTTGAATTTCGTTGTAAGACCCTGGACCTCATCACGTAGTTGTTTATTGTAAGTGTCCATGGCGAGTGTGCGAAGCGTCGGAGGGCGCTGACGGGTCGTTGCTGGGCGGGCGGATCTTCTATGGTTATGGGACACTGCGAACACCGCGACGACGTGATCTGAGCAAATTAAATGACCTATACTTGAGAGAGTGACTAAGAGAATTCGGGGCAGTGAACGCGTGACGTCATTAGCATTCGGGTCAAATCCCTTTTACACCTGTTTCGCATTCCTAGAGGTTGCTCCTCACCGTAACCGCAAACAAAATTAAGCTGCTATTGAATCCAATACGGCTGATAACAGTTTTCCCGCTCGTGAGTTCTCGTGAGACATTATGCTGTGGGAAAGAACTAAGATATATAGCCTATCCAATACCTCGAGCCTTAAGCTACATGATGAAACCACCGCTCGGATTTTTGTGCCCCATAGCCTTCCATGTTCCTGAAATTTACAAATGCTGCTGCTCTGAGTTCCAGTTCGTGCTCACGAGGTCCACATAAAGTATACCCAGACGTCTGCCCCGTAATGCTCGCAAAATAGAGGAAGGTACTCTAATTAGACCATCGCCGAACTCACTTTGCAATCATGTTATACTTTCATCGGACTATTCCGAGGGCTTTTCTAAGTCAATCTGGATTGATCAGTCCTTGCTCTCTGGCGCGAGGTTGCATGGAAGCACTTACATAGCCGTTCACATTCGCCACCATGTCTAGATATTGTTGAAGAGTATTACTCAACAGCCATGTAATGTCACAGATACGAGCTGCATGGTTGAGGCCAGCAGATGATCTCCAAATCACCTTGAAGACCTTGTTCTGACCCATGAGGTCGTAAAAAAGTGAACCCAGTTGCTTGAGCATCGACTTCGTTCTCGCCAAGTCGAGATTGAATTGCAGCTCGACCAGGACATGTTGATTCGCTGAAAATAGACGAAGCTTTTCGATCCCCTCGACTTGCTTCGAGTTGGCCATAGAGCCATCAATGTTTATGTGCAGACGGCGGAGATATGATTTACACGGCTGGCTGTGTACACCGTAGGTTCCGCTCTTCATAAAGGTTTCGATATATCTGGGGTGCCTGATCTGGAAAGTACAAGCGGTGTACATTGCTTCGGCTAGTTCCGAACAGAACTTCTCGTGAATCGCAGAAGATGAGAGTAGATCTTCGATTCCAGTCGCCTTCAAAGTTGGGGCTAGATAGGCATCCCACGCAACAAGAATCGTGTGCTTGCCACCGACGATCTCTCCGTACACCATATCTCTGAGCTCGCGCGGAAGGGAGGCGATGATGGCTTTGCAGAATTGATGCGTCCATTTCTCGTGCGCTCGACGAATGTAAGAATCGCATCTGAATCCGCCGGTCACTGGGCAAGCCTCCCGTCGTTTTGCGGCGTTCACGAGGTGCTCCCGAAACGTGTCCATGGCTGCGCACTGTATAATCAGCACATGTAGTAGATCTCACGTCGGTGCAAAGCTTACCGCGAGTTTGCGCAGTGGCGAACCCGCAAGAAAGTGCAGCACTGAGCGCGACGTTCCACTTGGAGGTAGTATTGTGAGGGTTGTGTTGGGCAAGTGTGGAAAGTTTTGTGACTGGAGACGGGCGTTTGCACCTTCCGTCTTCTGTAAGCAATCCCTCATGACGCAGGTGAAGGTAAACACAGTTCTGCATTAGGAAAGAATAAACAGATTCTCGGGCGGGGCCTTTTAAATTCTTAGTTCATGTCTTCTTAGAGCGCGCCTGACATGGAAAGAGCACTGACTATTACGATGCTGAGATCCTAGCAGTTTTGTCTAAGAACCCGGAGCTGATTTGAATCTGCGTGTCAATTCCTCGAGCAGACACAGTACCGTAGTAGCCAGCACTCACAAACACAAGTACCGTACTCAAAGGTACTATTTTTCTTGGATGTCATCAATTACAATACATACTCTGACAAAGCTCCTCAGCATCGCACCCATCAACCCTGTAACGCAGAAAAACACAAGCCCGAGGTGATGTCCCCTTCCCGCCGCCAAACCTCGTAGCCCAACAACGCTCACCACACCCACGCCAGCCATATACATATGCTGTGTAAGTCTAAACAGGAAAGACGGCCCTTCCGCAGCCGCCGCGACCGCCAGGAAGAACAGAGAAGCGCAAGCAGTATTACAGACACGACCAGCGCCAATCGCCAGTCCACCCGCCTACACCAGTACAACTCGCCGGAAAGGAAACACACCCTGCGCCCGCTATGACGATAGAAGAGAAACCGAACCGTCAATTGATCAAAGAACAAAAGTGGATTTGGAAAGCGCTATCAACCGGGGCGTGGTACAGGTCCCCAACGCGGCTGTCGACTTTGCGTTAACGGCCAGACTGGCACCAACGTCAGCTGCGGGAAATAAAGGGAAGGGTATCAGAGAAGACGACTCGAGGGTATAGGAAGCGGGGCCAAAGTGCAGTGCCTATGACTCGCCTCCGGTTGATGCTGGTGCACCTTCACCCTGTCCGCCCCTGTTGAAACCACCCCGTCCGCGGCCACGTCCACGTTGACCACCGCGGTCGCCCCGGTCACCGCCACGGTAAGAACCGCCGCGACCACGGCCTCCACGGCCTCCCTCGCTGTCGGATGCACCACCACCGCTGCGGTATCCTCCTTGAGCGCCGCCACGGCTGCTACCTTGCCAGGTACCGGCACCATAGTTACGCTGACCAGTAGGCTCACGGTAGACCTTGACACTCGGCTTGTCAGGGCCCTTGTTGTTCCTGATATCGGCAGGGATGCGGTTGAGGGCACCGAACATGTCCGGCGTGGTGGCGAAGTGTGCGACAAAGAAGTGCTTAATCTTCTCTATCTTCTCGACTTTCGCCTTGTCTTCTTCAGCAAGTAGGCTCTTGGCCTCGTCCTCATCCTTGACATACTGGATGAAGAGAGCCTTGCTGTCCTTGCGTTCTTGCTGCTCACGCGGCTCACGAGGTTCCCTAGGGGCCGGGGACGCGGTCTTCTCCGGAGCAGCGGTTCCGTTTGGCTTCACCTCGCTGGGAATGGCCTTCTCAGCGGCGGCATTTGCAGGTGCGTTGGAGCCGCTCGGCTGTGGTGTAGCGGGCTTGATGGGCTCCTTAGGTGTCACAGCTGCGGGAGAGGGACCAGTTCGAGCGGGCTGAGCAGGTTTGATGTTCTGCTGCTGTTGCGGGACAGGCGGAGTCGCGCCCTGGCGAGCTTGAGGGGCGGATGGAGGGGCAGACGTACGCGCCTGGGCCGGGGGTGCAGGGCTGGGAGCAGCGGCGGGAGCGGTGGCAGTAGACGGTGCAGCAGCGGCGACTTGGCCACCTTGTGCCTGCGGAACTGGCTTGGTACCACGATGGGCAAAGTTGAAACCCTGCGCCCTCATCTCTGTTCCAATGCGGCCGTTATCAACGTCCAGAACCAACCATCCATAGGCAGCGTCCGCGAGATTGAAGTTCCACATGTTCTTGAATGCGCTCTCGTCAATGACACCGCTCTGGGGACCAGGGGCCGGGCCACCGAAGGGGTTGCCACCGTTGGCGACAGTGGGCATCTTGCCAACGATGTCAAGAGCCAGTTGCAGCAGACGCTGTTGAGCTTCGCTGTCGGCAACTGCGGGCTCGACCTCCGACTTGACCGTGTCCCATACATCGTTGAAAGAAGTCTTTGAGGCGGCGAGCTTGCCACGGTAGTGGTCGAGGGTGGGATTGACACTGAACTCGTTGTAAGAGCTGCCGTACCGGAAGTGCAAACCAGCGGATATCGAGAAGTCGGCTTTGAGTGTCACGGAGAGCTGATTCAGTAGTCCTTCACGGGCTGGCGAGGCATGCGTGACGAATATGCGGGTCTCGGTCGGGTCGTAAACGCGGTTCGCCGTGTCCACTAGCTCGCCCATCTGCAGCAAAGTTGTCCACATGGTTCCTTGTCCACCCGCAATAGTCGTCCTGCCTTCTCCGTTGTCGAACAGCTTGTGCATGACCACAGCGCCACCGAGCCCGAGCAGACGGAGCTTGACACCGCCCACATCGAGCAATCGCGAATGTGCCTCATCTATGATGTGAAGATTGTCGACCTTGTACTCGCCGGACCGCAGCTTCTCCAGCACCTGGACATCCTCGCAGGCTCCCCATACCGTGTATACAGGCACATTCAGTGTGTATTGCTTGTTGAGGAAAAGAGGCAGCTCTGAAAGCGGAAGGTGTTCCCGCTGGAAGCGCTCTTTGATCGAGGGTTGGGGTGGTGCGGAGGCGATGGAGCGCTTGACGGCATCGCTTAGGAGGGGTGAGTACTGAGCCACGTGCTTCAGCGTCCTGGCATCTGTTAGCATTCTCGTTCCAGCGCACTGTGCGGTAGCGTTATACGCACTTCTCGGCAATGCGATCGAGCGACTTGTCGTCATAGAAACCGAAGTCACCAGTGTGGATGATGTAGTTTGCCCGCGCGTCTGCAGCGAGCTGGTTGAGCGACTGAAGGTTGCCTGTATCAGTCAGCACTCGGCCTGGCGATGAGGAGATTGTATAGCGCACCTCGCACGTCTGCCACACACAGAACTCTAGCGCTGCCTTGCTGTATCACACGGCCCTGGTTGGGGAGCAGCGGAACTGCTCCAGGCACGGGGCCTGAGGGCGCGGCGCCATTGGGGAGGTAGTTGTTGCCGGGGTATGGACGCGGCTGGTTGGGAGCTTGCTGGGGCACGTCAGTAGCTGTTGTATGCGATGATAAAGGCACGAGGGCAGCGGCGTACCGAAGCCATAGAGACGGAGTGTGGGTTCGCGGAGGCGCCAGGCAGAAGTGCTGCAGCGTCGGAAACGGGGCGGGGCGGAATAGGAGGTCGTAGAAGAGGCGCAGAGCGAGGGAGATGCGAGTCGCCTGGCGAGTTTGGTGGGAGGTGCGGTGGGCGGTGTTGTTCGAGGTCGGTCGTCCCTTCTGTTTTTGAAAACTGGAAGCTACGGCCAGCACACTAGCGCCCTTTCCAGTTGTGGGCCTATCAGCGTCCCTGCCCTATGTACCTCGCTTTCCTCCTCTGCGAGCCGTCACCGCGCACCTTTATTTCTGCTTCCTCTGCCTCAAATCGCGAGACTCCATCTCGTGTCATTGATCATGGCCTCTTGTTCATCATTGTCGTCTGACTGGGACCGCTCCCGCAGACCTGGCTCTCCTCGCGTGCAATCGTCACGAACGAACACCATCCTGACCCTATTGGATGCCTAGCATCTCATCCGAACACCACCGAAGAAGCACCAACGAGGAAAGCCTACTTTTCCCACCACGAAGCCTCTGCCAATGCGTTGAGACAGGGCTCAAGATCGCTTGAATGTGCAGAATGCATATATACCCTCGCTGCCAGATATGACTTGCAGAGATTTCATAGGGCCACGGTACGTTCGATACTTTTATGCCATTGCCACGTCTCGTCGACAGCCGTTCTCGCAGCAGAAACGCTGTGCAAGCCCAGTCCTAGTCCTACTTCATTCTACACGTGTAGGCGTATTAGAGCACTGAGAGTCGCGCCAATCGCTGCCGTCTCCTCGGCGACTTCGCCCCGCCGGCCCCGCTGGTGAACCCTGCGTTTCCCGCTCCAACTTTTTTTTGAGTGCGGGCAAAATCCCACTTGCCAAAACACACACTTCTTCTCTCCTCTCACAAACACCATCCCACCTCTCCCCTGCTAATTCTCTCCGGGCAGCTTGTGCTATTATCCGCAAAGCAGCCATGGACGAGCAGCAGTTCGTCGGCCTTCTTGAGGCGCTTTTGCAGCGTATGTTGTCACCCCCGCCAGCCTTCTGCTACGCGAATCTGTGTGGTGTAAATAATACTGACTTCTCCAGCTGACACTGAGGGTGTCAAGTCTGCCACTGCGACGCTTAATAAGCAGTACTATACTTCGCCTGCATCCCTCAACGCCCTTCTCCAGATCATCTGCAACCACCCGAAGCCTGAGCTCCGCCAGTTGGCCGCTGTCGAGGCCCGCAAGTTGGTAACGAAGCACTGGGCGGGCCTCCCCGCCGATCAAAAGGCATCTCTACGGAATCAAATCTGCCAGTTCACACTAAATGAGGAAATGACCCTCACCAGGCACTCTGCTGCCCGTGTCATCGCCGCCATTGCGACGCAGGACTTTGAGGACGGCGAGTGGGGGGATTTGCCGGCCTTCCTACACCAGGCCGCCACAAGCACAAACGCAAGGCACAGAGAAGTTGGCACATATATCATCTGGACCACCCTCGAGACCGTCGGTGATGCTTTCCCTGGAAAGAAGGTCGATTTGTACAACCTCTTCAGCTCGACCATTAAGGACCCTGAGAGCGCCGAAGTGCGGGTGAACACAATGTTGGCTTTGAGCAGACTGGCTATGCTCCTTGAACCGGATGAAGAACCCAAAGAGCTTGCCATGTTCCAGGACTCTATCCCCGGCATGGTTACTGTCCTGCAAGCCACCGTGCAGGAAGGCGACGAAGATCATGCTCTTCAGGCGTTCGAAGTGTTCCAGACCCTCCTTGGTTGTGAATCTGCTCTTCTTCAGAAGCACTTTGCCGACCTAGTCAAGTTCATGATTGAGCTTGCCGCCAACAAAGAGGTTGATGACGACTACCGATCGCAGGCTCTTGCTTTCCTGATGCAGTGCGTCAGGTATCGCAAGCTGAAGGTTCAAGGCTTGAGGATTGGCGAGGAGCTCACTCTGAAAGCTCTGCAGATTGTGACAGAGCTGGGCGACCTTGCCAGTGAGGATGAGGACGTTACTCCTGCCCGCTCTGCTCTCGGTCTCCTTGACATCCTTGCCTCCAGTCTGCCTCCTAGCCAGGTTGTCATTCCTCTCCTCAAGGCTCTCGGAGGATACTTCTCTTCTCAGGACCCAGACTACCGTCAAGCCGGTGTCCTCGCTCTCGGCATGTGCGTTGAAGGCGCGCCCGACTTCATTGCTACGCAACTCCACGAGATTCTGCCTGCAGTGCTGCATTTGCTCGAGGACCCTGATCTCAAGGTCCGCGGTGCCGCCTTGAACGGTGTGGCTCGTCTGGCCGACGATCTTGCCGAAGACGTTGGCAAGGAGCACGCTACCCTCATTCCTGCCATGATTAAGAACTACGATCTGGCGGTCAACAACCTGAACGATGAGCGCAGCTTGCAAATTGTTCGTGGCAGCTGCCATGCCATCGACTCCTTGATTGAGGGCCTTGACCCAGAGGATGCTGCCAAGTACGTCTCTGAGCTGGTGCCTCGTTTCAGCAAGCTTTTTCACCACGAAGACTTGAAGACCAAGGTTGCAGCTATCGGTGCAGTTGGGTCCATTGCCTCTGCCTCCGAGGAGGCCTTTCTCCCCTTCTTCGAGCAGACCATGAACGCGCTCTCTCAATATGTCACCATCAAGGACAGTCAAGAGGAACTTGAACTCCGCGGTGTTGTCTGCGATTCTCTTGGCAAGATCGCCTCCGCGGTTGGCGCCCAGCCGTTCGAACCGTACGTTATGCCCTTGATGCAGGCGTCTGAAGAAGCTCTGCACCTAGACCATCCTCGCCTCCGTGAGACCAGCTACATCCTATGGTCCACCATGGCTAAAGTCTACGAGGAAGGCTTCGAGAAGTTCCTCGCTGGTGCCGTCAAGGGCCTCAAGGAGTGTCTTGAGCAGGACGAAGATGCCGAGCTTGTTGAGCTCGGAGAGCAGGCCAAAGATCTGATTGGCACCGAGGTCGTCATTGAGGGCCGCAAGGTCAAGGTTGCTGCTGCTACTGACGATGACGATGACTTTGATGACCTTAATGAGGCTGCCATGGATGCGGATGACGATTGGGACGACATTGCTGGCGTCAGTGCTGTTGCCATGGAGAAGGAGATTGCAGCTGAAGTGCTTGGTGATATCATATCTCACACCAAGCGCGCATTTATGCCTTACCTCCAGGACACCATCGAGAAGCTTCTTGAGCTTGTCGACCACAACTATGAGGGTATCCGCAAGGCTGCTCTTGGCACTCTATGGCGCACATACGCCACTCTTTTCCAGCTCGCCGAGACTGAGGGTATGGCGAAATGGCAGCCCGGCCTTCCTCCCCAGGTTGACCCACCTGCCGATATCAAGAAGCTAGGCAATCTTGTGATGACCGCCACCATGGCTGTTTGGCAAGACGAGATGGACCGGTACGTAAATAACATTCCTTCCTTTCCGCGCTCAAAGATGATCCATCTTCGTTATCCCAGCTCACTCTGATGCACTTGTTGCAATTGAGGCGAACGCGAATCTACTCCTGAGAGCCTTCCATCTAGTTTTATAAGTCAAGTAAACTATGGAAACCGCAGCTGACCATGTTGCAGTGGAACCGTCACAGACATTAACCGCGATGTTGGCTCTACTCTCAAGCTTTGTGGTCCTTCGATGCTCATGTCTGAGAAGGGCACCGTTGTCCCTGAGATGGTGCAGCAGCTTTTGGCTATCATCACCAAACGCCACCCGTGCCAGCAAGATCTGGGTGATGACGAAGAAGGCGACGTTCTGGACGAATCTTCGGAGTACGACTGGCTTGTCATCGAGACGGCCATGGAGGTTGTCACGTGCCTTTCCGTAGCCCTCGGGCCCGCTTTTGGCGAGCTGTGGAAGGCTTTCGAGAAACCCATTGTAAAGTACGCCAGCAGCCAAGAGCACATTGAGAGAAGCGCAGCTGTCGGTACCATTGCAGAGTGCGTTGGCAATATGGGCGAGGCTTGCACGCCCTACACCACCAACCTTCTTAAGCTCCTTGTGCACCGCCTGTCGGACGAGGACCCGGAGACCAAGTCCAACGCTGTGTATGGTATCGGCCTGCTTTGCGAGAAGACCACCAGCGACGCCGAGATTCTTAGCTCGCTGCCCACGATCTTCAGCAAGCTTGAGCCGCTGCTCGATGCTCAGGACCAGGCACGCCTGCTTGATAACACGGCAGGATGTGTCAGCCGTTTCATCTCTAAGCATCCCGACAAGATGCCCATTGCCGAAGTGCTTCCCCGTCTCATCCAGCTTCTGCCCTTGAGGGAGGATTACGAGGAAAACAAGCCCATCTTCAGCATGATCGTGAAGCTCTACCAGGCCAATGAGCCCACGATCCAGCAGGCTACGCCGACGCTTATGCCAATCTTCGAGAAGGTGCTCAGCCCACCTGAGGACCAGTTGGAGGACGAGACTCGGGCCCAACTCGTTGAGCTCGTCAAGTACCTCCAGAAGTAAGGGAAATGTATGCAAGGAATTGTGATGTTGAATACCCGGCTTTGGGCCATGATGAGCGATGACTGTAATGAGTGGCAGGGATAGATAGCGGCGAAAGCCATGCGATGACACAAAAGCGACTACCTGAATGAAATTGATGTTACATGGAGCGTCTTGAAGCGTCTGAATCAAGTGGTGGAGGAGTGACATGACTGCGAAGGATGAAGGATGCGCAATGCATCGTACCAAATGCTCGGTGGTTAGTGGGGTCCGACTGCTAACAACCAAGTGCTCTTTGAGTCTCCTGGTCGCGCACGCTGGCGATACAAGACAAGGTCAAATATATAGCCTCATTTGGTACCCTGAGCCAGTGTAGGAGTGTTTGAAGTTTCGATTGGCAGGCCAGGCGCATATTCGACGCGAGAGCAGGTGTTCTCGTGCGTGACGTCGATCATGCGGGTCTTCGCTCCGCGACGGTGCCTGGCAGGTGGCCTCGGCGTACCGCGCACCGACTCACAGTGACGACACGAGGAACAACACCACACTGCTCCGCATCTCTTCTCCACAACACCCGCCCACTCCACAAGCGCGGAGCTGCTGACCCCACGGGCTATTCTTTCTATCGCTTCTACACAGGCTATCATCCGCCTCGTTCTTCGTGCCCACCAAACACCGCATCCCTCTCAGAGACTTAGCTAGTAGCTTGTAGCTTGCGCACCTCGGCTGCCTACTGCACGCATTCACGTCCACGACTTGCGCTACACCACACGCCGCACACTCGCTATCGCCGATCTGATCGAGTTTCTCATTCCATCTGCTCGCCGTATCGTTCAACCCTTCCCTCGTTGAAGCGCCTGGTGGCGCAGTCGGCCATACGATGAAGCAGAGCTCGAGGGGAGGGCTGGGCAGGATGCCAGCAGGGCTGCTGTCCATCTTGGTAGGCTCTGCGCTCGCCGGCCCGGATCTCACCACCAAACACGAGAAGGGCCGTTGCGCGATAAGAGGACACTGCGGGAAACAGGGCTTCTTCGGCTCCGACCTACCTTGTCCAGATAACGGATTGGCGACGAAGCCAGAAGCCGAGATCAGAAAGAAGTTGGTCGACATATGTGGAGACAAGTGGTCAGATACAGATGTGTGCTGTAACGAGGAACAGCTAGATGCACTCAGCAGCAATCTCGGCCGTGCCTCAGGCATCATAAATTCATGTCCGGCATGCAAGGAAAACTTCTTCAACTTGTTCTGCACCTTCACGTGCTCCCCCGACCAGTCGCTGTTCATAAACGTTACGAAAACCGAACCAAAAAGCGACAAATATCTCGTTACTGAGCTGGACCACCTCGTCTCCAATGAGTACGGATCAGGCTTCTACGACAGTTGCAAAGACGTCAAGTTTGGGGCAACGAATGGCAAAGCCATGGACTTCATCGGCGGCGGGGCTAAGAACTACACTGAGTTTCTAAAGTTTCTGGGAGACAAAAAGCTCCTGGGGAGTCCATTCCAGATCAACTTCCCTCGCCCGGACGAGAGCAAATTCCCCAACATGGCTCCGCAGACCAAGGACGCACACCCGTGCAACTCCACCGACCCAAAGTATCGATGCGCATGCTTAGATTGTGGCGGTTCCTGCGCGGAACTGTCCGAGGTTACGGAAGCCAAACAATGTTATGTCGGCCTCCTACCTTGCATGTCATTTGCTGTCATCATCGTCTACTCTGTCTTCCTTGGCCTGCTCTGCCTCGCTGTCACCGGACATGTGGCGTACCAGAGTCACTCGAAGAACAAGAGTGAACGCCTACGTTTGCTTCAAGATCTCGAGCCTAGCGATGATGAGGATGAGGGCGATATCGTGCACAACGTGGGAATGCTTGACCGCCCTACGAAACACTACTTTGTGAACACATGGTGCGACCGCATGTTTAGCAGGCTGGGATACGTCTGCGCGCGCTTCCCTGCCATTACCATCATCACCAGTGTGCTTGTTGTTGGGTTAATGAGCTTGGGCTGGATAAGATTCTCGGTTGAGACTGACCCTGTTCGTCTGTGGGTATCTCCGGACTCTGCTGCTGCGCAAGAGAAGGTTTTCTTCGATGAGAAGTTCGGACCCTTCTATCGTGCTGAGCAAGCTTTTCTGGTCAATGAAACTGGAGGCCCTGTGCTGAGTTACGATACCCTTGCCTGGTGGTTTGACGTGGAAGGCCGCGTTCAACGAAGCTGGCCTTTCGAAGAAGTCTGTTTTAAGCCGATCAATGACGCCTGTGTGGTTCAGTCAGTGACTGGCTACTGGCAGGGCGATTTCGGCATGGTATCGCCGCGCTCATGGCAGGACGATCTGAAGGACTGCGTCGATAATCCGTCGTCGTGTTTGCCCACCTTCCAACAGCCCCTGGATCCTCACCTCTTGTTTGGTGGTGTCAACAAAAGTGTGCTCGATGCCTCGGCAATCGTGGTCACTTGGGTCGTCAACAACTACCCCGAGGGTACTGATGAGCTTCAGCGGGCAATGGACTGGGAAGAAGGGCTCAAGAATCTACTGCTTGCTGTGCAGGGCGAAGCCAAGGACCGAGGCTTGCGACTGAGCTTCAACGCCGAGATAAGTCTTGAGCAAGAGCTAAACAAGAGCACGAACACAGACGCGAAGATTGTGGTCGTGAGCTATATCATCATGTTCCTGTATGCTTCACTCGCTCTTGGATCGACAACACTCACCGTTCGCTCGATATTGCGCAATCCGGCCAACGCCCTGGTCCAGTCCAAGTTCATGCTCGGTATTGTCGGCATCATCATCGTCTTGATGTCGGTTTCCGCTTCCGTTGGCCTGTTCTCCGCCGCTGGAATCAAAGTCACTCTCATCATTGCAGAGGTGATTCCTTTCCTAGTCCTCGCTGTTGGTGTTGACAACATTTTCCTTATCGTACACGAGTTCGAGCGCGTCAACATCAGTCATCCTGAAGGCTCCGTCCCTGAACGTGTTTCTAGGGCATTGGGTCGTATGGGCCCTTCCATTCTGCTGTCCGCTACCACTGAGACAGTAGCATTCTCCCTTGGTTGCGCGGTCGGCATGCCTGCTGTGCGCAACTTTGCAGCCTACGCCGCCGGCGCTGTCTTCATCAACGCCATCCTCCAAGTGACGATGTTCGTTGCCGTTCTAGCCCTGAACCAGCACCGGGTGGAGAACAATCGCGCAGACTGCTTCCCATGCCTGCGTGTGGGGCGAGCTGACGCCAGTTACCTCAACGGAGGTATGGGCCATGGTGCTGGTGAAGAAGGGGGGCTGCAACGCTTCATTCGACGAACATACGCGCCAGCTCTTCTCGGGAAGAAAACCAAGGTGGCTATCATTACTGTATTTCTCGGTATCTCCACACTTGCCCTAGCCCTATTTCCAAACGTTCAACTTGGACTTGACCAGCGTCTTGCGATCCCGTCCGACTCTTACCTCATCCCCTATTTCAACGATCTCTATGACTATTTCGATGCCGGTCCGCCTGTTTACTTTGTTACAAAAGAGCTCAACGATACCCAGCGCGAGGCACAGAAGGAGCTCTGCGGACGCTTCTCCACCTGCCACCAAGAGAGTCTTGCGAACATCATCGAGGCTGAGCGCAAACGGCCCGAGGTTTCCTTCCTCGCTGCATCTGCAGCTAATTGGCTAGATGACTTCTTCTTGTGGCTTAACCCGGAAAACTCCAACTGCTGTGTCAACGACGATGGGAAGCCATGTTTCGAGGATCGAGAACCACCTTGGAATATGACACTATATGGTATGCCCCAAGGCAAGGAGTTTATCGACTATTTGGACCGCTGGATCCAGGCCCCGACAACCGAGGACTGTCCCCTCGGAGGCGCTGCTGCGTATTCTAACGCTCTCATCATCGACAAGAAGCATCTCACTATTCCAGCATCGCACTTCCGCACTTCACATACTCCCCTCCATTCACAGGAAGACTTCATCAATTCCTACAAAGCTGCCCGACGGGTTGCAAAGGAAATCGAAAAAGACGTCCAGACAGAGGTGTTCCCTTACTCGAAGCACTACATCTTCTTCGACCAGTACCTGTCTATCGTGCGTTTGGCCGGTGCACTACTCGGTTCAGCACTAGCAGCTACGCTTGTAGTGACCACGATACTTCTCGGCTCCTTACGTACCGCATTTGTTGTTACACTCGTAGTCGCCATGACGGTGTCCGCGATTATTGGGTCCATGGCCGTCATGGGCGTCTCGCTCAACGCCTTGTCTCTCGTTAACTTGATCATATGTGTGGGCATCAGTGTCGAGTTCACGGCGCATATTGCCAGAGCTTTCACTTTCCCGAGCCGTGCCACTATGGAGCGCGCGCCTAGGCACAGGTTCCGCGGGAAGGACGCTCGTGCTTGGACCGCTATGGTCAACGTTGCTTCATCTGTCATCTCAGGTATCACGATCACGAAAATTTTAGGCGTAGGCGTGTTAGCATGGACACGATCCAAGGTAAGCTTCCATATCATTCTTAACATCCTATCCTAACATCCTATCCTAACACAATCCAGATCTTCGACGTATACTATTTCCGCGTCTGGGTCGCCCTCGTCTTCTGGGCCTCGACCCACGCGCTCATTCTCCTCCCCGTACTCCTCTCTCTCTTCGGCGGCACAGGCTACGTCGACCCTGAGAGCGAAGGCGGCCTCGAGCAGGACCTGCGCAACCGCCAGTACCCGTCGCTGCTGGGCGACGACGACGATTATCTTAGCGACGAGTAGTGATCCGCTGGAGGCTAAAGATCCAGGCGAGGGCCCCAGCGAGCCACGGGCGATGCACGTACTGCTCCAAAGCGAGTCCAGAGAGGGTATAGAAGTGATAGTTATGACTACCGTGACGGAGGCCTTTGAGGAAGGTGTCGCGGGGTCGCCTGCTAAACCCATCCACCGTTGGAGTGATGCCTTCTTTATGCTGCTCTCGTATGATCGTGGTCTTAGGCCGAGGCGAACGATGCGGTTTGGGTTTTTTTGAGGTCCAAACGCATGAAGTGGCGCGCGGTTCGGAATGGAGTACTAGCGATAGGCATTAATGCGTGCATGTATACGTATATGGGAATTGAGCAATTGTCTTGTGAATCCGAATTCTGTGTTCTGTGAATTGCGAGAATGTCGAAGTGGTAGGGTGATGGGAGCTCGCCGTACCAAGAGAATAGTGGGCTTGGGGGATTCGCGGTGTATGTGGTAGACTATGCACTATGCGATCTCGTGGTGTCCTGAACAAGCTTAATGGCGACGGTGCATACGCTTCTGGAGTCGTGAACGTGAGAAGGATGGGTTCACTTTATACTATATGCTTGATCTAATTACACAGATGGGCGACAAGGCGAAGGTAAGCGCGCTTGTTACTAATGACTATGGAAAGTGTTCCGGGATTACCAATATCAACCTGCAAGCAGTAGTCTTCTTGCGTATCGGAGGCATTGTGCGTGTTGTTAATCTTTGTGTTTGACTTAGCATTGAGTTTGCGGGATGTATCTAGTTGATGTTGGTACGAAGACAGCCAGACCGATCCGCTTTTGATCCGATCGCAGTTCACCTCGCGCGTGCTTTCGCGAGTGCTTTCGCGAGTATGTCAACTGCAGCGTTGTGCACTAAGAATTTGTTGTCCGAGGCCAGCTCTGACACTGAATACTTGCTCATAATGAGATTGACAAGCAGTATCTCTGGATAACATGACTATTGTCGCACTGTAGAGCGCACATACCACATACACTACGAAAATAGTACGCGGCTGCGGCCTTCTTTGGAAGGCGCGCTCGAACGCTCCGTGTCACGTGGGCCTTCCTTTCACCTCGAGCGCCAAGCGCTCCTGCCCCATCCCTCGCACACGCTTCGTGAATTTATACCACATGGATCTTGCAGCACACCTCAAACTACTTGCACGCACGACTTTGGACCTTGCAGTAAACTGCGCCGACATCAGGCAAGGTTTGTCTCTTGCCACACCCGCAGAGCCCGTCTCACGCGCTCGCACGTTCACCCGCGGCAAGCACCCGACAAGGTCGAGTCCGCGCCTCAAAGTGATAAGGGCCACACTCGGCGATAGTTTGCACCACCCGCACCCGCGCTCACGACCGCACCTAACCAGTGATCGCGACCAACCCTCCGACGCACGCGGGCGTTACTTCTAAGTTCTGACGCCTGCCGCATCTACACACTCACACCCGTAATTTGTTAACGGTAGACGCTCAGTCTCTGGATATATCAACTAAGCACCTCGTCACCATGTCCGAACCCGTTCGTTTTCGGGTTCCGGAACCCACTATCGACCCAGTCACCTATTCACAAGGCAACTGGCTTTTATTGTACTATTTCGTTCTTTTATGTATCGCCTGGATCGTCTTTTGCAAAGGCAAGCAGATGTTGTGCTCCAGGGCCGCTTCCAAGAAAGTTTTCAAGGATATAGAGGGGCGCCTAATGAAGCACATCGACTTGAGAGAGCAACGCAGGAGGATGCTGCATCTCCAGTCGACCCTTGATGCGGTTGAAGAAATGTCCGAGAAACTCTGCAGACGCATCGGAGATCTTGAGGGCCACCGTCGCGCTACCCAGAAGACATGCGCCAACGTCGAGAAGCGGCTGAGAGACCAGTCATCCGACAACCGCAAGAATCTGATCACTTTCAAGAAGGATATTCGGGGACAGTTCCAAGCAAAGCTTACTCGAGAGGTCGACATGATCAAACGTTTTAGTCAAATTGCCACAAAGGAGCAAGTCAAGAAAGCCTTCGATCTCGCCCAGGACAGCATCAACAAGGTCTTTGAGAAGAACAACGCCAACTTTACGACGAAACTTGAAGAGCAAGAACAGCGCGGCATTGACGCACTTGGCCTCCACAAGTCTCAAAACACGACGGCTCTACAGGACGCCTTGAGGAAGAGCAACACCGACTTCGCAACGAAAATTGATCAGCAAGAGAAGCGAGTAGTGGAAAAGAACAAGTCTCAAACCGCCAAGGCTCTCCAGGAGCGAGATAACCGTGACAAGGAACTGGCCGCGAAGCAGAAGTACGAATTTAAGAGCCAGTTTGTAGAGCAGGAGAAGCGCGCCAGCGACGCACTCGCAGTTCACAAGTCTCACACTACAACAGCTCTGAAGGAGCAAGAGGATCGCCTCAAGGAACAAACTACAAAGCAGAAGTCAGACCTCGAGGCTTTCGTTCAAGAACAAATCAAGAAAGGCATTCAGGACGGGATGGCGAAGCAGAAGTCCAGAATAACCGAATTACAAGAGCAGACCGCGACTGCGCTCCAGGAGCAGAAGAAGGATTTTGAGTTTAAGCTCTTGAAACAGAAGTCAGAGGTCGAAATTTCTCTCAAGGAGAATTCGAAAAACGATCTCCAACACGCACTCGCTAAGCAGAAGTCTGAGTTCTCAGGCCAGCTTGAAAAGCAAGAGACGCGCAACAAGAAGGCGCTCGACGCTCAGGCTTCCAAGATCGATCAGCTTGGCATCACTGTCGGTACCTTGGATGCAAGTAAAGTTACAACTCAAAAGAAGGTTGAGGAGCAGGAACGCCAGGTCCGCGCCCTGGAGGTCGGCTTGAAGGCAGCTCAGAGCGAGTTTCAGAAGGTTTCTTCTCTTGAAACAAAGTTGGCGACCCAAAATAAGGAGATCAAGGTGTCAAATTCAACCAACAGCCAGTTGAAGACCGACGTCGAGAGACTCCAGAATTCCACCGTCATCAAGGAGGAGCTCGAGGAGCAAAAGAAACACCGTTCGGGAATCCAGACAGAGCTTGCGACTATGAAGACCCAGATATCGAACCTGCAGAAGCAGCAAAACGATGCGGTGTCCGAGGCGAAGACAGACCGTGATGAGTTTCAGGAAGAGCTGGACAACGACAAGAAGCAGGCGGCCGAGAAGATTGCCAATCTCACAAAGCAATTTTTGGAGTTCAAGTCGAACTTCCAAGAGCAAGGCACTGGACAGAAGATGAAGACAGACCTTGAAACTCTAGCAAAGGCCCAGGAGGCCATCCAGACTCAAGTTAATGTGAAGATGGAAGACCTAAAGAAGACCATCTTGGCCGACTTCGACGCGAAGATTTCTTCTGTCGACACGAAGATTTCCTTAGTCGAGGCCGATACCAAAGCCGTTAGGCTCGAGCAGTCCGAGGGTGACGCAAAACTCTCTCTCCATATTGAAAACCGTATCAAGGTTGTTCAAAGTCAACTAGATGTTCTGAAAGGCCATCCTCACCCGGAGGCTTCCCACCACAGCACGCCTCAACCAATTTCAAGTCAGCAACGCACGCCTCAGCACTCCGGTTCCCCGCATAACATACATCAGCAGTCCGGGTTCCCGCCAAATATGATCCAACCATTCGTTCCGCAACAAAACCTATACCAACAGTCCGGTTTCCAGCAGAACATGTTCCCACAGCCTATATTTCAGTCTCCACACCCCAGTGTTCAGCATCCACAGTACCGTTACCCACAGTAAATGACCCCACAGGGTGGTTTTCAGTCTCCATGCTCTGGGTGTCCGTCATAGGTGCGACACACAATGCCTGACGAAAATCGTGATAGCCAATAAGATGGTAAGAGATTTTCCGGACCGACACTCCAGCAATAAGACGAAAGGGGCAATCCTCCCTCCCGGCATTTCCCACGGCAAGACCTTCAATGCGTGATTTCTGGGAGGCAAAAAGCCATTCAACATCAGCCCCGTTCACTCTGCTGCTCTCGGATTGAAAGCTTTTGAGCTTCTTTTAAGATCAGAGTATGAAACCACGGTCGAAGTAGGGTCATCACATTGGCAGTGCACACACCAAAGTCTACGGCGCTTGAGCTCCCTAGTAGAGGCCATGCCTCCAAAGCTGCAAAAATGGCGATGTGAGCGGTCGAGCTCCCAGCAAATGTAAGAAACGGCTGGCGTGCATCTCAAAACCTGCTGCGCTTGAGCGCCATAGTTTAGGCTCCGCCTCCTAGGTGCAACATCAGCGATCTGTACGGACGAGTGCACACCACTACTATCTCACGTTTGCTAGGAGCCCGAAACATATCTCATTACACGGCCACAATTACTCTATATCTGTTCCTTTCTTCGGTCGAGGCATTTAGCTGCCCTGAGGAGAAGATACTGGGGTGAAGTCGAACGGGGAGTGTGTTATTGCATCGAATTCTTGTGTTGGAAAGCCAGATTGGAAGCAAAGGTTGGTAGAATATCACGTTGGATTATGGACGTCGCTAACACTATCAGGAAGAAAGGGCTGCTGCAAGTCGACAGCACCATGATCTAGCTGTCCTCCTAACGACTTGGTATGCTTAAGGTTATTGGGCATAGCTTGGCCCGGTTCTTCAATATTGAAGGGAGGGCTAGTTTACGTTTGATGTTTTGTATAATGGCAGTACGCTGACGAGGACTTGATTCTCTTGGCGGTGATATTGACACCGGCTGTAGGATCCCATTTGATGGCGTGATGGTATCTGTTCAGTGCACACGGGATGTGGTGGTTTCTGTTCTGTACTAGGGTTGTGATGGTTTCTGTACTGTTCTCAATATTTCTCTTCTGATGCCCTGGGCATTGCGTAGTCATCTCCATCCATAGCAGGATGCTGTGGAGTTCAGTTCAACGACAAGTCAAAAGATCAAGATGCCTAATTTGTCATGTCCACCTCGTGCCGTCTCACAACTTCTTCACACTCCAAAGAGCGTGCCTCCGCCTTGGCTTACCATACGGCGGGACTCGGGCTTTCCACACGATCTACAAATCCTTCCCGCCAGACGCTCGCTCCTACCCCAAGTTCAAGGCATCCATCCGTAAGCGCCCGCTTTACTAAGCGCTGCATAAGGCGAACCTCGAACGCTCACGACGTTCACACGCCGGGTACAACCCCGCATCTTAGCTCAGATGATCCTTCATTTGTTCAAGGGGTACTTTATCGCGTTACGCAAAGAAGCTCGTGTGCCATTGTAGAGTGAAATTTCTCTACCGAGCCTCTACGAGTAACGTGCGCTCGTGAGACTGGACACCCTGTGATCGGCTACAAATCTTCCTGTCTGACACAGCCTCGAGGGTGGGTCTGAACCGCGGCCTAAAAAGAGCCGCAGCCGCCCGCCGCCCGCCGCCCGCCGCCCGCCGCCAGCCGCCACACCTTATTGTAGCACAAGGATCCTACGCCATTGGCAGATGCATGGGCAAGCGAAGGGAAGGGGCGCAGCGAGTGCAATGTGGAGATATGGTATGCGGCGAGGCGGATTCATGGCATGTGCGTCTGACGTGTGTACGCAAGTCAATCATTCTATTCGCAGGGTGCGCAATCGTGTCTAATGCGGATGGGAAAACTGGACATCGTGAAATATAGACAAACTGAAAAGAGAGTGGGTATCGTTTGACGAAGAAAAGGACTGTGCTGATGCGGCATCTACTGGAGCAGGACAAAGCCATTCGATGTAGCAAGAAAAGCGTAAAAGGTGTGAATACAACACGCCGAAGCGAGATCGAAAATCGAAAGACAAAGAATCCTGAAGGAAGTATGACCGTCCCACTCAATGCATACCAATAGCCATAAATCGTTTATACCCATGCATCTTCCCGAACGATGGCGAACGCCATATGTGATGCGTTCCAACATAAAGAAATTAGAAATTGTAGACAACGGATAAGAATACAGCTGGTGGCCTCGTGCACACGCAGCAAGAAAGAATTGCGTACATGTTACAGTCGAACAAAGGAAATGGAAACTCTAGGAGAATCTTTGTACCACGATACGGGGGCTGTTGCGTACATCCTGCACCATGGGCATTATTGGAGCTTGGTCCCACCCATGAGGAGATTTCGGTGTCTCAACGCTCCTGTTGCCGTTTTCCTCGCGCCACAGCGACCGTGGTGTTGAAGGAGTCATAGGGCTGATGGGCGACATCTGATCAGGTCGCGAGGAGTTTTGTGGCGTGAGGATGCGCTTGTTGCGCTGACGTTGCGGACTCGTGGGTGGTATCGGTGGAGGGGGAGGAGCCTCGTAAGCGTAAGGATTCGATTGAGGAAAGGCTGGAGGGTGCGTTGTAGGTGGCGTTCTGATGTAGTAGGAAGGAACTGACTGCGGCGATGAGAACGTTGAGTTGTGTGCCGTGGAAGATGGTCTGACGTAGTACGAGGGGACTGAAGTATCTGTGCTTGTGGTATCGTGCCTGACTGGTATTGCTACGGGCATCGGCGCTGGAACTGCTTCAGATGTGGTCATCACGATGGGCCCCGTCCGGAGTGGGTCATCGTAGGCCACTCTTTCAAGGCTGGAAGATGGTCGCGGAGGAAACATCAGGCGTGGCGTACGCGATACTGGCAGAGGGGCGTTTGGTGACAGCCCTCGAGTTTCAGGTATCTGACCGACTGGCATATGGCGCATTGGTGATGCATCATCTGCACACGATCGTTCGACAGTTGGTGATGTGGTAGTCAACGGTGGACGTGCACGCTGTTGCGGCAGCAGTGAATACTGTTGTTGTGTAGGAAAGAGCGAAAATCGGCGGGGTGGTTGTGGCCGACTTGGAGATGGTGTAACATTCTTCTCACGATCCATGGCCGATCGGGATCTCGCCGCGTCCGCTGCAGGCAACGTGGAAGAGCGGACATGAGTAAGAGCTATGGACGATAGTAAGGGGTGTGGAGATGGATATGCGGGCGAAAGAGCATTCGAACTCGCGGTTTGCGGTGAGGTGAGGTCGCTTCCGTGGTGCGTTTCGTTGTGCTCGGGAATGACAAGGCGCAAACCTCTTTCGCTAGGAGTCCGCGATCCACTGGCAGATGTGTCTGGTGGAGTGTCGAACCGCGCCTCCAAAGGACTAACGGGCGCCGGACTCGGAATGCGTGGCGAGGCATCGGAAGTTCTGCCATAGGGTGAATTCGCAAAGGCAGTCGAGTCCGTTGAGTTACCATGCGCTTTCTTGTAACCCCTAGGATACCCGCAGCAACCATACGACTCCTCATCGACGGTGGCATGTTTACTTCTCGCTGTCGACCGTCTGCGTAGGCTCGCATCGGACGTTTCAAAGAAAGCGCGTACATATGGTATGCAAGCCGTCACAATACTCAGACAAGCCTGGACTTGAGTGATTATTAGTGGTACCCATAGGTGGAAGGCTGGGTTGTTGTGCGGCGATATCGGGAAGAGGTACACCAAGCGCGCAAGTGCGACGCCAATGACGAGAATACGAGGTGCAAAGCAAGCGACTACCGCAATCTTCCTCGAAAGTCTGACCTTCAGATATGCTACCAGGTTTATGGATAGCATTACTATAGCGACGTCGCTAGTCATGTCTACAATGCAGTAGACGATCCAGAAGACTCCCTACGCGAAACATTAGCGGTCATGCAAAGGATCGGACCACTCAGTTATGGTTCGACTTACAATATTGTAGCAGTGCAATGTCAATATTTCCCATGGCTTCGGAAGACCACATTGGAAAGCAACGGCAGCAAGTGAGGCCAGTGTCCACGCAAGGATGAAGATGCCAATCGCTAACACAGCCCGTCGCTGCCCTCGCTGATGATGGGACACACTGTAGAAGAAGGAAACGAGACAGAGTTTTGCGAAACCAATTGTGAGGATGTAGAGGAATTCTGATGCATAGTACCCTTTTTGAATCAGATCGGCCTTTCTAACGGTGAGCACGTCGAGTACACCGAGACCGTCAGATGCTAGAATGAGTACTGTGACAGAAAGACCGACGGCAAAGATCTGAGAGATGTCAGCAGAGCTCAAAACCGGAGTTGAGACGTTTGCATACGGTCGCAGTCAACATGAAAAGGTCGTCGATGCCAGCCTTTCTACGGTGAATCGCGAGCTTGATGCATTGTCGAGCGAGGAAAACGAGAACCGATACGACCAAAGTCGCCCAGGTTACGATTGTGACGATGTTGCTTTTGTCTTCGGTCGTTGTCTTGATTGCTCGTTGCTGTAATGATGTTCGAGGTATGTTCATGATGGTGGATGAGGAAAGAACGCCCACCCACCGACCCAACCCCAACCCAAGGAAAGAAGGAAGCAGGAACAAGGAAACAAACACAAAGGAAAAGGGAATGCGGGCTTCAAGGAAGTTGGACCGAATCGGAAGACGGCATATCGAGTGACCCGAACGACGAGGACGAGTTGGGAGCAAGTCGTGTGCTGGAGGACGTAGGATGTTGGGTGAGGGTGGAGTGAGTTGGTGTGGGGGCCTGCGGGAGGAAGAGGTGATCGAACTTGCAACGTCGGAGACCTTGCAACGGGCCTCGTCATATCAAAGCTCGAGTGCGCGCGGAGCGGATGTCATGCCGTAGCCATTTCGGGTTCACAGCGCTCACACATTCCGCGCCGTGGCATAATTATCGTCAGGCTGACCCACAACACGCCTTCGGCACACGATCTGGGCTGTGCGGACGTTCCGGCGAAAACGGGTATCTGGCTTGTAGATTGCCGCAGCGCTCTTGGCACCCCGGCCTCCCATAATAAGCTGCGCGCATGCTGCGCTGGCCACTTCGCGCAGCTCACTGGTTCCTTTTTTCGACATCTCACGCATTGGCTGGAGGTCAGCGTCAAATTTAGGGCTGCGGCGCGCTGACACGCAGGCGAGGGCCAGGGTCTTTGGCACTGGGGCGCAGGCAGGCCTCTTCGTAGTGGAGTCAATCGGCCTGTATGCACGTGTGAACTGATGCATGGGGTCCATGGTACACCGGGCTTGATCTGATGGGCATATCCGTGCGATGGGAGGATGGCCAGTCCTCATCTATCCGTGCAGAACAACTGCTTGTTACTTGCTGGGATCAGAACCACAGCGACTTGCAAAGGACGCGAATCGATGCGCATGTCTCCTTTCATCTCTTGACTGTGCTGCGCCGCCGGGTGCTGCCGCGCTGCCGCACCGATGCGCTCGCCTGAGTATTTTGAGCCTCGTGTACGTTGGTAGCCGCCACCAGCTCACGCCGAGGAATAGCTGTCCCCAGAATACACGCTGCTTACCTCACTCCCATTTTGATCATCTGGAATATGCTCCTAGCTTCCTACGCAGGTCTCGAGATTCCAAAAGGGTTCCGGCGGATGCCATGACGTCAAAGCACACGCGGGCGGGGTGAAATGAAACGCGGCTGGTGCGGAGCACCAAGGGACCCTAGGTATCAGAACAACTCCTTTTGCCGCAATGGTGGCCGTTGCAAAAGTATGTTGGCACGGCGATTGCCTTGCAGGAAGCTACAAGGAACATAGAAAGCTTCCTGCGAGAGGCACGTGGAAGGAGAGAAAACCGCCTGCAGGCCAACTTCCACGGACCCTTGGGATGAAGATGCTGGCTTCTATAGGGCGCGCTACGGATGTGACCACTAGAACTACACGTACGCCCATATAGGCGCTCAGTTGAACAACCTCAATATCGCCCTCGGGCTTGTTCTGGAGGTTCAAGATAAGAGACGCTCGCCGTTATAGAGCTCGGCAGGGCTACAACCGCCAGTGCCGTCTCGGGCAACATGCTGAACGAAGCAGGTCGCAACTAGAAAGCAGCATGTACATCAGCCCCATGGAAAGTGTAGAGGACCCGACCTTCTGTTGATGATGTTGTCGTGGCCTTCAGCGGCTAACCCCGCTTCTTCGGTGACCGACACATCGCCTTTACAACCCCTAACTCTACCTGCTTCTAGAATTCTCACCACAAATGCGAAGATCGTGGCCGCTTTTAATCTCCCTCAGGGTATCTGTTCGGTGTATTTATTTTGCACATACAGGCGAAGCCTCGGCGCCGACGATGACAGCGCGGACTCCGGACCGCTTGCGCGTTCATGCATGCCACACCATACCTTAGCCACTAATCGCATGAAGCATTATTTGCGACCGGTCGCACCTCACAGGGCGGAATTGCTCACAAACTTGTTTGCCAGTAAGCGATCGAGCGAGAGGCGCAGTGGTGACGAAAGGAACTACACCGTAGATCGCCAGGGCACTTGCGAAAACACTCAGCTCGATGCCTCTATATGACTTATGGATTTAATCTGCACGTGACCTCTATCTGGCCCCCTCGTGACAAGGTGCGAATGATGCAGCTGCAAGCCGAACGATGAGTTCGATTAGTCTATCGCTGACACAGACAGCCGGAGATCACTGTCGACTGAGCTCAAGTGTAAGGCCGAACCGCACGAGTTGTGCCAGTTCGGATCAGACGTTTTTCATATTAGATCTTTAGTATGGCTACGGTCTAGACCTCATCGTTACGCCCCCAATGCCTTCTGGAGGTCCATGACCGTGATCAAAATCTGGCTTGCACCCGAGCCCGACCATTCCGCCCCGCCTGCAAACCTGAGCTTTTTCTGATCATTCGGAGCTACACTTCGTTAACTTGACATACTTCGTGCAAGGCTCGAGGTAACCACTCACGAACAGTAACCTCACGCCCAAATGCTCGCCCAGCAGTGGTGCTCAACTCCCACCACTCTCCCTCTCCCAGGTATTGATTGACGAACACGGAGTTCGACTTGGAATCGCTCAGCACTATCGTCCCGTTTGGCCCTCCCAACGGAGTCCAGGTCACCGAGGGCACGCCACTAGGTACGAGGCCAGTATCAACATGGATATCGCGTGTGCGGTCGCTCGCGGCGTTTTGTGGGTTAGAGGTGATCTTGTAGTAGATCGGGTATGTGTAGGTGCTCGCGTTGGCATTACGCAACCCATATTGAAAGGCGATAATGTATTTGTTGTTTGCAATCTAGAGCGATTAATGTTGAGGTTTACTATTCGTGCAACAGCAGTCTTACCTTGGCAATACTGGGAGCTGCAGGCTGATCGGACTGGAATTGCGACGTTACAACGTCGACTGGGCTATCCCAGCTATCGTAGTTCTCGGTAGTCGTTTGTTGGACGATCTTCTGGGCGTGTGTCTTGTCTCCTGCACCAGTGTAGAATACAGTGATCGAGTTGCCACTACGGAAGTGCAGTTAGAAAAATTCAAGAATTGATTTTGCTGGTGCTCTGATATCGGATTCAAAACTCACTTGTGTACGAGATAGGGATTGGCCACTGCAGCGGTCGCATTATTCAGCGGTCCACCGCTGACAATCTCACTCGCAAGGTCCCAGCTTTCGCCCTGGTCACCTGAGGTATAGAGTTCAATAGTCGTGGTCCTGTCATCCACTGCGTTTACCGCTAGGAGAGTGGTTCCCGTGTCGTCTCCGTATGTTCCATTGATGTACAGCAAGTGTGGTTGCAACAATCTTTTCCCAGAGTCTGAAGTTGCTGTCCCAAGTGGATACCACGAGTATCCACTGTTCTTGGAACGGTACACGGCAATCGAGCCTTTCGATGATGGATCGTTCCACGCCGCGAGTACCGTGTTGTTTGGGAGACTTTCGGTACGCGGCGTTGTTACTTGCACGGAGCCATCGGGCTCATACAGGGTCACATTCGCGAAGACATCGATTCCGGTAGGGGTAGGAGCTGGAGGATCCGGCTGGTCTGTAGGGTCTTGAGCCAGCACCTGGCTTAGGACGGCCATACCGGCCAAGACGAGTCGGCGTGGGCGCATCGTGTAAGAGGATCACAGTCTATCTACTGACTTTCAGGAAACATCCACGGGCACTGCTGTATGATATTTGAAGGACTTTCTTCATTGTGAGAAACGAAAGTGACCAGGCACATGATACATGATTGGCAGCATCAATTGCCGTAAATGAAACATAATATTGGTGCTCAAAGTCTCTCAATGACGAGAGATGCTGAAGCTGTGATGTGATTGAGCGTGACGATGGATAAATCTTTTCCGTCTCTGTTGGTGCAAGGTCCGGCAAAAGGAGACCTGGAATTCTCCCCGCGAAAGCATTGACACACGTGTAAGCGAGTATGTCCTTGAACGGTAATTCACCCGCAATGCATCACAAACACTGCCAATACACTATATGTGCATGCTGCCATTGGTTTTCGGAGATTTCTATCGGTATTTTGTCATTTAGGTGCGGGTAAATTTCTTGGCTTCCAGATCTCGGCTCGTACGACGAATAGATGGCGGCTGATATTCCATTCCACACGTTCATCTGGGAACCACCCTGGTCGTGCATCGAATTCTAACAAGACCATGCCCCGCTGGGTAGGAAGTTCGAATACAATGACTTGTACTGGGAGAGGCAAAACACATGCCGGTTGTACTCAGGGTCTTGACTTCAAGCGCACTAGACCTATCCGATCGTAATGCCCATTCCAAGTCCCTCAAGTCTGTCCTTCAGCCCGTCCAATATCTGGCCTGCTCGGCCCGAATCGCTGTTATCCTCCTCTTCAGCCAAGTCATCTTCTGGTCGCTCAGTGCCCCCGTGGCAAGTCCAACTGGACGCTCTCTTCGGGTCAGCTATCCCCATGTATCGAGCGACTCCTGGCCAGGCGCATAGCTCGCGCGTAACTCGATCACCTCGGTAAGTAGTAGTCTCGGCTTCCAACGTCTCCGGCGGTATTCCATTCTCCACCCATTCGATCAGAGCAGCAAGAGGGTCGACGGGGACAGGTCCGGTGCCACCCCCACAATGCTCAACACCGGGCGCTAAGAAAAGGCGGTAGAATTTGTCTACTTCATTCGCGCCGCCCATGAGGAGTTCTACTCGTTTTCGATACTGTACGGTTGATTGGTGGGGAATGACAGGATCATTGACTCCATGCCATGTGAGCAACTTCGATCCCGATGCCTGCAAGCTCGTGAGATCCGGCTTGTCGGCGTCGAGGAGCCATCCAAACTCGGAGTTCCCTTGAGCCCACAATGCCACATAGTCTGCATAACTAAGCCTAGTCGCGTTGAAAGATCTATCTTTGGTTTTAAGGAGAAAATTTTGGATAAAGCCCGTGGATATGGGGAATGGGACCGGCATCCGCAGTCCTTGTTCGGTAGTAGTGGTGCTTGCGAGAATATCAAAACTGGTCCCATGCGTAAGGCCATACCAAAGCGACGTCTTGAGCGGTGTCCGAGGGCCTTGTTTGACTTTTCGCACGATGTTTGCCATTGCTCGCGAGACTTCTACGGGTTTATCCTCGCAATAGAATGTTTGGCCGATCAAGTGTAGGGGGTCGAAGTCGCACAAGTCAGGTTCTGATATAACACCATCGCTGACCCCGTCAATCATATCACAGCTCTCCATGGCTTTCTGACGGAAGTAATTGAACTCGCAGGTCGACATCCACAAGCCTTCTTCCTTCATGACCAACAAAGGCCAGAAATCAGCCATCGCTAGGTGTGTCAGACTGATCGCGGGAGCGTTTGCAAGTATGCCATCCAATAGGTGAGGGTACTGTTGCGCAAGCACATAACCTTGCCTTCCGCCCTGAGAACACCCGTTCCAGTACGAGTACTTCGGCCTTTCCTTGTAGAATTGCTCGGTGATACTTTTGCCGACCACGACTGACTCAGCAAGACTGCGAACCGCGAAGTTGGTCAACAAGTTCCAATCAATAGTACTATCTTCCTTCAGAACCCATGTTGTGTCATCGGTCTCTCCAATCGGGTGACCACCATCCGTAGAAGAAGCTGCGTAGCCTCCCTTGACAGCAGGACCAAGGGCTCCCCCAAGCATTCCAGTTGCCATGCCCACTCCTCCTGTAGCTTGAAAGCGGCCGTTCCAGTCGTCTAATGGAAGCCAGACCTCGACCAAAACGTCATCGTTGGTATTCGCGTGAGTGAGATGTACTTTGACCTGGCAGAAATTGAGACCCTCTGTATCTGGTATGACGTGCTCATCCCCATGGGTGGTGTAGTTGCGCTGAATCTTCGCTTCGATAGACAACTTCGTGACGCCGGCGCCGAGACTTGGTGGGCTGAACGTATCTGTTTCGCACACAGGGACGAACGTAAGCACATCTTCTGGCTCGGCTTCTTCTTTCCCTTTCACTACCCCGAGTGCGGCTAGCCACACAATTGCGGTTTTAAGAAGCATTGCAATGTGATATTGCAGGTGTGTAAAAGTGTGGGGAAAAGATCTCTGCGATCAGTTCTTAAACAAATCGAGTCCGCATCGGTGACCTCAGCGCCTAGACATTATTGATGCTGAGTGCTCTCTGCTGTAACGCGCAACGTTAACTATGTCGCGATTCCACTGGTAGTGCAAGGAGTTGGCGGGCTGGGCGATTTCGACACGTCGTGGTTATTACTTCAGTGGGGCTGAACTAAGCTCGGTCGAGCACCGCTAAACCCGAAATGGTAAAGAGTATCTCAAAGAAACGTGAGAAAGCAAACTTCGAGAGTGGTCATTGGAATTTCCTGTCAAAGTATACATTTCGTCTCCAGGCCGACGAGAATTTCCTCCAAGTCCCCACAAGAACATACCCCGATTTGCCACGAGTTCCAAACTTCAATGCAGAACATTTACAACTGCAGACAAGCCAAATGTCCCCAAAACCAAGAACGCTATGAGATCTATCCGAGGATCTTGCTCAGAACGACAACCGTGTATCAACAAATGTTCAGGTATCTAACTCATGGCCATGCAGCCAGCCGAACGAAAAAGAAGAGAAGAGCGCAAGTCCCAACGCACTACTCCTTCTCAGAAGTATCACCCCAGACGAACTTCCACTCAGTATAAGCGAATTCTGTCTCCGCTCTCCGACATATCTTCACCGGAATATCTTGGTCCGGCTTCGGCATCGCGTTCCACATATCTACGTTCTTCTTGGTAGGCATCTGCCACTGACCGTCGACAGGATGGACGTCGAACTGCAACAATGTCATTGCCACCAAAGACAATACCACGCCCGTGGAGAAGTGTCGTCCAGGGCACATGGTTGTTCCAGCACCGAAAGGTCGGTATGCGGTAGTATTGGACAGGTTCCTCCGACCCGCAGGCGTAAAGAAGCGCTTGTGATCGAACTCTGAAGCGCCCGGACCCCATGTGTTAGTGTCGTGGTGTACTGTAGTACCGGATATCATCAGGATTGCTCCCTTCTTAAGGAAGTATTCTGATGCCAGGGTGGTGTCGTGCTGTACTTTCTTGATGTTGATGACGGTGCTATGGTACCGGAGCGTCTCGTGCCACATTGCCATCATTGTAGGACATTGTGTCCTTATGTTGCTAAGGTCTACTACTTTAGCTTTTCCAGATGGCGTATCGGCTTCCTTGACGACAAGGTTGAGAAGCTCCTCACGACAGTCTCGAAGCGCATCGGGGTCGGAAGCAATGTGGAACATGAGCCAGAAGGCACTGATGGCTCCGCTGCTAAGCATAGCAAGTGATGTGGCCATCTCCAACTTAGCTGCTTCCGAAGACGGCAGGCCGTGGTTCGCGTTGGTGTTGAACATCTCGGGGATCATGGCGAAGGCCTGCGTATGGCCACCCGTTTCGAAGTAGTTCTGGAACGCCTTGATGACGCGGGCGCGTGCTTTGAGAGCTTTGCGCGCCGTGAGCCATGGAACGGGGCTGTACAACAGATGGCTAATGCCAGGTACGAATTCTCTGCGGAGTTTGTTAGCATATATATCGGGATCGGGTGCTGTTTCGAAAGATTGGGGATACTTACAGCCAGCTTGCCTCAATGACAGGATCGTCGTAGGGGTTTTCAGCACCATAGATTGCACCCGTGAGCGCCTGGCAGAGCTGGTGTCGCAGCATCTCGTACAGGCCAACTTGTTCCTGGCCAACGAAGCTGCAACGGATACCTACGGTGAGCTTCTCGATTGCCGTACGCGTTGCGGCGTGTAGGTCTGAACCAGCGGCTAAGTATTTATGTACGCTCCTGGTGAAGCCGTTGCCATGAGCCCCGTACGCTTTCGTGAGCGTGTCCTTGGACATTCGGCTCAAACCACTGAACAGCATACCGAAGTCGAGCAGTGTCGGCACAAATGTACCAAGATTGCTCTTATTCTGCACGACCTGAATCAGTTGTGGCGAGTTTATGACGTATATCCTCTGGAAGGGCATCCGCAGGGTGTGGATTGGAAGGCCATGTCGCCTCCTATTTCAATTTTAGTGGCTTGCTCGTGGCATCTGAGCGAGACAAGGGCTTACCTTAAGCTGACGAGATAGTTGACCTTGTGTCGTGCAATACCAATGGCTGGGTCCAAGAAGGGTATGGTCGTTGGTATAAGTCGAGGCTCTGACTTACTCTGTGTAGCGTGTAGGACGGCGTACAGCGTGCCATATATGATGGCCACAGCAACAAATACGATCGCTAATGTCGAGGGCATTTTGAAGGGTGGTGTGAGTGGTTTGTGTGGAGAGAAGCTTGTGAGGGCGGTGTAGCACGTAGAAATGGCGTAGGTGCAAATAAAGACGCTGGTGCCCGTGTGCGTCGCCAACCTTCACGATAGCCCTCGGGATAGGAGTGACGTCAGCCTCACCAAGGTTGAGTGCGGCGTGTTTTGAGCAACAGCTTCGTTAGGATGAAACGGGGCAAAATAGTTATGGGGCTGAGTTGATCTTGCGGCAAAGTCGAAGTAAGATACTGCCCTGATGCGAAGCCGTTGGCAGAGCTACTGCCATGTGAGCCGCCACAAAGTTCACCACAGGTTGATTTATACTGTGGTGGTGAAAGTGTGGATACTCTACAAGCTCACAATGCTCTGAAGCCACAAGGCCAAAGTGGTCGGCGAACATAATTCCATCTCAGCTGCATTATCCGGGCCCTGTCCTAGCCCCGGCGGTCCTGATTTGGGTTCGTTCTACAGAATTTCTAGTACACCATGTCATCTCCGACTCGAGAATACCATTTACTACCAGCACGCTCGCCTGTCTTTGTTTTCTCGGAAGCCGCAGAGTCCGTGTTACTTGTTCCGAGGGTCATATCAACCAGTATACGCGGCCAAGTTTCACGTCCCAAGATGCTCCGCTTCTGAAGCTTCCAGTCATGTGAGTTGGCTCTTGCGGTCACACTTCACTATCCAAACCAGGGCTGTCACACCGAAAGAGGAAGCGAGGCTGAAAGGCGTTCGTTAAACATAGACGCCAGCGGTAGGAACGACAGCCGTGATCCAGCAGACGCCATCTTCGCCCTGTGTACTTCGGCGAAGTGCCATTGCGGATCCTGCTCGCAGCAGAGAAGACTATCGATTCTGCCCCCGTGACCAGCGCTCTCCTATGTATACCTTCGAAGTAGCTTTTGAGCCAGGTACGGTCCGGAGTGCCGGCGGCCGAATTAGACGCAGACAAAACAAAGAAAGAGCCGAGCTTGAGCGTGCGCACTGCTCACAATTCGCTTAAGAGCCCGTATCGGGAGGAAGATACATGGTGTACATGGACCCTTTGTTTTCCGGTGCCTTGGAGCTGGAGACCTGTATGCACTTGGCTGGCACGCAAACGGCCAGCGGCGCGTGTCAGTCTCAATATCGACCAGCCTGAACGTGATAATTGCACGGGCAAGCCGAGCTTCCAGGCGATCGGATACGATTGTGGTGGTACCAACCCAGCAATATGACGAGGGTGATCATGTCGGGGAATATTGATCTTACCTCGAACGATGGTGACTGCCGCCGCATCTCAACGCCACTGCTCGATCTGATCTCGGCCCGCGCCTCATCGCAGCCTCACCGGGGTTACCCATGCTACCCCTGCGGACGATCATGATGCGCAGTTCTGTGACGCACGGCCACTTGGGTCTCAGATGTAAAAAGCAACCATGACGAAGACCTGCATTTTCAAGATAGTCTCAGGGCAGACACTCAAAGGATGCGCAGGCGCGTTCCACGCTCCGCCGAAGAAGCAATTCACCCAATAACACAGCAATGGACGCCTCACGCACTCGTATCGATAAATCAATAGGTAACCCCCACTGCTTCCCCACCGCATCGCTCAAGTAGCCTCCTATGCGCTTCGCTCCGCGCCGTGATCTTGACATCGAATGGGGCCCAGCGATGCTCCGCCACATTCATATTCAACGTATCGATCTCCTTTCCTGCGACCTGCTCAAAATTGAAGCAGTACAGCAGTCGGGCTGCCGCGATCCAACTAATGATGGAGGAGCTAGTCAGCGACTATTTCAAATCTACAACATGGGAAGACAGAAAAACAACGTGGCGAAAGAGAAACTAGCCAAGACATGCGGGGACATCCCAAACTGTCATGGTCGCATAAGAAAAGTGGAAGACGTACACGTTCGAGTCTCCGACATGGTAGCCGGTGCACACTCTCCTCCCCGCACCGAAACTCCAATGGCCGGCTAGCGGATCTTCAACTTTACCTGGATCGATGGATTGGATACTTGGGTCTAGCCACCTCTCCGGCCAGAATCGCAATGGGTCGGGATATTCATCCGGGTTAAGCGCAATGTGCCAGGCGTTCCATGTGAAGACCGTGCCCGCAGGAAAGTGGTAGTCCTCGTAGATATCGTCATTGATGAGCGTATGGAACATGCCTAGAACTGGTATCAGCTGCCATAAATCCTACAAACTTTACATCACGTCGGATTCCGGAACCAGGGGAGGCAACAGGGAGGTGCCCGTGGGTGTCCGTGACTCGACCGAATAATTTCACGGCCGTGAATGAACTCGCGAGGACACGTACCTATCTCAGCAAACGGTCTCCACCGAAATCCTTCTTTCACCACAGCGCTCAGATACGGCAGCTGGCCACGATCATTGAACTCAGGTAACCGCGCCGCAACGCCGCACACCCTGTCCAACGCCGCCTGCGCCTCTTTCACCCACCTCCTGTCAGTCGCAGCAGCAGCAACAATCTGACTTAGCGTCATCCTGCTCGTATCACTGCCGGCCTCCATCAGACTCCCCAGCGCAAACAGTCTCTGCGTCTCGCCCAGCTTCTCGCTCTCAGGATCGTCTAAGAACTTACTCGCAAAACACGGCGGACATGTCCCCCTCTCCATCCTCTCCTTTAAATCACCAACCTCAGCACCATATACATTCAGCAGTCTCTCGAACGCATCCTCGCCCCTCCTTGTCCACCACTTCAATGCCTTGGGCAAGCGATCAAGGAAGTAAAACGTATCCACCAGATTCGCGCCCGGCTGCAACGCCGCGATAAACTCCTGACTCGTGTCGAATAGCTTATCCACATTACTCTTCTCGACCACCCCAGACTTGCCCTCCCTCGTCTTCTTCTCCTCCCCCCCTTCCATTCCCTCCTCCCCGCCAACCCTCTTCCCAAACACCACACTCATAACCACCCCGTTCGCAAACCGCTGATTCGCCTTCCACCACATCTCCGGATGCCTCAGCACATCCAGCACCAACTGCCTACTCTCGACCTCCTGAAACGGCGCAAACGTCCCGCCATTCTTCGCGTTGAGGATGCTATGCATGATCTTGCGGGTGGCACGCCACTGTGCGCCATACGGCTGCAGCACCACCCTGCAGTCGCCCGACATGAGTGTCGATGCATAAGGGAAGCGGGGTCGGGAGGAGTAGATGGCTGAGCGCTTCTCGAGGAGGTCGGAGACGGCGCGGGGCGTGTTGAGGAAGACCCAGGGGGTGTTGGCGATGTGCAGGGTGAACCTAACATGTCGACATTAGACTGTGGGTGCGGGGGTGGAAGGGCTTGGGCAGGAGGGCGGAGGGTGTACATTTCACCGTATTTCTGGGCCATTTGTTGGGCCCAGGGGCCTTGGTGGTATGGCGGCATCTGGAACATGTTGCCGAAGAAGGGGATGCCTCTCGGGCCTGGTGGGAGCTTGTATTTGCGGTGCCATTGGATGTTGCTCCATATTTTTGTGAGGAGGAGTAGTGAGAGTGCTACGAGAGCAGTTGGTAGGATTGCTGGCATGCTGATGTCCTCGCGAGGCCGCCGCCGGTGAGTAAAGTCAAACTACAAGACGGTCTATTAGGATGAACAGGATGCGGCTCATTTCTCATGGTCTCAAGGTCTCAAGGTCTCATATGCAATGCCATGTCCCAACTCCGTAGCGTGCACGGTATGGAGAAGTCTAGTGTCGAAACGGTAAAGTTTGGCTAGCACAGTATACTACTCCAAATGTGGGGTATCCTGTTTGGGCACGTAGTGGCGCAGGACTCAGAGTGGGGCAATAGTTACATGCTTCAAATATGTACATGGATGGTATCAACATTTCCACACTCTCACCGAAGCTCTACGGCTGCTCAGGCGGCGGCCTGTACGGCAGGTGCACCATTAGTGACGTTCGCATCCATACCCGCCTTCTGCTTGCTCTTGAAGTATTGCGTGAAGTCGTGCCGCACCGCGTGGACAGCTTCAGCAACCGACTTGCCCCACACGGGATCTTTGTCCGCGCGTTCACAGAATTTGAAGAACTCTTCCTTCTCCTTCTCGCATGCGGGATCCCATAAACGGTGGAAGTTTGCACGTGACATTGGGTCGATCATCTCCCGCCAGATCTTAATGCGGATCTCACTGTATTTGTCCAGAATCGACTCGTCAAGTTCGTCCTGATGGATGCCCATGAAGCAATCGTACAGGGAGCCGACGTCCGCAAAGCCTCCGGTCAGGCCAAGGCCACCACTGTTGGGATTAGCATCTGTGGCGTCTAATGTGGTAGTGAGGCTTACAAGGGATTGCATAGATGAGCTGCGTCTGCGACCAATAGTATCTTGCCCACTCGAAAGCTTGGGGCGCATCTCTGCTGCAACTTATACGGGCTCATGCTGACCAGCTTGTATTCGTGTGGCTTAGGATGACCTGGGAGGATCTTTTCATAACGCAGTGGTTGACGCTTCACGAGTTCTTCGCGCGAGAGGCTGGCGTCGTCGCCGTACGTAACTCGCCATATGCCGTCCTTGGTGATCTTGGCAGCCATGTACCAGTCGGTCGGATGCACGATAAAATTTGAGTCCCAGTACCCAAATCTCTCGTCGAAGGGCAAGTAGACCTAGAATGTCAGCCTTGGCTCGAGCACTGCGCAATCGATTACTGACATTTGTGGCCACAATCTGCTGAGGCAGTGTTTCGCCAGGATACTCCTTTCCGAACAAAGCCGTCCGTACACCGCTTGATGCGCCATCTGCACCTACGAGGTAGTCCCCAGTAATCTCCTTTCGCTCGCCATCTGCGGTTTCCACAACAGCAGTGGCGCCATTCTCATCCTGCTTCACGCCCACCACTTTGTGTCCCCACAGTATCTCGGTATTAGGGTAGCTCTTAAAGTGCTTCACAATGAGGGGGCCCAGCTGGTCTAGCGGGAGCACGCGCATAGCAAGTTCGGTGTCCTCGGGTTCGCGGCCCATGCCCGCAAGGAACGTGGTGTCGTCCAATCGCCAGCATACGCCCCTGGGCGAAAGCCCCTTCTCCCGCACCTCTTCGAGTATACCGGCGCGCTTGAAGTCGAACATGGCGGATGGAGCATAGTGGGCGGCGCGCGGGTTCTTGTCGATCTCTGTGTTGGCGTCGAGAATGGTGACCTTGATGGATAGGTTTCTCGCGAGCATTGTGCCCAGGAGCAGCCCCGAAGGACCACAGCCTACAACAACGACCTGGAACTGTCAGTCATGTCGCTAGCCGGTTCGGGGCAGCGAGGCGTACGTGGTTGATCTTGGGCATGGCTTCTGTGTGTCTCTGGTGTGGTTAGTGCTGTCTCGTCAGTCTGTTGATCAATATCGCCATCTTTTATGACAAGATGAATGTGCATCGCAAGGTGGGGCAAAGGTACGCCCGACCATCGCTCTACTCCATGGGCCGACTTCCCCTCATCAATCGTGGGGTAGAGGCGTGCCCCACATACACCAGCTTGGAGAGATGCGTGCCAAGAGTCCTACCACGTGACGCGCACGTGACGAAGCTGTACTGTCGGCGCGTCCGTTCTAGATGCACGAGGACGAGGAGAAACGTTGGACTCGAGCGGGGACAGACGGCACTGCAGACCGAAGTGACGACAGGCTCAACTTCACAAGCTGTGCCCACGCAGTGGATCCAGGACACTGTAGTGACGTCGCTGAGGAGTGCGATGCGTGTACGGGTCCACTTTCCGCGCTCAGCCGAGCGAGCGTGCGTGCTTGGGGCGTCGGGGCGTCGACTTGGACAATTCGACCGTGTGCTGAGTGGCGATGAGCAGCTGTGCGTGCGGTAGACTGAGGGTGCAGGTGCAGGCTGCGGTTGGTGCGATAACGCGCACCCGCGCGCGATGAGGCTCAAAATGTTGAGACAGGCTACTTCTAAATCGGGCGCAACACACATGGTCGGCGGTCGTCAGCGGTGAGGCACAGCTGTCGAGTCGCGCGCCGTCGCCTGCATTCCAGTGCATGCGAAGACGCGGAGCTCGAGGCAATGCGAGCGTGCAGCATCCCGTGCGTGTTCGGCTGGCGGCAGCACTGGCGTGCTGGGCCAAGCCTTCCAGCTTTTTCTACGTCTTGCCTCGCTCCGGATCCGCGTTGCACTCTCCTGGCTGCGAGCTTGCTTGTGCCAACTGCCTGCCTCGCAGCCCAACCATGACCTGACGGTCCCGCTACACTCCTCGCAATGACTGTCAGTCGGCCTCGGCTCCAGGCATGAGTTTCAGGAGAAGTTCTCGACCGCCCAAGCGACTGCTCCACCACGCTGCTATCACGGAGATCCCACGTCGTGCGCGGGATTCTGCGACTATTGGATGGGCGTACGCGCAGTGCGGCTTCGCGGGCCCATATATACCCACTGATTGCTCTCGTGCATTCTCGAACCGTCGCACCGTCGCTCGCTCGGATCCTGGCAATAGATAGACGTTCCACTTTTCCAACGCGACCCAAGCACGCTCATCGCCAGCGCCGTCCACCTGATGCAGCAAGAGACGTTGCAGCTCAATCCCATGCTTTCGATCCGAATGCCACTATTGGTAACCTTGCCTGGTGGATGTTGGGCCAAAAGCCTTCCTGCACTCACGTGCGTCCTCGTCGTGAAGGTCGAGGTACCACAGCTGGACAACGCGAAACCAAAAACACCATGCTTCCAAGAATAACAGGTCGCGCCGGCAGCTAACAGCCACTCCCGTAGCCGTGCAGATTAACCAACACGAGCCATGGACGGCCGTTCCATAGTTTTGGCGTTCGGCGCGCTTCTCCTAGTTCACCGAGCCCTACGCTTCTGGCCGCTTTGATCAATCTGTTCGGCAAGGAAGAAAAATTGAACCCTGGGCCGCCACAAGGGTCTGAAGGGGCGTCGTCTTCCTCTCGGCGATCCTGCATCTTCCCTGCCTGCATTAGCCTTATCCTTGTGTCGTGAGCAGCTTTCGGATACTGACTCTCGTCATAGCCAAGCGGCCATACTTACAAGATCGAATTTTGTTAGCTTTCCGCCACTTCTCTACCGCATCCCAACTCCTGCATCCCATCCGCTACCTCTTTGAGCTGACTACGGTTCCGCTTATCCACGACCAAGAAAACATCGTTGAAACCTTCTCACGACATTACTACCCACCAACGCCAAACAGGCATTCGGCCACCCTCCTCGCTCTAATTTCTTATCATTCGAGACGGACCCGCTGCCTTCCGCTTCCGCGCATAGCGGCTTCCGCTGCACTGTGTATCTATCGTCAAGTGCGTTCTTTTGCCCGGTCTAGTCTCTCCGTTAGATACGATCGCTGTCACCACGTGCGTCGGAAAAGAATCGTGGAGTCAACCCAACGGATCCTTTGGGTCAACCGCTTAGCGTGGGGCCAAGCTGCCTGCTTTTCCTAGGGAAATATCAGGATGGACGCCCACGATGAGTATTCCTTTCCCTCTTCCCATCACTACCGAGAGGGCTCAATGTCTACCCCTGGTGGCAAGAAGCGAGTTGGCTTCACCCAAGGCACGACCACCTCTCCACCGTCCCCACCCAACGAAGGTAGCCCATCTGGAGGACACAACACACCCCTGCAAACCCTACAAAGGGCTGATGTATCCCACGAAGAGTTGGCGGAGTCTGTCCGTGAGGCGCTCGCACCGTTGTACGATGAGCCACTTGAGAATATCCAGAAACCCCGGCCCGCAATTCGGAAAGCCCCAAGGACGCCCCCTCAATTCCATCTTGGCCAAGAGCTGGAGGAGTTCGACGAGGAGAAGAAAAGATCAGGTCTCGAGGCCCAGAAACGTGCTACGAAGCTCTCGAAGAGCGTGGGGACCTACTCCGCGCCGCTATCGAGGCGCAATTCTACCGACTCGCTTCCACAGATCCACATTGAGGATGACCGGCTCCGGGTCCCCCACTCTGCAATCGATTCTGGTGCAACCACTGACAATGAAGATGATGAGCCTGAGCCTGAACATATGAGGCAGGCCCGACAACTGTTTAGGCAACATACCATACGACAGACCCCTGCCGCCGACCCGGTAGAACTTTACCATGTGCCCCTCGCCATCGACGGTACAGTCACGCCCACCCACGAATTGGAGATTGAAGATGAGCATGTACCACGACCCACAAAATTCCGAACGGGCGTATTGGGAACTCTACTAAGAGCCTCTCACGCAGGCCAGTCTGACCTATCAATGCCTCGGAGCAAAACAACAGGCCACGGACGGAACTCTAGCATCGGTACTCTCAGTGGAGCATCTACTGCCGCCAACTCCCCAAACTCGTCGCCTCCGGCGTCTGGCACGTCAACACCTCGATTTAGCAAGCCTTGGCTAAGAAGTCACAACCACTCTAACCACTCTGTCTCATCAATCTCTCGCCTGATTGAATCTTCGTCTATGCTTGCTACTCCCGGACAAAGAGATATGAGCCAGGAGATGGACACTCAGTACAAGAAGTTGCGTCCTGGAATGGGAAAGCGGCAAGGCTCTGACCAGTCGATAACAACCAAGGCCAAACGCAAAGCGCGCAAGGAGCAGGAGTACAAGATCAAGATTCACCTGGCTGGCACTCTTGCTCGTCAGAACTACCTGCGCAAGCTTTGCAGGGCTTTGATGATGTACGGTGCACCCACCCATCGTCTTGAAGAATACATGAACATGTCAGCTCGGGTATTGGAGATTGAGGCCCAGTTCTTGTATATGCCCGGATGCATGATCATGGCATTCGACGACAGTTCTACTCATACCAGTGAAGTCAAGCTCGTCCGCACCGCCCAAGGAGTTGATCTAGGCAAGCTCCGCGATGTGCACGAAATCTACAAGGATGTTGTACATGATCGCATGGGAGTCGAAGAAGCTATGCCACGACTGGATGCCATTGTCAACCGCAAAGCAAAGTTCAACGCCTGGCTCCGAGTGCCTGTTTATGGATTAGCGTCGGCAGCCGTAGGTCCCTTCGCTTTCCAGGCCCGCCCCATCGATCTACCTTTCTGTTTCCTTCTCGGTTGTCTCATCGGGTGGCTTCAATTGGTTGTGACACCAGGGAACGAGCTAATTAGCAATGTTTTCGAGATCGGGGCCGCAGTCATCACAAGCTTCATTGCGCGAGCTCTTGGCTCGATACCTGGAAGTGACGGCCACCCGCTTTTCTGCTTCTCCGCTATGTCGCAGTCTTCGATCGCTCTGATTCTGCCCGGCTTCACCGTGCTATCTGCGTCGCTCGAGCTTCAAAGCAAACACCTTGTCGCTGGTTCGGTCCGAATGGTCTACGCTATCATCTACTCGCTGTTCTTGGGTTTCGGCATAACTATCGGTACTGTTCTCTTTGGGCTCATGTACAAAGACGCAACGTCCCAAACGCAATGTCGCGACCCGATGTCGAGTCACTGGTACTACTTTTTCGTCATCGCGTTCTCCATTTGTCTCATGGTTATCAATCAGGCAAAGTTGAAGCAGATGCCCTCGATGATGGTCATCTCCCTCATTGGCTATGTTGTCAACTTTCACTCATCGTCGTACTTCAAGAGCAACGCTCAGATCAGCAATACGCTCGGAGCGTTGGCAATTGGAATAGCAGCGAACCTTCAGGCACGGTTCGGTCGCCACGTCGAGAACTGGAGCATCGATTTCTGGGAGAGCAGACTGCGTCCGCACTATTCGCGCCTCCGGAAGCGTTGGATGCGATCCCGACACGGCGCGCACTATAGGGAGGAAAGCTACAAACTACACTCGCACTCGCAATCCAGCTCCATGTCCGATTTCGTGCCGCGTGTGCGCAAAATAGGATATGGCCTCGCTGCAGCCACGATGCTACCCGCCATTTTCGTCCAAGTGCCGTCCGGTCTGTCGGTCCAGGGCTCGCTCGTCTCTGGCATCAGCTCTGCCGACCAGATTGTGCGAAACACGACCGGCAACGCTACAACCGTGACGGCGTACGATTCGAGCGGTAGTCTAAACAGTGTGGCTCTTAATGTGGGTTTCAGCGTCATTCAGATCGCTATTGGCATCACCGTGGGGTTGTTCCTCGCCGCGCTCTTGGTGTACCCGCTTGGAAAGAGGAGGAGTGGATTGTTCAGTTTTTAGATGGATGGGATTGCATGCATTAGATATGGAGTTGGGGGCATGTCGGTGCCACTTTCCAAAGTCTGGCTTTAGGGTTGGTTGACGTGTTTTGAGCGTGCATTTTGTTTGCATTTGGAGCGTTGTAGCGATTGATAATTATTCACTCTTGTTTTTGTTTTACTAGCTTTAGAGACGTTGCTGTGCAGGTCCACTACCTAATACATAATTCGCTGTTCGCTCTACTATTCTCCTAAGCAACATATTTACGGTTTAGCTGATATACTTTCAGACTCAGGTTGGCTACTAAGCTCCGCGAGCAAATACGCTTCGCACTACATACTCCATCAGTCGAACCCGTATTATCTTATCAGCGCCCCATAGGGCCCTTCATGTGCGCTGAGAACAAGAGGTTGTTAGCTCAGTGGTTCGTTGCGATACAATGCGAGACATAAGCCCGGCACGGGACCGTTTGCGGGCGGTCTCGCTTAGGACTCAGACCGTAATGGAGGAAGGCGAGGGGTGGATACGGGGATACGGTGTCGGGACCGATGCGGTGGACGGCGATGTCTGGGATGCACGTATGGTTCTTAGGTCGTTTGCACAATTGAGACATCCGAATATCCTGTCTCCCGGCTTGTTGCTACGAACGCTTCTGGCTATACCTTCACGTGTAGGGTCTTCAGCCATCGAAGGAAAGGGTGCTAGGGAAATTGCCATCGACCTTTGTTCGAACGTCGCCCGCATGGCGAGGCTGGTCTGTTCGAGGCCGTCGCCTCTTAACAAACGCTTCAGGACCTTGGCATAACGTTACAGAACTGAGTCCAACCTTGGAATAGAATTATCAGCACTTTTCCGCGATCATACTCAGGCCAATTTTACTCAGAACCTGGGCTTACTAAAGTATGAGCCAGATTGATAACTCACAAAATCTGACTGTCTGTACGTGTTCAGCAAGACGAACATGGCGTGTGTTGTGGCCAGCACGAAGATGGTGAACAAATAATGTATGGTCCCTTCGCCAGAGACAGTTTCCACTCTTCGGTGTGACGCCTTGTTCATTTGTGCGATATGTAGTCACAACTGCAATCGCACTATGTAAATTTGACGTGGCAAACAATTACGCAAACTGCTATCATCCAGATAAATATTCTTACCATATCCTCTTACAGCAAATCAAGAGAACGCAGCCCTTAACCGCAAAGTGCAAAAAGAGAACAACATCTTGGGCAATTTGCAGAAAAAACCCAACTGCCAACATGAGCTACCCCAACACACGCGGTCCATTCGGCTGGACTACCGCCACGGACTCTTCATCGTCGGAAGATAAGCGTCGTAATCGGTTTAACCGACTAGCTCTCGCGAGTGAACCCTCAAATAGTCATGCTGAAGCTCTGCCATGCGGTCGAGTGGAGGCTTTCTATATGCAACCTCCCTCACGCAGCTGGCCGGTGAGCCCTCCTCGGTGCGCGGCTGAGATGCCACGCGTCAACCCCAACTATGAAGACCATCGTGATGTGTCTCCCCTAGGCTCACCGATTGTCACTCACATGCAATACCGCCAGCATCAATCGTCTGGACACGGTGTAGGTAAGAATGATCTTCCGTTCCGCGCTGGTGTAACTGACGCGACGAGTCGCGCCATCAGCGCACCAACGACGCCCAGAAGGACGTACACCCGACCCGATGAGCTCCAGTTTCCAGAGTCGCCAGCTTCCGAGGTTCCCGGCTCCCATGAGCGCCACGTTGTGGACCTTCTCAATCGAGGCGCAAACGTTGTGCGTGCAGCAGTGGCATTCGAACAGCCTGTGCTGCGTCGGCAGAATGCTCTGCGTAAGCCCTCAGTGTCGGTGCAGAGTCCGCGCTTGCGATTCGCTCAAGAGGTCAATACCAAAGAGGCTCGTCTCGGCCTTGTGAGAACTGGGCAACAGTAAAGATGTTCACCAATAGAGACTTCTGGACGAATTCTCCATCCACGTCGTTCCCGTCACTTTACTAAGGCACACGCATTTGCATGTCTGCAAGTTTTTAGTGCTGAGACTTGAGCAAACACATCGTTAACCTCATTGATTTATGTTTCGTTGGAGAATGGTCAGACTGGGAAGAGGATGCCCTTGTTCAGTATCTCTTACAGTCATCAGACCTCAGACAACCGGTTCGAATAAAGTTTACACCCCTACTAGCCTTCTGTCTCGCCTGTTATCGAAACGAGTGGGAAATACCACCGAAGCCTTCTGGCAAGAACTGGTCGAATGCATTCCAGGATTGACATAAAGAGGTTTAGGCGAGGAGAGTCAAGGCTCTAGGTTGGAACCGCCACGAGAAGAATATCTACAGTAAAGTTGTACACTGGTTCGAAGTCATCAAAACGGTGTTAGACGATCCAGCCGTCCTAGCGGAAAACGTGTACAACATGGATGAAACTGGAGTCATGCTATCTATGCTGGGCTCTGCGAAAGTCCTTGTAAGTAGGAGCGATATGCGAAACTATAGAGGTGCTCGCGTTAAACGTGAGGCCATAACCGCGATCGAGTGCATCAGCGCCGACGGTAGGTATTTGAATCCCATGGTCATCTGGCCAGCCTCGACGCATCGGAGCAACTGGACTAACGTGCATCCATCCGTAGCGGAACAACCATTGTAATGAAACAAGATCCTCCAATAAAGCGTTATGTGAACACTTTCATACGCTTCTAAATCTACAAATTGTGTCCAAGTATTAGACAACCCACACTTTCTACTCTACACTAAATAGCCTGCGAAGAGAGGATGTTTCAACCATGCAGTTGATCATGCTTTTCGCGGCGACTTTACACGTCTTAACTTTCAACTCCTGCCTAGGCATCTAATGGAAGAAATACTGCAATCTGGAGGAATGAGGTGGAATCGCGACCTGTAACTTGTATCCCGACGAACTCTAGAAAGCTCAAATTATAGAATCGCAAAGTCTGAAAGCTCCGAAGGGGAGGCGTCTTCTCAAGCGTAAGAGACTAGCGGCAGTGACTGCATTGTGTCATGGTATTTTATAATCGCGCTATTCCCGATGCAACAGTGTTCCGCCAGACGAGGATCCCCGCGGTTCCATATGCTCTCGTCTATTTTAGTGGCTACTTGCTTTATACCTAGGCCTGAAGCGCGCAGCGAGCTTGTTCCGGTCAGCGTCCGGTCAGTATTCGCATGCACTGCCTCCACAGGCTGCTTGCACAACAGCCAGCACAAATCTCTTCTGCCTGCCCCGACCCGTCGCAACCATGCTGTCTTTCTTTAAACCACACAGAGGCCATTTACGTTCCCTCCTTAGCCAAACCTGCGAAAGCTATGCGGCTTCTCCACTTTGACCAGCTAGAGAGACTTGTCTTGACAGACTTCCGCGGCAAGACGATTCCCCCCTACGCCATCCTATCGCATAGATGGAGCGATTCTGAGATCCTCCTCGAAGACATAGCGAGCGGAGTCTACAAGGACAGGCAAGACGGTTATCAAAAGCTTGAGTTCTGCGCCAAGCAGGCGACCCAGGACAATCTGCAGTTCTTCTGGATCGACACATGCTGCATCGACAGATGGGACCTTCATGAGCGCTCAAAATCGATCAACTCGATGTTCCAGTGGTACAAGAATGCGACGCGATGCTACGTCTTCTTGTCAGATGTCTCATTGCCTACTGCGACGGAGTCATCCCAGCGCAGCAAGTGGGAGGCGCTGTTCCGAGCAAGCGCATGGTTCACTCGAGGATGGACACTCCAAGAGCTCATCGCGCCTGTGTCAGTACAGTTTTTTACGTACGAAGGCCAGCGTATTGGCGATAAAGCATCCTCGACGAGCTTATACACGGGATTACTAGCATCCCACTCGAGGCACTGCGCAACTGTCCTCCGGACCATTTCAACATGTCCGAGCGACAGCGATGGGCCGAAAATCGCACAACAACCGAAGAAGAAGACATCATATACTGCCTGCTTGGAATCCTTGGCATCTCTATGCCCACTGCGTATGGTGAAGGAAAGGAGAGTGCACGAAGTAGACTGCAGGCAGAAGTGGAGGCAGCTGATAACGTACCATCGATAATTCCGTTCTCGCGCAACCCTGGCCTTGTCGGACGAGAGGCGCAGCTTGCCAAACTAGAAGCAGAGCTCTTTAGCAATGAGCATACAACTACTACGCTAGCAATAGTCGGGCCGGGTGGAACAGGAAAGTCGCAGCTCGCGCTTGAGGTGGCACACAGGATAAGGCAGAATAGCAAGCACTGCTCCGTTTTCTGGATAGATGCGAGCGACAAAGACGGCCTCTACCAGTCGTATGCAAGTGTTGCGCAGAAGCTTAGTATCGCTGATTGGGACGATGATCAGCCAGACATAAAGCGTATGATGCAACAATGTGTGGCAGAACTGAGTGCACGGCAGTGTTTACTGATTTTCGACAATGCAGAAGACACGGTTCTGCGATCCAGTAGCTCATCCACTGCGAAAGCTGGTGACCTGGCTGACTATCTGCCGCAGTCTACGCTTTGTTCTATCGTATTCACGACAACAAATAGCGACACAGCTAAGACGCTTGCCTCAAATAATATCATAGCGCTGCGAGAGCTCACACCGAACACTGCGCTAATGGTGCTACAAAACCGCCTCGCAAACCCACTCTCGGATACTAGACAGCTGCGGGAAGCTGAGCTCTTGCTAAGAGAACTATCATATCTGCCTCTTGCAGTTGTCCAGGCAGCAGCCTGCATAAACGCTAGCGGCATGGCGGTACAGGAGTACCGAGCACAACTAGACGAGCATAAAGAAGCAGCTTTCGAGCGTATTAGCTCTCTAGGGAGCAATCTGTATGGACATAGCACAGATGATCCTGTAGCCGCTACACTGTTTGTGTCTATGGGCCACGTCTATAAGAATGTGCTCGCCGTAGACTATCTGTTCCTTGCTGCATGTGTAGAACGAAAGGACGTTCCACTTGATCTTTTTGAGGCAGCTTCATCAAGCGTGAGGGAAGATGCTTTTATGGTCCTTGACAAATATGCGCTTGTTTCCAGGCGCCCTGCAGACTCTTCGCTCGATATTCATCGATTAGTGCATCGCGCCCTGCGTAAGCACCTGCAAAAGCATAGACAGCTCCAACAATGGACTCAGCGAACTATCGCGCGGCTACTGCAAGTATTCCCGGATAGTAATCATAGTAACAGAAGCAAGTGGAGGCGACTTCTTCCGCATGTCCAATTCGCTCTGTCGCATAGTCAAGGCGACGATGACAACGAGCAAAGAGTAGATCTTGCAAGAAATTGCGCTATGACTCTACTGAGTGATGGAAGGTATGAAGAGGCGGAGGAGCTATTTGTGCAGGTAATGGAGACGAGCAAGACGAAGCTCGGAGCAGACCATCCTTCCACGCTGATCAGCATGGCCAATCTGGCATCGACATACAGGAACCAAGGCCGATGGGAGGAGGCGGAGAAGCTACAGGTGCAGGTGATGGAGACGAGCAAGATGAAGCTCGGAACGGACCATCCAGACACGCTGAATAGCATGAACAACCTGGCTTCCCATGGAAATCACTCGGCCAGACTATAAAAGCTATATGTCTGATACAGCAGTGTGTACAACGGTGTGAACAAGTGCTAGGAGCTAGTCACCCACACTACTTGTCTTCCCTACTAGTCCTAGAGCAATGGGAAGGAGAGCAGGCAGACATAGAGTGTCACGAGAGCAACAAGTAGAGACGTCTGCGGCCTAGTAGGCTAGACTGATATTACTGCGTTCGGTATCTACGTGTAGGTACGAGACGTTGGATAAGGAGAAAAGGTCCTCTTCCCCTTAGCCAACGTGGATCTATCATCTCGCTTCGTCGCGTGCCCTTACCAAGGGTAGCTAGCGCTATGATTCGACCAATTAGCTAGCAGATGGGTCACCCGTTTGCTGTTCTATTGGCTGGCTGCCAGCGCGCGATACCTCTGGGATATACTGCTGGCAGCAGTATATCTATGCTTGTCATAATATTGGCGGCCGCTCTTGAACAGGACAGTGATTTGGGCTTTCCTACCTGTTGAGAGCTGCTATCAACGTCAGGGAGCATGTTGCGGAAGAAGAAACTGAGAACATCGATCAATTCCTTCGCATATTCGCCGATACTACGATGGGTGTTACGGCCACTGCAGGAAGAACTTTTTGCAAGCGGTTCTCGAAGCTCTAATTCGAAGAGAAGAGTTCGATTATGACGTATCTTCTTCGGGACGCTCCTCTCCGGACGAACTGCTGCCTGGAATCACTGTCTCCATCGCAAATCATACCATGGAAGTGCCTTTTCAGGACATATTGTCATACTTCTGGACTATAGTTCTTGAAACAGTCTGTCATGTCTGCCATCAGCCATTCGTCGGTAAACCACCTAGCCATACGATCAGTAAGAATGTGTTGATGGTACCGTCGCTTTCCAATCTCCATATACAGGTCTTTAATCGACATTTTTGTTGCCTAAAGAGAAGTGGCGTGTTCTTCGTTCCGGTGTCTCATGTGTGGGACGATTCCATTCGAAGGTCTAATGAGCTACAACCATACAACTATGAGGCTGCTACTACCTTGATATCTACATTAAAGGCACGGCTTGAAGGCGCAGAAGATGCGTACGACCCTGGAGTGGAATTCTGGCACGACTAGTTCAGCGTCCCCCAATGGCACACACAGATCAAGGAGTCCCTACTCGCTTGTCTGCCTGCGATCTATCATCAAGCGGAAGAGATTCTCGTTCATATGGCCGATCTTCCACCTGATCAAGTCTCACTTTTGCTCATCGGCAATCTTGGGGATAATATTCCAATGGTGGAAGCATTCAAAAGAATTCCTCTTCTGCGCGCCTTATGCGAAGCGCAGTGGATGCAAAGAATGTGGGTAACTCTGGAGTATTCGCAGTCGCGAGCCGCATGCATCATGGATCGGTCCAATAATATCCGAAGGTCTCCAGAAGGCACTGGCCCTTTCGCTCGAGACACGTTCTCCCACCTCATCAGCGGTGCACACAATCAGTTGGTAGGTCTCTTTCGCTACGCCAAAACTTCTGCAACGACCCTCAGCCAGCCTGGCGAGTTCCTAGGTGGAATAGCTGCTACAGAGAGAGGTATAACTAGACTGTGTCTCGGTGAAGCTATGGAGTTGATCGCGAGAAAACAATGCCAGGTATTTCGAGACCGCTTCCTTGCCATTCATGTCCTCATGAACCGAGACATGTTGCCCAACGACCCACCGCCAATCCCACGGCTTGACACCGAAGCCTGACGATGGGTGTGGCGAGATGCGTTGTCTAAAGGCGACTACTCAGCCCTGCTTCTCAAGCCTCAGGAATGCACCCCATCCTCAAATCCCAGACCCGAATTTCCGTCTTGGTTGGTTGGCTACCAGAGTCTAGAAGGAGCGGAATGGGTTGCGGGTAACCAGATCTCGGCTCCGGAGCGACCGCCCGTAATCCAGGAGGCAGTGAAGGTGCTGCTAGACCTCGTGGGTAAGATAGAGAAGATCCACTATCTGGAGGTGGAGGAATCCGGAGAAGTGGGCGGCGTGGAGAAGATCATCGGGATCTTGGCTGTGATTGCCCGTAGCAACGGTACCATATTGTCTCCGCAACCGCTCTACGATGGTCTTATCCATGTTTTCCCATTTGATGCCAACCACAAGAAAATGGCGTGGCTTCTGGGGAGGATGGTGTTTTCGTTCGAGGAATGCCAAGAGAACGATCATGAATTCACAGCCAGGCTTGAGAGACAGCTTGAAGTGTTCAACGCTGGCAACGAAACCTGGAGGAATCGGAGGCGAGACGCGACGGAGGAAATCTCCAGAATTCTTGAACTGGAGAGGCACATCGCAGGAGATATTTCCAACCAAATAACCCGCCTTACCCGCTCGAGGCATATTGCTCGGCATCGTAACGCTCGGGGTGCAAAAGATGGCGAGCCCATCTGCGAGATAAGGTGCCCCCACTGTCGAACAGTGACTCTTTTCCGTCTCGACTTGCGAGACAATGGCCGTATTGGTGATAAGGTGTACCGAATCCCAAGACTAGGGTATTCCAATAGCGTGGAAAATGGCGTTGGCTTGGTAATGAACAATGGGAGGATAACCGGCAGAATGCTTTATGGCCCACCAGCTTGTGGCTGTCGACTAACAGAAGCTGTTGACATTCGGTGATTCGGAGCAGAGCCATGGTGTCACGGTTCAGGGTCTCTTTTGCAAGTTCCTCCTTCCACGAACCTACTGGCAGCTTACCTTCTGGGTGAGGGAACCATACCTATCTAGGATTAGCACTGTTTATGGCACTGCATCAACATAAACATCCGTACCTTCTCAGAATACAGCCTCAGTTCAATCCTCCAATTCTTCCCCATGTGTACGGTCTGCAATACCCTGACACTTTCAGGTCAGATAATCTGAGTTGCTTATTCAAATTCAAGCGTCTGCATAGCCTCAGGCTGACGGCTAGCATGCTTGGCTGTATGAATGGCTGATATTGATTACTTACAATCAAAGTAAGTTTTTTAGGGCGAGATGGACCTATATGTAAGTAACGTAGAGTCATAGAGCTATTATGGTTGTGGTATACAGAAAGGACACAAGATTGACATCAAAGAGAGCCCCGCACGCGTCAGGCTAAAAGGTGTGGACAGGATCGTACTCCTTAGGCTAATCAGGGCGTAGAGTGTCTTAAGAGGGTACAGAAATTATTCCGTTGTAGCTATAGTAAGCGCCAGTTCTTATAAGAGAGAATTCATTACCTGAAATCGAAGTACCTATACTTTGCCTCGCCACGCCGTGCGTCTCTCAACCCAGGGATGTAGGTTACAACCTTTCTAGAAGATCTTACAAGCGATTTGTTCTGCAATCCTGGCCCCAATCGCTTACAACGAAGTACTCCGTGTACCCAGTAGCTAGTTGGTCACCTCAATTCTGGTTCTATGTGACGCTACTATTGCGACAATAGCGTCCATGACGAACCCCATGAACTGCTCGGCCGCATTGCGAAAGGTGGAGGTAGCGCAGCAACAGCCGGCATCAGTGCGGCTGCTGCTGGAGGAACCCATGGTGGCTTGCATGACGGTTCATGCGAGAAAAAATGCAAACAAAAAGAGAATGGCTTAATCGGAGTTTTGGTCCCTACGCTCATCATATTGTCGATCTTGGTCGCCTGGCGTTGTTTTTGTTTTTGTTGTAGAAAGCGAAGCGACGGCACAGATGTGAGGGCCGACTTTTCAGAAGATGTCAGAGTTTGATGACCTCTGCAACGATAGGTATTTCTATGGTGGATAAACGTTTGAAAGTGACAAGTTTTAGTCTTGATGCTGAAGCACAATGTGTTTGTACATTATGATCCCGAACGGATGATTGCCATATGGGCTGGGACTAAGTTAGCGCTAATGCTGCAGAGCTAGATTTGACTGATACGAAGGAGCCTCGTCTTGCGATGAACAGTTGAAGCGGATTAGAGGTTGTGAAAAGATGACTTAAGCAATAATGCACAGAGGCGCCGTCTGCTGTAGTGAAATCGTCCAGCCAATGGATCAATCATATCATCAAGCTCTCAGTTTGTTGCGCACATTGACCAAATATGGAAAGATATAAAGAGCCCATTGTACTCTCCTGCTAAAGTCACACGACAGGACCTGCGCGATCACGCACGGCCATGGTCACAGAACGATAGAAGATAATGGATAGCTATTCTCTACACTCGTGCCACCTCACGACTGTCGTTGTCAACCATCCTATGTTAACCCCAAAGGCACCTGCTTCTACTTCTCATTCAACCAAACATGATTCCCATGCTGACTCAAAAACTCCCCATTCTGCTCCTCCTTCAGCTCATCCATGACCTTCAAACACATCTCCACGCTCTGCTCTGGCGGAATCGGTCCCTTTAGCGTCTTATCCCACCGATAGAAAGGCTTACTCATCCTATCTATCACCTCCGCCGGCATATCCGCATGCGTGTCCACCCATCCAGGGCTGATGCTCACAAACAGCACACCCTCACGTTTGTACCGCGCCGCGAACTTGGCCACGAGGGTGTTCAGCGCGGATTTGGACAGGGCGTAGAGTATGCTGATTGGGTCTTCAGCGCTGACAATGTAGTCTGTCGATGCGGCGGCAGAGGAGATGGCTGAGACACGCTTGATGGAGGACTTCAAAATCAGCGGCATGAAAGCGTTGAAAGCGAAGAGCGTGCCTGCGACGTTGGTTTGCATGATCTGCTTGAGTTCGTCGAGGAAGAGGTCTTCTTTGCCAACGTAGTCGTCTGCCGCGTTGAAGATGCACGGGATGGCGAAGTAGGCGCCGTTGACGATGAGGTAGTCGACCACGCCGCCGGCTATATCGGCGGTCTTTTTCGCAGCCGCTGTAAGGGAGGCGTTGTCGTCCATGTCGGCGTGAACGATGTGGACGTTCTTTAGGCCATCAGCCGCGACTTTCTCTTGGACCGTCTCCACGGTTCGGACTGTGCCGATGATGATGTTCGAGGGGTCTTGCGCGGAGAGGGTTTTAAGGAATTGGTACTACGAGAGGTTAGGAGGATCGCTGGTTGTGAGGCCAGAGTCATACGCCGATGCCGCGCGAAGCGCCGATGATAACATATACTGGCATTTTCTATGCTTATTCAGGTTCGAGATGCTTTGTGAGGAGCGGTGTCTGTTGATGACCCATTCCACTGATGTCCAACCACTCTATATACATGGATGGACTCGTCCTCTGCTAACTCCGTCTTGGCTACCATTACCGACGCCATCTTCCAAAACGGGGTCTTACTTGAAGAAATGCGAGATACTATGCGGCACGGACGAAAATCTAAAGATTCGTAATAGCCAAGGCTACACACAACAGGGACACGTGGCGAATCAGCTAGCAGCATGTACAGTATCCCCAATGAAACAACGTAATGACAAGTCTCCGCTTACAGGTGTTGAAAAGCGGGGAAGTGCAAACCCCTTGGTGCTTATCGTCGCGGAAACTAACCTTCTCCTAGAGGATTGTCCATGCCATCCTGGTCAAAGTATTTTTCATCATGCTCACGTGCGAAATGCGAACTTTCAGGCACGTCGTGAGATGAATGACAGATGGAAGCGGACGAAATTTGACCAGCTTTTCAAAATCGGACAAGTGGCGCAGCTTTCGTCACGCATAATTATGCGAAGCTGGAATATAAGGGAATGACATCACCGTCAGTTGTCCTTTCATCCCCTGCACTTTGAGCCTTTTAACTCACTGCTTCTTGTCGATATGCCACTAAAAGAATTTGTATCCCTGCTTTCGTGCATACAATTGACATCCTAGCGTACACGCCTGAGGGACATCAGATCCGAGGAACACACATACCAACCTCAAAGACTATAGTACAATACACTAAAACAACAAATTAATCAAGTATATATACTAGACTGCACCTTTCACATTCAGAATCCCTCAAACTCTCTCCTTGCTTGCTCATCATACATAGCTTCGACCTCCTCGTCAGTATAAACGCGCTGCATATCCTCTAGCTGAGAAATCTCCGCATTCAGCTGCGCTTGTTGCAATGCGTACTGGTCCAATAGCCTCTGATATTCTTCCGCGGTCATCGGCGTCGCATCCGCAGTATTCCCGGTATATGTCTGTTGGAAGTTCGGGTCCGCATACGTCTGCGGAGCATTTGGATCCGGTGCCTCATCCCCAATGGTCTCATCCAGCAACTGCTGCTGGTACTCCTCACCCGTCATTTTCTCCTCGTCCTTATGAACTCCACCCGGCGCAGGACTATCGTTCCCATCAAACTGCTCCTCAAATTCCTCCTGCGTCATTTCCTCCGCGAAATCCCCCTCTGTTAGCAACCTCTCCGCCCTCTCCTTCGCCTTCTTCTCCCGCTCAACCCTCTGTCTCTCCTCCTGCCGACTCCGCTCAAGAGCTAGTTTACTCTGATCCACCGGGAACGGCCTCCTCTCGTTCTCCCTGTCTCTCAGTAATCGCTTCCTCTCTTCCGGCGAAATCGAAACCGGCCGCATATCGTGTCCCATACTTCCCGCCGGCCCAAACGCGCCAGACATCCAGTAGTCGTGCGTGGCCTTGTGCTCGCATAGCTCGCGGCGAGTTTTAAATGTCTTGTCGGCTCCGAGCTTCTGGCGGGGGAGGTCTTCGCCGCGTACCAGTTCTGGGGCGAGGCGGGGGCCGTAGCGGCCGCGGGGAGTGCCGATGATGCGGGTGCGGGGAGGGAGAGGCGTGTAAACCTCCTCCAATGCGAGGAATTTTTCTTCAGGGGTTCGATCTTCCACTGGTTTCTCTTTGCTCTTGTCTTTCTTGTTCTTTTTCTGTTGTTCGTCCTCTTCCTCGTCTACAAATGGCATGCGGCCAGGTTTATTGCTGCCAGCCAATGTCTCTGGTGAAACAACGATGTTATCCAGAAAATTCGTCGGGTCTGCGGTAGAAACTGCAGCTGCATTCGCCATCTGAGAAAACGGATTCGCAATCGTAGGCCACAGAGCGGACAGGTTCTTGAAAACTTCAGAGAGAGGATTTGTGCTTGCCTGTTTTGAATTTGGTTCAAAGGCAGGCGATTCAAGCTGTCCCTGTGGCCGTCGTTTCGGCCGAGTCGCGGGGAATTCATCGCGTTCACCTATCTCCACATTCTCAACGAAAGGTGGTCGCGGTGTCAGAGGTCTGACTGCAATTGGGGTTGGTGATTGCGGTTCCCAACGAGGAGATTTAGTTTGATGTATAGGTGGCTGCCCTCGATACTGTGGAGGAGACTGCGGTTGGAACTGAGGTAATTGAGATGGATCTGGAGGTGAATGCGGATCGTGCGCTGCTAGCTGCTCCTCTTCGTCAAACTTCGGAGTAGGAGTTTGCGGCGACGCTTCCACTATAGTCGAATTATCATTATCTGGGGCTTGCGGCGGTGGAAGCCTGTCTGAAGGTGTAGGAGCTCGAACTGGCACCTCCTCAAAACTTGGGGCCTGGTGATATGTTGTCTGCTGTTTCTTGGGGCTGACTTTAGGTGTATAAGACCCTTCCGGGTCTTCCTCAACACTCGGAGCCTGATACTGGGTTGCTTGCGGTTTTGGAGGACTGACTTTGGGTGTCGGAGGGCGTTTGGTAGGTAATGGTTCTTCTTTCCCCAACAGATAAGCAGGTATTCGTCCATATTCATCCACAAGATAACCCCGCTCATCAACCAGCTGGCCCTTCGCATTCACCAGGCGACCCTTCTCATCCATCAACCGACCCTGCTCATCCATGAAACGACCATATTCATCCACTAGCTGTGGTTTGTTCAGAGGTTTTGGCGGCGGGGGCGGCTGGTCCGGCGGCCTCCTAGCCCCCGTGATCGGTTCATCTGGAAGTTTATCTTCAGACAGCTTCGGTATGCGCCTCCCCTTCTTATCTACAAGCTGACCCTTCGCATTAACCAACAGGCCTTGCTCATTCATAAGCCGCCCCTTCTTATCTACTAGACGGCCTAGGTCATCTCTCAGCGGCAGTCTTGCTTTGTAGCCCTCCATGTCCACAGGCTGCGTGTGGATCGGAGGCCCAGTAACATGCGTAAGGCCTCCTGGAAGATCGATTCTGTGCACACCAGGCTGGGTCGGCGTTGGAGTCCGGTAATACGATGAAATAGTCTGGATGTAAGATTTTCCCGCGCCACCACTTGGCTTTGGAGGTCTAGGTGTGTCCTCTTCTCCATCATGAGAAGGTGGGGGTGGCGCTCCAGGGTAATACGGGCCCGATCTTGGTGCTCCGGCGGGTCTGTCTAGGCTTTTGCTTGGGCTCGTATGTGTTCCTTGCTCGGTCGTATGAGGCGGGGTGATTGGGCTCTCACTAGAAGAATTCGAACTGGATGACGCTGTTGGACTTCCAATGACATACCCCGCGTCCGCTGGGTTCAGTCTGTACCCATTCACTATGATGTAGTGCGGATGTTCCTTGAGCTGCTCCTGCAAGTCCTTCAGGTGTTCCATCTCTTCCATTAATACTTTTCTTTCCCATTCCTTCCTCCTCATCTCCAACCTCGCAGGCGTCCAAGACACCAGAAATTCGATACAGCATAGGAGCGGCTTGCTGTATTTTAGGATAGCCCATTCCTCTTGTTTCAAGTGCTTCTTTCGAGGTTGACTTTCGACGGTTTTGTGATCATCATCGATCTTTTCGTGACGGCGCTTCGTTCCAGCTACGGGGCTGGGCACAGTCGAGTTCGTTACCCAATTTGGCACCTCGTCGACCGGGCGGTAGTGGCGATCAATCTTTATGAACGTCGGCTTAGGCATACTGTTGTGTTCGAATAAGGGTAGTTTGGGGGGTCTATGTTGGATGCTAGCTCCTTTGATGAATCTGCTGGAATTAAAGTATGGTCCGGTCCTCAATGCCATGTAGGCCTAGTACTGCCAAACAAGCGCAAGTATCGATTGTCGCCTCAAAGGATTGCGCTGTCTCAAACGGTGCTACAATATGTGAATGTCTTGTGCGTTGTATACTTTATGCGTACGGCGAAATATATTTCAAAGACGCGTTGTGCATATAAGAGCTGTACCTCTCCTGCACATAGATTGAAGTTTTCCGCTCTGGGCGACAAAGGGACGTGTCGATTTGAAAGACCTGTGTTCGGCGTTTGCGGTCGCATCCGTTGCTCGTTGTTGTGAAGGACGGTGAACGGAACAATGACTAAATTAGAGTTGGCCCACGCGGGAAACCGCTTGTGGCACAGCCAGCCATAAGTAGCAATCAGCATCAAGTGAAAGGTGAAGAGTGATGGGTGAACAAAGGAAATGGGTGAAGCCACAACTCTCACATGGTGGCTCTTTAGGCACTAAGCCAATGCAAATTGAAAGATCGCTCGCCATTGCAAGCTTCGTTTTGGCGGAAGGAAACGACAGGACGGCACATTCGTAAAGGTATAATACTTTGAACATTGTATAGTCCTCGACCGGACTATTAGCGGTAGTGGTATATAACTCAAGACACAATCTGACCCCCCATCTGATAGCCCCGACCAACAAAGGAAATACTCCTTTTCTCCCTTTGGACAAGTGCTACCACAGCCACTGAAGGCAACTAACGAATTCTATGGTAAAGTAAACTGAGTCGATCAGGAATCCCTGAGACTTGGGTATCAGGTAACGATAATAATAAAAAAGAAGGGTATACAGCTTCGCTCCACGCGGTGCTAATAGAGACAGTGAATATGAAATCATGGCTAGATAGAAAAGCCAGAGCAGGAGAAGGGAAACCAAACAAGATGCCGACATGGCATGGGGTATCCAAATGCAGCGAGATTGACAAAAGGAAGAATGTAGTGCAACATGACGATCTCTAGGTACATTTCTGGAGAGTCCGCACACAGAGGCGAGTTGCTTGAGGGTAGTGCAGTATTTGTGATGTTGAACATCGCCTGGGTAGTCTTGGTGTCAGTCGATGAGAGCTTGGTTCAGCAGAGCTGGTGAGCTGACTGTCGTGCAGGGTCCATGGGTTATACTCCGTTGTCGTTAGACCCGACGAATCCGGCAGTGACGCCGAGTCCCATATCCATTCTCAGGAACCCGTTGTTGCCGCCCTCGATGCCATCCATAGGTAACAGCCCGCCCGCGCTCATGGGGTGCGCGTCCATCATCACTGCGCTCGCCCTTCGACTGTTTGTTGCAGAGCCCATGTGATTTGGATGCGGACTCAGTTGCTGTTGATGCGGAAGTCCATGCGACTGGTTCCTGCTTGCGTTCATATGCTGTCTTGCTGCAGCCCAAGCCTGTGCTTGAGCGTGAGCCTGCTGGTGGGCTTGTGCTTGCGCCTGGGCCTGAGCGTGTGCGTGCGCATGAGCAGCGTGGACCGGTGACTGAATATGCTCATGCATCTGGAAGTTGGTCGGATGTACAGGTGTGGGTTGGAGGGGAAGAAGGCGCGGGAGGTTGCTGAGTTGGGTGGTCAAAGGTGCGGGATTGTTGTTAGAAGCGGGAACGACTTCGAGGTCGACGTCTGCATCATCATCCTCGCCTTCTGCATCGACCTGGTCGCTGCCGCCGTCGGTGCCGTTGATGGTTGCGGGTGCAGAGTATGGGCCCTGGTCGGGCTTGACGGCATTGATCGACACAAATGGCTGTGTGGGGACACTTGCCATTGAGCAGCTCCTTGTTAGTGATGGATCGGGCAGCGGTTTTTGTGCTGCCATGCCAGCTGCGACGTTCCTGCTGTCCCGGACTACACCCTTCCACTTCTCGATCAAGCGGTCGTAGTCCCAGTTTCGCAGGTCCATGCCATGCTTCCCGAGCTCTTTGACGGTTTCCGCGCCTAGATTGAAGGTGACCGGTAATCGATCTGAAGCACCCGATGCCCAACGGCTGGATTTCAGATAGTCGATTTCCCGCCGAGCATTCTCCAAGTTTATCTCGGCATCCCGCCGCAACTCGTTGGAGCGCGCATATGAGCGGAGTATCTCCACCTGCCAGTACTCCTGACGCACCTTCTCGGGCTGGCACGACCAGTGGTTGTAGGCCTCGGCGATGTGGCAGAATAGTTTTTGTGGGTCGGGATCGAAGAGCGGCGGAGTGGGGAGGGGCGAGTTTCTGCCCGACGACGGACTGGACTGAGAACCAGACGGATAGGCCTGGTTGATCTGCCGCTGCCGCTGGTGCGCCAGGAGCCGGTCGCCGACCTGGCGATTCAGTGCCTCGAGCTGCTTCTGGCCCGGCGGGCTTATGGACCAGGACTCGCTGGTGGCAAAGGGCATCGGGGAGAAAAGGGTCGAGGGCGGCGGGAGGACCTGCAGGCACAGGCTGGGGAAGTTGAGTGTGTAAGGGTCGAAATCGAAGAGGGTCGGGCCCGTTGCTTTGGTACTGGCACCACGTTAGCTTGGGCTGCGCACACGGAATGTATGCTGCGTAACGCACTTGGCCTCCTTGACGCTCCGCAACAGCTCCCGCAGAGCCAGCTCGGTCGCCTTGGCCGTCTCTGCCTCGTCCGTCATCTTCTGCCGCTGCTCCAGGTCGGCCTTTTGCATCTGCCTCGACAGGTCCCTCCTCATCTCGGGCGTCTTGGCCCCCAGGACACGCGGGGGGTGTCCGTCTGCCCAGCTGACGTCCTTGAACTGGCTGAGCTTCGCAGCGCTCACGTCCGGCGAGCCGTCGTCCCCGTCGATGCTCTGCACCGGGGGCGAGGCATTGCTGGCTACCGAGTGCTTTTTGGCGGGGGTGTCGAGCTCCTTCTTGACTTTTTGCCTGCGGGTGATGCCGCCGCGAAGCTTCTTGATCTCGTCGACGAGATGCACGCCATCGGGGGCCTTTGGGTTCTTCGCGCGGATGTACAGGTCGAGATGCCTGCCGAGGCTGCTCGAGGTGAATGCCTGCTGGCAGAAGGGGCAGCTCTTGTCCTTGGGAGCTTTGGTTTCTGAGGCTGGAGGGGTATCGGTAGCTGGCGTGGGAGCTTCCGTCGTCATTGCAGCTCAGGGGATACGAGAACAACCTGGAAAACGGGCGGCTGCAGCATGAATTGCAACGTCGATTCGGCGGCAGAGGTGTTGCTTTCGGTGGGCTGCAGCTAATGCATAATTATCTCGACAATTAAGGGCGTGCACACCAGAGGCATCGTGACAAAGATCAACTGGGCCGCAAAAGGAGGACGCGCTCGTCAATATTGTCTAGCGCTGCTAGTGCGGGAGCTGCACAGAGGATTGACGCGCTGTGAGCGCGTTCTGGCTCTGGCCGCGCTTTGGCGTCTCGGGCCGGTGCATCGACCACCCTCCACCCACGCCTCCACGACGAACACGTCGCGACCCCTACACCGCTGTACATTCTTACATCTACATGGACTAGTCGCTGCCTACGCGCCACCAGGTGTGGCTACCTGCCCAGCTTCGCAGCTGCCCGCGCAGCCATCTCCTCGTACCGCTCCATGCCGCCCTCCAGCTTCTGGAGCCGACCCTTGAACAGCCGGTATACCGTTCCCACAGCAGCCCCTGTCTCTTCCTCTTCCGAGGAGCTCTCCGCTTCGTCTTCCGTCTGCACCCCTGGCGCTAGTCTGTATGGGCTCTCCCCTTCTACCACCGTCCTGGAGACATCGTCAGCAGTTGCCTGTACGTCACGCTGTTGGCACGCACCGCATGAAGTATCTGTCGTGCGTAGCAACAAGCAGAGCTCCGTCGTACTCTCGCAGCGCAATGATCAGGCCCAGGATACTGTCTGCATCTAGATGCGTCGTAACCTCGTCGAGGATGAGAAGCTGCGGGGGAGGCCACAATAGTTTCGCTAGTGCCACCCGCACCTTCTGTCCACCGGAGAGCAGTGCGAGAGGGACGTCCGATGCCGATTGTCCCTGTAGTCCCAGACTACCTAGTAGCTGTCTTGCTGCCTTCTCGTCCATCTCTGCGCCACAGTGTTCCCGCAAGTGCGACAGGGCCGTCAGTTGCGGCTTCGCGCTTGCAATCGCTGCTATCTCCTCTACCGACTGCTGTGAGAAGCGGCCAAACTTTGCGCGCGCGTGACGAGCGATGGTGCCTGAGGTTGGTGTGAGACCCCCTATGCTATCATCGCTGCTGCCCGCGACGAGACTGATCAGGGTCGTCTTGCCGGATCCATTCAGGCCAGCCAGACCGACTCTCTGCCCAGGATGAATGGTCAAAGTTATGTCCGTCAGAACGGGTTCTTTCTTGCGACCGGGGTACGCAAAACACACCTTCTCCAGGCTCACCAACGACCCTGGAAACCTCAGGTCTGGCGGTTGCCGTGGGAATGCCATCTTGACTGGTGGATCAAAATCGGGTATCTCGATCTCTGCTCGATTTGAGAGGTGATAGCCAGCCAAATCGCGGTTGAGCTTGAACCGTCCTCCCTTGATTCCGACTTCAATGCCCGTCCGCTCATCCAGCTTCTTCTTGCGAGATGCAGCTTGCTTCAATTTCTTGTCATCTCCCTTGTCTCTTGCTGCTTTTATGTTGTTTGCCACTGATTTCTCCATGTGCTTTTTCTGCTTATCCTGTGCATCTTTCATCTTGGTCCAATACCGCGCTTTTTTATACCTCTCGCGTTCGTACAGGCCCAGGTTTCCTCGGAAAGCTTCCAATGCTTGGTGCCGCAGAACAATGAGCTCTTCTGCAACGGCGTCACCAAAGTCTCTGTCGTGCGTCGTAATGAGAACCGTCGCATCTTTTAGATTACGGATGTAGTCTTGGAGCCAAATAATAGATGGCAGATCCAAGAAATTGGTAGGTTCGTCGAGCAGTAGCACGTCCGCGTACTGGCACAAAGCGCATGCAAGATCACAGCGTGTCTTCCATCCTCCCGATAACTCCGAGATGGGCTTGTCGATGTTGGTGTCCTTGAAGCCTAGGCCCAGTAAGACCCTTCTGGCTTTGGTCTCAGCTTGTGAGGCGTCCATCAGCTCCAAGGCGGATTGGATGTTGGTGAGAAGATCAGCTGCTGCGCTTGTTTCGGTGCTCAGATTCGCAGCATCAACCTCGCTTTCATCGTGCGTCAGTCGCGCTTTGGACTCTTCGAATCGCTCTTCGAGCTGCATGCAGTATCAGTGTAAGCCTGCGAGCATTTGCGTGGGAAGGGCTTACCTTGATGAGCTCTTTCCTTGCCAGCTTTCCCCTCGCTCCACTTCTCCGCTCAGCAATTCGATTTGCCTCTTTCAATTGCAGCGCTAGTCGGTCATGTGTGACTTTTCTGAATGCCCTTACCGGCGCCATCGGGTCTGACGACTGCTCGATAGCCTCGCCTAGGACGTTTGCTTCCCTCGTATATCTTTCTCTCAATCGGTCGCTTTGCACTACGTGCTGCAACACCGTCTCTTCTTTGACTTTCATCTGCGAGAGTTGTTCATCAAGCTCCAGGTCTCGAGTCTGGCCAAGCAGCAGAATCCTCGTGCTCCATGGGATGCCTGGAATAAGTCCGTCCCCTATGGCCTTGAGTAATGTACTTTTGCCTGTGCCGTTGCGCCCAACAAGGACATAATGACGTGATTCGACCTATCAAACCCGCAGGTAGAAAGTCAGCGTACGTCTAAAATTTAAGAAATGCGTTTCGATCGGGTCCCGGCCAAGCGAAGTGAAGAATTGTCCTTTGCGTATTGTATGAATCCAAGAAGAACCGTCCTTGTGCTTGGTAGGACAGCCATGCTCTCTTGTACCGCAACACTTACCAGGTGGAGGGTTACATGGCTGAGCAATTCTCGGTCGGAGACACTGATTGATAAATCCTTGATCAATATCTCTTTGGATGCCGGAGCATCAACTGCATCGAGAGCATAGCGTGACTGTTGAGCTGTAACCGTGATATAGTCGTCGCCGGGGCGCTTTCCACTTGGCGCAGCTGCTTCTTTTCCTCTTCGCACCATCTTGAACAGCACTTAATGGCCGAGAAAGCTGAATTTTGACACGAGTGCCTGTATCAAACTCGAGGAGCTTCAACACTTGATATATTGCGTGGTGTGAGTGCATGTGGACACTACGTGCTTAGCGTGGATTGATGGGAGATGAGTCGAAGTGCTCTCTTCTGGTTGGTCAAGTCGGAGCGAACTGTTCTGGCAAACAGATATCTCGGGAAGGTGCGTTGCACGGCACGCCATTTCGGGTACGGCTTCCAGATCGCAGGCGAATGAGTATCTACGATAGTTAGGTCAATGTATGATAATTGACCTGAGGTAGTAAATATGCTAAGCCAGGTGCCAAGACATATATTCATGGAGCAGCAGCTTTCGAAATCGTACTATCCGTCATTCAAACATCTGCTTATGCCCTCTAAGTCAGGCTCGAACAAACTCGATGTAGTATTGTATCCATCAAGCCTAGGCCAGAGCGCGGATTGCTTTTGATCTTTGAAAAGCCACGCGCGAACTCTAGTTCATATCTGATCGCCTGTTCAGACTAACATACGAATGTATTGCTCAATTAGATCAATCTTTTCCGTCGTAGGAGCAGTTGCTTTGGTCGGCGGACCGCGTATGTGCTCGACGACGAGAGCGGTTTCGAGAGACCGGTGGTTGCTATGAGTGCAACCTCATGCGGCGCTGCCAACCTCCTCCGAGATGTGTTGCGCCTGGGACACTCGCGCCTTCCGCTGTATGCGTCCGTTTCTTGAGCGACGCGCGCCTTCCGTATACTGTGTTGTTGAACGATAGAGGCCTCACGATCAGCCTGAACTCATCTTTACTTTCCGTAAAGTCCCAACCCGCCTGTTCTCCACTTTATTGTGCCCTCCACTTACAATACCATCTTCCGCTTTCAGCACGCATTACACGGACATTTGCGCTTCAACTTAGCCTTGCATCGCCATCGCCGACATGATCACGGATACTACGAGCCTCCTAGCATTGAAACAGCCCAAGCAGGAGTCAGCGAAGCATTGGTTTACTCGCCATCTCTTGAGATCGGCGCCGCGACAAACCAGGGAAGATACACATCAAGGCAAGATAATCAAGCAGATGTCCCTCCGCCGCCCGCGTACTGCACCACCCAATCGGCCATCCACCGCGCCCTCTTCGGGTCCGGCTGCTAGAGACGAATTGGCTCTGCCGCCCACAATGCCATATGTATGGCTCCAGCACTCGCCGCCCTGTAGTGAGCTCAAGGCCCCACCGGGAGCAGCTCGAGCGGGACTGGACGTTCTACTCGATGTAGATGCATGGTTGGCTACGAGCAAGCCATCTTCTCCGTTGATGGGTGGGCTTTCGTATTGGAGGGAGGGCAACCCCGCGGATGCGGATGAGACCGTGAACGTACAGTACGCCATACCAATCATCCAGGAGCCCAACGATGAGAGACTCTCTCCTTCGCGTAGCCAGCAGTTCCGGTCCCTATGCCGTCGGGCGAAGATGCAAGTGCGCATGCCATCGATTCGCCGCGTAAAGTCTCCGCGAGCTATAGAAGAGGATAACCCACGCTCTGAGTCGGCTGCCATCCTAACCGTACCTTACGAACAGACACAACCCAGTGAGGTGCCTTACTTCGCCACGCGTTTGACAACCACGCATCCCCGCATACGCCCTTCTACAGCCACAGCAGCTTTCCCTCCGATGGGTGCGGTCATTGATCGCCGGCACTTGCCCAACATTGATCTGCCGTTGCGGCGTGACAGTCCTGGTAGTGTGCAATTGCGGGAGCTGGAGTGCGAGATGGAGCGTCTTGCGCTGGGCCAAAGTCCGTTTACTGGCAGTAATTTACGACCAGAAGCCCTGTCTGCTGCGCATTTGCCCCGTGAGGATTCCATGGGCAGTTTCTCGAGCGCACCAACTTACTTCTCTGGCATGCCTCCGCCGTCATACAAGTCGCGTCCAGCTTCATCGCACCCGGCTTCCATCCTCACTACCTCATCATTTGGATGTATTGATGGAATGAACCCAGAGCAGCGGCAACTCTCTCAGAGACGGGCGGTACAGAAGCAGCGGAGTATGAAAGGACGGCTCAGGAAGCTTGCGAAGAAGGCGAATATTAGAAAATGAGCAGCTCTTAAGGTACAAGCCAGTCTTACGAGATGAAAGACTAGGAAGGAATTCTTCGAGACGAACAGATACGAGTACGAATGATTGACGAGACATGAGCAGAGGGGAACGGAAGCGGAAGTAGGAAGGGGAGTCGTACGAAGGACCGTGAGCGGACAAGGACGCTAGGTGGAGTATGAAGTAGTTGGCTCATCGTACTGGACGACTCTGTAGTAGAAATTATATTGAGAGCGAAGCATGCTCTACGGAGAGGAACGTTGAAGCGGGCTTGGCGGAGACGCAAACATTCCACAAAACGAGTGGAGGCTGCCGCATTCCTGGGCGGAGAGCCATTGTCAGACGACACCGAGAGCACTCTTCACGGTATGCAGAAATATGATCAGCGACAAGCGATGTGTTCGTGTTCCTCGATGCGGTGATGGTGATGCAGTGACGTTGACTTCCCGCGAGCCGTGCTGAGCCGACTGCCCGAAACGGCTCACCGCCTGCGCTTTGTGATTTGATCGTTGCGACTGCATCACTACCGATAACCATTGGGTCCGACGTGGCATATGGTCGCACCCCTCCGCGCAGCCCGCATCGTCGCAATTGAAGCCCATGGCCCCAAACCATGCGCGCACTTCACTAGACGTTCTACATCCGCACGCCGGGCCCCAGCGCAAGCTTTAGTGATCCGCGCGCCGCTCGCTCGCTCTCACTGGCAAGACAGCCCCATCTGCACCTCGACCCCCTCGACCTGCCGGACGCAGCCACGCTGCAAAAGTAAGCATGGCTTCGTCGTCGGTCGACGCTCATTCGCAGCCGCGACGGCCGCCTCCAATGGCCCGCCAGTCGTCCACGTCGTCGCAGCGCTCGCACTCACCCTCGGAATCCACCCAGCACAAAGCAAAGGGCCCGCGCCAGCACGTCGTCGGCGGCAGCAGTCGCGTGCAGCGCAATCACTCGGTCGGCAAAAACCTCAACAAGCTCAGTAAGCAGGTCCAGGCGCCTGGCAACGACGGAAACGCCGTGAAGCACCACCGTCGCGTGCACTCTGGCAACTCGACCTCCGCGCCCAGCAGCCCGCGCCCCGGGATCAAGCGCAATGCGTCCGCCGGCGCAGTGCTGAGAGTCGGCAAGCACGGCCACACGGTCAGCGGCATCCGCAAGAACCACTCCAGCGGCCACCTACCGCGGGAGTCCGGCTCGCGACCGGCCCTCAAGGCCTCAAAGAGCGAGATAGCACCGCCGAAGCGTTCCCTGATCAATCCGGGCAAGGCCCGAGAGCCCTCGTCGGACGACGAGCATCCGACTGTGCATTTCGACGTAGCAGACGAGGAGGAGGGACAAGACGACGGCTGGACCGAGGAGAGCGCGTCCCAATCACCCACCACCACAAGGTCCAACACCCGCTCCAACTCTGTAGTGCTGGATCCGCATAGGCCGACTGAAGACAGGCCAGCCGATAAAATGGGAGGCATATCACGGGCAGAGGCAAGTAGCCAGCAGGCCTCGGTTGCATCCAGCATGTCTACTCGGGCTCTACCAGACCGAACGCAGCAACAACCACGCTCGGCGAACGGCAGCAGCTCTCACCATCATTCACACTCCCGGCCGGCCGATGCAGACATGATTACCTCGCGGTTACTGCAACGAAGTTCTCACCACAACCCTGCACCGCAAATGTCCGCCATTGCTGCGACTGTGGTATCGAACCACCACGAGCCGCGCGAGTTGAGTCAGAGCGCAGGCTCGACGTTGGTGGACACCCCAGGGAGGGAGCTCGTTTCGCGTTTCATTGATGGTGATGGGTCGGCCGGCACGCCAAACAGCAGCTTTTTGCCGTCGCGAAACACCCCACAAACATCGGGTTCAGGCAACGGGAACCTCAAGAGAAACAGGTCCATGCCTGATGTTGCAGATGAAGAGACACCAACGCGAACCCCACGCAGATCCGGCACTAGCACACCCACAGACCTGCCGCCGTCACGAACACAGCAGAAGCTAATGCTCCAGCGTGCATCCTCGGCCATTGAGCCGCAAAAGCTGATACCTTCAATCTTACCGAGGACGGGTGGACCCACACCTCTCTACACGGGGATGACTTACACTACCAACGGCGAAGGTCGTTTAGATCCTCGTCTGCAACAGCAGTTTAACCACGTTTCCGTGGAATACAACGTGGTGCGAAGGTACCGCAATCCGCTTGTTGAAGCCATTGTCCGGATTGAACAGATGCCCGGGACACCACGCAAGTCTCGCGTGCCGAAGTCGGCCAGCACAAATGGGTTCTCGAGTGTGCACGGCAGTAGCAGCCTGAGCACGAGTCACAACGATGAAGTAGACGACTTAGGCAGCCGGAGGTCGCGAGTCAGCTTTGAAAACGGCCGCAACAGTCGTGAGGAAGGCGATGTCGAAGGCAGGCAAAGCTTCGAGAGTGACAACGGCAGGATCCGTAACGAAGTAGAAGAACTGTGTCGACGGCTGTGGGAAAGCAGCGAGGCTGCAGAGCACGACTGAGCGGCACACACGTGGCGAGGTACGACGGTCACCGACAAAGTGAGTTGTCTTTCGCATCACCTAATGGATTGCCCTTTTCGTATTCTTGCGTGCGCCTATTGTCGGCGTTCCTCAGGCGCATGGTATGGCATATTGTGGATCATGAGTTGGGCAGCAGGATGGAGGCTGTGGATACTGGATTGCCACGGCGCATTCCAGGCCAGCTCGGCACACAACATTCTGGACGCATTGTATCATATTCGCTACAACGGCCAACCACTCTAAAGGGCCTAGCATAGAAACAGCGCGCGCGTGCAGTGCTCTCCTCGAGCGGCGCTCATGTCGGCGCATTCACTGGTACGGGTTGAGGCCGCAATTAAGGGCCGGGGATTGGGGTATAGCCAATGAAATGAAGAACAAGGCCGGTTCAACAGTAATTTCTTCCTCCTGTTCTGCGTGCCTGGGAGCCTGCCTGTTTCTGTCCGCCATTTGTCGCATCTTCATATACGAAATATTGAGCGTGAGGGCGACGGGCGAGGGCAGGCGTGGTCCATGAATAGACGCGGGCAGTGTGTGGGTGGCTGAGGCATCCATCGTCTGACAGCCAAGGTGCTGCGACACTTCACAGACACGCCTCGCGAGAATTTGCGCGCAGACACGCTGTCACGGCTCGACTGCGGCGCTCAGCTTAGATTGGCTAGAAGCAGTCTGCCGTGTGGCCACGACAAAGAGCGGTTTCGATGTGCCACGCCTGAGGCAGGTGTCCCGTGCCACTGCTGGAGGTACCACGGCACGGGAGTTTGTTTCAGTGACCGTGAGCGATGGTTTGAACAGAAAAGTGGACTGCGGGGGAAACATCGGGCGGCGGGAGGCAAAAACATCGGGGCCATCGTCACGATGGCAACGGATGGTGTTGAGCCATGGTTGAGACCCTGCGGCTGTCACGACGGAGATTTCAGCACCGTCAGCACGCCGCTCATCTGCGATTCTGCGCCGGCAAGCTGCAGGCTCCCCGACGGCGCCTTGCTGGGTGGTGCAGCGGACCGGGGGTGTTGTTAGCGCCTGGCCAGGTTCTTGGACGCGAAATGAGTAGGGGAGATTGCGCCTCATTAAAGCTGGCTTCCCCCGGCGCCGCTGTTTAGCCCTCAAACGCTCCAGCTTCCAACCCACAGTCTTTACAAACACCTGCAACCCCCGCTCCGGCAGCCTTGCCAGCACGCTCCTTGCACCCTTCACTCACTCTTTGCTTCCAGCACATCCGTCGCGCAAGCACACCACACTTCGACAGTCGTTCCTGCCTCGTCGCCAGACCAAAACAACAAGTCTCAGCCCGTCGCAAGCCTCGCGCACCACTCTCTTCAAATCCAAAAACACCACAACCGCAGTCACCGACACAATGCGCTCCTTCCAGCAAGTCGTTCTCTTCCTCTTCGCGCTTGTCGCGTTCGTCGCCGCCCAGGACACCCAGTCCTACGACGCGACCGTCTATGTCACCTCCACCATCTACAAGGTCAACACCGTCACCATGTCGAGCAGCCCGGCGTACGAGGTCCACAACTCGACCTCCACCATCTCCGCCCCCGCTGTGTCCACCTCTGCCTACGCTGTCCCTGCCAACAGCACCGCGCCCTACCCCACTGGCACTGGAGCCTCATCCGGCGCCCCCGCTGCGCCTTCTACCACTGAGTTCCCCGGCGCTGCCTCTGGCCTCTCCGTCAACGGCGCGCTCATCGCCATGTTCGCCGCTGGCCTCGGATTCCTCGCTCTATGACCGCTCAGCGCGCAATAAGTCCTCTTTGCGACTACCTTCCGCTTCTCGCATCATCGACTGGTGCCTGTCCATGATACCCCTACCCACACTCTTTGGAAGCGCCGGGCCCGCATCGAGCGCGCTCGCTTGTTCGGTTCATTACGTGTCATGAGGAATCTTCTTCGCTCGCTTCTTCGGAAGCGCCTTTATTCCTTCCCTTATCAACCTACCCTTCGACTCTATACATTCGAACTTAGCAACTCCGGATACCTTCTTTGTAATTCATTCGCCTTTACGATACTCAATGAACGACGCCGGATTTTCTATACCCACCCTCTTTTTCTTGAGTCCAAAATATCACCCTTTTTGAGATCACTTTCTGGCACACGCCAAAGTAATTTCTAGTCACTCATTCATACAATTGTACCTTACTGTTGGACTGAAAAAAACATCATACTGGTCGCGGGACGCATGACAAGCGCAACCCTGTGTTGCTGCTCCATATGCCGAGCTTAGGCAACCTCTTCTTCTGACTACCTACTTCTCTGGTGGAGCTGGAGTTTGGAGATACCCCCTTTTTTGTTGATTGCGTTTATTGAGCTTCGTATCCATGTGGAGGACGTTGGATTGACCTTGGGTGGATTTTTGCGTTGTGATAGGGGGGCATGGGGGGATGAGCAGCTGGGCGGTGCGATCCTTCATCGGGCGCTGGGATGATGGGGGCGAAGTGCACGCTGGCAAGATTACTGCTTTCAGCCTACTCGTAGCAGAAATGAATAGTTGAAGATGCTATACCTGACTTGCGTGGATTGTACTATGTGATGCCTTGATTTGCGCGCTGCTCAAGCGGCCGTGCCTCGGTTCACGCAATCACACACTCAATTCACCCATCACGCCCACAGACCACCGCTCATTTGCACTCCAGCCTTGCCCTCTCTCTTCGCCCATGCGATCCTTCTCCAATTGGCCCATCCATCTTAAGATTGCGATCGGCACGCAAACCTGGGGATTGGTCGCAGCGCCTTAGCAGCAAGCGCCGGCCCGCCTTGACGTGAGCCCACTCAAAGAGCCGCTCCACACCAAGCAGCACCGTCTTACGAAAATTTAAAATCGCGCGCAGAACTGGAAAACAAAAAAGATTGGGGGGCTAGAAGCTGGGTGCATGGCCAACAAAGCGCATTGTGGGTCCGGGACAAGGGACAAAGACCGCAGGGCTTTGTTGGATGCGCATGTCGGCAGAACAAGCTGGGTCGGCTTTGTTGCCGTGCGCGTTGCTGCGGCGTGAAAATGCTTGCTTCTACCCAACAACAACGCACACCGCTCGGCAGTTCTTTTTCCTGCAGAGATTTCCAGCCTTTGTCCGCCCTTGTGCAGAGTTTGCGCTTGACCGTTGCGCAAGTCGTATTCTGCGTGGTAGTCGACCAACGAGGAAGAGTAGCGCGCGGACTGCGACCGACTCAGGATCCTCACGTGCCTGGAACCAACGCCGACAAGCGAAATTACCTCTCTTCACGCGCTGGGCGGTTGCCTAGGGGAGGTCTGGAATGTCACTTTTATTCGTAGCGTTGCGCGATTGCGCGCCGTACGGCGTGCCTCTACAGTAAGATCTAAAGCTGGGCAAGGCGGTACGGCGCGTGTGCTCAAGTGCTTACTCTGCTACGGGTACCTGTTGGATTGGGGCCGTTGGGCTGTCAGCCTCGATGCGCGCGAGAGCGTCGGGATTCGTTTTACTTTTCCCAAGAAAACTCTTCGTGCCCGAGATCCTGGTCAGAAGGGATGCGGGTAAGGTTGTCGGTTAAGGTTGGTCAGAGTGTGCTTGCTGACTGTTGAGCTGCGGTTGAGTGGATGCGCTGGGCCTCGGGAACGAGTCGGGATGCGAAGGCAGAGTCGCCCAGAACTACGAAGTACAGCAATGGTACCTTGGTACTCATTCTGTCCAGATGCAGACGCATGAGTATATGCGACAAGCCAGATTCACACCGAAGTTCAGACCTCTGGGTCTGCTCCCACTTCACAATAAGCTTATCCTTATCGAACGCTCTGTGTCAGATCGAGAGTTCGGTTCCGCTCACACGTGTGCGGACCGCCACGTTGGCGCAAACATGGTTCTCAGACCCGTCGGCTGTCCTTCAGCCACGAGTTTCTCCCTCGCACCGCTCCAGCGGAGTGCGCTCCGGACTTCGTCACCTGAAGCACGCGCAGCGCGTACCTGCATCCTCTTCCCACCCTGCCATCGTGAATAATCTTTAAGAATGTCCGCAGCCCGCAGAAATGGAGATTCTGCGTTTGAGCCTGCCGTGCAGGACCTGCTGCGGCTGCAGGCGACGGTCGGACACGGCACTGGTGGTACAGCAGTATTGGTACTCGTACTAGCTGAGTGTGATGCGAGCGTGGATGTAACGTGCTGCTAATCAAGCGAGGCGCCTGGGACACGGTGTGATCAATTGTGCAAGGAGAATTGTTCGAAGGCTGAGACTTTCCATGCGCGCTGGCGGCGTGCTGTGGAGCGGCGATTGTGTGCTGAGCTTACTCAGAGCATGGAGAAATCACAGCCTCCCACACAGTGACTTCCGACGGCGTATGCTAGTCATTTACAGCGGGTTTATCGTGTAAGCTGCCTCTGCGATCGTCTTGCTTGTGAACACCTGCTCCCTGTGGCGTTCTGTACTGGATCTAATGGTGGGTCACGTGGCACGAGATCGCCTCTGTTCTGTAGCGAGCTCGGCTTCTGGTACATGTGGTTTTCGTTGTCAAGCAAGGAATGGAAGGTAGCAATGGCACGGACACAGGACACTTGTAAATGCTGTCGTGCGTCGAAATAGAGTTGCAGCTGCGATTGACCGTTCAGGGTGGTTCCTTCCACAGTCTCCACTTTTTGTTCAGGGGTAAGTGCAGCTCCCCGCGGTAACACGCGTCACTCTGCGTCGACCACCAACACGCGGGGGAAAACAGCGGGTACTTGACGCTGTTATATCGACGCATGGACTCCTCTTGAATCTGGAGTTTCCCGCTGTTTGCGACGATGATAACGGCTACCGCAGGGTGCATGTACCTGACGCAAGTTGTCAAGGGTGAAGCCAAACCCATTCTCGGTAGACAGGCTCAATCAGCAAAACTTCGCATGTATCTAAGCTATTCTAATAGTTGCGTACGGCCAACTACAAGGTTGCACCATGTTAGAGGTTGACCACTACAAGACCATTCAAGTTTTAGGTACGGTGGGATCTCTCCGCCAGACCTTCTATCTCGGCGATATACTTCCGCAGGAATATCCATCAGATCCAGGCTCCTCTGGTCAGGTTCGAAACTCTAGAACCTTACGCCAAAGTCGAATGCGAACCCAAATTCCCTGATATATCACATCCGGTCTCTTGCCGCACCTTCGCATCAGAAGGTCTGTACGATGCAGCGCCATGGGAACGCTTCAGAGTCATGTATTTTAATACCGTCACATTAGCTTTTAACTCAGCAGTGGCCCGATAGCTTGGCTTACCGTGGTATACCTGTAGGCTTGGACGCATGAGCTGGTATGTTGAGGACTCTTACACTAGACACGTAAGCCCGACAGTAATCTCTCTACTACTCCAGTACTGAAATCGATTCATCATTCTCGGGAGGGCAGGTCATGGGAATATAGAATGATAGTGCAGGCCATCACAGGCCAACGGAGAAGCAGAAGACGCAAGTGTACATATGTATCAATGAGCTTGTGAGCTCAATTGACTGTGAACTTGTAGCCTTACGATCCGTCCTTCACGGCTGCTTCCTGGTCCTGTTGCGGCTGCCTGGCAATTACGGTCCTGCTACGATCCCTACAGCAGCAACACCATATGCAGCCGCAGGAGATGAGGAAAACAATACATAGGCCTATAGCAAGCCCAACAGCAAGGGCACAGCTCATGTCGCAGCCTCGGGTCTTTGCTTTCATAGCTCCCGCACTGGCGCCGGGTCGAGCGCCGCCGCCTGTTGCAACACGCGCGAGAAGTCGGCTCATCCTGATGATGAGGCTGGTTTGTTACCTATTAAGCGCAAAAGATAGGGATGTTGACTAGCGGGTGATTTAGCTACCCGTCGTACCTGAGTAACTCCAATGTAGTGAGTAAGCTTGATTTCAATGGTGGGCAGAGGAAATATCTGAGTTTGGGTTTGAGAACGCAGGAAATTTTTCAGTCAAGTGAGTGTCGACATATCGCACCTGAATTTCTTCAGGGAACAGGTACATACATTATATACCATCTCTCTACAAGTCGCTCGCAGATCCACGTAGTTTCGAGCAGGTAATGATAGTCTTCAGAATATGCTGTTTGCTACGCTCCCTATTGAATGGACGTGCAAAATCAGCACATGCCCGACCAAATCTCATTCACACACCGTGAAAATCTTGGCCAATACATCGAGGCATCAGAAATATCTGAGTGGGGCCTATACGATTGCTTCGTCAGCCAATGTAACCCCTCACTCCAATCGCTAGGTGCCCGGTCACGTTGTCTCCTTCTATCTCTGCATTTGATCGCACCTTCTAGAGAGTCGTTGATTCCATCGTCTCCTGCAACCCCGCATATCTTCCAGACCAAACGGTGGTCGTGGGTGAGTGCGTTATTGGTTCATTCCATACATCGTCTTCACTTCCCGTCCGTGTTAGCTCTGGTGGCTCCGGTCGTGACGGGATTGGTCGAGGCCCGGGTCACGGAGGTGGTTTCGCAGCTCAAACTGCAGCTTCTGTCGCGACTTGGTACTCGAAGACACCTTGTATGTCTGAGAGCGACTGATACCTCCAGCGTTTGAAGAGCATCCCACATTCCTGTACTTTGTATACTTGACGTAGATGGAGCGTATCGCAGGGAGCGAATGGCCAGAGGCTGGTGATGCGAGACTTAGGAACGTCACCGAACGGCAAGGCATTCGCTGAGGTGGCTCGGCCCAAAAGCAATCTGGAGATCTGAGCAACAAAGCTCGCCGACCATCATCAATCCAATCAATCCGGACTTTTCAAATCACCCGAGGGTGATACAGTCTTGGTCCCCAAGAACTTTGAATGCAGCCCACACACTTGGCTTTGAGTCCGCTTTCGCAATCCATACCGATGTAGGCGAATACCGCTCTGTATTACTAAGAGAAGACTTAAATTGAACTGGAATGGAGCATGAACTGTGCTATCTTCCAGGAGATTTGAGTAGAATATTGCTAATGGCTGGGTGATCCCATATATCTGTACATTTGAGATGATGCCATAGTGCCGTGTGACAATGTATAGATGCTAATGTCTCTTATTTGCCCAATCGTTCTCACTGCTGTTCTTCGCACGCTGAGACGAAGTCCTCACGCATTTCACCCTATCAATTTTCCGCCTTGGACAGGGTGCGAAACTCGGATCTGACAATACATTGCATTAAGACCAACCTAACACAACAAACCCTGTTCCGATCATCAAATTCATTTCATTATCTATACATCCCATACCAAGATCCAACCTCCTTTGTATGAATTTGTAGATACACCTCCACAAGAAGAGTGCTGCGCATCTCAACCAGGGCCCACGAGCGAGTCATAGAGACCCTAAGCGTCTCCATTGTCTCCAGCGTCGTCAGCTGCGCCTTGGGAGGTAATGGCGGATGAGCCTGCTCCAGCACCCGCAGCGGAGCCCCCGCTGACACTCGATCCACTGTTAGCGGCAGTCGAACCAGTGCTTGTCTGACCATTGGTCAATCCAGCGCCCTGCTGTCCGACTTGGCCAGCTTGAGTAGATCCACCTTTGGCAGCGGTTGATCCACCTTGAGTGCCCTGGAGACCAGATTGGCCGGCTTGGGTTGATCCACCGTTCGCAGCAGTGGAGCCGGTGTTGGTCTGACCGGTGGTAGAGCCAGTGCCCTGCTGCCCAGCCTGAACAGATCCGCCGTTTCCAGTAGTCGAGCCAGTGCCAGTCTGGCCTGTGGCAGAACCAGCACCTTGAATTCCAGCTTGACCAGTCTGTGTAGATCCGCTGTTGGCAGCATTCGACCCGCCTTGAGTGCCTTGAGTGCCTTGAGTGCCCTGAGTTCCCTGAGTGCCCTGAGTTCCCTGAGTTCCCTGAGTGCCAGTCTGCCCGTTGCCGAGTTGTGCGGCAGTGCCTGTACCAGCAGTTCCGGTCGTCGATCCAGTACCAGTCTGCGCACCAGTTCCTTGGGTGCCTTTAGTACCCGCTCCAGCAGTTCCTGCGCCGGCAGTGCCTTTTATAAATGTCAGCCCAATGACCCATGTCCATCTCGACAATTCGATGACGAATGAACAGATCCAGGAAAACTTACCAGCTGCACCGTTGCCTTTACCCTTGCCCTTTCCCTTTCCTGCAGCAGTACCAGTCGCTGCGGCGGTTCCATTTTTTGCTGCTCCGACCCCAGCTGCGCCTGCAGTGCCGGCTCCTAGATCACGAAATCAGTGCCGGCCATGAATGGAGCATTGCACGCTAGGCGAGGATGAAGTCGTCCTCACTGAGGGTCAGACATACCATTTCCAGCAGTAGCTCCTGCCGCGCCTGCCTTACCCTTCTTTCCTTTGCCTTTTGCAGCACCAACAGCTGATGCGGTACCGTTGGTCGCTGCTGCTCCTGCTGCGGGAGTAGCAGCGCCTATCTTTCGTCAACATTGGAGGTTTGAGCAGTTTGAAATCCCATCGTACCTGCTTTGCCCTTACCCGCTTTTCCCTTACCAGCTGCTCCGGTCGTGGCTGCACCAGCCGCACCCGCAGATCCAGTCGCCGCATTACCTCCCGCCGCGCCGCCAGTCAAGCCACCGAGGAGTGCGTCAAGACCACCAGCACCGCCAGCTGCTCCGCCAGCGGCATTACCTCCTGCCGCGCCTCCCGTCAAACCGCCCAGAAGCCCCCCCAAGCCGCCAGCGCCAGCTGCTCCGCCCGCAGCATTGCCGCCGGCAGCGCCTCCAGTCAGGCCACCGAGAAGCCCCTCAAGACCACCAGCGCCACCCGCAGCGTTACCTCCCGCGCCGCCAGCTCCGCCCGTCAACTGGCCCAGAAGCTGATCGAGCTGACGCTTGCCCATGGCCTTCTCGCGAGCAATCTTGCGGAATGAGGATACGAAGTGGGCGGGAATCTTGGTCCCTGTGAAGCCGCTGTTTGTGTCAACCCATTTCTTTTCGGTCTTGGGGAATGGCGCTGGGGCCGCAGCAACGAGAGGGGTGGCCGCGAGGGCAGCAACGACGGAAGCGGAGAACTTCATGGTTGCAAATCTGATAATAGGGATAGACTAAAAACGCACTGATCTACAGTGGCGAGTTGGAAGAAGGGAATGGAAAGCCGACTAGCAGCAATAGCACACTTGAAAAGATATTATAGATGTGGAGTGAGGAAAGAAAGATGCTCATCCGATTACCCGTGAGTCTTATAGCTGCTCTTGTTGACGACCTAGGACAGAGCAGCTCACTGCCCATGGGGCGCGCTCGATCCGGTCTCAGCGTGCCGCCTCGCTTCTTCAGAAAAGTGTACCCATCCGTCGATCGTCTGAACGGTGTCTGCGGCGATCCCAAAAGCATCTGTGTGAACAGTGGGGCAGGGTAGGAGGGCGTTCATTCTTGGGAACCAATCAAGAAGGGTCTGAGACATGACTATGGTGCTTATTGGGCCGCGCCATGTCTAGTCTGTTACTGAGAGTGTCCAAGATGTCAAACAGTATAGCGGACAGGCCGCGTATATTGGGTGCTTGAAATTGCCTTGATGGGATGCAGGTAGCGTTAGGCCAAAATAGCGTTTCTGGATGAGCTGGGAAGGTGCTTGTGAGACTGGATTATTGTAGTGAGGCTATTGTAGCCCAACGTTTTCTCGGTAACCATGTAGCGTCGGCTTACTGTAGCGTCGGCTTACTGTAGCGAAAGCGCATGAATGCGCGACTGGGAACATCCTCTGGTATTTTTGCACCCTTCCACACTTCTCTTGCTCAAGGTGGTCTGCTTATGGGAAAAATTGTTGAATGCCTCCTTCACGTCATCGCGAGGTTCCCAGCAAGACGCTGCTGAAACACGCACCACTCGGCCTCTCAAACATCGTTTCAAAACCCCATAATTCCCGTAACATGGTAAGTCTGACAAACCAAGGAAGGCCTCAACGCCGAGCTGTCTTTGTTTCAAACTTGGATTGACATACTCTCGACCTGGGCCTGTGGGTTCAGATGGGGCGCAGGAAGGATAGAGGCTGGGGTTGGGGTGAAATGGGGGACGTTGCTAAAATTAGTGTAATCTAATGTCGCGCTAGGCCGGAAAAAACGCAGAGGTAGGATAGGAAAGCACCGTCAGCTTGATGCGGAAGGCATGGGGGAGAGGACGCGAGATGTGTTGAATTGGGTAATGCATTGCAGCTTGAACGCGCACTCTCAAGGCATTGCGGTGCATGAACAGTACGACCAGGTGGCTGTTGAAAAGCGGCTCTGCACATTCCCGAGATCTTCTCCCAACACATGCCACTCTCCATGTATATCGGAATATGGACAGCTCGCACAAATTGCCCACATCTCTCATTCTTAGTGAGGAGCTTGGGTGCGCTTCGCCTTCCCCGTAACAATCACCTCTCCGCTTCCCACCTCGACTCTCCACCCCTCCTGAACCAACGCCCTTACAACAGCGGGTCCAATCTTTCCTCTACCACCCTCACTGTGTCTCCCCAGGCCCGTGACGATCCTGAATCCATCCCTAGCACCACCTCTGCCCTGCCCATAGCCGGGGATTCTCGCCTCACCTAAACCGTCCCACCATGCCTTGGTCCTCCGCTTGGCAATCCTGGTTGCGCTGTCCACTGTAACACCATGGAGGTCCAGCACAGTAGAAGTCGACTGCTGCGAGACGAATACGTCAGCATCGGCCTCTGACTGCGCTCGGAGGTGGGCATTGGCGTCGCGTCCAACTTGAGCGTAATAGCCTGCTGCAGCTTTGTAAAGCGGGTTTGAGCGACCTTTGCGGAAAGAAGCCGAGGCATTATTGAAGGCTGAGCTGCGGACTGCGGCGAGGGAAGCGGCTGTATGTGGGGTGGCAGAGGGCGCAAGGTCGGGCAATTTCGTGCTCTCCGGTGTTGGCTCTGACAGACTGACGGGAGCGTATTGGGGTATGACTTGTATGCTACCTTTAGTGACATAGGATGCGCTCGGACAACCGGTGATTTTCTTTGCGAGTTCGTGTGCATATGATGTTGAGGGTGCCGTTAGCCTGATCAAAGCGATGGCGTAATCTAATTCGATGTTTGGAAATTCTTCGTTGAGGTCCAACGCGGGCTGAATGATACGTGCTTCAGGCTCTTTCTTCCCGTGGTCAGCAATAGATGTCTTCATCATCGCAACAATGGTGCCCGCTAGTGAGAGGCCATTCGCGTGGTACAAGGATGCAATGGTCTTTGCAGAGACCTTCGTTCGCGATGACAAGAACTCGATATCTCGCCCGCTGTCTTTCCACCTGTTTGCGATTGGCGCGGTGGGACTGAGCTCTGATTCTGAGTTAGACGCTGATGCCACATTGTGATAGTCCACATGAATTTGCCTCTTCTTCGTCTTTCCCTTCTTACCCCGTTGTGGCAGATGGTGTTCCTCCGAAAATGCGTCGATGCCTTTCACAACGGGCACTTCATCTCCAGGGCTTCCGCTTACATCGTGGAAGTACACGTGGTTCAGCAGCTCATCCGTCGCCTTCTCAAAGTCGTCTCCGCACTTCTTCAACGTGTACGTGACAAATTCGAGCCGCAAGGTGGGGAACGTCTCGGCGAGCAGCGCTTCCTTGGTTGGTGTGTCGTAGCCCTCCGTTTCTCGGAAATACCCTCCAAAAGCCAGATGGTCTGAGTCTACACCCAATTCCAATGTCGCCAAGCCGTTCGAAAGGCTTGTGGAGTCAGTCCCGTTCGTCTGTGACAGCGAGGTCCATGTCTCTGTACTCGACTCCGCATCGTCGAACTGTTTGCTCGGACTGGTTCGCACCGCGCCGCCACTGCTGCCCGACGGATCGAACTCGGTAAGCTGTTCGGCTGCAGCAGTCTGTTTGAGGTCTTCCAAAAGACCTCTCAGCACCTGCGTGCCACCCGATTGTCCAGCATAGTCTGGGTACAGCGCGTGAATAAGAGCGGGGTCTAACGGTGGGCAATATTCTTGCTACGCGGATCTTAGCATTCGGAATCGGTCGTGCAACACGGTCGCGTGCGTACCTCGAGGTCGTGGAGCTCTTCATCCATCTTTGGTCTTGGAATGTTTGCGCAGTCTGGTGTGGCGGGGTACGCGTTGCATACTCAGCACTAGAAGTACTCTAGTCGGAAGAATTTCGAGACGATGAGAGACTCTAGGATGCGCGTGAAACAGGAAGTTCGTGGCTACGCGACCGAGATACGTTGTGCGATTGAGGCACAGTGGGATAAGAAGTTAAGTGCGCCCGTGTTGTGTTGTGTTGTGTGTGTTCATTTCGAGCGGTTTCGTATCAGCTCGGTGCCGAACGGGCCGACACTTGGCATTCACGCAGTATAGGCATCGTTTCCATCGGTGGTGCAGCAGAGGAACATGCACTTATGCTTTCTTGGTCTCATATCTAAAACTCAATTACGCGCCGAGTCATGTGCGTCATTCGTCTGTCCGGGCACCTGGGCGGATCCACATCGCGCAACCGCGCTAAGCTATGACTCGGAACCAAGACACTGTAATCATTTGGCTTGAGTGTGATGAGTGTCTTAAAGCATGTGAATTCTGATTCCCATCCGCCCATCCAAAATTTGTAAGATACGCTATGTGAGAGTACAAGCATTAACGCCATGGACCTATTGTCCTCATGCTTATTGTCCGTTGTCGGCGTCAGTCGTTAACAAATACCAAGCCCAGCACCAGTGCCCTTTCCTCCTACGGGAATGCATCCTGAAGAGTATATAACGCCTAACTCATGTGAAACCCCAAAGCATACCACAGGGTCCCTTTGGTGAAATGTGCGCCAAACCCCGACAGTTGTAATGGTCCAGCCTGCGTGCTTAGGAAAGATGGAAGGCGCCCTGGCCCTCCTGAATTGCAACACGGAGCTTCTCACGGAGAATCTGCATACTGCTGTAATCGGGCATCTTGAGGTAGTTGACGCATGTCATGACACTCGGAAGATAGTCGTCTGACGTATAAGGCGGCTCGCTCGGCTTGCAAACCACGGTGAACATCGGCGTGAGGCTCTTGAAACCTGGGAAATGGTGAGAAGAGGATCGAGCGCAGGGAGATAACAACTAACCTCCGATAGGAAGCTTCGGACTACCAGTGATGAACTGGAGGAAGTCGCGGCGCTCAGTGGCCGAGAACTCGCTCATTGTCTGTAAAAGATTACGAACGCTCTTACTGTCGAGGTTGTATCCGTGGTCTGCCTTGATTGAATCCATCAAAGCTGTTTTTATTATTAGCATCGTAGGTACCGGCGAATTCTATGAGAAGCAAACTCACTTTCGAGAGACCAGTCCTCATCCACACGTCCAAAGAGCATGACGAGCTCGTCCGGGGTGAAAGCCCGCAAAGCGGAGTATGGGAAGACTTCGGAGAAGCCTGCCCTAAAGGCTTCTACCTGACGCTGAACTCCAGATCCTAGCGTCAGATCAAGAACTTTCTCGACATACATTTCCACATTTTCGATCGTGACTTGCTTGTCCGCACCGTCCTCGACAAGCTCAATGGGATACCCGGGAAGCGTGAAATCCAAGCCAAGATCTTCCACGTGGCAGTCTTGGAAGACGACATCCTTGAGAGCGGAAGCTTTCTCGGCGGCCGTCAAGCTGTCGTCTCCCTCAATCTGCTTCTTTGCATCAGCAAACTGCTTCAGCAGCTTGAGCGATTTGGCCAGATCGTAGTCGACAGATTTGATAACCCCTAGAGAAGGCGCAACAGCAACGGTGCCATCGCCGACGCGGAAGAATGTTGGGTTGAAGGACACATCGATAATCCGCGAGTCCAGCATTGAGCGTGCAACAAACTTGCCCAATGTCTTGAAGAGCTCCAAGATCTTCGTGCCATTTTCAGTGCCAGCTTGAGCCGTGCTCATCGGCGCAGGGAAGAGACCGCGCTTTCCAAAAGCATACTCATCGTCCCCACTGGACTCGTTCTCCCGCCACAGCTTCAGCTTCTTTTTCGAAAATTCTTTTGACACTGAAGAATAGAATTCCAGGGTAGGTCCGAGCCCTGTACCGACTTCTTCAAAGTACTCTACCTCCAATACACTGGGAGATGATCCGTAGAGATGCATCACTTTCATGGCTGACTCGAGGATCCGGGCACGCGAGATACGGACCTTTTGTCGCTGTAGGCGTCCAAGGAAAGGCCGCTCATCACGATGGCGGTCGTGCCTACTGTCGGTTGCCGGTTGGGCGTTCTGCCAGCGCGTCATAGATCGCGAATACCCAAACGAGGTTGATTGAACGAACAGGTGCCGGGTCTCGAAGGGGAATAGGAAGGGATAGAGGCGTGCCAAATCCTCGCTCCAGCTCGGAAGACAGTTGCTTGCCACGATCAAAGGTTCCTCCAGCTGACGATTCAGCTTCGCAGTCAGCTTCGTATTGACAAACTGCGATAACGGTTCTGCATTGGCCTTGAGCTGGACTCGGTTGTCCGAGATCAAGTCATCCATGTTCGCGTTGAGGTTATGCAGAATGCTAAGCAAACGCAAGATGCCAGTAGTGATGGGATGATCGCTCAACGACTGCGGAATCCCTGCAGTACCGCTCTTCGACTCCAAAGGTGGTGTAATCGAACTGGACTCTGTTGGGGGCGGGCCAGACACGCGTTTGAACTTGATGGTGTGGATTGCATTCCACACGGTACGATGTGGTGCATCTCCCGGCTGACCTTGGCTAAAGTGCACAGCACGATAAATGGTCGTATCATTCGAGAGTGGTTGGTCGTTAACACTGAACTCGATATGCCAATCTTGCGGAGTGGACTGCATGGCGGCTGCATACGATAGGGCACCGGCGAGGCCTTGGTGCGCAGCAGCACCACGGAGGAGCGAAGAAAGTCGGGAGGGGGTGGACATTCGCTCTTGCGCAGGCGGTCTGCTTGGAGTCTGACTTTGCACAGGTGTAGCCACTCGGGTGCCGTCCTCTTTGCGGGCAGTCACCTTGCCTGTAGGCGCAACCTCGACGCTGACCGCCGACGGATCCGGCTGGTCTTCATCCATGTCATCGTCGAGACCATCCATAATAGCATTCAAGGCGCTACTTTCGTCCATGGAATCAGGATCAGACAGGCGCTCCTCATCCGCGCATTCCACGGGATCGTGATCAGAATTCAATTGTGGGGGGGGCGGCGGCGGCGGCGGCGGTTGTGCTTGCTGTCGCCTACTAGATCGACGCGGTTTCTCTTGAGAAGCTGAACTCGGGCCAGCTTGTACAGATGGGGTGGATGCAGACGTTTTCGCTTTCGACTTTCGCGCTGAGGAACGGTTCGTCGACTCAGAAGGAGTATGCGGGGGGGGCGGGACGGGCAGACGTCCTTCAGCGAGCGCTTGTGCATAGGCGGCAGCGTCACGAGCCCGCGGCGGACGTGGTCGTTCGGCGATGGCAATGCGAGGGCGTAGATAGTCGTCCAGGGCTTTGAACGTTGCAATAGCATGAATTGACACCATCATGTTGCGGTACGTCTTCGGGATGCCAGATTCGTCATCGGCCATGAGCTTCAAACGTAGTTGTTTGGCCAGCATGGAAGTCGCGCTGCCACGGCTATCATATGAATGCTGATGGACAGTAATGACCTCAAAGTGCTCAGCCCTACTCAGCAAGTCTTGGAGTTTGCTAACCAGCACGCTGAAAGGGGTGGCAGGCGAGGCGCTGCTAGCAGTTTTGATCTTATTCTTACTGCTGGTGCCCATGAATGCTTCGAGGAACAAAGCGTGTGGCTCCACACCTTTGGCAGGTTCGGTAGTGAACACGTCCAATAACACATCTACTATGTTGGACGACATAAGCTCGTAGCTGGTGATGCTCTCGAGTGCGTCGCCCTCAAAGTATGCGGCCAAGCGCGTGAACAGCTCGATGCAATTTCCCGAACCACCTTGAAGAACGCATTGACGAATCTCCGTGGCAAGAGACTTTAGGGTCTCCAGTATGTCAGTAGCCTTGTCCCTAATGGCTTTGGCATCATCGTTCTCGTGAACTTCAATGAACTTCTTGGCCCGTAGCGTAATGATGTCTTCGGCATTAGGCATCGGAGGTGGGTGGTAATGTTCTGAGGAGGAGGATGAATCTGAGTCGTCATCATCCTCTCGATTGTCGCTGTGGTCGTGCGGCTCATCATCGTCGTTTCCATGATCGTCCTCCTCGTCCTCTGAATGTACCTCCACATCAATCTCTTCTTCAATGTCTTGATCCATGTCTACTTCGCCAGTGGAGCTAGAACTGGCATTAGAGTCGGCCGCCGCTTCAACTTCAATCGTAGTTCGCGACCCCTTTGGTCGCAGCTCCAGAGTCTTGCACGGACGGCTGGCCAGTTTTGCGATCTCAGATATAACACCTTCGCGATAGAACTGGTACCGGTATATTGGTTCGAGACGCTTCAATAGGAGCTCAGCCGCCTGGAGTGCATACGTAACCAGGGTCGCATGATCTTGTTGTGAGAATATGGACGCAAGATACGATGCATATGGGACAGCGCGTAGAGACTCTTCAAGGATATCAGTGTCCAGGTTGGAGAGCATCTTCAACTGTGCTGTCAAGACCTTTTGTCGGACGTTCAGATTGACCGTACTTGAATACACATCCGTCAAAGTGGGAAGTAAGATGACGGCAAAACGCTTGACTTGCTCTTTACAATCTTCAAGCAGCTCCAGGCGGTTATCACCTGCTGCGTTGGACGTTCGGGAAGCGGAGAGTGGGGGTGCATTCTCACCAGGATAGCCAGCGTCAACGAGATCGTCCAGATAAGTCAGGTCTTCCCTTGTCACAGCTGGCAAAAGCTCGCAGACAACATTCAGCGTCTCGAAAACTTGGTCCTTGGGCCGGTGAATGAGCGCTTGCATGATAACGACAGTATCAATCTTGGTGGCGATATCTTCGGTCCCGGCGGGCGGAGATACACCGGTCAATATTTGGTAAAGTGTATCCACCACGTTCAATTTGAAAAGCTCGGCTGAAAGGCGCGGGCTCGCTTTTGCTGTGTATGCGAGAACCTGAAGGAACATAGTATGAATGTTCGGGCCGATGAGATTGGTTGTACCAGGCAGAAGAAGCCCGAGGATCGCTCGCAGCAGCTCAGGGCTGACGAGCTCCTCGAGCTTGCTGTCTTGTTGCTTGAAGCTCTGTACGATTCGAGAGACACAAATGCAACCTTGCTCTACAACTTTCTGGTCGTTGTTTTTCAAGATATTTCCGAGGATGGGCATGACGTCGCGAATGGTAGCAAACGAATCTTCGGGTATGTTACGACAGCAGTTTGCGGCTGTCGTGACCGCTGTTCGCTGAGTGCCTGTAGCAAAGAAGTCGAGGTATGTCAAGCATGCAGTAAGGCCACCCTCGCGAACGATGGACGCTGGGAACTCGACAGAAATCTTCTCCAGTGTGCTTAAACACTGCTCCGCGAGGTCGATATATTGGATCTCGAGTAGCTTCGAACATAGTATTGGTACAGCGCCGCCGTAAACGACGTTAGCGGTGGCTTGAGGGAGGGCTTCCATCAAGTTCGCCAGACACCGACAAGCAAGGAGCATTATGTCCGGGTTTTCTTCACCCGTGAACTCGTTGGGTTGCAGCAATTTGACAAGCTCTTTCACATACGCATCTGGCGAGAAGTGCCCGGCCAGGTTGTCCTCTGTAGAAATCAATAAAACCTCGGAAAGATCTTGGAGCGCTATCATCTGGATCGTTGGGTCTTGTGACTGCAGCTGCTCCAGTATGCCTCGTAGCCGATTGTTCGTGTTGCTCATCAGCTGTGCCATGCCAGTAAGGTGCCGCAAGGCAGAAAGACCTCCCGGATGACGCCCTAGGAAGCCACTGCCGAAGGGGTCGTCGTCATCGTCGTCCTCATCCTCATCGTAATGTATATCCTGACCATCGACGTTGCTGCCATCGCTTGTGTCAGGCCGGCCAGGGCCGGAACCTCCTTGTGGTGTCTCGTTCATACCAGGTGCGTCCTCCATAGCTACATCATCGTCGTTCTTAGCGTTCGATTTGCGGGAGCCTCGTCGGGACGAGGAAGAGGGCGCACTGTCTGTACCGGGTTTAGCTGTGGGGAGTTTCGGAGGTCGCTGGGGTTCGTCACCTTGACCTCCGCTCCTACGATTACTCTTGCCGCGTTTTGACGATGACGGTTGCGCCTTCTCCTCTGGGCTGTCGGTTGGCTGTCTGTGACATTGGATCAGCATGGCATCCGCCAGATGGGATATACTTGGATGGTCGTACCCCGGTGTAGACATGGCCGATTTGCCTTTGCCCTTCTTGGAGCGAGCAGCGGAGGGAGCAGGCGGGTCCTGCTGCTCTACTTTTGTGCGCTTAGAACGGCCGGCGCGAGCAGGCGGTTCGGGCTGCGCTGGGGGCTCGTCGGGGCTGGGCTCGCGGGCAGAGGCCTTCCGCTTCCTCGTCGAGCCAGCACGCGCGGGCGGAGGCGGCGGGGCGGGGGGATTGGGCTGGTTGCTGGGCGAGGAGCCTGATGATTGCCTCGCAGACGAGCGAGTCACTCTGGACGACATGAGAAACTGATTGCTAGATGGTCAACTTCGACGGCTCGCGCCAGACTGAGGCCCCGGTGGGTGTCGCAGTAGCTGTGCCGATGAAGCAGGTGTGACGCGGAGGCGAGGTTGATGGGGCAGCGGGCGGCGGTGATGTCGTTTGACGTGCTTGGCTGCCCGTGCGGGCGAGGGTGGGAGATGGTGGGGCGGCGTACCTGGAAGAAGGAGAAGAAGAAGATGGGACCAAGTGTCGGTCTTTTCTTTCCATGAGCAGTCGCTGCTTTACTTGGGCGCCATAGGCCGCTCTAAGCGAATGCGATCAGTCGGGACAGCGCGAACGGGCAGCGACGGCGTGTGGAGGGCAGTGGATTAGAGCTGCACGTGCTGCTGGTGTACTGAGTACGACGCGGGCGGGCAGTTAACGATGGTGTTTGTAGATGTCGTGCTGGATGAAGATGATAAGTGATGTAGCCTTGGCGTGACACTACGGGAGTGGTGGATCGCCTGCAGCAGCCTGACTAGCTCGCGAAACATGGAAGAATCACGAATACGTGTACTGCAAGCCCGGCCTCAGTTGAGGCTGCTCTATTCCGCATCGTGATAGCCGACCAGGTGTTGGTCTCCTCCGAGGGCCGGCTGGTTAGCAGGCGCGCGCTACGCCGATTGTAACTGCAAGCATGCCAATTACTTCTCTCCCAACCGCAGTGATAATCGCTTCAAACGTGACTCCAACTGCCGCAACGACTGAACGGTAACACGCCACATGTCTCATGGCGTCAGAAGAGTCGGTAATGAACAGAGGCGTCAGACAATGAGCTAGCAACCATGCTGTTCCAGCCATGTACATGATCGTGCCTCATTTCTCGCATCCATTTCAAGAGACCAGAAGTTCCAAGTGTCTCTCGGTCATAGCACCTCACTCACGGACAACCTCACTCAGTCGGCGTCCTCTAAAAGGTATCGTCTAGGCATTCCCGTCTTGGTCAGGCTTACCGCGGGCTTCTCGCCGGGCATTCCCGCATATCCGAAGCACAATCCAAGGACGACCAAAAGTACCGTGCGATGGTGGTCATCCTGTGATTGCTCATCAAAGGAACCAGGTATCTCGGATACTCTTGCCACCCCTGCCAGGGTGTGGCAGTAACTGCCCGCTCTAGCCTGGCACCTCTATCCCAACACTGTTCAGGATTAGCCCTCCGCTGCGGTAGTTTGGCCAGAGCTAGCAGCTCGCATGGACGCTGGAGCACACGATCATCAATACTGCGTCGCTTCCCGCTGGTTAGCCAAATGTGTACTGAAGCTCCCACTTCTGCGAAACGCCCCGTGCGCCCGAATGGCACCATGCTGCACCTCCGCTTTCGGCAGGCGGGGCTCTGCGAATTCGCCGGCAGCACTTTCCACATTGACTGCTTCAGATTTGATGGGGACAAGCTCCTCTTCTTGATGGAGACGGGCGAGCGAGATGCTCACAATTAAGCACACCGGAGCAGCTGCGGCGCAGAAATTGTTTCGTGTGGTATGCAGGTGAGGAACACTTGCAGGCTTGGGCGCAGGTTAATCGGCTGTGGGCTCGTCTCGACTACCGGGCCCCGTTGCTTAACCCCGCCCCTTCCAGTTCCAGATGCCGCGTGAAAGGCAAAGCCTACTAGAACCAGCCCTCTACAAATGTCGCCGGCCCGCCCTCCAGCCATTACTCAGTCTTCAGATTCCTCCCACGCTCTCCTCGCTGCAACAAACCCGCCCCACGCGCTGTCACCTTCGCCGCCACAATTTTCACGACATCGGCTTCTCATTGATTTCCGGCCAATCGCTGATCGTTCGCCTCCGACGTCAGACTCAATCAATCACACGCGCCCCATTTGACTCACTGCCTGCCTGGGTCTCAACGGGTTGCCTTTGGTAAGCAGCGTTCACAACTTTCATTTGCGACATACAAATTGACTGTGCCCACCCAGGTCATCCGCCGGCCATCTCCGCTCATACGCGCCTCGTAGAACACGCTTGCGCACCCCACGCCGACCGTGCCCCAGCGATAGGCACCGACTCTCACTTTCGCGCCCACTCCTACGCCCATACTCCACCATGAGCGCCTCTACACACGACGTTTTGTCCAGCGGCGACGACCGACAGCCTACTGTCGACGCCGCTCTCGGCAGTTCAGACCCCATGTCCCTCGACACCTACGTGTTCCCCCAGGAAAGGCTGAAGACGACGCTTTCAGATTCTACGAAGCAGCCGCTCGTTCTTGTGTCGTGCGGTTCTTTCTCACCGCCCACCAACCTTCACCTTCGCATGTTCGAGGAGGCTGCCGACTTTTGCGAGTTCGAAACCAACTACGAAGTTGTCGGTGGTTTCTTCAGTCCTGTCGGCGACGCATACAAGAAAGCCGGACTGGCACCCGCGACCCACCGGATAAACATGACGCGGATAGCTGTCCGTGATAGCTCTAATTGGATCAGTGTCGATCCTTGGGAGCCGCTGCACAAGGAGTATCTCCCCACCGTCAAGGTTCTAGACCACTTCAATCACGAACTGAACGAAGTGCTCGGTGGGATTGAAACGCCGGACGGCGAGAAGAAGTCGATACACGTAGCCCTCTTGGCTGGCGCCGATCTTATTCAGACTATGAGCACACCGGGTCTGTGGGCCGCCGAGGACCTCGAGAGAATACTCGGACACTACGGTGCTTTCATCTTGGAGCGCAGCGGGACAGACATCGGTAAACCAACTCACTGCTATAGCACACTTTCCGCTAACGGTTGTAGATGATGCTCTCCTTACTCTACAACAGTATCGTGAGAAGATTTGGGTCATTCCGCAGCTGATCCAGAATGATGTGTCATCCACTAAGATCCGGTTGTTCCGGAAGAGGGGAAAGAGTATTCGATACTACATTCCGGACAAGGTTGTAGACTACATCTACGAACACAATCTGTATGTGGACGACGACAAAAAGCAAGCGGAGAAGGGCAAGGACAAGATCTCGCCAGATGCCCAGGGGTCTTCGACAGCTGCGACAGCGTCTTAAAGCAGCCGGCCATCACTCGATTCATTTGAAACGATGCCTACCCTGAATTTTCGGAATGCCCAGATTCGTCCGCCCAACGAACACCAATGACATGGCAATCACACGGTTTCCTTATTGTATTTGAACGTGGCTGCATACAGCCAAAATGCCGGGCACAGATTCATGCTCTGTTAGAGCGCTTAGCGAGCCGATGAGGCCTTCGCGGACAGGTGTTCCGCTAGAGGGAAGCGACTGCACATTTTCCTGCGACACGATACCATAGATACCAGATCCAATGAGACCATACCTTGCAGTGCTAGACTCGTGCCAGAGTCGCACGTTTGCATATAAATCCAATTCGCTCACTATGCGCAGCATTCTGCTAGGTACGTTGCCCACGGCAGGATGTCATGGCTCGATTGTCATGACTCGATTCATCACAATCAGATCTGAAGGATTACTTTGGCTGACGCAGGGTCTTGTCGTTTCATGCAAGGGAATCGAACGCCGCCACGTGCGGCATTTATATGCACGGATTCAAATTCGTGCTACATGAGCGCAGTCACCGTGATAAGAACATCTTCACGTATAGGAAGAGGCTGCCTTATCAATTGTCGTCGAGTTCGCCTGAGCGCGCCTCGAAGAGATGCAGCGGTACTCAGGCGATGGATAGACCGTTTAGTTGTAACCTCTTTACGAGTCAAATTCGGCGTTTACGTTATCTTCGCTCGTTTCCTGGAGGTTTTGCATAATACACCAAAGACGATAGCCCACCTCCAGGGTATGTCACGGTATTCCTAGCCATTGATTTTTATCGTCTGCAATGACGCGCACATGCTCAAGCATGTGCCCAACAAAATTGCCCAGAGACCAAGTCTAAAACTACAGACTTGCCAACGTTGCTCAATGACTCTAGCTCTCTTATGGTTGCGACGTTCCCAGTTTTGCATGGCGCGAGCCCTGCTGCCGAGGCGCCACGTCAGGTCAATTGTCAACAGCGCATCACCACAGCAACGGCGCCAGACCCAGCCTCTCCCGCTTCCAACAACACGCTTACGAAATTGTGCATGCAGTGAACCAGACTTGAGAAGCTCGTTCTCCAGCATTGATCTACATATTTACTGAGCGCTGCGGTCTTTTCCTGTCTCTCGTTTTATAAAGTTTGAAGTCGCATTCCTAACCCCGCATTCCTCTTCCCCTCGATCCATCCTCCATAGACCGTTCCCATTCATGGAACCCGACCACCGCGAGCGCCGCCGTCGCGAACGTCGCAACTCCTCCTCCCACGAGCACGACGCCGAGCGCCGGCGAAGAAGAGGCCACCGGGCCACCGACTCACAGGGTGACCTCCTCCCGAGACCACACCGCTCATCACGGAACCAGAGCGACTCAGAATGGGATTCGCCATCTCCGCGTAAGCGCCGCGGGGACAGCACTCCCAGCACGCAGCGCAGTCGCCAGTCTGCGCCCCTAAGCCTGGATGCGATTGCGAAGCTTGACAAGGCCAATGCGAAGAGGGGTGGGTGGAAGGGGTATGATTACGACGAGCAATACTTAAAAGAGGTGCGGGCCAAGGAGAAGGCACTTGAGAAAGACCGTGTCAAAGGGGAGAGAGAGGAAAGGAAGAGGGAGAGAGCGATCGAGAGCGACGCTGCGATTGAGGCGGCGGCGCGCAGACGCAGGGAATCGAGACAGCGGCCCAGGGAGGAGAGCAAGCGGCGTAGTGCTGCGTCTGATAATGAGGGGGCGCAGCGGACCGCTGCGCAGAGGATGAGTGCTCATGCACAGGCGGACAGGAGAGAAAGGAGACGAAGTCATGCTAGCCCGGAAAAAGATGAACGAAGACGAGCTCATGAAGAAAGATATACCCCATCAGAAATTATGGAGAAGAAGGAAAGGAGGCGACAAGAGAAGGCACAACGGATGTCTGAGAAGAAGAAGAGGAGGGTTGTCAGCGGACCCTTGGCCGAGGAGGGCGGTGTTAACGACGACGACTCTTATCAGTACATGATGGAAAAAAGAGGCGGAGCCGGGGCACCATCAGAACTTACGGAAGAGGAGCTGGTGGCAAAGAAGAAGAAAAAGAAAAAAATACGTACGTTTCTTGCATTGCTGTTTGGGCGATACTCGAACTGACCATTGGTAGTCATTGCCATTGCATCCGTATTGCTCCTCCTCGCTATCATCGTTCCGGTAGCCATTGTGGTCTCGAAGAAGAGCAGCGACAAAGGCAGTGGCGGTTCGGATGGCAATCAAGCAGCGGGAGGCGGCTCACAGCCTTCCAACAGTAACCTTGAAGGCAAAGATCCTGATAGTGTACCAGCGGCAGACAAGGGTGGATGGCTTGATCCATGGTCATGGTGGGACACAGACGACTTTAATGTCACGTACACCGGCGAAAAGGTCGGAGGGCTTCCCGTAATCGGTCTGAACTCCACATGGGACGACGATGTCCAGGCAAACGACAAAGTTCCAAACCTAAAAGATGACTTTGGCTACGGAAAGAATCCCATCAGAGGTGTGAACGTGGGCGGATGGCTAAACCTCGAGCCTTTCATCACACCATCCTTCTTCGAATCCTACTCGGTCCGCGACAATATCATCGACGAATGGACACTCGTTCAGAAACTTGGCGGGCCTTCCCAAGCCAAGCAGACGCTCGAGAAGCACTACTCATCCTTTATCACTCGTCAGGCCTTCATAGACATTCGCAACGCCGGTTTTGACCACGTTCGCATCCCATTTGGCTACTGGATGATCGAAACGTACGATGGGGACCAATACGTTGGGCAGGTTGCATGGCGCTATTTGCTTCGAGGCATCGAGTACGCACGCCAGCAGGGACTGCGGATCAATCTTGACCTGCATGGCGCGCCGGGCAGTCAGAATGGCTGGAATCATTCAGGGCGACAAGGCGTCATCGGCTGGCTGAATGGCACAGACGGCGAGACGAACGCAAATCGCTGGCTTGATATTCACCATAAGCTCGCCGTCTTCTTTGCGCAGGATCGGTACAAAAATATCGTCACAATGTACGGCCTGGTCAATGAACCTCGCATGGTCGACCTGGACCCCGACGTCGTGATAGAGTGGTCGCAAAAGGCCATCACGCAAATCCGCAAAGACGGCATCAAAGCCATCATCGTCTTCGGTGACGGCTTCCGTGGCCTCGACAACTGGAAGGACTCCCCGCTCCAGTCCAACGACGACCTGCTGTTGGACGTCCACCAGTACGTCATCTTCAACCTCGACCAGATCCAGCTCAACCACACCGACAAGCTCAACTTCGCGTGCAAGGCGTGGACTAAGCAGAGCGAGCGCAGCATGGACACTTCGACCGGCTTCGGCCCCACCATGTGCGGCGAGTGGTCCCAGGCCGACACAGACTGCACCAAGTACATCAACAACGTGAACATCGGCACGCGCTGGGAGGGCACCTTGGATACGGGAAATGCGTCCACCTCCGTACTCGAACCCTACTGCCCGCTCAAGTCTAACGCATGCAGTTGCGCCAGCGCAAACGCAGACCCAAGTAACTACTCTGATGCATACAAAAAGTGGCTGTACCAGTTCGCTATCGCCCAGATGATCAGTTTTGAGGCTGGCTGGGGTTGGTTTTACTGGACGTGGAAGACGGAGAAGGCGACGCAGTGGAGCTATCAGGCGGGCATCAAGGCCGGGATTATGCCGGCGAAGACATATGAGCGCGACTTCAGCTGTCCGGACGATTCGTCGGATTTGGTAGATTACGGGAAGCTGGGGTTGGCGGAGAGCTACTGAGTGATGGGATGAGGGGAAAGATGCAGGTTAAGAGGCGTTATATGGTGTTTCATTATGCATGAAGGTGTGTGGTGTGCTGATTTGAGCGCTTTGTTGGTGTGTATATGCATGGTAGGTTTGTTGTAGATAATCACATCTAATGAGGAATCGGTACATACATTCGTCTAGTATCCAAGAGCAACCCACATCAAATTTTCTTCCCTGCTTCTACCCATGAAAGCCGCCTTTACTTCCTCCTTCCTCCCCGTCAAGAGCTCCTCAAACATGTTTAGATCCTGCAAAAAGAATGCCAGGTATTCTTGCTGGGCGGGCGCGTTTGGTGATTGGTGAGATTATGTCGATCTGAACGCTTTCAATGCCGTCTTACCAATTGTAAGCTTTGTCGCCGGGATGATCGATGACTCTCTTCTTAGCTCTTGTATCGATGCCTCAACTTATTTCTCGGTTCGAGAACTAAGAGTGCAGGGTATACAGCCGTTGTGGGAACTGCTGGTATGATTGGAATAACACAAACGTAAAACCAGTCGGCCCATCAATGCGATCTACAGTCCTTGGCCTTTCGACAGACACGTAAATGGATTCCATATATCGAAGATGATTGAATTTAATTTCGAAAAGAATCCTCACCAAGTATACTGGGATACACTATTTGAGTGTAAGGCATTCGCAAATAAGCCACTGTACTCCTTGACTCTGGAGACACCATACAGCGCACCTAGACATAGTTCTAGGACTCCATGACACATTTTGTTGTTGTTTGGAAGCCTATACGTGGTTTTGTAAGAACTTCTCCGATCGTAAAGCTACCTTTGAATCTGTTGCTCTCCGAGTCTTCGACGCCTCAAGTACATTTGCCTTTCAACACGATATCATGGATTGTGAGTGGGGCGACGTCGTCTCCCATCTCTCACTCTTTCAAAGCAATTTGCCTTTTGAGAGTTATGCCTCGATTTCAACTGAGGAACCCCGCCTGGTTTAGCACGGTAGTTTATCAATGAGCGCAGTGTTCTGGATTGTGAGTGGAACATGACAGCGAATGTTTGGTCCAAAATCATGGGCAACTGGACGAAACTGTTTTTCTCTCAACATGTAGCATTTATCGGTCTCACGCTCTCTTGTATGCATGGGCTACGCCATTCCAAGAAATGGAACATTACTTCTAGGAAATGGAGGATTGTCAAAGTCGTGGACAATAAATTAGAGAGAGGAATTGGAGAGACACTTCACGATCGAACAAACCACAATGATGATATTGAACAAGCATAGTAAGATACTCAAGTGGCGATCCGATCGATCCCTGGGTACAGCTGGAACATGGCAAGAAATCATCAACCTCAACGTTAGGAGCGGCACGAGCATCATAGTGCTCTTTTCGTCAGGACCAGAATATTCGTTTGTCTTTGAGACACCAGAAATCGCATTTCGACTTACTATTGTGGGAGACAACAGAAATGAGGACGTACCTACAAACTCGCTGTGTATCCACCTTGGAGAGGAGAATTGGCCTTCGCTTTCAAAATACATAGGCAGATAGAACAATCTTTACCAATATGGGAAGCAAACGTACCGCTGACTGCGGGTCAAAGCTCTCAAGCATGCTTTGACCAGGCGCATGTTTGTCAATTCTGTAATCAGCACAGAGAGACTTTTCAACCACAGATCACGCACAATTCTGTTCTTCGAGCTATATCCAGCACGACCCATCACAGACGCACGTGCGCACTTGAACACGATCCATTCACGCGTAGCAACAGCTATATATATCGCGTCCCTCACGCTCACGGAGACGAGCAGACCAAATCCACTACTCCTTCAGCAGATTTTCCATCAACACCTGAACATGGAAGTTCCTGCGCTCATCGCATCTGTGCTTGTCACGGCGTTCAACCTCCAGCCGTGGGTCATGAACCTTGTCACACGCGTCGCCGACGCAGCAGAGGGTACCCTCTTCCATCTGCTTGGTTTCATCTCCGCCGCGTTGGTGGTTGCGATCGTGCTGTACGTCATATGCACATTGATCAATGTCATTGCTGCACCATTCACTCGGGGAAAGACCGTCGGCCAAATCGTGGCAAGATCTCTTGCAAAGACCATGGGTGGCATGGCTGCCGCGTGGACCGAAGGATGGACCGTTGCAACGAACCAAGGCCACGATCAAGACAGCGACACCCAGCATCACCACAAGACCGAACACATCAACGCAAGTGCGGTATGCGAGCACAAAGGCCTACGCCTTGTTGCTGGTGAGAGCAGCCCGACATTCAAACCGATTGTCGACGTCAAGCCAGAGCCCTCGACGGTACAGCGCACGCACGACAGGGTCGAAGAGGCTGAGGACGACAGGGAGCTCACTGAGAACAATTGGAAGAAAGTGCTTTGAAGATCCAGGTACGTGCTCTGGGTCTAGAAATTTGAGGGTTGTTGCTGACCATACTAGAGCTCGTGGGCCATCAGCCCATGGTTTTTCATCATGCTGTTTTTGACATCGACGACTGCACTGGCGATTCCGACGTGGATACCGCCGTAGTCCGACCGTGTTTGTTCTCGACCCAGCCGCATGCGCCACAAAAAGCAATGACAACGAGCGAGAAGTATGAGCAGCGCAGCAACGACCATCGAAACGCGTTATCGGGATTCAACGAGAAGCGGAGGGTCGATGGAAAGCCAAGGCATTGAGCTGCGGATCAGGTGCGCTATGGCGCATGGCAGAGATGCTGTGTCGTTGAGATGGCTTTTGGAAAGTTTTCTGGGGCCTCTTGAAGCAGTACTGCAGACTATTTATTGCAAGGAATGACAATGATTCACGACGGACCAAGCGGACTTGAGCGGTCCGATGGATCGTACCGTTCCGGGCAAAAAGTCCAACGCTGAAAACTGCACCTGTTTGGTCATTCAAAATGTCAATATCGCCGACGGCAGTGCGTGCGCTTGGTGAACGTGTGGGGTGCGGGCGAGGAAGAGGCTAGGCTGCCTAGCCATGGCCGTCACATCATGGCGGGGGCGTGTCGTCAGTTGCTCGTGATGGCCCGTCTGGTGTGCAGTTTCGCACGGCCTGGAACTTCGTCAGCCTGCGCGCGCTGGTGGCAATGGTCGAAATGCGTGCTGTCGTGGTCGGGACTGCGTGAGGCTCATTAGGCCCTTTTGTCGGCTCCTTATCTCGCCAACCCGCAGTCCAGCTGATTGGGGCGTCAGCCCTGATCCTTCTGGCCAAGCTGGAGGTCCCCCGCCACGCGTGGCCCTACTTATCTCGACCGACTAACGGTATAGGGCCCAAGCTTTCCCTCTTCCTTATCTCCCCTCACAGGCCGGCCTCAGGTATAAGCACACGCGACGTTCCACAGTTTTGTACACCCAACGCCTTGTCCGTCTTTTCGTGCTTGACGTGCAATATCGCACGTCTCCTTCCATCATGGCATCCGACGAAAAGAACCTAGACTACCATGAGAAACAGGCCTCGCCAGCTACTTCTCAGGCGGAGCCTATATCGGGTCACGTGTCCAAGAGAAGAGGATTCCCTGGTTTCAGTCTCGAGGTTCGACAGGAGGCCAGCACTTTTGCAAGATCGAAGAACGCTTCCAATGCCGATTTCGATCCCATTCCCCCGTCGAAGCGGACGTGGAACTGGGGCGCCTATGTTGCCTACTGGATGGCGGATGCATGGGCGGTTTCCAATTGGGAAGTTGGTCAGTACCGTCACACTTGAAATGGACATGGAATGGTGAGTAACACGTTTTGTGCAGCATCTTCGATGATCGCCGTCGGTCTTGACTGGAAAATGGCCATCGGCGCTTGCGTGCTCGGCAACGCTATCATGGGTCTTGTTATCACCATCAACGGGAGGATGGGAGCCATCGTGGGTTACCAAGATTCGAGAGAACGAATGCAGCTTACCCTCCTTAGCTTCACACCCCCTTCCCTGTACTCGCACGCATGCCGTTCGGCTACTACTTTGCACAATTTGTGGTTTTGTCCCGCTGCGTCTTGGCCATCGTATGGCTTGGGTTAGTCTACATCACCGAATCGGTGCTTTCGAATGCTAACAAAACGCAGTGTTCAGACAGTGACAGGCGGCCAATGCATGTCCGTATTACTCGAGGCTACATGGCCCAGTTTTGCCAACATTCCAAACCACATCCCAGAAGACCAGGGCATTACCACGGCTGGCATGATTGGATTTTTGCTTTACTTTCTACTCCAACTTCCCTTCCTGTGCATCCCATACACCAAGGTCCAATACTTCTTTGCGTTTAAGAGTATCATCGCTCCGATGGTCTTCCTAGCCGTATTCGGAGACACCCTGCGCAGGGCCGGTGGTACCATCAGCAAGAGCACGGTCATCACTGAGGGCACCCACGTCCACGGCTCAGTCCTGGCCTGGGCATTTTTCGGAAGTAAGTAGTGCATTAGCTGTGACAGTCAATCGCATCCGCTAATGTCGTATAGATCTCAATGGAGTGCTGGGCAACTATGCAACTTTGGGCCTCAACATTGCCGATTTCTCAAGATATGCCAACAAGCCCAGCGCGCAAAACATTCAAGCCATCGTCATCCCATGCATCTTCAGTAAGCGGCCCATCATTCACCATGGAGAGCACCTCGCTGACCACAGATGAACAGCCATCGTCGGCCTGCTGGGCATCTTCACCGCCGCCTCCGCGCAAACAGCCTACGGCGAGGTAATGTGGAACCCCATCGAGATCATCCACAAGTGGATGGACTCCGGGTCGCACGGCGGGCGCGCCGCCGCCGCCTTCGCCGCCATTGGTCTCATCATCGTCACGCTCGGCATCAACATCTCCGCAAACTCCATCAGCGCGGCCAACGACCTCATGTCCTTTGCGCCAAAATACATCAACATCCGCCGCGGGCAGCTGCTCGCGGCCGTCATTGGCTCCTGGGCTTTCGTTCCGTGGAAAATCCTCGCGTCGGCCGCAAAGTTCCTTGCGTTCTTGGGTGGCTACACCATCTTCTTGGGCCCGATGACTTCGATTCTGATAGTCGACTACTACATCGTCAGGCGCGGGAACGTGTCTGTCCCCGACATGTACTACTTCCACGGCATCTACCGCTACTCGCCCAAGTTTGCTAGCAACTGGCGCGCAGTCGTTGCCTTTTTCATCGGCTGCATCCCGCCCCTCCCGGGTTTTGTCAACAACATCGTCGTTGCAGGCCATGGCACGACTAGCGTGTCGTTGGGCGGTCAACACCTGTGAGTCTCCCTCTCTCTCCGGCCTCGCCCGCACGTTGCTCGGCATCATCAACATGTAATTCATAGATACTTCGCTAACGTTATGTTCTGCGCAGATTCGCCATTGGCTACATCTACTCCTTCATGGCCGCCGGCATCTTCTACTGGGGTTTCAACCGCTTCTTTCCGCATCGGGAGTCGGTGATGGATCACCCCGAAACAGGCGAGGACATCATCGCAGCTCAAGACGCCAAGAATGTGCAAGAGCGTCGTGGCAGTTGGTCTGAACACAAGCCAAACATCGTTTCCAGGATGTTTACCGTCTAGAAACGCTACGAGGCCTAGTTCCGAATGCACGAGGAGAAATTTGATACCCTTGAAGAGTCTTAGCTCATAATCGAACACTTCTATCCACGTACATCTCATTGCTATTCAAACACAATCCACATGTGAAGTACAGACCTAAATCGTGCTTGGGCCCTTGGGGTATCAATGTCAATACAAATCTCAGAACGCAACAAACGCCTTGAGACTGATTTTCGCTATGCCCAGTCCCATGATGTAACTCTCAGAAGGCAAGGAAGAAAATCATGAACCAAATTTCGACTCTCTTGTCACCTCACATCCACGGAACCCCGTACTTGCCCTCCTTGGTCGCAAAAATCGAGCTCCATAGATCGGTATTCAAGGTCGATGCCGAGCTTGATCCGTTCGTGTGTCTGTTATTTGCATCAGCTTCATTGTCGAAGCCAAATTGCTGTGTGAAATCCAATGATGTATAAGGAAATAGCTCCTGCCTTTCTACAGGGCCATCGTTTCCGAAATTTAGTTCGGTCGGGTCGACAGTCTGTCGGTACAAACTTTCGAGGTCAGCGAAATCCTTCTTTATGCGGCGTGCGAGTGCGAGTCCAGGAGACAAGTCAGCCAGGATACTGGTAGCTTCGCCATATGCTTCTTCGGATTGCGTTAATGAATGGTTGTCTGAAGGGATGCATGGCATGTCGCGGAAGTTCAAGGTCGCTAGTATCAACATTGCACCACCCAGGCATGATGCCATCGGGAATCGGAAGGATGTTGGCTGGCCTACATCGCCTTGATGGTTTTTGATCCTTTGCACAATGTTGATAGCAAGATCCCTACACAGGCACGCAACATCGGGATCGTACCGCAAACTGAGCATCGTTTGACGAAACAGTAGGAGGCGGAGCTGATCGAGGCTGTTTTGTACGATAGTGTGCTGCCGTAGCTGACGGGGTTCAGGAGGGAATTCATGAGGCAACAATGGAATAGTAGGGAGAATGACATCAGTCCAGTGTTTGATGCGGGCATCAAGAATGAGTGCGTTGTCGTTGGCTACCCGGTCTTTGGACATGGCAGCAGCAAACGTACCGTCCCAAACATCTGCTGCCAGACGTCCCCAACATACCATGCAATTGAGGTAAACATTCGACGACTGTACAATGTTGAGGTCTGGTAGGGGCCGATCGGGATGGATTTCCTATACAAGTTAGGAAGAGACCAGGAATCTGTTCGTTGTTCTCACCTTGTCGTAAAGATATGCAGGTTGCTCGATGTCAATGTCAGATTCGCGGATACTATACGGCCGACAGCAGCTGAGCGATATTCGGCGATCGAGAAAATATACTGTCCAAAAGATTCGTTGTCGCATGTGAATCTCAAAGGGCGTGTAACTTCGCCAAGACGATGAGGATTGCTGGTGGAGCCCTGCCAGGAAGCAGTTTCTGCACGCCTGCCCAATGATGCTGTAGGCAGCATTTCCCTTGTCGGCGTACATCAGGTAGACAGCCTGTAGAGATTAGCATTAGCAAAACGAGGTGGCGATCAACGTACCTCCAAAGCCAGAAACTGTATCAAGCAAAGATCAACTTGGCCGCTCAACTTGCGTTTACCGACCAATTCATCTGCCGCCCGAAACCACTGCCACCCGGGAGAGCTGACTTGTGATGGGGAGCTTGCCACGTCTGTTGGGGCAATCAGGGTCAGCCTCATTGCTTCGGTGCTCTACGTGGAACAAGACAAAGGCCGACCTACCCAATGACGTTGCAATATCTGAACAGGCGAAGACGATGTAGTTGAGTGCCAGAAGCGACACATGGTCTGCTTGGATCGCAGGTGCTGACAGTAGCTTCTCACTGTTGATACGGAAGTCTAGCTCGTTCACACACGGATAATAAGGTGCAATGTCGTCAAAGAAGATGTCAAGATACCTCTGGTACTCGGCTGGGTTGGGAAATGCGAGCGTTTTGTGACCGACGCGGATGGTGGCAGCAGCATCGGCACTGCTGGCAGGGCTTACTGCTGAGAGGGAATGCCGAAGCCTGGCCGGGCCGTTGTCGAAGTCAAGGTCTCCTTCGGCGATGGGTGGGAAGGCAGACATGGTGGCTTCCCCAGCTATTTGCATGAGGAAGTCGGCATGGAGACGATCGCTGGCTGCCGCGTCGCGCTCCATGCTGGTGCGAGGCGTGGCGGTCCTGGCACGCTCCAGTATCAGCGAGTCCATCATGCTCTCGATGCGCGCCATGCGTGCTTCAATGGACATGCCCAGCACGCTGGCATCGCTGGCCCGCCGCTCGACGCCTTCGCCTTGCGGCAGCAGACTGCGGCGAGCTGCCCCGGTGGCATTCCCGTTGTCGGTGGTATCCGAGGGCGCGTGGACGGGCGTGGGTCGACTCAGGTTCTGCAGCGCTTCGGCGGCCGTCTGGTCTTCCGAGTAGAAGCAGCGCTTCCCGTTGTCGACGCATCGCTGGCAGGGGTTCTCGCCAGAGCACTGTTCCATGCATCAGACTATCTCTCCACTCGGCATGTCGCGGGACCACACCACACTACAGACGACATACCTTGAGTTTGGAGCGCCGACACGACACGCTGTAGCTTCGATTAGAATACGGAACGGTTCGGAATGCGGAGCGGCTACTTCCCAAGCTCTTGCACAGCCGTTAGCATGCGGTCGCCATCAGACGTGGGCGGGCCTACCTGGACGCGTACTTTGCGCGTACTTTCTTGCGCTTCGGCGACGACGCCTCGTCTCCCATGGCGATACCAAGTGCGTCGCTGCCAGCGCTCGGGAACGACGACTTGGACGAGGTTGGAGCTCGGACCAGCCGCTTCGGAACGGGAAGTCAGCTCCCTGTTTGACGCGCCAAGCCGAGCAAGTCGCCGCGTCCTCCATCACGTAGCCCCCAGTGCGGCGTCTGCGATGGACAAGACGTATCTCTTGATGCCCCAGGGCGAGGTTGCCACGCGCCGGATGCCGACGGCCAGCTCAATGGCCTGGGCTTCACTATCGACTCGTGGGCTTTGCGGTGCCAACAAGCTGACACGCGTGCGATCTGTGAGTAGGACGTCCTCTTCCTCATCGTACAAGCTTGAGGGCCAAGTCCCTCGAGGTCTGTCAGGAGGTGCGCCCATTGTTGTAGAAGCAGCGTCGCATAGCGCCCTGTCCCCATACAATTCGACGTGAACTTCAAAATCATACCTGTCGAAGCCAAAGCATAGCGTATCTCGGAGCCCCTTCCTACCCTTGCTGCGTTCTCCATCGTTATCGACCAACCAACACAGCTCTGGAGCATTGCCGAGACATTGTGCAATCAAGTCTTGCCGCAATGACAACGTCTGCTTGCCTTCACGGGCTCCCAATGACACAAGAAACTTCGTCAGTTTGAGTTGCTGGTCGTCTGACAGAACAGACTCTTCGCCGCTTCTGAACTTGTCTTCGAGACACAGGAGATCAGCCATGGTGGCCCGTCGAGGGAAGTAGCAGTTCAGTTGCTTGCTGTAATGGCCGTCAACGGCGACAATTAAAAGTGTCATAGATGTGTCAGCAGGAGATAAACCCCTCCAACGCCCAATGTTTGAACGCGGTTTGAGTACGTTTACCGATTGGTACGAAAAATAGTCCTTATCCGACCTTGAGAGGAATATCAAGTCGTTGTACGTACTCCGCACATACTGCGTCGACTGTGGGCCAAGCCTGAGAAGGACAACACAAACCAGCTGCTCCGTCGTGAGTCCTTCGTTGAGCAGAGTGACGCATGCGAAAGCCATCATTTTTCGGGAATCCGGCTGGTACATTGGCATAGTGACGCGAAGCCCTCGACTGGTCATGAATGGAGCTTCGTGCTCCTTAGGCGTGGGGAATAACGAGAAACAGTTGCGCGATAGCGCAGTGAGCTCCCACGGTTGCCAGGTGGAGTTTTTCAGTAGACGATCGTGCCAGGGGTTGTGGTGATACGCTTGAGCATCATTGCAGCTCAGGAAATCCGACGGCTGCTCGGCGAGCAAGCCCCTTGTGCGTCGGTCGATGCCCTTACGATCGTCTGGTCTTGGAGCCCTGCATATTCGATGATCAACATCACACCAGCTTTACACATAATATAACGCATGACTCACCAGACGAACAATGTGTAATCCTCCCGCACCTTGATAATCTCCTCCTGGAGCCGCGTGAACGCCCGTTCGCCTTCACCATATAATAAAGGCATATTGACCCCAAACAAACCCATGAGGCAATACGCCTGGTCCTCTACACGTGTCGTCCTTCGATTAGCAGCCCAGGACATTCTGACTGCGACGTTGCGTTCGAAGAGATGATTTACACCGGTCAAAATTGCCATGTCAATGCCCGTAATGCTTGTGATTGCTTCGTGAAGGCTCAACTTGGAGCCAAGCTCGGTCCAATCCGCGTCGTAGAATTCGACAACAGCAGGAGCGATCAGTTCCTAAGTCATGCCTTCATTTAGCAAGTGCTTTTCTTGTTCTTGCGGCAGATGGGCTTCTTCACCTGAAGGGTCCAGCCTCGTGTCCACCATTGACTTTTCGCAAAGTCCTTCTTTCCATGGCAGTCGTTGAGAAAGGCGTAACATATGCTTGACCTCTGGTACCATTCATACATAGAGTTGATACTTTCGGAAAGCTCTGTCGAGCTTGTCTTGTCGATACAGCAGGTATCAACCCATATCCACGAAAAGCCATCTCGTGCGGCCTGACGACAGCACAGCATCAGTTTAGACCAGCCCGCATGCTTCTCAGGCGCCTTGCCGGTCTCGACATCCTGCAGAGTAACTTCTTCCGTTCCCCAACGGTGGCTCAAAATCACATATTCTGGTATGTCATCCCCAATGAACTCCTCAAGCCGGGGAGTTGCCGTGTTGAGTAACCTCATTAGGCTGTCGAGTGAAGCATATGTAGATGCAAACCCTAGATTGAGTCACCCTGTTTCCGAGTACATTCGTTGATATATAGGTGAACGAATGCAAAAGAGCCGTTGGGAGTAGGAATGATGGAAACACTGTCGTAGGTCAACTCAAGAGGCGTGGGCACAAGCTGAAGAAAGCTGTAGCTGTCGCGATGGATCGACCGCGCTAACCATATCCAGGCCTTCGCGCGGGGCTACCGTACAGGGTTACAAGTATCCGCGTCCCGTGTCGACTTATCTCCCAATTGCAGCCATCAACCACAGCTATGAAAATGAACGAGAAGCAGAGCAATGTTGCAAAGCAGCATATCACCCCTCGAATCATCATCCATGGCGGAGCTGGCAACCTCACCAAGCACTCCCTACCACGAGACAAGTACGATGCATACCAGACTTCCCTCCGGCGCATCCTATCCTCTTCCTCCTCACTCCTCTCAAAGCCCGATTCCACAGCCCTCGACGTGGCCACATTTGCCGTGTCACTGCTAGAAGACGATGCACTCTACAACTCCGGCCATGGTGCCGTCTTCACACGCGAAGGCAAGAATGAACTCGAATGCAGCATCATGGTGTCCAATGGGTACCGAAAGCGAGGTATAGGCTGCATGATGTTGCAGCATGTCAAGAATCCCATCAAGCTTGCGCGGGAACTGCTGATACGAGGGGAACAAGATGGGGGCGATGGGTCGCAGGATCACTGTCAGTATTCTGGGGCGTTCATTGAAGGGTTGGCGGAGAAGTGGGGGTTGGATATGGTGGATCCGAGCTACTTCTTCACTCAGCAACGATGGGACGAGCACTTGAAAGGACTGGAGGAGGAGGCAAAACAGAAGGAAGCAGGTATCCCGATCAATGAGATGAGCGACTGGGAGAAAGCGAACTATATTCCTCTAGGTACTTGTGGTTCCGTGGTGCTTGATAGATATGGGACAATTTGTGTCGCGACGTCTACTGGAGGTCTCACAAACAAGGTTGGCGGTCGCGTTGGTGACACCCCAACTATCGGCGCGGGGTTCTGGGCCGAAGAGTGGTTCGAGGAGGCCTCAGTACCAAAAGTACAGACTCACGTCCCTTCGACACCTCTCGACAAGCTCTCCCGAGGTGAGGTCAGCACTGTTCTTGCAGATTGTTTTCCAATGCTGTTCCTATCACCATCCAATCCGAGTACCTGCAGATCGAGTATCCCGACGCTCGATCAACCCCCACCCATTCGTCATGCAGTTGGCATGTCTGGCACTGGAAATGGAGACAGCTTCCTCCGTATGGATGCATGCCGCACGGCTGCTGCTAAATCACGATTTGCGACGATACCACTGCCGGATTCCGTGACGTGGATGGCTGGACCTAAAGGTGAGCTCCAGAAGTCAGCAGGAGACAGGTGGCATCGTTCTCACGAAGGTACTGGTGGCATCATCGGCGTCGAGCTCGTGGGTAGCAAAAGCACAGTAGTATGGGACTTCAATTGCGGTGGCATGTTTAGGGCATGGGTTGACGACGACGGTGAGCACCAGTGTCTCATATTTCGCGAAGGATACCACAGCGGTCCTGAGTCATTTGCGATTTAGCATACCAGTATGGATGAATAGAGAATGCAATTAGTGCAAGGGGTATCACGGAATATATAGAGCTTGAACGCAGAAACGCACCATGGGGATCACGCCCATACACCCAGCGTCCAGCTTGCTCGCTCGCCAGCGCCTCTGACCACATTGGGTCCCATACTCTGCCGCTGCGCTACGACCGATACCTCCTTTTCCTTGCTCGCGCCTTGGAGTCCATGCTGGAGGTACCGCTCTCGGTCAATCTCGACGATACCTCTGATTCGCTGCTGGGCCACCAAACTCGCACCTGCCCAAGGCCCCAATGTCTCTACCCCACGCACTATGCCACCGGTGAGACTGACCGGTGGTGGCCCGTTTCGCAAGGCAACGTGTGCAAGCTTTGCGTCGATGTTGTCTTCTTCATGTGCTCGTAAACCTGCCGGAAGAGGGCTGTCTGGGTCTAGCGACTCGGTCATTTTGTCTTCACTTTCCTGCCTTTGTAGCTCGAGAGCCTCTCTTTTCTGCCGCAAGATTTGTTCGTGCCGTGCGCTAGCTGTGCCATAGTTGCGAACCGCGTCCCACCCTTTCGCGTGAACAAGCGCCTCGAGCTCTGCAAGGATGCGACTCTTTAGTCCGGGCAGGGCAGACACGCCTCCGGTGATGACAATACGGGACATGCACACGCGACGAACATCCATGGGCAGCGACAACAATGCGCGATAAATTAGATGGTGCAGCGGCAGCTCATCGTCATCGAACTCATTCAAGGCAGTCTCGGTAGCAAAAAGAGCGTATTCAGCGGGCTTAGCGAGGGTTGCAAAAGGTACGGTGATCTCCGATGGGGGCGTTGCTTTCGGGAGCGGTATGGTTATTGTTGGCTCCGGTGTTTCCACCGCGTCTTCGAATTCCTCGAGGATGGGCGAGGTGCGCGCAGGAAAGTACAAGGTTCGGCGATTTGACCGGGGTTTGGACTTGCACCAACCGACACGCGACAGGACCTCCTCGACTTCCTCGAAAGAGATGTCGTCACCCTCGTGATAGCCAGCATGTTCGTCTAGTGCCGCGTTGAGGACCTTTGCCATCTCTTCGCTCAGCAGCTTCCCGGCTCGCACTGTCCGCTCCTCATGCACCTCGCGGTACTCACACACAGCAGTGACCAGGGTCTCAGCCCACCCAATGTCCACCACCAGCGCCGACCGTAGGCCAGCTGCTACAGTCGAGAGCACAGGCGAGGACATGAGGGTGATGCTCGGTGCTTGTACGCTTCCAAAGAGGACGTCCAGCAACGTCGACATCAACGGATGCGGCATCTTGGGCGGTAGGGCGAGGAGGATGCGGCGCGGCTTCGTATCGAGCACGAAGTACTTGTTGTACACCTCGCGCATGATCCTCTCGAACTTGTCCTCCACCACGCCTAGGTCAATCTGGCTCAGGTCCATGCGGTACAGCTCGTACTCCTGCCCCCACTCTTGTCCCTTTCTCGGGTTCTGTCTTTTTTGCGCGCCCTGGGGGTCCCATTGGCGATAGTCGCCCACGCGCCGCTGGTTGTCCGGGTCGTAGGCCAAGGTGCATCGCGGGGTGCTCTCGCCAGGGAAGCCGGCGCGCACAAATCGCGAGCCAACTTCAATGACCACGTAGTCGTCGTCGGTGCGGAAGCTGCCGCCAGGAGAGCCGAAGAGGGAGGACACTGAGCGGCCGAGAGTCGGTGTGCGAGGGGCTTCGGGCGTGGATGCCAGGTCGGCCAGGCGCGGAGCAGCGCCTCGGACAGACCTGCCGAGCGAGGCCGACACCTTGCGCTCGCCGGAGGCAGACATTGGCAAGGGCGAAGCACGGGGGAAGTCGTCAGTTCATGTGTCGCTGCAGCGCGATGCTCTTGCCGTGCAGCCCGCAAGGCTATGGACATCGCAGGGACCAATGGCAGCGCGAGGAGCTTGGGTGGGTCTGTGGGCGGCTTGGCAGCGAACTTTTTCCAAGAGCCGACCGATTTTTTGGATGCTCGCATACACACACACGCACGCGCCCGCTCGCCCCGTCTCAGCAGCAACGCCCGCTGCACAAGCATCGCCAGAAGAGGAGGAGCCACCACATCCGCCGGGCAATTGCAACCGCACCGCGCGCATCCGCCGCTACACGAGGAAGGAGCTTCCGCAGCTCTCCACACCACCAGCGCCGAAATGGGAGTCTTCATTCTCAGCGAGACCAGCGCCGGCTATGCGCTCTTCAAGGCCAAGGACAAGAAGCTGCTCAAGGGCGGCGAGGGTCTGTCCACGGTCGAAGATGCCGCCGGCGCTCTGAAGCTCAAGAAATTCACCGTAAGAGGAGTGTCTCTGCCCAGCCAGCGTTGAAGCTTATCCTGTGCAGAAATTCGAGAATGCCGTTACCGCGCTCAACGAAGCCGCAGCCCTCTCAGACAGCAAGGTCACGCCTATGCTGTCGAAGCTGCTCGAGGATCTCAAGGACGAGACCAAGGCGTCTCTGGCCGTGGCCGATGCGAAGCTTGGTAACGCCATCGCGCAGCTGCCGGGCCTTGACCTCAAGATCGTCAGCGATCAGTCTTCCACCAGCGAGGTCTACAGGGCCATTCGCGAGCACCTGCCCTCTCTGATTCCCGACATGGTCCCGGCCGAAGTCAATGCGACCCGGCTGGGTCTGGCCCATTCGCTCTCGCGACACAAGCTGAAGTTCTCTCCCGATAAAGTCGATACCAGTACGTGCACTCTGAGCGTTGCGAGGATGCTTTGGCAGCCTCGCACAATACCCAATCTATGTTGATTGGGGCTCGACTAACATTGTCTAGTGATCATCCAGAGCATTGGCAGTCTGGACGTTCTCGACAAGCAGCTGAACACCTACGCCATGCGCGTGAAGGAATGGTACGGCTGGCACTTCCCAGAGCTGGCCAAGATCCTCAACGACAACCTCGCCTACAGCCGAGTTGTGCTCAAGATGGGATTCCGCTCTAACGCTCGGGAAGCTGACCTATCAGTAAGTGCTTCAGATACAACGCAAGAAGCACAACACTAACCCCAGCAAAGTCAATCCTGCCCGAAGAAATCGAGACAGCTGTCAAGGCTGCCGCCGAGATCTCTATGGGAACCGAGATCAGCGATGAGGATCTCGAGGCAACGAGTGCATTGGCTGAACAAGTCGTTGACCTTACCGAGCACCGCATGAACCTTTCCAACTACCTGAGCAGCCGCATGCAAGCGCTTGCGCCCAACCTGACACAGCTGGTCGGTGAGCTCGTCGGAGCTCGTTTGATTGCGCACGCCGGTTCGTTGACCAACCTTGCCAAGTCTCCTGGTTCGACCATCCAGATTCTCGGTGCTGAGAAGGCACTTTTCCGCGCCCTCAAGACCAAGCACGACACACCCAAGTACGGTCTTATCTACCACGCCTCGCTCATCGGCCAGGCCACCGGTAAGAACAAAGGCAAGATCGCACGTATGTTGGCTGCCAAGTCTGCCCTCGGTCTGCGCGTTGATGCTCTCAGCACCTGGGGTGTTGGCTCTGAAGATACTTCCAAGGAACCCACCGAAGAGGAGAAGGCCCAGCTCGGCCGTGATGCTCGGTCTACCATTGAGAGGCGTTTGAGGGCGCTCGAAGGCAAGCCGTTGAAGAGCTTGGCTAACGCTAACATGGTACCGGTTGCGCAGAAGTGGGAAGTCAAGGAGGCACGCAAGTACAACCCTGATGCTGACGGTCTGACTGGCGATGAGCCTGCTGCCAAGAAGACCAAGGGTCAAGTGAACGGAACGACTCCGAAGAAGCTCGTACAGGAAGTTGAGAGCGAATCTGAGGATGAGGATGTGACCATGGGCGATGCCGGTGCTGACACATCCGACTCGGAGGCTGAAGAGCCAACCACTGGCACCACCCCCAAGGACAAGAAGGCCGCAAAGAAAGCTGAGAAGGAGGCTAAGAAGGCACGGAAAGCGGAGCGCGCCGCGAAGCGCGAAGCCAAGGCAGCGAAGCAGGCCGCTAAGGAGGCGAAGAAGGCTGCGAAGGGCACGTCGGACAAGAAGCGAAAACACGATGACGATGAGGACAAGACCGAGAAAAAGAAGAAGAAGAAGAGCAAGGATTAGGGGTCTCTGTCTCACGTGCCTTCGTTCCGCAAATGTGTTGCCTCGGAAACGTTAAGTGTGTATGTCAAAATGGGCGACGGCGTTCGGGATCTTTATCTGACTTGCTATATACGGCGAGTGGCGCAGCTATGGTTCGGCTTGGGCATACTTGTATCTGTTCTGTTCACTTTCGCGGATGTGCATGTAGCTTTGGATGAAAGCTGGGGAGGAATGATGTGTGATGAGTGGTTGTTTGAGAAATACCCGCCGCATCATGTGTGAATTTTACCAATCCGTTCAATGCCTCCTGTCTATCATGGTACTCGTGCTCACATGGGACCCTTTACTTCCTAGCTCTCTTCCTTCCTGATCCTTATGCTGCTGCTCCGGGTATATGCACTCGCCCGAGGAGATCTTGTTCCGCAAACGAAGTCATATAAGAGGCAGAACCCCAGCCTCATGCCCTGCGCCTCTGCTTCTTCTTGTGCTTCCTTCTCGAATCGCCAAGCATCTCATCGGGTAATTTCTCCATCTCCTGATTCTCCACGCCCGCCGGAATACTCGCTTCCTCCTCATAAAACACATTCAGCACCTGCTGCAGGATGTCGTCCAGCTCTTCCTCGCTGAACCGCGAAGTCGCCTATTCACTCCATCAGCACCCTCCTCCTTCTCTACACAGGCAACGTACCTCTTCAATAATGAGTTCAAGCGTGATGCGGGATGTCGGTCGCACATTGTACAGCTGCAGATACTCGGCCTTGTTCAGCCTGTACTTCGGCGCCAGCGCGCGGAGCAGCGAGTGCGGGCCCTTGTACAGCGTCATCGGGCGCTCGGGGTGGTAGTCCGCAGTCTCTTTTGCGGGGTTAGTCCACTGCGCGGTGTCTGCGGCAGCGTTGGGGTCGCCTTCGAAATAGCGCAAGCCCTGCGATGGGGTCAGTATGTATGTACGTGTCGTAGAAAACACGTGAAGTGGCGGGAGGGAAGGTGTTGCATACATCCTGTAGGATCTCTCGGACGTTGGAGAGGGTCTTGTCGCGATTGCGCTCTTTGGAGAGGTAGTAGTCGGATGCTGAGCGGATATGTTGGTAGACCTCGTGGTTGGAGAGGAGCGCGGATTGGGGGTTTTTGACCTGCGGGCTGTAAGTACGTGTTACGCCCAGGAAAGTGGAGGGAGGGGAGAGGAGCGTAGGGATGGTCTTACATGCATGGCTGCTGTTCAGAGTCTAGCCAGCCGGGGTTCTGGGGTGGCCCAGTGATGCTCAAGCGCGACTGGGACGAAGATGATGGCGCGCAGGCAGTTCGAGAGGGTGGGTTGGAAGCAATTCAATTGGGGCTGATAGAACCTTAGTGCAGCTCTAGATGATAGTGAAGAGATTCAAGCGTAAGACACCAGTTGCGGAAATGAGGTGACGCCATGAGAGAATGTGAAAACGTGAACAGTCGTCTCAATCTGGTGATGCTGATCGTCGGGAAAAGAATGCTTCGTGAAATGACTAAACGTGCGTAGACAAGCCTTGTGCAAAATGCAAGCGGGCCACAGGCGAGTTGTCCAGCCTGCTGTGCGCCAGGATCAACAATTTTATTCTACTTACCATGAACGTCCTGATGTGAATTAGAACTATCAAAACTGAATACGGAGCGCGAGTGTATCCATTGGGCACTGTGCGGTTCTAGTTTCTCTTTGGTGAGGGTAGCTTTTGGCGCTATCAAAGAAGTCGTGTCAGATCTAGCGCACTCTTTCATTGGTCAGTGATCAATAAGAACGGCACGTGACGGTCAGCAGCGCTGAATCTGCCATTGTAGCTTTCAGCCTTTTACGCTCGCCGCAGCATACACTTCACGAGGAAATGGTGATGATCTGCTACGTAGTCCTACGACAGAGTGAGATTCTGCGAGTAGACATGTATGCGGCCTCTGAACACGAGTTAAGATGACCTGAAAGCATGTCTTCTGGAGGGACATATCACTCAAAGAAGTGATAGGTTGGTCTTATTTGCCGAGTAGATTTTGATATAATCGCGATGCACTTTAAAATGTCGAATGAACGCTAGCCTCGGTAGCAGACCGGCAGAAACTCCGCTCGAGGAGCATTACCATGACATACTCTGGGTATAAACAGAATGTGTTATTTCAGCATCCACTGATTTCAAGCATGCTACGTATAGAACCAGGAAGTAAAAAACCGACACAAGCTGAATGTATCCGAAGACGGGAGAAGGCAAGTGCCTAGCGAGAGACATCAGCACTTCAAATACGTATCAGTTACCAGATTTTCTCGTAGAGCGTTGCACAGCAATATAGTGGGAATACAAGTGCGATGGGACTAGTCCATTGGGTATCAGGGCCACGACGACAAGTTTGTGCGAACAGAGCGACTCTTCTAGTTTCACTAATGCGGTAGGAAGCTTCCGCGAGGAGGCATAACGCTAGCAGAGGAATCAGGACGCGGAATCTTAATATTCTAGCGAGTGCAAAGTAGCGAAGCTAGAATTGGACAGGAGGCGTTCATGGTTCTGCACCAGACTGAGTTTGTCCTTCGCTGGACACTGATAACTGCAAGTGTCCCAAAAAGGGCGTAGGATGCACATGCGGAAGTTAGACTAGAAACTGGACAATCGACGAAGTGGTTGCGCTGCAGCCGCAGATATTGGAAGCTGCCGGTCTAGACATGCATGAGTTGCAACGTGGTCCCGGGCAGCCGGATATATCGCCAGCGGTCCCTACACAGTCGCTGCGATGCAGTAGAAGGCCCGCCGACTCCCAGCGCTGGCGTAGAAGGACTACAAAGCCCGCACACCGGTCAACTGGTGCAAAGCCCAGCGAAGCCTCATGCGTAGGTGTCTCCTTCTCCAACGGGCACTGATGCGTCTTGGTTCTCTGTCGTCCGGCACAGCGAGAGACAGGCGATCCATGACCGACTTTGCAGTCAGAAATTTCCCAGCGCTGGCTGCGGCACCGAGCAATCCGTGAATAATAGTGAGGTCCCATTTCCGGTCAGGCGCGTTTCATCCGCAGAGTCTGCCAGTGGTGTGTGGAGCCGGGAAGAACCGCGTAGGCAGGCGAGGGCAGCCGATCAGCGGTGTAGACGCCGAGCAGCAACGGGCGCCTCGAATTGCACGTTGGACAGGCTGACGGCGCGGACGGCAACAGCAGAGTCAGGCCACAATCCGCTCGTAGTCAAGAGAGGAGCACCCGCGACGATAGTCTGTTGCGATCTAGACCTCCGGGCGTGGCGCGCACGCTGCAGCCGCGCGCTGATTGGCGGGCGTGCTTCCGCTGCACCAGTGCCAGTCTTCGCTCGACCACCTTACACAACAGTGCGCGCCTCCCCTCCAACACCACGCCCAATGCTTCGTGTCGTTCGCGCCTGATCCGCTTTTCCCGTCCTGCGTGTGCCCCGGCCAACCCAAAAGTCTCTCTCTGCTGGCATTGAGCTGTCCCTCGCTTGCACACTGTTCACTCACTCAACACCCCCGTCCGCCCCGCCACAGTGAGCGCTCGGTCTTGGCCTCCGCATCCCGCCCTCGTCTGCATCAGGCTGAGGCACTCCCGGACGCGGGAAGGCTGCTCAGAGATCGGTTCTGCACGGGCCCTTATCCCACTAGGTGCGAGCACGTAGCGTGTCCGGCCTCATCTTGATGATATAGCATCCTGGCCGCTTGCCCGCCAGCGATTCTATCGCTGCCATGATCGACAGCAACATTGCTGCCCTGGTAGAGGAACAGCACCGCGACATCGGCTCGTCTTCGGATGTTGGCGCGTCCCGCCCCAGACCCGTGGCTCACGGTGGATTGAGCTCGGCGCACCCACACGACGGCCCAGCTCTTCTCGAACCATCGCTGGCCTCTCCCTTCCCGTTGCCAGCACCTGCACCACTAGACATTCCTAGTCCACTACGCGAGGCACAGCCGGAGCTCAGTCTCAACTTTGCAGCTTCCGTCGTGCCGTCTGATGTCTCGCTGCCTACCCCACCCATAGCGAGAACCTCGCACAGCCTGCGCCTTCCCTCGTTCGACGTCTTGGGCATCGGCGCTCCTCATCCTGACCGTCCCCGTTTGTACTCCATTCCTTCGTTCTCCGTGGGTGCCGGTCCACTGTCGAAGCCGGAAGATCCACTTCATGTCCTCAGCCCGCGTGTGTGCCAGCTTGACGGCGCCGACGACCATCTTCCCAGTACGAAGCCGCGACCCGCAAAGGCCACCCTCGATCGCATCGTGCCTGTCGTAACGCCTCCAACAGAGCCAGGCGCCTTCAACTGGGGCTCCTTTGTGCATGTCAAGACTGCCGCCCTAGGCTCACCACCAAGTTCCGACCCAGGACAGTCGCCAAACCTTGCCACGGTGGCCAGCGCATCGTCCATAGCATCTGCTCCAATTGTCGTACCCACGGTTGTGGAGGCGAGTGGTGCACTAGGCATGGCAGCCTGGACGCAGAAAGTAACAGAAACGCTCAGTGAGTGTGGCCGCAGAGCGCATGACGAAGGCATGCTAACTTCTCGCAGTGATCGAGTCGACTTTTGAAGCTGAAAGCTCCGTCAAGATTCTCTCTCACGCCCTGCCATGCCCGTCCACCACCGGCCACCTGTTCCCACGAATTATAGCTGCCATCCACGACCAGTCGCCAGCCAACACAGCCTGGATCAATGTTTTCCATGCAGTCCCCGGACGCTTCACGCTTTCCGATCTTCCTAAATCTCCGCCCTCAACCCCGGGTCCTGCGGTGGGTGGGGATGAATACTTCACAAGCAAAATCTTCGATAGTGCCGTAGCTATTCCAGACTACCAACTCGACTCCAAGCTCTTGCCACCTTCTCCCCGTCCTGTCGTACCCCCTGGCAGCGTCAACATCTCAATAATCGAGCGGTACATCCCGCCAACGAACACGAACGAGTACGCAGAGATGTTCCAACTCAAGGGCCGTTCGCTGTTGCATGATCGATTAGTCGAGTTGTCTCCCAACAACGGTATCCTGGTCTTCATATACCCCACCAAAACCGGCGCTCGCTCTTTCATGCAACACTATCTCGGTCCGATACTCGACCCGCTGTTGCGCTCTGTCACGGTTATACACGAGCTATCCTCCGAATTAGGCAAAAATCTCGGTCAGATGAGCTCAGTGAACTACCTTGACGAGTACGAGAGGCTGCGGGACCAGGTGACGCGCTATTGTAGCATGCTGAGCGAGGGCAGTTCTGGTGACAAGAAGTCGACCTTCACTGTCGCTTCCGCATCCAAAGAGGAAGCAGTATTCGAGAGGTCGGCATGGGCGGATGATTGGTGGATTAAGCAAGAAAAACCGCGTATTCGTGAGACGGTCAACAAGTACTTCCGGCAGGTTAAGAAGCTGCCGAAGGGGGAAATGACTAGCTCGCATCTGATCCAAGAGGTACTGGATGGTGTGTCGAACCGCAAAGTCGATGACATTCGTTCGGGACCGAAAGGCATTGAGGTCGGCATCTTCATCATCAGAAGATCCACAATCGCTTCAGGATAGAAACCTGTCGAGACGCCATGAAGCCGACTTCTTGGTGGATGATGGGATCGAGTATCCTGGGCACGACCTCGCGGTTATCATATACGACATTTTGGACAACATGAGCGGATGCCCGCTATGAGATGAAGGCGTTTTGGAAGCGATGCATGATTAATACCCGTTCTCGCATAGCATGGCGTTAGGAAGAAACATGGCCTAGCAAAAAGGAAACATGGAAACAAATACACTACTAATTTGATACTCATACCCTTGGGCTTCAGCTTCTTTATACTTTCACATCCCTTTAACACAGGCTGACCGCCTGGTCTAGATGGAATCCCGCAGAATTGCATTCCGTCATACGCTAGGCTAATCCTGCTGCGAAGACGCTGATCATTACCGTATAGATGGGCGTGCGGCGCCATTGTCGTAAAGTGTAACCTCAAACGACCCGACATCCGATTTTTACTGCGGGGACAATTCTCTTCAGCCAGCTAAAACAATGAGATGTGATCTCCCAAAGAGCATTCTTTCACATTGGCGCTGGAACGATACCATTGACTAGGTCACCAACACAAGATGGCATCAGACGAACCAATTTTCTCAAGCGCAGATTGACACCTTCTTAAACTACTCCTCGGTCACTATACTGTGCATAGCACTCCAAACATGCTCCGATCGTCTTACACTCGTGTGACTATGTTGATCGACTCCAAGACATAGCATCTCATTGCCAGATGGAAGTCCAAGATTCTGAATGCTCATCAACAATATTGAGATGAATGACTCAAAAACATATGCTACAGTTTCAAAACGAGCTCACGTACGAGTCACAACTCAGACCTAAGCAACGTAGATCTTTAACGCATTAACTGATGACCATTACGTGAAGCTTTGCCCTATGACAACTCGCAGCATTATCTGCCCTGTTGATTCTCTCAATATAGCAAAGATCTGGTCCGTGTAGTAGTTTGACGATAGAAAGCTTAAGAGTCCGATAAATTCTTAGCAATGAGCTTAGCTTGGCTACCCTGACGCAGTGAATGTCCACGGTGGCCAGTCAGGGTAAGCGCGAAAAAAGGTGGGGCTGTGTGGCGGTTGGTGCAGGTGGCTGATGCCCCACGTGTTCGCGCTCTCCAAGGCTTGGACCAGTTTGGTTCCTCTCAGCCCCAACCGCATTTTGGTATCTCCAAGTCTATGCTCGAAGTAATGGCGAACTACACAGCTATCTCGAGCAGCCTCCAGCTTGAAGAACTGATCCACGAGAACGAGTACACGCTCATCGACTTCTGGGCCACATGGTAAGCTTCCTGCTCCCTATCTCGCGAGTCTCGAGTCCCAACCACCGCAGGTGTCCACCCTGCAAAGCCATTGCGCCTTTCTTCGAGAAACTGGCAAAGGAGAATGCGACGGATAAGAAGCTAGCGTTCGTCAAGGTGGACGTTGATGCGACCAAGGACGTTGCGCAGCAGTACAAAATCTCCGCTATGCCTACGTTTCTGCTGCTGAGAAATGGGGTCGTTTGCAAGGCTGTGAGAGGCGCGGATGCAAAGGCAATCACAAAATTGGTGACGTATGCGCGGAAGAAGGGAAATGGAGAGAAGACTACAGATGAGGAAGAGGAGGAATTTAGTCAAATTGAATTCGGAGGAGGCGCGTCGGGGTAAGTACCTGTGATTCTGAGACACTTGAAGACTAGAAGACTGATTCTAGTAGGAATCCGTACCCAGCGCTGTTGTTTGCAGCGTTCTTGATCTGGTTTTTATTCTGGCGGAAATAGAGTGTGAAGGGTGTTTTGGAAGACATCCAACGGGGCGACTGATGTTGCACTCAGCAGCAATAACTGAGCACCGCTTCATGTTGAAGCATTTAAATGCCTATGCGAACTTCTTTGACATCACTTATGACTATGCAGATCCTCGCACGTGACTGATATTGCGTTATGTGGTGCACGAATGACGATTCAATATGATTCGTCAGACGATAAGACACGTCCATTGCGGACTTGCGTCCGTAAAAGCGATTCTTGAGAACGTTTCTTGGTACCACTGACACCATCATAGCGCTATGGCTACCAAAAGCCGCATCAAATCGGTCGCGGTCATTGGTGCTGGGGCAGCAGGTAACTCACCAACACTACCCAGCCCGCAAAAATAGCTGACAGTATATATTCCAGGAGCGGCCACGGCAGCAGCCTTAAACGCAGAGAACTATTTTGAACGTATCCAGGTCTTTGAGCGAAGAGAAACAGCAGGTGGTACCTGGATATACGATGCTGACCCGGACCCTCTCCCTCTATATCCAGGGAAGCTCCCCCCGGATACCGATCCTGCTCTAGAGATTCCGGAAGCACTGCCTCGGATCACGCCGCCTATCGAACAGGAGCGATGGACGAAAACACCGATATACAACTCTCTGACGTAAGTATTAGAGCAACGCTACATTCAATGCCTTTGACAAGTCAAAGTACCAACGTGCCGGCAATCGCGATGTCTTTCTCAGATTCTCCATTTGCATATGGGCCGTTTGCACCACATTACGTTCCGCGGCAATATGTGGAGAACTACTTCTCGATTCACAAAACAGATTCTCTCCTACAACTGAACACCACCGTCGAAGACATCACGAAGCTGCCTTCGTCGAACGGGCAGAGCTCGGAACGCTGGAAACTTACTCTCAGGAAGCATGATGCCCTGCGCCGTGTGGACATTTGGTGGGAAGAGGAGTTTGACGCGGTAATCCTGGCGAACGGACACTATGCCGTTCCTTATGTAAGTTTCTTCAAGCCACGCAAAGCTATCTGTTAAAGCTGCTTCTAAAGATCTCAGATTCCTCAAGTCAAAGGTTTGGAAGAATACATAGCAATGTACCCCGACCGCATATCTCACTCAAAGGAGTACCGCGCGCCAGCAATCTACGCTGGCAGAAAAGTGCTCGTCATCGGCAATTCAGCCTCAGGCCACGACGTCTCCCTCGACCTCGTGGGAGTAGCCAATGCGCCGGTCTACCAATCACGCCGCTCCAAGGCGCGCTGGGACGGCGATGGTCCGCTTTCTGGGATAGAGTGGAAACCCTTGATCCGAGAATACCTGCCCAGCGGCCGCATCATCTTCGAGGACGACTCATACCTCGACGACATCGATGCAGTGCTATACTGCACAGGCTACAAACCGAGCTTCCCATTCTGGAATGTCAAAACCAACGGTCGGCCACTGTGGGACTACGAAGCCAACAAGCTAATCAAGACCTATTGGCATACGTTTTTCCAGGACTTCGAAACACTGGCTATCGTCGGCATGCCGCGCACGCTGACCTTCCGCAGCTTCGAGTACCAAGCTATTGCCATTGCGAGGCTTTTCGCGGGGAGGAACGCGTTACCGCTTCCACGGCTGAAGGAGCAGGAGAAGTGGGAGATGGACAGGGCGCGACGGACGAAAGCCGAGGGGAAGAAGTTTCACGATATCCCGTGGGATGAGGGACAGACGATTGAATGGCTAGATGGACTGTTTAGGATTGCAGGGCTGGGGACCATTAGAGGTGAGGGGTTGGTGCCGCCAGCATTGAGCAAAGAGTTGATATGGGCGGTTGAGCATCTGAGGAAGTATCCAGAGGACCCGGATGAACATGGAGAGAAGGGAAACGACGAGGATCATGCTGGTCGAAGGGAAGGTTCAGAGGGTGGCTGGGTCGTAGTGCAAAGGGAGAAACTGCCGCTGGGTGGCGTACTGCCGTAGGAAAATCTTTACAACAACAGTACAGGCGCTTGAATTAGTTCTCATACCTATTCCCAGCACGCTCTTGGGAACCGTAGCACATCTTGAGGAAGGCGTCGTAGTGTCTCAACAGAGGGCTCTAAAGCAGTTCTCATAGTCCGCGCCTGGCATTCGAGGTCTCGCAAAGGCACATCAATGACCGCTTTTGGTGATAACATGCAGCCTTCAGTGATTATTTCACTACTTTCGAGCTTGCAGAGAGACGAGGAAGCTGCGCTGGTTGAGATCTCTACTGTCGCTTTGCGCTAGTCCATGACATCATCAGTTCCGAACATGTGTGTAGCAGACGCAATCTCATGCCCCAGAACCAACGCTATGATACACAGATGCTCTACGATCAGGAAATTCCGAGGTCTTTTGCATACAGCCAATTCACCGTTGTTGAAGACCAGCCCAAGTGCCACCCTTCCGCCGCCACTACCATGACAAAGCCCTGCACGCTCTGCTCCACACCTCGCTCCATCCTGGTCCGCTGCCAAATCGACGAAACGCACCAATGGCACTTTTTGTGCCCCGGTGCATGCTGGAAGTCAGTATCTGGCGGCGTAGAAGATGCGCGGGGCTTGGAAGATGAACACCCCTATTATCGCTACGGCGGAATGGTATGGCTCACCCGTCGTCTACAATCTAGAAGATGGGATGCGCTGATACGAATTCGACGACAGTGGAAAGACAGAAGTGCAGATGGGCCGGTCAGTGCGAAGAAGCCGAGGAAGGTCAAGAAGAGACAAAGGGAGGAGGCGAGGGATAGAGAGGAGGGGGTAGCATGAAAAAGCGGTTGAGGGACAAGAGTTACCTGGCTTCGTGAGAGCACCAAATTGTGAGCGTATGCGTTAATTACATCCGAAAGGAAATTCCCCTTTCCATCGGCACGAGAAACTCGTCAGCAGAGCGTACCTGGCTCGCGAGCACTTGCGTGAGTACCCAAGTACGCTGCACTTGTCTCCCTAACTTTTCCGCGTTGAACCTCGGTCTCGCAAGCGGGCTATTAGAAAGAGATACCGCGTCAACGAGCGGGACTGAGGGGTTTTCTCGAAGGGGACGGCCACCTTCCGCTCCGAGGCTACTGCAGTGACAACGTGTCAACAAGGAACCTACGACTCTGCCAGCAAGAAGCGTGTCGATGAATGGGTGGTTCGCAGCGTAGAGTTCCAATGTTGTTGACATACACTGAAATATTGAGTATCTGGCCATGCAGAAGCAGCGCAGGGCAAGTGTTTACATGCTGGTTTACATGCTGACCAAACAAACAAGACACGACATCAGACAGGCACGAGGAGCAATTTGTGATTTAACGTTTGATTGTCATTACGAAATCTTAGGTATCGATAAAAGTATCGGTTTCAGGTATTCCCGTCATGCCAATTCGTGAATCATACCGGCCATGCCGCCATGGCGTGCCTCGAGGGGGTATCTAGTGGGTGGAGCTCTTGCCGTCGTAGTACTGGGCCTTGGACTTGTCGGTGGCCTCGTTGGCACCGTGCTTGACGGTGCCGAGGGCACCGTCGAGCTTGTCGCCGACGGAGTTGCCGTGCTTGGCCTGCTCCTGGTTGGCCTTGCGCTGGGCCTCCTCGGTGTTGCCGGTGACCTTGTTGGCGGCCCAGTTGACGTTGTCCTTGACGGTGTTGATGGTGGACTCGACGAAGCCCCTGCGAGAATGTTAGCTATGCTGCAGCGGGGTGGGGAGGGGTAGAGGGGTAGGGAGCACGTACTCGCCCTGAGCGTTGGTGTTGGAAGACATGTTGATGGAGGTGGTTGTTCGGAGAACGGTGTTTGTGGTGTGGAAAGTGAGGTAGTTTGTTTGTTTGAGAGGCTGAGTGCTTGCGATGATGAGTGCAGGGTGTGCGTGGAAGAGGCGTCTTTTGTAGTGCACGCCGTAGCTGATGGAGCTTGGACGCTGTCGGGCGATGACGTCGGATCGACGTCAGACGTCAGGTGTTGCAGGAGCGACGCCGACACGCAAGTGCGCTGGATCGTGGCGCAAGAGGCCACATTCGCATCGCAAACGCCTGAATCCGCATGCGCCGTCGATGCATCGATTGCGAATCGCGATTTCGCGCCAAATCGCGCAGCTCCACCAGTCTAGATTCCGATGACGTCAGGCCGCGCTCGTCATCTGACCGTTTGTATCCTCTCTGCCTGACGCCCGCCGCTCTCATGCAGACTGGCATGCTGAAATGCCGAGCTTGCTGTTACTGCCCCTGACTTTAGCCTACGTTTGCACATGCTTTCTCGCTTTCGGCGATTGCAACATCTGAATCTTTGGGTGGCCCGTGGGTAGCCTTCCAAGTCCATGCGTCGTCATCCCTCCTCTGCCCTCCAAACAGACCTGCCTCTTCACGACGCCACCGCTCAACCGGCTGAACTCTATGCGATTGGGCTCGGAGGCAGTTCTCCTTAAGTCTCGTTTCAGCGGCGATGGAGCCCAATTGCCGTATCCACGTTTGGCCCGTGTTCCTTTTCTACATCTCACTGACACAATGAGCAGCGGACTTTGGTACTTGCGTCGTGGTCACAATGGCAGCCAAAAACTCCCTTCCAAGCGGTGAGCTCCGCAGATTCTGGTTGCCATTACTGCACCTCATGGTCTCACGCACACAGGCTCTGCAGTTGCATTTCTTGCCTCGGCTCGTTGGCCTAGTATTACAATATCTACACCTCGACCCGCCCAACGCTTTGAACACCGAAGTGGGTATTTCTAATTAAACGGTTAAGGCGACATTCCAAAAAAAAAAAAAAACTCACCGCAACAACCTGTTTACCCCTGGGACGCGCCCATGTCCTGCAACCGCGCCAACTCCCAGTATACCCCCTTCTTGCCCATCAACTCATCATGCCGACCCTTCTCCACAATCTTTCCTTGATCAAATACGTAAATCACGTCCGCGTTTTGTATTGTCGACAAGCGGTGCGCAATAGCAATCGTGGTGCGGCCTTTGGAGGCGGCGTCGAGCGCGTCCTGAACAACACGTTCCGAGGTTGAGTCGAGAGCCGATGTGGCTTCATCGAGGAGCCTAATTGTCGTGTCAGCTTGCCAAGTCTGAAGAGCTTTGTGGACCAGGGAGACATACAGGATCTTGGGATCACGCAAAAGTGCACGAGCAATGGCCATGCGCTGGCGCTGGCCACCAGAGAGAAGAGCGCCTTTTGCACCCACGAGCGTGTTGAACCCATCAGGAAGGGACATCTAGAAATCATCAGCCCTACTCTGTCCTCGGCCAAGATTCGACTCACGATGAACTCGTAAATGTTGGCGTCCTTGCAAGCTTGCACAATCAACTCCTCAGGGATGTCGTCTTTATCAGCGAGGATGTTCTCCCTAATCGTACCCGTATAGAGTGTTGTTTCTTGACTGACAATTGCCACCTGTGCCCTGTAGTCTTGGATATTGTAGTCCCTTAACTCCACGTCGTCGACCAGCACAGAGCCGGCGGTTGGGTCGTAGAACCGCTCGAGGAGTTGCATGACGGTGGACTTTCCGCTACCGCTCGCGCCTACCAAGGCAACGAATTGACCTGGATCTGCAGACAGGCTGACACCGCGCAGTACGCGGTGTTCGGCGCGACCAGGGTAAGAAAACCTCACGTTCTGAAGCTCCACTTTGCCTTGAAGGCGGTCGACCTTCTTGCCCTCGGTAGACCAATTGTCGACTATAATGGATTAGATATTTGCATCAAAGCGGTAGGTTCTTGAGGGGACTTACTCTTCGGTACACGGTTCAGGAAAGATCTGAGCAGGATCGCGGCCTCCCGCGCCTCGCCCATGTCTGGCGCAAACGAGAAGATCGCGCCAGCACTCTGAGCTCCATTGATAATGGCCGAGTAAACAATGAAAAATTGCAGCACGGTGTACTCCATTTTGAGCATCAGTCCTCCACCGTACCAAAAGACAAGAGCGAAAATGAACATCGCCAGCCCCTGACTCATAGCGTACAACAGCGACGAGATGTTCATGAACTTCAGGTTACCCCTGCCCTGTGCAGTGAGCTTCTCGTGATATTGCTCCAACAAGTGGCCTTCCAGAGATAGTGTGGCGACGGTGCGAATCGAGGAGGCTGCTTCGCACGCAAAAGAGGCGGAATCTGTCGACTCTTTGGTGCGCTTCTCCATGCGCACGAGGGCATAGAAGCGGAAGTAGCCACATCCAATCACGAGCGGAATCGTCGAAGTACACACGAGAGCAAGCTTCCATCCGAAACAAAGACCAACGATAATGGCAACGAGCACACTGGCGCACGCGGTGAGGATGGCGCCTAGCGTTGAGCCGCTCATACCAGCAAGACGGTTAGCCTCGGAGCTAAGGAAGGCAGCGAGAGATCCTGAAGTTACAGTGTCACTGTCGAAGAACTCGATGTCCTGGCGCAAGATGGCACCAAAGGCGTCCTCTCGGATCCGCGAGATGAGCAGAGCGGAGGATTTGGAAAGTGTAAAACCCTGGAGGAAGTACGCGAGCCAGGTGACAATACCTAGCATAAAGAACATCCAACACCAAAAGGAAACACCGTGGCCACCAGTGGAAGTTCCAGGCGAGAAAAACGCATTGATCGAGTTGCCCAGGAAGATAGCCTGGATGGCGGGGGTCGCACCGGCACACAGACAGAGGAAAAAGCCCACAAACATCAGCCCGTGCTCGTCTCTGTTCATATGCCAACCGAACTTCATGAGGCTCCAGTTGTTGTAGCTCTGCACCTTCTCGTCTTTCTTGGCATGTATTGAAGCAGCCCTTGTGGTTGTAGTGCGCACGAGGCCGAGCTTTTCGCCTTCGACCGTGCCTTCGGCGTCCTTCTCGCCCATGGACAGCTCTGAGAGGCGGTTATTGGGCTGTATCTTAGAGCTAAGTTCTTGTGCTCGAACCAGACTCTGATAGACACCTTGTTGTTTGAGAAGGCTGTCATGAGTACCTTGTTCGACGATTCTTCCTTTGGCCATGACCACAATATTATCAGCATTACGTATCGTGGAGAGACGATGGGCAATGGCAATGGTAGTACGACCTTCGGCTGCTTTGTCAAGAGCTTCCTGTACAACCTTCTCGGATTTTGTGTCAAGAGCCGCAGTTGCCTCGTCGAGAAGAAGAATTTTGGGGTCGGAAACGACCGCACGGGCGATGGCAATACGCTGTTTTTGTCCACCCGACAAAAGGTTTCCACGCTCACCGACTTTGGTCTGGAATTTTTCTGGCAGGTCCATGATGAAATCGTAGGCGTTGGCCGTCCTCGCGGCTTCTTCGATAAGCTCCATCTTTTTCTCTTCGCTGGCCTGAAGGAATTAGCCTTGGATGTGATAGAGGCAAAGGTTTACTTACATGCTCGAATTCTGTGCCCACAAGACCGTGCGCGATGCTTTCGTAGATGTTGATGCTGAAGAGTACGGGCTCTTGACTCACAATAGCGATGTGTCGTCGAAGCCATCTGAGGTTAAGCGTGCTAATGTCCCTGCCATCGAGGAGAACTTGGCCACTCATTGGTAGGTAGAATCGTTCGAGGAGACCAAAGATCGTACTCTTTCCAGACCCAGAAGCACCGACCAATGCGACCATCTTTCCAGAGTCAATCTTCAGGCTAAAGTCTTCAAGGACGGTGGTATCCTGTCGTGAAGGGTATATGTGCTTTACGCCTCTAAATTCGATGTTCCCGACAAACATCTCTGGTTTGTCACCTTCATCCGTCTCGGGGTCGATAGGGGACTTGCGTTCGATGGTGTTGAAGACCTTGGTGGCGGCGGCTACAGCTTGACCGAATGCCTGCAGATGGGGAAGATTGTGGCCAATCGAAATCCCAGCTATCATGGAAGCCATCACAACCGTCAGAATATTCGCCACGCCCAGCTCTCCCGAGTGCAGAAAGCGATTTCCCTGCCAGAATGCTAAGGCATATTGCATATTCAGCACACCCATCATCCCGGCAATCATCGAGGCGAGCCAGAATTTCGAATCGTAGTCCCACTTCGCAGCGCGATCCAGGTAGGTTTTGTATTTGGCTTCGAGTCTTTTCTGGGTCCCATAGGCTGTGACGTTGCGTGCAGACGAGATGACCTCCTCTGCAAGAGTTCCCGCAGTGGCATATTCATCGACGGCCTTGGTTTGGTTAGCCTTCATACGGCCGCCGTTGAAGCCCATCATGATGACCAAAGCTACGGTTGCGGAGAGCATGATAAGCGTCAATTTCCAGCTTCGGACAAAGCCGACAATAAGAGCGGCGAAGAACATGGAAGTGCCCGAGATGAACAGCGAGATCTTTTGGCCTACACCATCTTGGACCAGCACCATATCTAGTTGTTTTAGCATCCACTTATAGTGCAAGAGACCGGGCTAAGTTACCAGAGCTGATACGAGTGGTGATTTCACCAGAGCCCAAGAAGTCAAAGAAGGCGATATTTTGTCGGAAGATGGCCCGCAAGTAGAGTTCGCGGATCTGCTGTGTGATGCGTTCCCCCGTGTACGAAAATCCGATCATGCCAACATAGACACAGACGAACGAACCAATGCCTATAGTTGAGATTAGTGCTCGTCTTGATAGATTGCGTAACCTCGGACTTACCGAGATAGACGAAATATAGCGTGAAGGTATTGATCTGATGTTGGAAACGTTCAGCTGCAAGCGCATCGACGGAGAAACTGGTGAAGCTCCCCGCGAAGTTGCCGTACACAAGGGTCATCAGAGGAAGGCAGGCGCCTGCTGCTACCGAGGCCAAGAACGACACGCACATGATGAGCATCTCATGTTTGTTGGCATACCGAAACAGCGTGAAGTAGCCGACTTTCTCGTTCGGTGCATCCAACTGTCTCTGGATGATGCTCTTCTCGTCTTCGGTCAATCCCGCCGTCGAACTCGCATCTCCATCTCCCAGTGCCTTCTCGTCGAGGACGGTGGGATTTTCATCGATAGGCACTGGCGCCGGCACTGGAACCGTCCCAGGCAACGGCATGGGCGCCTCCTCGGGTCGCGGTGCCATGGTGAACTTGACAGAGTGGACGCGTGTTAGGCCCTAAGCATGTCGTGAAAGAGGCTGAACAGCTGCAAACTGTCGTGGATCCCCAGATGCCACCCGCGCGAAGGGGAGGCGAGCTGCCGGGGTGATGCACGCCTTGAACAAGCGTTATACCGCAAAGAGAAGGTAGTGCGTTCGAGAAGGTCGCGTAGAGAGCGGCTAGTCCTTTGCCGGAGCGTGAGGCGAGAATACGCAACACCTGCAACAGAGCTTGACCAGAAACAACGGCCGTACTGATTCCAGGGATCTGGCGTCTGGGCGTGCGACTAATGGAACGAGAGCTGCGTGCGGCTCTAGAGGCTTTTATCAAGGTCGCGTAATGCTGTTGTGGTGTTGTGCGATGTAAGAAGCTTGTGGACAGCCAAATGGGTCAGGCACATAGATGTATGTAAAGGGCGCAATACGGGCGGTCGCATGTAACATCCGATTGACATCTGCCTGACGGCCGCGAAATGTCATCGGTGCTTACGCAGGAGCCCACCACAGCACAAACTCGGTCCGCCGGCGGCCAACGTTCTGAAGATGCGTATACGCCGGATACGAGATACGAGGCTCTAATCAACCAATCATCGGTCTGGCAGATGCGGACGATCGGTGCCGAACAAGCTCCGTCCCGACAAGAACGGAATCCCGAATCGTCAACTTTTTTTTAACTCCGCGTAAACATTCAACATGCACCACATGCAGTGATTGGTGATTGTGCGTTAAGGCAACAATATGAACCCCGCTGGATGTGGCCCATGGCTAGGGTTTGGTGACGACGCTCGCATGCACTTGCTTCGCCATCGACTGTTGTTCCTTCTTGCAGCTCACGTAGATGACAGCTATTACGAATGGGCTCACTTTCTCGTGCACTTTGCACGCGTCCTTGGTTGCCTATGGGCGATCTGTAGCATCTATCTTTACACGGAGTTGAATGTTCACGTGTCCCACGACATCGTTAATTGAAGGCCAAGAGAGGCCAAGGTAGTATCGCCCTTGCGCTGACATAGATCGCCCTTTACTCACATAGTCTGTACACTTGTGAAACATCTGGCATCAATGAAAATCACCCTTGTTGGAATTTGACCCAATGTGGTTCGTATGATTTCTTTGGCAAAGGTAGGGCAGGCAGAGCGAAGTGTATTACCCGTCTCGAAGAGGCTCTTTCTGCACTAGTCTCGTATCGCTCAATCTAGTTCATCCTCTCTTTCGGCTTTGCGTCTCTCGACAACACACCGCAACATTGTGACGATCCTACCACTTTGAAAGACGCTTTGCAGGGTTACGTACACTCGCATTCAAGGTAACCACATATGAGCACTCGAATTGGGGATGTTCACCGTCGTTTTTACTTTAGGCTCAACTGTACGCTTGCTTTGAACATAGTTCATTTCGCTATTTTCTACAAGTATTTCTCCATCAATTCCTTGACCCTGTCAAGGTCAAGCGCATCCACCTTGGCACTAAAGCCGTTGGTCGTCTCCGCCATGCACACTGCATTCAGAATAGCCTCTTCCACTGCATCCGCTCCCGCCTCAAAGAGTGCGTTTATCGTCGCATCTTCGATCATGTCGATATTTCGCTCTTTGGGCGTCCAGCGATCGGCATCGTTTTGTACCTCCACCTCCGCTGCCGTCGAGAAAGCCAAGAAGATGTCGCCCGAAGGGTTCGCTCCCCATCCACCCGCTCGTGAAAGGCCTACGGTACCCCTCTTTGCAAGACGCTGCAGTTGGATTGGAGTAAGCGGAGCATCCGTGGCCAATATGATGATGATGGAGCCGTCCTTTTTGTCCTTGTGCTCTTGGATGTTTTTGAAGAGGAGGGAGGCTTGCGACATGAGTTTCGGATTCGACGGATCGTCGCGAGCCATACGCTCCTGTTCCTCGAAGATGAGACGGCCGATGGGCGCACCGGAAATGCGGAAGTCGCGCATAGCGCCATAGTTGGCTTGCACGAGCGCACCGACAGTGTACTTCTTCTCGCCTTCCCCAGGGACGAGGCGACTGCTCGATCCAGTTCCGCCTTTGAACCAGTGCGCAAGCATGCCTGTTCCTCCACCCGTGTTACCCTCTTTTACAGTATCACTGCTCGCCTCGTCGATACCTTTGACGATATGTTGGGGCGTGACAGCGAATTTGGAGACGTCGTGAAGGAAGCCGTCGAACGTCTCTGCCACTACCGGAGTAAGGAACCAGCCTACTTTCCCTTCTGCGTCGGCATATTCACGGATTGCATGCTCGTAGATACCATTGTACGCAGACCCGACACCGAAGCTGCCGGTGATGACGATGGGGGAATGCAAGAGTCCGGTTTCCTCGATCCAATGGCTGCCCGTCATCTCTCCAGAACCATTGAAGCGGAAGATGCCTGCAAAACAGGCTTTGTGGAACCAGTCTTTGCGCGGAAGGATGGTGGTAACGCCTGTGTTGATCGAATTCGCAGGCGCATTCGGATAGGCTGGCGACGAGCGAATCGATTGTGTGGAGACGAGAACACCAGGTATGTCCGTGAGACTATTCTTTGAGCCGGTTTGATATCGTCCCAAATTGACAGTGGGGAGAAGGTCGCGGACACGCTGACGTGGAGTGGAGGATGAAGCTGATTGAGACATTTCGGGATGAGGAGCGATGAAGTTGGTATCTGCTTGATTGATGCTGATGTAGATGCAACGATATCGACCATTCACTCTGGCTTAAGTAGAATTTCGGAATTCGGTGTTCCTCCACTTCTATCGCGCCCCCTTCATCCCCGCTTTCTGGCGACAATAGCAATGAACTGTTCAGGTACGGATTGGTACCAGCATTGTTCGACTACCGTGTGGTGAAGAGTCACACTCACTTTCGATCCTTGATGTTCATGTTGCGATCCTGCATCAGGCAGACCACCTCAATGCCTGGGTCCTCAACGTGGGGCTGTCAAGGGAGCCAATGGCCCAGAGAGGAAGGTGAGACATTAGCGGGGCACTTGGGAGTCATAGCTGCAGCAAGGTGCAACCCCGACAACGCGACTCATCATATCGTGTTCCAACGTTGGGGGTAATATGTCAGAGTGCGCAGCATTGATGGCATGGAGCGTAAGAGTCATACGTGTGGATCGATTGCAACGCTGAAACGTGATCACTTAATGAGGCTACCTTCCCGGCCCCTCCTTTGCATAGCCAACTAGTGCTCTACACGGTGCATTTTGAGCGTATGTGGAAGCTAGCAGCAAATTTCATTCTATCAACCAAGCATGGCTTGTCCTTTCTCAGTCTCCGATCCTCAGGATCTCTGCAGCTCTCAGCACCGCCTTCGCACTCTTCTCCACCCACTCCTCGGCAGCCGTTCGATTGCCTCCGTTGACGTTATCGGTAACAGCGGGAAACACGTCAGCGCCATAGCCGTTGTCAATCCCAGGTGCACTAATAACGTTCTTGAATGTTTGTCGGCCTGGCAAACCTCCTGCACTCGCGAAACCCCTCGGGAAATCGCGATATTTGCTGTTTACCACGCCCAACATGTTCGTATCATTGAAGGCGAGTGCTTGTTGGCCTATCTTGCTGATGGTTTCCGCCCGTTTGGTGAACTCTGCGATAGCGTCGGCGAGGGCGCCCAGGTCTAAATCGGCAACGTCCGAGGTGGTGACGGTCTCGTTCAGCTCAGACAAGTAAGACGAGAGCACTGTAGCAGCATGGGGAAGGTCCCATGGGATGAGCGGATCATCGGCAATGTGGTAAACTATCAGGCTCAAGAACTGGCCCATGGCAGTATGGATCTTGAAACCGGGGTCCCCAAAGGTGGACATCCAATGGTAGGAGTCGTAGTTGGAGTGGTAGTGATATACGGGATCTTTTTTGCCGTTGCTACTGCCAACATCGATAGCTGCGATACCGTTTTGATAGAAGCTCGCGTAGTCGCTACCACTTCCTAGCGGCGAGATGGTGCCTTCAGTACTATTGAACCACATATCGTAAAGTGTTGCGAAGTCACCATAACCCTCTGGGTACAAGATCTTCTTCATCTGCTCAACGACGAAGGTCTGTATCTCACCTGTTCCGTCAAAGTTTGTGCGTGGACCAGAGACGCCCACGTCCATGTTTAGGTAGGCGACAGTTGTAGTCTGGAGCCACGGGAGATGAGTTTCGACCCACTCAGTGGAGCCCTGGAGGCCAAACTCCTCAGCATCCCAGGAGCCTAGAATGCTACCAACAAATCAGCAAAATTGCTATGAGACTGCAGTAGAGAACTTACATCGTACGTCTTGGCTTCCATCCCTTGGCAAGGAGCTTTCCGAATGCATTTGCCAATTCAACAAGGATAGCACTGCCAGAGTTTGGGTCTGCTGCTCCGCCAATGACCCACGCATCGCGATGATTGCCTACGACCACCACTTCGTCCGGGCTCGTACCATTGATCACACCGATAACGTCCCAGACAGGCGCAATGTAGCCTTGCATTTCATGGTCAATGGAAATCATCGCGCCCGGAGTTGGACCTGAGTCATAGGTTACGTTGTCGAAACCGCCTTGCCAGCCGCTGCGATTAGCCTTCTCAGCGGAAACACCGTTGCCTTCAAGAGCTGCAAGCAATGGAATAGCATCTTTCATCGAAAGCGGAATCGATGGAATCGATGGGTTGTATGGTTTCGTGTCTCCACGCGAAGAGTTCCATGAAGATGCCCATCCAACAGCTGCACACGCAAAAAGGCAATTGTAAGCAGTTGTCTCACAGAAGTCCTGGCAATCACTCACTCGTCGGATCTCCAGAATAGAGTGAGGAGAACCTGACGCTGCCTCGCTGTATAGATGATGGATTGCGCGCCGGCCCATCTACGCCTTGTAAGCCTTTGGCACCAGGAGACATGCACCTTGATTGAACTTACTAGGATACGCCTCGTAGCCGTTCGCTTCGGTAACTTCACCGTCATCAAGAGGATCCGTGAAGATAACGCAGCCTGCCATGTCGTTGTCCTGGGCATTTTTTACCTATGAAAGGTCAATAAGAAGGACTGTCTATTCGAAACTTCAATTCGTCACCTTTGTACCACGATAGATGCCGCCATAGTTTGCGAGCGCGATCTTGCCTTTCAGCTCGATACCCGCATCCTTTAGCACCTGGAAGTCCGCGCGCGTACCGCGCCTGTTCCCGGGTTAACGCTGATTCATGTCAAAATGCAAGCTTGGTACGTACCCTACATAGATATACTCTGCCGTAACAGTGCCCGAAGCACTCATGCCATGGTAAGCGGGAATGAGGTTTGGGTATGAGCTCGTATCATCCTCCGCAAGCACCTCTTCTACAAGATTAGCTTCATGGGTTGTGTTGTCCGGCCTTATCAAGGTCAAGCTACTGTGCTATGTTGATTTAGCTTGTATTAATATGCGCAATGTAGATGCCACTGCATACCTCAGGGTATGTCACCCAGATTGGGAACTCCTCGAGCCAGGAATCGAAGCCAGCATCTCTCCACTTTTGGGCCGTCCACTCAGCCATACTCTTATTGTGGCTTCCTAGATGATCGCCATGGGTGTAGTAATAACTCCACTCCGAGATAGACTTGTTATCGAACGAGTTTACCAGAATAGTCTCTATCTCGCTTAGTGATGGTGGATACTCGACTTCAGCACGTTTTGCATGGCGATTGTGCTCTTGGTGGTGGAGCGAACGGCGTGCTAGCGCATCCCAGTCCTTTTGGCAAGCATCTGCAAGATTGCCAAACAATAAAACTGCACTTAGCACTCGATACATGGTGATGTTCTGGTGATTTCGCTCAAACTCTGGTCCCAGGCGAGGTACAAGAGGTACAGCAAGTGCGCAGCAGCAGCTTCTTATTATTGTCTCGGATAGCCACCCTAGAGTATACGTGCAGCGGCATGACAAGCCTACAAATCAACGTGTTTAACACAATCCAGGTGTGCAGACTGGAGCCTGCGTCACCGGCAGATATTGCGCTCAGATGATAGCCATATTTGTATAGATCGATGTCGTGGTGCTTCGCAGCTTCCTCATCTAGCAGCGCGTCTACCGCTTGCAGGTGTATGGCTAGCCCGATACTGCATGAGGTAAGCGACTTGTCACCAATCCATCGGCAACATTGGTTGCAGATCTGAGTTACGATAATCAAAAATGAAGAAAAGCGTATGAAATGCTCAGTCAGTGTACACTATTGGTAACGGTCATCACAGCGGGGTAAGCCTTGGCGTGGACGGCGGGTCATCCAAGGAGACCATAGTCGTCTCCTCTTGGCAAACATCACCGCAGAGAACGGGAATATGAACGACGGTCCATGGAGGTATCAAGGTAAACGCTTACGATGTACGATAAGCAGTCTTGGCGAGGCTTCCCCGCAGGAACCATTGTTTGTCTTCCCGGCCACGTTTGGAGGAAATTCTCAAGATACTGTCAGGGAACTGATTCACGATCTGGCGCAGCAGCAGTAATAGTTAGTTTCAGACAGGCCGAGAGATGAACATACAAATGAACCAGTAAAATTATGTATGAGCCTCGCGCTTCACCAATTTATTCCGCACAGAGAAACAGCATCCGATAGCCAAGGAGACATGCTCGCTCTTAGATATCCAATACCCCGCTTGTTGTCGTCAGAAAGTCATGAGCCGCGTTATTACAACAGTGTGGTAAAAAGAAAATTTAGGAAAGGAAAGACTGTCGTATGCCAGCATCGAAGTCCAACAGACCAGCCCTGCGATGGGTTGGCAGTACGCACATGTATAACGTAGACCCTAGAACGATTCCTGGATGACATCTTTCAGGAATGGCAGCCAATCAACCTAAGGACGATATGGTGGCGGTGGGTCATCGTCTCTAACTTCTCCGAGGGCAGTCGAAAACGAGGGGGCATAGTGTCCAGAGGCCGGAGCCTGATGGCTGTAGGTTTCCCAATTATCATCCACAGTCTGTCTCCCACCAGGTCGGACCGGGCTGTATGTTTGGGTAGTGCGGTTGTTGATAAGGGCAGGGGATGACACGGCAAATCCGTGGTTCCCGTATGGCGAGCTCATAGGCGACTGCGGAATTGGCGAAAGTTGTGAATTCTGTCGGCGCGATGGAAGTTGCGGGTCGTCGGCGACATGACTTGGTCGATAGCCGTTTGCGATAGGCATGCGCGATATCGTTGCCATGGAGTCAGCTCGTTGAAGCGGTTGTATTATCTGCGGGGGAGGTGCATATTGCTGCTTGGGAAGCGGTCGCCGCGGAATCATGAATGACTGCGGCTGTGAGGCATGGCGACCATTGTGTGGCCGATGCGGTGGAGGCTCAGTGTGGGGACGATGCGGCGGAGGATAGGGTGGTTGAGGGCGATGTGGTGGCGCATGTGATACATAGCCATACTTCTGTGGTGGGATGTCGTGTTGAGGATGCGACGGGTAACACGGCTGCGGTTTTGCACCAGGAAAGGTGTTGTGGCGTCGCTGCTGGGCCTCCTGTTCGAGCCTCTTCTTCTCGTTCTTGTTCTTCTGATAGCGGTGGAAGAAATAACCTCCCGCAACAATCTCCAATCCGCCAAGGATGACCATGTCAGCGTGTTCGAGGACCTATGTCGCCACCACGGGCGTGCGCGTACTGTGGGCCGAACTTGAGATCTGCGGAAGTAGGAAGTGGGAACGGGAAACTGAAGGGGAAACCTGGAATGTGAGGTGTTTTTCTGGCGGTGGCTCAGCCTCCTCAGCGCTCACAAAGGGCTTGAAAGCGGATAGGGCGGACGGCTGTCAGGGTGGCGGAGCAGGAAAGCTGCACCCTGACCGACCAATCATGAGCCATTGCTGCTTAGCGAATATCTGCGCTCAATACATTTCATGGCACACCGGAGAGTATAGTGCGCGGTGCGAATACAAACACCTACCAAAGTCGATTGTTCTCATTTGCATTGTTGTGGTGTTGAAGAGTGCATGTTTTGGAGGTGGAACGTGCACGGAAGGTGCAAACGGGATGTCGGCTGCGCCTTCCGCCAGCAACCTGGCACACCATTGGACGGGATTAATATCCTGCAGTTATTCCCGCATACTACATGCTCCAACGAGCATCTTGACAAAGCATGCCGCCCAAAAGGGTATTGCTTGCGAGTTAGGACCTGCAGCAATGTGAACCTACACACCATAAATTGCTGCTCTGCATTCCGTACCCTCCTCTTCTCTGTTCCCAAACATGTCGACCACAACCGTGATTGAGACCGGGTCCGCCAACCCAGCACACATTGAGCTGCAGCCGATTCGGACAAGTCCACGTCCTTCAATACGCACAGTAGCAAGAATACAGCAGGACGGCCTCATTTTGGACAAGACCAACTTCGTTCGAATCCTGACAATTGGCTTCTCGTACATTTTCGCTGGACTGAACGATGGCAGCTTGGGTGCTTTGACTCCTTACATTCTCCGTACCTACCGCGTGGGTACGGCGCACGTAGCTTTAATCTATGCTGCTTCTTTTGTTGGCTGGCTACTCGCGGCAGCTACTAACAGTCACTTGGTCCACCACTTCCAACTCGGAGCCATCCTCACTATCGGAGCCGTTTTGCAACTCGCGGCGCATCTGTTTCGATTCTGGACTCCACCTTTCGGGCTCTATGTAGTTACCTTCTTCATACAGTCCGCAGGTATGGGCTACCAAGACAGCCATTCGAACAGCTACGTTGCTTCGATACAGGGCAGTCATCGGTGGTTAGGCTTTATCCACGCTATGTACGCGCTCGGCTGTCTCATTGCCCCGTTTGTCGCGACTGCGCTTGCTGCCAGGATAGGCGATCGATGGCCTCTATTTTACCTCTTTCTCGTTGGTATTGGAACCATCAACATTGTGACCGTCCTAGTATCCTTTCGCGACAGCCTCAAGGTTCAGGACAAAGTGTCATCGTCGGAGATAGTCGAAGAGGGGGCTCATAATCACGGCAACTCAGCATCTCGTGATATTCTTGACACGCTCAAGTCCCCACCTGTATATCTCATATCGATGTTTTACTTCTTCATGCTTGGCGTGGGCATAACTGCCGGTGGCTGGATCGTCGAGTACCTCGTCTCAGCCCGAAATGGAAAACTCCCGGATGTCGGATACGTGCCTACGGGTCTCTGGGGTGGTATTTTCCTAGGAAGGGTCCTCCTTTCCGAGCCCGCGCATCGTTTTGGGGAACGAAGGATGGGTCTGGGCTGTTGTTTGATGATCCTCGTGTTCCACCTCATCTTCTGGCTAGTACCTAACTTGGTCAGCAGCGCCGTGTCCGTCTCGCTTCTCGGATTCTTCTATGGACCCTTGTTTGCTACTGTAAGTTTGACTCTTGACGAGACTCCCCAATACTCAATGAAATACAGGGCATGTCCATTGCCTCGAAGATATTCGACAAGAGGATACAGGCAACTGCAATGGGGTTAATCTTCGTACTTGCCCAGGCCGGAGGCGCGTTATTCCCTTCGATAACTGGTGTCATTGCGAGTCAAGCTGGTGTCAAGGTCATGCAGCCGATTTTGGTTGGCCTGATTGTTGCTATGGGAATTTCTTGGACGTTGATACCAAAAGTGCCGAAGCGTGACGACTAGTCATACTCACACGTGGGAAGGATGCGGGCTCAAGTACCTGCCATGAGCAATCAACCCCGGCTATGATCCATCACATAGTCGATCAAGCCTCCTGCGACCGGATAGCAAATGAACGCCATCTCTCTATCATCCTTGCTACGAGCTCGCATCCGAACGAAGCTCTCATCGATATGGAAGATATAGCTTTGAGGGGCCACTCGAGTTCATGAGGGTGATCCTCACATAGAGAAGATTCAGAACACGCAAAATATTAACATTCATACTCTTTCCTTAACATGGGTACTATATTTGCAACGAAACTACTCAGCTTTGAGATCTCCAGGACATAATCTCAACAGGCAACCCTGCGCGACCTCTTGATTATCACTGCTCACTCCGTTGGGCTGGCCTCGAAAACCCTAACCCACATATTCTGTTCAATCCATACACTGTAGCTCACCGAGTGCCATGGACTGGCGGGATTGACGAGCTGCCAATCGAAGTGTCGCATCAACTGGAGCGGCAAGTGTTAATTTATAGTCTGCCACTTCGATGCGCAGCTTTCCATACCTCAAAGAAGACCTTGTTTAACTCCATGAAAGCTATAGGCTTGCCAGCGCACATCCACCGTCCGTAACCGAATATCAACTCCACGTTCCGTTCCATCTCGACTCTCTTGGGTTCGTCAACTTCCAAGAACCGCTCTGGTCGGAATACATCCGTATCTTCTCCAAACAGAGTTTTGGAGCACAAAACGGAGGAGGTGTTCATTCCGATTGCAGTCCCCCCGGGTATGAGTTTACCGTGGATAATGTCGCCTTCAGGTGGCACTGTCTTGGGATAAAGACCTGGAGCTGGAGATCGCATACGGAGGCCTTCGTATATTAAAGCCTCCAGCATATCAGCTTTTGACTCTACTAATCACAAACAGCTCAGAAGCTACGGACCTGGAGATAAGGTATTGCTCTCGCTTGCTCAACCGTGATAGGAGACGAAACGCCTGCGCGCACAGCAGCTGCAACCTCGGACTTGAACTTTTGATATACGTGGGGCGTACTGATGAGGTAAAGCATCGTGGTGCGCATCACGGATGCTGTAGTATCGGAGCCAGCGAATATCATGAAGATGCATTCTGCCTCACACTGTTCCTGCGAGTAGCCATGCTTGAAGAAAGACGACTGCACATAACTCAGTGTCATCAAAGGGATGCCTCGGGGCATAAAGGCTTACTAGCATGGTGTTTTCACTATCCTTTCCCGCTGCTGCGAGATGCTCTTTGACACGATTAGCAGCGATACTACGTGATGTTGTCAGAGATTTGTGTATTTCCAGTGCTCGTCTTACTCACTGCATTAATCTGCCCATCCCTTTCTGGTGGTGAGTTTTAGGCCCAAATACCTTCAGAAAGGTTGGTGAAAATAGAATGTTCCGGATGAATGGCACATCAACAGCCATAGCCATCGTAGGCAAGTAGTCTCTGATGCTTTCCAGGAATCCGTACAAATCCTTCTCAGCTGGAAGGTACCCAAAAGGCCTCCCGAAGCCGGCGTTCGTGATAACATCAATGGTAAAGAAGGAAGACAATTCCGAGAAGTCTAGGAACTTCGTCTTCTTCTCTCCTGGCTCGGAGATGTACCTGTCTCGGATAGTCGATAGAAGAATCTGGACTTGCTCATCCACGCCTTTCTCCAGATTTGTGGCTTCTCGTCCACTATACGCGCCGGCCGTTTGTGCTCTCATTCTATCGTGAGCTCCAGGATCCATGGTTGTGAACATCGTCTTTACATAGGGGTTAAGCTGCGACCCTAGGTACCAGTCATCTTTGCCGTATGAGCTTCGAGCTCCGGAAATCATTCGGAGCACCTCAGGGTCGTCCGTAGTCAGCTCATTAGGTCCAACTCGCACCAGAGGACCATATTTCTGATTGAGGCCGCGATATTTCTGGTACTGCTTGCCGCTTGCCGCCACGCGTGCGAGCCATAGATACGAAAAAGACGCGAGTGTGGGTCCGGGAATATGTCGTAGTCGATACCAGGAGGTGAATGTTAGAATCGAATACCAAACGAGAGCAGCGCCTGCCACGAACGGCCATAGGCGTACGAGGCTGAAGTCTTCGGCAAGCATCGTATCAGGCTGAAGCTGCTAGAAGTTTGGCGCAGGCAGAACGAGGGCACCCATCACACTTTTGTAGTTTGTATCTGGTATGACGATCACCCACTTGCAGGAAACATGCCCCATAAAGTCATCAAGCTGTTATCGCAGTGGTACTGCAGAAGCGGGGTCTGTAAATCTTGCCTCGATCGATAGGTTTTAACATACTCGCCAGACGCCCAGCGCAGCGGTTTGCCCTTGTACGTGCATGGCCGTCACACAAACTATGTTAGCAATGGACGCGCCTTTCAAGATATCACATTCAATTCACTACGGCTTTGCTTGATAAGGTGATGACCGGTGATGGCGAGCTTTGAGTAGAGGGAGGGTCTATAACGCTGCGAAACATCAACCGCAGCTGAGTTAAGATCAAACAGGAGCCATGGAAGACGATATCTACATCATCCAATATTAATCTTCTCGGTTGTCTATATGATCGACAAAGAGCAGAACTTGACACATGTGAACATCAGAGGTTTTGTCAACCAACCTCGTCCAAAGCTATTGGTTCGTCATTCGGCGTCGAGAGCCACTGGGAGCTGTACCGCGTCTTATATCTCGATAGATTCTTAGCATTAGAGAGCAGCTCCCGCGTATATGAGGTCGTTCTCTGACAAGCAAGTGAAACCCTGTATAATCATGCGGGCAAAGACAAATGCTCGGGCTTGGTATCCATGCGAAACACTGATCTGAAAAGCATCGAGGTAGGCTCTGACAATCGAGTCGCCCGGACAACCCCGGAACTCCCTACGCAGGTACCAGAGCAGCGAGAGGCAATTTCTCAGAGCCGTGTGAGGGTGATTCCTTCGTTGTTTCTCACGTCCAATGCTTCTCTCAAGGTTCTTATTTTGATTGGCAGCACCAGCTTGCACTGTCTTGCCAAGGAAGTGCGCAAAATTGGCATTCGTAGGTGAAACCGAACCATTTTTCTAGCAAAGCGCATCGATTAGCACCCCCAAGGCCGTCATCGTCGTCAGATGATATCGTGGTATCGTTTTTAATAGGCCTCAGCGAGTAGACAGTCCGATGCTTTTTATCAGTGTCTCACGTGCTGATGGCGTTTGGAAGGAAGCTGTAATTAATGAAGGAGATTTCGATAACATCGCCGCGTCGTGTCCACACGGGGAATGCATACTTATTATAGATGGCGCTGAAAGGAGACTTCAGTAGTCGATTTTGGTGGTCTTGAGGGAATTCGCGCTCGAATTTTTTGCCTAATATACGCTAAGAAGTATGTGACAATGACTTCAAGCGTAGGGGAATGGCATTCTCGAGCTCTTTGGTGACCTCGTCTCTGGCATCCTCATACGGCGCTGTAGGTAGCGCTTTCTCGTAAATGATTTGAGAGCCCGGAGGGATGTCTTGACGCGCCACCGCACCCCTGCCTTTCCCGGGAATACAATGTATCTCGACAGACTGGTCCTATCGGTCAGTGTTAACATTGCTAGCCGGGAAAGCCATTGTCAAAGTTCATACCAGAGCACAGTTAGCTATGATGAGAAACAACATTTGACAGTGTATTGCTTACCTGTTTCTTTATCCGTTTTTCTTGCTGCTAAATGGTTCAGAAGAACGATTCAGACGTTGTTCAAACAGCGGTGATCGTTGTGAGGTTCGGAACGGCGTCTCTGGATAGACTGGTGGTTGTACGGGAAACCAGGTAGAAGGCCAGAATAAGGCGGAGCAAACAGCCCTCAAGTCGTCTGTCGCGCGTTCGCCTCACATTCACCGTTTGATCCGCCGATTCCTTTCTCAACATTTGTGTTATGGCACAATCCAGCCGACCACTCCAAAGTCAACACTTCAGTTTTCCTAGGCTAATTGCGGCCTCTCCAAACTTCCTTATCTGGAAATAGAACAGGTGTCGATTGCAGGAGGACTCGAAGGACCACAGTGTTTTTCTTGATTCGTTGGGCAAAGAGTCCAACCGCATACGCAGCGTCATGTGTCATACTAGCGCATTCAAGGCAGGTGGGGTTTCAGATGATTCATTAGTGGGGTGATTCGACTGCAGGACAACCACAGCGCTGGATCGACATGAGCGTCAATCAGACGAAGCCACGCTTTCAAACTCAAGAAGAATTTTCATGAGGACGCGAGTCGGGAAGAAGTAAGACGTACTTTTGAAGAACACCTGGAACCCTAATTATAATTACCCCAGAGCTATACACGTCCGTGCTAACTCCAGCAATGCCATGCCTTCATACACCTTGCCTCTTCGCACTCCATTTGAGCCTTTGCCATGCCGTTATTACCCATGCCAGGTACCCAATCCTGTGCGAGGTCTCGCCCGACCGCTGCACGCGTAAATCATGACCTTCGTGACCTTTGTACGACTCAATCGACAGCATTTAACGGCTTCTGCGCCCAAACAACATAATAGTTGTGCTGCAGCAGCATCCTCGGGTTCTTCAACTCCTTTCTCAATTCGGCGCAGAGAACCTTTACCTCCTCCGGGCTCCAGCCCCAGGCATTCTGGTAGATTCTCATCGTCAAGGCCTCCAGGTTGTCCAAGAACTGGACGAGGTTAAAGGCACCGATCTCTTTGAGCTTCTTGTCTTTGGGCCAGGTACCGACCGGGAAAGGGAAGGTGCGCGCTTCGATGTTCGTGAAACCAGCTTCGGCAACCCAGCCTTCAATCTTAGCGCTGCGGATGGTCAGTTAACATGAGTGCAATGAAGAAAGAGAAAATAGGTACCCGGGGTCTGGCTCTGTGCCGAATTTTCGCACTCCATCGGCAATCTTGTCCGCCCATTGGCTGAGTTTGGAGTCCTTTGTATACTCGCCACCGCGGGTGTAGAATCGAGTGTCAAAGTCTGCTTCTTGTCAGCTGGTTCCAGCTAGTGATGTGCCTGACACACCTTGGAATTCAACCCATGCGCCTGGCTTGACGAACCTGTATCGTGTTAGCTTACCCTCACTGACTAGAGGAGGATGACCAACTTGTAGCACTGTCGCATCAACTTTGGCCAGTCTCGGATGGAGCACGCGAGATACCGGACGTGGATATAGTCGAACTTGGTAGAGTAGACCCACTCCTCCTCTAAATCGTCGACTTCAAACTTTACGTTGGGCGGGACGAGGTTAGGTTGTATGGGACTGATGTCGTTTCCAAGGATCTCTGCTGATGGGTATTTGTCTCCCATGTCAATTGCCCAACTACTCGCAAGTCAGAATTCCGAAGTTTCTACGTCTCAGACAAAAGCGCCTTCGTACTGGGGAGTCATACATTCCTGTGCCCGTGCCTACATCTAATATCCGCTGCGGGTTATCACCGATAGGTGCGAGGTGAAGTTCGCCACCCAAGCTGAGTGTTTGTATGTGATGGTAGAGATCCAGCCTATCATTTTCTTCCTTGGCCTGGTCAGTTTGAACTGGCCGCTCCGCGAGAGCACACATACATCGTCGTTGGGCCAGAAGTACGTGGCTTCGTCCTTGTATCCGTGGTAGCGCCGGCCATTCTCGAAACGGTAGCTGCCACCTGTTAACCAAGTGGTCGCGCTTGGTAGTGAGTGGAAAGATGTACTTCAAGACAGTAGACTTCAGAGACGTCGTATAGCTCTCCCTATTGAACATCGACTGGTTAGGTCGTGTCACTTTTGTAGCTCACTGTCAGAGACTCACAAGTCGTCGCCGTACGCCGAATCACCATCTTCATCAGCCTAGCAGGTCGTCAGTGTCTGCAAGCGCACAGACGGTCTTGGTGCTAACCTCAAGCGACTCCGCTTCGACATCAACGGCTGGAACAACCATTGCACCCTGCTGACTGGTGGGGCTAACAGGCGCTGGACTCCCCGAGGCGGATAGGGACGTTCGCGCTGGCGGCGACGCCATGATCACCGTGGTCGCGCTTTGCGTCGAGACTTGCAGGAACAATCAGTGGCAGGCTCCCGCGCGTCAGTAGGACAGGCGGGGTGTTGTATATGAGCAGGCTGGGTGCGCGGCCGCTCTGTCGGATCCTACACCGCAGCAGTGACACACGGCATAGTATACACGGTGATCAGCTCTGCACGGCCAGCATACAACGAGGGAAATACTCCGACAGCCGCCTTTCGTGCGAGTCTAGGCGCGCGTAAACGGACAGATATGCGCTGCACAATCGACATTGCCGCCGGGCGTCCAGCGTGGCCGGCAGTAGGCACGGTGAATTGCGAAACCACATGCAGGCCTAGTTGATGCGCACTAGCTCTGAGAGGCATGACTGCGCCGCGGCCCGACAGGCTGCGGGTGTCTCCGTGATCGTCTTGCAGGGGCTTGCGTTTACCATTTCCTGCATTCACGCGTGCCGTTTCGGTTTGCCATGGGTGCGTCGAGAATCCTGCCACGCGGCAGCCATGGTCACAAAGCGCCCACAAACGCCCACATCTACATACCATTCATTCGTCTGTAGGTTCATTATGCGCGCCTGCTATCCGCCAGTATGGCTCCTCGCCGAACAATCTACTCCCACTCAGAGCCGCGCCAATCGGTCCCGGGTGAGCATCGCTATCTCCGATTGTTGCGCCTGTTCGCTGTGCGGTGTATGTGCGTGGTGTTACACCGCCACTCAACAACCATGCATCATATCTGCGCTGTTGGTACGATACCGGTTAGCCTTCCTCAACACCGTCCTTGGGTGCTTTCCAGTGCAGCACCCGGATAATGTTATCGGTCGATTGACGGTGGCTGGTCAACGCCACGAGACCGACGCGAAGAGGCTGCGCCGTCGGAACCTGTCCGACTCCCGCGTGCTTACGTGCAGTTATTGTCTACCCAGTCAGGACATACGCATACGGAAACTTGTTTGTTGCCGACGGAAATACCAAATTCTCGCCAAGCAGGGATTGAACCCTGATATGCCAGCGAAGGTCTACGGATTGTAAAGAAGTTCTACATTTCCTGCTTTTCTGCTGACTGGAATTGTCATTTTACCCATCACAGAAGCCAGACGCCTTGTTGTAAGAATCTCCGTCATATGCGTCCGGTTTTACTTTTGCTCGCTCACTGTGTACATCGCTGGTGGTACACAACAATCCAACCCCGTTTCAGGCTAGCGCATCTCACATGTTACGCCCTCGACTCAACTTCGGTCGTCACTTTACAGTAGAAGGTAGCAGATCACGTTGAAAAGCCAGGAAATCTTGCTTGAAGACTGTCTAAAGCACTCTCAATTCCTCATCCTAAGCAATTCGAGACCTGGCCCAACACCAACTCCCAGCTTCTGCTTTGGTATTACTTGAACTAACCTTGCAGCCTCAACCCCAACCATGCGGCAATGTCACCCTCATCCAAGTCCTCCATCCTCGGCTCCATCGCCCAAATCTGCCTCGTCACACCCTCCTTCCACAGAACCCTCTCCGGCTCCGCCCTCGGCACAGGCCGCTTCCCGATCTTCCACTTCACCTCTCAACCCGTGCACTTAGTCATGCAGCCGGTGCGGGGACCGGCACTGATGGCCGACTTCCTTGAGAAGAACGGAGGGAGAGAAGGCGTGCAGCACGTAGCGTTCGATATGAATGAGCTTGGGATGGACGAGCGCAAGGCTTTGATGAAGGAGAGGGGGTTTGAGGTGGCCATGGAGGGCGAGTGGCTGGAGAAAAAGGGCGTGTGCCATTTTGTGGTCTTCGATACGGAAGGCAGGACAGGTGCAGTGATTTGAACCGATACAGTTCCGCGACGACTGGGAAGATCCCGAGTGTGAGTGGTGGCCGCATACGTCTGGGTTTTTGCCATGGAGGTCCGAATGTTGACACGAAGCAGTTGACTGGAGCATTAGGCGGATGGTGTAGGTCCAGGGAAATACTATCTGGGCTTCGAAATAGACTTTTTTCTACCCCACACATACACTGCAAGCTAAACATACTATGCAGGCAAGGAACCAAAACACAAAGACCAAGTGACAGTGCCAATCTTGTCCCCTTTTCTTCATACCATGAATAAATCGCATCACGCCAATTGGTATCCCATGCCGTGCCAGACGTTCCGCACTCAAGTCTCACAGCCTCACTCACACACATATCGTACGATCCTCCCAGCCGAACAAGTTACGAAGGCAAGGCTGGTTGGCCGTGAAGCTCTATTTCTGACCACCATTCCCCCCGCGAGACACTATTTCCAAGATCATGTCCCTGGCGTCCTCACATCCCTGCTTAGAGCCCACAATCTCAATAGCCTCATCCTTAGCTTGGTCGCGCGGTACCTGTACCTTCGTGCCAGTCTTCTTGCGGATGCTGTTGATTGTGCTACCGCCAGGGCCAACAACGAGCCTATAGCTGCGCGGGTCCGGAAGGATCAGGTAACCGTGAGCAGAAGGCTTCGATGCAGCCTCGATAGCCTTCTCCAGCACCTGGCGGGCCTTGGGGAGGTTGTCAGCAGGTCCACGAAGGATCCAAGGAATGGTGGCAGATGTGTCGACTTCTCCAGCGGCGGGATTGTGCTCTACAATTTCCCAGGAGTGTGCGTCCGCTCCGGCGGTGGTATCATCGGTGATGAGAGGCAGATCGCCGTTCGCACCCTTTCGAGCCTTGCCGCCTTGCTCTTGAGTCGGCCTAGCTGGTACCTGCTGGCCGGCATGGTCGACTGTCACCTTGTGCTCATTACGGAGACGGCGGAAAAATTGGCCGTTGTCGGAGATAGAATGATGCAGGTGGCGCGGCACCTGTATAGTCTCGCCTTCCTGGCCCTTGACCAAGTCAAGAATATGTTCCTTGGCCTGCTGCACCTGGGCCGGCTCTCCAGAGATCTTCACCTGCGACCGTGCGGCACCGTTGGTCGATTGCTTGGGGACGTCAAGCTGGATGGCGAACTTCTCTTCCAGAGATCGACGAGTCTCACCGCCGCGACCAATTAGTAGTCTATGTTTGTCGGGTGAGATCTCCACTATTTCGATTACTTGCTTCTCCAGAGTGTCCACTTGAGCCTGCAATGAGGCCACAATCTTTTCCACTACATTCTTGGGTCCCTCAACACGGATCACAGATTCATCTGTCTCGGGGCGCGGGAATCGAACCATGCGCGCCAACTCGCGTGAGTTGTCAGGCCCGCCGGCAGCGATAACGATTGAGCGAATATTGGAACCGCTTCCGCCGATGAGGGATCGGTGATGCTTCCTATCCACATCGAGGGTCTTCACGATGGTGTCATCGAAAACCTTCGCACGCTCCTGCAACAACTTCTTGGCCTCCTCGACTTGCTTCTTGGTACCCTTGAGCTTGATCTCAGCGCGACCAGAAGGATCAGCACCTTCACGAGCGCCAGGGACATCGATTTGACATCCAGTTGCATATCGGAGATTCTCCATCTCTCGGCCACCCGAACCAATTAATTGAGGAACTTGACTCTGTGCAACGAAAACACTATCGGCGTGGGAGTTGTCGATGGCATACTGCAACAGGCTAAGGATTTCGTCACGAGCCTCATCTGCGCCCTTGCGTGGACCGCGAACAATGACCTCGTCAGGAGCCTGAGCGCGGAAATTGCGCTGCGATGCACCCTCACCAGCAGCCTCGTCATCGGCCTTTCCACTGGATCGGGGGAAGTTGATGCGGACGTTGTAGCGCTCTTGCAAACGGTTCACAGTACTTCCCTTAGCACCAATCAAATCGCGATGGTACTGAGGCTTGACCTTTAGAGTATGAGTAGCCTCATCCGCAAGGCGTTTTCCAAGGGCTTCAATATGGGCTTTACAGGCGTGGGCTTTGGCCTGGGGACCCTTGAGCTCAACCTTCCCATCGTTGACTTGGATGTCCACGTCGAATTCTTCTCGCAATTTCCGAATGTTCTCGCCGCCCTTGCCAATGAGGAAGTTGGCATATTTCTGTGGGAAGTCAAAGGAAATTGTGTACCCGCGCTCAAGCTCATCCTTCTTCTCCTGCTCGATGAAAGCAAGGACCTTGGAATGCAGGTCCTCGAGTGCATCAACAGGTCCACGCATGCCGAAGTTGTTGCTCGAAGCGCTAGCATTGGGGCGACGGTCGCCGAAGAGCAGCTGAATGGGAATCTGATCTTGGCTGAGACCTTGCTGCTCTTTTTCGACGAAGCGCTGAATTTTTGGGTGGAATTTGGCATGCGCCTCGATATCTCGAGAAGCAAGTTCTTGCTGCTTGCTTGTTAAACCTTGGATGAAAGCCTGAGCCTCTCGCAGCGCCTTTTGATACGCTTGTACATCAGCAGAGGGTGGTGCACCACGAGGGACGACATATTCGGCTTGGGGAGTGGGACCCTCGTAAACAAGGACGAGCTCAGGCGACTCATCTGTTTCAACTGGGAAGACAATATGCACACCCATGTTGTCGCGCACATGCTGTGCATTTCGCGCTCGTAGGTGTTGGTGATAAAACGGGTCTACGTTCACCGTCGAAAATCGCGACGGTGGGTGACCGGCAAAGATACTCATGATGTCGCTACGCGCCTTCTGAGTGTCCTTGGCCTCTTTGCCGTAGATCTCCCATGCAGTCGGTCCGTCTCGCTCCATTGGGGCAACGATACTCGTGTTATGTGCACGCTCGAGCTCCTTGATGAGCTCGCGTTCCTGAAGATAGCGGGTTAAATTGCGGGCGTGCGTTTGAGCATTTGGTCCACGGTGTTCGCGGGTGCTGTCAGCCATTGCGGATTGCATGCTGTACGCAATCTCGTCAAGTTTATCCATACCAGCTTTAATCTTGTCGCTGGGTCCGACAACGTAGATGTCCTCGCTCGGGTCAGTGCTCGGGGGTACGATGATGGTACAGCCGGTTTCTTCGAGGAAGTCATGTAGCGAATATCCACGCTCACCGGCAATGAACTGGTGGCGACCGCGTTCTACGTTTTGACGTTCGATAGCGAGCTGATTGCGCAACTGCTCCACGCGGCGCTGAAGCTCAGCCTGAATCTGCTGTGCGGCCTCCCGATCACCAGATATCTGAATAGGGTACTTGGCTTGTGGGATGAAGTTGCTGGGTGCCTGAGCAGGGGCCTGATTATCCCAGGTATAGTAATGCGGAATCTGAACGCGAACATCACGGTTCCCCTGGAGATTCTCAACATGGGCGTTACGAGGCCCAGCGAGGAAGGGATAGTATTCGGCCGGGATGTCCTTGAGTCGTAGGTTCACAGTAGAGGTACGCTCCTTCACGATGGCCATAATCTCCTGGCGTGCAATTCCGGCCGTAAGAGCGTTGCCCTCAATGATCACGTCGACTTCGTCATCTTCGTCTTGGACGTCTTGTTTGGGGATCTGAACGCGTGCACCAGATCGACTACTTATTTCCTTGATCTTGTCGCCGCCACGACCGATGATGAAAGGACGAACCGATGCAGGGACTGAGAGCTTGACGGATTGCTAAACTGTGTTAGCTGTTGCAGAATGATGATGGACAAGTACACATACCTTGGCGAGCACCTCATTGGCAATCTCCAGCAAGGACTGTCGAACAGCAGGCGCAGGACCAGTAGCTTCGAAGATGACGCCGTTTGGAGACTCCTTGCGCTCGAGCCTCGCCTTGGAACGCTTGTTAATGTCGTGGATGATCTGGGGGATAGGCTTCTTTAGCTCCTTCAGCGGCTTGAGGTCAGAGGTGAGGAATGCAATCTGCTCTTTATGTTTGCCGGGAAGAGCCATGCTCGGCAGGGCGGGTCCACGCGAGGTGGGAATAGATGCAGGGGTAGCTGTTCCAGAGGCCGGGGTTGAGGCACGCGAAGCCGGACCGCTGCCGTTGGCCCCATTCGCAGCGAGCGAGGCAGGCTTCTTGCCCCAAGTGGGTGCAACAGCTTGAGCGCGGGGCTTGACGGGGCCGAGAGCTGGGAAAGCTTCCTCGGATGCGGTGTTGAGCCCAGAGGCCTTCTTGCTAGGCGCGGGGTGGTCGGCGGCCTTTTGCTTGCCAGCAGCCTTCTCGCTCAGGGGAGCAGCGGCAGAAGCGCCATCGGCGGCATCAGATTTGAGGGCGGCAGACGGCGGAGGATGGGCGAGATCCTCTTCGTCGACAACGTCCTCCACGGTGACATGATGGTTGTGTTGCTCCATGAGCTTCTGGGCGGGGGTGAGACCCTCACCAGAGCTACCGGTAGCTACAGCCTCGGATGCCATTATCAGAGTGGACCGTTCGAGTTGACCAAGGGGTGATTCGTGTAGACGGTGGTGTGGGTGGGCTACGAGTGCAACGCCAGAACGTGGGCTTTATGACCGGTGTGCGGGTGGCAAGCGGCGATGGGGTCTGCAGCGTAAATAAGTAAGAGAAAGTTGCAGATGCCTCGTGCATATGGTTGCGGAACTTGATGAGAGGGTCTGTGGGTATTTCCGTACCAGATACCGGAGTAGCCGTCGGTTGGTGAATTGTAGCTGAATATTTGTCGTGTCAGGGTGTGGCTTAGTAGGCCATAGCGGGGTGCGCAGAGAGAATCAATTGTACGCGGGCGACGTGGCCAGGAAGAGGCAGGTTCGAGGAGCAGAGGGATGCTGCGGGCGGGTGAAGTTCACAGGTGTTCCGATGTTCCAAGAGGGAGCTTTTGGACCGTCGAGGTTAGCCAAGAGCGGAACCCTGCCTGCGCATTGATTGCGGAGACTAGCGCTTTCGCGCACCTTCGACGTTCCGTGAAAACACCTAAGCAGCACGAAATACAACCAACATGTGCACATAGAAATATAGGACATCGTGAATATGCTATCGTATTAAATTGCATCGCGAACCATTCTCTGGGGCGGATTCTGATGTCTCAGCCCGCTCCAGCTATGGATCCACTTCTGCACATGCCTTCCCCAACGCCGCCATCAATGACCAAAAGGTGCTGCGTGAACTCCGGCACAGGTACCATGTAATGCTACAATTATTCTACGATCCGAGCACTTTGACCCTCATCCATTCGCTCGTGCCTACGCCGAGATTCAACCCGTTACGAGCCCACCACTTCCTCACGTCCTCGCCCGCCTCACCCTCCACGCCATCCTCCAGTGCCTCTTCGATGTCGCATGTCTTGTACTCCACTCGTAGGCCGCTACGCTTCCACCATTCCAACACGTCTGCGTGCCCCATCTTGGTGGGGCCTACGAGGACCTGGTTGTCGAATAGCATCTTCTCCCCACAATGTCTGTGCCAGTAGTTGAGTATCCGTGTGTGACCGTGCGCCGAGGCAAGCTTCGCTATCGTGTCCTCGTGAGAAAAGGGAATTCCGGATTCCACCCAGAAGACAACGGCGGGCAGGCAGCCTGCCTGCGTAGCGTACGTGATTGACTTGCCAACCTTGAGCGACAGGAGCGGTCGCCTGTTCTGCGCCTCATCCTTGCGCCCCGTTGGGGAGGGAGACGGTGCGGGTTCCGAGCGGTATCTACTGTGTTCCTTCCACCATTCCAACACCTCGATGTGACCTTGAGAGCTGGCTGCCTCCAGAGCAGACTCGGTGAACTTGAGTGGCAGACCCGAGTCGAACCACCAGTCCAGAGCTTGGATAGAACCGGACCGACTTGCACTATCCATAGCCTCGGTGGAGTACTCTTTGGTGAGAAAGGTCGGCGAGGTTCTCCAATACTCCAGGATCTCCGTCCTTCCGAAGACGGAGGCTTTGTGTGGCAGAAAGGCATGACCAAATGTGCCCCAGAAAAGTTCTTTGTGTGCGTGTTCCAAGTGCGTAAGCACAGGCACCATGGCGAAGCGCATGATGAGCTCGATGCAGAGGCGCGATATGCGCGTCGGGGGTTCCGCATCAAGCGATGCCCTTATGTCCGCGTATGTGCCTGTCAGCAAGGTCCACTCGAGCCTCTGCATTTGGTTTTTCGGGCCCTCTTCGCTGGCGGCCTGGCGCCATTCCGGTGGGATGGGGAGCGCCGTGCGAACGCCGAGCATGGCCGCAAGCTCCCAATCCTCTGTAAACTCCAGGATGATAGACCATAACTCTGGGGGCAAGCGAGGTCCTTTGCTCTTTGTCGGAGTGAGCGTGGGCATATGGGCTATCGGCAATGCGATGCGGCCGTCACCCACAGCCATCAGGTCAATCTGGGTCTGCATGGACTCGTTGAAGGCCTTGTGTCCCTCCCAAAGCTGGTACTTGCGACCCATGTGGTCAAATGTCCATAGATAGGGTGGCAGCACGCGTATCCAGTTCCACTTCCTCCGGATCTTGCTGATCTGTTTCTTCGACATGGGATGCTCCCACATGAGTGTGGACATGGCGGGGATGAGCAGGATCTTCTTAGAGACGTCCCAGCTACGCAGCACCTGGAGATGCAAGTTGCTGGTGAAGCCATGCAGCATGCGGGCTATGTTTTCGGCGTCAAGGGGTGCCAGCACGAGCAGATGGGCCCACTGGCAGTATTCGGCCACCTTTGTGTCGGCATAGTCTGCATGCTGCCACTCCGGTTTGGCGTTGCTCTCGACATCGTATCGGTGCCACACGGGCTCGAGCGCGGGGGGCACTATGTGCGAGGAAGGTGGAAAATCATGGCCAGCGATGACCTGGAGCGAGACGTCGGGGATGCGGTGCAGGCGGGCGGCAATTCTGTGACCAAATTCGTGGGTGGAGGAGTCAGGGAGAGCGAGCAGGACGTTTAGCGAGCGTGTCGTCATGAGGTCGAAAAGTTCCGTCGGAGGGGGAGGAGGATGTGCATGCCGACGTGTGCGCACTTTGTTTCGCATCGACGACGACAGCGACGGGTACAATCGGTGGCGCGACCGATTATGCGGAGCTTGATTGGCCCTGCGTCCCCGCATCGCTGACATAACAGAAGTCACCTCTCGCCCCTCCAGCACTTCTAGGTGGTCGCTACGTTACTATAGTACAGGGTATTGCGACCGAGGCACCGTCGCCCTTTGTCCCAGCCAACTCACCGTGAAGTCAGATGGCGGGTCGATAGTAATAGCCATGCGCCTGTAGAGCCACCAAGACAGTTTGCATCGTTGCAAGCAAAGAATCACAGATTTCGATTCCCCACGCGCAAATGTCTGTGCCGCGCGGAGCTTGTTGTGTTACACGCATGTGGACGCGAGATGTCTTCAAAACTTCCCATCCCGCACTGAGCCAAGAACCACACAGAGTACGGAAGATCGATGAGACACCAAGTGTCGTATAGTATACCTAGGTGTACGAAGGTACCTGTACTAGCTGGTACTTCCGACGCCACCACCGCGCATCTCCTTGCATATGTAAGCATCGCTGCGGATCCCAGGGCAGGAGGGCTCCGCAGTCGCGTTCCTGGCTTCTGAGTTTTCAAAGCGGCCAGACCTAGCGCTCCGCTAGGTGAGGGTCGCTCTCCCAGCAACGAACAGGTTAGAAATACGCACAGACTACATCTCTCTTTGCACCTCTCAACATGCTTCGCTCTACTTAATCTATAAAAAAAGATATATAGATTTGAAGTGTCTGAGAGCCCGAGACAGTGATAGAGAGGGTTTCTCTTTTCTGCGTTACGTTGTTGCTGGGATACAGAAAGCTGGTGCTAAGATGTGTATATCTTGTTCCCGCGAGAGGGTCGACGTGCAATGCCATGGCACACAAAGGCATTCGGCCCTCCAGCGCGCTGCTCGGCTCGGATGGCCCGCACAGGCAGGCCACAGCGCCGAGTCGGCCAGGACAACAGGGATGCACCTGCGCATGACGTAGCGTCGCCACAGACGGGCGCCATGTCGCGCCTTGAGCCTCTTCGCGGGCCGATATGGGTGCGTGTGTGCTCAGAATTGCGCATGGCGCCGCTGTGCTCGCTGTGGCCATCTGCTCCACGCAAATCCACTTTCCCCAAACCGCCTCGACTGGCGCCGATCTCCTGTTCTCTTCCATGATCTGCGCCGTCGTCCCTCCATCAAGCCACAGCAGCGCCTGCGCACCTGCCCTTGAGCACGGCATCTGCCCGCGTCGTCTGCCCACTGTGGCTCCGTCTGCGGTCTCCTCCACGTCCACGCACCCGTCCATGACTCTGCTCTTCTGTGCTGTCCTCACGCCGCTTGTGCCTTGAGCCCACGCTGCCGTGCGCTACCCAAGCTCGCCGCCGTGCGTGACTGCCCACCTCCCCTTCACTCCGCTGCCGCTAGTGGGAATATGTTTTGCCATTGACCAACGACCCCTTCCACCACCGCGTCCCCCATCGCCCCGTGCCCTCGTGCTCTCCTCCAGCACAGCGAGCCGCTCCAATTCTCCAGGGTCTCAGTCCCTGTTGCTCCAAGCCCTGCATACCGCCAGGTTTCGGGAGCGCTGCCGTTTCGGTTACTCAGAAGACGCCCGCATCAACGTCATACAGTGCGCTGCTGGTGTCGTCCATGGGCACCTGAGACCTCTACGCAATAGGCGCGTCGAATTCTTTGTGCGGACAGGAGCGATCGAGAGGCGTCGAGTCCTGCCTGCTCCCCCGTCGCCAGCCTCGGGCACCCCACCTGCGACCATCTCGCCATCCTCGCCTCTCCCCTTGAGCTCGACAAGCACCCGCGGCGCCCATGTCTGAATCACCACCGCACCACCCACCCCCCGAGCCCGCTGCGGCGCCCGATGTCGAAGCTAGCGATTTCGCTGTCCCCTCGCCGGGCACGGGTGAAAATCCATGGTCGCCACCCAAAGACCACACCCTAACCCAGAGGGCACCGTCCCCGCCACCTCTCAACACCGCAGTGTCTCCATCCGAGGGCGCGGGCATGGGAACCCTCAGCCCTACCGCGACCGACCGCGTTTTTCCAATCCGCAGGTGCGTTGTCAGATGCTGCTGCTGCTTCTGTCAACGTCGACGCATGCTGACTCGCGTCTAGTGTCGTATCTGTCGATCCCCACCCCACGCCCACCCAGCGCGGCCAGCCCGATTACTTCCACCAGCATGCTCGGCCCTACGAAGGGCGCGTACCAGCTGACGGGCGTCGACAATCGCAGAGCTCAACCGCTTCGCAGACGTCCCAACCCTCTCAACGGGGTCCTCCACCTACCCAACCCACTTCCAGACAGACCTCTGCGAATAGAGGATCCGCGAGCGCAACCCGAAATGAGACGTCACGGAAGCTGCCACCGCCGTTGCCCGCGCAACTGTTCAATGATTTCGGTTCCGAGAGCGCTCATGGCAACAGCATGAGTCGTTCCCCGTCGCTGAAGCCTGAGCATCCCCACTCTGCTGACGCAGCATCGATCAGGAGTGCTGTCAGCAGTTTAGGAGACATGGGCAATCTGGTCACACACCGCTTCAAACATGTTGTTACCGAAGGTGGCCATGCAGTCATAACAGGCCGGGACGGAGCCACACTACAGCGATGCGAAGATGAGCCAATACACATCCCCGGCGCCGTCCAAGGTTTTGGACTTTTAATAGCGCTGCAGGAAGACCCTGGGGGTAGTGGCAGTCTTCCTGTGCGCATAGTCAGCGAGAATGCCAAGCGGATTCTTGGACGGTCACCGCAAGAGCTCTTCGCGCTGGAAAGTTTCACCGACATATTATCTGAAGAACAGGCAGATAACCTGCTGGATCACATCGACTTTATCAAGGACGAAGATGCAGACGTGCAAACCAATGGACCAGAAGTCTTTACCCTCTCCATCAAGTTTCCGAATGCCAGACGCTCGCGCAAACTGTGGTGCGCAATGCACATTAACGATACCAACCCAGGTTTGATAATCTGCGAGTTCGAGCTCGAAGACGACGATGTCTATCCCCTGGTCCCATCGAACGAAATGACTCCCGAGCTTCCAGAAGATACGCTGCAGAGCAACCCCACTGCTGAGGAGTTTCAAGAAAGCACCGAAACCGGAAGTCGCCCATTGAGAGTACTACGCAGTGCTCGAAAGCGCAAGGGAGAAGCAGCCGCCATGGAGGTTTTTAATATTATGTCGCAAGTCCAGGAACAGCTCGCTGCAGCTCCCAGTCTAGAAAAATTCCTAAAGGTACTGGTTGGCGTAGTTAAGGAGCTTACAGGGTTTCATCGCGTCATGATATATCAGTTCGATCAGTCCTTCAACGGTCGGGTCGTAACCGAACTCGTAGATCCTCGAGCCACGAAGGATCTCTACAAGGGCCTCAGTTTTCCAGCATCCGACATTCCCAAACAGGCTAGGGAGCTGTATAAGATCAATAAGGTTCGTATGCTGTATGATCGCGATCTCGAAACCGCCCGCCTCGTCTGCCGTAGTGCAGAAGATCTGGAGACTCCTCTCGATCTTACTCATTCATATCTTCGTGCAATGTCGCCGATCCACCTGAAATACCTCGCCAATATGGCGGTCCGGTCTTCGATGTCCATCTCAATCAACGCTTTCGGCGAGCTGTGGGGTTTGATAGCTTGCCATTCGTACGGGGGTCGCGGCATGCGCGTTTCGTTTCCGATCCGAAAAATGTGTCGCCTTGTGGGTGATTCGGCATCGCGCAACATTGAGCGACTTTCGTATGCGTCGCGATTACAAGCGAGAAAACTGATAAACACTGTTCCTACGCAGCACAATCCTTCTGGCTATATCATTGCCTCCTCCGATGATCTTTTAAAGCTATTCGATGCGGACTTCGGACTGTTGTCTATTAGGGACGAGACCAAGATTCTGGGTCACCTTGATAACTCTCAGGAAGCTCTAGCATTACTGGAGTATTTTCGAATGCGGAGGATCTCGTCCGTATTAACGTCGACGGATGTCAGCCAAGATTTTCCCGATCTCCGCTATGCCCCAGGATTCCAGGTCATCGCAGGGATGTTGATCGTGCCGCTTTCTGTGGGAGGAACTGATTTTATCGTTTTCTTCAGAAAAGGCCAGCTTAGAGAGGTCAAGTGGGCAGGAAATCCATACGAAAAGTTCATCAAGGCGGGCACAGAAGGATACCTAGAACCCCGAAAGAGCTTCAAGACGTGGTCGGAAACCGTCGTCGGAAAATGCCGAGATTGGACTGAAGAAGAAGTGGAAACCGCCGCTGTGCTGTGTCTTGTGTACGGAAAGTTCATTGAAGTTTGGCGTCAAAAAGAGGCTGCGCTGCAAAGCAGCCAACTAACAAGATTGTTGTTGGCGAACTCTGCGCACGAGGTTCGAACGCCTTTGAATGCGATTATCAACTACCTGGAAATCGCTCTAGAAGGCTCACTGGACTCAGAAACCAGAGAGAATCTCTCCCGGTCACATTCAGCTTCCAAGTCTTTGATCTACGTTATCAACGATCTGCTTGATCTCACCAAAACTGAAGAAGGCGGTCCACTGATCAAAGGCGAGTCGTTCGACCTCAGAGCCACACTCACCGAGGCCACCAACATGTTTGTCGGAGATGCAAAGCGCAAGAACATTTCATACGATGTCGTGGAGCATCCTGGGCTGCCTCAGCACTGTATAGGAGACCAGCGACGAGTGCGCCAGGCGATTTCAAATATCACTGCAAACGCCATACAAAATACTACCCAAGGTGGGGTAAAGGTCGAGATGTATGTTGCAGCAAGACGCAGCAATACTCAAGTGGATGTGGAAGTGGCTGTTACCGACTCTGGAGTCGGCATGAGCTCGAAGAAACTCGATCAACTGTTCAACGATCTGGAACAAGTTCAGTCTGAACCTGCGGCAATGCTCGAAGACGCTCTCATTCCTAGCACCGAACAATTACTGGAACAGAGCGAGAAGACGACGCTTGGTCTTGGCCTTGCTGTTGTTGCGCGCATTATAAAGAACATGGAAGGTCAATTGCGATTGAAATCCGAAGAAGGAAAAGGCTCGCGTTTCGTCATTCAATTTCCTTTCGAGTTGCCGGATTCTGAGCCGCAAGTGCCAGCTGTTGGGTCGTCAGAAGGGAGCATAACTCCTCTGCCCGGCACTTCGTCACCAGTCGGCGAAGGTGGAGAGCGCACGCTTGTTGCACCAAGTCTTTCAAGGAATGACTCTGGCGAAAGCGATGCTGTGGCCAGGAAGTCGAGCGTAGAGAGTATGAACAGTGCCAAAAGCCTTCGAAGCTTTAAAAGCGCCTCTAGCAACAGGAGTCAGCGCAGCGACGTTGATCGACTGATTGAGGCCATACAAGAACCCCACTTGGTAGACAGACGACCAAGGGGCGAACGTAGTGCAAGTACAAAATCTGTGCGACCCACTCTTTCGAAACGAAACAGCATAGACAACGCGATAGCCTCTTCGCCGCGAAGGACCCGGTCGAGAAGCTTAGAGCAGGATGCACAGGTTGTGATCCCTCCTCATCTAAGGTCCATGGATGTCCGGTCTCCCGGTGAAGAGCCCATCACTTCCTCTAGAACCTCACTGAAGGCTATCAGAATGCCGGATGACCTAGGTTCTCCTATTGATCCACGTCCCAGGTCTGGTTCAGTCCTTGGAGAAGTATCAGACGAACCAGAGAAGATTTCTACGGGCTCGAAAGAGCTGTCCTCCAAGCACCTGCGTGTGCTGGTTGCCGAAGACGATCCAGTCAACAGCAGGATTGTGCAGAAACGTCTTGAGAAACTAGGACATGAGGTATATCTTACGGTCAATGGTGAAGAATGTGCCGGCGCATACTGCGACAAACCACAGGACTTTGATGTTGTTCTGATGGATATGCAGGTAGGCAATTAGTTTCACATACCGACACGTACTCACAACAAATTTAGATGCCCATCGTCGACGGTCTCACGTCCACGAAGATGATCAGATCCTTCGAGAAAACCCACAAAAACATCTACTCTCCGCGTGCTGCACTTAATGGCAGAGTTCCGATCATCGCCGTTTCCGCCTCGTTGATCGAGAAAAACCGCGAAAAGTACATGGACGCAGGATTTGATGCTTGGATCCTCAAGCCAATTTCGTTTCCTCGATTAAACGAGCTCATGGCCGCCAGCGTGGATCGAAGTATCCGGGAGTCGTGTCTATACCAGTCCGGCGAATGGGAAAGAGGAGGCTGGTTTCATTTTGAGGAGAGCAGTGCAGATGAGGTGTCGACGGAGCCCGCGGGAGAGCCACTGATTGATGACCCATCGGAAGGCATGGGAAAAGCGAACCAAGATTCGGATGATCGGCAAGCAGGCGATGAATCAGACCGAATTTCCGACGAACAAAACCGACTGCTCCATGCGCAGGAACAGGAACGCAAGAGTCTCGGCCTCGACGATGAGGCCGCGCCGGAACACGGTGACAGTGTGTAGAGTTCTGCCTGCCCGGACATTGGACGTGACTGGAATCGCGATTGACGCCGTCTAGCATTTCTTCACAGCACCGGCGTTCTTAAGGCGCTCTTGACTTCTTTCCTCTAGAGCTACCGATCATTCGCTCTATACTTCAACTCATCGATTTAGCATACTCGAAGCTGCTGTTCTCACCTGTCGCACAACACTGTACACATATTATGGCATAACGCAGGCTACGTTTATGAGAGCCCATTTTTTCTGCAACAAGAGGCGTACACGAATTATTTTGCCGTTTGGGAAGACATCGGATTTGGTGTTCTGTTTGGGAGGCTCTTTGGATGGGCTAGGTACTCGCGCTTTTCGATTCTAAGACTAGGTTCTAGGTGGGCGTGTCTAGTTGCGTTGAGCATCGTGGTGTTGGGAGTGTGCTAGAGTACCGATAAATATGCGGCCCATCCCAAGCCGTTGTGAAAGCCTGGGAAGAGGGGTGCGCAGCGATAGCTGAAGTTGGGTTGAATGAGCAAGGAGATGAAGACGAGCGAAGGAACGGGAACAGCTGAGGGGCTGGTTGCTCGTGCAGGGAGATTAAGCACAAATCGAAACTTCCGTAAATGGATGCACACCAGTCTTTTTTTCGTCTCAATTGTGTTGATCCGATCCTTGCATAATGCCGACTGAGCCGCTGGATCGAGCTGCCTACCCTGTCCCTCGCTCGCTAGGCACCGTTTTTGGCAACCACCCACATTAAAGTTCGTCCACACCGGAGAAAATTCCCGGCACTAATAGCGTGTCGGGTAGGTTGCGAAACCAGTGTTCACGATTCTATTATCATCTTGCTATATATACTGTGTTTTTTAACACAGTTACATCGAAAATCACCAAGCGCGCTCCTGCGCGCATTCCTCCGCTTGGTGTAGTTGGTTTATCACGTTCGACTGTAATATCTGTTGTAATCGAAAGGTCCCTAGTTCGATTCTGGGAGCGGAGAACATCGTGATCTTCTTTTGATTTTTTTGGTTATTGCGAGAGGCGAGCCGCGATTGTACTGTCTGTCCGACGGATCTTTTTGTTTACTGCTGAGCCTTTGATTGTTTGTGCCCGTGCTACATTAGGCCCTGGGTTGATTGATAAGCTGCCTTGCACGCTGTTCGTGACCTACAATCAATGCGCGATTGCACATATACACCTGAAGAGATTACTGTGCCCAACGAAGTCTCGTGACGACTTAGGGAATGTGATTGGGATCTTTCTTGTACATTTAGAGGTAGGGTTTACCAACTGAGCTCTCTTCACAAGTGGTGGTGGGGTAGGCGCTAGCGCGAAATGTTTGGCTGCTGCGGTGACCAAACAGCCCTTCCAGGATCCAACCGTGGTTGTCTTTTCCATCGACTTCCATTTCTTAGCCTGCACCCACGAGGCTCTTGCTACATTTTTATTCATGCGCCCTAAGCCTTTCGCAATCAGACTCGGCTATCGCGGATAGCTCTCTTCATCTGTTTTGTTATGGCAAACAAGCAAGCGGAGTTCTCCAGACTCTTGGATCTCCCTGGTGAAATTAGGAATCATATATATCGGGAAGTTTTATGCTGTTTCGACCCAATAGTACCAACCGCAGCGGGATTCGGGATCAACCAAGGAGTAATCCCTGCCACCCACTCTGTCGATATAGCTATCCTTCGTACATGTCGCCAAGTCCACCGCGAGGCCTACGATGTCATGGTGAAGACGAATCAATTCATCAAGATTTCGAGCGTTGACATCGACCTCGCACGCCTGCTTCTCTCCTCGGGCCTACCCGTTGTCACTATGGATCGCGCGGTTGCCGGGCAATTCCAAGGTTGTGTCATGAGTGTTGATTTGAGCGTAGTGCCAGGAGATTGGGTGGGCCAGCCATGGGATGGTGATGGGCATTGGGAGGAGGACTTCAACGAGGAGATTCATGCCCAACCTGCTGGAACTGGACCACAATTCAATTTCCTCATTCTAGGGCGCGATTGGAGCAGCTTTTGCCATATGCTCAGCGAAGGGACTGCTTTTTTTGAGAGATTCGAGAAAAATGTCAAGATTGAGCTCAAGATGAACGCCTGGCCTGAGCATATTCCGGATTATAAGGCCACAATAGCACACTACTTCACGGCGGACAGACAAGCCACTCTGTTGGGGAGCTTTGGCAGCATTCTTCGCAACTTCGAAAATGTAGTCATCGGTGGCACGATTGACGAGCATCTCGCTATCTCTACGGTACGGGCAGTCGCCGGTCGACAATGGACCTCACACGAAGACGTGATTCACGAACTCAGCGCCCGGAAAGATACCGCGAAGACAGCAAGCAGCCAAGACTCATTGCAGATGTACATGGACGCCGTCATGCTTATGCGTCGTATCTATGGATCTGCTGATTTCTCTAGACTCGTGGAAGAAGGCGATGTCGCGTTTGTCAGCTCGTTTGCAGAACTCTACTTTACCGTCCTACTCGACGCGTGTCAGCCTATCCTGGAAATAATGCGTTCTCTGGAATTCGTCCGCCTCCAAGCCTGGAGCAATGTCATCTATGAGCACGTCTCACTTGCTCAAGAATCCCTCGATAATCTCGCCGAGGATGGCTCCATCTATGAACCCACCTCTGTGGTCATGGCGCAGCTTGCGTATATCATTGCAGTGTGTAGCAGACTTCTGGGCCAGGCATTGCCACAAGATCACGTCGCTCCAATCAGACAGTGCGTTTCACAGGCAGTGGATACTATAATGACAGCGGTTCGACTGAATCCGACGGACGCAGCGATCCTAGCAGAAAGGGACAGGATAACTGGGTGGAGACGTGCACTGGTTCCAACGACGCGAGTTAGCATTCGGTCAGCCCTGGAATGATACAATCCATAGAGGTGTATTCTAGTCAACCACGAAGGAGCTTACAAACCGCATAGAAACCTCCTCAGTACTTGACAATCAGCCCAGCAGGCAACTGGGATGTGCGACCCCTGGGGTACACGTTGTCACGTGAGAGACGCGTATGTTGCACGGACCAGATCGCGTAATGCTGGCTCCCCTTGAAACTCAACAAGCACATGCACAGGTCCTCGCCACCATGCCCGACTCTTGACTCTCCGCCGCACCGATGTCTTCTCGTCACAGCCGATCGGGGGCCCGGCCAACACCTAGCCGTTCCTCCATAGTTTCCTTGCAAACATCCCCACGCCGCCCCGCAGTCGAAGAGGAATTACCACCGTATCGGAAGCCATCCCACCCACTAAACGAACAGGCATTAACCAAGCTGCGCGCTCTGAATGGCCCTTCAGTAACTCAGCTGAAGGACCACAATAAGAAAGCCGCCGATCGGGTCACAAACGCAGCCGCTCTCGTTCTGGACACTTTGTTTGAGCGGCAAGCAGCTGTGGCTAAGAAGCGCGCGAAGTGGGACAACAATATTGGCACGGGGAGTCGGGAGCAAGATGAAGCACGACTTGCAGAATTACAAGCGCAGGTCGACGAGTTCAGCAAGAAACTCGAAGAGAGCATGAGAGCCATCATCGATAACAGCGTCGCCGCACAGCGGATCGAGGAATCTCTTGCCTGGTTGCAGACGCACGCACCAGGACAACTCCAGCAATATACGACACGGGGTTCTCAGCAGCAGTCGCAACGGGCATCACAGCGAGCTTCGGGGTCACAGGGGCGGCGCACACAAACCAGAGATGACGATGACGAGGATATGCAGGACGAGCATGAGACTCAGGTATCAATGGGACCTACGCCCGGCCCTACGCCCCTGGATGGGTCACGACCCACCCTTACTGGCGTGAGTGAGATGTACACGGAACGTGTTGAGCGCGGGAAGAGAGACTACACTTCCATGTCATACGGCGGCCGTTACGCTAGGAACAAAGAGTACTCCACCTTCAAGAAGATGGTACACGACGCGCAATACAGGGACGATCGCCCGCTTCCAAATCCGGAAACGTGGTTTACCGAGACAGGCGAACCTGCTCTGGGAGTCACCGGTCGTGGGGAGGACCACGACGACGATGATATTGTTATGGAGCGTGCTACCATCAGCATAAAATGCCCTTTGACATTCCTGCCGTATAAGGATCCGTACACAAGCTCGAAGTGCCCTCATACGTTCGAGCGGAATGCAATAATGGAAATGATCAGGACGAGCAATGTTAGGGTCGGAGGTGGATCCGCAAATACTGGAGAGAAGGCTGTGAAATGCCCGGTGACCGGATGCGATCAGGTACGCATTTTCCTGCTTCAAGTCTCCATTCACACCAATCGTTACTTTACATGTAAGCCCTGAAAATCAAAGACTGACTCGACCACAGATGCTGAGAATGCATGATCTCAATCACGATCCGGTGCTTGCGCGCAGAATCAAGCGCTTACAAGAAGACAAAGCCCGGGAAGCAGAGCAGAGCGACGAAGAAGAGGACAGGCAGGTATCGGTCTCGCAGCAACCCACCCAATCTGTCCAGCCGCGGATTAAAGTTTCATCGTCATCGAGACTTCAGGTCCCTTCCGCCCAGGAGACGCCAAGGGGCTCGATTGTTGATGATCTGGGTAGCTCTGGTGAAGAGGATGAATAGCCTTTCATTCGGGTCGATGTTTCGGAGGGGTTGCGATGTATCAAGGCCAACTCAAAGTTTGAGCTCTTGATCGCTAGATATCCTGAAAGCCGCGAAGTGACATTAGTCCACAGCTCAAGTGTTAGATAGCTTATGAGTCTACGAATGCATGATTCGAATCACACTGTCAGGATTCAGACAATCGATGCTCGATACGAAAGCATAGCATCGCTCGCACAACCATATTGTACGCAGGCAACTCTCTCAGATCATGTAGTGAAGCCCAACCTCGTAACTGGAATCTCCCTCTCTCACCCGAGCCCTCCTCCTCGGTTTCGGCTAGGTTCGGGATCTGTCTAGAAGTGCGTCTACCGCTCTTTCTTTTGATCTCAGACTCGAATTGTTTTGCCGTACGCGCCTCCCGCTGTCGCAGATACCTCTCGGCCGCGGCGCGGATGCGCTTAGGATACCTGCGGCTCAAGCGCCGCAGCCTCACATACAAGCTCCTATGCGGCTCAGGCCCTGCATGACATGAAAGTTTGGTCCCTCTGTTGGCCGCCCAACGGCGAGTGATTGCGCGGTCAAATGAGCGGTCGTCTCGTGAAAATGGGGTCCATGCCACTTGGATCTAACGACTCGGGCTCGGGAGGTGGTGGAAAGGACCATATGGACTACTCTGCGGTTACATTGCATTCGGAGAAGCTGGATTTCCTGCTGGAAGCATGTTGGGATGGAAATACAGCACCTGCATCCGCCTGTATGAGAGTGCTTGGGCGTTAATTAGTCTTATTCCCGCAGCTATCATGGGCGTTCACATGCGTCGGCGATGCGCTGAACCACCACCTTACTACGCAAGCCCAGAAATCGCATGGCATGGGAAGCCTTGTCGAGCTGCAGGTGGGCGTCTCGATGCTGTGGTGTGAGATCCTTTGCCAACACCACCGTCTTCGGAGAGATGGAGGCTACGTCATCGTCAGCTGGGACAAGCCCCATGCGGCATGAGCGCGAGCATCCATGACAATGCAGTCGTACCTGACGATCTTGTTACGACGTCTTTGTCGAGGTACGTGGAGCTGGCTAATAAGCCTCTCAGCTGCTGGTCGCAGTTTGGCAACCGTGTCTGCATCATCGTGCACGCGACCATGCGCGTTGTCTTGGGCCGCCGCTCCATCCCGCAACGCCTCGACTGCAGTTCTCCAACGGTGCCAGGTCAGCCGTGGCCATTGGCTGGGGCGCCGTTGTACCGCTGTTCACGTCACGGAAGCTGTCCCTTGAAGCAGGCTGGGCTTGCGCGCCTCTCTGTAGTGCGGGGTGCGGCCAACCATAGTGAGGGGAAGATCGGAGGAGGGGAAAACCTCCGCTCGATCGTCTCGTCTTAAGCCCCCATTTCTCTGTCATTTCACTCCTTCGACGAGTTCATCGTTGACGCGCGCAAACCATTCTCCCATCCATACCTCGAGACCCTGCAGTGTGGTGTAGACAGGCGGGCTCCGCTGCGATTGCCCGTTGAGCCAGTCTAACCCTTCTTAACGCGCGACCCACCCGCGCACCTTCAAACCGCGACTTGGCGTGGGCTTACCGCTACAGGTGCGTTCACTCTTCTTCTTTGCACCTTTGGACGGACACCAAGATTGTCGATCCGCACATCCGGAGAATTTCGGAGAGAGCAGTCGATGCGGAGCGGAACTCGGGCCTCCACAACTTTCACGGCCCTGGTCCCCGAGCAGCCTGTCCGCCTCTCCACGCTATGTCATTACGGCCGCGGCTGTACGCTGCAGCACGGCTGCGGTCATGGTGCTGGACATGAGCATTCACAGATCTAGGCAGGCGATGGCCTTCATAGACCGCGCCTCGTCCTCTTCAATTGAACGCCCGTCTCTCAAGCTTCAACGCGATTGTCCTGTCTGTTAACCGAAGCCACCAACCTTCACATACTCGTCTCTGCGCATCATTCTTTCTCATACAGAGCTTCACCTAACCGACATGTCAACAGCAGCCCTTAAGATGCCCCCCTCTCGTGCTATCGACAGCGCAAAGCAAAGCTCAGAAGCAGCTCTCGCAGACGCCTCCGCCGCCATGAAGAACGCAGCGGAGAACCCCAAACAAGCAACACAAAGCTTCCTCCACACACCGTTCGTACGTGCAACACTGCCGTTCATCAATGGAGGAATAGCAGGCATGACCGCCACCAGTGTCATCCAACCGGTGGACATGGTCAAAGTAAGACTACAGCTCGCGGGAGAGGGCGTGAAAACAGGCCCGAAGCCCACCCCGGTGTCCGTGTTGAAAGACATAGTCGCCAGCGGAAAAGTCCTCGATCTCTACACGGGCCTCAGTGCTGGTCTTCTTCGCCAGGCTGTATACACAACAGCCCGAATTGGTTTCTTCGACACCTTTATGAAATCCCTGACTGCATCTGCAGAGACCAAGGGCCAGAAAATCGGGTTCAAGGAACGTGCTGGTGCGGGTCTCGCTGCAGGTGGTCTTGCAGCGGTTGTTGGGAACCCGGCGGACTTGGCCCTAATCCGAATGCAATCTGACGGGCTGAAGCCTCTCGCCCAACGCGCAAACTATACATCTGTTATCGACGCCCTGGTCCGTATCTCCAAGGCAGAGGGTGTGACGCGGTTATGGGCCGGTTGCTATCCCACAGTTGTTCGCGCCATGGCGCTCAACTTCGGACAGCTGGCTTTCTTTTCCGAGGCCAAGAACCAACTCAAATCTACGTCTCTTTCGCCAAACACGCAGACGCTTACTGCGTCAGCCGTGGCTGGCTTCTTTGCGAGCTTCTTTAGCCTGCCGTTCGACTTTGTGAAGACAAGACTGCAGAAGCAGACTAGGGCCGCCGATGGAAGCCTTCCATACAAGGGCATGTTCGATTGTTTCAAGCAGGTCGCAAGAGATGAGGGCCTTCTGCGATTCTACAGAGGGTTCGGCACATACTACGTGCGTATCGCACCGCATGCGTAAGTTCGCCCCAAAAGATCAAAATGAAAGTGACGAAGAGTCCTGACATTGAACAGCATGGTGACGCTTGTTGTTGCGGATTACTTGGGCTTCATCACCAAGTAGATTGAACGCCGGAGTACGTACACGGTACGGAAAATGATGACTTCTTCATACGACTAGGAGGGAGTTTAGGAGTTTAGGAATTTGTATATGTGCGCTTTTCTATACCTTTGAGTGCATGTGGGGCATCTTGAGCTTGGATTTGGCGCTCGCGGCGCACAGCTTTTTCCTCTTTGGTCATCGGGCAACTCGTCTCATAGCGCTCTTGCGAGTCGAGTGTGGATTTGGGCATGGGCGCCTTAAAGCGCAATTTGATAGGACGCGAAATGGAAAGAATTCGCGAATTGAAGAAAACGTGTAAGAGGAACAGTTGTCGTGCAGTCGATTTTGGGGGTTGGAGACGCATTGCGTTTATTGCCAGGCTTCGGCTGTCGGTTGCCGAGGCTGTGCGGGCGCAAGCGAACAAGATAGGTTTTGGTCCCAGGCGAAGGCAAGCAGCACGTGCCTGCATAGGCAGTAGTTTTCGAAGTTGAGAAATGTTTGGCAGGGGCGTGGATGAAAGACATGGGGCTGAGGGTACTCTAAAGTCTCAGCGCCTGAAACGCAGCTGAAGACATGCCTGTTGTCGATTATGGGCATGCGGCACGGCAGGTCATCACGGTGCAAGATTTCAAGGAAGAAACTGCTTTTGGTTAACTGACGAGACCCTGTAGTGGGAGGGGGAAGGCTTTTCTCGTATTACGTGATCTTACCCAAGCAGTGTCGTGTTCTTACCATCGACGTTGACTTATGGCAACCACCAAAACGACAATGGGCTCATTTGCACTTTTCCGTGAAAACGATCAGTGCAAGAGTTCGTTGTACTCCACTCTCGTTCAACCTCGAGAGCTAAAAACTGCACGTGTCGTTTCTTGGCTTCTTAACGGCGCAGATATAGTTCTCACCAAAACCTTACAGCGCCACCTTTGTCGGACAAGGTTTCGTGGACCAATACCGTCACTCTCGCGAGATGTTCCATGTTGTGCTCTTTTTCGGATCACATGAGACCAGAAGAAGGCATCCGGCAAGTTCAGAAAGAGACAGTGTCACTCGCTGTGCTGCCTGCTTGATAGAGACGCAATGACTGGTCTATACCACCGGAGCTGAAGGGGCAGCGCGCCTGATGGTACAAGTCATGCGATTCATTTTCATCTGCAGAACTCATGTGCTCTGGTTTATGGATTAGCCTCAAAAGGCGTACCGTAGCGGACTCCCTGAGAGGGCACAGCAGAGTACTAAGAATGGCATACTCGACATGCGGCAGACTTTAGTGAAAATAAAACTCCGCCACAAGCGTGAGCAGTGAATACAGTGGCGCTTAGCTTATCGGTAACTTGCATGCACTGTCCCACAGCTCACAATCTGTACAGTGGCATAACTTACCACCAAGAGGTGGATTGACGTATCTCTAGTGCAACGATCGTCGTCACAGGCATCTTCTTCTTGAGACTTGTGCTTGAGAAGCGGATGGGCTAAACACATCATGTCCTCTCCATTCTGAGTGATACTCCAGTAGCTGTGCCGCACATTACTTTCCAGTACATGATTAGGCGAAGTCCTTCAATGCCTGTCAGAGCAAGGGTGCCTCATCAACTCACCGGCCAGATACCTGGTTTTGGGGTGAACACAGATCTCACCATGCCAGCAGTGCCACCACACTACTCAAGATGGCGACACAGCCAGCAGTGCTGCTGACCGTGCCAGTTTTTGACCGTCGCCTTACGCCCTGTCCACTCGCTCCTCGAACTATGCCGCATGCTCATGCTCTTTATCTCGGCGGTTTTGAACACTTTGTCCCCTCGGAGACTAGTTCTTTCGAAGACATGTTCACTTGGAGAGTTTCTCTTACAAAAGCTTTGATTTCCCAACCACCAACGACAGGATCAAGATGTCTTCTCTTGTGTCTCATCTAGACCTGATAGTCCCTCCCGAAAAAGCTACTCACACCCACAGCACTGGTCCTGATACTACCTCGAACGCAGGAACGTTTGCTTACGCCACAAATTCTGCATTCCAGCGTTCGATCTATCAAAAGTGCGAACCGTACGTTCCAGATTTGAAGGGTCTCAAAACCATCACGGTAGTAGATTATGTACGTAACATGCTTTGCCGTGCTCGTGGCTTTTGTGAACTTACCAATGCATTCTTAATGTGTATACTCGTACACTGACACTGCTTTCTGTACAGGGATGTGGTCCAGGACGAAATTGGACCTACGGGCTAAATTTACTTCTTTCGAGAGCCGATGAGGACATACAGTATCAACTCGTACTCAACGATGGAATGAAAACCGATTGGAAAGAGGTCGCACAGGTGGTGCAAGATTATCGTGCAGGGCAGTGTGGGCGTCAAATTGGGCATTTCGCTGTGTTACCCGGCACCTTCTACGATCAGATCATGCCGGATCGGACCGTCGATATTGGTAGGTGTACCTGCAACTTTCTGTCCAGTCTGAAAGCTGACACTACTGCTCATAGGTATGGCCTGGAGTTCGTTCCATTGGCTTGAGAGAACACCGCCACCAATGGACATTCAACCCAATGAGGACTATTACACTGCTTGGTAATTTCGTTACCCAAAGAACGTCAAAATCGCACACATGGCTTACGAAAATCGACAGGCAAGCAAACATCCGCTCGCAGGGCCTAGAAGACCTCACCAAACTTCTGTGCCTCCGTGCCAGAGAGATCAAACCAGGGGGGCATCTTCTGGTAGTCATCCCAACAACTCCAGCTTCGAGCGTGAAAGTCTACTGGGAAGCCTTTCTGGAAGCTTTCAAACGCTGTCTTAAAGACGGCACCATCACACCAGAACAATGGCGAGCTTTCCGCGCACCATTTTTCCAACCCACCGAAGATGATCTACGACAGATCCTGACCACTGTGCGGGATTTGTGGCATCTGCCCATACCGTGGGCGTACCACACGCTTGCCCATCCCGCGTGGAAAACACTGCAAGATTCTGAGAAGACTCAGCAAGACTACGAGGAGTACGTAGATGGTATCGCGGGGTTCTTCATGGCACTGATCCGCGATGTTTTGGTGCGGGCATTGAGAGGTGGCGAAGGGATCAACTTAGAATGCCCTGCGGCTAACGAACAGTCAATCCTACAGCAGGTTACAACGAGGTTCAGAGAGGCCGTTCTGAGCGAGGAGTTGAGGAACAAGCGTCCTGAGAGTTGTTGGTTGGCCATGCGGCTCGTCAGGAAACACGGGGTAAATATACTAGAGGCGAAAGCAAATCTGTGATGAGTTTGGTTTGGGCAATTTTCTTTTTCTCTTTTTTTCAACGGAGAACATCTGGCAGTCTCTCGCGCGAACGTCGCTGAAATCACTGATTATGTCGGCATGGGCCTCTTATATGATTATCCGGAGTTCTTTGCGATACCATAGCCGCAACTTCAATAGTGGAAAGTATCCCTATGCCTCCATGCTATCACCTCTCTCTGCGATCAAGGGTGAGTCAAAGCACAGGCACAAGGACAGAGCATCCGATATCAAATTTACTTAGGCTTACTGGACGAGAAGAAAGTTTGCTTCCTACACAGTTCAATAGTCTGCGAGCGCGTGCATGTGTCGGTGTGGCAAGGCTAGGCTGATCTCATCTTGAGGTAATAGTGGGCACGGGGGGTTCCTAGGAGGAAGCCAATGACACGCACATCGGTGGAAGTACCAAGACCGCTGAAAGCACGATTGTTCGATGTTGAGTGGTGCAGAGACTCAGACCTGCAGCCATCTTGACTGGGTTTAGCTTGCATGATGGACACGAATGCGCAACACAGGTGGCACAGGTTCTTGATACTCTTGTGTCTTGACAGGAAGATCGTGTAAAAAGTACGTTTGCGGGATCTTTGTGACATATCCTTGTCTTAATCATTGATCGCATATCTTGTCTGAACTCAAGATATATCGCGAATGTGCGAATGCGCCAATTCGCGACATTTTTTTTTGCAACCCATAATGAAGATTTTGATTGTGCGAATATAATGCGTGCGAGTTGGTGCATGTTAAAGGCAAGCACGATTCCCTGAAAATGGTTGGACCAGTACTTCACGTCAATAACACCCTGCCCGTGTAAAGTGGTGTGTATGAGAAAAAATGATATTTCCGCGGCAGGGAAAGATTGCTACAAATTTTGCCATCGGATAGATCGAACTGTTTTTGCAACAGGTCCAGCGTTTTGAGTCGGCCATGGAGACAAGAACGTACTAACGAGATGGGGTTTGAACGGCGAAAAGGAGTAGAGAAGTGACACTAGCAATATGTAAGAGCGGTCACAAGAGACTGGCGAGGATAACAGCATCGGAAAGGTGTTGTCGTCTGACAAGTATAACAAGTGCTCTGGAAGAAGCTTTGCGTGGTTGCGGGGTTAGCATGAGATTAGAAAGGACCGATTGTGTCTTTCCACCAATTCCACTATCATAATATAATCTCCGGGGTGTGACAATGCCTACATATGCATGTACACACAGGTGTGCGCCGGGATGAGGGGAGTTTGTCAAAAATCGTTTCTCAAGAACAGGTTCTCTATAACCTGGAGCCAAATTGCGATGCAGTACCAAGCAAAGAGACTAAACCAGACCTCACACAGAGGCATATGCTTGCCTCGGCTCGGCGGTCAAAGCTTGGAAGCTTGTGAATGCGATGCGGGGCCCCGCATTTATCCTTGTCACCTTGCCTCATCTTAGCCAGGAACGCTCAACGATCTGCAAGGAAGAGATCACGCCTTCAGTAACACCCCTCGCCGACTGTGTCTTACTTTCATGTGCTTCGAATCTAACACTCCGCCTCTCATGCCGACTGGCTACGGGGCTCGGGTTATGTACAAATATATACAAGCGCTGGCCTCGTCGCCCTTCAGGTTCCCGTATTGCTGCTCACCGAGAAGTATGATCCCCTATGAGCAGCGACGTAATTATCAGGTTACCCCGGTCTCGTTCAATTCTACCAATGTACATATGATCTACAATTCGCGGAGGTCACCTACTCAAAACCGACACTCGACCGACCCTAGCAGTATTGTAGACAAACGTCCTTAGGTCAATTGATTCCTTCGTGATTATAAGTTGGACCGCATCACTGCCTTGTAGACTTTATTTCCTAGGCTTGACCCAAGCGCGTGCCAATCCTATTACTCTCCAACCTCTAGAAGTCTAAATTGAAATCACGATGCGCTTCACTCCTGTTCTAAGTCTCCTCCCATTCGCGCTTGCTCTTCCTCGTATACCTCGCGATGCCGCATCTCTTGCTCCCCAAGTCCTCGAGCAGATCGCCACCCTCAACTCGTCCCTCACTTCCCTGACCACAGCCGTCAATGCCTTCGACGGCACCCTGCTGCACGTTATCCCGCAGTCGCTCGCAGTCATTACCGCCGAGACCGCTCTCGATGCCGCTACGCTGAAGACGACCTTCATCACTAAGTCAAGCGGCAACTTCACTCAGACAGAGAGCAACAGCGTGGTCGCCGGTTTGGCAAATTTGATCGCGCCCATTCAGACCAGTTTGACGGCGCTGAGTGCGAAGGTACGTTCTTCTGTGGCTTGGAGAAGTCTATGTGGATTGACGCGTGTGTCTAGTACGAGGTTTTCAAGAAGACATTGGAGTCCCCGATCGTGTTGCTTGACTTGAAGATCCTGAAGGCGCATACGGATGACTTGATCGATGCGGTCACGGCCAAGGTGGTGCCTGCGAGCGCGGGTCTGCTTGGGTTTGGCAAGGGTATCATTGATAAAGCGTTCGATGATGCCATTGCAGTATACCAGGGAAGCTAGACGAAGAGTAGTAGGATATCAAATGAAACTCCGTCGTCGAGTGCATGTATTCATTGACTACAGACCGGGTGCAACTTTCGAGGCTGCTCCCACTTTAGCTCAAGGTCCTTGCCATCGCTGTCTTAAGCGCACTTTTATTGCGCTCGAGTGCTCCTCTAGTTGTGTGTAGTTCAATCCACAATTACGCGTAGTTATGCAAGCAGCGAGAGCCGGAAGATTGATTATATCGCCAAAGTAGCTAGATAGGCAGTATTCTAGACGTCCTAGAGTGACCGAATACTACCCTTAGGGTCTCTATACTGAGAGTGTGGTGCCCTTGTTCTGCGTGGATCATATATCTCGCGCGATTAATGCCCTCCGAGTTGTCACGAACACTCTACTTTGCAATTGTGAACAGCGCCGAGGTAAGACATTCAGGTTAGATTGCATACTTGTCATTTGCTGTCCATAGATTCAAGAGGAGCCATTCGAGCATTTAATGAGTGCGATCGCACGGATCTCGCGTCGGAGACCGTACGACCTCACTTCGTCACACCTAATTTCATCCCTTCTCGTTGCAATCATTCATTTCATCTTTATTTGAAGCGCCGCACAACGCCATCTTCGCCTTTGACTTCCCCATCGAGCAAAATTTCATGACCATCTCCTTCTCTTACAAACTGCGCTGCGATGCTTCCAATGACAGCCACACAAGCAAGTCCCCACCATCCCAAGGCGACGATGCCCATATCTAAACCTTTTCCAAATAGCCAGCCAAACACAATCGGGCCAAAAGTTCTAGTAAAACTAGATACAGACTGGCCGATACCATGCATGGTGCCCAGGACTGATGGGTGCGGGCAGCAATTGTTTATGAGAATCGCGGTACACGGCAAGGCGAACGTTCTAGCCAGTACCTGGACAAACAGTACAACAGTTATCGCTATCCAGATGAGTGCGCCAGACACGCCTGCTGGAGGCTTCGAAGTACTTGGCACAAGGCTGAGAACGGGTGCGATAAAATACGCAACAGGGAATAATAGGAGGAAGATCCGATAACTTCGCGCCGTACCCAGTCGGGAGCTAAGTCCTGGATACAGAAATAGCTGAAGAGTTATGCCGATGACACCAAGAATCGAAAGTGCCAACCCAATGCGTGGAGGCGGGAGCGCCATACCGCCGGTGAAGTGTAAGCCGCGGGGCTTGAAGCCGGGTGGATTAGGGTGGTCTGGGTCATATCGTGGAGCAGAAAGGTAAGTGAACCATAAAGGGTTGAAAGTGCCGACGTGCATTGCCATTAGCCCATGAGATAACAGGGTAATGAGAACATTGGGTGTCCACATCCGCCGAAAGGGCAGCTTCGGTCTTCCTAAGACCGGGTCCACGGTCCGAGGAGACAATGGCTCTGGGTGCGCAGATGTGGGTGTAGCTTGCATCTCCACAGCCGATACTGAAGCAAGCTCATCTCCAGGTATTGCAGTGTACGCATGATTATCAGCGGATCGTTGCCGGAAGACTCTGCGCTGGATCCAACGTCCTATGCGTAGGCCGAAGTCAGGCTTGTCCTTGCAGAGCTCGCTCGTCTCTTCGAGGAACAAAACGATACTTAAGGCGGCCATGAAGAGAAAAACAGCACTTATCAGATTCGGTAAAGCATACGGCGACTTGATCATCCATTGGACACCTTTTTCGCCACCAAATAGCGACCCAGGGCCAAATATAGACGGATAGCTGCCAACAGGGTCGGCCAGAATGCCACCTAAACTTTGTCAGTACATTGAACAGTCAACGTCCTGGAAAATGTCTCACCAAGAATCGGGCCAATAATGACGCCAATATTAAAAGTCATGGGCAGCAAAAGAAAGGCTCTGCTCTGGAATTTCTTCTCTTTGATGATTTCGGAAATCATTGTCCTCATCACCCCGACGTTACCGTTCAATACGCCACCAAGGCAGCGAAAGAATAGTGCCGTAAGGAAGCTATGAGAAAAACCGAATCCTATGATAGACACCAGTGTGCCTAGAAGACCAATCGAAATAGCGCGCTTCCGACCTCCGTACTCAGCGTCCGCAAAGCGCCCCCAAGCTATTGCGGTCAAAAACTGCGCGCCAGGAAATGCAGCATGGAGAATACCGGCCTGGTAAGCGATCGTCGAATCGGGGAGGCTAGGATCGAATGACCTGAGTTGGTAGAAGATGTATGAGCCGAGTGAGGTTTGAGTGAGAGGTTCACTGAGCCGAGCGAGTGTGAGAACGGCGAGTTGGTCTTTCCGAGGCAACGAAAGCCATGTCACAGGCCTCTCTTTTATAGCTTCGGTTTGCTCTGTTTCATTGACTAGAGGCAGGGCGATTCCGCCTTCGGCATTGGTCTGGATGATGAGGTCGTGTGAGCGTCCATTTTGTTGGCTATTGATTCTGGCACCTTCAACGGTCCCGCGTTTGTGTGGATGGGTGCCGATAGAGGTGGTGTTCTGTCCCAAGAAATGATCATCTTCTTCATCCTGCTCTACCAGACGTTTACCTTGCGATGAGGTTGGTAGATATCTTATCTCCGAAGTCGCAACGGTCCCAACAGGTGACGATTTTTTCGTAGACAAGTCGGGAGAATGATCTGCGAGCGTAGGTTTGCCACTCATCGATAGCGAATCTGAAGTCTGCAGCACCTAAGCAGACTAGATTGTGTCTGCTTGGCGACAATTCAAGGCACGAAGAAAGGATGAGAGAGCAGAGACTGGAAGGGAATCACTTGCTCACAAGGAGATAGAGAAAGGCCTGCATCGGAGTAAAGCAGTTCGGATTGAAGTTAGCATGCATCCTGATTGGTGTGCAGCGGTAGGGGAGGCCCTTGTTCGTGTGGCCGTTCGTAGGCTCGGCCGACTCCCGCGGCCGCGGGAGTGTGGCTTCTGGCGGGCAACGTGGAGTATGGAATATGGAGTTAAATTTTGGTTGGTGTATGATCGAAGTAATGTGCATCAGGGCGAGTAAATGGAACTCCTCTTTCAGAACGAGCGGAAGGGAACCGGGTCAGTTGCGCGAACGGTAGGTATGGTTGGCTGTGGGCGTGCAAGTTACTCCGAGAGCTCGGGAATAAGCAGGTCACGTGAACAGGGCACCTTGGACCCAAGCTTACATATGTAAGAGTTAGCCCGACGATAGTAAAGCAATTCGTCGCGGGACTTTCATGAAGAAGCTCCTGGAATCATATCATGCGGTCATTTATGTGATATCGCTATAGAAGGGTAGAGTCGGAGGATGCTCGCTTTCAGCGAATCATGACGCCATTCCAAATCGCCGTGGCGGCGGCGCAAGCTCCCCGCCCCAAAGATTCCATAATCACCGTCTACACAGCACAACGAACAGTTCCACATCACCTCATCCTTCAGCCTATAAATCTTTCTCTTGATGCGCTTCCCATCGTTCCCAACACTCATCCGCACCTTCCAAGCCTTCACGAATAGCACTTTTCGAGTGGCGAGCTCCACTCGCGGCATCTACAGCTCCCCGCAGCGCGCAACGCCCATCCGGTCTATGAACAATATCCCGTTCCTCGGCGCGCTCTTCGGTACAAAAATGGCAGACAACACCAACTACCCAATCCAGAAGCCTGAGGGAGAGTGGCAGACCCAGCTTTCGCCAGGTACGTCGCGATGCCTTCGCCTAACATTGCTCTCGCCTGATCGCGTAGCTAACGTGCACCGCTGCCAGAGCAATTTCGCGTTCTTCGCAAGAAGGGAACCGAGCCACCTGGCTCCAGTAAGCTCGACAAGCACTACCCCGACGCCGGCGTATACACATGCGCAGGCTGCGATGCACCGCTGTACAAAGCCAACCACAAGTTTGACTCCGGGTGCGGATGGCCTGCTTTCTGGGACGCATTCCCGGATGCTGTCGGCCAGCGGCCAGATCCAGGTCTCGGCATGATGAGGACGGAAATCGTATGCAACAACTGTGGAGGGCACCTAGGGCATATTTTCAAAGGCGAGAGGTTCGGGAACCCCAAGGATGAGAGGCATTGCGTGAATGGCATATCAATCAACTTCAGCCCCGAGGAAAAGAAGGAATGACTCGCCGAGACAGGGCAAAAGACGGCACGAGAGAGGCTCTGAGTATTTGGCGAGGGAGTTGTATCATATGTTCGAATCATGAAGGCGACATGATGACCAGATGACGATCTGTAGATATTTGTGTATAATAAGAGGAAACTCTCGTTCACAAGTGGTCAATACCGATTGGAGCTGTTCGACATAATCTCGGTAGCACCTGAATCACTCTACAGCATCGCAGGGATGTACTCATTTCCCGGCCTACGTTCTGTTACTCATCAAAATGCAGAGAGCATTGGTTAGAGCTATGAGCCCAAGGCAAGTACCAAGATCGCTTACGGAAGAGTCACAGGCTACTAGACACGAAAACGTGTCATCTTTCCACTATGGAAGGCATCGACTTGCCGCAGCAGCGACCCGTAACTCTTCTTCCACCCCACGCAGCACCAAAGGCAAGGATCCAAAACAACTTACGATCGCTCCGCAGGCATCCATCGAATATGATCGTGGGATACCACAGCAATTGTAGTATATTGCTGTCAGTGCGAGCCAGTTATTGGCCGCGAGACGATGGTCCAGCGTGACATCGTGGCATTGCTGCACTGTCATGGCTGACCCGACACAAGTGTTCCCGTCCAGTTCCACAAGCCAGCAACAGCATAGCCAAAGTTTCGCGTGGGGTATGACACGGTCCTTCAGTATCTACTGCTGAAAAAAGCTGGCCTGTGTGAGGAATGACGGCGACAGAAAGAGGAGGTTGTGGTCGCAGAGCCATGCGCGGTGATTCCGTCAGCCAATCACATGTCAGCCAGGTTCAGCCAGCCCCAACACAGGCCCAACACCATCCTCACGTTCATACACAGCGCCCAGGCGCCATTCTTCTCGTGAAATTAGTCCGTTGTTGACATCCAGCGGACGCGGGACCCCTCTTCAGCCTTAGCGGAGCTCCGTTCAATGTTGCTAGCTCCGTATCGAGATCCCTCACACTCACACTAATTATCATCAAAGGGACGCGCTGCTGAAAGTTTTTCTGCCAGTCGCACACTTCACACCAATCTTCAATCTCAGAGCAGCCATAGTCACTTCTTCAAGAGAGAGTAATTGTAAACGTTCAACACAATCCTCCCTCATGGAGCTCCTGGAATTATACTACGATGTCCTCATTAAGATAATAGAAGAGGTGGAACCTGAAGACTTGGCTGCTTTGGCGCAGACCTCAATCGGTTTCAATCATTTCGTCAAAGGCAACGAAATGTTGTATAAGGCCCACTATTTGAAGAACTTTGTAAGCTGCAGATCTCCAGTCCTGTAATGACATTCAGTAACGCGGTGAAGGATGATCCCCGGCGGCGACCAACAGATCCCGCGCCGGATTGGATCGCAGAGCTCCAACGACTCGTCAAGCTTCGCAAGATTCTTCAGTCACAGAGCCCAGACGTGAAGGTCGGCTAAAGTCCCACATGAACGTAATACGAAGTCAGCTGACCCCTGCACAGTCTGCAAACATGGATTTCGTGCTCGAAACAATCAGCACACTAATCAAAACTGGCACAGAGAGCGAAGGCTTATCCCTCAATTGTGGAGAGCTCACAAAGCTCTTTTCCAATCCTCAAAATGCCGATATGTTCATGCATAGGTCCTCGCTTTACCGCAGAGCAGGGATGGAAACCCAGTCTCAGGCACAGAGTCTAGAGACCCGTCAGCAGAGCGCAAGACTGCATTCTATCTACGGCATACCCAAAGACTCGACTGGCCGCCGTACGCTCTCCACACACCCGTTCGCTCGATCACGTGTCTATGATTTGCGCAATTACTCCAAGCGCTCGCGCTGGGGTCCGTTTCGCAACGATGGCAGCATGCGCGTTGACTGGGAACTCGTTGAAAGCATAATGGTGGTTTTAGGATACAACAATGGGATCTGCTCACGCCGCTACATGGACCGATTCGTCCTCCCTTGGTCCGCACCCTTTGCGAATATCTTCCAAGATCGATTCGCGCACCTGCCCTTCACAGACCTGCAACCTCCATTACCAAGCCTGACGAAGGAACCCAGTCTGCCTCTCGACTTTCAGGATCCCTACAACGTCTCTGGAATATGGGCACGAATAGTCTGCTTCCTCGATTACGACGATCTGTACGACTTCAATTTCAACACGACCGCTGTGAGGACACCGGAGGACCAGCCTTTACCGCCGATCACGATGGAAGAGGCTGTCCGCCATATCATGATGCACCTGGAAGTGACGGCCGTCACTGCGCCTGGCAAAAACGATAACCAGACGATGCCTGTGATACACTTTGACGGGAAGGCGCGCGCAGTGGACACGAACATGGACGCAAATGCTAATTCGAGTATAAGAGGGTGTGTCAGGATGACGCCCGAGGGTGAAGTGCGATGGAGCACTGTGTGGATCTTCAATGGGTAAGTGACCTTCTCAATGGAAGACATCTGTATATACTAACACTTCGTCAGCCACGAAGAACGTTGGCGCAGCGAGGCCATTCAAGTTGGAGGGCTGCGATCCAAGCGTGGCGTCGTCGGCGTCTGGTACGACAAGAGTTTCGATCCTCATGGGCCGGCGGGACCCACGGCGTTCTGGAAAGTAAAAGAACTTGCAAGTGGGACTGACGAGGATGGAAATGATTCAGATGATTTTATGGAGCTCTAAAAGCATATTTTTTGGTGACAGTGGGGCCGCAGGAGCATCGAACATAATTCACTTGTCAAGTTGCGTTTCCCGCATTGTACATCATTTATCTGGTTGTTTACGGAATGGCAAAGTAACAGAAATCCCGATGTCACCCTATCCATGTGACATCAGTATCTTGAGCAGTACTCCATGAGTCTTCTTCGAGTCATTGAACGGCCAAGCTGCTGGCGCCTTATTCACCATCCGCTTATATCGCTCATTCATACAGAATCACACTGTATGCACAGCAACCGTCCACTCCTCAATTCACAGTGCTGAGCTTTGCCCTCGTTCACTGGTATGCAATGGTATTCGCAGATGTCTTGCGCACCGAATGTGTCGACCACCAGGCACTTGGCCGCAGGCTTATCGGTACCGATTGCAGGTTGGATGGTCGATGGTGGCGGCTCAGCATTCTGTGTGGAGTTCGCGGGTGCAGAGCGTGACGCTGTTCCGGTAGATAACGGCGTAGAGCTCGGCGGGGCAAAGATAATTGGAGTGACGGTAACCCACGTGGTCAATGTACTCGGTTGCGGGGTTTCTGTGCCGATGGAAATGAGCGTTGTAGTCGTGGTGGCTCGCTGCCAATCGAAGTTTGTATTCGTTGCGTTCTCGCAATTCGATGAAGGAATAGAGCGATTGTGGGAGATCTTAATGCTGACCAGAAAGGCAGTGACGAGTCCAACCACCAAGGTCGCCACACCAGCGATCGTGTAGAGAGTTTTTTTGTTGGCACAGCCGTGCCTGGTGATTGATTGAGTCTCAAGATCGCTAGGTGCCAACGGGTGGTTGGGATCTCGATAATCAGCAGGCATTTGTTGCGAGCCAGTTTTCTGCATTTCGATGGTGGTGTCGGTGCGGAAAGGGTTGTTCGAAGCTAGTGAAGGTTTGGTCGACATTCTTGGTTGGTAAGTGCTGTTTGATATTGGTAGGTACGACGTGCGGAGCAGGAAGGAAACTTGTGCAGTCTTCCAAAACAGGTAGTTGTTAAGCAACAACTTTAAGTCATGCGGGAACATTGTGAAGCTAGAAGACAGCACAAGCGATCATCGTGTTAAGTACTTGACACTTAGCAACATAGAAGGTGACACCGTGCACAGTGGCTGACAGTCAACACTGAACTTTTTGTAGCTGTGAGATTTCGGCACAGGCCATTATATGAGGATTTCATGACCATCTCATAGAGTGAGTTCCTACAGGACCAAGGGTACCCCAGAGGTCCAGGTTGGGCCCCGCATCTGCCCATGGATGGTCGCGAACGGCTCAAGCAGCATCGGTGAAAGTGTGGCTGATCTGTCTTCATGCGCGTTCTTGTGTTGTCGAAGTATGATTGTTATCGATATATTCAGCGCGAGTGTGATTGCAAGGATGAAAAAGATACTGGCGCAGACACATAGGGTGACGCGACGCGCGCCCAGCAGTCTGCTTCGATTTGCTGGGTGGGGCGGCAACGCTTTATTCACATCGCATGCTGGCGGGCGCTGGTCGTCAAAGTGTTCGCCTATCGTCAATAGCTCTTGCTGTCTTGGACTTGCTGAGCCAAAGACAAATGATTCCAGGTATTGGGAGTTAACCCGCTCATACTTGGGGGGATTTTCTATCTTGGTCTTGGGAGATGTTCCGACAATTTTCGAGAGACGACTCTCAAGGTCAGATCTCATTATTATGAAATGCTGCGAATGAAGTGAGGTGTTCAAAATCCAGGTATATTGTGTGAAGGTAAAAGTGTAGAATGTGAAACGAAAAGAGGAAGCGTGCGTAGTCGTTGAAATAGTTCCATGGGTATTGCTATAAGCGGAATACAAAGAGCCTATTATAGCTCTCCTGAATAACGGCCTTGACGCTTCCCGGAACAAAGGAATCAAGCACATTGTGCTCTGGTGCCACTTAAACCCGATGACAAGACAAACGAGTTCGCCACAAGATACTTGCGCTTGATGTTCAAGCTAGGTGCAGTTCGCTCGTTGATATAATGGTCATCGAATCTTGGAAATCATGATTCGAGACGGCGTAAAGCAGACTATGCCACGGATAGACCTTGTCTTCAGTTGAGCGTCCAGCGCGGTACTTGAACAATGGCTGTAGGTTGAAAGTGGTGCACGAATATTCAAATCAATATAGTGTTGAAAGCCCGTGCCTCTCATTTGTCCCTTTTTTTTGTGGCGCCTTCCAAGCTTCCAGATGATTCACCTGAATAATGACGACCACGCGATCCCGGCTTATACTGAAGGTCCTTGTAGAACTGTTTCCAGTGGTACGCATATTTTGATTTGGGAGATTTTCAAGTTTCGGGTTGCGCTGATGTCAAAGTGGTGCGCATTCGTAGTGACACTTGATGCGATACTCAACAGCGTCAGTCCGAATCCCGTGGTACTCTAACCGGACCACCGCCTATGAGCAGTGTTGGATGGAAGGGGTGAAAAATCCGGGTCTGCGGGAATGGGACGGCCCATCACTCTGAAGTGTGTTATGGATGGCAGAAAACTCGTCTCTTTTTGGTCTTTTGTTTTCCCCTTCGCTCCTCATGTCTTTTCATGACGGGAACAGCTGCGAGGCTGACTATAGCAACAAGACTACAATAAGGACTAGTTTCAATATTTTGCAGTGGCGCGAGGAGTGTACATGTAAAGCGCATTTTGGGTACTTGAAGTATTCCTGCAGATTTCATCTACTTAATTCAGCTCATCAACGCCAAGCGTGAATTATACCAAGCCAGATACTCTTGGAGGGTGTGTGAAAGATTTAAATCACGATCATATTATTGGACAGTTGAGATTGCACATGACCGAGAAACCGTTCCTGCATACTTTGGCGTGAGTTGTACGGTTCGGTGGTAAAGCGAAAGTACCCCAGTCACAATGTACGGCGACAACACATGCAGGGCAAGCAAAAGCGGAGGCATTTCGGACATGACTTGAGCGTGTTATCGCTCTGGAACGATGTGCAGAACTGGTACATTGGTGAAAAAGATCACCGAGGTCTCAAGCCATGAATGATATTGGAGCACTTGCGTGATGCACACGCATGATAGCGGGATCGGGCGCCAATGCAGTAAGAGATGTAGCGTTGGCTGACGACGCTGCTCATGCGGCCAAATTGGGCTAGAAGAAGCAAAGTCTATGACAGCTGGGGCACCGGGCATCTTCATGAGGGAAGGTCATGGCATCATGCGGCCATCGCGTTCGGAGGCTGACTTGAAGCTGTAAGTACTCAATGGACGACAGAGGACCATGACGACATAAGCGCATCTTGTGCCCGAAGAGGCAGAGGCTTGGGAGGATGTTGACGCTGGATCTTCAATGCTTCAGACATGGAACGTGGCACAGAGCTGATCCGTGTCGCACAGCTTGCCCGAGCCGCCCGTGCCACCGAGGAGGGCCCGCAGCAAAATGCAACGTCTCACCGCGCGATGTGGGTAGAGAAAATATAGATGGTAGTGCATGTGGAGGGGCCGAAGGTGAGCGATGGTGAGGTCGGCCGGAGTTTCGTGGTGGTCAAGTACCCTTGGTGGGCTGGAGGCGCAATCTATCTCACGAACGCCCCAGAGAAGGGCAAAGGCGCTCCACGAGGAACAAGCTAGCGGATTGCCGTACATGGCATGGTGAGGTCGAGCCTCAAACACAGGGTCCCCTGGCGAACGGCCTTGATTGGCCCCCCACACGAAACGCGCCGGAAATGGCGAGCCGCTCAACGCCAGCATCGCGATGGCCAGGAGAGCGACAGTGCCGTTCGCCGTGCGTTCCTTATCACCACTCAGTCCCGCGTTGCGCCCGCTGCCAACACGCAGACGCCAGCCTTGCAGCCGTCTGCGCACCGCAGTCCCTCCATTCCCTGCAGTCTCTCCTTTGCGCCTTCCACGATACCCCTCCAGCGCGCCTTCCAGACGGGCCTTCGCGCCTGCCGCTCTTTGTCCGTCACCCAGCCCAATTGACCACCGGCACCCACTCTCTTTGTATTCACCGCGCGCCCACAATAGGAACACACGCCGCCGTCAGCGGGCCGCAGACACTGTTATATCCTGTCTTTGTCCTCGGGAAAGCCCCTTCCGTTCTCGAAACATCTCAAGCATTGAGCGCCTCAGACAGCAGCCCCCGTCGCATCATGCGCAGCACGCTCGCCTAGCCTCTCCCGAACCCCGTTGCAACCGCACGCCTGCGCCTGCGCCAGCTCTACAGCCTCGCTCAGTCTCCACACCCAAAGACTCCCTCCCCTGTCGCTCATTTCTCCGCGTCAAGTGGTGTGCAGCCGGCCTGTCACCACACACACCCCAACGGCTTCCTCCGACCACCATTCCTTCCTCCCTTGAGCTCATCTGGCCTTCGATGCTGGCATAGCTCTCGCCACTCCTTACACTACAGCTGGACTGTCCCGTTGAGCGGATATAACACATAATAATATCAGCAGCAAGCAATCATGGGCTGCTGCGGCGACCGCGAGAAGGGCATCACCGTCACCGAGGAGCAGAAGTGGGACTACATCACCCTCTCTGACTTCAAGTCGTCGTCCTGCCTTACGCCCTTTTCCTACGTTTGGTTGTGGATCCTCGTCATCATATCAGGTGCCGTCTACGCCGCCGATGCCTTCACCGCCGTCAATCTCCTCGCTTTCGACAAATGGTCAAGCCAAGTCAAGCCCAAGATCGACTTCAACATCACAAAGTGGATTTTCGCCGTCTGCATCATTGTCTCCTACGTCTTCTTGGCCTACCGATGGATTCGCGCAATCCGCGTCATACGCTCTGGCGGCGTCGCCGAGTGCTACCTAGAACCCCTAGCCGCTATCTTCCAGAGTATGCGACTGACTAAAGAAGGCCAAGGATGGCGCCGCTTCTTGGTCTTTGCCGAATTGACCAAGAGCAGAAAGGGCGTCGATTACATTGCGCTCTTCGTCTACTTCCAGTTCAAAGGTGCTCTAATTGTCATCCTGGCACAGGGCCCGCGCATCGTCGTCAATGCCATGACGCTGTGGGCTGTCGTGCAAGCCCAACTCATCCCCGAAGGAGACCACGCAGCGCCCAAGGGCAAATCACCGGTCGCCCAGTTCTTCCTCAACATTGAGACCATGATCCAACAAGGAAACAAGCAAGAGACGGTCATCTACTTCACCATGTTGTTCTCCTTGGTCATCTGGGTTATTGCCTTTCTGTCGCTCTTCTTCTCCGTTCTCTTCTACGTATTCTTCCTCTGGCACTATGTGCCCAAGGCCGACGGAAGCCTGACCCAGTACTGCCGCAGAAAGATCGAAAGCCGTCTCGAGCGCATTGTCAGCAAGAAGATCAAGAAGGCCCTAGAGAAGCAGGACCTGAAGCGCAAGAAGGAGGAGCGGGATGCTTTGAAGAAGGGAGGCGCAGAGGCGCGCATGCCCACACTTCCCAAGCTTGGTGGAGTCGACGACGACACCTCGTCTATCTACTCAGGCGTCACGGGCATCACACGCTCAGACACTATGACCACATCAACCACGCTTCCACCGTACTCCTCCAACGCACCATCCCGAACAAATACGATGAACACGATGAGCACTGCGAGGACCGCCGTTATGAAGCCATCATTGCCATCATTATACGAGAGGCCTGTGCCCACTCGTACCGACACTCAAGGCACTACAACAAGCTTTGGTTCCAATGCTCCACTTTTGAGTCAAGTCGGTGACATGGGAATGGCCTCCCCAGTGCCTCCTCTGCCTTCGCTTGACCCACATGCCGAGTACTTCTCTGGACCACCTGGCCCTCGACCACCACCTAGCGGCATGAGTGGAAGGCCATTCTCGCCAATGTCGCAAGGTCGCGCGTCACCATACTCGCAGCGAAACATGCTTCCGCCCGTGGATACCAGTGTTGGAGGACGAGGCTCTCCCGCACCTCAAACCATGTCGTCTACTGGTTATGGCAATCGCGGCGTGTCACCACCTCAAGGCAATGTACCCTATCCTAGCCAGAGAACAGGTGCTTCGCCACTCGGTGGGCCAACCTTTTCTCCGTACAATAACCCTGGTCCAGCCACGGGTCCAGCTTATGAGATGTCGCCAGTAGATCTCAACGCGTCTGACAACACACTGGACTATTATACTCAGGGGGGCAGTTCAAACGACTACCGGCCGCCACAGCTACCCAGTACTCTTCGTTCCGGCTCACCGGCACAGATGCAGAGTGCTGGACCACCTCGGACAGGCACGGTTCCACCTCCGCGATCGGGCACTGCTCCACCTGCGAACCCTCGCGCTGGACTGCCTGCTACATTGCAATCAGCCATTCAGCGACGCGAAGCGTCTCAGCCTCTCCCTAACCGTGGCATGCCCATGCACCAGCAACAGCGCAGTGCTACCGCGCCTCTAGGACAACGATGGGCACCGCAGTCTGACGCAGAGCCGATGCCCAGGAGCAACACGACTGGACCAGGGCCCCAGGGCCACCACCCCTACTAGGTCACATCGTCCTTTTCCGTCCACTACATCGATTGAAAGCATTGCCCATTAACGATCGAGATACCACTGCCAGCTGCTTATCATCCAGCTGATTCTTTTTGTATCCATTCCTGTGCATTTCCTGGCGTTCAATTCTCATCCTCGATGGAAAAACCCCACTTTTTCACTGCAACCACCTACTTTTACATATGCTGCGACGATACCTTTTTGACGAGACGACTGGAGGTTTGACGATTTGCTGCTACTTGTTCGAGATACCCTTCGCCGCTGGCCTCGAGCGTCCATTCGCTTTGCCACTGGTTGGGGAAATACTCTTTTCGATTGCGGAGAGATGGTTTGGGTTTTGCTAAGGAGTGGCTCGCATGAAAGGCATTCGCATGGCGAGCGAGTTGTATAGAAAGCTCTGGAGAGAAATCAAATTTCGTGCAATTCCATGTGTTGATCAATTGCGAGTCTTTGCACGGGGTGACGCGGTGCTGCGCCTTCGTCGACCCACCCTCACTGCATTTGTGCGTAAGCTGTGGCGACGATCCCAAAGCACAATATTGTGCGATTATATTCTTATGTATCTTGCACAAAAAGGCTGCAAAATAGGGCCTAGATTCATCGCTCGGAAATCTGAAACAGATTCAGGTCTGCCTCGTGCGCGGATGGATGTTAGTATGAGGCGGGCCTACAGGCACAAGGTACAAGGTACAATCAATCAATACTCCACCTCCGAAAAATGCAGCAACGAATGCAGACTACTGTTACATGCTGAGCTTACAGGCGTGAAGCGCAAAGAACTGTGAGCAACACCAGCGAAAGAAGTAGCGAGAAACCAGAGCAGGAGTGTAGAAAGGCCGTACCTCGCACCTCCATAGAGGTTTCCATACTCGATTGCCTATTCTTGATCGCACTTCGTGCCTTGCGCTCGTCCCGCAGCAGCAGCAGCAGCAGCAGCAGCACACAGCTACCTACTCCTTCCTGCGCTCAGCGCCCGAGCCGCTTCTCCGTCTCTAGCAACGCATAATTCATCCGCAACACCGGAACGGCGGTCATGGTCATGGCCACCTGCAGCACATGTTTCGAACCGCCGACCTACATACCGCACTGTAGAAACACGGCGGACCTGAGGCGTCGTGTATGCCCATTTCTTATGCCGCTCTATTGAGAGCAACAGGCTTATAGTGGCCAGTGAGCGTGGCGCAGTGTACAAGATAGGCAGTCGTGCTACAAAAGTATGTAAGAAGTAGGCAGTACAGTAAAGCATGAGCTGTGTCGGACTTCCGTCGAGAGACAGCGCGAGGCTTGGGCTTAGGGCGGCGGAGGATACATGAAGGATGGAGGGAAAGCGGATTGCATGCTTTGCTTTTGCGTTTGGAACGGGCGGAGATTATGTGGTGAACGAGAGGTTGCTCGGGACAGAGGAGGTGTGGACAGAAGAAAGTAGGGGTGAGATACAATGGGCTAATGTATGCGCTGCTTGGGTAGCGGTGGAGAGGGCCATTTGAAAAGGTAGTGCTGTTCATAGGCGGAAGACAGCGAGCTGTGTAGCTTCTCCCAGCAAGTCGAGGCAAATCCTTTGGATGGTGGGGTATACCCTCGCGGCTGTTGACGACCCATGCCCTCGTCACGACTCACAACCCACCAACAACCTCGTATTCACCACCTTAAACACTCGTAAACCTTACCTTTGTATGTGGTGATACTCCGGAAATAGTGCACGCCCTCACGTCTTCAACCTCAGCTCCGACACCTTACAGCGGACTCCGCCAGCGCACACCCATGTTTCGAAACACCAACACACGCCGCAGATCACCCGCACCACCCATGCGCGACCTGCTCGAACCAGTGTTCGCGCCAACCACAGCAGCATGTCGCGGCATGTCACGGTACTCCGCATGCGGTTGCGCAAACCCCTTCTCCTCAGTCGTGTGTGGGCTATGCGTAGATCAGGCGGACACCGTTAGATTCGGCTCGTTCCTCGTTTTGGAGAGAACGTTGTGACCTTCCCAGGGCTCAAGCGAGCGAGCAGAGTTCCGAGCGATTGTCGCAGAGCCGCAGCTTTGAAACGAAAATTCGTAAACGAAAACAACATGTCACACAGCACCAGACAACTGTCTGGCTAATGGAAGCCCAACATTGCAGCGCAGATAAACGCGATACAGTCTGTATGGTACAATTGATGGCGCTATATCCTTTTCGCCTTGTTGGTGCATGGAAGCGAGCAAATTTGTGCTCAACGCGAGTAGCCTCGAAGCGATCTTCGTCTACTGTGTACTCGAGTGTTGGATTGTGCGCATTCGCGTACTCAACAAGCGTAGTGCTGGCGTGCCATCTCACGTAGGAGAGCCCTCCGCCCTTGGAGTGAAGCGCTATGACTGCAGTAAGCGGGCAGATGAACCACCGCTTGGTATTTAGCTCTGACCTGGCATATCCCAGCTCTCGCCGGGCTGTCGAAGCCATGGCTTCTCACGTAGACTTCATCTCCCTTCCCCCAGGCAACGCATGGCGTACCATCTGGGCCAGGTGGAGTCGCATTACACACAGAGCATTGCATGACATCATGCTCCGGTCGATCACATCCCTCGTATCGATAGAAAGCAGGTGTATCGATAAGCCGGGGACATGGGTTGCTGAAGATTCGGAGAAAGGCTGACGTTTGTTGAATGGTGGCTTTTCGGGCGTTGGCTGATATGCACCGTGCCGTGCGGCCTCGGGCAGATATATCCACGGCACTTCACCACGCCTCTCAGGCGGCGGCGGCGGCACTGTCGGTCTTGGGAAACGGCACAACGGTGAATCAGCTCGGTCAACATGATCCGTTGGAGCGTAGATGAAGGTCCAGAATATCGCGTGCGCGACTCTCCCGCGACGGCACAACGTGCGGCCCACAATCGCAGAGAGTCTACTGCAACAGAGAAAATCACGACGGCGCATGCTGCATTTGAGGTTGCAGCCACCGCTTTGTCTGCCAGTGAGGATGCGAGAAAAGTCTTAGACAGATTTTGTTCAAGGCCTTGCGAGATAGCGTACCATCTTACATACACACCTCGGTTCTACTCGAAGCAGTTCCCCATCGACCAACGGCGGCGCTCCACGTTGTGATCGGCCCTGCAGCGTTATGTAGTTGTAGGTCTGGGCTCTGGTGGTGTGGATGTTTGTTTTGTTGTGCCTGAACCCGACTGGACGGCCGACTGCCCCGTTCCTTGTAGCGACCCGCAAAACGGCGCGAGCCCACGTTGCGACGGCGATGACTGGGTTCCTGGGAGACAGGGCTGCAGCTGCTCACAGGTTGTTGATGTAAGACGTGAAGGAAATAGCTCACCCGCATACGGGCTGCAGCGGGCAAGCGTGGTGGGCAATGCAAGCTGTGCGCGTCACAATTCGCGGTACGCGCAAACTTTCAGTAAAGGTTGGCAGAGGCTCGCAGCGCCAACGGTCGCCGCCACCACGGCTTCACCCACATGGGCGCAAAACGAGGACGGGGCGTCGTTGCTTCACACGCACGCAAACTCTGATGCGACCGAGCAGAAAGGTTTGCCGAGCGCTTCGCTGTCTTGCGGACGTGTTCTGGAATACGCAGCGTCTCCACTCGTCTCGCGGCGAGCAGAAGACGACGCCTAGCAGCGCGGCGCGGCACCCAATTGCAATGCCACGCTCCCCACAAAAGCGCACATCCTCATTGCGCGTCCACAGAAACCGCTGGCCCGAGTGCTATTGGTCAATCTCCACTGGCGAAAGGAGGTGGGTCTGGCGACTGCGCTGGTGACAGGCGCCGCGTCCACGACGGATGGGTGCGTTGTTGATGCCAGCATCCACACCTCGACGGGTCCCCACCAGCGTCGGCGGTGAAGTGGCACACGGGCGATGCGACCTTGGCTAATGGAATGTGCACACCTGTTTGTGACGATGCGGTGCCTGACTGCTGCGCTGGGCACCCAGGAGGCGAAGATTGAAACGTCGGAGGTCCAAGCCCGCGCCGCCAGGAACACCAATGGCGGGTGAGTCCGCAAGTGACCCTAAATCCAGGCACCGGATCCCATTCGCCGGGCTATAGATGACTGCGGTGATTGACGCTGCGGAAGGTAAGGCGCGATGCTGCTTCGGGGAGCGCGCAAGACACGGGAGATGAGAAGCCACCGTCGCGACAGGGCCCCCAGTCCGTCTTTGTCGCGCGCGGGCGGCCCACTCACACAGACCAGGGCTCCTGAGTCCAGCCGGCTGAGTGCGCCTCAAATGATCCTGCGGCTCGCCGCTCTTTGCTTCCTTTCTCCCCGTTCCCCAGAAGGTTCTTATTGTGACCTAGTCCCCTCGTTTTGACAACCCAACAATCGCGCGTTCACTCATTCACGCAGCGGTCCACCCATTCACCCCAGTCACTCTTTGAAGTCGCACGCACATATCTCGACGATACAACCACGACTTGACGACCACACACACAACAAGAGACCAATCTTCATCCCCATCAACATGCGTTACCAATCTGCTATGGCGCTGGGCGCCCTCGCCGCCGGACAGGCTGCCGCCTCCAACCACGGCCATGCCAACTTCCACAAGCGACAGTGAGTGACTCGCCTGTCGTGGCTAGATGCTGGCGCATACTGACACCCCCCAGCGAAGTCAAGGCTCGTGGCGCCGACGCCGTCAACTGGGACAACGTTGCCTTGGACCTCAGCGCCGTTGACTGGAGCAAGGTCGACTACGGCAACGGTGCCGCTTCCACTCCCGCCGCCTCTACCCCCGCTGCGGAGACTCCTGCCTCTTCCCAGCCCGAGGTCGTCGCTACTCCCGCGTCTTCCAGCGCCGCTGTTGAGGCTCCTTCGTCCACCGAGGCCGCTGCCCCTGCCGGGGCCTCTGTGTCCTCCGAATCTGTTGGAGACATCGTCGGCGACATCCTCAGCGGCATCGAGAGCTTCGCCACCAAGCTCGGAGCCCAGCTCGGTGTCAACTCCGAGACTGAGAACGGACAGATCTGGATCGGCGGTGACGGCAAGCACTCCGCCACCTTCACCAACGGCGCGGACAAGGACGCCATGGTCTGGTGCTGGGGCAAGTCCACCATGTGGATCAACGCCAACCAGCCCCTCATCTCCATCAAGCTCGCCGCTGGCGAAACCCAGAAGCTGTCGGTTGCTGATGGCTTCTCCGGCGGATGCGGTGCGTCCTTCGACGACTCTGACCTTTTCATGGGTCTCCTGAACGAGTCCATCCTCGAGTTCACCTTCGGCTCCGGCGCCAACGGCTGCTTCGACATCTCCCGCGAGATCAACATGAAGGGCATCCAGCTCACGGCCAAGGGCGCCAAGTGCACCAGCGGTCTCGATGGAGGCTCCCAGGCCTGCACCTTCGTCTGCACTGACTCCAGCGCCACTCGCTGCGGTGCGGGCGGTGGTGACTACGCCATCGATGTCGGTACCTCGACCAACGGACCCTGCATGGTCGGCAAGGACCCCTTCACTGGTGACGCCGCCGGTGGATGCCAGATGGCCGATGACGGCGAGCACCTCGAGGTCACCATCCACGGCGCCCGATGGTAATCCCGTCGCCCGTGTCTGTAGTCTTTGCTGTTGACTTGTTCGTCTTTTTTGTATCATGCTACTCTTTCTTGAGATACCCCTGCGCAAACCTCTTTGGGTATCTCTTAAGAAACACGTTAGGATACAGGCTTTCTTCTGTACTATCCTTCTGTTATATTTCGCACATCAATGTATATTTGTTTAACTGTCATGGAATGTGAGTACCAAAACATGAAAACTAAAAACCAACTGCGTGTCTACTTGGTTGTGACTTCTCACGCATTGTTCAATGATTTTCTATCACCCCGACGAGACAATCGTCGAACCGGCCGCATGCGCGCTGCGTCTCTAACCCGCCGATTCGCTGCAATCTGTGGGCCCAAGTCTTCATCGTCTCGTTTGGCCGCCCTGGTATGTAGCAAATGCTCGGATGGCCGTGGCTCGTCCACATTGCTGGTGTCCTGTGGCTCCTTAGGTACCATTATTGACCGCTCAGGCGAATCTCGAAAAGAGCAGCCGTCTTCAGGGAAAACTGGAGGATAACAATATGGGTGAGGATGTGTAAGAGAGCGGAAGTTGGCAGGTATGTGCTTGTCGCTTTCTTCGAATTCGTGGAATTTGGCAGCCACGACCAACCACACGCAATGAAATTCACATGCAGTGTGGTCGACAGCCACGTATGTATCACGCGAGCCCAATCTCGTCACAAATTCTTGGACGTATCACCAGTGTCTATAGCACATTTACGTTCATTTCAGTTATCCATTGAGATGGTTTCTAAAGAGACAGCCTGCATACTCCACATAAAACCCGAGGCGTCTATACAAGACGGCCGATGTAAGTTTGCTATTCGTACACGGCCAGAGCCGAAAGTTAGCTCCTTAGCCGCAAATCATGCACGTATCAAGCTTTTATCATCTACAACTCATCGTGGCCAGCATCGTCGGCACCCTCGCCACCAGCTCCACCGTAAAGCTTGGAGGTGATGGGGTAGGCCACGTTAGAGAGCTTCTCAAACTGCTCATCGAAGTCCTCGGTGACAGCTGAGGCGGCGTTCTCCTCGAGCCAGTCCTGGGTCTCCTTGATGGCCTCAGTGATGGTCTCCTTGTCCTCGTCGTCGAGCTTGCCACCGAGACCATCGTCATCGTTGACCTGGTTCTTCAGGTTGTAGGCGTAGTTCTCGAGCTTGTTGCGGGACTCAATGCGCTCACGGGTAGCCTTATCCTCATCGGCGTACTTCTCGGCCTCCTCAACCATGCGCTCAATTTCCTCAGCGGAGAGACGGCCCTTGTCATTCGTGATAGTGATACTCTCGGCCTTGCCGGTACCCTTGTCGACGGCGGAGACCTTGAGGATACCGTTGGCATCGAGCTCGAAGGTGACCTCAATCTGGGGAACACCACGGGGCGCGGGGCTGTCTTCTTGTCAGTGTCTGCTTGAGGTCGGTTTTATGCGATAAGAGCACTTACGGAATGTTGGTGAGCTCGAACTTGCCAAGGTTGTTGTTGTCCTTGGTCATGGAACGTTCACCTTCAAAGACCTGGATCAAGACCACAGGCTGGTTGTCGGCGGCGGTAGAGAAGATCTGGCTCTTCTTGGTGGGGATAGTGGTACCACGCTTGATGAGGTGGGTCATGACACCACCAGTGGTCTCGATACCAAGGGTAAGCGGGTTGACGTCCATGAGAATGAGATTGCTAGCAGCCTCGTCACCCGCGAGAACACCACCCTGAACGGCAGCACCGAAAGCGACAGCCTCATCGGGGTTGACGTCCTTACGAGCCTTCTTTCCGAAGTATTCCTCGAGCATAGCCTGGACCTTAGGGATACGGGTAGAACCACCGACAAGGACGATGTCATCGATTTCGCTCTTCTTGAGCTTGGCATCCTTGAGAACCTGTTCAACCGGCTTGAGGGTCTTCTTGAACAGATCGGCGTTGAGCTCTTCAAACTTGGCGCGGGTGAGAGTCTCGGAGAAGTCCTCGCCCTTGTGGAAAGATTCGATCTCAATCTTAGTGGTCTTCTGGGAAGAAAGCGTGCGCTTGGCCTTCTCGACTTCGCGTTTCAGCTTACCCATGGTCTTCGCGTCCTTGGTGATATCAACACCCTTATCCTTGTTGTACTTCTTGACAAAATGGCTGATGACACGGTTATCGAAATCTTCACCACCGAGATGAGTATCACCAGCGGTAGACTGGACCTCGAAAACGCCCTCCTCAATAGACAAGATGGACACATCGAAAGTGCCACCACCAAGATCGTAAACAAGGACCTGGCGTTCCTTCTTGTCATCCTGCTTGTCAAGCCCGTAGGCAAGAGCGGCGGCGGTAGGTTCGTTGACCACACGGAGAACGTTGAGACCAGCGATGGTTCCAGCGTCCTTTGTGGCGGCACGCTGAGCATCGTTGAAGTAGGCGGGGACAGTGACGACAGCGTTCTTGACAGTCTCGCCAAGGTAGCTCTCAGCAACCTCCTTCATCTTGCCCAAGACCATAGCGGAGACTTCCTCGGGGGTGAAGGTCTTCTCCTCGCCTTGAACCTCGACCTGGACGCGGGGCTGGCCACTCTGCAGAGGGCGTTAGCAGGTACATGATGTGAAAGCAAAGCAAGTCGCGTACCTTGGAGACGACCTTGAAGGGAAAGTGCTTGATGTCATTCTGGACCTCCTTCTCGTTGAACTTGCGACCGATGAGACGTTTCTGCCACTTGTCAGCTTCTACCCCGCTTGCAGGCAGAGATTGTACTCACGATATCGAAGATGGTTCGGTGGGGATTGCTCGCGTACTGGTTCTTTGCGGCATCACCAACGAGGCGCTCCTCGTCGGTAAAGGCCACCCAGGAAGGCGTGATACGGTTTCCTGTGGCCCAGCAGTCAGCTTCGTCCTGTGGTGCTCGAGGCGGGATGTGTGCTTACCCTGGTCGTTGACCATGATCTCGACCTTGCCGTTCTTCATGATACCAACACAAGAGTAGGTGGTGCCCAGATCGATACCAATGACAGGTCCAGAAACGCCGGTTGAGTCGTCGTCCTTGACGGGGACCTGGTCCTCAGCGCGGGCTGTCCGCGCCATCATCAGACCGCCCACGAGGACGAGGAGAAGGTAGAAGGCGATGCTCCATGTCGAGCGCCGGTCGGCGCCCCGCGATCGCCGCGCCATTGTGGTGCTGTGTGTGGGCGAAGAACAATTGAAAAGGTTCCTGCTCAAGAAGAGCGCTCGCGTGGTGTGGTTGGAGCAAGCAGAGGCTCCGGGTATCTCAAGAAAGAAAAGGGAAGGAGAGACAATGGGCGGTGAAGTGAGGTGGGAGTGGAGTGGAGGTCGGAGACAGAGCAGAGCCAGTCGTCGCGGCGTTATAAGGCGTTGGCGCTGCACTTTTAGTAGAGGACATGTATGTGTAGCAGCACAGAGCCCGGGAAGCTGCTCACCGCCTTCTGGATACGGGCAAGCGCGGGCAGAGAGAAGGTGCCACCTTGCCTGTTCGCGAGGCCCGAGAGCGCTCATCAGCCTCCATTTTACCTATTTTCATGCACTGCTTCAGGACACGTGTAGCGAGGCCGGCTACTAGAATCTTCCGCGCCTGGACAAGCAGTCTGCAGCCGCTCGGCCATGAGCTGCTCGGGGACGCAGCAATCCCGCGCCTGCGCCTTGCGGCACTCTACTGTACTCTCACCTTAGCATCCAGGAAAGCTGCGTACATGCCGGCCTCTGACTGCCCCTCAGTCTCTCTCTTCTGCCATTACCATTCCCCCACTGTTATCGACTATCGCCGCAGCCGTCGTCGCCAAGCGCCCCGCCACAGACGCTCCGATCGCTGAAACCGTGTCCTTTTGACGGCGGCGCCAGGCGGTCAAGGCGTCGCCTTAGTCATCTCCCCTTCACTCTCCAGCCAATAGCCCTCGTGTTAATCTGCAACGTTGCCGCAACTTTTTGCCGCCGTTAACAGCTGTCTGTCCGCATGGACCGAACCGATGACTCTACCACGAGGCAGCAACAGAGTAGTCATCGGATGCTCGTGTGCGTGCTGCCGCATGGGTTCGAGGTAATCTAGACACGTAGTTATTCCGGTTCGACGTTGAGTCACAATCAAGACGATCTGGCTTTCTTCTTCATAGTTCCAGACGAGCGATGGTAGAACAGGAGTATACACAGTACGCTTGATACTTTATCCGAATCTGTTGTGGCCTGTCCGTAGCGCTAGACACACTGCTACCACACCCAAACTCTGTCCACCCAGTGCATGCATATTGCTGTTTTGAACAGGTACCAAGCTTCGTAGCGCCTCTATCCCAGACCTTGTCGCATCATTTCCGTCCTTCTCTTGCTCGAAGCAGAAGATTGCTGAAGCCATCGATCGCAGCACTAAATATTGGCATTCATGAGAAGCCAATGACGCCGACTTCAGGCCTCGCCAGGAAACCACCAAGGCCGCAGAGCTCCGATATGCTGCACATTCTTCGACTATGATGGCATGCACAAAAGACACCAATATCGCATTGCCTAAGATACGGCTTTGCATAATAGCTATTCGCACAATTTCGAGTGGGGGATACGATCTTCACGCGACGATGGTGTCGCTTAACGTAACAAATATTTGTAGCGATCGAACCTACCAACACTTGCGAATGGAACTGCCAGGAATGCTGTAGAGGACAGAGGATAGATCCCAAGTGCTTCATTCCTTCATTACAGATTCAGCATTGCGACCACATGCTGCATTTGGTATACTCTTCGACTGTCGATTACGGCACTAAAGGCTTGGACGGCGAGCATCGGCGAAGGTTGATAGTTGTGCTGTCATCAAGGCCATAAGACACGGCCTGAGATGACGATCCAGGTGTTGGGAAGCATGCTAAAACATAAGTGATGTTCATCAAGGTATTCATCAGCATGATACACGGGGATGAGGAACAGCAATGCTCGGGCCGAACGTGGAGGAAGTTTGTGGACCCGATACACAGCATGCGAACATGCTCTGATTAGCCGATGCTTTCGTGTGCTATCATGTAAATCTGCTCATACGTCCTCTGCATTCGGCATCAAGTTCGGATTTACCGGTGAAGAGTTCAACAGCTTTACCTGAACCTTGCTGACAGAGTTGCGGCGAAGGTTCGGAGGAGATGCAATGCCGACACCACCGACTGCTTTTCACGGCCAAGTGGGCTGCTTAGAAACCCAGCACAGCCACTCATTGGACACCAGGACTGCTTGATATGCATTATTGTGTCATTATGTAGCTGATGGATGATGGTAGGGCAGCACGCAAGATTGCACACTAACATTTTGAGTATGCTTACAGCAGCAGATCCCGCATTACATGGTTCCGCATCGGGAGGTACACCCCCAGGAGCTTGCGCTTACCTTTTGTACACGAAGAACACGTCCAGTAGAGCCCACAGAAAGAATCAACGCCTTAGAAATCAAGCCAGGCACGGTGGCGTGCTTTCCTCTTCGGGGTGGCGGGGCAGTTCTGATTGCCCCGCGGCCAGGGTTCACTTGTCAATGGTTCCGACAGGACGTCACTAACCGTAGCCCTGTCCGAAGAGTGGGATAAGTATAAATCTTGCGCGCGTTCCCCAGCGTCTCCCACTCATCACTGCACAGTCCTTTAAGCCTTATACCCGAGTCTTTTTCAGCTCTTTGTGAGTTTCTGCAATATCAAATTGTTCAAAAACATGACGAATACACAACACGCGCACCATGGGCTTGCGAAGACCGTCGAGGGAGAGGACCACCTCGTAAACAGGCCTGCACCTGGTGTACGTTTCAAGTAGCTTTTATCGTGGAATCTCAGCTGACACGCATAGATCTCCTACTTCACACCGCTTCAAAACCCTCGCGCAGGAACGGCCCTGGGCATGAAGGATGGCAGCGAAAAAATCCCTAAGATCTTCAAGCCGCTCAAGATCCGCGGTCTTCAGCTTCAGAACCGCATCTTTGTACGTCTTGTTGGGACCAGGACAGAACGTGACTATCTCTGACACTCTCAGGTCTCTCCTCTCTGCCAATACTCCGCCGATAACGGACACATGACAGACTGGCATCTCACCCATATCGGGGGCATTGTTCAACGTGGGCCCGGTCTTACATTTATTGAAGCTTCCGCCGTTGTTCCCGAAGGTCGCATAACTCCTCAGGACGTCGGTATTTGGCAAGATTCCCAGATCGAGCCGATGCGTCGCGTTGTTGAGTTCGCCCACTCTCAGAACCAGCGGATCGCCATCCAGCTCGCACACGCGGGCCGAAAAGCTAGCACCGTTGCACCATGGCTCAGCATGGGCGACATCGCCACAGAGTCAATGGGTGGCTGGCCTAGTAACGTGTATGGACCTAGTCCCATCGCGTTCAACGACAAGCACGCGCAGCCCAAGGAAATGACCAGGCAGGACATCGAGAGCTTCAAGGCTGCTTTCAAGGCCGCTATTGGACGTTCGCTGAAGGCCGGATTTGATGCCATTGAGATCCACAATGCTCACGGCTATCTCCTGCACTCTTTCCTTTCGCCTGCATCCAACCACCGCACCGACGAGTACGGCGGCTCCTTCGAGAACCGCATCCGACTCACAATCGAGGTCGTGGAGCTTGCCCGAGCCGCTATCCCAGATACCATGCCTCTCTTCCTCCGAATCAGCGCCGATGACTGGCTGCAAGAGGCCGGAATTGAGGGCTGGACCATCGATCAAACCGTCCGCCTCGCCGAGATTCTGGCCACCAAGGGTGTCGATGTGATAGACGTCTCCTCGGCTGGTCTCCACGAGAAGCAGAAGATCAAGGGCGGCCCAGGATACCAGGAGCCGTTCGCCAAGGCAATCAAGGACAAAGTTGGCGACAAGTTGCTCGTATCCACCGTTGGATCGATCACGAATGGCGAGCAGGCAAATGGATACCTCGAGAAGGACAATCTGGATGTTGTCTTCGCTGGACGAATGTTCCAGAAGAACCCCGGACTTGTCTGGGCATGGGCAGATGACCTCGGCGTGGAGGGCAGATGGGCCAACCAGATTCGATGGGGTTTTGGAGGACGAGGATCTAAGGGTGGACCGAAGACGAAGACGAGCAACGAAGCTGAGTTCCAAGACTACAAGAAGCAGTCTTCCCTTTAAACCTGATTTGAGCACAGGTGTAGAGACCGAGAAGTACGGGTTCAGCGTTGGCAGCATGTTAGTATAGAGTTTCACGAGCATTTGTTGGAGTTCTTGCTTGAGATTGAATGAAATATTGGTTGACAACGGGAATTGGACTCCCGGTAACGGACCATGCTAGCATAGACGATACATGACTACACTTCAAGCTCATAAGCGTAGAATAGAGTGAGTCGATACAAGATCAGGTGTGTGCCAAATCTTTCAGTCTTTTGTGTCGGTCACTGTGATGGGGGGCATGGCTTAGTCTACGTAACAGAACACAAAACACAAGAGGAAAGTCGAAAGTCGAAAGTCGAAAGTCGACTTTCCAGCGCGGATTGATAGTCCGAAATTATGCAGCTTCCCTTTGATGTAACCCTAGATCGGAATAGAATGATTATCGCACTCCACCGTCTCTTCACAAGATCCCTCCTCCGGTCCTGCCTCCACGTTCTCAATACTCTTCTCCGGCATTGGCGTCAACACCGGGCTTCCTGGCGCAGTGTTCGCAGGGGTCTGCCCTACGCTCTTCGGCGTCTTTAACCCATACGCAGTATTTAGCGTCTTCCGCATCTCGTGCTCTTGCTCGCACGACGCCATAACAAACCCTGCTCCAGCCAATACGCAAAATATCATCCAAACACACTTCAAGCTTTCGGTGAATGTGTGAACAATCTCAGCCTGCACATCTGGTTCAAACCTCTTCACGAAGTTGGCTGTGGCGCGCTGGTACGCTTGCCCCTTTCCAAGCTGCTCCCGTGCGGAGGTGGACGAAATGCTGGACAGCAACGACGTGAAGCGGATGTTGAAAGCTGCACCGGGGACTGCTACGCCGAACAAGGACCCTGTACCGCGTAGGAATGCCCAAGAGCCGGACGACTGGCCCGTAGTGGTATCTGGGAGCTTGACTTGGACTGCGGGAAGCATGCTTGAGATGACGATACCACACCCGGCGGCAACAACAAGTTGGAACATGAGCCATGCTCCTACTGAGCTATGTTTGGCGAGCATAACGCAGAGCCCGAGCCCCAGTGCCATGCAGCCGAACCCTATGATATGGATGGGCTTGTAACGTCCCCAGCGGGAGAGTAAGGGACCACCCGCGGCAGCGAGGGCGACGATGACGATCGTTGTGGGGAGGACTTCGAGACCGGACTTCGTGGGTGTGGAGCCCTTGACGGCTTGGAAGAAGGGTGGGAGATAGAACTGGAAGCCATATGTTATGAAGCCATGGATTGTGGTCAGCGCGAAGGCGATGTTCGTGGTGCGGTTCGAGAAGACCTCCTTTGGCATAACGGGGTGGGTGCAGTATTTGGAGCGCTGGTAGAAGGCAAAGCCGACGAAGCATGCGACACTGATGAGAATCGGTATGACAATGGCAGGATGGTCCCAAGGATGAGAGGCACCGCCAGTGCTGAGGGAGACGAGCAGCAAGATGACAGCTGCTGTGAGGGCTACGGTTCCGAACATATCGACCTTGCTGATCTCGTCCTTGACGTTGACGTTCTTGATCTTGATGCCACCGCCGACGTGTAGCCAATAGTAAATGATGAGCATGGAGACGACGCATACCGGGATGTTGATAAGGAAGCACCAGCGCCATCCGTGCTCGGCGAAGACACCTCCCAGAAGCGGTCCCAAAGTCGTGCCTATGGCAAAAACGGCGTGTTTGATGGCCAGGTAAGGACCCCTACGCCGGAGCGGGACTATGTCGCAAAGTATCATCTCAGCGAAGAGATCGATGCCGCCAGTGCCTAGACCTTGCACAATGCGACCGAATATCAATACTCCGCCTGAGTTCGCGCCGCCGCATATGCCGCTGCCTATAGCAAACACACCTACTGCCACCATCATGGGATATTTGCGACCCCACATGTCCCCGAGTTGGCCGTAAAGAGGCTGCAGAATCGTGCTAGCAAGTAGAAATGCTGTAGCGACCCATGAGAATGAGGTGCTGAGGTTGAGAGCATCCGATATCGTTGGGAGCGCGGTGTTGGTCACGGTCCCTTCCAGCGCGGAGAGCAGGAGCGGGACACAGATGGCGATGAAGGAGCGCCAGAACCCGTCTTCGCGTCGCCATTTTTGGCTGGGTGCCTGTGAGGGATAGGAGGGTAAAGTTGGACGACTTAGGCTTGCTTGTGCGTCGCGCGTTGCAGGTAGAGACCTTTCTGTTTTCTCAGTGACTCGCTCCCAACTCTGTGTCGAAGCTAAAGACATTGTTGAGTAAGAAAATTGCACACTGGATGCAATAGAAGCTTGGTCGCAGTCCATTATGTCCGAGTGGTTGGGGACTCCGTGTGCAATGAGCAAAGCTGGGGCAGGTGTGTCCACTGTGAAAGGACGTGCAAAGCACACTTCAAGGATTGCGGGAGGGAAAGTTACTGCAGCTGCTTATACAGATATCCTGAGAAAAAAAAAATCGATAACGAACTATGGTCAATATGGATCGGTGTGGTACCGGTACCAGCGTTGCGTACCGCACATTGGATTCCATGGGTGCCCAACCTTGGGTACGGTCCCGTAAATCGGGGGGTAGATCCCAAGATACGGACCGCGTGTCGATTCTCTTAGTCTCCATTGCTTGAGGAGAGGCGGAGGTTGCGCAGGTGGGCAAACTTGGCGTCACAGGGTATTAACAGTCAGCATGAGGGTGTGATGTTGGCCGACCAACAAAGCTGATAGAATAGAGCAGGAACGTCAGCATTGTGGGGGGTTCGAATACTGTGGGATAGGCTGTCAGCGAGCTTGCGAGATAACGATGGGTTTAAGTGCTGCTGGGGATTCTGCGCCCCTCTGCGCCGTGGTTCCAGAGCAAAGGTGCCACTCAAATTTGTTGAGAGCGGGGCAACGGTGACAATTAACCAGGAAGCGAAACAGTAACAGAAACGTATCTTCTCGTCTGCAAAGAAGATTCCAAAACTGCAGCTCGCTGGGAGAGTTGCCCGATTCACGCCTCAAATGAGTAGATCAGCAGTGTTGACAAAACGTGAAACCCCAAAGTGGCCGGTCACCGGTCAATTGTAGCGTCTAAGAGTCGAGTAGAAACATTATCACTTCAACGGTCTCATAGATGCGTCTCCAGTTGCAGTCTGTTGACCTTGCAGAGAAAGCGGGAGCGAGGCCCACGCGTAGAGGAGACATTTCATCAGCCCTAGCAAGAGTAAAGCTGGAGGAGATGGACAATAAATCAGTTGGGAAACGCGTGCTATCTGCACAACCTTTTCTATAGGCGTGCGCGGAGCACTGTACACGATAGCATGGAGATAGGATACGAGGAATGAATGTGAATGCTAGAATGGGATGTGAGTGACCTGCACATGGCTAGCCGTTCGAAGCCTAGCTCAGGCACGTGGTCGTTGCGTCATTTCTCCCCCACATTGACCACGACTGAACTCACGACACGGCGTCCAGTGTAATCGCTCCTGTGTTGGTGTCTTTGGTCAGAACATCCCTTCTTCCAATTTCTCGTGCCTGAATTGTCCATGTAGTTTCGCACTCTCGCTGCACAATAGAGACACGTTCTATCCCGCGATGTAGTGCTGCCGAAGCCCATTCGCTTACCGCGGCTTTCGGTACTTGCCACAAGACAAAGGGCCTCACGTGTACCTGCTAGACGAAAACATCCAACAACAAGGTCCACTCAAGCCTAGAGCCTCGGTCCAAAGCTCATACCTGTCTCTTTTGACTGGATTGTGGCTGTTCGGCAACATGGAGGCCACATGCAAAGAAGCTAACCATCTCCACACTTCATCGCATGTTGGTTAGCCCGAACGACCCACTGCGGACTTGTGGGGGGACGCGTTATGACAAAACGTATTAATACAGAGCAGTGCCGGTACGTTCTGGAAAGTACCTAGAAGCACGCCACGTCGAAGTCGAAATCGCAATGCCTCCCGCCGCAATTACCACGAGCGCCCCGCCTCCCACGAACGGGAAGGCTGCTGCAGTCAAATCGTCTGCGGAACCCATCATAATCCCCTCGGGACGGCTCAATGGGCCGAGCGACGTTGTGCCCGCCTGGGTCAAGCCTGACCTCACTCGCCTCCTCCGCGTCGAACACCTAGAAGGCGACTTCGCAGCACGTTCCGTCTCTCTCGTGGACCTGCCCGCCGGTGCCACTTTTGCGCGCATATCGAACCCGACCCCTGCGAAGTGCGCATACACCTCGGTCCAAGCATCGCGAGATCTACACATTGAGTTGAATTGCGATCTGGTATACATAAACCACTCTTGTCGACCTACGCTGGTTTTCGACATGCAGAGATGGGAGGTTCGCGTCAACCCAGATCTAAAAGAAGGTTTGAAGGCGGGCGACGAGCTCACCTTCTTTTACCCGAGTACGGAGTTTGATATGTCGCAGCCATTTGACTGCCGCTGCAAGGAAAAGAATTGCCGGGGAACTATTTCGGGAGCAAAGGATATGTCGCTAGAGGTCTTGCGCCAGTACTGGCTGAACCCACATATCGAGGAGTTACTGCAAGAGAGGATAGCATAACGAACAATTAGACACCTGACCAGTTGATGCTGGAGACGACATTGAGAGACGACGTTGGAATCCTTTTAACACGAGTTGCCATAACTACTCCCTATGAAGATGAAACGGCTAATTCTAAGAGATGCACACAAAGACCCGCTTAATGACGCCCATCTCAAACCCATTCGTCTCCGTTAGCATGTTCCTAAACGATGTCTTGAGCCCACTTTGCTCCTAACTAAGTACCGTATACTAAGTCTGTATGTATGAGTTGTGTTCAGTCTTCAGAACAGCTTCAGATACCTTGTTGCACAGGGTTGAACTCATCCCTGATCTTTCAGCAGCCATACTTGTTCGATCTAGAGCAGAGCTCGGGGCACAGCCTGCAAACACAGTGAAGGCATGACGGTCCGCCATAGTCCCAGCATCCCCAAATCTCAGTCTAGTGTCGCAACAGGAAACGCGTCATGCGAGGAACTTTCATGATAGCCAACCGTTGCAACAAGGGTATGCACGTGGTATCCCAGTGTCGCCTCTCGTTGCTGTGTGGCTTATGCACCTCCTTTCGGAGAGCCTCATGAACGCCATTGCAAACATTGTATATACGCTACATGGAAAACCTTCAGCTATGGATTCTCTCTTTTCATTACTATGCTCAGGTTGGTGCAATACATGCTTCTCCTGTGTTTTTACACGCACTATCATCATTGAAGAACTCCGCACTGCGAACCACAGAGGGTTAGCATACTACAACATCCCCATAGCCCCGGTTCCTGGCGTGCGAGAGACCAGTGTCTCCCATCATTCTGAAACAGGTACACAGCGTCAACACAATTCCATTGTTCCCAGACCGGAGTGTGTCACTGAAAATTCTGACTGGGACAAACTGCATCACATAATTGTGATCCTCTTGCCAGGTCTGTCTCTCGTAGCATTGATGCGAGTGATGTAAATAGACTACCATTCCCGCGCCATGTGAGTCCGCATTCTTCGAGCTAGTCATCTCATACGTAGCTAACATTAGATCTAGAAAGGACGAATAGGAAAAAAGTTCAAAGAGTGGTACAACAAAGACATGCTCCCGGCTAAAAAGCGCATGAAAAACGATCGGGCTCCAGAAGATGGACAGGAAGTTGACGAGCTGAACGATGATGGTATCTCAGAAGGCGCGGTCGTGGAAGTTGAACGTGGACTTCCCACACCTGTTTCGACCCCTGGGCATGATCATGACAAGTCACTGAGCCTGAGTGCCCCCGAGGCTAGAAAGGAGGGACAGGACGAACGTGGCCAGGTGCACATCATCGATATACAGTCCTCCGACTTGACCACACCTCACCAGCAAAGATTCTACGGATTACTTGCTGACCTTTAGGACAAATACTTCGATGCTGAACTTGGAGCCACGGCCAAGATTACCGTTGGCAAAGCAGTGCGCAACATGGCAGAATTTTTGGTCGATTGAGCAGGGCAGTAGTCATCATTTCCCGTCCCAGCATTGGCACAGCCACCAGCACCCCAGAACTTGATGAACTCAACCTTCCCGATAATAACACTGTTCGAGTTGAAGAGGCTGTACAGGACATGGTCGCCATCGGTGGGCTGGCCAGCTGCCGTGAAGGGATTATTGATGTCGCCTTCGTAGTTGCCTGGAATTGGTCAGCATCTGTATGCGAAAGATGGACGGCTACCAGTAAGAGGTGTGGTGTGAGCTGACCCATAGAGAGAAGGTCGGAGCCGCCGTAGTTGAAGCCATAGGTGCAGTTGATGAGAACAGTGTCTGTGGTAGCGTCGGTTGAGGTGGGAGCTGCGAGGACCGCGGCCGAGTGGGCGAGCATCGAGAGTGGAAACTTCATGGTGGTTGGGATACAAGTGTATTTGATTTTGAGGATAAATGTGGATGAGGTAAAGGATAGGTTGGGGGTGAGTACCGACTAAGGTGGTTTTTTTGTGCTCTATTATACTTGAGCGTGTCTAACTCTTCAGCCTTTGACTGTGAAGCCGACGCCAGAGTGATGTTGCAGCCTTCTGCGTCGGTCGGAGATTAATGCATTATGATAAATCAAACAGCCCCCTACACCTTCCGACACTCAGCTGGACCCGACAGCAGACCTGTCAAGAACAGACAAGATGCACATGTAGCAAGCATATCGTTTCCCATATACGTCTCATCTTTACCAATCATAAAGTGTGAACAGCTTTCTCTAGCATCAAAGGTTGGCTGTGTTCGTATGTTCTGGGCACAGATCGGCTGGAGTCATACCTCGAAGGTTGAGACAAGGGGCCTTATTCGCAAGCATGACGAGGAATTTCTTTTGGGTCCCGAAATAATCCTAATCTGTCCAGTTGATCCAATGCTGGGGCTAGAAGTTGGCCTGTAGCCCAGCCTGGGGGTAGATTGGTTTGATAGCAATAGCAGACACTCTATCTTGCAGTCGCAGTTCCCACGAGACTGAGCTATGTCCTCCCTCATGAAGCGTTAAATCCTTGCACGTACAGCCTATGGTGTGATAGAAGAAGCAAACGCAGCTCTCAGATGTCCTTACTGGAAATGTGCCCAACACCTACAACGAGAACTTCTATCCGCAATTTACGCTACAATGCTCATCGCCACCTTCCCATAAGCTTGGGCGCCGAGCACGCTCAACCCCAACGTGCATCATCAACCGCTTTTTTCAGGTAACTTTCACACAATGTATCGTGATCCCGTTGCACGGTTTACATACTAAGATGTGGCTGGCCGCGGTGTTAGTATGGTTGTACAGACTATGGGTGTTCAGCTACGTCTTAAGCACTCATGCATACACCCTACAGCAGCATTATATATCACCTGCGGCCCGCTTATTCATGACATAGTGGCTGGCTATATGGTGTAGAGACTTGGTGGTGATCAACGAATTAATATAGGAGGCCACTTTGGTCAGTGGAGGTCGCATTACGGGTACAAGGGTTGCAGGTCTGCCATGACATTTTCAGATAGATAGGCCTGCTTTACCAAATTCGGTGTGTCATTATCTCCCGCACGTTATTTTCTTCTCCTAAGTTTACCGCTCATACACGAACCCATCCCTCAGCTGCTTCTCCACCGCCCACTTCGTCGCAGCATCCAGATCCTCCTTCGGCAACCCCAACCGCTCATTCGCCAGCTCGTGTCTCGACTCGAAATTCCCATCACCATTCTGATGAAAGAATCTTGTGTACATGGCCCGCACCCACCCCATATAGTTGCCTTTGTACATGTCCTGCAGCGCCGTTTTCACGCGCTCCTCCACAGGCTCAGACGTAATTTCCCACTCCTCGTCCGAGTCACCTAGCACTCTGTGCACCGAGTCGAGCATATCGCGCTGGCTGACCAGGAAACTGGAGACGTAGAATGCGTTGTCCTTCCAGTCCTCGAGAGCGGGCTTGTCGTTGTCTTTGGTGATGGGCAAATTGAGGAGGGCGGAGACAGCGCGGCCGCACTGCGTGAGCGTACTGGTATTGATCTTCTGCGTGCCGTCGTCGAAAAGGATCGCTTTCTTGGCAGCGACGTCGATGCCATAACAGTCCAGGCCTGCGCCGAGGGACCACTCGTACCAGAAGCTGCACGCGAGGTTGATGAAACTGCCACCTGCTGCCTTGACGTCTTCGATGGCCTTCTTGGCGACGGGGCCGTATACGTTTTCTTCCATGAACTTGACGTTGTTGATGTCTGGAAGGTGTGAGTAGTCGAGCGTGTGTAAAGTGTATGAGCTTCTGTGGAAATATCTTACCCATTCCATAGGCGTTAGGCATGATCCAGTGAATGCCAGCCTTCACAGCAGCTTTGCAGATAGTAGGGTGAGTCTCAGGTGCTGCGGACGTGCTCAAGCTGATGATGAGGAAGTCGTGGCCGCACAGTGCCTCAATGATGGACTCCTCCTTGGAGTAGTCTACCTGAGCAACTTTGACGCCAGAGGGAAATTTGGCCTTACTGCCTTGACGCGAGATAGCGGTGATCTCATGACGGGCATTTTTGAGCAACTCAGCGACAATATGAGAGCCTATGTGCCCTGTAGCCTGGTTGAAGTCAGTTTCTGTCCTACTTGAGCCGAAGTGAGAGGTCAAGGCAAGCTGAAGTGCGTACGTACACCGACTATGGCGACCTTGTTGATGCGATTGTTTACCATGTTGGAGTGGTATATTTCTAGTATGCGCAAAAAGGTATGTTATGTTGAGAAGATGAGACGAGCTGGTGTGATGAGGAGCTTGTTTGATCCTGGAGAGCTTTCTCTTTATACCTACCAGTCGTGGCTATGCTCCGAGGACAGTTCATGGTTGTACCGCTGAATACAGTTGTTAGGGCAGCAGTAGGGCAGACGCTAGACCCAAGCTCGTATTGCAACCATGCAACAGCGACATTTGCCCGCAGGCGACGGAGTGACCCTAATCCCGAGGACCCTGATGTACTTTGATCGAACGCAGGTCAGGGAGGGGACACGGACTTTGGCTCCCCAAAGCGCAGCGCTAGTCGTGTTAGGATTAGGAGAAGGAGCAGGGCGGAGGAAGTCCAGGCGTGGATTGGTTGCGTTGGTGGAGGATGGTGGAATTACGGTAGTGCGATATCTTAAGTCCGCCCCAAGACGAGAGGCTACCGGCGTTGATGTGGCTCTTCCACAGGTACCAACTCCCGCAGCCTCGCCGACTCTGTCAGCAAGGCTCTACGTGGTCAATTGAGCTGAATTTCGTGTGTTTCTCGCGAGCTCTCGCGTGATTCTCGTGGAGCTTGTCACTCGAACATGATCACCCCGATCGAGCCACAATCTTTATTTGCGCACGGTTACATACTTGTCCGCGCCAGCGACTGCGCCGTTGTCAAACTCAATGGAAGACCTTAAGCCCTGTGTGGGCGACGCTCTTAACTACGATGAGGAACGCAACTCATCGGACTATCCGTGTCAATGCCCTTGCTTGACAATACGTAAGAGATGTGCGTAAAGCTCGAACGAGTTCGAAAATCAAGCACTATTGTCACTACAAGTGCATATATGACCGGCAAATTATCGCTTTCAGGCGGTTGGCTAACTCAATAATTGTACTCCAAGCCTGGATTTATCTAGTACCCACCAACCACATCTGCCAATTCCGTCTTCGGGACCAAGTACGGCTTCACCTGCTTCCTCACCTCCGTCCTCTGCTCAAAAGCATACGCAAAACCGATCAAACTCGCCTCGCTCCAAAGTTTTCCTGAGAAACTGATTCCAAAGGGAAGGTTTGGCGCAATCGCAACTAGGTTGCCACGGCTGTTATACTCTACCGTCGTGTTCTTAGGGTACGATCCAAGCGGGACCGTGACGATGGGTGCGCCGATGATGGCTGAGATACCTGACGAGACACTTGATGGCGTGACAACAGCGTCCAACGAGTGGTTTCTGAGAGCACCGAGGATGCCGCCTACACCGCCGAGATACTGGTTGTACTGGTATGTAGCCCACGCCTCAGCCGAACCATACGTGACATTAAGTGTGAGTGACTCATCCCATGTTGCTGTGTCGCGGCTAGGGTACTCTTCAGCGCCGAAAGATTGCGTGAAATTCTTTACGTCGGCCAGAGACTTGACGCCCGTAGGGTCGTAGGTCAATTGCTTGAGATAGCTCGCGAGGTTCGCAACGAAATCAGAGTCGAGCACAACAGTTTCAGCATTGCTCCGTACCCACTCCGCATAAGCAGTGTAGTTCGTGTTGTCGACGATGGTGGCTCCGGCCTCTCTAAGGATGTCAAGCGCAGCTTCGAAAGCTTCGGCAACGGGTGCAGGTTGGGGCCCAATGTAATTACGCGGAACACCAATGCGTTTTCCTTTGAGAGCACCAATTGTGCACGCTGCAAGATAGTCAGGGAGCTTGCCCTTGTGCGGAATCGCGGATGTGTAATTATCGGCAGCGTCAGGACCAGCGATCGCTTGCAGTAGGATCGCAGCATCCTTCACAGTGCGTGCCATAGGACCGACGGTGTCCTGATGTTCTGAAATTGGGATAACGAGAGCGCGAGAGGTCAATCCGACAGTCGGCTTGATGCCAACGAGATTGTTCACGTCGCTTGGGGAGATGATGGATCCGTCGGTCTCAGATCCTAGACTTGCGACTGCCAGGCCTAAGCTGCTCGCAACACCTGAGCCTGAAGAGGACCCGGATGGGTCCTGCTTAGGGTAGTATGCACCATAAGTCTGGCCGCCGTATGCAGACCATCCGTTCGAGCTGTTGGATGATCGGAAGTTGGCCCACTGGGAGAGGTTGGACTTTCCGAGGATGATGGCCCCGGCTTTGCGGAGCTTCGCTGCTACAGTAGAATCTCGGGGTAATTTGGCGCCGACAAGAGCGTAGGAGCCAGCAGTGGTGTTCATCAAGTCGTCCGTTCCGATGTTGCCTTTGATCAGGATAGGGAGACCATGGAGAGGTCTGCGCAAGTGTTAGCGATGCACAAGGTAACATATGGCTACAACAGTTTACCCTCTGCATTTGCCAGTTTTTCTCTCAGCATCGAGAGCCTTGGCGATCTTCAGAGCATCTGGGTTCAACTCTGTGACCATGTGTAACGTAGAGTTGACTTCCAGGATTCGAGCGGTGTATGCCTAGGTGAAATTAGCGTAGGTTTTCACATCGCAAAACTTTCCTTTGACTTACCTGAACAAGGTCTACGCTCGTAAACTCCCCTTTTTCAAGCCCCGCGGTCAATTCACTCGCCGTAGCATCAAGCAGCTTTGGGAACTTATGCCCGCCGGACGGCACCGCAGATGTGAGCGGCGCGACAACGGTGGTGGCCAGAAAGGCCTTCCACAAGTACGCGAGTAGGACCATCGTTACGGTAGTAGTGACAATGGACCACTTGTTGGTACGGTAGGCCATCCTGCCAGTCTTGGGAGCATGTCTGGCTTTATACGTGCTTGATGTCATTGCTCCCGGATCGACTAGGATAGTCTACCAGGATAATGACAGTCGATCAATTCGCAACAAGCGTCCAGACACGATAAGAGACCAAGGGTCTGGTGCTGCCAGGTACGAAGGTCAAATACTCGCTTCAACGGTCTGGCAGTGGTACAAGCCGTTGCGCTGTACCAGCCATGCTGAAACAGTAACACCAGGCTTCCTTACTCGTAGTAGAAGGCAGACATGACGGTGTTAGACAAGTTGGCACATTACACGTGGGCTCATTTCGCGATGTGAATGATGATGTTTGCGAGGTTGGACCTGCATGCGGAGAAGTCGATAGACGACATCAGTCTAGCGGAATTAGGAAGGTGCAAACTCAAGGCGAGAGATCTGGGGCGGGACAGTCTGTCGGTTCGACGCGTTGCTCTCCGCGGGGCACGGGACAGCGGCCGCTAGCATCGAGTGCATATCGCAATGCGGGAACTCGATGGCTGGCTGGGACGGGGTTTTTGGAGGAATTATTGACCTTCCTCTTTGGGCGATCTGATGGCATGGGATTAGGGTAAGACGCAAGGTCAACATCTAGATATGCTCTGGGTCGCGCTCGTAAAGTTCGTTGCCGTTGCCGTTGCCGGCCAGATACTGTGCTCTATGTGGATAGTTGAGGCGACTTCTACAGGCGATAGGGACGTTCGGCAGTTATTCTGCCCATTGCAGTGCCTAATCGAAGTAGCCTGGGAAGAGCCATTGCAGCTTCTTCTCCGCCGGCCCGCGGGCGTGCTTGTGTGTCATGGCGCCGGCAAACCTCATCTGGCCCTCAAGATGCTTGGCGAGCACCAGCTCGCTGTGCTCCTCCTTGCTCAACTCGTCGAGGACGGCGCCGACAAAGCGTCGGGCGTTCTCGGCATTGGCCTTCATGTGTGCCATAACCATCTCCACGTTGACGTCCTCGTCCGGGCCTCCTCTCCAGCAGTCGTAGTCTGTGGCCATGCAGATCATCTGGTAGGCAATCTCGGCCTCGCGCGCCAGCTTCGCCTCGGGCAGCGCCGACATGTTGATGACGGATCCGCCCCAAGAGCGGTACAGGTTCGACTCGGCGCGGGTAGAGAACTGCGGGCCCTCCATGCAGATGAGCAGACCCGTGTCGTGCAGACGGACGCCCTCGCCCTCGAGCGAGTGCCCGCAGCGACGCACAATCTTGGCCAGGCTCGTGTCGAAGGGGTCGCCGAAGCCGACGTGGCCCACCATGCCGCCCTCGAAGAAGGTAAAGGGCCGGATGCCCTTGGTGCGGTCGATGATCTGGTCGGGCACGACGAAGTCGCGCGGGTGCACCTCCTCCTGCAGCGAGCCGACGGCCGAGAAGGCGACAATGGTGCGCACGCCGATGCTCCTCAGGGCGGCGATGTTGGCGCGGTTCTTGACCTCATGCGGGGCGAGCTCGTGGTGCAGGCCGTGGCGCGAGAGGAAGGCGATGGGAATGGGCTTGCCCGTCGAGGGCGAGGGGTGGTGCAGGATGGAGATGGGCGACGACGGCTGGCCCCACGGCGTGTCAATCTTCAGCGACGCGGCAAGGGTGAAGCCGGGGAGCGACTGGATGCCCGTGCCGCCAATGACGGCAATGTGGACGGGCTCTGTAGGCGGTCAGGACGCGTCTGGGGCGCGGGGAGCGGGGAGCGGAGGCTGCGCACCGTCATACGTGGAGGCGACGCCAGCCATTCTGCGGTACGGAATGCTGATGAACCGTTTCGGAGAGCGTGATACACGACGAGAGGAACGGCCGAGTGCAGCGCGGGGCAGCATTCACCCTCTTCGCTGCTTGCCCGTAGCCAAAATTTTGGGCGCGTAGCGGGGCACCCTGCGAGACCCTGGATGACGCCATGCCTCTCGGCCAATCACAGCAAAGGCACGCAGCATGCAGCCACGACGCCATCACCACCACAGCCCTGCAATGCAGAACACTGCGTGGATTGAGCCCTTTTGCATCGAGGTCTATGCCCTCTGAGAGCCCACGCCAGGGCGGGAAAGCATACGTTGCTTGTTTCACGTCGATCAAGCGTTCAGGATGGCAACGCCACAAGGAGCAGGAAGGTGTGAGCGCTGAAGATCGACCCGAAGATGGGCAGCGTAGCAGCCGAGAAAACTAAACGATGTTGGATGGCTGCTTTCTGCTGGGCCATGTATACCTATGGATTTATCTGAACATGGTCGACTGTGCTCAACATTTCACGCACGTCAGCCTCCGGGTAGATGAGTGCCAGATTTAAGATGAAGTCCTTATATCATAGAGATTCTCCAGCAGAGGCGTCTGTTCTTCTTGACTAGCTTGAGAGGCTCCATAGTCCACAGAGTAAGGATGGAAGAAAAAGAGCTAGGAGCCGTATATTTTAAGTGGGAAAATTTTACTAGCTTTATACAGTAAGTTCTGGGGCTACAGCACCTTCCTAGCTCTGCCAATCTTGACGTGTCTACTTGTTTGAAACACAGTACTACTACACCGCGCTGCTGTCCAGCACGTGCGCGGCCGCCCCAGAGCGATCATTCCACGCATGAGCTCGTGTTGTGCGCCGTGCCGAAAGATGGATGCGCGCTTTCCACCTGCGGCCGTCCCCACAAGTCAGTGTAGCTGTCCAATCGGAGCTTTCCAAATGCGAGCGAGCCAATCCTGCTGAACACGTCTGGGGCACTTCCATCACACCGACGCTATGCCAAATCCCAGACCATGAGAACGACAGTCCTCTCATGCACAATGGCCAATCCTCTCCCGGGTTTCCCGAGCTCACCATTGTCCCTCGACCTGCACTTCGCTTGTTACACTTTTTGTTGATCCGCTTCACTCACTACTGAAGCCCGGCTCTACAATGACTGACCTGGTGAGGAAGCCTACGGATAGCCGTCCCATGTCAACAAAGAGAAGCCATCGTAAGGTGAAGTCTGGATGCCGGACGTGCAAGTAAGTGACAGCGTGCCTCCCGGCCCCTGGTAGCATGATGCTGTATTTGGCTTACAGCACGCCTCAGGATTCGCAGAGTGAAGTGCGACGAGGGTTGGCCTGCATGCCGTGCTTGTATCTCTACCGGTAGAGTTTGTGATGGATATGGCATTTGGGGCGGGGGCGGAAACCGCTACGAACAGCGCAAAGCTGCAAGCGCTGCAGCAAAACCTGTACCTGCGACTCACTGTCTTGATAGCGGGACGTCGCTTGTTCAAAGGAGTCCATTTCCGCCTGTGATACCAGTGTCGAACACAGAAGAGCATCTGCATATCCAGTTCTTCAAGGAACAGACCTTGGCAAGACTGCCGGGTTTATACAGCCGCAAGTATAATAATCTCTGGGAGTCTCTATTGGTCCAAGCGTGCGCAGAAGAGCCCTCGGTCCTGCATGCGGTGCTGGGTGAGTTTGAGCTAGTCCGCTTCAGAGTGCCCTGAGCTGACTCTTATTGGTAGCTATAAGCTCGGCCCACAGACGCAAAGTGCTTGATGGCGCTTCTAGGAATAGGGTACTAGTGCTTCCTGATAAGCAAGAGGAGTTTCTGCTCCGGAACTACTGCAAGTCCATCCAATACCTGCAACCCAGGTTTCACGATTCTGGGGTACACTCCATGCGAACAACTTTGATCACCTGCCTCGTCTTTATCTATCTCGAGCTACTACGAGGCACTTACAAGCGGGCTTACGACCATCTCGACGGTGGTTTGAAAGTGTTGGCTGACTTGAAATACGAGACGAACAGAAAGCGGAAGCAGCCAAAGGATGGCTCTTTCAAGTCGTCTTCGGAATCAAACCAGGATCGTGTAGATGCCTTTCTCTCAGAAGCTTTCACTCGATTGCATGTTCAGATGGAGTTCTCCATACTCCGATCTGGCACGGGTTTCACGCTCGCGCCGAAACTACCACCAGACCTTCCGACGCTTAAGTTCAGTTCCTCCCACGAGGCGCGACACTACCTGGATCGAGTTTTCGATGGCATCAATCTATTGTCCCAACCAATACGAAATGGTTCCTACGCAAACTGGCCCGATGGCTACTGGAACATGATCTTAACGGAACAACGCTTCATGCAAGGCTGTTTGGATTCATGGTTGCGGTCACTCACGGCCACCATGGCAGATACAAATGACGACGATGAACTCAACGGGTACAATATGCTTCGGATATACCACACCATGGCCGAGATCATGGGCGCTACCTGTTTGTCGCCGGAACAGAAGATTTTTGATCATCATATTCCACGATTCCTAGCTATTGTGGACCGATGCAGTGACATCGCATCAGATGGTGTACCCAGTGAAAGGATTTGCAATGTTTCTCGCCTTCCAGAAACTCGTTGCCGTCCCTGGCCGGACCTAAGCTGGAATCCTCCTCTATATTACACAGCGATCAAATGCCGTGATCATCAGATTCGCACGCGTGCTTTCGATCTCATGTCTTCATTCTGGCGTTATGAGATTGTCTGGGATCTAGGGATTTTAAACATATCCAGCATCGTTGCTCAAGAGGTGATTCGGATGGAGGAAGGTGACTTCTTCGGAGCAAAGATCCCGAGGTGCGACACGAAGATAACGTTCCGTGAGGATCTCGAGCCGAAACTAGATCCTCTGCCCCCCATGTTGCCGGAAGAGCTGAGGTTTGATACCGTTGAAATGGTGTTACTCGATGAGTTTCCAGGAAGTATACAGATCGTATGCAAGAAATGGATCAAAGGACGGGTGCAAAAGACTACGCGGAAGGCGTACAGAGAAGCAGAAGGTATATGGACCGAGGTTGAGGAAGGGCTAACAGCAACATCCTGCAGGTCCGGGACGATCGTACATAGGATTTGAAAATTCTGTATCTTCCATTTTGGAGCTCACCTATTGTCCATTGTGCTCAGCATATTGCTGACTAAGCCTTTAGCCTTGCAGCCTTCAATTCCGGCGCAAGTCGTGTTCTACCCTTATAAATCGTAAAAATAACTTGACTCTTTATGATTATCATCGAAACAGACGCGATGTGCTGATTTGTTTGCTTCGGGGTTTCAGGTGACTTCAGCAATTCAATGAACGGCCAATCACATCTTCAGGGATGCCACCTTCCTGATGAACAAGACCAGGGTGCCCAAAGCGGCAACCTCCCAAAAGGCCGGTTACCACGCAGCTTGATCAGCTGTTCCTTCTTCACCACTTTTCGAGTCGTCAACGAGAATGAAGGTCTGCGACGCAGTTGCGGCCGTTGCGAGCCTCGCGCAGCTTGCTGCTGGCCTACCTCAAGTGCACGCGCCTAAAGTTGTGAGCCGTGCAAGTTCCGGCTGTGGCAAAACTCAGTGGCCGACGGACTTCACGCATTATCGCTTTGGATTGCAGAGCAACGGAAAGGATCGAAGCTATTCATACCACATACCCGCGAACTACGACAAGAATAAGCCCTACCCAGTCGTTGTCGGATTCCATGGCTCCAGCAGCGTTGGCCTTTTTCTCGAGCTTGATACCAAGTTGAGCCAGTCGCGATACAGCGCAGATGTAGGAGAATTCTCTGGATTGCTGCAACATAACACGCTAACCTCTGCAATTTAGAAAATCGTTGTTTATCCCAATGGCCTTGACGGCAGCTGGGCCGGGCCGACATATCACACAGCCTCAACCGTGCAAGAAGACATCCAGTTCGTCACAGATATCATCACAGACATCAAATCGAACGTTTGCGTTGATGAAGAGAAGATCTTTGCAACCGGCATGTCTAATGGCGGCGGCTTTATTGGGACACTGGCTTGCGATCCACTCGGCAGCACTCTGTTCAAGGCTTTTGCTTCTCATTCCGGAGCCTTCTACACAGATATCAATGGCCCTGACAATAATTGCAATCCGAACCCTAGTGCCCTCCCCATTCCGATCCTGGAGATTCACGGAGGCAACGACAGCACTGTGCGCTACGCAGGCGGTCAGGGTGACGGCGGCCCTGAGCCGGCGATATCAGACTGGCTGGACTGGTGGGCGGAGCGAAATGGATGCGAAAGCAACACAGAAGAAATCCTTTTTAATGGAGAGGTGCAGCATCTATCCTGGAAGTGCGGGAACCTAGAGGCCGGATTGCAACATTACAAGGTATCAAGCTTGGGGCATTGCTGGGCTGACACCGAGATCAACCTCTCACAGATATCGGTACCTCAAGGACCAACGGTGATAAAAGCTAGTGAGATCATCATGAAGTTCTTTGATGAGGCTGTGAAGAGCTAGATAGCATAGTCGAACGACAGTCAATGTAGGTGTATTCCTACGGAACTCCTTCTTGAGTGAGGTGCAGAACATTCGTCCACTGATCAGCTGTAGCGGGCTGTGCGGTGAAATTTTCGGTTCAGAAGCAAATGACAGGTGTATTGAAAAGAGCAGTACAAAGATTAACCGGAAATGTCATATGAAAAAGGGCCTAGAGGCGTACAGAAGCAAGAGCTACAATGCAGTGGAAGAAAGGACAACAATGGAGAAATAGAATGGGTTAGTCTGTGCCGACGAAAACCCTCTGTCAGCTCTTCATCCATTCCACTTGCTCAGTAGTTTCGTCCCAGTCCCCATAGCGCGACATTATCCGAGGCTTCCAAGCTTCGAAATCCCTGCTCCTCGTGCACAGACTCAGCCGACCTAACCTCATATCTCCTCGAGATCGTACCCGTCAAAGCCTTCCAGGGTCTCTCAACGAGGACGAATAGGAATTCAACGACGATCGGCGCGAAGGTACAAACTCCAATTACCTGGCCAAACGTCCATTTATGAGTTTGATCCGTCTCACCAGCATATTCATCCATCTTGTTTCGAAAGGTAAATAGAAGTTGAGGAGCGCCAACCACATGACTATAGTCGCAGACAGGGCCAGCATAATGTTCAGAGCATCTTTGGACCTATCTAAGCGCTGCTGGCAATGAGGGACAATGGATAAGAAATAAAATCCCCCGTAAGCGACGGTGGCTATGAAGAATGCCAGAACAGTTGATGGGATTTGCGATGATACCTCTGTATCGATACAGAGTTGATCAAACACCATCTGTCCGTCGAGTTGGACATCCGAATTTGAGACGGCGACGTTTACCAAAGCAACGATCCTAGCTTCGGCCCGTTTGTATAGCACGAACAATAGGGCAACCAATATGCCCACCAGGGTCCATACACACCGGCGGTAGGACTTTCGTCGAAGAAGAGTTGGCGCTGGTGAGTGAAGAATGATCGCCGGGAACATGCTGAACAATGCGGCGAAAGTGGACAATTGGACCACGCTGACGGTAGGCAATTCTCGTGTGACGGCCACACGAGTTAGGCCACCAGTCTCTAGCTTCCGAACGGAGAGCAAAGCGAGGATGGATGTCACCGTCGCGGCGACAAGCATTGCCAAGCTGAACAACAAAAACGCATCGAGGAATACGCGCACCGTCCCGTGGCAGCTTCATGAATCCTCCTTAGTAGTCTCCGCAACATACAAAGCTTTCACTCGGTCGGGCTTCGGTAGCCATGAAGTCCTTCGAATCGAGACCGCTGAGTCTTGAGACAAGAAACCCAACAAGATAAACCGTTACAAGAATGGCTTCGGAGCCGTAGGCGTAGATCATCTGCATTGGTCAGCCTTGTGACAGGTACTCAAGGAGGTTTGGAACTCACGCCTCTGCCAGCTTGATCGGCATTCCCTTGCCAAGGTATTTCTCGAAAGATTTCGATTTTACAGTTGTCTATCGCATAGTCGGCCAGACGGCTGATTGGACACGATGTCTTCGCGTTCTTGCATTCAGCAGGATTTCCCTGATGCGGTTGTCTGCTTCGCTCATTTCGTTTGTATGAGAAATAATGATACGAGAAAACTGCGTGGCTCGATGCGCCGCCCGACTTATAACTGTTTCGAACCTTCTATCCGCACGCTGAATAACATGCGAGAAAGATGTCCAGCATTCACGGATTAGGCTCGAGATAGGCAAGAAGTCCGTTCGGGGAAACGCATGCAGGCTAGAACCTTGATCTTATTGGTCGAGCTTCGTCGTGATATACGATGCTCATAAAGTTGTGCGTAAGGCTGAGACATGCAACCACGTCGCAACCGCCAATCATGGCTTGTAGAACGCACAGCCCGTATACGACACGCCCGCAAAATGTGCCTTCGTTCTAGCATATGTTTTCCGTGAAGCCCTGCTGGATACTTACTTTGGTTCATTCATATCTTGCGCTTTTGAGTGTTTTCCCGGAGCCTTTTTTGTGCTACTCCCATGAGGGGGATCCGCCGAATCTCCTATACTATGCTGCCGCAGCCCCTCACGCGACATCCTACGTAGCCATTTGGCCTCATTCCGAGGTAGACTTAGCTAAACGAGCGTACAAACTCTGACTGTGTGCTTCCTAAATCTTGCTGGGCGTCAAGAGCTCACTTTCCCGGTAGTAATATTCATGGCGTTGGCCGGCCCCCAACTGATTTCGTGGATCGTTGTGGTTCATGTTTATACTTACTTGAACTGGTTGCGACCGGAACCGGTGAATTTTAGCTGAAGTTGGTGCTTATTATGTACAAGATTTGAAACTTCCTGCTAACGTTCCTTTGTATATTCGTTGCTGTGGTGGCTGTGACCCTTCAGTAGGGCTTTGAAGATTTCTTCCTCATAGTAGTGGTGATGGTGCATATCGCAGACTTCATCGTTCCGTTGACTATGTCTAAGATGCTAAATACATGGCGACAATTTTGTTTATTGGCTCGTACTCCGTACATTCCTATGTTACGAGAGCGAACGACCCCTGAGGGCTGGCCTATCTGTGATTGGGCACGGTCGAAAAAGACAATGTAAGCTGTGAAGGGTAGCAACGAACCTTTAACAGTCCACGAATCATCGATTTGAGAATGAAGCGGCCACGGAGGTGTTGGGTGAACGTAACCACTGCTCAGCCAGGCGCCGCAATGGCCGCACGGCCGATGCCTACAAAAGAGGTGGTCGTCTTTGAATGCGCGGGTCATGAAGTGCTAGCAGCCGAGTCTATACTTTTTGTGATCGGCTCTGACAGCTGGAAAACTGAGGAATCATTCACCGCTCATAGACCAAGACATGGCGCGAACTGGGCCCCTATCATCTCGGAACAACTTCACATTTGCCACTAGACTGTGTGTGAATTGGGAAATCGTCGACGTGACCTACAGGCTACCGCTACAGCTACGCCCCCTGTGGCGACGAACAGATCAAACCGGCCGTGTTCGTGCTGCTCTTCGAGCTCTCGAAGATAACGAGAGAAGTCGAACTAGTGCAGACCCGTCGACGAAGGGAAGCGCTCAGACCTTTGCAGCGCAGCAAACAGGTTGAAAAGCGAGAAGTGACCACAGCGGACGTGAGGAATGTGATGAGTTGGTTCAGGAGATATCGGAGCAAGAGCAAAGGAGCCAATCCGTGACCGTGAAAGAGAAGGGGCCCAATTATCTCAGTGATCGCAAAGGAGGGAAGGCCATTGTCAGGAGAAGCGCGCGATTGGCTGCGGATAAAGTGGACGAAGGCCCTTGACTGATCCAGCCACGACAGAGGAAGACGTCCACAGTACCGAGCTGAGCAGAAGCGAAAGCGAAAGTGATGGCCATAAGATAATCATCCCCAACTCACCCCCCACAACATCATCGTATCGCCAATTGCGACAAAGGAAGGTCGAGAAGGACTCGAAACATGTCACATCTCGCGACGATTCGGCATATGTTTCAGACGAAGAAGGTGCGTCAGCCATGGCCAATCGGATTCAAGACCTGGACGGGTACCTGACTGAGAATCTCCTCCAGGTTACTGCCACCCTTCCGCGATGACGCCAAGGATCCAGGCACGGATGTGCAAACATGTCACAGGCTGGCTTGGCTAATTCAGCTGTGAGAAGGTTGTCATGGCTGAAATGTAAATGAAGCAACATGTGAGCAATCGGTCATACTTCCTGAGACAGAGGCATGAAGAATAAAAGAAGCTCTTGGTATTGTCCCAGACTCTCAATCCGACAACCATGGTTGTCAGGAATAGGTGCTGGTTCCATGAACTAGCGATTAGCGCCAGCGGGTGACTGACGTCATGGCGGATATGTGTACCCTTCAACCTCCTTCCACCGTTTGTTCATCACACACACCGTTGGCCAATAATTCTCCCTGAGCGACCGTCAGTCACATCATCACCACCTCTTCCCAACACCTTCTTCTCTAGTATACCGCCACAATGCCTCTTCGCGTGCCGACGGCTCGCTTAACCCCGCGACTCTATTGTCGCACCTTCACCACGACGCCGCGCGCCTTCCTGAACGAGGTCGGCAACCGCTCTGGCGAACAACTCGAGCAAAAGAAGCAGGAGCAACTTAAGAAGCAGGAGGAGGGCGAGGGCCACTGGCATGAAGAGCTGGCGTCACAGTCCGAGGCTAAGATCGCAGCTGACAAGGAGCACGTGAAGGACCACGACAAACACATGAGCGACCTGCAGAAAGAGACGGCCAAGAAGGGCGAGAAAGGTGAATTGTCTGTAAGCTAGCACTGTACGCGAGTGGATCACGTTGGCGCGCTAACAACTAGTAGTGATTGTCAGCCAGCCCAAAGCGCGAGGAGTGTACATGGTCAGGACCATCTTTCATGCGAATCTTAGAAGCCACGTCAGCCAGCATTGTTTCGAATTTCAAATTTGTCTACAGAGGCGACTTTCATTTGCGTTCCTACTGCAGCTGCAGCGTGTCCCAGCAACACACGCGTCCTTGTATGCAGGAGCTGCCGTCAGCACCGCCGACTTGAAACGCCTATCATTGCAGCGGAATTAGGCGCGCCACACAGAGACTTGCCTTTCATCCTTACTGGGTACCACGGCCTTGGTCTCTAGGCTGTCAGCACGTGTTTAGTCAGCCACGGTCCACTCGCGAACCCTAGTTCCTTCGTAAAACCCACAGCGGGTGCAGGGCTATATTGTCTGCCGGCCCACTGTACATACGGTGCTTCGGCCCCTGCCTACGTGAGGAAGGTTAGTCGGATAGGCTTCCGACCCGTTCGGGACGAGAGTGACCTCATTTTCCTTGTACTTGTCTGAATGCTCTCTGCGAAGACCACCCGAAAGATGGTGCTCTGATTTCTGCCCTGCCAGGACGGCTGCAGACTTGATCTGCGCCACGCCGGGCCGACAGATCGATGGCCCTGACGAACGAAAGGCAGCTCCAGGGCGGCCAGAGACCGGCAGGGCACATGGTTCGATGCGGCAAAAGGCTTGGAGGCAGACGCATCGGGCTAGCCGCGGGTTGCGCCGCACACTTGGTGCAATCTCCACACGTGCCTCCCTGAAAAATGCTAGCGCCTCTGCTGCCTTACGGTCTGCTCCTCGGAGCGCCGACGTAGTTAGTGTAGTGTGCGTCTCCCAGAAGCCATCTCACAGTCGGCGCACACGCCCCTTTTCGGAGCGTGCACCAATGCAAGTAATACATTTGCGAAAGCGTTCGCTCGTTGAAATTCCCCTTCGAAACCTGCACCCCAGATTGCCGCTCGCCTGCTCCGTCTCGCGCACACATCTGCGTCGTGTCCAAGACCAACGTCCGCTAAGCACCTAGCAGGAATGCCCAAAGCGCAGCGCTCGCGCGCATGCCAGCAGTGCAGAGAGCGCAGAGTAAAGGTGCGTGTGTTCCTGCGTCTGATCCGCATGCACGTCTTGGATGTTGACGCCTTACCACCCAGTGCGACGAGACGCCAGAGACATGCCAGCAGTGCCGCCGGCTGGACCTGCGGTGCTCGGGCCCGCTGCAGGGCTCCGTCATCATTGACATGACCGACCGCGTGACCAAGCCACGACCGCGGAAGAAGCGCGAGCTAAAGACAGCGCACGTAGTACGCACCAAAAACGAAAAGGAACCGTCACCTAATGACGAGGTACTGATTAAGACTGAACCCGGCACCCCGGATCCCCCCTCGATCGTATCGGCGCTACCCGTCGCTACCCCATCCAGTCGGAAACCCTCCGTTGAGCAAGTGCACCGGAGCGAATTAGCGACAAAAGACGCCATCGCCCAAATCCAACGGCACTACAGACTGCCTGCGCTGTACCAACCGTCAAGGGCTGTCTCGGATGCACTGGACGTGGCCTTCATTTCGCATTTCGTGAAGCAGAACAACACCACGCGCAAGTATACTCCAGACGTACCATGGATTACATCGCTGCCCAACCTGCACGGCGCCACCACCAAGCCTGCTGTACGGCTTTCAATACGTGCAGCGTCGATGGCTTTCTACGCCGCCGTGCATCGAGACACGACCATTCTCGTCGACTCGTACCGATGGTACACGATGAGTCTGAACTGCCAGAGACAGTCGCTCGCTAGACTCAGTTCGACCCGTATTCCCGACGCCGAAGAGATTCTTGTGCCTATTATCTTGAGCATATACGAGGCGTACGCCGGCACAACGACAACTAGCATGTGGCCGCACATGGCAGCAGCAGCAAAAATCATAGAGCTACGTGGGCCGACCAATTGCACGGGCATTACTGCTACCCTGTTTAGGATCATGCGTGTGTCCGATGTGAGTGGACCCAGGATTTGTGACCGCCTTCTTCGCTAACGACCGCCAGTCACACAAAGCCATCGTCTTCAACACACCCTCCGCCTTTGCCGCTCCCGAATGGTTGAACACTCCTTTTATTGGCTCAGACAAAAGCGCCCACCAAGAACTTGCTGACATCATGCTCCTCATACCTGAAACCATTGCTATGCTCGAGGTCGTGCCAGGTAGCCTCCGTCGGTTTTTCAACCAGCCACTGCCCTTCGGTGCCGTCGTCGAACCCGTCGCCACGCGAATACGAGCTTGGCTACGTTTCCTAGACGACTGGGCAGCACGATTCCCCTACCTCACCAAAGCACCCAACAAAGAGGCCGTCGTCGTCACCAATGATATGAAGAACCTCTCATCAGGTGTCCACGTCACTCCCAGTGGAGAGCTGGCTTTGCCAAACAGCTTCGTAGCCTTCACAGCGGCTTCATACCAAGCTCTTCTTGTCATCCTCTTCCTGCTCCTGCACAAAATCACGCCCAAGATGGCACCACTGCCCACACCTGTTTCTGCCATCTCGCCCTCTTATCCCTCACCGCCCTCCGGATCTTCACCGACTGTTCCTCGAAACGATGAAGCCTCATATTTGGATGCTGCTACCACAGCCGCGCAAAAAGTTTTGGACATCGCCAAGTACCAGGAGACTACGCACCAGATTGGCGGTTTCGACGTGTTGCGCACCGTGTTCCCGCTCGTGATAGTGGGAAACCTGGGCCCGAGTCAGGAAGAAAAGATTCGAGCGGTTGCCGTACTGACAAGGTGGGGGGAGCAAAGGGGCATCTCCGGGCTGTGTACAGCGTGGTTGAACGTATGAAGCCGATCACATTGAAGGAACCATACAGTACTGGGTCCGACATAGCACTGGGAGCACTCTTGCCTGTCAGCATTTCGACGGACTGTTGGGGTCTTCCAAGGCTATGCGTCCATGAGCAGAAACGGTCCATATGGTGGCCTCGTTTGCTGCTTGTTGCGATCAAATTACCGCTCGTCATGTGTGGTACAATACACACACTCAGTCCTGGTCTATTGAAGCAAGAGCAGCCCTCACACCGCAGGAGAGCAGCCCGCCACATGTTTGCAGGAACGTAGCGGCAGCATCGAAAAAGCACAGCCGCTTGCATAGCAGCAGAGCACACCCATTCGCTCATTGCTCCGTGCGAAGCGCACCATTTCTCTGAATTGCTGCTGCATAGCCCAGCAGCTCTGAGACCAACACGTCTCACGTAAAAGCTCCCCGAAAAAACACGACGCCAGGAATGGCAGTTACATTCTCCATTTTCCGTACAAAGTGTCTTCTACATGATCTACAAGCATATTAATCAAGATTGTAATTGTCAGTCATCGGACAACCTCTTCCAACCGAGCTCCCTATGTGCGAAGTACACCAGGCCCAGCGCTGTGATCCTATGAGCACAGACTTTTGTCAATACACTGCTGACTTCAATACTGCTGCCAGCTACACCAAATGCTGACCCGATCTTTCAATACTCGGTTCAGCGAATGCAACTGCAAAACTCTAATTATCTGCAACAACGATAGCAAACAAAGGTGCCTATCTTACACGACACACGGACAACGCCACCATCCACACTTCCTCGTCTCTCCTCCTCTTCCTCCCACACCTCGCCCGGTGCTGAGGCGCTTGCGGGTTCGCATGGCGCCATTTGGCGCGTGGCCTCTATTACGTATGATACGCGGTCCGAGATTGGGCGCGGCGTCTGCTCCGGCTTGCGCTAGTAGGAGCTGTCCCGGTGTGCGTCTGATTCTGTGGCGTGGAGGTGGAGGTTCATCTTCTTCTTGCTCTTCATCTTGCTCTCGGCCCTGCACATCGTCTGGCTTCTCGTCTCGCTCGTCATCCAAATCTTCGTCTTAGTCCTCCTCTAGCCCTTCTTCTTGATCTTACTCCTCGGCTCGCCCTTGATTTTGAGCACCATCTTGGTTCCGGTTCCCAACCGGCCCTGCTGTTGGTAATGGAATTAGTAAAATAGCTCTGGGTATGGATCCTGGTATATCGTAGGTATAGGTCTTGGTATGGCTCTGGGTATGTATCCTCGTATGGTTTTAGGTATGGGTCCTGCTATTCGACTAGCGACGGATCTCCAAGACGATGATTTGCTTATCTCTCCAAAAGACTCGCGCACCCAAGGAGTATCAACATGAAACTCGTTGGCGATATTATTTTAGTCTCACCGCCACTAAAGCTCGACAAGCGCGGCCATCACGTCTCTCAGGACAAGATGAATCCTCGAGTCGCCTGCCGCAAGTCGACCAGGAATCGCATTGTTACTTGAAAAACTGTATAGTATCGTCGAAAGTAATTTGGCGATCGAATTGTATTGAACATCCTGCCCATAACGTTCTGCAGGCTTCTGGTCGCATTTTCATCACTAGAAAGCTCTAGTCTTAGCGACTCACTTCGCGGCCGACGCTTTTGGTACTCTTCCGCGTGGTGGACACCGGCGTATTTCATCCAATCGAGTTCTCTTGTAGGGTCATTGACAACAACTTCTTTGCCGTACCCCACATCTGGTCTCCCATACGAATACTGAATCCTTCCCCTCAGGAATGCGTGCTGAAGGTAATAATACGAATGAGTCTCGTCATGGTCGTGAGCGGTGGCCGCCTTCAGTAGCATCTCCCTCCAGAACCTATTAGCCCAGGTTGCTTCCGCATCCATCCTGGCAAGTAGACTAGTTGCAAAAGCAACGCAACAGATTGAGAGTGGTGAAATAAGTTCGCGTGCCGTATACAGTTTGATTAATTCACTCCAAGTGAGGCACCAGCGTATTAAAGACCGGTTGGCTTCCTTTGAACGTTCGTGACATTGGAAACGAAGCGGTCCCGCACCTCCAGTGAAATGTGCGACGCCCAAGTGGACAAAGACAGCAAACCTGCGAACAATGTTGCCTTGTCTCAGTCCTAGTTGGCTGAAAGCCATCATGTGCCAGTGAGATGTCCGTCGCCGAGGGTACCATTTGATCAAAAGGAGAGCTCTTCGTATAGTTTATGATAATGCTCATTACGTATATAACGCCAATTGCACTTGGGCATCTGCCTGGGTGCTGAAAAGGAAGCAAAATTGCATCGTACGCCAAGCAGCGTAGGTTGTACAGTGGAGAAACCCAAAACTCCAAGTTTGCCAAGCGGTATAAGCAAAGGACTGACCGTATGCAATCGAAAAACGTCGGTCTAAAGGTATGTCGCATGAAACAGAAACGCCAAACGCTATGATAAAGAAAGGGACATATGCATGTACGCTCAGGAAGAATGTGATCGGAAAAGCATCTTCAGACCAGAGGGTTCCTTCTTCTTGCTCTTCTCCTTGACGGTCTTGCTGCGGGACGTGGTCGAGGATCTCTCCGTCTTTTCGGTTTTTGCAGTTTTCGTCGTCTTCGTGGTCTTTGTTGTCGCCTCGCTGCGGACACTTTTCGCCTTGTGGGACTTTGAGCGATGCTCGCCGTCCTTTCTTGAGCGTGCACTGCGCCGAGATCTGATGTCGTCCTCGTCAAGAACTCCTTCGGCCGCGAGGTGTCGTGTTGCTCCAGGTGTTATGAATTCGCCATCGACGGAAGTGCCGGCGCTTTCAGCTTCTACGTCTGCGATGCCGCGGCGCCAGACCTCGATGCGGCCCAACTCGGGAGGCTCCAGCTCGTCCAGCATCAGCGGCTCATCCCTCGCCCCCACATCCGCGGTCATGGCCATGGGGTGGCCCTGCTCTTCTTTTTGAGCCTGCAGCTTCTTTACGATTTTGTAGCCACCAAGCGCAACGATGGTAACCCCAACCGCGACGCCTCCGGCGATCATGAACTGAGGGCTTGCGAGCAGAGCCACGACGGCAGGGAAACTCTTGGCAAGTATCGGGAGGACGCTAGGGCCCATCTTTTTTACCATTGTGCTGATCTCGCCAAGGGTGAGCGCAACTGCGGCCAGGGCGTCCGGGTTCTTTTGCAAGTTTTCGATCATGGAGGTTACAGAATACTGCAAACAGTTGGCCTCGTCGAGGAGCATGGTGATCTTGGACGCCTTGTCGCGCAGTTCCACCTCGTCGTAGCGCTTGTCCGGCAGTGGTGGTGGTATCTCTCCGTAGCACAGGTCCATGTCGATGCCCGAGTCGGACTTGCGTCGCGCAGGGTCTTCACGCTTCACGGCAACAGCGGCTTCGGTGTTGCGCCTGGCGAGCTCCATGCGGTGGCCTTCCTGGGCGGCGCCGGCCAGATCGTCCTCGAAGCGGTGGCGGCTGCGGCGCGGCGATGAGTCGTCGTTGGCATAGAAGCTGTCGGTGAAGCCCCGCTCCAGGGGCGGGCGCGAAGGGCGGTGCGACTTTGATCGGTGCGTGGCGTGCGAGTGCTTGGAGCGGTGCGAGGACGCGCGCGAGCGCGTGTCGTCGTCCAGGCGCACCGACTTGATGGCGTCGCGCAGCTTCCTCTCGTGCAGGGCGGCGCTGCGCTCGGCCTGGATCTCGGCCTTGCGCTCGCGGTAGGCCGACTTTGCCTCCTTGAAGACATTGATGATGTGCTTGGACTGCAGGCCGTCAGTGGATACGCGGAGGAGCTAGCTGCGGATCGAGGGACCACGTACGCTACTGACAACCTTGCCCGAGCGGTTGATGACGGTGATGGTCTCTCCGACGCCCATGGTGGCAGTCGCAGAAGCGGCCGCAGGTGAGTGCAGCGCGGGAGATGTGCAGTGCAACGTTCGACGGCGGACGCCGCAGCCTGACTACTGTACTTGGTCGACGGGCGCGAGGCGGTCAGGAAGTATCAGTGCTCAGACGCCGCACGTCGCCAGCTCCACCACGCTTTATCCACTTCCCTGAGACTCCCGTGCCGGGGTGGCTATTTAAGACGGCCGACTCGCAGAGGCCACGGCGAGCTGGCCTGGAGCGGGCGTTGCGAGTGAGGCGGCTGCGAGAACCAGGGCCGGCCAGTCACACCCCGCTGCCCAGGGCCGCTGCAGGCGCGGGCAGAGGGTAGACGGCCGCGGGAGTCGGGCTCGCGGCCGTCAGCAGCCAGAGGCCGTGGATGGCCTGTCGGCACGTTGGTGCAGACGCTGCGTGACGCGGAGGCGGCCTGCGCTGGCATTCGCGGCGGCCATGGGAGAGGCAGCGCCAGGCTGGACGGCGTGGCGCCTTGTCACTCGACATGGCCAGCTCGCTAGCCGTAGCGGCTGTTGATGCGGCCAGCGTATCGCGGTGCACGCCCGGCGCCTGGCACCACCCCCATTGGCGGCCCGCATCCGCTGTCCCACGACGCTCTTGGTTGCTGCATCCCTTGGGAACGTGTTGCATGTGCGAGTGGCCGACTGCTGTCATCGAATGCATCCTCGACGCAGCCCCATGCCGCCCAGCAGCAACGCGCCTGCATGCCAGAATCCTGCCATTGCTGCCCAAGTACTGATACCACCGCCCGTCAATGGCTACAACGTCGTCAGCTGCCATGATCGGCCCCGGGTAGGGATCCAGCTACCAGAAAGCTCTCCACCACGCCATGCGCCACCAGGTGTGGCGGTGCGGCGCCGCCAGAGTCGGATTCAGGCCCCTGCCCCTGCTCGCGGGGTGCAGGGAGAACCGGACCTTCCCAGCGGCGACTTGCATACAGGTGCTGCGTACGCAAGTGACCTTTGTGGGGTGCCGTCGGTCGACTGTCGTTCTATCCAGACCTCCTGCCTCTACGGCAGCCTAACTGGTTCTGTGACTGTCTCTGCCGGGGTGATTGGGCGTAGATGCTAGCTGGCGTGCAGCTCTACTTGTATATCTTGCTCCACAATAAAGTATGCCTGCCCTGCACGAGCAATCGGTAAGCTTCTCGGAAGCCACGCTGATCACAGCCGGGAACGGAGGGAACATGCATGGTGAATGCATATGCACTTCACCCGGCGAGCCGCACCAGCACCAGAATGTGGCATTGTGAACGCTGGCTGAGGAAGCAGAGAGCCAGGTAGGTTGACTCGGACTACTTGCGAATCGTACAACACGAATGATGGAAGTTGATGAAATCCTCGTGGGACCTCACGGTATGCTTTGCCGAAGGTTTGTGCCAGAAACGTGGCCATGGAGAAGCAGAAGCAATGCACATGTATCTCGCGGCCTTCACCTTCACATTCAATTGGTCGCAACTACGACCCGTGAAGGGGCCATCACTGCTCGCGTGGGGCAAAACACCTGGTACAAGTCTCAAGCCCACAGCAGTCTTGGTTTGCCTGGTCTGTTTGGGAGACATGCACACAGTGAACAGAGACAAATACGTTGCATCTTCATATACAAAAACCTCATTCCAGCAGAATGAAGGTTTGGAATGCCTCTACAGCTGCAGCGGATCGCGCCACCCGAAGAAGCAAGCTCGTCATCGCAGATTCGGCGACGGCCAAGGTTGATCCGGAGCGGTGAGAGTCATGCTCGGGCTCTATCAGGGATCAGATTCGGAAGATAACCACGAGACATCAGCTTCCAGTCCTCAGCCGTCTTCTCCTTCTTCGCACTCTACCTTTGACCATGGCCGCGCGCAGGAGACTGCAAGCAATGGCCATGCAGCCGTCGCGGTAACACGGCATAGCAACGTCAATAACAGGTGGACAGCGTCGCCGTTCCCAGCCCATCTTTTGTCGGCGTGCAGCAGCTCTAGCAGAAACATGTGTCCTTTTTCGAATTCGATAACATCGCAGGAGATTTTGTCTGGAGTTGGAGGCGCACCAAACCCAGGTATGTCCGTTGTAATTCAGCCTCAAGCACCCGTCCCATGTCGTCAAGAAGCGCGCAACAATGCTCGAGCAGACATGCCCATGGCAAGCGGCAGGCTCCATGCGTGAGGCGGCTCCATGGTGAAGTCCAGGGTCTACCTCCTAGGTCGCCAGGAGGATCGATTGAAGCCCCCACTGCGGAAATCGGCCCGCTAGCGGGGCGTCCAGGGCTCCGGCGCACGACGATGTCATTTCGCACAGCGACACCCACGCGACAATGTTTTGGCCCACATGCAGGCTAACCGCTTGATGGCAGAGCTCCTCCAGCATGACGGCGCAATGGGTTCCAGCGGCCTGCAACGGGCCGTGCCGGACGATGGCCGCGCGCCCTCGCTTGCCCACCGCATGAAGCACGACAAGTCGATCCTCGCCCTCGCCGTCTCGTCGCAATACATCTTCGCCGGCACGCAAGGAGGCGAGATCCTGGCGTACAGCCTCGACACATACGAGCTGCGCAGGACCATCGAGGCGCACAGAGGGAGCGTGCTCAGTCTGACCCTGTCGCAAGACCAGTCACTGCTCTTCTCCAGCGCGACAGATCCAATAGTCAATGTGAGCTGGGCAGAAACCCTTTTGGAGTGCCACCTGATCTGACATGCCAGGTCTGGTGTACCTCAAGCTTCGGCCGTCTCTATGCCCTCTGGTCGCCCTACGATTTGGGCGACATCTTCTGCGTCGCCTACTCGGCGCACCACAAGACACTCTACGTTGGAGCGCAAAACACCAGCATACAGGTACGAAGCACGCACTTTGGACAGGGATGCAGCTGACAAGCCAAGTGGTACGATCTGAAGCAGAAAGACGTCCGACCGCAGCCCAACCCCGCATCGCACCCCTCGGAGCGCAAGAACCGCTTCTTCGATTCCACCGGCCCCGGCGGCGTCTCAACTCCCAGACCACACGGCGCCGATGTCACTTTGAGGGATGCTGTCGGAGGGCAATACCTGGAAATTGACAGGCAGGACGTGCACCAGTTCGCACACTATGGCTACGTCAATTGCATGCTCTTGGGCAAGCGCATCCTTCCCGAGGCTCCTGCGGAAGAGGTGCTCGTGTCCGGCGGAGGAGATGGCAGAATCGTTCTGTGGAGGATCGATGCGACCAGCGGAGGTGCCATTTCAAGCCTATTCGCGCTGGAAGACGGCAGGGAAGAAGGTGAGTCTATCCTATCCCTTGCGCGCGACCGCTCGTTCCTCTACAGCGGACGCTTCAATGGCGAGGTCAACGTTTGGGATCTGGAAACAAGGCAGCTTGTCAGGAGTTTGAAGGCCGCGACAGGAGACGTTCTCACATTGAGCCTGGGCGGTGGCCATCTGTTTGCGGGTGGCGTCTCAGGCCTTGTGCAGGCAAGGACAACCCAGAACCATTGCCATCATCTCCAGCTCACAATCGCAGAAATACAACCAACATTACGAGACAATCTCAACCTTCAAAGCACACGAAGGCCTGATATTGGCATCCAACTTCGCAAACTACAATGGCAAACCGACATTTGTAACGGGTGGTAACGATAACACCATCGTCATCTGGGAGGTGCCAGACTGCGAAGGCCGTGAGACTGACGCGAAGAGAAGCAACAATGGTAAGCCTTCCACCAGTCATTGTGTAAGCAGGTAACATGACCAATTCCTTGTCAGATCTCATGGTGGAGTCACTCAATCAATTCGTGTCGTTCAAGACCGTATCATCCCTGCCTAAATATCGTGCCGACTGTCGGCGCGGGGCTTCGTATCTTCGCTCCGTCTTCCAGAATTTTGGTGCAGCTACCGAGATGCTTAACACGAGCGAGCCCTACAATCCAATCGTTTTCGCAAAATTCCGCGGCAACCCTGCTTCTGCAGCTTCGAGAAAGAAAATCCTATTTTATGGGCATTACGACGTCATCGCTGCGGAGAATGAACAGGCGAAATGGAAGCACGATCCCTTCACTTTGACAGGAGAGGGCGGCTATCTGTACGGTCGCGGCATTTCCGACAACAAGGGTCCAATAATGGCTGCCATCTACGCAGCTCATGAATTGGCCAATGAGCAAAATCTAGGTTCGGATATCTTATTTCTGATAGAAGGCGAAGAGGAGAGTGGCTCGCGCGGCTTTGCGCAGGCTGTCAAAGCAAAGAAAGAGCTCATTGGTGACGTGGATTGGATTTTGTTGGCAAACAGCTACTGGCTGGACGATCACGTACCCTGTCTCACCTACGGTCTGCGAGGTGTCATCCACGCAACTGTCCAGATCGAGAGCAAGCATCCCGACCTGCATAGTGGTGTCGATGGAAGCGCGTTACTCGATGAGCCACTGAAAGACCTTGTCATGCTCCTCTCAAAGCTGACTGGCTCGCACGGCAAAGTCCAGATCCCCGGATTCTACGATCCGATCTTGCCTCTCGCCGAAGATGAAGAGAAGCTCTACTCTGAGATTACCGCCACGCTTCTCCGTGGCAATCCAGATCTGGGTGACGCCGAAGAGCTGGCTCAATCGCTGATGCGCAGGTGGCGAGAGGCATCACTCACGATCCATCGCTTCCAGACTTCGGGACCAGACAACTCCACAATTATCCCCCGATTGGCCAAGGCGTCTTTGTCTCTCCGACTGGTGCCCAACCAGGAAGCATTCGAGGTGGCCCGATTGCTTGAAGATTTCCTCCAATCTGAATTCTCCCAGCTTGGCTCGAAGAACTCTCTCAAAGTGACGATCGACCACCAAGCTGAACCTTGGCTCGGCGACTTCACGTCTCCCATCTTCCAGACCCTTGAGTCGGCGATCATGTCCGTTTGGGGTCCAACTCTCGGTCGTCGACGTAGCTCCGTACACGCGCTCAAGCATAATATCGACTACTTCAACCCAAATCCCAACTCCGGCTCCGATAACCGACCCAGTCCGACGACTTCAAACACTCTGGCCAGCGGCTCAGGCGAACCCGACGAGCAGGGATTCGTGGCACAGAAACCATTGTACATCAGAGAGGGTGGCAGTATCCCCAGCATCAGGTTCTTAGAGAAGGAGTTCGATGCTCCGGCCGCGCACCTGCCGTGTGGGCAGGCGAGTGACAGCGCGCATTTGGATAACGAGCGCTTACGCCTTGTCAACCTGTACAACAGCAAAAAGATTTTCAAAAAAGTGTTTAGTGAGCTGCCGCTAAGGTAGATGGGAATGCTTGTGACCAAGATACGTGGGCGCAAAAAGATACTGGCGTGTCGTTTATGGGTGGAGGTGTTGTATGTATGTGATGGATACACACAATAAGATAGCAACTCAATGACCTTAGTCCCCTCTGCAATCCCGTTAACTACATTACTTGTGAACTCACTAAGCTAGCTAAAAGCTAAATATCGGAACCCCGTGCTACCGTAACCCCTTCTCCTCCATCATCAGCGCCCGCGCAACCGCCTTCTTCTTCGCCACTATCTCGGCCTGCAGCCGCTCCTGCGTCATCGACGCCCGAAGCTTCGCATCCGCCTCCTCCAACTCCAGCTTCCGCAACATGACTTCTGCACTTTCGCGCGGCGGCGGGCCTGTGTAATGGAGAGCGTGGTGCCGTGGTGTGGGAGGGTGAAGGGATAGGTCGTACTGCTGTTGCTGTTGTTGTAGGGTCATGATTGGGTAGTGCGGAGTTTGTGGTGGAGCTGAGGTGTACGGTGGCGAGTAAGAGAGAGGTCTGTGGTGGAGGAGTAAGGATGAGTGGCGCCCGCGTGCCGGGGGGGTTTGCGTATCGCTGGGCGTATTGAGCGCTCCGATTAGTAGGTGCGATGCGAGGTGAGTGGGGAGATACTGTGTGCTGATGTTCCCGCGGGGACATCGGTGTTGGAGGGATATCGTGCTGTGAAATTCGGACAGGTGGGGGCGGTGCCTTCCTTGGGCGTGTGGGGTGCGCTGAGTGCCGCGGGGATATTGGAGTGTACGGTCCTGAGTAGCGGACGTCCAAGGGAGTCGAAGAGAATGTATGGACTTGGGGGTATAGCTGGGTATGTGCGTGCCGGAGGGCGGCCATATACTGAGCGTACGCAAGCTGCGGTGGAGGTGGTGGTCGGATTTGAGATGTCAGAGGCGGGTATTGCGCGCATATGCCGTGCTGGTCTGTGGTGGGAGGGATAGAAGCGCTTTGCGTGAGGAGCGAAGGTTTCGGACTCGTTGGGGAATGCCGTGGCTGAGGAGGGAAAGGGAGTCGTGATGACGGCTGGTGAGGCGCGTCAAGAACAGCCTGAGGACTAGGTGGCGGTACAGTCTACGATCTGCGCGCGACTTGCATATCTACGACTAGCTTCTTGAATGCCTTATGATCGATTACTTTCTTACGTTCCTCGTCACTTTTGCCCTGTGCAGCTTCCAGCTCCTGTCTAGCGCTTTGGACCCGAGCTACTTTAGGGAAAGGGTGCGGTAGCGTGACTGCCTCGGCCTCCATGGTATGCAAGTGATCATCCTGGACGCACTTTCTCCTTGCACCTGTACAAAATATCTCTTCCTCTTGCCAGTGTTGTCCTACTCGCTGTTGTTAGTAAGTGGCTGCCGGTTCATCCCGGATAGACTTGCTGTTCGCTATAGAATCGGTACTCACTGGCTGCTGTTTGGCTTCGGCTTCAGCGTTTCGATTCCCCAGTCACTGGTCCATTTCAGACGAACTGTGCTGCGAGAGCTTTGGTGAGGATAGTATTGCCGGCCTGGGAGACGAGAGAGATGGAACCGCGAATAGCGTGGGAACAGCTGCTCCTTGCAAGTAAGGAGCAAGGAATTTCATTGTGCTATCCGATGTAGGGTGTTCGTATGTCCAGGACTCAATGTTACCAAGTTCAGGCCTGTTCCTACAGGAGTTGGTCTTTTTTAATTCCAGGGCTACTTCTTCTTCGGCATCGTAATCAGCACGCTTCCGTTTGCGGCACGCCATACCCCCTTCCTGCTTCAAGCTGTCTTCCGTGCTCTCATCCAGTGTCTGGGATCGTCCTACAAGCTTTGTCTTGTTCCCTGTATGTGCAGAGTGTCCATGCTACGGAGACGGTGTTCATGGCCAGGAAAGTAAACAGGCACGGGCTGACACCCCACTTGCCACAATTTGCCTTGATAATTCGTTTGCTCCCGCTATGCAGCGTTTTCAAAAGCTGCCACTGCCGCTTCCACATACGCTACCTGCAGCCCCAATTCTCCCGCGTAAGAATGTTCCTTCACTTTCTCACTAAACTGCTTTTCAAGATACCACATCGCCCTATGCCTTTCGTCTACGGTCAGTTCGCTCAGATGTAGCAGCGATATCAGGAGCGGTGCGGGCCATGCCTCCGGAAAGTAACAATCCGCGGGCGGGCATAGCGGCGATGTGAGCCCTAGAGATGGCGTTGACGGTGAGATTCGCCAGTTAGCGTGTATGGATACTTTTATGGACATTGCGATGGAGGAAGGTGCGTCTGAAGCATTTGTTGATTGGATACGTGACGCTCGCTGGATACTAGGAAAAGAGATTGAAACCTCTGCACGCGCAGGTATGGTTTTGGCTGGGCATATTTTGCCTTTAGTTTTTTCGTCTAAAACGAGTCGTTGTTTACAGAGAAATCTGGTCCAAAAAATCGGCATAAAGGGGTGACATTTTTTTTGGAAGTGCTGGCAGGGGAAAGACCGCGGGCGGTCTCTGTTGGTGTTGACATGTCCTCTTGTGGCCCTTTGTTGTGGTACTCACCACCAGCATGGAAGGACCACGCGCAGCCTTATCTGTTTCGTTTTGTTTACTATATATCATAATGAATTGCTGCTCGCCAAACCGAAACACCTGATTAGGTAACTTCTATTCTAGCGTTCTGTAAGGGTAAACCCGAAATTTCGCAAGAATATTTGCTCCAGTGACTACCACTATTTGATGGGTTTCAGAAATTTAGTTTCTGAACTCGAAGCATACCTCGCAGCTGCTTGGATATTGAATACAGAACGAGACACTAGAGATGGTCGACCGAAATATTTGGGCAGATGGCCTTACAGCTCCAGGACAGGATTCTGAGTACAATCGGGTTACGTTATCTGTCGTGGGATTATACGCTATATGCAGGCTTTTATCGTAGTACTGTGAGGTTAATCTCCTCTACGGGCTGGAAGTCGCCTACAGGTGACTATTGATGATCTTTATCATTGCTCCGATATTGGTAGAGTTGAGAACAATTGCACGTAGGCGGATCGGGTGCTTCTTACCCCTCTCACTCACACCATCGCTGCGCATCTTGCTTACCCATACCCGCTTTGTTTACCTAGGTATACCACTAATAATGGCAGGCGACGTTTACAAGGATTCAAAGTTCAAGAATAGTGTGTTGAGACTCATTGCTTTGCTAACTTGATTGACTGATCCTATCTGATTCGCTACAGCTGTTAATTGCACCCCCTATTGTCCAAATTACACATACTCGTAGCAGAGATATCCACCTTTAGTATCCATGATATTCTCTAATGTCGTATCTGGGATAATACCCAGAGATGTCATAACATGGCCCAAGGTGGTTTGATTACCGCCTTTGTCACCAGTCGTTGGGTCTGGGGTGACAGCCTTCATTTCGGTCGTCGGGTGTCCCCACATCTTAGACTCCTCTTCGATGCCCCCGGGGAATTCGAGGAAGCCGACCTTAGGGTCCTGAGCGTTGAGGCCACTTATCTCCGTGAGTCGCTTTGGATCCTTAGCCTGCCAGTCTGCCCACATCTTGTCAACGAAGCCGTGGTGCATGAAAAAAAGCGGATCGCCGTTAGAGGTAATAGAGTCTGCGTTCTGGGAGTCCTTTTTTAGCGAGACCTACGCATCTTTCGTGTTAGAAGAAAACTTACCATCATGGACAAAGCTATGTGGCCCATCAGGTGCGGACCACTGTATATAGCCCTCCATGCTTCCTCGTATGTCGTTGGAGAAATTGCCTTTTGCACAGCAGACGCTGAACAATAACTGCTCAGAGCATTGGTGATCTGTCGATTCACACAGCGAGGTTGACTTGTAAAACCGGGGCCAATATTGACTGTGAAATTACGGAACGGCCCATCTTCGACGCACTTCGAGGTACCCTGGCCTGTGCCGCCAAAGCCGAGGACCGAGTCGAACACTGGCGAGATTGAGAAATTTCCTGCATCTCTGGTCTCATCCCAGTACCTATGTAATGCTCGATTAATATGTTTCATGTCTGTAGTCCAAGGGACATAACCATACTTACGGCAGTCCTTTGTTGTACCCGCATTGATTCAGCAGATGCTCATGGGCATGTAACATATATCTGTGATACGGTAGAAAGGTTCCCGTGCTGTGGATCTGCAAAGACAAGATCTGGTGCAAGCCCACGAGCTCGTCCCACTGAGTTTTAGCTCCTGGCATCTTCTTGAGCTTTGCCTCGGCGTTCATGATGCACTGCTCTGCAGAGATGTACGCTTTCTTGTCCTCGGCTGATACATCGTGCCTAAAGAAAGGAGCCATTCAGTACTTGAATGCCAGGCATTTTACAAGATCGAATCGAAGCATTCTCTTACCATGACACACGCTTGGTGGGATTTGTGCATTTCGCTGGCGTATCGACCAAGGAGAAAGGAACAGCTCGCACGCCAACAGTGGCTACTACAAGCAAGAGGGCAAGAGCGCTTTGCATTACGATAGCCCAGCGAGATCAACACAAAGGCTTTGGATATGCTGCGTCGGAGATGGTCGAACCCACATGGTATCCTCTCCAGACCTCTTATACCATGCACTCGAGCAGACAACAGTGGACCCACTGATGCGTGTTTCTATCACGGCACAGTGCTTCTACCAAAGTGATCCTGTTCGTATTGCAAAGTGGTCGCGAACCATTGCAGGCTAGCCTATCCAATGAGTCGCATCTTGCTTATTGGTGACTGTTGCCGGTAGAATTGCGACACACCTGAGACAGCCACAATAAGTTTGTCTCCACATAAACTAATGGTGTTCCGAGAAGCTTCTGGATCCAATAACCCGGGTAGCCCAAGCTGCATACTACATAGCAACACTCCAAGGTACGCGGTAGAATGAATCAAAGTCAGCGATAAATAGGGTAAAACCAAGACACGAATCGCACACAGCGAAAAGATTTCAAACGTGTGCAGACATATTTGAACTGCATCCTGCTCCTGATCGACTTTCACTGGAATTACTGTTCGGAAAGGCTGTGGTTTTCAAGTAGTCTCCCGCCTGTGAGGCGCTCAGGTGAGACAAGATAGTTTCCACCGATTTCAAATTATTAGGGAACGAGGAGAAGAGAACCGGGAGTTTTTTCGGTAATATAGATGCAGCATCAGATCTGATTCCAATATAATCTTCAGTGATCTTGGGCCGCGTGACAGATTCAGGCAAGATTGTGGTGCCGAAAAGACCTATCTTCGATGATCAATATAAGCGACTCCTCCACATCCCGAATGAGTGACACGAAGATCACACTCTGTAGCATGGCTTGCACAAGCAAGGGGTATGGAATCTGTGAGACACCCATCTACGATTTCCAATACCGTGCGTACAATAGGTACACTAGAATGGACTGAGCACTCTATTACCTACGATGACGTTGGGCTCCAAGGGTCATGGTCACATTGCGCAGTGGCATCCAAATCACCATGGCTGCCATTGCCTATCGATTTGGTAACTTATCAGAGTTGTAAATAGGCTAATCATGATTGATGGTGCCTGTCCAAATATCAAGAAGTGGGTTCGCAAAATCCCTTTGGCTTTCTGTGTTTCCGCTGTAGTTTGAGCAGGTCGACTGAGGGTCTGACCATTTGTCGTGAGTTCCTAGCCACATCCTGTGATCTGAGAAAGATTTTTGTTTCTCACTCAAGTTCCAACATCCGAAAATCAGGAGTTTACAAGGATGCACCTAAAATCAATTTTGGCTTCGGCCTTGGTGGTTGCGACGTCCTATGCTCACCCAGGGCATAGCAACCAGAAGGAGCTCCACGCACGGCGCGAGTTCTTGTCTAGACATGTCAACAATATCGACCACTGCGCTTCTATGCATGAGGCTTCTGGGTTACGTACGAGGGCGATAGAACGTCGCGCGGCATTGGCTAACACGCTCAGCCGTAAGCTTCATGGTATATGCGATAACGAACCTTTGCGTCTTTGTATTGAACTTTACTAATGAATGTCAAGGTCGACAAGATTCGCCCCTCAGCAAGAGTCACAAGAGCGACAAGGGGTACAATGTAGATACGGATCCGAAAGAAATTTTCGCCAGCAAGAAGTCCTGTGTACTTACACCCGAAGCTACCGAAGGCCCTTTCTGTAAGCTAACATGTGCACTTGCTTACTCTTTTGAGTCGTACTGACTGTAAGCGACATCCAGATGTCACAGGAGAGTACATTCGCAGCAAGCTCGTCGATGACCAAAAGGGGATACCGCTGCACTTGGATATTCAACTTGTCGATGTGAACAACTGTCATCCCATGAAGGATGTTTTCCTGGAGCTTTGGAGTGAGTTCTGCCCATGTTACACCTGGTACATGGAGAAAAAATTGCTTCAATACTGACAACACATCTTATCTTTGATCTAGGCGCAAACTCCACTGGCGTTTACAGCGGCGCTATGTCGCCCATCAACGGTCTTAACGGCGCAACCGACACTTCCAACCTGAACAAATCCTTCCTGCGCGGACTTCAAGTAACCAGCGCCGACGGCGTCGCCCAATTCGAGACCACCTTCCCCGGACACTATGACGGACGCGCTACACACTTGCACATCATGTCGCACCTCAATGCCACGGCCCAAGCCAATGGAACCGTCTGGGTTTTGACAGCTACACACGCGGGGCAGCTATTCTTTGACCAGGACCTCATCACCGCGGTCGAAAAGACGGCACCGTATACGGTCAATCGCCAGCGACTGACCTTGAATCGTGCGGATGGCACTCTGCTGCAGGAGATGGCGACATCGGACCCCTTCCTGGAGTATGTCATGCTGGGTAACAATATCGGAGACGGTGTACTAGCTTGGTACCAGCTCGGCGTAAACCCAGCCTTCTCGCGCAAGATCATGGCGGTTGCACTGAACTACAAGGAGGGAGGCAAGGTCGCCACAGACAATCCTAAGGTTCCTGGGCTGAGCGCAATCTTCCCTGGTGGATTTCCCACTGCGTATCAGCCTGGTTATGGGTCGCCAAAGGCGACGGGAACCCCGAGGACGGATGAAGACCACGAGTAAGAACCAGCAGATGCATCAAGCGGGTCATATGAGGTACTCTCTCTTAAAGTTTCCTTCGTGCCAATCGTTGTACCTTTCTTTGTCGCCCTTATACAACCAGCTTCAACTGGCATGCCCGTAGTCCACCGTCTCGTCGTCTCTGAGGTTAAACGTTGACAAAGTATTCGGATCAGTGCTCCAGGGGTTGCTGGTATCTTAATTATATTGGTAGTCGAATTACTTGCCAACAACCTTACCCACATATTCTGCAATCGCAAGCATCTTCTCTTCCTCCAACCTCCTCCCTACCAACTGCACGCTAACGTGCGCACCATCGTAAATTTCGGGGTCGTCTGTAATTGTCAGAGTTTTGTCTCGCTTTGAACGGAGCAGAACTGACAGCTTTCATGGCTTTTTCTGTCTCTCTCTCCCAGGGGTACGTAATTCGCGTCAACCACATCGACATCTCTCTTCACTTCAGTAACTGGCACTACTACACTTGTATAATCCAGCGCATTTACCCAAGTGCTATTCAAGGGTTAGGCATATCATTTCATGAGAAGGGGTTGATGGTAGTAGTAATGTGGAATGAGGGGTACTAAATAGGGACATTCCACGTACCTGTATCCGTAGTATGAGTACTTCTCTGGCCTTGCCGCGGGCCACGGTGCTGCAGGTCCAATCACAGCATCTACGCATCTTCCGGTCTTGGTAAATTTTGCGGTACTATTCCAATATTCCATGTATACTTTCTTCAGCTCACGTAGACGCACGTTTACGGTAGCTATCTCAGAGGCTTTGTAATGCTTCTCTAGCTCGCTGAAACCGGCAACTTGTGGGTGCATGGGTTCGCCAGAAAGGGCAAACGCAGACTTGATATCAGATCCTGCATCAAATTCCCAGGTCTTGAAAGCTTCATCCAATATTGCTTGATGTGAAGGCGGATTCCATTCGAATATCTCATGTCCCTGTGAGCGCAGGGCTTCTACGACCTCATCGATCGCACGGAGAATGGGTGGTGAAGGGTGCACGATGCCATCTGTTCGCATGACACCAAAGCATAACTTGCCGCCTTTGCTCGAGTCTGTAGAGTCTATCAATGAGGTTATTTGCTGCTCATGCGAATCTCGCCATGGAATGTCGTGCACGAGTGGGTCGTGCAGCCATGGTTTTTGCGATAGGATTGCCCGGATGACAAGTCGCAGGGAGCCGACAGTGGTACCGAGCGGACCCACAACTGAAAGTATCGTGTTCTGTCCATCCATGGAGTTGGCCATGCCTTCATATGGGAGCCTGCCTGTTGATGGTCGGATGCCGTAGAGGCCGTTGAATGCAGCCGGAATCCTAATGCTTCCGCCTATATCGGTGCCAAACCCAACCGGTGCTGTTCACGATTAGTCGCCGCAGATCATGAGAACTTCAACGAGCCGACATACATCCTCTTAGCCCGATCAATGCACCCTCACCACCACTCGAGCCTCCAGCGGTGAGGTTCCTGTTCTTCGGATTGAGCGTATACCCGATGATGTTGTTGGTCGTTTCACCGGACATAAGCGTATGTGGGACACTTGTTTTACAGTACAGTACGGCGCCCAGAATCCTGAGCTCTTTGACCATTTCGCTTTCAAACACCTTCTCTTTCCCAGTGCCTTTCTTACCCTCGAACGTTGAAATCCATCCTACGTATCCCATGGTTGTTTCTACATCTCTAACATGGAACTGATCCTTTAGAGACACAGGTAGCCCGTGCAGAGGGCCTATGGGTTTCCCATGCTCTGCATAGTAGGAGTCAAGAGAACGTGCTGATGCAATTGCGGCATCGTAGAAGATCTCATGAAGGCAGTGGAGCTGTTTGCAGCGTCAGCAATCTGGATCGACTTGTGAGCATGGGCCACATGATCAAGGACTCAGTACCAATTGATGCGCAAGGGCGGATCTGTGACAAAATGCTCTGGTAACCTCCTCCGCCTTCCACTCGCCAGTCGTAGTCTTGCCCACAATCTTCTCCGCGTCTGTTTCCGTGATTTCCACCTCTCTTTCGGTCAAGAAGCCTCTGATGTAATCTCCTGTAACATCCCTCTGCTCTTCGACAGAAGGGAGGTCTTTGAGACGCCACTCGGCTGGTATTGCTGCAAGAATGGCTTCGCGCTTTTGCCTAGCGCTGTCCTGCCACGAATTTGTCATCTTGTATGGTATGTAAAGGAATGCAGCAAAGGTTGAGGGGATTGAAGCAACGGTGACATGCAGGCATTATATGCAAGTATCGTATTCAGAAGGGTTCTAGCTTGGCTGTTGAAGTGCCGTCATGACGTGTTATCGAACGGGAGGCATTGATAGCGAAGTGGGGTAATAATGCTGAAGGTCCACCTTCCGCATCAGTACGGCCCGAAAGTAGATGCCGAGCGTATACGTCCGCAGCCAGTGTAAGATGTTTACCTAGGTCGCGCATGAGGATGTCGATTTGGAGTAGCACCGTTCTTCAGAGTTGCTTTGTGCGCCGCCACTTTTGGTTGAGGTACTTCGAATCGTAACAACCACGCCATACGAGACATATCACTCCACGAGATATGGCCCCACGACAAAGGCGAACAGGTCCTTCAAGCATCACTCTACCAGCCGCAAAGCGACATGTTTGTAATTTTGGGACAGCACGTAGCGCTGTCAGGACTTGCACCATTTCCTAAGCCTGCGGTTGCCCGTATGAGGGTCCGCAGTATTGGCTGTGCGATCGTAACATGTCATGGTGGTGAGCTTCTTGCCGTTCGTCTCTTGCATTGACCATTATTTCCAAGCCCTCACCTTCTCTTCTTCCCCACCACCTTGGTGAAGCCGTCTTCGTCCACCTCGGGCGCAGGCTTCTCCTTGGGCGGTGCCGCCGCAGCAGCAGGCGCATCCCCCATGACCTCATCTTCGTCGTCGTCGGTCTCGTCGTCGACGCTGTCCCACTCTCCTTCGTGCTCGACCTCGTTGACCTGCACACTGCCCGTGTTGACCTCTCTGCCTTTCCGGCTCTCCCAGCGCGCCTTCAACGCGTCCACGGTCGCGAAGTTGCCCTCGTGCACCTCGTTCTTGATGGCCAGTATGTCGCGCGCCACGCCCACCTCGGTTTCGTCCTCCAGGCGCACGCCGAATTCGTCCTCGAGGACCTGCAGCAGCATGACCTCGACGTCTTCTTGGTCGGTGGCGGGATTGGAAGCGAACAGGTCAGAGACGGCACCGGCGAGCCAGTCGCGCTTGTCCGAGGAGTCGGGCCCGCCCCATTGGTTCTGCACGGCGACGCTGAGGGTGGGCCAGTTGAAGAGCGTGTGCCAGATGCCAAGATCGAAGTTGGCCTGCGCCTGCTCTGCACAGTGTAAGCCGGGCCAGCGAAAGGTGGGAGGGGGGTCGCCGCGTACCAGAGAGCGCAGAGGATGCTTGTGTCGTGGCCATGACGAGTGCGATATGTGCGTTGGAGGCTGCACCTGCATTTCACACAACTTTTGGTGGCATGCTATCGATAAGGCGGGCGCTAGCCTCCCCTATGGCTGCTCCAGTGCTGCCGCATCTCACTAGCCTAGTCTCCGAGAAGGGTGCCCATCCCACACCCATTACCCGCTCATTAACAGAGGCATTTCTTCGGATCCTGTACTTGGCCCAGCCGGAATGGTAGCCACACTACATTCCAGCCCGCCTCGGAAGTGACATGTGGTAGTCCCTCGGAAAGCAGCCCACCGCTTACACCTCGCAGCAGCACCTTGAGCAAGTCGAGGCATCGTGTCGGTAATCTGCTGATTTAGCCAAGGATGTGAATCCGACACCATTCAAACTGATGCGCACACCGTAACGGCATCCGACGGGTCCCTCGCTGCGCCCAAGTGTGCTCCGCCTGTGGAGTTGTGGACGATGTTGAACCCGACGGCCTGAACCGTGGACCAGGTGAGGTGTCGGCATCTACCATGAAACACACGCGTGCACATGTCAATCTTTGCGGGTTCCCATCTCCTTTCCCAAACTGCAGCTTTATCCCGGGTGTCGTACGCGTCTCAGCATTCCTTCTTTATCGATATCAGAGCACTTCCTGTGTGACTTCCTGTGGTGACGGCATCACTGCCCCCCTCACGATTGCATTCCATCCCTTGTCAAGATCATCTATGGTCCGTCTTGCCAAACGACAGTATCCTTTCCCTGCCCAAGTCATCACCTTGCCCCAGTATCCGAGTGACGGTGCCACCCTAGAATATACGATATACAGGCCTCAGCACTCAGTTTTTGGCCTTTAGTTGTATGCCGTAGCTCTACGCAAGTGCGATTGAGATAACGTATCAGAATGCCATCGAAGGCACCAGAGAAAGAATCGGCTGGCTCGCTAGAGCAAGAAGTCCCAATCTCACCGCAGCTCCCACAGCGGCAAAAAGACTTACCGAGATGGGATCCTCGAAGCTGGAACCTGGTTACGTGGATCATGGCGGGTGTGGCAACTGCTGCAGTCGTAGTAGTAGCGGTGGTGGCAGGCGTGCTAGGCGCGAGGGCGAACGCCTACCCAAATTACTACAAAATGGAGTACACGTTGAAGGATACATGTTGGTTCTCCTTGCCTGACAAAAGTTCCTCGGATGCTAATAGAAGCATCAGACGCTGGAAGCTCGTTTTTTGATGACTTCGATTACTTTACAGGCTACGACCCGACGCATGGTTTCGTCCACTACGTCGATTCTGAAGGATCAAAACTACACAATCTTACAGAAAGAACATCGCCGGCACCGCCAAACTCGCTATCAAAGGATGGGACAGTGATCCTCCGTGTAGACGCGGAAGATAAGAACGCGACCACAGGTCGACGAAGCGTTCGTATCACGTCGAGGAAAACATACGACACAGGCCTTTTCATCTTTGATATTGTGCACACGCCCTACGGATGCGCGACCTGGCCTGCTCTATGGTTGACCGACCCCAACAACTGGCCGGACCACGGAGAGATCGACGTTGTAGAATCAGTCAACATGGGCGACACGGGGAACCAAATGACGCTCCACACAACGGACGGCTGCAAAATCGGAAAGCACAGGCGCAGGAAGCAGACGGGCAACGTTCTGGCATATGACTGCTGGAACGCAACAAATTACAACATTGGCTGTGGCGTCGCAGGACCCCCGTCCTCGTTCGGGCAGGCGTTCAATGCAAATGGAGGCGGTGTCTACGCACTCGACTTGCGCGTTGAAGGCATTCGCGTGTGGCTGTTCAACCGCACGTCGATCCCGTCAGACATCACTGAGCAGAAGCCTGATCCAACCACGTGGGGCAAAGCACTCGCTGATTTCCCTAATCTGGAATGCGACATTGGGAAGCATTTTGGGAACCTGTCGATAATTGCAAACATTGGTCTCTGCGGCGACTGGGCGGGCCAGAAGAGCATCTTCAATACTAATCCGATGTGTTCAGGGACGTGCAGCGATTATGTGGCGTACAAGGCGAAGGACTTTGAGCAGGCGTACTGGGAGTTTGGAGGGTTTTGGATCTATCAGTAAGGGGCATCGACGGCGGCGTCTAGGGTGTAAATTGCACGCGTACAGTAACAACAGTGTGCATTTGAACTTGGGAATTGATATGCAATTATTGTCTTTGTATTGTCTTGCCTCGACGTTGTGCCATGTAGCCGTGCCTCGGAATGCCAATTGCGTCCAAGCCTGGGGGGCGGGAGAGAAGTACCGACAGCTCCATCAAACGCCGAAGCGACGCGGTCCAAGCTCATGGCCATGGTAAAGTTTGGGCGCGCGCATCGCTGGGTTCCATTGCATTGCTCTCGACCATGAACACCATCGCACCGCCCCCGCAGCTCAAGAAACTCCCGCCCTCGAAGCGCTTCCTCGGCATCGCGCTTGGGTTGGCCGGCGCCGGCGCAACCAACCTGGCGCTCGGCTACGCAGGCTTCTCGTTTTACACGCGTAGCACCACCTTCGTGCCCTACGACACCACCCACGACGACCTTGCCACGCCTGTATTCAAGAAGCACAACCCCTTGGGCAACGCGCCCGTGTGCATTGACCATGCCGTCAAGACCATCCCGCTGGCAAAGCTGAAAGAGACGGACCAGAGCAAACTGACGACCGACTTCTGCCGGGGCGTGTGGAGCGGTCTGGGCTATGCCTACCAGCGGAGGTATCTGGAGAAGAAGTATCGCGCGCTCGAGAACCGCGAGGACCACCTGTGGGACCGACGGGAGCTGGCCGAAAGCGACTATGCCATCGGCACCAAGATAACCGACCACTTTGAGGTCGTCGAGCACACGCCAGAGAAGGTACGTTCTTGAATCCAAGCATGCGCCTGGTCAAGGTGACGGCATGGGGCAACTGGGTGAAGGCAGGGCTGATTGGGCTTCCAGGTCATCGTGCGATGCGGCGACTCCCCGCTAAACCAGGACCACCGCCCGAGCGACGGCCTGTTCTCGATGGAGGTCACGACCGACCAGGAGAAGCAGACGGCTACTTTTCACTTGAAAAGCGTGTTCGTCAACACCACGCCCGAGGGTAAGGGCGGCGAGCCACTGCCGTGGAGATTCCAGTTTGCGCACAGGCTGTACACCAAGTTATGGATGGAGACGGCCACTAGAAAGTTGCTGAAGTAAGCGGCAAGGATCCCTGATCCATGGGGACTGGGACACAAGGTGGCCGACGACATGCCGCAATATCATATAGATCGTGTATACAATTTCTGGGCTGATCGGAGAGGATGGAAGCAAGCGATGAATTCACGTACACTTGGACGCCATGTCCTTGAGATGTGATTGAAGCTTCATTCGACTTGGTAATTTGAAGCCTACTTCTGTACTTCAAAAGGTTTCTTATTTGTTTTTCGCTGTCGTCTCTCCGCCAGAGACCTAGGAACATATCCGACCTCTATTCAAAATCGTTATCTGATCCTTTCTTTCCTTGGCTCAGGAACATTTAAAAGCACTTACCCGTTCGTGTATACTAGCATTCATCCCATATGTCCTCTGAGATCCGAATTTTACACATGGCTCTGCACGCACCCCCCAGCCATCGTGGCCTAGCTCTTGCTGGGATAGCTTCAACGCCGGCAATCGTCAAGCGCTCGACGGCATGCGCCATCCCACTTTCACCTTTCGCGGGCGCTCCGCCAGAGAAGGGAGCGGAGATGAAGACTCGTCTTGCGCGATTCGTAATGCAATCGCTGCTTTCGAGAGCATATGAATGATGGCTTGCGATACTTGCGGTTTGCATGATCCGCGACAAGGATACATACTCATGATGACGACCAGCTTGGTCATCGATCAGGAACGCGACAGTCGCGCGAATTATCCCCGAGTGGGGCTTCAAACTAGTAGATTGGGATATTTCTAATCTACCTTGATAGTGTCAACGAAAACCGACAGCTACAGATAAATAAACCCAAGGTGAATTTGCGCCTGGCTAGAGGCTCGTCAGGTTAAGTTGAGTCGCCCCCCTGAGAGGTATTCGTCAAGATGGCGCACCAATCAAGACGAAGCTTGAATACGATGCGAACCGATGACGCATCATCGGGCAGGTCATCAACATGTTCAGAGAAGAGAGGGAATTTCTCAATTGCAGGTGATGAAGAGAATAAGATAGAGGGTAGCCTTCTGGGCGATCGCCTCGGACTCAGTCCAGAAGGTCGTGAAATCGAAGAAGAGGCAATCACCCGTTTTTCCACCGCCAACTCGATTCGCCCGGGGCTCTCCAAGACCCAGACCAACGCCAAAAGCCTGCGCAGCATCAGATCGCATCATTCACGCGCAGGGGCCGATGGCTACACCTTGAACGACGAAGACGAAAAGCCGAACAACTCCAGCGGTGCAACTGGAGAAGATGCCGCTGATCCGTATCTAGTCCGCTGGGAAGGAGGTGATGCAGATCCAATGAACCCTCGCAGCATGACGACGCTACGACGCTGGTGCATTGTGTTCATTGTGAGCGCAAGTTCCTTGTGCGTGTAAGTACCCACCCTAGTTCCCATCACATATTACAGCAGAAAAGTAATATAGGCTGTGGCTCTCCTGCACGGATGGACTGGGATTGGTCTCGATCGGACTAAGCTGAAATGGTTGCATAGGACATGTACGAGTTCGCTGTATACGTCGACGTATGGTCAGCTGATGCCAGAGTTTGGGACGAGTCGATTGGTATGCACACTTGGACTGAGCTTGTTCGTGGCTGGGCTTGGGACGGGCCCTATGATTTTGAGTCCCCTGTCAGAGGTTCGTAAATCCGCTCCAAGGAGAGGAGCGCGCTTGCCCTGCATACCGGGCTGAACGGCTCACTCCGCATCGCAGCTGCTTTACATGCTAACTGCGTGCGTGGCTACAGTTCTATGGTCGTCGGCCAATCTACATATGCTCATTTACCTTCTTCCTCATCTTCACCATTCCGTGCGCGTTTGCGCAGAATATCCAGACCATGCTCGTAGCACGCTTCCTCGACGGATTAGCGGGCAGTGCCTTCCTTTCTGTGGCTGGCGGCACTGTTGGAGACATGTTTGCGAAACACGTTAGTCTGGTCCTTCTCATCTGCAGCTTTCATGCAAGCTCCTTATGTGCCTAGTGCTAATGGCCGTTCATCTGTAGGAACTCTCGGCACCTATGATGGTCTATACTGCAAGCCCTTTCATCGGGCCCGAACTCGGTATGTCAAGCTGTCCAACTGGAACGTGCCATTCATTGACTCGTCCTCCTAGGTCCTCTCGTCGCTGGATTCATCGTGCAGAATACGACATGGAGGTAAGTGGAGCCGCGGTCATACCCTGGAGATCTTACATGCTTGGGCGCGACGAGTAGAGGCGCAACAATATCGAGCAATACCGATCTTAAGTGATCTGGCCAAGCATTCGGATACGCATGTCTTGCAGTCAATTAATTTGACGCGGACACCAAAAGAGCGGTGTGCTGACTTTTGGTTAGGTGGTGTTTCTACGTCTTGATGATTTGGTCTGCAGTCCAGGTGAGGCTTCAGATGCCCTGGGCTGGATTTATCATGCACACTAACACAGCTGCAGCTTGCATTGATAGTGCTTTTCGTGCCTGAGACATACCATCCGGTGCTTCTTCGTAACAAGGCGATTCGCCTACGAAAAGAAACCGGGAATCCAGATTGGATAGCACCGATAGAGAAGTTGTCACGGTCGATCATAAAGACGGTGTTGTGGTCATGCATCAGACCGTTTCAACTGCTGTTCTTCGAGCCAATGGTGGGTAGAAGCAGCTCGGCCAGGATATTGATTAGCGGACTAATGCCGTGCTGCAGTGCCTCAACCTTTGTATTCTCAGCGCGATATTGTTGGGAATTCTATACTGTAAGCAAGTCCTTGTTTTTGCGCTTCCATCTCATGTGACCTGGTACGACGGGCACCAACAGGTCGCTACACTCGGTGGGCGCTCCACGCTTAAGCATGTCTCAAGATGGCTCCTCGATCTGGACAAGCTACGTAGACTGACTGTACAACCTCGGCTAGTATTCTTTGGGGCCTTCCCTCTAGTCTTCCAGAACAATCACGGCTTCACGGTGTCGCAGACGGGGCTTTCCTTTCTCGGGCTCTTCGTGGGCATGCTGGCCGGGATCACAAGCGATCTGTTCTGGCGAAGGAGATACGACAGACTCGTACAGCGCAGCGAAGCGCAAGGGGGTGGGAGTGAACCAGAATTCCGGCTCCCCGCTACAGTATTCGGGGCCTTTTTGGTGCCCCTTTCGTTGTTCGGTAAGCTTTTACAGCCCTTTGAAGTCAAGACGACGTATTGATGGCAGTGCCATGCAGGGTTTGGGTGGACCACGTATGCCTGGGTGAGTAGCGAAGCGATAAATTGGCTTGAGATGAGTTGCTAATGACCTTGGCCCACGCAGGTGCACTGGATAGGTACGCAGCATGGCGCATGAATGTCGAGTCGTAATAATAGCTGATCATCTGTCGTGCCATAGTCCCCATTGTTTTCTCGGGCCTGTTTGGAACAGGGTGTGTATACCCCTTTTGGTTCATGCAGGTGTCATGAATAGACAAGTTGCTGACCGCTTTTCCCTGACATAGCGTCATCTGGGTCTTCTCTGGAGTGTTTACCTTCTTGGTCGAAGCTGTAGGTTGGCCGACATCGGCGGTAACTGGATCGAGGGCTGACAGGACCGATGAAAGTACCCGCTCTACGCTGCTTCAGCGCTCGCAGCCAACAGTTTTGCGCGCTCGTACTTTGCCGCGGCGTTTCCTCTGTTCGGTGTCCAGATGTACAACAGTGAGTTGAAACCAGGCAGCTACGATGAAAAGGCGGTCACTGATGGGGGAAAGATCTCGGCTACCAGTGGGCGACGACACTGCTGGCCTTCCTGGCCCTTGTCATGGCACCGTAAGAGCGAACCCAGCAGCTCGGTCATGGAACTGGCTAACCGCGGGGTATCACAGATTCCCAATCCTCTTCTTTCGATTCGGCAAGAGACTCAGGGGCAACAGTCGCTTCGCATCAGGATAGACATTTGGGGCAAGGCGGGAGAAGCATGTGGCGGATTCGAGTGGTGGAAAGGGCCTAATTATAGAGGAGGGTCGCACGGCATCTGCATGCCTCGAGTGTTTATTGAATGTGCAAGTTTTTTGTCTTTTCTGCGCCCACACGTGAGGCACCTGAGGCAGGGCGTCGGGGTCCTTGTGCAACGTGACTTGGGCGCCACGAGGGAAGCCACGCCAGGTTGGAGGTTGGAGGGAACACAGGACGGCGACGCGGCTGCGGATGACACAACTGGCGAGAGAGGGCGCCCGGGGCAAGGGAACGCAGTGGGCCGTGACGAGCGCGCACATGTCTCTCGCCAGTTTCGAGGGGGGCGTGTGGAATGGCGATGGACGGTCGCACAGGGCGTTGCGAGGTGGTCGAAAGCGAATGGGACGGTTGTGCCAAGCGGATGGGCATCCATTGCCATCATGCACGGCCGCAGATGGGTGCAGGACTGGGTTAGCCCGTCCGCGAGGGCATGAGAAGAGCACAGGTTGCTTTTGGAGGCCATGTGCCGGGGCGTGCGGGCGACGTTGACAGGTGCTCTGCTGTCTCAGGCCGTTGTCGCTGGCAGCGGGCGGCGGCGGGTTCGCATCGCGAAGCAGCTCGCCCGCTTGATGCGACGTGCTGGCGACGTTCGATCGCGCGTCTGATGGAGCGGCGGCCCAGGATGTGTCCCCGGGAATCCGAGGGACGGGTCGCCAATGGCACGGGGGCGCATGTACTGTGTATTCACGGTACAGCGCCAGGCGGATAGCCGAGGGCGAGGGCCAGGCCGGGGCTAGGCTGCGTGTTTTTGCAGGCATTGCGGGGATGCGCGCGCCGTCGTCGTCCTCACAGCACACGCACACGCTCGCTGGAAGCACCCGCCCGCACGACCGACCGCCCTCGAGCACCACGCACTCACACACACCCCCAGACGCGGAGAGCGCTGCTGCAGGAGCCCCGGCGCCCATCCACGCACCCACGCACCCACGCACCCACGCACCCACGCACCCACGCACCCCTCCATCCCGCGGCTGCCGTCGCCGCCCTCGCCCTCGACTCGCAAGCGCCGTCCCACGGCGTCGCGCACGCATCGACGCACCGCGCACCGCCGCGCTGCTCCCTCTGATCGCAGTGCCTGTGCGAAGCTCCTCCAGACGCCACGCCACCCCCGCCGCCGCGTGCAATGGCGCCGTGGTGAAGCGCGCAGAGCAGAGCCCCGCGGCGCCACGATGCGGCTGCGCGCCCGACAGCTCCCCGCGAGTCCACGGCCGTAGACGCCGTCGTCGCCTGCACTTTCTCCCTCGTCTCCCTCTCTCCCTGCCCAAGCCTGCTGCTGCCGCTGCTGCTGCGGGGCGCGCGGCCATTGGAGCGGCGCCCGTGTCACGGCAGCGCCCGTTCGAGCAAGCCAGCGCACGCGTGATCGCATTCGCGAAACACGCAGCTGGGACGTCGCCCGTGTGTGCCCGCCACGCATTGGCTGAGCCGCTTCCCTGGGACTGCTCTGACGGCTGCACGCTGAGAAAACGTGCGTCCTCACCACCGCAGACACCATTGGCCCACCATCCGTGCCCGCCGACGTGGTGCAAGTCCACCCCCAGAAGCAATATTAGACACCATGTCCTCCCCAGACCCAGAAGATGCATCGCCCTCGCCCGAGTACAGCGGCCCCGAAGGGAGCGACAGCGGCGACATCGACATGACGGCCGACCAGAAGGCGGACCCGCGCCCTGGCGACCATTCCCCAGAGACCAAGCCCAACGGCACCGTCAAGTCAAACGCAAAGGACCCAACGCGCCCCCGCCGCAAAAAGGCCCGCCGCGCCTGCTTTGCCTGCCAGCGTGCCCATCTGACCTGCGGTGAGTGATTGCCCCGGCATTGTTTGCCAGACTTGCATCTTGTCTCTTGACACCCACTCCCACCAAGACCCTGTGCTGAACCCCCCCAGGCGACGAGCGCCCGTGCCAGCGCTGTATCAAGCGCGGTCTGCAGGACCACTGTATGGATGGTGTGCGCAAGAAGGCAAAGTATCTTCACGATGCACCAGACGGGGCTCTCATGCCCGGCGTGGGCGGTCACTATCCCCACATGAACGGCAACCGTCCAGTCCCGGTCCCGGTTCCTGTTCATGACCAAGGAGCAGTGGCCGTGGCCCAGCAAGGAGCCTACTTCACCCAGGCGCCCTCTGCCACCTACTACACCCAGAATACTGCGCCAAATCAAGCTGTACCGGTGCAAGATCCAACTTACAGCAACCCACAGGCTCCAATATCGCCGCAGTACGCCCAGAACACACAGGCTGTAATGGCCGCTGCTCCTGCGCCTGTCTCCCAAGGCACACAGATGCAGCAGTTTGGTGGCCCTCTCTTCGATCCCAGTGATCCTGCCCTGTTCAATTTTGACATCTCAAGTCTGAACTTCGGAAACCATTACGGCGCATTGGAGCTTGGCATGCTCGGCCACATGTCGTCGGCCGCCATAGACGTGCCGACCAACGATAACCCTTTGAACCAGGCCGCACATGCGTATAATGGTCCAATGGGTTCTGGACCGTACGCTGAGAATCACGGCTTACCCGCCCATGTGTCGTTCGGTCCAGACGGCCTCCCGTCAGCCGAATGGCAGAATCCCCACTCGCGGCATGGTAGCCTACAGGTCCACACCCCAAACAACACACCTGTCACTATAGATCGGCACGACAGTCTCAATGGGCCCATGGCCTATGCAATCGGCCAAGGTGGACCTTCCAGCTTATCGAGCGCCAGCCCTGCATCCATGGATTACAACACAGGCTATGACAACGAGAACCCCATGTCTGCTGCGACTTTCTTTGCGAACGCGAACCAGTCGCAGTCGCGCGGCTCTCCAACAACGCATCGTGCACAACAGGAGAACCGTCCACCTGGAGGGCCACTGTACCAAATGCATCCCAATGCAGGACGAAAACGACAGTCTAAACTCATTTATGAGAAGGTCACCAAGCCTTACAACTACCCATCGGCGCATCACCGCTTGGTTGTCGCGTGCAGCAGAAGGTTCTCCAGGAAAAACCAGGATAGTGTTCGGACCTCTCTAGGTCTGTTCAGGCCTTCTTTGCTGATCAACGCTTCTCATCTCGATAGCGACGATCTCATTCATGCTGAGAAGAACCTGCAGCGCTCATTGATATCCATGCTCGAGTGTTTCGGCGAGGTGGGTACGCCATCTCTGATTGTGCGTCGCACGGGCGAAGTTGTGGGCACGAACAAAGAGTTTGAGATCTTGACCGGCTGGAAGAGAGAAGTCCTGCTAGGGACAGAACCCAACCTCAACGCAAACTTGGGTAGCAGTCAGCAGCGCTCCAACGAGAGCGGACTTTCTAGCCAAAGCAGCACCACGCCAACGCTACCAGGCCAAGAGCCTGAGGCGGGCCCGTATCCCGTCAATATTGTTGAACTCCTCGACGAGCCATCGGCGGTGGAATATCTGTCAGATTTTGCGAATCTTGCAACGGCGGATCCACTAGGCAGAGGCCACCGCCGTGTCAATTTCCTGCGCTACCAGACCAAAGAGGATCTGGCGCGTGAGGCAGAGCGACCGCGTGGAGCAAATGGCGATCGGCTCAAGCACGAGCCGCTGGTGAAACAGGAAGATGGCATCATCCACCGTGGAGAAGCGATGAAAAGCTTAGGCGCGCACAACGGGCTCATTGACAGCATGATCATGTGGCATATTAAGAGGGATAACTTCGATATGCCCATGCTAGTTGCTTTTCAGGTACGTCGTCACTGAGTGCGTCTTGATCGGCATTTCACTGACGTGGGTGATAGATTATGCCTGTGCTGAGCACAACACAGTAGCACCGTACGAAAGTATGCGAGAAGCGTAGACTTGCTGCATATTACGGCCGCGATCGAGGCTTTGAAAACAAAAGTGATACCCTCTCCCCACCCGGGGGACCCAAAAATTCTGTACTTGGCATGTTCATTCCTGGATGGTTCTGCCCGTTCACGCTGGATATTTTAGTTTTCTTTTCTTTGCAAGCATTGGCCATCATGTCCATGCCGGGCTTGGGTTGGCTGCATGGATCATGTCCTGGACAGGTTCTTTTTGGACACCGGGAACAGGTCCGCGGTTCGGCGCCATCACTCTCAGTTGTACCAGTACGCTGATGAGCTACCATGTCGTTTTCATGTTTTGCTATCGCACAGGGAATACCTACCAGCTGCTCTCGCGAAGCTCGCGTATGAGAAATCATGTCGGTTCGCGAGTGAGTAACACTTAGTCATATCGGACAATAGGCCCAGCATGGCTGGTTGGTGAGGCGAGTGGGTGTTTGGTGCACGAGGCGGGCGACAAAACGAACCTTGGAGGATTCAAGATAGACGAACCGAATCGCTTCATTGCTTCAAGTGTTCTTGTTTGGGTGACTGAAGATCTAATAGTATATGGCATGAGATGTCTAATTCGTGCAGTCGTAATCGTGACACGTCGTTGACCGCTCGAAGTCGTGTGCTCAGGGAATCATGTCGCTCTTGGCCAGCATTCCGCTCTGGCCCTCAGCCTCTCCCGTCTGCTTTTCCCCAGACAACCATTTATCTTGCTGCCACTGTTCGTAGGCGGGCCGCGCCAGGCTCCGCTGCGCGACACGAATGTCCTCTCTAATGTCCTCGACCAGGGCTTCCTTGGACACGTAGTCGTATTCTGGACGGATGTGGCCCAGGATGATGAGTGACAGGGTGGCGCCATAGAAGTCTTGGGCAAACGAGTGCAGGATGTGTATCTCGATGCTGCGCTGCGAGTTCTTGTAGTACGGGTTGTAGCCTATGCTCAGGACCGTCGGGTAGACCTTCGCTTCCTTGAGCCTGCCTGGAGTGATGGGGCGGCTTGGGGGTGCGGTGGCGGGCGTCTCCAGGTCAGCTACTGCGTGGTTGGAACTTCGCTCTGGTATCGCCGTGTCGCCTGTTGCGCTCGGCACGCTCCGCTCGGTGGTCAGGGCGGGTATCGTGCTATGGTCGAGCGATGCGTAGCCGTAGTAGATGCCCGATTCGAGGTCGTCGTGCCCGCCGATGCTGAGGCCCGTGAGCGGGATGTTGGCCGTAGGGATGCCGAGGTCTTTGGAGCCGCGCCCGAAGCCTTTGATGACGGGCCCACGCAGCTTGAGGGGGAACGGCGGTTGGACGGCTGCGCCCAGTCAGCATTGTGCGTACGCCATGATTTAGAGACGCGCACTGTCTGGCCCGGCGATGGCGTCGCGGGACGCGTTTGGGCGGCTCATGTCTGTCGCGTGCGTCTTGCTCTGTCCTGGGCCACGCGCAAGAGACCGAGGGTCACAGTCTGGGCGGCGTTGGTCAACGTGGGCGCCCTGGCGATGTCCGGGTAGTCGTCGATGGCGAGCTTCTCGTAACTTCCTGGAGCACGGCATGGTGGGGCGGATTCGGCGGGGCACAGAACGCCGACGCGCACGTCTTCGGGGCTCCGACTTCATGCACCCTCACCGAGCAAAACAAGTCACCAAGACATCTCCAGACGGTACCAATCGAAGACATTTCAATGATGTGCTACACTTCAGCGCAGTTCGTCGCGCCGGGCCCGGACAACGTCATCGTCTACTCCAGCCCGGCCTGCAGCGCACAATCTCTCATCTGTTTCCTCCACCAAGGCCTCACTGCCCACGCATCGTCTGCACCACAACACGTTTCCTGAATCGTACTTGGCCTTCACTTCCTTCAGCCTCTCGTAATGCCCGCCAAAGAACGCGTGTTGCCATTCTGGCTCGTAGCTGTCGGGTTCGTTCACGCAAGCGCCCGTCTCGGGCGACAGATCACGCAGCTTCTGCACCTCGACACTAACGTCGTGGTATACAGAGTCGATCAAAGGCGGTGCAATACCATCCTGCCACGCTTCGACCACAACTAACTGTGTGAGGGTGTTCCGCCAAGCTGGATTCATCGGTACTGTAGAAGGGTAGTACGAAGGCACTTTTTGGAGAGGCTATCGTGTGCCCTGGAGATTCGGGTTGCCGAATACACCGTACGTATGTAAGCGCACGCTATTCGGCCATGTTCGAAACATCACCAGGGCTGAAGCGCGAAACTCACATTTGGTTGAGAGACATTCGAGCTGGGTCCAATGGCAGAGAGCACTGTCGTGGTTGCCTTTGCATCCTTCAAGTTTTTCGGAGCAACCACGACGCAAAGGCAGAACCGCCACTTGCAACCTGCTCGTTCGTTGCAATACCATATGCTTCGAGAAATGTATTCGCTAGTGCGATTTCGGAAGTGTGCTGGAAGAGGTGCGGACGGCTCTCCACCTTTTCGACAGTGAGCGCAAATAACGTTTCCATCGTGCTATTAGGTTTGTCCTACATGGACAAGAGCCTAAGGAACGCGTAAACTAGATAAGTCGGTGGCCCTACCATGAAATAGTATGCGGGGAGACCAGCTTCCTAGAGGCGCCGTATGTCTACATGTACGAAGCCCATTAATTCCTAGAATTCAGTTGTGACATCTATTAATCTTTAAATTATTTATAAAAGCTATGTTCGTATAGACAATTGTTACAAGTGGTCTCCACTTACCTAATTTTTTAGGAAGAGCCTTGCAGGTATTCAGTGATTTAAGCGCGAGGGTGCTAAATCCAGAAGGGTAGCTACTCCTAAAGGGAAGGGGTCTTATTAATATAGTAGTATCTTGCAAAGTATAGGAAGTTAGTAATATAGGCGAAGTATAATCTAAATAATAGATTAATAAATAGATTAAATATAACTACTAATATTTATACTTAATATGAGGTCTAGCTATAGGCAATAGTATTTGCTTCACGCTAGGATAGATAGTGAAAGGATGACTTGATGGCATTGAGTGAATATGTTAAGATCCAATCAGAGATCTCACATGTATCGTAGTAATATTCACT